TCTATACCGATCTCAGAGACTAATGAGCGAGAGACACAATCTGCTCGTCTCTCTCGCGGTTCATTCTCCCTCGTCGAGCCCGAATCGACGGTCTTGATGTCGAATAAATAAATCTCATGATGATCTCGAGTCACACGCTATTCATCTATCCCAAATAGAATAAGACGCCGTATCACCGCCATACCATTACTCATATTCTCACCCCAAATCCGTTGAAAGTGCCGCTGTCCAAGCCACTGACTATACACCGCGAGATCAAGATACTCGCCCTGATACCCGGTAATCTGAACCTCGTTAAACCCGGACTCGCTGTGCATCGCACAGAACAAGATCGGCACCACCACCCCCGGCCATTGACACGCCCGCGACACCTCGACCCCCGTCGCGCAGAGATATTGGCTGACGCCACATCGATGACAACTGTGACTGTTGGCCGCGTAACGGATCTGCTGGCGAAACCGTTCCACGTCGCCACGATTCCACGATGTCCATGGGCAATCCTGCGTTCCGTGGCTCGAATCGCGACCGTCACGGCTCGAGAACCAACAGTACACGCATCCGATCGTCATCTCGGTTAATGCCTCTTCCACTCGCCGTCGCTCCTCTTCATCCTGCCGGGTACGAGTACGGACCTCATGCTCACCTTCGCCGCAACGATCGCAACGGACCCACTCCGCGTCGTCGACACATGACCGTGCCAGTGTCGGCCCGTCGAGATATTCACTCATCACTCGTCGACGACATGTGCGGCTGTTGACGAACTGGGCCATCACCTGGGCTTCGACGTCGAGATGGCGACGCTGAAGACGGACCTCGGCGGCGCGCTGGGTCACGAGAACCAACGAGTCCACCGTCTCACCGGCTCGTCCACCGCGACCACTCTCCTGGGCAAAGTCGATCATACTCCACGGGATGTCGATGTGCAAGACGAAGACGATGCCCGGAATGTCCACGCCCGTACCGAGCGCCGACGTGGCCACGATCAACCCCCCTCGCTGCACCCAACGCTCGAGTCGCTCGGCGCGATCGACCACCCCGGCGTGGTAGTGGGCGCAGTCGAGCCCCGCGGCCATCTCCTCGCACTGGGCCCGCGACAAGCAGTACACCACGCCTTTCTGCCGTGCACGGAGTAAGTGCTCCTGCCGTCGACGACACACCTCCAGCGCGGTCGACTCGAGCTCGCCGGGACGGCAGTGCTGAACGCAGTAGCGATGACCCGGTCGGATGGTAGATGCACGGATAATGCGCGTGAGTCGGACGGCCATACTCTCTTCCAACTCGAACACGCGACGGGGGGGCAACGTGGCGGTGAGTAAGTATGTCGGGCACCCCAACTCGCGCACGTGACGGAGACGGGACAGCTTCGCCCGCCAATGACTGTCGGTGAATGTGGTGTGGCATTCGTCGACAAACACACGCCGCAACAGCTCGCTGTCTCTCAAAACCCGACAGTATGTGCTGAATGCGGGCGTGACCGCGGCGTCGGCACTCACGATCACCAGACGGGCGGGATTGTTCTCGCCGTGGTGCCACTCGAAACAATCAATGCCGGCCGCGCGCAATCGACGCGCCATGTCGTCCACCAACGCTCGAAACGGGGCGATGAAGATGCTGACCCCGCGCGTCTCGAGCACGACGGGCAGCATGGCCAGTAGCGTTTTCCCTCCGCCGGTCGGCAGTACCACGGTCACGGGGGTTTCGGCGTTCAACACCGCGCGGACCCCTTCCTCCTGTTCACGGGAATGAAATCCCACGGGCCCGTCGCCAAACAATCGATGCATAGCTCCCTCGATCTCACTCGACGACGCGGCCACGGGGACGGCGGACGTGGCCCGTTCAGACGCGGGGGGCAGCGACAGAGAAGCGAACGAAGTGGTGCTCGGACCGGCACTCCCGGCCTCGTCGTCAAACAAAGCACGCCAACGGGGCCGTTGCTTCTCACTCGACACCTCCCATGACGATCGACCGTGTCGTTTATGCGTGGCCGTGTGGCTGATGGTGTGAGCGCTGGACCCTACGACGGGCGATGGTCGAGCCGGCGTGACCAGAGTCTTCTCCCACATCTGCGAACGCACACTGACCAAGCCAAGAAATCGATGCCAGCCCTCGCTCAATGGTCGAAATGTGTCCAACGAGCGTACACTCAAGTGCTTGATGATGTCCGCGGGGACGACATATCGTGACGCGCCCATGGCTTCCGTCCGTCCACTCTGTAACTCGATGGGATCCTCACCTTCCTGTTCCGGTTCCTCGATCTCGCCCACCTCGTCCTTGGAGCCTCGGCCAAACTAGTCACCGATCACTCATCGTCCCACCCCAATGGCGATGTGTCGAAAGTCCAGCGTGTTAAATCGATGCCCGAGTCCGAGAGCCGTCTCGCGCTTAATGACCCGCGTTAATTGGTCGGTTTCCCACGGGCCCTTGTCATTGTGCCAGAGATGGTCACTCGGGTCGAGATTCTGCGTCTCACTTAATAATAGTTCACGAAACGGTTAAATATAGACCAAGTACAAGACCGCCAGCTAACCCACCCGCCACAGCAAGAAACGTGGAATGACCTTGGGAGTGTCGAAGAGTTGCTGGGACTTGTGGTAGCGGGTGATGATGCAAGCACTGCCGTCGATGATGAAAAAGTTGCGATCGGCCGTGGCGCCATTACGAAATCGAATAGCGGTGATCTCGGTACCACGACTGACGGGTCCGTATGTTGAGTGCATAGCGAACAAGAGTCGTTCGAGAAAGTATATGGTGTGCTGAAGCCATCGTCGAACCCCGCGGAGCTGCCACGTGCCGTTGACACGAAATAGACGTCGTTTACCTCGTTGTGTACTGGCTTTCGCCGCCATCCAGTCATAGCCATTGGCCAGCTGATTCCTTTCACGTTTCAAGAATGACCAGCCACGACGGGTGAATGGGAGATCATCCTCCAATTGATCCAAATCGACGATGAATCGTTAGGCCAAGTTCGATGTCCACATCAACTCGCGCCATAATAGCTCTTCCGCGCGTTCAATGTTGCTGATAATCATGGAGCGGACCGAGTTGAGTGGAATAGATAGTCCATGATAATAGATGATTTCGCCATCTCGAGACCAAGTCATACTGCCGGCATTACTCGTATTAAGTGCGATGTACTTTCCGTAAGCGAGTAAGTTGATGAGCTCACTCATGGGCGTACTACTCCCATCGACTAAATATTCACGACGATAACGTTGAAACTTAAGTCGTCGCTCATGGCTATCGGGCTGGGTCTCTCGCTTGTGCGCCGGAAGTAGAATCTCCACGGCCAACACTCGAATGGACCAGACCAAACCGGCCACGACATAAGAAAAGTTGATCGCCTCCCTGAGTCGACGGTTTTCCTCGTCAATGCCGAGTACGGCGACAAAATGAATTAACCCACTCTTGAACGGCTCGCCACCGACATGATGAAAGATAAATTGCTGAAGAAATAATTGAACCGCCTCGGTCTTACTCGAGTCTGTAACTTGACGACCTCGAGCTTCATCATCCTTAAATGTACATACGGAATTCACCATGTTCGTGGTTGCTTGAAACTGGTTATCAGTCCATGGGAATAGCTCACGCGCATCTTTCATAATGTCTTCTGTTGTGTCATCGTTACTTCTCTCTGTGTTTGGTGTACATAATCTGGATAGTTGTTCATTATTATCGTCATGATTATTATTATTGTTGTCATCATCATTATTATTGTTGTTGTTATTATCATCATCATCGTTATCGTCATCATTATCGTTATCGTCATCATCATTATTATCGTTATTATTATTGTCGTCGTTATTGTCATCATTATCGTTGTTATTGTCATCATTATCGTCGTTATTATCGTCATTATCATCGTCGTTGTTATCGTCGTTATCATTATTATTAGTAGTATTGTTAGAGTCTATCTCTTGATATAGTGTTCGAGATCTTCTAACTGAAAAGATATTAGTTTGTATATGATTAAACATTGGATTAGATATAGTTGTAGAAGATTGCGGATTACTGGTTTTATCGTCGTTTGTACATTAAGGGGATTGAGTAGAATGTGTACGCCTTCGGGTCTAAATCTCGAAGTCCCATACTCGACAAGTATAACAGATAAATCGTCGAATGTACATGAAGTATCGATCCTCACTGTCGGCATTTTGAAGTCGATTGAATGGTCGGGCGGAAATCACGGTCGCCTGTTCACTGCATAACCAACGTCGTGACTCATGATCGAGTGTAGTAACACTATCAGCCGACCAGACGGTAAGTCTATCAAATATATTCAAGATCTCTTGTAGTACTGGCTCGTTCTTCTCCGACATTCGAGTCGCCCACGCAAGATACACAAGATTGCGACCGTGGAAATGATCTTGCCATTTGGTTCGATTGTACCAACCGATGCGATCTTATTTCAACAACCCTATCTCGAGTCGTTACATTTTGGTTTCATGGACGGTATCAAGCACGACTCTTTTCTCCTGGAGACACTGCATAATTGTTCGAGCATTGTCACCAGCGAGCGGGACAACATCAGTCGGATTTGAACTAGATGACTGCCGAACTTCGTGGCCGTGGATTTCTCGTGCGGTCCGGACACTAGATGGACTGGATATCGATGTAGTATGGGGTAAAGAATTTGAGACTGAGCGCACAACAAAGTATTTTCGGAGTCCTCGAGAAACGAAAAAAGTTTGCGCTTGAACCTGACTCCAAAAAACCGGTTGTTATATTGTCTTTTTCCATTGATGGTGATGACGAGCGTGTTGTTCAATGGTTTTAATATTGCTACTAATATTGCCACAGAATTGCGCCGCACAAAGAAACGCTGGAATCGGTGATGCGAGACCGTCAATAGATGGTTGATATGGTGATGATATATTTATCTTGTCTGGTCTAGCATAGACTTGGCCCTTATGGGCAGAAAGAATCTCTTTTCGTTGCTGAAGACTAAGATCTCGATGCTCATTTCGAAGATGTGACTCGAGAGATAATATAGCGTACCCATGAGTGGTACAGATCAATAGACGGTATTAATCGTGTAGTATTGTAGTTATAGTATAATAATCGAAGATATAAAGTAGTTACGCGGTTATATACTGTACTAGTATACTAACCTTATTCGTAGTTTAATTCTAATAGTAGTTATTCAATCAGTAGTAGAAGATATATTTAAATTAAAATCTACTTATATAATTAATGTGTCGCTCTTAAATGTATATACGCTAAGACTTAATAATCATCCAACACCTAAACTCTAAAATATCTACGCTTACCACCCGATATCCACTATGTCTGCGCAAAAACTAGAGTCCAATGTGTTCGTCCTTGTGATACTCTCCAATGATGCTGCTCTCTAGCATATTGTTCCATGCTCTTTGAATGAGAACTCACCCACTCACAGCGAGGATAGTTACACTGAAATGCAGGAATAGGTGCACTGAGTCCCTCAATGGGTGGAGAGTTAGGAGGGGGGGTTAGAATCTCCTCTATCTGAACGATAACTTGGTGCTGATGTTTCTCTATAAGTTATCGACGTAAAGATAGCGAAAGCTCTTGATGCTGATTTCTTAGATGAGTGCTGAGGTTAGTGATTGTATAGCCGTGGCGTCGATAGATAAAGATCTGATACGCCTCGTTATACAAAATGAGGTCTTTAGATATAATCATATCATTCAAGGTCGTTGTAGATTTAGGAGGTAGTATAGTGATACAAGGATCACGAGGTATAGGTAGTTTTGGCTGAGAAAGAACCATAGCTGCAGTATAGTCGGAGGGAGCGCGAGAGTCTCTTGAGGGAGCTGGCGCTGGGTGTACAGTGGGTGCCACCGGAGGAAATCATGTATAATCAGACTATATATTTACACGGACTTCTTAGAGCGGCACTCGACTGAGAGTCGGGATAAACTCGAGGAACTCGTGCCACTGCCGAGAGACTTAGCGATATCGCTCTAGGAGAGTAGGTTGCAGCCTACTAGGGAAATCAGTGTCGATGCCATAATTGACGGCACGTTAAAGTGGTTGGTGTCCACTTTGCCAAGCGAGAACGCGGCACGAAGAAGCCTGAGGGCTGACGTCACGATATATATCCGTCGGCTGGATCATATATCGCAGATACTTTTCGGTCATGGTGATGATGGCCTGTCGATAGAGCTGAACATCGAGGGGGACGCGAAGGATGGATCGACTTGTTTAGCGAAGCCATCGAGTCATGTCGCCGACTATCCAAGGACGAGGAAGAGATTGGTGGGCAATGAAAGAGTTGGAAGCGAATAGATGGCTCGTGGTGCTGTGGCCAAGACACTGGTGGAGGAGGAGGTCGACGAATGGCTGGATAAAGACCATGTAGTAGTAGACTAGCTGACCAACGGAGGGGGGAAGAAAGCGAGCGGCGTAAAACTCACAATAAGTGATACGCTGACTTTTGAATACACGGCTAATGGAGAGGACCGATCCCCCATAAACATAGATCCCATGGGCGTTAGTTAGCCCGTTCCAGGCTTCAAGGCTCATTAGATCGTGGATACAGGGAGACTGGCCACCGCAGATAAAGAACAGCTGAAAGAGAAGGACAAGGAAGTCTTCATAAAGTCGAAGATACTTTTAAACCGCGGCGTGGACCTATCGGTTGTGCTTAATGAGCCCCTGTTGACAGACACGGGTGGAGAGGTGCAGGTAGGCGCCACGGAGACCATTCTGTGCTTCTTGAACGAAGAAATATCTCGGCGTCGTGTGGCTAATGAGGTCCCGAATGAAATGGAGATTGTAAGAGAGAGACCAATCATATATGAGCTGGCGGCGAAGAGTCGAAGCCTGGTCAACAAGGCCATGTGCAAAAGACCGAAATGACTGCAATGACAGCTGATACTTCGCGAACGACAGAGTTTGACCGTCATCACTTCAATGAAAGAAGAATGTCGGTCCTTCGGAGTCGAGAAAGTGACGACCAAAGGCCAGGAGACTAGTGAACTCGAGAAGGGAGGTGAGGCACCCGCCACAAGTATATCGTTGTCGTATTGCTTGAAGATGGACAAGCTGTTCTCGTCGCGGTCGAGCTGAGATCCCTAAGCTGGGGTAGTCGGATATGGGAAGTGTCGATTCGAGGAGAAGGAGAGTCTGCTGATGGATCAACGCAGCAAGGGTCTATGTGTACGCTCGCGGACGGTGGTATCCCTGCCCTCCTGCCGTGAAACCTAAGACACCGCTGAGGAAGACCAGAGTGGTGGACTGGGGGCGGCCGTCAGTGTATTCCTGTGTGCAGAGTGAGACACTCAGTTGAAAGACCAGGTCAGAAAGAGAAGGTGGGTGAGATTGGGTATTATCTGGACCTAATAATTAAGGGCCGACAGTGTTATCAAAATTGTCTAAGATATTAGGCCCGATGGTTAGATAATCTTCTTCTTCAGAGAAATAATTATCTTTATCTGTTTCTTTATTGTCTTCAATATCTTTAATATCTTCTTTGGCCCCCTTATTCTCGTCTTGATCCTCGTCTTGATCCTTATCTTGATCCTTATCTTGATCCTCATCTTGATCCTCCATAGTACTATCTTCCCAAGAAGGGTGACCTGGATCTTGAGCTGCCATTTGATCCTATATCCTTAATATAAGACCTCGCTAATCGCTTGTGATTGAAATACCCAGACTGGATTAGGTAGTGTTTGAGAGTTATATATAGCGAAGACAGAATATGAGACATCTCTTCCAGTATTGTCGGTATCTTCGTCGAGTTAAGTCATGAAGAACTAATTAAAAGGGCCGCTTAAACGCTCAGTTAGGCTCTCGACTTTATAACCAGCAGAGAAAGGCATGCGGTGTCGCGCGAACAGTATCTTCACATCGATCAAAGATACTATCGATGATAGTTAGAACTGAATAAATGCGAGTCTCGTCTCCACATAAACTGCGGATTTCGACTCCCTAAGATGTAGAAAATTTATGGCTTGAAGAGAGCTCACCTAACGCGAAACCTTCTCCTCGCGTCCGTCGAGTCGGTAGCTGGGTTATCCGGAAAAGGGTCTCTCGAGGAAGGTGAGCGTAAGTCGCGATCCAGCCTGTCCGCTCGAACCAGGGAGTGAGGTCTGACTCGCTCTGCGACCGTAGATTAAACGTCGAGTAAGAGGACGCGATCCGTTCTTTTTCCTCCTGATGAATCGTGAAGAGGAGAGTCGACGGTGGAGGAGGGGAGGGCTGTAGCCAGGTTCGCGCGTCCACGGCACCCATTATTCTCGGTTGGGACGGCTTCTGGTGGCTGACTTAGAAACGCTTTCGCTTGCGAGAAACAGGGTTCATTAAAGGCGCCACACTACTGATAAGAGCGACGATCTAGTATTGCTGTGCTCTCGGGCCGGTAATGGCCCACCGCTGTAGAAGAACACATCAATAATCCTAACTGTCAGTGGCATCGGACTGTTCTATGCGATAGTGGGCGGAGAGATGTCGCCCTAGAAGCTGTTGGCTGGTTGTCCGAGTCGAGCAGTGGCCGCACGCGAATCCAGAAACCGTGGCCAGGGCCGTATCCTCTTGGGATAGATCGTTTCGAGGCGTCAGTTGAGAGATATCCGTGAGATCGAGTGTCGTGAGGTTTTCCAACTGGGACCGACGCGAGCTGTCGATCGAGTGAACCTAAGAAAGATACTGCTAGACAGACCTCGGATCAACACGTAGGGCGCGTTGACATAGCGTACAAATCAACGCGTTTTCAGGAGCGCTTATCGTAAGATTATAGCTGCGAAGCTAGGAAGAGAAGATCATAATGCAAAGAGAAGATAAGATAATCGTGTACCCGTGAAGTCAAGTCTTGGAAGGATCAGCTAGGATGGAAGAGTTAATCGTTCAAAAGATCAAGGCGAGGCTATATTACGTTATCATGAGGCTAAGCCACAGAACATTTGGCGCTACAATAAATATGACGCTACAGGACAAATTTGGCGCTACACTCAAAGTTTATTTCCATTCCGCGCGTTGATCTGCCGCGAAAAGGCGCTACAGTCTGTGCCTAGACTACTAGGGCTATAGCTAGGTTCACATATTCACGGCACCCATTATTCTCGGCCAAGACAGCTTCTAGTGGCTAACTTAAAAACACTTTCGCTTGCGAGAAACAGGGTTTATTAAAGACGCCACACTGCTGATAGAAGCGATAATCCAGTATTATTATGCTCTTAGGCCGGCAATGGCCCATCGCTGTATAAGGATATATCGATAATCTTAACCGTCAGTGATATCGAACTGTTCTATGTGATGATAGGCGGAGAGATATCGCCCTAGAAGCTGTTGGCTAGTTGTACGGATCAAGCAGTGGCCGCACGCGAATCCAGAAACCATGGTCAGGGCTATATTCTCTTGAGATAGGTCGTTTCGAGGCATTAGTTAAGAGATATCCGTGAGATCAAGTGTCGTGAGGTTTTTCAACTAGGATCGACGCGAGCTATCGATCAAGTGAACCTAAGAAAGATACTGCCAGACAGACCTCAGATCAACACATAAGGCGCGTTAATATAGCGTATAAATCAACGCGTTTTCAGGAGCGCTTATTATAAGATTATAGCTGCGAAGCTAGGAAGAGAAGATTATAATATAAAGAGAAGATAAGATAACCATGTATCCATAAAGTCAAGTCTTGAAAGGATCAGCTAGAATAAAAGAGTCAATCATTTAAAAGGTAGAGGCGAGGCTACACTACATTACTATAAGGCTAAGCCATAGAACATTTAGCGCTACAATAAATATAACGCTACAGGACAAATTTGGCGCTACACTCAAAGTTTATTTCCATTCCGCGCGCCGATCTGCCGCGAAAAGGCGCTACAGTCGAGTCCTGTCCTACTAGGGTATATATTCCTTTATAGAGGAACCCCCTTATCCTGGAACTCAAAACTCCAAAGAACGGTGGCCTTATCATCCTGTGAGGCAGAATACATGGCCCTAAGAGATGCAATCAAAGAACAACAATATCTAAGGGCGCTAATCTCAGAAATAGGTGCCTCAGGCCTCGAAGTCACTAATATTTATAGTGATTCAAACTCAGCCATCGAACTTGCCAGAAACCCTGTCTATCACGCTCGAACTAAGTATATCGACATCACATATCACTATGTTCGAGAATGCACTCAAAAAGGCTTAACCAACCTTAACTGGACCTCAACAGAAACCCAGTTAGCCGACGGCCTAACTAAGGCTATTTCTAGTGAAAAATGGACTCAGTTCATCACTGGAATAGGCCTTCGAAATCTATAGCCTTATTAAGGCTAAAAACAGCTAAAACCTACTCAACTAGGCTCAGCCAAAAACAACAAGTCTAAAAGACTTTTCACTCATTTACGAATCTGTCTAAGGGACATCAATATATTCAACAATATTGATCAACAAAAAGGAAGTTATCTTCTCCTATGTCTGGCTTAAAGCCCTATATAGATGAAGTTAGCGCCTTCATCAACGACACAGATCACAACAGTACTTTGATCAAGGATATTTCCTTATTGCGCAGTGAATTACATTGATTAAGCAACTAACCGGAGCATTATGACCAGGCGACACTAGACTACCCGGAAGGACAACCCTCTTACCTACCCCGCAGGAATAGGCCCCTCAATTCTACCAACCACTGCACCACCAAGGCAATACAGCAATTAGCAGGTCGATTTAGTGCTTTTATTAGCACAGAAATCAAGGAATCAAATATATAAACCCTGAAAATCAACAACAAGGTTCAGGGTTCGATCCTCGCTAAGGTCAAGAAAATAAGCCTATTTTTGACGAAAAAAGGCTTACGGGGGTGTGTTGACTATATGTGAATCCTCACTATAGTTAGCGAGGCAAGGAACCAACCCCAGGGACCCAGGAGACTAAGCCTCGTGACTATCAAAGTCCACAGCCTCGCCCAGACACCAACTGGTCAACCACAGCCTCACTCAGCCAGCTAAGTTAAGATCATGACTCACGAGTGAAGGCTATGACTCACGAGTAAAGGTTATGACCCATAATGCTTGGTTTCTTCGTCGCTTGTTAGCTATTTAAGGAGGGCTTAACCCACCTCGAGATGAAGTCCTCCAAGCTTCACTCACAACACTCATTCATAGTTATCCTTGTATACAAGGCAATTCACGCTATTCCCCGCCATTATCTCCACCATTCCCCACTATAACCTGGTCCTCTTGACAGATGGATCACCCCATGGATGGATCACTCGCTCTCTATGCCAAGACCTACTTTATATGTGGACGGGTCACCCGTCCACGGCGTAATAATGGTAGGCGCTCGAGGAACAACACTCCTCAGGAGTGCGCGCCAAGCCAACTTATCTTGACATAGCTTAGCGCACTCCCGAGCTTCGCACTTTTCACGCAAGCTACTCGCATAAGGAACTTTTCTTCCTTATGCTTAGAGTCTTGTATTAGAGCGCACCTCTAGATAGGAATATCTCAACCCTCTATTGTGTTATCACTCTGCCTGTTCTTCGAGCAGTTCCTAACACCTGGTGGAGCGAAACATAACACTGAGGCACTATTTCTAACAGGTTAACATGACCAAGAGAGGTCGAGTGTGTGACAGTCTTAGGACCCACTAGCCCAGGGGTATATATTTACGGAGAAAGGCAAGATAATGATAGCCTCACTCAGATCTCCCTCAGCCAGTCATTGGGTCAGCGCACGTTAAAGACTCGAGGAGCTTCAAGCCCAGTGACACGAAGGAGTAGTTCCACCCCTTCTTCGATCAGTCCACCCCTGCATTGAGCTTTCAAAAAGTCGATCAGTACTATCAGCATCCCAGTCGTTTTTCCATGATATTTTGAGTTCTGGGGGGCTTTGTCGTCCCCTGTCACTGATTCGAGGTAGAATCTACAGTGTTCTCGAGCCAATCTTTTTGATAATATTTGGCCATTTCGGACAAGTTCGTGGTTATTCACCGTTCCGCTAATCGCGAAACCGAAATTCCAGCAAACCAATCCCGCGATGTAGAGACACCATAGGCAGTGATGGGAATGCACTGATTCGGATACAGAGCATAAACGGTCCCTGAGGATTTTGGCGGCATCTACCACTGTCAGTGTTTGCAATTATCCACTAAAACGTTCAATTTCGTACGATTGACTCCGAGGAGACTTCGTCTTTGTGTCGCCCAAGACCGAATTCTACTCTTTGACTTCAAGTAGTCGGAAGTCCCACAAAACTTGCCTTCTATGGGATTTTTACCTGCAACCGTTTGTAGATCAATGGCAGTAACCTCATACAATGTATATGCAAGTCGCGCCATGCAGAAGCAACTTCGCCAGAGATACGACCTGATAGAGGGTGAAAGTTGATTCTGGTTCTTGGATGACTCCAATGCCACCAGATACTGTCTCATGATGTCAGCCACATTCTCCAGAGACTCGCTTGATTTGTTGGCAAAGACGTTATCGCTTCGCTTGACTTTTTCTCTTGCGATTGCAATCATGCCATGGAGTACGGCGTTGGAATAAGTAAGCAACCTTTTGGGTCTGTACAAAGGGGAAATAGTCCACTCGTCCTTCAATATGGAGATGAGTTGCGGTTGTTGTTCTATCACCTGCAGTAATGTATCGGCCCAATCCTCAGCAGAATTGACGTACCAAGCCTCTTCAGAGATTGGAAGCGTCAAGTGAACATCAACTGGATGTAGGACGAGCTCTCCACCGTGTAGGATAGATTGTTTAATATCCAGCACAAAAGTCTCTAGGAGAAGCCTAGTATTCAGTAATGTCAGGTTCAATCCACGGATAATTGGACTTCCATGTCACCTTTTAATTGACTCCTTACGTATCCATACGAGCCAAGCTCTGCGGGGCAATTCCTGTCCATCCTTGGAAGGGGAATCTGAATGTTGTAATGATCTTGTATCTAGTCGTCGTATAGCCTGTTACATTAAGCTATTGTCGAGAGCATGAATTTTTTCGTGCACCTACATCAAGTAAGACATTGTGGAATGTGACGGAAAAGCCATATTCTTCTTGTGTGCCTTGGTATCGAGCAAAAATCAAAACGAAAAATAATGTTTGAACAAGCCAAAGAGGAGGTGAAACTGTGAGGCATGGATGCTTTATGTCCCTTGTGAGCTAAAGATGAATGGAAGAGCAAGGGCACTTACGCAGATCACTTCTTTTCTCAATATTCGTTGGACAGTGCATGCCATGTTCAATTCATGAGCGTCTTCGCTTCGCATAAGGGCCCATCCGAGAGAGATGACAGCCCATAGTAGTTCAGGGGGGGCAACATCTCCAGCAAATTCTGATTCCATCTCTTCTCTTGTTGGGAGAAGCAATTCATTGTGGAGAATTGGATATTCGATGGAGATGTTTCGGGCGTATAGATGAATCCCTTGTTTCATACCACTTAAGGAGAAAATGCGATCTCCGATATCAATGTCGCCCATGGATCTCAGAGCAAGAAGGAGCTCTGTCCTTTTCTTGGCGGTCAGAGCATTACAGATTTTGCGCCCGCAGCTTGGTGCCTCGTAATCCTTCCAGCTTGACACTAGGAGTTTCGTTGATGTTTCTTGAAGATACATGGGTGGTGGGCTATCGGCAGGGCTTGATCTACTAGGCATTTGGTCGCCGGAGTTTGATGTGCCAATACCTTCCGTGTCAGATTCTGTAAGTCCAGTCTCAATGAGAAGATTTCCAGGAATCTCGGAAATGCCATCAGCAGCAGAAAATTTATGCCTGTGAGAAGAGATGCGATGCAGGAAGAAGAGGTTTTCTTGTTCGTCTGTAGAATCGTTGACGGCATCAGGAATGCAAGTATCCCGGCCGCCATCAGTGCAATCCGTGGCTTTCACATCACTAGAAGATTCCTTGTAAGTAGATTCCGTCGATTCTTGTGCTTCGCGCATGGAATGCCTATGGCGCTGCCACAAATCTCGACGGACGAAAGTAGCTGAGCAAGATGGACAAGTCCAAAGCCTTGCAGCCTGGTCTGATGCACGAGCTCAGCAATATTTCTAAAATTAAAGCTTGTGGTTCTACTCACGGTTCAGTTGATGCCTTCTTAGATGTTCAGCTCTTGTGAAAGCCTTCCCACAACCATTGAATGTACACATATGTTGTCTATCGTATAATATCTTCGACGTGCCGTCGTCGGCACGTCTGCTGCGACTTTTGGTGACACGCATCTCAAGTTGAGCCTCTCAGCACCCAGTTTGCCGCAAACTGTGCTTCCGGCGCATGAGATATTTCTCTTTGCTAGCGTTGATCCAAGATTATTGCAGCTTTATCGAGAACGTGAAAAGATTGTGGTTGTAGGGGCATGAAGAGAATTAATTGACTAACTGCAACAAAAGTAGACTTGCCGCTATATATATGTGAGAGCTCGTAAGCTGTAGCGGGAACAAATATTACCGATTCCGACGCTTAATCACAAGGTTGACTAATCACGTCGTTGTCGCTACTTCGGTTGACCTTCCTCAATCAGACACGCTGGTTGCTGCGATTCTTCTCTTCAGGGGAATGCCTTCTGTTACCATATCACTCAATGGCTTTTAGATCTTCTTCAGCTATTAGATTGGACGAAATACACCGCTCTTTGATCTAGGGCGAGCTGGATCATCCCCCTAGCTAAGAGGAAATTGATCTGAGAAGATCGAGCTTGTCTGGGGCCTGAGGTGTTGGGGGTCATATATTTGGGGGTGCCGCCTGCCACGATCGAATTCTTTATCATGGCATCGTCTTAACGCTTCATCGTCGAACGAATCTTTGCACCTTTTGAGACATTATTATGAGCATTAGGGCGGTCCCGGCCGCTGTTATCGGCCGAACCTTGTCGAAAATTTACGAAGAAAGAAGAATTCCTGCCTCTCATCAGCTACATAAATGATCGCGGTTAACCCTAACTAGATTTTCATCAGGCAAAACTCTCAGCTTTCCAGCAAACATCGACATCATGCATTTCATGACTCTTATACTTCTTCTGTGTCTTGGCGATACCTTCGCTGCCACAGGTAATAACAGACTGGGCCGGAACATTGCTTTCAGGTCTCTAAACCGGTCGAACCATACAGGCCAAAGACAAACCCCGCGTTCGGGCGCAACCTCTCCATATATGATTCGTCCCAAGGTCATGATTATCAGCACTGTGAGACACGCAAGAGACTCTATTCACGAATGCTGCTGATAAAATGGCAAAATTTAGTTTGCGCCAGAAGCCGATGTCTGGTATGATACGACAATTGATCTATTCGCGAAGAACGTTACCGTTACCGGTTTGTCGCCTCTTTGGCCCGATGTACATTGTTCTGGAGATGACACTGTTTGCCAGATTACTTCCGGGCTGGGCGGTATGTGTAGATTCTGCAGTCCCCGATGATTATTCTAAGATTTTCGTCCAGTTGTCAATGCAGCTGCTTCAATGCAAGCTCTCTGGATGTCGCCTCATTTCAACCTCACGAAGACATACTTTCTTGTAGCTGCGATTGCCGGCATCAACCCATACGAAGGAACTACAGGCTCCGTCACATTTGCCGATTATGTTGTGAATCTTGACCTCCAGTACAGCCTTTCCGAGAGCGATATGCCTGCAAATGGCTGCAACTTCTTTCCTCTCGGCGCAGACAGACCTGACTCCAGCAATCCTGGCGCGTACCCCACCAGCTGGTTTGGCTGGGAGGCCTTCGAGCTCAATAAGAAGTTGACAACCAGGGTTGTTGAAATCGTTTCCAAGACACCGTTGAATGACTCTGCAGAAGCTGTTGCGTATCGTGCGAATTACGACTATTCACCGGCCAACAAAGCTCCTGGGGTCAAGGTATGTTCTAGTGGCGCTTCCAATCTATACTGGTCTGGTGCCCGCACAGGCTTCGCGTTCTCGAATTACACAAGGCTCGTGACCAATGGATCGGCCACATATTGTGCAACCAATACCGAAGACAGCGGACTCCACGAAGGCCTTTTCCGTGGTGCAATAGCAGGAAAGCTAGATTACGGCCGTGTAATTAACATGCGCACCGCCAGCGATTTCGATCGAGCCCCACCAAATGTTGACCCATTTTATCATCTGTTCGAGGCTGCGCAAGGTGGATATGAGCCAAGCCTCATCAACATTCGGCTTGCAGGCATGGCGATTATCAATGACATCCTCACGAATTGGGATGAGATCTACATGTCTGGAATAAAACCATCAAATTATATTGGAGACGGCTTCGGATCTCTGAAAGACCAAGAAGCTAAAAGAGATATTGGGTAAGCCTTGCCTAGCCCTTCACCATCCAGTCTGTTGAGCTGACCGAGACCTCTTAAGACCTCTACAACCTATCTGGGATATGATACCATACTTCTAGATGAAGTAGGGAGTGTAAAACTCAGCTATTAAGATGGAGTACAAATGTGTCTACGGTGAACTATAAATTGCGTGGTGATTATTGGCGCGAAAATATGCAAATGGTAACCTGCCATTCTGCGATAGACCTTTGTTATGCTGTGAGGATATCTTAGGCTTTATCCCAGGCTTTGATCTCATGCGGAAATCCGGACCACTGTGCTCTCATCAACTTCAAATATAGATTGCTTAATTGACAGTTTCGCGCAGCAATTCCTAGAAGAGCACTTTACAGATCCTTAACGATTGTTCAACTGCGGGCTAAGACATTTCATAGTCCCTAAAATGACGACATTGGATTGGTCTCCTCCAGCGAGTTCCGAGCTGGATTGGATATTTCTGCGAGCTCATCCAAATCACTTGTTGCCACGCAGAGATCTACTGGATGATCGTTGGCTGATAATGCGCTAGCACTTGCTGGCACTGTAGAGAATGGCGGGGCGAAGTTCTTTGGAGAGCATGAAAGCAACAATCAGCGCTCAGGTTCCCTCCACAAAACACTGTCGATATGTAGATCGTGTAGCAACTCACTGTACGCCCGGCGAATGTTTGACGGCACGACAGTGCCCAAAAAGGCGACATCACGCGAATGAGAAGACGGAAATCTTCGTCGTCTCAGGATAATTTGGGCGACGGGCAGGCTCTGAAGGTATTGGCAGGGTGTTCGATATCAGGGTGAGCTGGATCCTGGCCGGACTTACTTGTGGTGACTTTGTCATCTCTCGCAGAAACGTTATCCTCACCCGTGTGAGCGACAGGATTCAATTCCTAGATGTTGTGTTCTGATAAAAGCCTTTGGTGAGTTTTAAGAGTTGAATTCTCGCTGTCATCTTCTGGCTCAGAAAGAAGACGACACTAAATGTCTGGGTGGGTAAAACACGGAGTGGGTGCTTGAGACAGTGTATAGGCGACCTATCCCGGTGTCCTTGATGAAGTCGAAATATCATCTTTCATATACTTCTGGCCTGCATGAATACTGCCGACGATTGGGGAGGCATCGTGATAGGGGAGAAGGGTGAGAAGAATGGACAAAGCCGCAACCACTGAGCAGCAGAAGTCTTCTTCGTACAAGGATCATACTGTGGGAAGAGGGCGAGGCGGGGCAGCAGGCGCAGAAGAGGTTGAAAAGAGAGAGCAGTATAAAAGAAACGATGAAGCCATGCTCTGAGAATTCGGTCAGGCGATGAAGACGCTTGTCACGAGACGCTGTGATTGGCTAGAATAGTCAGATCCTCAGCGCCTCGGTGGACAAGGGACCCAATAAGGAGGCGTGTCACTCGACATAGTCGAGTGTACACTTTCAAGGCGGTGAGAGGATACAAGAGGAGATCCCCTCCCGAAATAGGCGGAGACGACTTCCTCGCTCTTCAAGCGATGAGTCGTTGTTACATAGGACTGTTCAATAGACTACATTGCATCAACTACCCCTTCGCAGGGCTATTCCCAGTGAAGGTCCTGACAACGCTCCTCAAGACATTGCCTGGCGAATAAACTACATTACTGTGAAGGACCCCCAAGATTCAATGGCCCTGGCCAACGGTTGCCTCCACCCCCGTACTAAGAGAGTTCAGCCGGCAAAATCCTCATTCAGCGGAGTGGGCAGGGATCAGACCTCGATAAAGTCGATCTCGTTCACGCACGCACCAGGTGGAAGATCTAGAACCAGTTCTGCACGTCCGGAGTGGCGCCGGGCGCTTGGATCCCCGCACTCCAGAGCGACATTCAGCTCCCAGCCCTATATGGAATCGAATCCTACTGGCGGTGGTAAGATTCTCGTTTACTTGACTTTTACAAATGTTCACTTGATTTCTGTTGCCAAAACAAAATCTGTTCTTGGTTGGCCTCGGAGAGTGGCGCGGTGGCCGCTACACAGAGCCTTGAGTGGGTGATTGTGCTACAGTACAGCAGCCTTTGCGGACGCTTCTTATACTCAGATCCGTCCTGCGTAAGAACGACGGTTGACAATGGGAAACTATATGCGGTGTTTAGGATTCTGCCCATCTTCTTCAAGGTCAGGCATGGAGACCGTACTGCGGTTGTGGGGTCTGCCCGGCCTGGCTCTCATCGTCGTTATGTACCTCTGGATCTCTGCTGGGTGGATGCCTTCGCCCAAGGTAAGGGTATTATCTTGTCCAAGACATGCGAGCACGATTGTAACAATCAGCCAGGACTTTTTACATTCGCGTGGACAGCATCTATGGATGGAGCACCCAGAGAATCCCGTGCTGCCTGACGAGGCGCATTGGGATCAGACGGGCACAGTCTTTGACTTGGGATTGCTGCAAGAGAATGTTACAGTTACAGGCCAGCCTGCCGACCTTTATTTCCTTCAAGTGGGCGCAGAACCCATCGAAACCAAACTAGTATGGCGCATGTGGAATTCATGGCGACCCCGTGGAAGCATTGGGTATTCAACGTCGACAGACGGAAAGACCTGGAACCAGACCCTGGCCGTATCCCTGCCCCCAAATGGAGGCTGGGAGCACGCGATTAATCGACCGTTCGTGAAAAAGATTGCAACTGGAAAATATGGCATGTGGTATACTGGACAAGGTGCAGATCTCGGGGGTCTTGTGGACGGATCCATTGGTTACGCGGAAAGTCCAGACGGGATCATCTTCACCAGAACCAGTGGTAAACACTTCATCTACCCTTCCCAATTTCTATGGCGCTGACTCTCGTGTACAGATAAGCCAGTATTGAAACCTGAATATCCATGGGAGAAAGATGCCGTCATGACGCCGACAATCGTCGACCTCCCAGGTGGCGCACTGCGCATGTACTATGCAGGCGGCGAGACGTACGAGCCTGATTCGATTGGTGCGGCTCATTCTTACGACGGTGGGCATACATGGATCAAGTTTGGAAACCCGGTTCTGACGCCTGATCAGAATTCTGGTAAGGTCGGTGAATGGTGGGACTCGTACAAGGTCACCAGCCCCCACGTCATCCTCGGCGACGATGGATACTACTACATGTTTTATGCTGGCTTCCGAAACGTTGACTATTCTTCAATTGGAGTCGTTCGGTCCAAGGATGGATTAACGTCTTGGGAGCGATTGACAAACAACCCAATCATTGACATCATCCCGGGAACTTGGAAGTGCGACGCAGCCTACAAGCCGTTCGTGGGCTGGTCGGAAGATCAACAGGAATGGCTCCTGTGGTACAATGGACGATGCAATAGAGACGAAAGGATTGGTGTTTCGATCTTGAAATCCCGGACTTTTGGTAGGTTTATCAAGCGGTGATAGCAAACTGCGCAGAGTGGTATTATGTTATCATGTCTCAAATTCCTCAGTCCCTGGGTTATGGTCCAGCGAATGTTCAGCCGCCATCATGCACTTGGGGTAGATGATCACGTCAGATTCTCAGCTTGAACTTGGACTTGTAGAAGCTGCACCACAGGCGCCTTCAACTGTACAGCCATACTACAAGTCAATCGCTAGGGATTGGAGTTCTCAATATGTTTCACTCTGCCTGAATATGTGCTTTAATAGCGTTGCATTCTATTGTAAAGGTGTCGGCCAATCTTCATTTAGAATCTTGTACCGTCCATTACAGCCCATGCCGTCGGGGGGCGGCTTTGGTCTTCTTGCATGAGCACGAACGTCAGTACAAACCAGCCGTGTTGGACTCGAGGCCGCAAGGTCAGTTGCTGCTGCTCAGCTTGGTGAGTATGAATAACCGGACTCTGACCCATCTAAACACAGCAACCTCAGCTAAGGTTGGTCGTGAGTGCTGGCGCATATCGCCAGACAATCTTGATCGTTTTCCACATTTGGACACAGCTGTAGTCTCGTCTGCATCTGCGCAGAATACTCGGTGATACCAGTAAGATTCATGATCATTTCAAACGATCTAGCAGCTTCGTGGAAATGCTGCTCAAATCCAGGGTCGGTAATTTGCGCGCGGTTAGAGGCATCTTCATTTCGCAGCCACTGATAAGCGGGATCCAGTAGATTGTCAAAATCGAGAATTGGGACGACATTTTGATTCAGACCATGTACAAGGTCTGTGAGATCTTGTGGTCCGCGCGGTACGCCTTGGAGCCGCAGAAAATCGCCCACGTCAACCACATGTGGTGTGCACAAGCTCTTTCCGATTTCACGTTGTTGGTTTTGCAGGTATCGACTCTCGACCGTCTTTATACCGTCCTTCTGAGCTTGGGCATAGTCCAGGACTCGAATGCCAGGGAAACTTGAATCAGCGTAAAACTCACTACGCCCGTCGACGATTCGGCGTTGAACAAGAGAGACGCTGTTGGGCCATAGCAGCGTTCGGTTCGTTCTCTGTGCAATCTCCACGGCGAACGCAATCTGCTGTAGGACGGCGTCAGTGGACCCTGCCACGTTGACCATACCTAGGAGTGGCGGTGGATTGCTGTAATAGCCATCAAGGTCAGCGTATCCTCCGAAATTTGCCCCAAAGTACGTTTTGAGGCCCTTCTCCACGCAGGTATAGTGCACCATTGGAGATTCTTCGACAAAACCGGCAGCCAGATTTTCCAATGCAAAAAAGGGAAGCCAATCCACATTTATAAAGTTGCGGAACTTGGACAAGGAAAGATAATGGACTTTCAAAGAGTCTCCCATTTCTCCAATGATGTCGTTCATGACGTTCTGGTCCCAGGCGTTCGTTTCTAGCCAGCGGTCATAGCTGCTCTGAAAGAAGTGTTTAGTCGCTGTGCTGGCTTTGGCAAAGAACCATCCAATGTTCGCTATCCGACGGAAAATGTCCATCTCGTCCTGGAATTGTATATCCCAACTTTGGTCAGAAAGTGGTAACATGTCCATGAAAGGATCTCCTGAGCCAGTAAGGAAGACATCGCCATCGAGAAAAACAAAGTTGTACCCGTTTTGTGCCAATTCAAGGGTAATGGTAAACTGTCGTGAGACATCATTCATCAGTATACACAACGCTGAACCGAATGGAGCTCACCTAGGATACAGACCTTAGCGGCGGCTACCTGTTTCATTACTTTTGTGTTAGAAATCATGTGAACGCGCCAGCCATGATAGCTTTTTTCTTTCAGGCATGCTTCATCCAGACAGAGAACCACCAGATTTCGACCGTAACCCCATAGGTCGAGGCGCGCACGAAGATTGCGAAGGGCCTGTATGTAGTTTGAGTCCCCAATGGTTATGATAGGGACTTCGTTTTGCGAGATCCCTTGTGCGTGAAGCCACCCGCTAAAGTTGTCACCGTTGGTGTCTGCGGAGACTGCTCCAAGTTCGCTCTCTGGCGTTTCCACGTCAGCTATCTTATTCGAGACCCATTCGGACAAAGTTCCATAAGCCTTCGTTCCCCATTGTCGCACGTTGTCATTTCGAAGCGCAATCCAATGATGTTGTCCTAGTAAAATCAGGGCTAGGCTTAACAATGCTGCTAATAAAACGCGCTGCTTAAAGCTGCGAACTATGGCGGTGAGGGTGGTCATCGAGCCTATTCAGGATATATTTCACCTCAGGATCTTTGGAAGGGGGAAATGATAACACTGGACACATAAATACGAGGAGTATACCGGTCCAGCATAGATAGAACGATACTCTGCTCAATCTCTCAATGGGCTTCAAACGTAAGCCTCGGACGAGCAAGCCTTTAAAAGGGCTTTCAGTGAGACCGCAACGACACAAAACTTACGCCACCCCAGAACTACTGACGTGCCGGCGCTATTGCTGCCAAGTATTGCTGCCGGTCTCAAGTCTGAACAGAGTGCAGGTTGGGTACTAGATATTGTGCTGCCAAAGCATCAAGGGGGTCCGGAGAGACCTGCGTCCTTGCACTAGTTCCCCGCAAAAATCGCACGGGGCAAGCAGCGGAGTTTTAAGCACTGTTCTTACAGTAAGACTCAGCTCGGACTCTTGAACCAAAGAGTGATAATCGATACATGGGTTATCCCTGTCATTGCATTTCGCAGGGCTTGTTTGAATACGAGTTGTCGAGCCAATCAATTTAAGACGATGACCAAGTAATTTTTTCTTTCTCGTTGAGATTCCCGTCATTTGGGTTGCAGTTCTTAAGTCCGCAACTTAGGGGTCGATATATCCTACACTTCCAACACCTACTTTCCTACCTACCTATCCAGCCTCTGGCCATTATTAGCATCTCTCCATTTATATACAAACTCGCAGCGCTCGCTAAAAGACCACTAACGCTTTGGAGTCTTCTAGCTTTCGTCATTATCCTGCCTGTATTCTCTGACAATCTGTCTCGCTCGTGTATTATCTCCTTTTAGGCTTATACTTATGGTGATTTATATATAGCTGGAGATTATCGTATAATACTGACCCCTTTACTCGTCTATTCAGATGAGCAGCTCAACTATCAGCTTCGATCAGCGTTCCGTAAAGGGGCTGGAATGCGCATCAGATCGAATGGGTAGAATGAAAATTGATAGTATCTAAAGTAGTACCGAACGATCTTATCCCATCTTGTCGAGGTGACTTCTGTAAAGTTGTTTCAGTGGTGTCGAGGAAGTTGGATTGGATGAACATTGCCGTTCGTCCAGTTCCACTGACAGGGTCGTTTATCTGCCAATCCTTTCGTAAGGTTCTGTTATAGAAATGTCGCAACTTTGCGCTTCTCCTCGAACCAGGGAGACGTCGAGTTGCTGGTGGTTTCATCGCCGTGCTTAAAGAAGAACAAGGACTTTGAGAGGTTGCTGAGAGTCAGCTAGGTATAGCACATCAGTTGGCTTTTCGGTCTACATGGCTGCTCCTGTGAAGATCAGGGGCCTTGTGTACCTTTTGTGTACCTTACTCTTCCAATTCACTAATTTTGCTGCATCAATACAGCCTTTGGAGGCGAAACTGGCACATGGTTAAAACTCCATAACCCCTGCTGGAACTCCCATTTAGCCGAAACCGGAGACTTGTCACAAGATGTAAGATGCTTTACGATATTGTCAATGATATTGACGTTGCCGGTTGCAGTCGAGTCTCTTAGTTGCGGCTGAAACATGCTTGTCAGCGTAAGATGAAAATCGAAAACGCCATCGACAGCCACCGCGACCGCAAGACGGTGTTCAAAGGCAACCGCCCGTACGGCAAGCAGATCTCCAAAGGAGTATCCGGGTACGACGAGCTTTGGTGGATCCATTCGGGGCCGTGCAACCGCGTAATCGACAACGGGTGTTACAATACTTTCCCATTCTGCGAGGAACCCCGGCCCTTGGTTTCGGCGAACTGATGGCTGGCCCGGACCTTCAAACGTAATGAAATTATATCCTTGTGCAAGAGAAGCAAAACCGAAGACATGCAGTAGGTTCTTCCTGGCGTCCGTCATATCCGTTACATGCCACTATTGTTGGGGTGGTTCATGCCGTCGTCCTCGCTCGCAGTCCGGTAGAAAATGATTGGGATGTCGAAGTCGTCTCCGCGGAGCACCACACGCTCTGCAGGTATCGGTGCCACTGCAATCGCTTTGTCGAATACGATAGTCTATTTCCCCCACAACGTTTTAATCCGTGGATCTCTCCGGTCTCAGAAATTGGCGGCTCGATAGTAGGTGGCTACTCGGAAGAAGGAGCCGCGGAGGGAAACTTCGTGTCTTGAGCCTCAACACGTTGCGCAAGCCTGTTGAATGCTTCATCAACGCGCTCCATGTCCCGGGGCTTGATGAGGGACGCTACTTGTAGGACTTCGCTAATATCCGAGCCATGGTACCGGGCTAGGGCCTGCGTACACAGCAGCTCGGGGCTTAGGCTGTCATAGTTGAGCGAGGGCATCTTGTAACCTAACAATAAAGTTTGCCGTCAAAAGCAAATTATGGACAGTTGTAATTCCTGTAACAGATTCAAGTGGCAATTTGCAAATCGTTGTGCTTATTCCTGACCTTTCGTGGCCCAAATAATCAATCGGTCTAAGCCTAGTGCTTGGTTTCGCGCAACCGGCGCACATTTTTGGGCCCACGCATTAGCCCTCGCAAAAAATTGCCATGGTAAGCCTGGCTGATAAATTATGATAGAAACTCCTCTCTTTGAATGTGACGTACATGCAGTCATTGATCGATGGGAACACCTCTCCGGGTTAGTTGTGAACTGCCAGACATAGTATTTTGCTGGCCCTTCCTCCCACCTCTTGCTCAGTGAATGCTACTACAATTGAAGCCGTTGTCCTGTAGCCTTCAAGTCGCACCTGGAATGCGGCGCAATGTCTATAGCGATATACCCAAGTCACAACGTCGACGTCAGCATCACGTTCAGGGCACGAACGAATCTCTCTCGATCCTTTATCCCGTCCTTTACCACCGGCGACGAGATCAGAGGCACAGTATCAATCACTACACATGGTGATTTAGAGATTTTGAAAGCCTAGAGGTACTACTCATAGGTATGGCTACGTGTATTACTTCATCCGTCCGTTGACTAGGTTTAGGGGAGCAGTTTACGACTGTCCGTGGCGGAGTTCCTGAACAAGCCCGCCACGAGTTCCTGCGCAATGTTCAGAATCTCGAAGAATCGCTCCTCCCGGTTCCCAAAGTACTCAGGCGTGGAATGATATATGAGTTTCCGTTTAGACTCCTGCTCATTGATTACCTACCGATTTCCTCATGTTTGCATCCAGTCGAGAATCCCCTTGTGAGAGCAGCTCACCTGTACCTGCCACCCAGCATCGGGGACGCGAGTATTGCTGGCTTTGGCGGCAGACTCCGAGATGACTTCGCACCGCCGGGTTGTCGCATAACTTACAGTATCCAGGCAGTTCTAACCCAAGTCATTACTGTAACGAAAAAACGCCAGACAATACTGTTGAAGTCACAAAAGATCCGTGTAAGGCCAACTGCTGGTGATGTATCCTTCCCACGATTAACCTTCGACCCTCGAGGCAACAACTACACTTACCGATGTGCGCTTACAACTACGGGAAAGCATTCTGGACTTCCCCAAGGCCAGTTCTCTGTTCTCCTTCAACAGCCTGAGACAATCTGGCTACCTCTTCGAGATCCTCACACCGAGGTTATGAAATCCGCTCGGCTTATCTTGACATATATTCCAGCAAAAGCTACCCAAAGCGAGGCAATTTCCGGTTCGCCACATCCACCTGAGCAACTGCCAGTTATTAAGTCTTTCAAGGGCCACATCATAGCTACCACCTTGTACCCCACCATGATCTCACTGAACTTTTCCTCCTTTCTCACCCCAAAACGACGGGGCTTGTTCGGCAGACCCCTCAACTTCTTCGACCGGGATATTCCATTATGTATTCCTTCATCCCCAACGCTTCAATGGATACCTCGGAGTTTGCTGGAGCCACCACCCCTGAACGAAACACTACCCGAGCTTAAATACCAAGGGCCAAATCAGGTTTACTACACAGCCTCATTGTTATTACCCGTGTCGCTGGGTCGTGAAAATTACGTTCCAACCTTCCATTCTTGCTTCATGTCAAGACTATATAGTCTTTGTTTACAGCTTGATGTATCCCAGCCCGGGTCGGCGCCACTACAGACCATTAAGCTTAATGTGCCACTGGAGATTTCTGCGAAGCGAGATCCGGGCGTTCTGCCATCCTACAATGCCACGCTTGGGGTTGTTAGTACTTGTTCTTAGAGTAATGTTACATTGTTCTGGTGCTTTATCTCAAATGGTGTGGTCGGACCTAACACCTCCGCGTCGATACAAACGCAATCTGCAAATTCCACCTTCTCTACCTGCAGCAACGCAGATAGTTGGTAGTCAAGTCGCAGGGTCTCATTAGTTTACTAGTCAAGTAGCCCTGGGTAATTTCACTTCTACACAGTCTAGCCAGGTTAGGAAGTTATCGACCCTATTAGGAAGTTGTCAAAACTGAAAATAGTAAAGCCCATTAATAGGTGGGTGAAAAGCACACCGCCTCATTTACGTAGTTAGCACCTGTCTTGGCACAACTTAGGCCCCCTCCCCATTTTTCTCTCTGCGTAATCCTTATCTGACCATGTATAGTGCATACACTATTATCGGAAGCTTATTAGCAACACTGCATTGCGATAGTGTACTATTAGATCAGGATTTTAAACTGCTGAATTTCTTTCTGCTCACTCTGCCTCAGTCGAGTTGTTAGCTACGAGCGGATCATTCGGCGCTCTCGGAAGGTGCGGGTTCGAAGAGATACTGGCGCCATGGACAAAGATGAGCGAGCTCGACAAATAATACATCTCATGAAGTGGATACCTTATCTGAGCAGCAGCTGGCACACACAGGGACTGCTCTCGTGGAAATCGTGAAACCCTAGACCTTAAGCCCCTGTGAACTTAACGTAGTGCCGCTCAATTTCACCCATCTGGCCTTCTCCTCTGATCAAGTGTATGCTACCTTGTACGGCGTCCGACTCTTTCGCTGCCACGTGTTGGGCAGTTGATTCCCAGGCCAGAAAATTAAACCATCCAATTCCTTTAGGGTTGATCCCCTCCACAGCGATGTCTTCGACGATTTCCGCATGAAGGAAACCTAGACCTCCCTGAAACGATCCTAGAATCCTCAAGAGCTTCTCGCCCTCGTCGGAGTAACCCTTGGGGACTGAGAAGAAAGTGGCGACCTCGATAATAGGAGCGCTCAAGATTCTCTCACGCTCGACTGGGTCGAGATATACGTGGAACATAAACGGAGGATCCGTAATGACGGGCCCCAGAAATGCTCCGGCCGCAGCGAAGTCTGTCTCAGACTGCTCGAATGCCTTATGATAGGAGATGTCGTCCCATCCTTCATAAAATCACCGTTAGTTCTCATCTCGAATGTTCGCTTATTCATATGAAATACCGATAATCAGATTGACTTTATTTTTATTCTATTCCCAGCGTCCCCATTTCAGACATTGAAGCCCTTCTCGCTTGGACAGAACTGAATTCAAACCACTAATGACCTCATCAGCGTTCGCTTCGGGCTGCAAAGTGAGAGTGACAACTTCGGTGACTGGACGCGGCATTTTGGGTTGAAGCAAATTGAATGATGAAGTTATCAGATTGCTGTTGCCCAGTGTATGTCAATCAGCTACCACGACATATGAAGCTTGGGGACACGGCTTTAAATATTCTCTTTTCTTACCGCTTAATGAAGCCCGGGGATCATTTTTCTTGCGCGGAAAGTTGCCTTAATCTACCCCAGTTACTCATCATCGGCTGTCCGCAATAGACACATTTGATAAAGTTGAATTAGTGTCTATGCTGAGTAGCAAGTGGAAACCTGTCTGAACTAAGCTGACATCTTCCGTCAAGGTGGCACCACCTGAACTTCTGGCAAATTATGTCTTTTCAAGTTTGTAGGCAATCACGTCACATGCCTCTCGCCGGCTTAATGGAAAGAGCCTGTCACCATCTTTCGCGGTATGAGAAAAGTCGTGTTTCTTCTTTGAGCTGAGCAGAATCTCTTCGTAATGGCGACTAAGTCTTCTCGAGGCTGTTGGAATTGCCGAAGCAGGTAAATCCCCAATCTGTACATCAAAATCTAACGTTCTCAGACCGAAAGGTCGGCTGCGACAGGGGGATTCCATCATGTGAGAACTGCCTCAAGAGGAACACACTCTGCCCAGGGTATGGATTTCGCCTTTCATGGCCCAAGGCTGGCGATCAACGCCGGTCAATGAGGGCTGGAGTTCACAAATTCCCTTCGGTCGTGGCCGACGAGGTGCAGTTCATCAACACGACGGCGGAAGACATGGAAGTGCCTCTAGGGTTCGATGCTTTGAAAATTAAAGCTATCCGACTACCTCGCTTGGAAGTGAGGACCTTGCCCCCGAGCCCAGTGTGCGTCGACCGTTCACTTTCCACTGGCAGTAAGCGCCGCTCGCACTGAATCGGAACATTTTCTAATATATTTAGACGTATCTATGCTCTCCAGGATGATATCTGGTGACGAAAACTCTTCAGACCTTCACAGCTTACTCTTGCGCATGTCACTCGTTGACGAATCGTTACCTACACTTGCAGTGCGCCACTCTCTTACATCTTTGTCTCTACTCCACACCCACGGCCAGGTCGCTGCGCGTAGCAGCCGTGGCAAGGCACTCTCTGCCATTCGGCGATGCATTACTGGTAGATTGACTCAACCGAGCGAGGTACTGCAGGTCATTTCAGCCAGCTTGCTTATGGAACTATACGAGGTTGGTGCTCCTCCTCCCTGTAACCTTTCAGTGGTAGTTGACATGAGTCAGATCTACAGCCATGAATCCTCCTCAAACACATGGACTGGCTCCTTCTGTGGGTCTAAGAAGCTCGCGAAGCTCTCGTACGAATACGATGAGGCCTATGAAGGCGACATAGCCCTGGTCCTTGACTGGCTATTTTACCACAACGTTATGTACAAGTTCACGATGCGCCACTGGGGGCAACGGAATTCAGAACAGGAAGATCTGGCAAGAGAACCGACCATTATTTCTAAGGATCTGTTCTCGCCTAAAAGACATATTGTATCTCAATCATCGCGTTTGACATAATCACCATAGATCAGCTAACGACAGCAGATTATTCCGAGCTTAGGGTGCTCCCTCCTGCTCCTCGACACATTCTCTTCTATCATCGATGCAGTGCTTGAATCCAATCATCCTGCATACCACTGTGAATCGCACCAGCAAACTCTCCGCACCCTGGCCCACAAAGTCGACAATATCCAACAGACCGAACCACCCGAGGACGTCAACCCGCCATTAAAGGGAACATCATCCCGAGTCACTAGCACAGCGAACCTCTTTCGTCTCGCAATCAGGATCTACCTCGAACGCGTCGCAAGCCGCCCCATTCACTCACACGACACCATAATCCAGCTAGCGCGTGATGCGCTTGGCCTTGTTCTAGAAGCTGAACATTCAGTGCAACGCTTTCCCCTCTTTGTTGTTGCACTTGAGTTGCAGGGAGAAGAAGAGCGCGCCGACATTCTGCACTTATTATCTCGAGTATCGGAAAGGGTTCCAGATGGGCTATTTTCGCTTCGGAGGATGGTTGTGAGGGCGTGGGTGAGGTTGGATTTGTGCGGTGGTTGGGAAGGCGTTGATGCCTTGCGTCTGCATAGTGAGGTAATATCGAGTAATGTTGTCCCACCGGCGTTTGTGTAAGAGGGTATGGGAATAGTGGCAATGAATACGTGGTCTACAGCGTGCCTCTTGAAACAACTAAAAATCGCCCTATACTTCTTGAGGTGTCTCCAGTCTCTCCAAAGATAAACGAGATAGAAGCAGCCTTCACCGGTAGTCTTATCATTGCAGCGAGGCGATGCTCATTCCTGGGCTAGCTACACTGCGAACAGACGTAGATAGACACCGTCGTGCTATTGCTACGTCTGATTAACACTATGTACACATCGCAGCAACTTTCCAAGTCAGCCACACATTAATCATACTCTGTTTTGTCATGCCGAGACTTTACTCCTAGCTTATCAGCCACATACGTCAAGCTGTAGAAGACAAGCCCTTCAATAATCCGTATACAGCTAGAAAGTTTTAGGTTCTACTCAGTCACGATCACTGAGGAAAGTTTTCCCGACAGACTCTATTGTCCAATTTTGACGAAAAGGGGCAGTTATATATCGACCGAGGTCCCGGTTAGCTCGATTGGATAGCAATATTTAGACCAAGACTTCGCGCTTATAAAATCTCGATGCCTGCTCCAACAACGCTGACAGTCGGTGCCTCTCGGGGCCTCGGACTCGAGCTCGTTAAACAGCTCAGCAAAACCCCAGATCAGCACATTATCGCAACTGTCCGCTCCCCTACGGACAGGATTCCCAAGTCCGACAATATTACACTCCTCATTCTCGATCAATCTAGTCCCGAATCCGTCCTTGCCGCAGCGTCCCATGATGTCGAGCTCGACACGTTGATCAACAACGCTGCGATTGGTGACGACGAGCTACTCTTGAGGACCACAGAATCTAGACTTTTTGAGTACGTAAACACGGATATCCTCGGTCCCATTCAAATTGTCAAGGTGTTTCTCCCTGCTCTGCTTGCATGCCGGACAAGGAAGGTTGTCTTCATCTCCTCCGAGGCCGGATCGCTCTCGCTACAGGTCGATATCAACTTTGGCTTCCGTGGCCCGTATGCTGTTTCCAAGGCGGCGGGGAATATGGTTGTTGTGCAACTGCATAATGAACTGAGGGAGGAAGGGTTTAAGGTTGTTGCAGTTTATCCAGGGTAGGTTGCAACGGACATGGGAAGGATAGCTGGTGATGGTGGTATGGCGCCTGGAGAGTCAGCATCACAGGCGTCGAAAGTCATTCAGAAGCTGCAGGCACGAGATTCAACGAGACTTTTCAACTATGACGGTACTATTGTGCCCTGGGAAGGGTTTATGCTGAGACTTCGGTGCGTTCTGATCAGAGCTGGGGTCTTCACCAAAGCAAAGGTCTGTTGTCCTCGCGAGGAAAAAATGTAGTTCTACAGACGAGTCCCAGACTTCTGACTGTAGTTATGGAAAGCTTCCAAAAGGTCCCCTAGAATACAAATTGCTTTATCAATGTACCGCGAAACTACAGGTAAGGCAATCTAGTTATAGCTTCAATCCGTGGTGTAGATACCAATGTTGTTCTCGAGAAGAGGTTAATCGAAAGAGTAATTCAAGGCATCTTTTACTAGAAGGAACTTCGTAAGCTAAATCGCTTAGCGGTGAGCATATCAGGTGTACCCGAGGCTCAAAGCAGTAGTACGAGCTGCCACAGTGTCAGGAGAAGGTGATCATATTCACAGCTTTAACGGCATGGACAGCCGAGATCAACTATGCATCAGTCTGCGCCCGCAAAATTCAGGCCAGGCCCGGCGCATCTTGGCGACTTCCATATCGGGAAGCCACCTGCCTGTTCAGCTTACGGGCGGAGCGGAGAACTCTACACTAACGCCTCGCAAAAAGCTGCCCTGATTTCTCCACCTAATTAATGCCGAACTTTGCTGACGAATAGCTTGCTTCCGTCCGCATGAGTCTTCTTGTAGGCGGCGCTCAAAGTTGTCAGACCTGCCACGGGCAGCACGTTTGGTTGGTAGGATAACGGATATATAATGGACATTTGAGACTTGCGGGATCAATAGAACAATTGAAATTTCAACCTTTATCAGCATACCTTCTGCGATGTCAGTGACTACTCTTCCAATCCGGCCAAGTCCTCCACAGTCCGAAATGTCTGAATCTACCCCCCGTATCCTTGTTACTGGAGCCACTGGATACATGTTTGTGACATCCCTTCACCTTCCCATATACCTGCTTCTCCATCACTAACAGCCACAGCGGCGGCTCTGTTCTCAGCGAGATCCTCCAAAGCCCAGCTGTTGAAGCTGGGTCAGTCTCAGCTCTCGTCCGTCGCCCCGACCAGGCTGAGGTTCTCCTTGCTCATGGCGTAACGCCCGTTCTTTTCAAACACCTCGATGACCTTGAGACTATGGAGAAAGTCGCTAGGGATTTCGATGTCGTGATCAACTGCGCGAACGGCTTTCACGCGAGTTCTGCAGTTGCCCTCATCACAGGCCTTAGCAAGCGCAAAGAGAAGACTGGAAAACAGGTCCATTTCATTCATGTTAGTACATGCATCAGTCGTTGGGCAGACTTTTCTCTTCACAATTACTTACACGGCACAGACCTCGGGAACTTCCAATCTCGGCGACTATCGCATTAGCGGCAAATACAAGGAAAACCGCATCTTCACCGACAAGGATCACATCTTCGCATACGAAAAGTATCGTGAGGACATGGAAACATATCCGCAGCGCACAACGGACATTGCAGTCGTCGAAACCGGTCTCGCAACTTCTGTGCGCACCTACATCATCATGTCGCCAACCATCTACGGTTTCGGTAGCGGGTGGTTTAACACTATCTCCATCCAGATCCCTGCTCTTATACGAACGGCCATCGAGAAGGGTCATGCAGAGGTCGTCGCTGCAGGTAACGCAAAATGGAACAGCGTGCACATTGCGGACCTTGCGCTGCTCTATGAGATTCTGCTCCGCGGGGTGCTCGAAGGGAGGAAGCTTGCGTATGGTTCTCAAGGGATTTATTTCTCTGAGACTGGTGAACATTCGTGGCTGGACCTCGCGGAAGGGGTTGCAAAGGCGGGCTTTGAGCTTGGGGTCTTGGAGGCGCCCGCGCCCGTGAGCATTACCTTGCAGCAGTCAGCGCAACAGTGGGGAAAGGGCTCGCTACAGTATGGTGAGCTGGGATGGGCTTCATCGTGAGTTTCCCTCTCGTCATCCTTGTCCAACATTTGGCGCTAATGGGTTATATACTAGGTCCCGCACTCGGGCGGTCATGAGTCGCGAAATCGGATGGAAACCGACCAAGGGGAGAAGAGACTTTGAGGAGAACTTCTCGGAGGAGTTTCAACTGATTTTCAACAGAAGCAAGAAGCAGTAGGAATTGTACACCACAATGCTTTTATGACTTCTACCCCGTGGGCTGAGCCCTCCTGTGACTGTGAAAATCCTGGCCGAAGAGGTGCCCTAGGCCGTAGCTGCCAAGACTTATTCTCTGGGCTAACCCTCCTCACCGGTCAAGGTTTTCCTCCAATTGGTCCCCGGTAATACCAAGTTTCGGGACATTACCTCTTCCCAGGAGCATAGTTACTATTCGTCACTAGTCCAAGAAACAACCAAATGTATATCCGTGCTGTACCGGGAGTTTGGGTCGATCCAATGCCCGTCCAGAAAGTGGGTTGATATCACGGCCCCCAGCATCGTTGGACAACGGTACAGCCAAATAGGACGTTCCAGCACTCTCTCCATGCTGTATCCGAACAACGAATTGTTCATAGCAACGGTAGCAATGCTTTGCCTGTCAGATTGCCAAAGGATGGCTTTAGGCCTCGGCCGTTCAAGCTAATTAGTACCTCATCCAGCCATGGTACATGGGAGCGAGAACCTGATTAATCCGTCTGCTCGAGACTTTGGATTGATTCTTGTAGGTTACATGACAGACGAATTTGTTGTGCATTTCGTGTCTGCCAGGGACAGCAGTGGCAAGGACAGGAACGATAAATGCCGAAATGGTCCACCCCTGTCGGTCGCGTGTCTTCATACACTTGCTGACCACTTCTGTCCAGCCCCGTGGGAGCGTTTCGTGGCGTTATGAGATGTACATCGGTGCAGACAGAGAGAGACACCGCGTCGTGACATATCCGGGGTTGTGTTATGTTGGACAAGGATCAAATGATGCTCGAGGTGAGAGAGGGGGGGGGGGAACCCAGCTCGTTGGGAATTTCGGTCGGGCTAAATAGGGTGTAGTCGGCAACAAAGGGTCAGAGACGCTTGTTCCATTATGTGGTGCAAATATGTCGCCGCTCCCAGACCAGTATTGGGTAGCCGTGGGGTAATGCTATTGCCGAAAATGTTTTTCAGGACAATTTGGTCGTTTTCTTACGGCTGTCCACCCCGCAAACTTGTCAGCATGGAGTATTCGAAGCACAGATCCAGAAGAATCGTATCGCAAGTGTGAGGCCACATTTTGATGGGCTTGAACTGCGAGACCTTTTTGCTTGTGATGAAAACGTAACGCGGGCGGAGTTGAATTTAACGCATCCTTCGGTGTAAATGCGCCGTGTCTGCCTGTTAGTGATGGACGCTGCAAGCGATTTGGTCGGAATCTCTGTGCTGGGCAGAATCTTCACTCCCCACGTATCGCACTTTTCGCTTCAAATAGGAGGTGTTAAGAGGCGCAGGCTTAAGGACTGTCTCTGATCTTGATGATCATCAAACGGTACGGAGCAACTCACTGATTCGCTGTGAGTGCCGCGTTGACATAACGATGGCTCTCTTTGCCATACGGCGGATGAACAGGGCTCAGTTTTCACAATTGTAACCCCCCATCAATATGCTATTATGCATGAGTTGCTATTACGGGAAATCTCTTACATGCGATGCTGCTGCACTGGCCCGATAAGCATTGTGCCAAGGTGGCGGCCGCGCCGAGAAGCGGCCGCTGTTCAATTTTGTAGTTGTGATGAGGCCGTGCGTAGCTGTTGATAATATGTTACCATGTTCTTCTACGCCTCCTTGTACTGTTAAGTAGTATCTGTGGCTCATCTCCTCCACGAACACCTTCAGCTTACCTGGCGCCGCTCCAGAAAGCAGACGCATGATGGTCCGTGCACTGGAGAATGGTTCGGCCCTAATCCAAGCAAAGAATAATCCGTCACAATCAGTTATGACGTTCGTTACCGTTCGTAGCTCTCCTCGAAATTGGTGCGCAGCGTGCTATCGACAGGTCTGGAACCTCGGATGTAGCTGATTTTATCGTGGGAGGCGGAAACAAGCGTCTGTCAACAAAGTCAATGAAACCTTATCGAAGGGTTAACTGAGAATTCAGGAGCCCTCCAACCAACCAGAAGTACCAACTTTCTTTTTTTCTCGCATCCGCGGTGCAAAAGCTTTATCCCTGCTACCAGTACAACGATGTTCCACTCCACTGTCCTCAAGAAGAAACCCAAACAAGTTTGCGATCTATTCACGCCAGTCCCTCAAGCGATTCTAAATGCCTATTTTGCCTTGTCATATTCTGCAAGCCACATGTCGATCCCCTTTTGTTGAGCTTTGTTGGACTGGACGACATCGCTCCAAGGCTTGTAACTCAGCCCTCCCGCAAAGTGCATTACCCACTTATTCCGTTGCATCCACATTGTTAGTACTTTAATTAATGTAGTTCTTGCCTATGCCTAAATTATAACACTGGAACGACGAGTACAGACGTAGCATTTCGTAACTCTGCAGTGGGCCAGGTCACAAGAACCCTTCGGGACTGTCTTACTGGAACGCTTACTTCTTTATCATAAATTCTCATCCGTTCGAACTGAGGTAGCGGGAACGATAAGCGCAATTTGGCGACTTAGCTCCGATATAATGCTGACGTCTAATTGGCCGCCGCGCTCTCATCGCGAGCCAGCTAATCAAAAGCCATTCAGAAGGCCGGCAAAGCCGCGGGTTGCACTCCTCAGTTTGTTCGAATTCTATCGGTTCTCGGAGAGTAATAGCACAGGGTTGTAGAAATAATAAAGTTCTTCCAATAATGCCCACAATACTGTTCTCATAGCTGCATTTCATTGCAACTGAGACACAACCATGAGAGATAACAAGCCTACCCCAGGAGAGATACTGATCATTGGCGGTGGCGTATTTGGTATAAGTACCGCTGTTGCTCTCCTAGAACGTCCACAGTACAGAAACACCAGGATAAATATTGTTGATACATCGTCAGAACTTCCCAACCAGTCAGCAGCATCATGGGATACAAGTCGCATGTTAAGGGCGGATTATGCCGAGGCAGCGTACACGAAACTTGTGTCTGAGGCGCGGAAACAGTGGACAAACTCGGACAGCAATGCCTGGGGCGGTGAAGGTCGATACTATGATGCACCATTGCTGTTGACAGCGCAGCCTGGTGTCCTTGGCCACGTTGATGGATATCTGGAACGGAGTCTGGAAAACCTCCAAAAGCTTGCAGAAACTCGCGACTTTGCCTTTATGCCGGAGGATGTTAAAGAACTAGCAGACGAGGATGCAATCAGAGCGGCATCAGGACCGATCCCAGGTGTCAGCGGAAATGTTGGTTACATTAACCGTAACTGCGGCTGGGTCGATGCTCGAGGCTGTCTGCGCTTTCTATACCAAAAGCTGAGACATGCAAGCAAAGGCAAGTGCAAGATTCATTACGGCACAACTGTTTGCAAGCTCCTTTATGAGGGGATTGCCGGGTCTTCAATCAACCCAGCTCGATGCATCGGTGCGAAGACGACAAATGGGTCTCGAATACACGCCGATCTGACGATACTGGCAGCGGGCGCGTGGAGTCCTTCGCTGGTCGACATGCAAGGCCGCGCAGAGGCCACGGGCCAAATCCTTGGGTATCTGACATTGACCGAGGAGGAACAAGCAAGCTTAAACAATATGCCCATATACTTCAACATGAGCACGGGGATGTTTATGTTCCCGGCACATAACCATGAGCTCAAACTCGGCCGTCATGGATTTGGATACCAGAACCCCACTCCAGTAATCCTTGAGGGTAAGCGGAAGCTTATTAGTACTCCAATATCTCACCTACCGGTGCCGACGGAGGCAGAGGATGCCCTCAGAGATTTCTTGGTTGAATTATTCCCTCACTGGAGAAACAAAGAGCTTTCAAAGACAAAACTCTGCTGGTACTGCGACACGTAAGTCTAAGGAGCCTTTACAACAGCAGTGGCGTGGATGTACTGACAATCGTATCAGACCGAACGGAGATTTCCTCATTGACTATCATCCCGACTACAAAGGATTGTTTCTCGCGACTGGTGACAGTGGTCATGGTGTCAAGGTCTTGCCAGTGATAGGAGAGAAGATTGCAGATTCTATTGAGGGGAAGCTAGACCATACCCTGCAGGAGTTATGGCGCTGGAGAGAGGACATTACTGCCGTGTTCCAGGGGACCAGTGACGGAACTCGAGGTGGAAGGCGTGGTATGGTGTTTCAAGAAGAGTGGCAGAAATCAAAGATCCGGCAAGAGCAGTAATACAAGCCCTGTGAACGATGGCCATACAATTTGGGTACAGGAATGAAGTGCTTGTAGACGCGAGAGCAACGACACACTTTGCAATACTCAAACTTTCTTTAAAAGTACTATGACTGGGACATTTATGGAGAGTAACGTATCAAGCTGTCGCTCAAAAAGAGTAGACATTTGTGGTTGGTAACACCCTACAGTTCAGCACAATTGGACACGGTTCATTATCTAGATACAATACGTTCTAAGCCAGTGCCCACTCTGCGATCCCTCCAGCATGTATTGTTGTTGTTTCAAAAGTTGGGCCTGACAGATCTACCGGAACGAAGACAAGGCGGAGTTCCGTGCAAGCCAAAATCACGCAGTCAACTCCTTGTTCATGGAAAAGAAGTCTGTAGGCTTCGTGCCATCGAGACCTGACGTCTTGAGGAATTGTCCCCTTACTCATTTCAACAAAGATGTCGTTGTCTGCTGTAGATCTGAATTCTTCGCTAGGGATAGCGATCTCCAAGCCGAATCCTTGAAGGCGGGCCTTGTAAAAGTCCTCCTCCATCACTGCTCGGGTTGCCAACAGTCCAACCTTTTTGAATCCAAAAGTGTTGATTTTTTGTGCCGTGAAATCCACAATGTGTAACACAGGCAGGCCAGATGACTGCTCCAAAGATTCAGCAGCTTTGTGCGCGATGTTAGCGCACAAGACGAGGGCTTGTGCATTTGCGTCCTTCAACTCCTGGCCGTGCTTGCAGAGCATTCTGGTCATGCCGTTATAGTCCTTTTGACTGACCATGGCGGCAAGCTCTGCATAATCGATGGATCTAATCAAGAGATTGGCGGAATGAAGACCCCCCTGCCTTGCATTCACATGCTCATTGATCTCTTTGTAGTAGACAGAGGTAGACTGCCAGGAGAACCCGCCAATGAGGCCGACTGTCTTGGTCATATTGTCGCGGCTAATGGCCAGGTATATTTGATATTTGATCAGGGAAGGGAAAACCACACAAGTAAAAATGAAGAAAAGTGTGTTTGCGGCGATATTTCCGACGCCTATATGTAAATAGTCATAAAGGAAGCCCGAGATCTTTAACCCTAGCTAAGTGACGCAAACTATATTTTAATTGCGTAATGACCTGAGTATATAGTGGACGCAGGCTTCCTCATGGTTTGTACCAAATGCACATCTACTAGGAATTGTAAGAATAATAATCGCTCTGTGCGCGGTTCAAGGTGACCACGGACGTTGTTCATTGGCAGTTTCTACTGGACAGCTCGGGATGAAAAGGGATTATCCAATTAGATTATTATGTCTGACTGGTGCAACATCTTGGTTCTTGTCTCGCTTGCGCTATCACACGCTGATTAGGATCTGTGGTCGTTAGTTCTCTAGATTTCCACTTTCAGCGCTGGTAGATACGAAGCAAAACGATCCTGTGTTGGCTAATCAGGGAACAATGTCACTGCTTGGACAATGGTGAGATACAAGTGCCTATATATAGGGCCGTTCGTTCCCGTTTAATCATTATATCTGATCATTCTATGTGAGCATCTACATTATTCGCTGGCCAAACTTTCATATCAAGAATACACAGGAAAGAAGCCATTAATGGCCGGCGGAGAACTTCAGGTTATCTTCAACGACAAGGGTGTGCACCGTGGGTGACTTTCGAAGTTTCTCGTTTTGTGGACTTCTTAACTGACGTATATCTTTCAGCTATCGGCCCCTACGTACGTACACTACAAATCTTGACCATCTTGAGTGCCGAGCAGCTCCCTAACTCTCCTCATAGTCTCAGGCTATTAAAGCCGGTGGCTTCGTCTTCCTAGCCGGTCAAGTTCCCTGCGACTCTCAAGCAAAGGTTGTGCCTGGTACAATGCGTGACAAGGCGCGTCGCATGTGTGAAAATGCGAAGCTCATGATCGAGTCAGCCGGCTCCAGCATGGACAAGGTCGTCAAGGTTAACGTAAGCAGTCCATCTCCGTTCGGCCTGCCGATTAGACAGCTTTAATGCATTTTCTCTCGGACACGTAAGGAAGAAGATCTAATCACGTGTGTTCAGATTTATTTCGAGGACATCGACAGAGATTTTGCTGCCGTTAACGAGGTTTTTGCTGAATATTTTGTGTCGAAGCCTGCCCGTACCTCTATCCAGGTTGCGAAACTTCCTGTGGGATGTCCCCTAGAGATGGATGTGACCGCTGTCGCATAAAGACACTCCAGTCGACCTCGACTTCACCATTGCAAAGAGGTTAAAGGTCGACGCGATGCATGAGGAACTCTCTCTAGTGATGGCCGGTTCGCTCTGTCCTAACGCTGCTATTCCCCTCCACTTCCTGCGACACCTTTAATGGCTATTGACGAACACGGACTGCGGATACTCTCAACGCCAACGGTATCAATCAGCCAAGTCAAATCAATTATTCCCGGTAGTCTTTCCTGTTTACGAAATGTCTCCGTATCTCTCTACAGGACACAGCTTAACAGCAACATTATCACCCATGGCGGTAGTCTACTATGTATACTTGTCTTGGTTCAGCTCTGCAGAGTCAGTGCCACATCTTTCCAAATTATCCGTCCCATAGTAGATCTTCTTAGCCTTTCACACGCTTCGTATCACTGCCACTCCGCTGACGTGTTTCCTTAGTTACGATTACATGTCTGTAGAGACCGGGTCGACCTTCCCGAGACTAGACAATGAGAAAAGATTAGGCGAGGACTTCCACAGATATATCTCTTACCTAGGACCGCCTTATGGAGGACGAGCCTGTAGCTACTCCGTACTAGCTAGTGGTTCTTATTCAGGCCGGCTATATGATCAACTGTGAGGAATGTGTTCGGATGGTGGAAAAGCCAGCGCAATGTTGATTGGCCACCTCGCTTTCGCGCAAACCCAGCCAATAAGTTGAATCCAAGTATATCCACATCGCAGATCAAAGGCCGAACCCGGCTGATGAATCTCACCGGGGGAGAGGTTTCGATGTCGGAACGAGTCATGATCGGCGTGACAGGGTAAGCAAGGCCGTGCCATCTTGCAATCTCCCAGCTACGCTTTCATTCGCTTAAAGTGACTCCAAGACCGAAGTACGCTTGGCGAGATCGTACATCGACAACCTCCCTGGGTGGCCTGAATGAAATAGACAATCTAAGTGGGTGTTTCCCTCAAACAGCTCCCACAGTCACCAGAAAAGTGCCGGTACAATCCAATATATTGTCGGTATCTCAAGCTTGAGTACGACATGCCGGACGTGGGATGATACCCGTTAGGCGTCCTCCATATTGCAACATCCGTGGTAAGCATCCCACAGTTGATTTCGCCACATAATATACTCGTGTCCATAACACACGAAGAGAACACACTAGACACGCGTAACCATCGAGATCATTAGGGCCTATCATTAGTGCATTGCTGTTCACCCTAGCAGTCTCAGGACCATCTCTCCCAGAAGTCTTGCCTCCAACCATTGAGAACAATGTCTAGGGAAAGGACCTACCAGAATGAGCCTATGGGCATTCAACGAGGTGTCTATGGGCGCAATTGGTTTTGGAACATTCTCTTCAGCATTGGCCGCGCTCTCACTGGCCCCGTGCAATACCTCCTCATCGGCGCACACCCATTAGGACGCTTTGGCATCCCCCCGCCTCCAACAGGGGGGCTCATCACGCTCCTCGGCCACACAATGCCACGCTACCAAGTCCTTGCTGCCCTCATGCCAGCTTTCCTCTCCGTCAAGCAGATCATCTGGATCAACGTCCTCGCGCGCGAGAAACTCAGCAAGGAGTTCCTCTTGTTCGCGGTGCCAGCCGGCATAGCCGTCGAGATGGTCCACACTCTCGCATTTACCGCAGCATCCAAAAACCCCCTGTTCTCCTCCCGTGTGTTCAACATCGGTCTTGCTCTCTTCATGACAGGGAATATTATGGAAGTTATCGCTGATGTTCAACTCGCGCTCCATCGCTGGAATCCTAAGAACCAGGGCAAGGTGTGCAAGGCCGGCTTGTGGCGAGTCACACGACAAATCAACTATACGGCCAATATCATTTTCGGGTTCGGTTATACGATGGCACTTGGTGGACTGGTATACGGAATTGTGGCCACCACGGCAACGTATATTATGAATTTCTTGACAAACGCTGGTCCATCGAAGGAGCACTATTGCCGAGAAAAGTATGGAAAACAGTGGGAACAGTATAAGAAGGAGGTGCCATATGTATTGATCCCCTGGATCTACTGAATCCTTTCTTCTGTTCCAGCGAAGTTTGCGCACTCGGAAATTGCCATGCATAGAATAATGATGACCAAGCTGCGCAGATTCCCAACCACAACTCTTCGGGGCTTGTCCCTTGGAAGTGGACGCTACCGGATTTGAATGGACAATCCTGGATGGCTTGAGGCTTGAGAAGCACACATACTTGGCAAAACGAGTCACAGGTGGCATATAAGTGTAAATGTAGTCATGCTATCTTTGCCGTTATCAAGAATTTTAAATCGGTCCAGATCTCTCAGTAACAATCCACCTAACACCACTACAAGCAAGTCACCTGTCAGCATCTTGGACTTTATTGACTACCCTAATCAATGTATTGATCGACTGATTATCAGTAACGCAACCAGGAAATGATTTCTTGTTAATGCTACAGTTCGTTTGGTTCTGCAAGGGTGGCGGCACGTTCATTCTTCCACCGGAATGAACGTGTTGTAAACCTCCGATGTTTGATGGAAAGGAGCTCTGATATATTGCATGACAATCTGCGCGTTGTCCTTCTCTAGATCCGCAGATACTTTTCGTATACGCTGATGTTCAGGAATATACATATTGTCTCCAGAAGGTTGCTGACTTTCCTCCTCGATCTCGATGATCCGTTGAGCACAAAGACCGGTATATCGATCTGACCATGTGCCATGATAGAATGGAGAGAGAAGCATAACTCCAAGAGCCTTGCGACGAATCTTGGAGTTACGGCAACGAGATGCAACGAAGAACATCGGTGGTGTTATACCAAGATCGAAACTGAATAATGAGCTATACTGATGTGGCTCTGTCCTCCAGTATTGCAGTAGTTCGTGAGCCAGGTTGGCGATGAGCTCAAATGCATCTCCATGCTCATCAAAATCGGTCTCGAAGGAGGTCCCATATGTGCCGATTATGATCAAGGACAAGTGAAAGTACAGCATCAACAACTTATACGTACACGTTTGAATGGATGAGCTTCTTCCGGTGGCTCTTGATGGGTTCATTGCTTGTCTCCAATGTATCAGCGTGGCTGTGAGATGGTCTTTAGGTATTGTGCGCCCTTCTTCGAGGCAGCGTTCCATGGTGGTAAAGGTATAGTTCATGAGTCGATCAAAATCTGAACGTGCTTTGTCAAGATCTTCGTAGGAAGAAGGTATACTTGGCCGGGGTAAGTAAGGAGGGCTACCTGTATTTCTCCAGGCGTGGCGAAGGTCCATACACAAAGCAAATTGCACACGTAATCGTTGAAGAATGGGTGCAAGTTGTTGGTTAATTAAGTCTGCTGTCGGTCGAGAGAAATTTTGAAGTTTGTTGTAGTTGTCCGTGCGCGTCCTCCACGAAGAAAGGAGCTGAATGCCTGCGGTCAGATGGAGAAGACATGTTGCGTCGTTACCTCGAAACTGTTCGAAACACACGGCCAAGATACACAACACTAGTATTGTGTCAGGCTGGGAAGACGTATTTAATGGCTCGGTTCGGAGGAAATGAATCATAATGTTGTAGTGTTTCAGAGCCGCCATGTAAGCTATATTTTCAGCTGGCCCAGGACGCTTTCGTATCAAGATAAAGTCGTTGACAGGTTCCAGACTTTCATGCACAGAGGCAAGTGCAACAATCACATGCTTAACAGGTGGCTTAGCATGACTTAGTTGGAGAAGAATAGAGATCCAGTCTTTCGCGTCACGTTGGCCGAAAATTCGGTGAACAGTTCTGGTCTGAAAGAAAAGGAAAGCCCGCCGTTCCTCGTCATTCAGAAGCTGAGAGGGGGCGGAAATAGATCTGGGTCCCACAAAGTATCCTTCACATATTAGTTTGGAGGAGATACAGCGTCGGCATGAGGGTTTCTGCTCGTCACACTTGATACGACTGGTGTCATCGTGTCAGTAGAACAACAGTCACCTTGAGCTACAGTTTCTCCTACCGAGTCCTAACGGGCAAATATGTCAGAGAACTCATGTAATCTCAGGTAGTCGATACCTACTTGCAAGTGATGCAACCAGTGCGACTTCTCCGCGTTACAGCCATGATTGGTGTAGTGATGATAGATTGTAACAGTTGCTGAAGTGAGGGCGCCGCACGCAACGCATGTTACACCAATGAGCCTTATCCCATTTGCGGATCCTCTAGTGGTCTAGTGAGGATTGTGCTAAACGAGTGAGAACAGATCAGCTAGAATCTTATGGCAGAGAGTAGTAGTGCGCGCTCCGTCGAAATGCAGGGAAGAGATATGGAATAAGGACCGTATTTTCACAGTGAAATAATGTTAGGCGGCCAGTGCGAGATACGGTGCTGAAGTAACTCGTTAGTTAGTGGCGGAAACGACTATGCCAAGAGTCGTACCCAAATATCCCCGAACCGGAACATCGAGGCAAACCAGGCGCTCAACTTTCTCATGAGCCTAATAAATACACCATATCGCCAAAGGGTGGGGACTAATTTTACTCCCGATACAAATATTCAGGTTGACAATCACGTTAAGTCGAGTTTTCAATCTTTATACTTATAGTGTCACGGCAGAGAGATCGTTCCTTAGTGACCAAGTCAGAGAGAGCAACAACGATTGATCCAGTCCAGGTTGAAATATATAGACATTGTCTTCGGCGCTGACAGCGAAACTATCCCCTGGTATTCGTGCATCTTAATATCTAAGTTCTTTAATGGAGACTAGGGTTCTACAGAAGAGGGAGAAACAAGAGCCGAGAAATATATCGTATACTGTGAAAACTGACAGGCTTATCGTCGCTAGACAGCAGATTCTCGACTTGTGAAGGATTGCTAGATCTTTATTAGTTCATCTCATGCTGTAGCCGCTGGCAGTCGACGGTGATGCGCACGTATTTTTACCACCTAACCCCATCACCACCGTGACATTTACATCCACTCTCTATCAAACATTTCTGTCCAAGAAGGACACAATCTCACGATAGAAGCCAGTCGCATTAGCAGCGAAATTGGTGCCGTGGCCAGCATGGGGATGGAGGTAGGTCTCGATGACTTGTGCGTGAGAATAGGTGGAAGCCTGCTCCCCGACCTGATAGAACGAAGTCGTGCAGTTACCGCCACATACTAGGAAGTCGTTTTCGCCAGTGGTGAGCATGATTGGCTTCGTGAAGGAAGGAGCATAATAATTCAATGCTGAGACGCTCAAGTATTCTAGTAAAGAGAGAGGCTGACGAATCGATTGCGCGTATTCAATGGTTGGGATGTCATACGGCGCCCGAAAGAACAATTGTGCATGGGCATATATGTCGCCGAAGTCGGCGTAGCCGGTGTCGCGAGCGAAGTAATGGCCATCGGTGTTCGCAAGGCGTGGTCGGAAAGCAGTTGACAGAAAGTGAGGGATTGCCTTTGCTAGAGGGAAGGGATCGATTGAGTCATTGCCTAGGGCCATCCCAGTAAGAACGGCACCTGAGCCACAAGGTTAGCTGTGTGCTGAACATATTGAGGTGAGAATGCACAAGAGGCGCCGGGTAACTTGGTTCCTGAGAGCGTCACATACCATCGATAAGATCCCCGTACTTGGACAATACGATATTCGTTATCCTCGAGCCCATGGAATGACCAACCGCCACGACCTTACTGGCCTTGATGTTCCCTGCGTATGCCCCAGTTTTCATCCTTCTAACAATCTGTGCTAAAAGTTCAGCCTGATAGTTGACTGAATTTTTGTATCCAGATACTCTAGGCAGGGTATCAGCTCGGTGGTGTATATGCGTAGATTAAGGTCCTAACCCACATTTGTGAACGTCCAGTTCCCACACGATCGTACCAAAAGATCGAGTAGCCATTCTCAAGCGCATATTGGGCAAAGCTGTATTCTTCAGGCTTGTACGAGGATGCCCAATAGCTGGTGTGAGGATCAGCAAACTTCTTCAACTAGGTCTCATGATAATTTCACGTACCGTCCATCATATCCGAGGCCGTGTGTGGCTACAAGAACTGTTGTCTCCTTACCGTTCCCAGGCTTCCGGGGTGAACAGAAGGTCGCCGAAACCGTGTAGTTGCTTGTCCGGTTCTCGTAGCCGGAAATGGGCGGGAGTACATTGACCTGGGAGTCCTTCCTTGTGCTATTGAAAAGAAAGGATGCGATGTCGAAGTTGGTCTGGAACTTAGGAAGGCCCCAAATTGCGTCCGACGAAGTCGTTTGCTCCGTTATGGAGTAGTCAGTGCAAAGACCATTTGGAGGATGAACATAGGTGTTTGGTGCTGGAGTCGAGGCCACGGGCGTGAGGCGGCTCAGAACTGCGAGCACCGTGAGAGTCAGCACTGCGGCCATCGTTCACAGTTGATTGCGAGTTATTTGGTTGGTCAAGAGTCAAGTATAGTGTAAGCAAGGGTGAGTAACTGCAAGATACAAGTGTATGTTCTCGAGCATCTATGGGATCCTGCTTATATGTACTTTGTCTTACCGTAAAAACCTTCTATACTGTAGCATTCAGTCTACTCAGATCAGTCATCATCGGAACGAGCCTAGCCATATTCCCTGCACTTATGTCTCGCGTGGGTACGGTGTAGTGTAAAGATCACCTAGTAGTGACAATTAATATTACACAGCAAGTCCAGGGAGTGACTTGTTCGGGAACGAAGATATGGGTAAATTTGTAAGATTACAGTCAAGGTTAACGCAGAGATGTTCAAGCACGCTGTCCTCCACATTCCGAATTCAAGAACCGACCCGTAGTTTTTGGTCATAGTTCCGCTCCTGCTGACTTACTAAACATCAGGCAGGCCTACGGTACTGTTAGCCCATCAAGCGATTTCGGCCATTGAGCGATTTTCGGCTCAGTGTCATGTTGACTCCCTTTTCTACACTCCTCGTCTTTTCTTTCAAGGTCACTCACAAAGACCTAAGTTTTTGCTCGCGGCTAGGGATGACATATTTCGCAGCCAGAGTAGACGTAATATCAAATTATCGTTACGTTTCGCTCCACCTACGGTGTGGCGGTGGTGGCGTTCGTGTTCCTGTATACCTGCGGGTTTGGTAGTACCTGGATCACATGCTCATCGGTCTTGCTCTGTCCAAATTTCCTTGAGTTGCAGTGCACCAAATTTCGGGGCTTACCGGCTCGCTTGCTGACATACATATGCTGTTAAGCATGTCCCACAGAGGTCTTTCCTCCAGCCACACGAGTAAAGGGTGACTCCCCGTCCATGGTGTCGTTTATACTATCTTGGGCGCCGCCATTAATGAAGTCATACCATATGTCATCAGCGCCGTAGCGGACGGTTTTTCATTATGTTCGCCGTCATTAACATCATTCAGATCATCTCTAGGTGGTTTATGTCGAAACGGTCAATCGTCACCTGGGGGGTCTTGATATTCTTTCCGCCTGCAAACGTGATTTTGCCGAAAGGAAACGTTCCCTCGGCTTTCATACAGAAAATACACATGGGGTTGTGCACACAGACCGAGGATGAATGGTTACATGATGCTTATGTCTCTCATGGCAGGCTCGAAGACCGACAAGATTCTCGAGAGTGGCCCAGGGGTATTTCACTCATCGCTCTCGCGGAAAGATTAACAGTAACACCAGATCGACAGTCTTCGTTGGAGGTTGAAGCTATCGGGAAAATTCAACCATCCGCCAGTATAGTCTCTAGGAGTTGTGTGGTTGACATTGTTCTCTTCAATTCGTTCCAACCAGCTTGCTGGGATGTCCACGCTTACCTGTTTGACTGCCCGTATCGTCCAACTTGATAGCTTCAATTCTTTCCAAAATATTGGCAGAAGCTCCGCCATTGATCAGAATCACCATTCCAGCACTTGCCTATGATAGCGTCACCAGTTAAATCATGGAGCGGTGGGAATTCTCTATCTTGAAACCTTTTTGCTCAGAATGACGAAATGGTCTGTGCCCCCTGGACCCTGTCTTATACTGCTCATGACCACGTAAAAGGGTATAGTAGCCTGAGCCTATAGCAAAAGTCTCTGTTCGGGCACCCGCTTTGCCATAACTAACAGTAACCCCATTGTCTCCTTCGTTGAGAAGCCGCCCGAATGACTCAAGTCAGTACTGTGATTTCTTCTCCAATCTCGATTGTGAGGTCAATATCGTCCAACTTCAAATTTCTCATTCGAACCTAAGAGCATGCTTCTGGAGTGGATATCACAATGTGTCAGTTCGATATCTTCAAGTTCTATAGCGACCAGACACAATTTCCTTATCCAACGACTGATTTTCTGCAGTTTGAGGGTTTGCAAAACCTTAAGACTTGTCTTCCGTCACGTTTCAGGCACTGCCTGAGATGCAACGCGACACTCCCGTTGGGTGCAAGCTCTAAGAGGGCGTCGCCTGGCCTTTGACAAAAGCAGCGAATCAGATGCGGATCTGCGGGCGATGTTTGAGAAATTGCAATATTTTTTGCTCGTTGGCAAGATCGGCCTCGTCCTCATCTCTTTGTATCTCGCGATTTTCACCAGTGAACCCTGCTCTTGAAACCACTCGGCCGGGATCCCACGTTCCGTCAAGGGTTCGAACGCGCGAAGGATGGCACCGGGCAGTAGGGGCCGATAGTGATGAAGATCCCGGCCGTGAACGTGTGCTGATCAAGGTGCAGGATGGATGCCCGTAGGTGTTTTATGCCGATCGTGATCTCTGGGCCGATTTCAACCCAAATGGTCCCTACGATCGGAGGAGGAGTTGGGCATTTCTCCGCCGGCTCGCTGTGTATCACGCCTAATCATTTCTTCCGTAAGTGTCTCGTATAGGCTCATCAACCCCCGGCTACGAGAGAGGATCAGCTGCACGTTATAGGAACACGGTATGAGGGGGTATAGCTGAGCTGCGGAAACATCGATGCTGCTGGTCGCAGAATGGAAAATGGCACGTATTTGGACGTCCGGGATACGGAGATTCGAAACTGAGAGGCGGTGAAGAGGCTACCGCTTCCTCGTCATGGCTGTGCAACCATCCAGCCATGGATTACCAGATAAAATATGCTCAAGTTCACATTGTGCTTCGCTACTTCACGATTAGCGAGGGTGAGCCTCCAAAGTTGCTTCGTCCACAATACCCGGCTAAATCGCGAGCCATTTCTTGGCCGTCTTGTAAAGCTGTCGCTTTGACGTGACCGGATCCAGATGCACCTGGCTGGCGGTGTGGGAAATCAGGCTGCTTCATTACAGAACATTAGATGGGTTTGTGGGAGATGCGTGTGAGTGTCTTCGTCTTCCAGATACTGGATCATTAACACGGGCAGTATCAGCCGAGGAGAAGTAGGAGAAGGTGCTTATCTGAGCCGCATATGGGACTTGCAAAGAATTAGCGTCCCCTAGAGTTAAAGCCAACCAGCGACCGGCAATTATGACTAGCTGTTCATTTGACCAAGATGTCGTTTTGGGGCAGCAGTGACATTGTTGGGGCTAAGTAGAATTAGAGTCTTTTCTACTTTCCGAAAGGTTAGTTTTTACCGACCCATTGCAACACCATCTACCAATCAGGAACTCTTTGGGACATCCTCTCAGGCCCTGGACTTTTGGGGGCGTCTCAATACGAGCTCGAATGTCACCTATCCTGACACAAGCTCGGGTCCTCGCAAGCCAACGAAGCGAGAATACGAGGACCTCCACGCATAGCTCCGAAGCTTCGTGTTGGTGTGTTTATCTTTCACTACGTAGCTGCAATCACGGACGCGTCTTCCAGTCTTCATCACTTCGACCGTCTTACCCATCGTGATAAGTGCGATCACGAAGCTATGGGTCCGATCGCAGTTCTGCTACTTCTTTTGATCCGCTCGGGTACCGTGGTCTCATACTGGGAGTATGAGTCGCTGAACGTAAGTCAGTGGCAATGGCAATCTTGTACGGTCCTGATCGTTGTTTTGCTGAAGCATGGTGATTGACTGAAAGCACAGCCGTCGTCGTTAACAACTGGCTTTATATTGATGGGGGCGAGCTCTATGCAATCCAGAATGACAATCCCACATTCTTCTACCGTTAGTATAACCTTTCAATCCAAAAAGCTTCTGCGCCAGACGGGGTGATAGGGGTCCCTTGATTACTTTCGAAAGCCAGAACAATATTTGCCTGGCACAAAGTTTCTATCTCGGCTTTTTTGGGAGCATCAAATTGGTCTAATCAAGCTACCAGTTGGCCAAACGATATCAATTGACTTGACGCAGCCTTGGACAAATGCGACTGTACAGAACTATTTAAGAGAGACACAACGACCTGTCACCGATGGCCACTGGTCGAAAAAGCCGGCTTTGTTCTATGACCCATTTAAGAATGTCGTTATACAATGGGGAGGCTGGCCATACGACAACGACGATCAGTCATACGAGTTCGTCTTCACACCAAACGGAAACGGCACCGTAAATTGGATCCAGAGTGCAACACCAGTCACAAACACACAAGATAAATCTTCGCCAGCAATCTTCGGCTCGGCATTCGTTTCTTCAAGCACATCGTTCTACTCTCTAGGTGGAGTTGTTGCTGAAGAATCTGCGCCACCTGAGCTGGCCGTTCAAGGTCTGCTCGAGTACAATTTTGAAGGCAGCAACTGGACGAACAGTTCCTCTGAGATGGCAACTGCGAACGGTTATCTTGTAGGTGGGCAAGCAGCCTACACTCCGGGATCCGATCAAGGCGGCTTTGGCCAAGCCGGGTACATCTTTTTTGTTGGTGGCAATGACCCAGCAAGCCAGTCATTCGACCCTCAGTCTCCTTCTCTGGTCGACATGTCAAACATTACCTTGTACGATATTGGGGCGCAGGCATGGTATCAGCAGGCAACCACGGGAACAATTCCTCCACCACGTCAATTTTTCTGTTCTGTTTCAGCAACCTCTATCCAAGCCACGTTTGAGATGTAAGTTCCAAATTCCAAACCCCGGACCGAGGATCGCTTAGTGAAATATGTCCAGATTCATCTTGGGTGGTTCCACGAATGAAACATATGACCAAGCACTCGCCAACGATACAGACTATCTCAGTGTGTACACCTTGTCCATTCCGGCTTTTCGCTGGTTCAAATCGACAGCCACAGACCAAGTGAGACGGGCCAATCAATGCTGCCAGCTCATAGGAAACAAGCAGATGCTGGTAATCGGAGGTACACAACCTAGTAACCCATTAGGCATTGCTGCGGTTGAGCCATGGCCGAATGGTTTGGGGATCTTTGATATGTCGAACTTCACCTGGGCGGACAGCTATGATCCACAGGCCGCCCCGTACGAGCAACCCGCAGTGGTGAGAGATTATTACAGTAATGAGTACCAATCTCCAGTTTGGGGCTCATCGCAATTGCAAGTTGACTTCGGTGAGTGTTATCACCCATTTTTGTGGAGATTCAATACTTCCCCTGAGGATGATACACAATACTGACAAATTTCGACACTAGCCTGGGCACCACCTGATCTTCCTACAGGGACATACACTGGCTCATATCCGTCAACTACTACATCGCCAGCCCCTACTGCAAGCGCATCTACCAAGGTCTCTTCCAGCTCAACTCCTATAGGCCCAATCGTAGGAGGTGTAGTCGGCGGTGTGTGTGCTCTCCTTCTCGCGCTGATCCTCGGAGTCCTGGTGTGGAAGAGAAAGAACCCGAAGACAATGTCATCACACGAGGTGCAGACCCTCGAAGTCAGTAACATCACCACCCAAAAAGTCGAGCTACCAACACCACTCAATTCTCCTGGACTTCGAGCTGGAGTTCCACCATCCTACACAGAGACGCGGGCCAGCGGCAGGCAGTTGAGGATGGAAGAGCCAGAGGCACAAGAGCTTGAGGCTACAAGTGTCAGTCGAACTCCTGAGTTGCCTTAATATGTTATCCTAGCATTATTCTGGTGTGTATAACTCTTACACTATTCCGGTCTGGATCGGTGACCGTTCCACATATAAATCGAGTCTTGACGTCGAGTCGCCGGTCTACATTCCACGGTCTTTATTTCACTAACCAGAATTTTGAGTCGATTTTTATATCTAGCCTAACTAAATAGATACTAAATCGCACTATCTTATCATTATTTTATCTATTTTCATCATTTTTATCGTTACTATTTAATTATTATGTTTAATGGTTCAATATTAGAGATAGAGGCCGAGAAGAATATCGAGCTCTTAAGGGCACTCTTAGAGTAGAAATAGATTGCGGCGTGAGGAAATGCAATATTTTTTGGATATAATTGCGACGACGATATATTGCTCTAGAAGGAGTGAAACTCTCTTTACTGCATTTCAGGTTAATATACTGATTGCTCTCTCTAGGTTCTCGAAGGACACTGGCCAGTTCTGCTCTATCGTGAATCGAATAGCACTCAGTTATGTGAGTTTCAGTGATCGTCTTAGTGGTTTTGGCAGGATTCTGACTCAGGCCGGGAAGGAGGAGTTAAGAGGAGAGTTCGAAAGCCTTGGACTCGAACAGTTCATTCAGTATAGCGATCTGCTCGACTCTTACAGAAAGTATGTACGAGCCTCGTCGACAGAATGTAGTCAATACCTGCCAGTTTCTGAAAGGGCATTAGTAACATAAGCAAGACAAACTCTCGTTAGTTGTGAGGCTCGCAAACGATGTCGTTGAGACAGAATAGTAGTTTAACAGCAACAAGAGATGACAGTAAGCTTCTTTACTTAGCTCCGTGTTTATAGCCTCAGTATACATAACAAAGTGACGGCCAGTGATGAATCCTTCTTTACATTGTTAGTGCTTGGCACATTAATCTATAAAGTGGTCACGATAGAGTCTATGGCATAGACAGACAGTACTCTCCGCTCACGCTACAATCAGAACATGTCTATCTCGGTATCCGAACCAGAATTTGAATCCAGCACATGCTACAACGTTGCTCTCATGATCATGCCTTGAGTTCTGCTCTAGTAAACTCAGATCTATTCCGGATAAAGACCAAAGTATTGAACCTGCTCTTGGGGACAATAGTGCGCCTTTTGGTGCGCCACATACAACAGTACCGAAACCGCGGGGCCCTTGCCAAGGGTCCAGGCACATGCTCACCTTCTTAATTGTTCAAGCCAGGAGCTGTACTTTCCGTGGCGAGATTGAATGTTTCTTCTTGACGGTTCTAGTTCTTAAGCAATCTTGAGTGTTAAAGGTAGACCGAGTATAGCCGAGTCAATCTTGACTTATTAGCTAGAACCATTCAATATTAAGGTTCATCAAGAGAGCTTAACATGACGCAGTCTAAAGCTGAGCAGGTTTTTTGAATTATTAAATAGATCAAATTATTGCCACAATTCTTTGAGCGATCTATCTTTCTAATCACCACAACGCAGAACAGTTTCTTTTTATTCAAACGCAACCGAATCGAACGCATTATGAAACCCTTATCTCGATTCTCAACGCTTGTCGCGATGGTGGCAGTAGTGCTTTATCTTCACATCGATATAGCTCGTGCTGCACCAGCACCATTATCTTCAAACTCAACAGATCTTTCTACCCCTCAAGAGACCTTTTGGGTATACGGCAGTATTTGCGACTATTGGACCGACCCAGACCCAGAACAGAATGGATACTACAGACTCAAGGTGCAATGCGATTATGTCGGCCAAGGTACAAAGATTGCTGCCAGTGTGACCTTGAACAAACATGTCTTCTCCACTGAGCAGATAGGTCTTAAGGATGTGAATAAGATTTTTCAGAGTCCAGCATTCAACTCGAATAAGCCGGCTGGACAACTCAACTTTCAAACACATAGAAGTATATCAGGTGGGCCGGATATGGGCATCTGTCGCTGTGAAGTGATTGAAGAAGAGCTTGGGGTAACATGGACGTCAACGTCATGGATCAATAAAATGACCTGTACCAATATCAGTCCGTACCTCAGAGTACGTGCAGTGCTGGATTTTGCACACAAGTCTCCTTTCTACTCGAATTGGCTTACAACACCTGGTACGGTCGAGACTAAAAAGATTTATTCGCCGGGTACGCCTTCTGCCTATTCCGAATGGTCATTTTAAGAGGTTCAAGGGAGCAACCAGGGGTGAAGAAACTTCTGGCGACTCTACTAAACTTTTAGTTGAGGTACTGTATTTTCAAGACCATGGGAGATTTCTGATAGTGGTCTTGGGTGTGCAGTCCAAAACTTTTTTGGTGACGTGACAGATCAAGTAGATAAGGGCACAGAGGCGCCTGCACCTTCGGTACAACCGCACCACTAAGTAGTATCAGTTATTATATAGTTTTCTATCTCTACACACTATTTATCCCGACCGAATCTTCTGGAGTCTGCTACTTCTCGATCCGAAGCAGAGCAATCGACCTCTTGAGGTCCGCAATCTTCCTCTGCAGAATACATGCAGCGACAGGTAAAAGTCCAGTTCAACCGCAACATCTTTGCCCACCGAAGATAGTTGATTCTAGATTTATACTTAGGTGGCGTTACTCTTGACCTCTAACATAGGAGTGCAGAAGTAATACTGATACACTTACGCTCGAGAGAGCGATATTGTTGTGATTCTCGCTTATCAATGCCAAGGATCTCGTTTCCAAATCTTAAACACCAATCGCCTAGCCCACAGCCACCCTAAGTGTCTAGCGAAACTCTGGGGTTAGGATGGTTTTGAGCTCTGAGTCTAATATCTAATTGGTGTCGTCCCTCTCGAAGATATGCTGACTACCAAGACGACTATGAGTATGAGTACAGGTTCTTGGTTTAGGACAAGAGATGGACATGCTCTAATCTTGCAGCTATTAAATAATGCTATACAGAATTCTAAAGCACCACCACAGATCAGCATGCGGTGACTCTCGGGTTACTCATGAAATCACTCGTTTACGCCCTGCAGCCAGATTGGTTGCTCAATGCGAGTCGAGTACGCCGACATGCCCAGGATACGCTGCATTTGCGCGTTGCTGACGTAAAGCACCTGCTCTGCCATGAAGAATCGAATGCCCTCCTTGCATGGAGGAACGGTCAAACTACCCATGTAAGTCCAGAAATTGTCAAAGTACACGACCTCTTGCAGAGCCAGATCCAGGTCTTGTTGGACGTTGGTCAACTGCCTGGTCTCGTTGAATCCAATGGTCCAGGGCCACTGGGATACAAACGGGGAGTCGATATCCCCAGAGGGATCGATTCGCATGGCCAGGACACCGGCATAGTTGCCGTCCGTGTCCGCGTGCACGAAATGGATTTCCGCCATGCTGCGTTTGCCGTTGACCGGGTGCTCGGCTGGGGCGTGGGTATGCCACCCGACCATGTAGGAAGTGTTCCCGTCGAAGGTGAGGTTGGGGAGACTGTAGATGGTGCTTTTGTTGTACATCGGCGTGAAAGCCGGACCGTATCCCCAGTTGTAGTACGTCCCAGTGACGTTCCCTTCGTAGTTGCCAAACACTGGTTCGTGAACCTCGGAGAAACCCTGATCAGAAGTTAGACCGACCGGGGCTTGCTGGGTGCCGTTCTGGCAGAGGGCGTATTCTGTTCCAATTCCAAGGATATCAGTATGTAGTTCAATATCATGCGCAGAAAACGACCAGTCTAGATATTTATTCACGGGGAGGTTCGGCTCACTGGGATTGATATATGCCCAATCAGAAGAAACTTCGTATGTCCAGTCGTTGACATCCCTACCAGGGTCGACTTCTTCTGGTGGAACGTCTCGTCGTGCATGAGGATGTGGTAGATGATTGGAGTGATCCGCACAGCCCAACGCCGCGGTGGTCAAGATAGAGGCAAGAAAGATCTTGGACAACATGGTAGCGATGCAGTAGGCTCGCGCAGCGCTTTCAAGAGAAGTAAATTTTTACGGTACGATGATGAGTGACAGTGAATATACATTTATTAACATTACATCTTCTTCTTTATACTTCATGATTATCATAGGTCGATAGAAGCTCGGTCACTGAGTTCGGAATTGATCTTTGAGCTCAAGGATTCATGAGCCCCTCGCCATTGTATTGAAAATACAGTTCTGGATCCGTGCCAGTTGTCGGATTCCTTCTTGGTCTGGGCGTTGACACGTCATAGCTTCCACTCCACAAAGTCTTGATCTCCAGGTCTGAGCGCGAAATGTGAAGCACCCGCTCGTTGATCTGGATTCCTTGGCAGGCACTCGGGTCGAGTCACCCTCTTCTACTTGGGAACGGAAGCGTCTACATCGCGTGTAAGGAGATATTCTGGAACTCTACTTTCAACAAAAGAGTAACGTTCGAGACCAAAATAGACTCTCTCCAAAGGTTAAATTGTGCCGATAGTAAGCGATTAAGTTCGACGCCACCATATGAATTATTGACGAATCATTGAAGCTTATTACGCCGAGAGAAGACAATTTTGCCGTCAATGTGGCTCGATAGATGCCTCTTGTCTAAATGGCAGATAAACTAAAAAAATCTCAATATGATCTAAGTATCTCGATTGCGCCAAGCACAAAGTTTGACTCTCACGTGCGGTGATGTGGATTCAGGCCCCTGACACGCGCCAAAGCCGACTTCCTTTGCGGCGGAGCGAGTTGTCCTCGACAGGTTCGTGGAACAATGCTGATCAATATGGTTTGCTATTTGGCTCGGTCTGACCTTTGTGGGATCATGTCTGCGGCGTGGGGATGTTGGACCGATGTCGCATCGTGCAGTTCATTGAGCAAATGGTCACACGAACTACTATTGTTGTTCATCGCAGAACTGTCAAGATGCCTTTGTATTGGGTAGAATGATGTCACAGAAGAGTCGGGAGACTTGGGTTACAGCGGAAGCTGGGTTTTAAGCCTCTCTCCACTTCAGCGAGCCGGTCTTGGACGGGAGCTGTCGGCGTAAGCTGACTTGATCGTGGCCAGAGCTTTTCTTGACATATCGATTCTTCGTTCGAGTTGAGCTACACATCCCGTGCGACGTCTGGGCTGACTGTGATGTACAGCAGAGGTTGCTTGGGGGTTGCAAATTGCCCCCTTGTGCAGAGAGAGTTACAGTTACTTCGCGGCTGGCTGGTGGGTGCAGATTGCAGAAATTGAAGATTGAGACTTTGACCGCTTGCCGATCCTATAGTTTGCGGAGGGAGGTAGGGGTTTTTGATAGACTACAAACGTTGGTCACCCCTACGCATATATCGCCGTCGGCGATGAGAGGCTCGTTTGACTTCACGCATCATGCAGCTTCGGTGCAGAACTGAAAGACGAGGACGCCCAGCCGAACACTCAGCCGGGGATTGGCGCGTGCTCCGAGAACACGAAGAATTGGTTTTGATGCAAATTGGTGAGAACCACTGTGCTGGTAAATACTTGCTGAGAGGAGGATGCATACCGCAGATAGGTTCTTCAGGCCAGACAAGTGAACGATCAGATGAAAGTTGACAAAACTGGCGAAGAGGCGCAAAGATAATGGCACAGCTACTGGCAGCCTTTGTGTCATGGGTTTGTCGCTTAGGAGCACACTTCTCCTGCATGGAGTGGGCGTCGTGAGTACAGATCTAGCAAAGGAGCCATGTTCCGGCGAGCGGCATAAGGCGTGACATTTATACTAAATAGCTAGCTATTGGCACATTTAGGGTAAGGCGAGGGGAGAACAGGCGGCTTAAATCACGCTGCTATAGCTGAAGCTACCAGTAAAGTGGCCTGAGAAAGTATTATGAGTTGAAGATTTGGGTCGAGTAGAATAGCTCTAGTGTGGACTTGAGTGCTTTTACTTATACACTTACGCGCCATTGCAGGGACAAGTTGGTATATCCATCATACATTCAATTAGAGCTTCGAGCTCTTTAGCTGACGCGACCTCTAAACGTGAAGTGCAAGGCTCTTCAGGTATGAACGCTTCCCCCGGGACATTGAAGCCCAATTTGGCATTTTTCCTGATCGGCTTTAGACGATTACTGTATATGATACAGCCGAGATCAAGGGGAAAACATCAGGGCAATTCCCATTGTGGCATTGTGGATCTATCTAACTGACCAGAAGTCACCCACAAGTCCGTGCGCATGTAGTACTTGTTGTATATCTTTCGAGTTTCTCTTCCTCCAAGGTTGCGCGACATAGTCCCCGTACCATGCGCTCGCAAAGCGCCATAGTTGCTCCATGGGAAGCACAGACCCTTTCGGATAATCATGACGTTCACACCAGCTATCGGCATCTTCCTCGCTGTGAAATGGTTGAAACGATGAACAAGCATGAATTACATTGCTCCACCACTGACTGATTGGGGTCGACAGGTGAAAGACTAGGTCCTTCTCCAAGACCTTGTGGTCACGTACATGAACTATGCACTGCTCATCCTCGCCTCCGTAGCGCGTGAATATGTCCGCGTCGGAATCAAGTGCTGCCGCTATGCCAAGTGCACAATACAGACACGTTGCCCAGTACCCGCGGGCGCCAATCTGCACCCAACAAGAAGACGGATACAGAGCGAAGGGATGGACGACCCAAGGTTCGATCTTGTGCGGATGTAGGAGGAGAGAGTGAGTGGCGTGTAAATTGAGTAAAGCTTTTTCGATTTCTTCTGTCGAACAATGAAGTAGAAATGCCAGCTGGCTGTTGTTTGGCGCAAACCCATTTCTGGCGATCTGTTGTGTAAGAGTCCCGCGAACGAGTTCGTCAAATTCTGTCACGGTGCTAGACATGGTCGTACTCGCGATTGTTGTGGTATTGACGTTGTGCGCATTCAGCAAGAAGAGATGCTGGGCGGGTGATCATCAGTGCCGGAAGATGACGAGAATCAGCAGCACGTTTTGTGCTGAGAGACGTGAACCAGATGGTCCAAGGAAGGTTCGATTACTCGACAAATACCGAAGACTGACGTAGAAAGACCTAGAGTGCGACCTGTATTGTAGACTCGATTACTCATCAATCAAGTGAGCACTGGAAAGCACCTTCAGGTAGGCTCACTGCTTGTGGTGTTGATTGGTGCAGTGTTGTGCGATGAGACTCAGAGCTTGTTCCACCGCGCGGAAGGCCATTAGTCATCATCAAAACTTTTGTGAAGATGATCACCAGGTCTTCAAGCTGCATGATAGAGAAAGCCACACCCTACTGCACATTGACGGGTACGCCAAGGACCTTAGAGAAGCTTGTAACCACGTGCAGGTAGGGACGAAGGTAGAGCACCCAGCTACCGTGGAACCTAGTGCAACCTTACATCCTAGCCGTCCTCACGCTCCTGTGCAGGCTGCCGTAGCAAGAGTCGATGGGCGAGGTCCTCTACCGGATTAGGAAGCAGCAAAGGATATTCAAACGATTCAAACGGGAGTTACCATCATCTAGGGCTTCCTCTATTGGATTGGTCGCCGTGCCCCTCTGTTACCGCCATTCTCAGTGGTAATGGAAGTAATGGACGTCATATGTATATCGGTGTATACGTGCTATAATTGTTGGATCTACAGCTCTCTTCTGTACCTGTCTCTCTTTATCGCAGCTTCTCCAATCATATTGCTCTCGGATCAAACTGTTGCGCAGCCATACGGGCATATCTCGGAGCGCTCATGATTCGAAGTTTCTTTCCCCAGAATATCATCGGTAGAAGGAGCAGATTGGTAGCAAGAGCCAAGAAACCGAAACTGAGAATGGTTTTCTGATAGCCGAGCGAGTCTATCCAGAAAGCGCACGTAAAGGTGATGAGTGTTGACATTCCGTTTCGCACAAAAGCCAAGCTAGTAAGGATGTCTCCAAGAATCTGACCGAAGAGATATATCATAGAAAAAGCTTCAAAGAGATGTTTGTCAGAACGTACCTCGGAGTATGAATCTAACAGATACGTCAAGACGTTATCTGAAATGGCCACCAATGAGAATGCAAAAATGGCAACACCGATGTTTGGTATGATCCAATGCATGCCCTAGGACTGGGTGTCAGCTCCGGCCGGTAAGATAAGGATAGTGTCCACTTTCACACAATGGTCCTGACTCACATTGGTCGCAGTGTAGCCATAGAGGAAGATCCCCCCAGGGCCTAGAATCATCGGGAAGAGTGACATGTAGAGTCTCATTTCTGGCTCGTAGATGCCTCCATTCCGTTTGGCCAAGTATACAATTGACCAATCGCTCAACGGACCTCCATACACAGCACCAATAAGTGATCCTGTGAAACCTGCCAAGTATAGAAGGCCTACCGCAGACGCAGAAAAGCTGTAGGGAGGTAAGTTGAAAATCGCTGTCTCGGTCACTAAGATGAGCGAAAGCCAGGCCAGAAGTCCAGAATAGATTATAGAAATCAAAAACACGGATGGAATAGTGAACAAGACGATGAAAGGCTGATAACCGTGGCGAAGGAAGGTCGATAGAGAACCAGGCGTGGTTGTGAATAGTGCCATTCGTTGCCGGTATGTTTTCATTGGCTTGGTGTAATCGATGACAGATGTTCGAGTTGCGACGCTGGTAACCGTGTTATCCTTCGCATCTTCCAGTGGCTCTTGAATTTGGCTAGGGTTGGGGGTGCTGCTCTGGCCTGTCAAAGCGGGAACGAACTTGGTTTCTTCATAGAAGAAGACAATCGAGATGAAGCTGATGGCTATACCGATTGTACACCAGTAGTACAACCACCTCCAGCCTTGGCCATCAACCATGTACCCCGAAGCTACTGGGCCGAGATATGCCTGGCGAGTTGTTAGCTCAGCTGCCAGTCCTCAAGTGAAAGGTTGGAGGCAGCCTACCCCAGCCGAGGTCATGATGAGATAAATGCCGTTGAAGGTGCCTCGTTCGTGCACGAAGAAGATATCGGCGACCTAATCAGAGCAGAACTCATGGATTAGCCTCAGCTCAACTCAGGGCCTGAATTGGTCAATACCAAAGGTGTGTTGTGATTGTCTTACCGTCATTTGCACCAAAGCTTCACTGACCGCACCTGCCAGACCAGAAAAGAGGTTGGCAAGTACCAAGGATACCACACCGTTCACTTGGGACATCCAGATGGTACACGCCAGAGTAACTGTGACACTGAAGATGTAGACAACTCGGCGGCCATACTTCAGCGCAAATGGTATGAATAGAACACATCCCATGGCCAATCCGGCAAGATTGGCCCCGTAGATGTTATTCAGGTCGTTGAAAGTAGTATTCCATAATTCAACCCAGATGCCCCAGCAGACCCCTCCAACATCCAAACTGCACTAAATGTCAATTTAATATTCTGTATGTTTTCGTTTCGGACCTTAACCTACATGACAAATATCATAAAGGTATACCAAGAGATGATGCCGAAATTGATATATTTGCGCGCCTTAGACCAATTCTGTGTGTGCCAACGGCAGTCAGCTCAGAGTCGTGCGATGCGAGGTCGGAGATATACTGACCAATGGGTCATCTGGATCGTCAGAAGGTGTTGGAATAAACACCAAATGGCCATCGCCGTGTCCAGTATTGCGCGAACCTTTCCAGTGGATGGGTCAGCAACTGACTGGGCGCAAGGACAACTGGCATTGAACGACGCAGCAACATACCATCCTCCAGTATTTTGGTTCCCGGTGGGAAGGTCACAGTGATGTTTGAGGGAGGTACAGCAGCCTCGGCATCCGAGTTGTTCATCATCTCGACTATCGGCCAGGGGTGTAAGGAATCGAGGGCGGCGACCACGTAAAAGCCAGCGATGAAGTGCACGCTTGGACTCCGTCCTCATCCATGGGTTGCGAAGATTGTTATACTTCTTTCGAGGATGTGCATTCTCAACGGTGAGTATGGCTAGCTTCAGGAGCGACATTATAGCATCGTGAGCTGTTATCTCACCGAGTTCCCCAGTCTCTCAGTTTCGGGTCTAGTTCAAGATCCAGCTTTGATTCCACGGGTACTTCTGCCCAGTTTGGTCTAGCCTACTAGCTGGTGGCGGCGCGGCTTTTGGCCATGTGCCACGCTCGGCAAGTAACATGTGGATCAAGCAAGCATCTCAACCACATGGCAGACGGCAACGGTGGGACTGTCCCCCTGCGTACCGATACGCTTATCCGTCCATACTGTGTTTCCTGCGGCTTTCTCAACCACTCACTAACCTTGCTCTTCTACGCATCAGGCAGTACTTCCCGTGCTTGTTGACCCTTTTGATATTTTTCTCCACGGGATGGAAACGTTATCTTGACAGCTTTGTATGCTCTGCCGAGACACAGAAGTCAACAGAATTTGACTCAGTACCTTTGGTCAAGGGAGGATACCACCACGTGTATGATGTGGATACTCATTAGCAAAAACCTGAAGAACTGCCATGTGGGTTATGAGCACCGTACCTAGTTCAGAAACATTACCAAAATTGACCCGGTAGGCGTAAGAGATGAGTTTTCCCAGATTTGGATATAAATCCTCCCTGGAGTAAGGTGTCTCTCTGTCTTGAATTGTTTGACATCAACACGCATCATTTGTATTTCCATCGCGAGTATTACAACCCTTGAACACCAACAACATCAACCATGGAGAGCCAAGATAGACGCCCTCCCACGGGAATCAAAGTCGTCATTGTTGGCGCTGGCTTTGCGGGCCTCTGCGCAGCTATTGAGTGTGACAGAAAAGGGCATTCGGTTACGCTGCTTGAAAAGGTGAAAGAGATGAAGCCTCTTGGAGATCTAATTTCCTTTGGGTCCAACACTGGACCAGTGTTCGAACGCTGGGGTAACGTCATGGAAACCCTGGAACCTCTACTGTACAAGAGCCCCGGGATCAACTACTTTGAATGGAACGGACCCTATGTGACGAGACAGAATTGGCACGCTGAGAAAAATTGGGGAAGAAGTATTAGTGGTCATCGGGGAGAGATACACCTTGTCGTCTTACGGTATGCGCTTGCACGTGGAATCGACATCCGCTTTGGCCAGAATGTGACCGGCTACTTCGAGACGGAAGATGCTGCCGGTGTGGTTTCAAATGAGGTGCGCATCACTGGAGATATCGTGCTCGCGGCCGAATGTGTCAAAAGCCCAGGAAGAAAGATTGTCCTTGGCTTCGATGATCCCCCAAAGCCTTCAGGTTATGCAGTTTATCGTGCATGGTACGACTCGCAACGCTTAGCTGATAACGATTTAACTAAGCACTTGGTGATCAATGGAGACACTCATTCCGGCTGGGTAAGAGATGACCTCCTGGTTGTGGCTGCTACCTACTCGGGGAGCACGTTTCGAGGGCCCTAACTAACTCAATAACAGATTGGTAGGGACTGCCACTTTTTAGCAACATCTTTAAAGAACGGAAAGGACTTCAGCTGGGTCATGACTCACAAAGACAACGCGAATATTGACGAAGACTGGCAATTTCCAGGCAAAGTCGAGGATGTGCTGGACGAGTTATCAGGCTGGGATCCAGTTGTCCATGCTCTGGTGAAAGCAACCCCCCCGGATTGTCTGGTCGACTACAAGCTTGTATTTCGCGACCCGCTACCGACATTTGTTTCCAAGCGTGGACGTATTGCGCTCATCGGGGATGCTGCGCACCCATTTCTTCCAACATCAATCCAGGGTGCAAGCCAGGCCATCGAAGACGGTGTTACGATTGCAGTCTGCCTGGAAAAGGCCGGCAGGGACAGCGTTGTGGAAGCTCTGAGAACGTACGAGGCAATCCGTTATGAGCGAGTGCATCGCATCCAGATGACGGGAGTAACCACGAGAGAGCAGTGGCACAAAGCTGACTGGGATGCCATACGCAAGAATCCAGAGTCACTACATATCAAGCGCGAAGCTTGGATGCTAAACTTTGACTGCGAGGCGCACGCTTACGATGTCTATGATGCCACGGCCGCAAAGCTTCAGCAAGCTACCTCAGTCTCAGCCACGGAAGACGTGAAAGACTTTTCCGATTTCGAGATTTCTGCGACCCCGATTGCTACACAAAAGCCGGTTGAGGTGCAGTAGTGATCATTTCATCAGGTCTACGTACATAGAGCATTCGCGAGAAAGGTTGTATTTCAGAATTTTATTCTGCGATCTGGGGTGACGATGAGATATTGAAGATACATGCGTGGACCAAGTTGCTCTTCTTGCTGTCTCATCTTCATATTCTATGCGTTCTTGTTTGATAATAAATAGCTGTAGATTCCGCAAGTTCTCTTTATGGTTCAGCATATCTTGGCCTCTCAAATTCTGCATGATCTTCAGATTCTTACAAATAAATCCATTGTGAGATGTGATGTTTCTGTCATTGGCTTAGGTGATCCCCCTCTTCCTGAAGCTCCAACACACATCATATGCAATCCAAAACCCTACTTCCGCTATCTAGGCGCCTGACTCATTCTTCATCTCCCACTCAAACTCACCCACAGCCAAAGCGTAGTCATGGTTGCGCACAATTTGTTTGCCGTCTTGATCCCACCAGCTCGCACTAATTCCTAGGAGCCTGACCTCTGCCCCGGTTGACTTGAGCGAAAATCGTAATGCCCACTCCCACGTTGAAAAGTGCTTGTCTCCAGAGATGGAGAGTGTCTTGATCGAGATGTCCTTCGATGAACCAAGGGCTCGAGCGAAAAAGTTCCTCACTTGCCCCTTATCTAAGTGCAGATCATTGCTGGCATAGTCGCAGAAGTCGATTGAGTCGGACATATAATTCATGAGACCGTCTACATCACAACTCTGGAATGCGCTGGCGAAACCCTGTTGTCTCTGTGCAATGTAATGGTTGGACTCTGAATGGATGGCTTTTCCCGAAGTCATGGCTGCAAGCCTAAGGTGGCGTTAATGTACTGACTTGAAATGTGATGAAGTTGAGGCTTGAGAGAAGGTGGCACGGCTAAGCAGAATGGATGGTCGGATCCTTTTGTTATGATGTGACTGTCAAGAACTGGAGGGCCTTGGTAGCACCTGAACTGAAAGGAACGCAGAGAGTGACACAGCAAGTGGCAGAGAGTGATTGATAATACGGGGTGTCCATGACTCCCACTTACTCAATGAATCTTTGAGAGTTATGGATCTTCTCTCCTGTTCGTAAATAACTGTCGGCATCTTGGATAGATACTCCACAGGATCTAGATAGGTTCGAAGGGGAAGTAGAACCCGTGAAGGGCACTGCATCGAAGACTTCCCGCCTTCTGTGCTCGCAGTCTGACTTGCCACACTGGACGGACGAGATTTGCGGCGGATTTTGATCCCCACCAACTTTAGCTGAGACAACACGGTACAGTCCTCCGCAGATTACCCATACTCTGTGATTGGCCCAGCCCTCCTCTTATCTCCCCTTTAGGGGAGGTTCTGACGCTGGGACCCAAGCTGTTAGGCCGCTGATAAGTGGTAGGGGTCTGTCGGCACTTTGCTGGTCGATAAGCTTACATTCTCTATCAAAGCTCCACGGTCGCTTGACGCCTGCAATAAATTCCACCTTCAAGGATCCAACCTCTCGACGCGGTTGAAACTACCAGTTCCACCCTGGTAACCACCTTCGACAACCATGGCGACTGCTTCCGTCACAACCCTCCCACCCAAATTCCGCCGCGTCTATGGAGGTCAGGACAATCGACTGGCTGGAACAATGCCGTTGTGGGGTTTCAGCGCTAACGGAAGCCAGGTTGTGATGGATGTCGGAGACGTCATATCCGTTGCGATAAAGCCGTTCCTAGCTGTGGTCAATGTGTGAAGAAGAAAGTGGATTGCCCTGGCTATGTAAGAGAGCTGACTTTTGTCGAAGGGCCATCAGTGAGGGCGAAGAGAAGGAAGCTAGTCTTCGAAACTTCGTCGAGCGCGGTCTTGGGGGACGATGTGACAGGTAGTATCACCGACAACTCAGCTATCGAAGCACCATATGAAAGCCGCACACACTTGGGTGAACTCGCTACATCCGTGTCTGCCCGTGGGAGCGACCAAAACGACGAAAGAGTAATGAAAAAACCAAATGACAGTGCCGATGAGCCATGATACACCTGGCCGGCTCCGACATTGTTCTCATTATCAACCATTCACAATGACCATTCCGAAAACTGCCGTCGGAAATTCTTTCTTGATAACTATTTCGACGAAATGAGCAGCCGCTCCTCCATCGTTGAGCCCTCAAGAAATCCATTCGGCGCGAATTTCAAGCAATACCTGTTCCGCAGCGATGCCCTGACCTCCGCCATCATGTCCATGTCAGCTGCGTATATGGAAAAAATGACATATGCCTGGCACTACCGCGCCGCAGCACTGAGCTTCATGCAAAGAGACCTTCGCCGGCAGTCTTATTCGGTGGAAATGCTTGCAGCTATGCTATTTCTCGGCGCCACAGAGGTAAGTCTCAAATGGCGAGATAGCTAGGCAGGTAATAGTCGCAGTTGTGGGGACACGTTCTGACACAGTGCCGCTCCTAGTGTTGGTTTGATGCAGCAAACTCGGGATCTCTCCATCTCCGGGCTGCCAGCAAGGTGATAATTCACATTGTGAAGTCGGGTACGAAAGTTCCAGTCTTCTTGACGAATTTCCTCTGCTGGTTCGGAACGCTGGCGAGCTACGTGTCTGATAATGACGGCCAAATTCTTTCCTCGTCCACTACATATGCGCTTTTGACAAGAGGGACGCCATGCTCAGCTCGAAAGCGCTCTTATACCGATATTGACCCTCTGGTGGGCAATTGGGGAAGTCTCATGCCTCTTGTTGCAAGAGTCGGCATCATCGTTAGGCAACTACGAAGAGGAGCCCATGAATCAGAACTTGAGAAGCTGATTGATCGTGTTGAAACAGGATTGCTTGAATGGGGTGGGCTCGACGAAACCTACTTGAGTGAGCAGAGCCTGTGCGGCGGGTCTTCGGCAAATGGTCTCACTGGCCATGACTACATTGCGGAGGCGTATCGTCTGTCTTCTCTTTTGGCACTGTACAGCTTCTGTCCTGGTTTACTGAGGAAGCGGGTCGCTATGCTCAGAGACGGCGAATCTACTTTTGACTTCTTATCGCGGCTGGCCAATTCTATTATCGTGCTGCTGCGACGGATTTCCGTCGAGAGCCCACTATGGCGGGTGTGTTCGCTCCCAATCCTCTCAGCAGGACAATTGATCACAAAACCTTCTGATCGGGACTTTCTGCGGTCGGTAACCAATATTTTGAAGGGGAAGATCCGAGTTCCAATAATTCTCAGCGTCCGAAAGCTTCTAGAAGATATATGGTGTCGGAGAGACGCTGGATCTGATGCATGGTGGATGGATATATTGGATGAGAGCGGAACTCCGGTCCTGATCAACTGAATACTGCACACATTTCTGGAGAATGGCACTGTTTCCATTTGATATATTGGATTGCCCGTGTCTATCGAAATACAGATAGTGCCCCTTCTAAGTCCAAGATCCACAGCTACAGGCAGTTTCGGCGGTCCTATACCTGACCATCTTGAGCAAAGTAGGTGATTGTTCCGTGGCTCGGTAAAGGCGACATGAGTTTGTTAACAAGTCAATCAGTTGGTGGTAGCCCTCTCGCGGGAAACCTTACCTTCTACCATTTCAACCAGATTGTATCCGGCAGTTATACAGCCATAGTATTTACTGTGATTTTCGGCCTGATGGGACGACATGCGATACACCTAAGTGATCCCAATGAACAAATCAAGTAAGGTCCACAATATATTTGCTCAGACTTTATAATACTAATAGAATCGCCTATAGAATAATGCGAGTCTATAACCTTATTCCCTTTTACCAAAATTTACCATTCATCATGATTTGTCTTCTAAACTCCTATATCTACCTCCAAGGATTTACTAAGATACTTCAAGGTGTGATATTATATATCTTTCTCATGCTATTTTTTGACTTTCTGGCTCCCAGTGATGGGGAAAAGGTGGAGTTCTTTTCTTCGCTTGAGATAAAGAGATAATGGCAGCCAAAGAAGAAGAGGAATGGTATTAGGTTCTTAATTATAAGCCTTATAGTAGCAGAAACTTAGAATCTAAAGGAATAACTAATCGATCGTTTGGTTCTAGCTAACATGATATTCTGTACTTTAGTATCTAGTCATTACCTAGATCATTGCTGTCTTCTATATAGTGACGCAGTCACTATATATTTACTGTCTTAATAGTGTTGACTATATATGAATACTCACTATAGTTAGCGAGGCAAGGAACCAACCCCAGGGACCCGGGAGACTAAGCCTTGTGACTATCAAAGTCCACAGCCTCGCCCAGACACCAACTGGTTAACCACAGCCTCACTCAGCCAGCTAAGTTAAGATCATGACTCACGAGTGAAGGCTATGACTCACGAGTAAAGGTTATGACTCACTCATTCATAGTTATCCTTGTATATAAGGATAACTATAAATGAGTGTTGTGAGTGAAGCTTGGAGGACTTCATCTCGAGGTGGGTTAAGCCCTCCTTAAATAGCTAACGAGTGACGAAGAAACCAAGCATTATGAGTCATATCCTTCGCTCGTGAGTCATAGCCTTCACTCGTGAGTCATGATCTTAACTTAGCTGGCTGAGTGAGGCTGTGGTTAACCAGTTGGAGTTCTGGGCGAGGCTGTGGACTTTGATAGTCACGAGGCTTAGTCTCCTGGGTCCCTGGGGTTGGTTCCTTGCCTCGCTAACTATAGTGAGGATTCACATATAGTCAACAGTCCTCTTGACAAATAGTATAGCGCCTTATTTGGCTTATATCTAGGTATATATTGTTCTAGCTTGACTTTATCCTCGATTCAAGACTAATCAAATCATATAGCTCTAAGCCATTATCTCGCTGTCGATATTAGTCGCTATTAGCGCCACCCTCTAATTCTACATGAATCTAGAGGAATATATTATGCAATGCTTAGTTCTAGGCGATGTTTGGGGGCCAAACGGGGTATATTAATGAGTGTGACCTTTCTTGCTAGGAGGGAGATATCTATCTCTTATATAGGCAAAAGGAGCGAACTTTCTCTCCTCGAGAGAGGGCTTTCTCGTCGTCGCACAGCGCGCCGCGTGGAGCCATTGGGCGACGTTCTAGACAGAGAGAAATCCTCTTTATAAAGACCGAGAATATAGTTATATATACCTAGAAACAGCGAAACGATAGTGTTGCAAAAGTTATAAAGAATATAAGGGCGTCGGCGTTCTGTAGAAGGCACTGCTAGACATGAGTATTTAACTTGTAAAGACGGTCTTTAATAGCGCCCGCAACTCAGCCTAATTCAACAGAATACATAACCAAGCACAGATCGCTACTTAAGCTAATGGCGTTTAAGCTGATTATGGGAGTAGTTCTCGCGAAGAAAGAAAGTATCTAGACAGCGAAAATACTTAAAGAACAACATTAACCAGCAAGCCAGATACTTTTCCTAATTCTTACAGAAACAAAAGTCCTTACGCCCTTCACCTCGATGATATATATCGATGTAATAGTGAGCCTCCTAATAATGATAATCTGTGTGTAGATAGTGTCACTATCCTTTCTAGTTCTCTATATATATCGCATAAAAGCTTACGAGATCTCAGACCTGGTGTCCACCCTCCAAGCCTAAGGATATCAGGCCTTCGAGTCCGCTGGCGACGAAGAAGCCTTTATATCTAACTTTGAGAAACGCTACCAAGGCGGCCAGTGGGGATTACATACTTAGGCTCGCTATTTAAATCCACTGTAGCTACTACGCAAAGTAATGTTAGTCTATATCATGATTTATAAGGCACGGGAAGTTCAGAGGGCTCATTTGACAAAGTAGGCAAAAGAAGAAGAAAGGGCACGGTTTAAGAGAATGTCTAACAATGGCTATAAGAATTTATGATCAATATTGGAATTTCGGGGGAGTTACTGATCTCATGAACTACATTGAAGTTTGACCCATGTTCGGCAATTTTGAGTTAAGTAAGACATATATCAGAGGAGAAGAAGGCGACGCAAAACGAAATCATACATTAGGTTGGAGACCCTATATAGGTAGCTTGGGTATGTGCTCAAACAAAAGATACTGGCTTTGAGGTCCCTCCCGACCATTCTGTTACCTGGTTCTGTCATCCCCCCTATCAGAAGACTGAATTGAAACTCCCTGTCCCGACGATAGCAGGTGGCCTGAAGCCATCAAGCATAGGTAAGTGACATTGCAGACTCCTTTTCTCTCACCAGCTTGATCCGCCAGGCTTCTTTGCGACACCTATCTTACAGTTATTGGGGACGAGTGTGAGGATACAGACTGTGCACTCGACCATGCCTCTCATCAAATGAGTACGAATACAAGTCACCTACTCCAGATATACTCTTTACGTTTCATCGTCCTTCTTACTTTCGAGGAAGGTATAGTTGACTGAAGAACACGCTCGCAGTCAACAGTCCATTATGTGTACTTATATGTCGAATTCGAAATACTCGTGTTCGTGATTTGACCATGATAGCCAGGTTAGGTGGCCCTGGTGTGATTCACGTAGCTCCCTGAGTCACGTCCCAAAGCAAGTCGGGAGGACTGATCTCACAAGTCTGACATCTCGGTGTAATCAGTTGTTAGCAGATCGATGGATAGGGACTCAAGCAAGAAAGTTCGGGAACAGGGCTTGTCAGCACAAATAAGTGGTTCAGTAACATCTTTGAGTGTCCTAAAGCGAGTCCAGCCGAGCGGCAGAAGGTGGTGCAAAAGCAGAACTCTCGATTCCTCCTGCCTCATCCAAGCAGGACGAAACATAAGGGGCGTGTGGCAGCACAGCGAAGGTTGAGATGTGCGTGTTATTATTGATGCTGACGTTCGCGATATTGTCCATCTTCTAGTGTCTACCACGTGGCCCTGCTCGTGGTCTAGGTCGTTTCGCGTGAGAATGTCGCCCGCTGAGCCGTTGCACGGCACCTGAACACCTGGCTAGTCCACGTGCTGATATCAGCTAGATTGCTTAGCACGTTTAAAGCTTACGCCCATTTTTGAGTCAGTGAGCCGAGACTGGTGGAGCGTCGTTTGCGGCCGTTAAACTGTGCAGGGTTAAGAATTAGAGACTATCAGCATGCACGAATGATTGAGCTGTGGAGGATGTAAGGGGTTGAGAAGAGGCTTGATAATGCCGGGTCGGAAATAGTTCGACTGTCCGGGCGTCGGGGTGGTCAGGGGACTATTGCAGAGAACCGTGGACTTCTCAATGGTGACGCGAAGTATTCAACTTGGGCCGTAAATTGGACAATCGGGTAAGTTGTGAGGACTCACACAGAGACAGTGCTTGTGGGAGGCGGAAGATTGCGAGTTCACAAGTGAACGATTTCGCGTACAATAGTTGCGTGGATACAATATATGTGCAGCTCTAGCGAAATGATCTCAGGATAAGCGAAAGCACCGGCTGCCGAGGTTGCGGAGCCGGAGATCACATTGGACACATGCCAGCCATGCTTCACTCGACATGAGCCGTCCCAGCCATGTTGGTAACGGCTAGCATACAAATAGACAGCTACGGAGTGAGGTCGATGGGATTTGAACGCTGGGAATGAGCCATGCTGCAGACCTCACCACTAATGGTGTATGTGCGGCTCTTATTCGATCCCTTGAGGTAAGCAGTGACAGTTGGCAGGCTGTACCCCGTACGGAGAACCGGGATGCCATTGTGGCTGAGGCTTCCCACCACCGATAATAATAAACATCTCCCATAGCGACGCTAGACATTTTACCGTGAGCTAGTTTCAGGTCTCTGGCCAACGACGACATGATTTTCGAATATAGTGTCGATCTATCGATAAATGGCAAATTGAAAGCCAGCACAGACTCAATAGTTAGAAAGATAGCGTACGCTTAATTGATAATGTGGCCAATAAGCAGACCTATATTTTGGGACCCACCAAATAAGCACGGCGCTAGTCGACGAGATGAGTCTAGACAATCTCGCCACCAAACATTTCTCACTTCGCTCTCGCGTTTCTTCCTGGTTCTTCTGCACGCCTGTCCATTGAGGCTGCAAAGCTGACCACCATGCCGCTTGTTGGTGGGCTGAGCCAGAAGAGCCGACACAAATACGGCAGAGCTTTTTTAAACGTGTTTGTTTCCCGGGTCCGCAGAACCGTTGGTGCTCTTGCAAATTGTTACACAACTGAAGGACACGCTTGATCACTTCGAGCTTTGAGCTTTTGAGTCGAGCTCGTCACGGTATCTCTTTAACTAGAGCTTCCATAGCGAGCAGACACCACTGTCGTTTTTTTGGTACCTCGCACGATTCGATCGCTACCGTGCTCTTCCGTGGCTGTCCGCGTCGTGCATCCGCTGGAGCCATGGCGCCTACTCATCACTACAACCTCGTCAACGACGACAGCGACGACACCAAAGCCGAGCTTGACAACAGCAGCCTACCCCCCAACACACCGTCGTGGAAACACGCGTTCTACCTGCTTCTTGCTGCGAGTGCAGGCCTGGGTGCAGCGTTTGGCGTAGTCCTTGCCTCGTCTCTACTCAAACCCAGCACTAGCATCGTGTCTGAGGGTAATGCCACTAGCATCGCGTCCGCGTGCAACGCCACCACCAACACTCCTCTGTCCGCAGACATCGTGGCACCGGCTCCCTTGACCCAGCAACTGTCCGTCCAGACGAATAAGACCGACCCGCTAGAGGGAGTAGTCCTTGACTGCGGATGGTCTCCCGAGGAAGCACGCGCAAAGGGCTGTGTTTACGACGTCATGATGCAGGACTGGGTTCCGGAGCCATGTTACGATGGGCTCTTGACCGAAAGATACCTCGCGAGAGGGAACTACACCTGGTATGCGGACATCGAAGGGACCGTCATGTCGGATGAAGAGATGCGCAAAGGCAATCACCGTGAGGCGTGGATGTCAGGAGATTATCACAAAGATCACTGTATCTTCTCCTGGGAAAAGCTCATCCGTGCCATGCGCAACAACAAGCCCATAAGCCAGGAATTGGTGTCCTACGATCACGTTCTGCACTGCCATCACCAGACGCTGGGTGAAGAGGGATCTATGAGAAAGCGAGACGGGGCTATCGGCGTCAGAGCGCCGACCAACTATGCCAAATGTGCCCTGTACAGTACCTGGAAAGCGGATTTCATACCAGACAAACATCCTTCGGACACGAAGTAAGCATCCGCCAACAAAGTTTCAACATCGGTAGACCAGGGAATCAATGGATATCCCTCGAATGGGGACAACTTCTACAGAGGGGTTCACCTGGCAGAGTCGATCCTGACAGAGTTTCATCACGATCACCCAAACACATTTGGCCCTTGGAAGTACCTGCTGCGGGGATGGTCTCAAGATCCCGACACCATCGGGTGAAAGGTTGACCCGGAAGAGCCAGCTACACATGCAAGCGCTATCCCGTCAACATGGACCCGAGCCTCGAAGCTGAATGGGACATGGCGGTGACCTCTCACCAATCCACTGGAGCTTTTGTGTTAAGAACCAGTCGAAAATGGACGGAGGATAGGTTTGGCGGCTGGAGTTTGGACATATAATCAAAGATGATATGTTACCGGGACACACAGCGGGAATATTCCGAAGAGAGCAATACTTGCTACGAAGTTATGATGGAGCTTGAGAAAAGTTAGTAGGTAATCTAAATTTAATTCTGTTGATAATAAATCCCCGGGACTTGGATACGCGTCTTTGCGCAACACTAGCACCTGAGATAGCATCTGTCCAGATTGCAGGATAGTATTATACCTGTCGAATTCAGACGTGCATGACCGATTCGATTGTGAATATTTCACCAGTCCATCTTGGATCTCCGGGATGATGGCAAGAACTCACTCATCCTGTTAGAGATTGCCACAACTTTTGATAAACATCCCATTATCTGATATCGGCAGCTGACTTTGCAAACGTTGTCTTCAGACATCCCAGTATGCCACGCATTCGAAATCTCAGCGTGCGGCAACACGCGCAAGGCGCCCACCGATCTTTCAAAGCGATGAACTCTGTCTGGACCACCATTGCCGCTGACTGTCGTCTCACGGTCTGTTCCGCCGTCTCCAAAGCCAAGCATCTCTGGATAAAAGGCGGCAACTTGGACCACCGACAAGTGAATCCAAAGCTCCTTGCTACCGCCAAAGACTAGGGTAATGGCGTGATCGCAACACCCAGACTCGGTCCGCAAGTCACCATGGGCTTCATTGTGTCAGCCCTCGGTAGACTGGTTGCCTAGTCATAAGTAAGCCTTGACGTGAGTTGATTCAGGCTTGGCTTTGAGGTTCCTCGGCCTGCACATATGGATCTTTGAGCTCCTTGGACGTCTCGAGGGCTCGGCTCGCCCGAACGCTGGCTCAGCGTACAAGCTCGCAAACATAGCCCGGCCCACGTCAAAGCGTAGACTAGCCAAGGAGGTCAACCTAGGTACAATTAGGCTTCGCTTTAGCACGGAGTGTCTCATCTGACGCCGAGTCATATTGATAAGTTCTGCCATCGTTCTGCGTTCGGCGGCGCTCTAGGTATTTAAAAGCTTGTGCTTACAGGACTTCCCTCAAGCATTCTTCCTAGTATTTTCGATCTCCGTTCTGACCAAGCTGGGAATTTCGTCCATAAGAGGCGTTTCCTTCGGCTCCCAACCTAACAGTTCTTTCGCTCTTATCGCTCTACTCCTGGCCGAGTAGTTTATTATAGGGCGAGCCAGTTCCACAAATCGATCTCTTTCCTCCATGGGGACGGTGGCAATGTTCTCTGACGCGAGTGCCTTCTGTTTGTATGCCTCTTTAGTGATCGCGACACATACCTCACCCCAAGAAAACTCGCCGTTCTCTGCAAGGTAATAACCCAACTCGTTCCAGGTAGCCTTTGACCCGTTTGACACGGCTTCATCCACCAGCTGCACATAGAGGCGAGAGAGATCGTAAACATGGACGTAACTCCAGAACGCTTTTCCATCTCCTAACTGCAAGCCATGCCCTGCGCGTAATATCAGTTGCGTCAGCTTGGGAATCTGGTCTGATCTCTGAGATACCGGGCCTCTTCCAAACCCATGAACGGAAGAAGGACACACTATGGCCGTCTTAACGCGATCATTCCCTGCTGAAAGAACACGTTTCTCCACTTTCCTATGGGGTGATCCCTCTGTGTAAACGGAATCAGTCAACGAAGCCGGACCTCCGGGGTTGTACTGTCAGTACGACACGCACATACCTGGAAGTGATCTCAGTTTCTCTATACCATTCAAGTCATCGAAGATCTCCACTGGGCTAGGGCGTCCCGTTTGGAGGGTAGGGTTGAGGAGGACATCCATACCACTGGTATGGATATAGTGGCCCCCATTCACCGAGAGGCCCTTCAATATGGCGTCGCAGGAAGCAACATGGTCGCTACTGACAGCGAAATGGAGTACGAGATTATGATTCTTCACTTCCTCTTCAATAGCTTTCTCGTTGTCTAGTGAAGAATAGAAGAAGTTCAAGTTGGGCCACTTCTGTCTGAATGCGGCTTCTTGCGTAGGGTCGCGGAGGAGACAAGTTGTATGTTCTTCCCAGTCTGGATGAGCGGCTAGGAGGGCATAGAGTGCGTCTCCGCCCACATATCCGCTCTGAGGCCACACGGATCAGACCTCGTTCAGAGAAGACGGCGGAGGAAGAAAGTACTTACTGCACCGGTGAAGAAGATACTGGGGGTCATCGTCTTCCTGGGTTACTATCTTCTGGAAAGTCTGTCGTGCAACACTCTCTACTTTGTTGTCAGGCTGGTAGGTGTAGATATGGCCTTCAGAGAAAGCCTGTCGTTCGGAAAGACTTCCATAACTGTTCGCAGCCTTGGAGTAGAGCTCGCCAATTTGTCATCTATCTAGATGAACATCCTCGAAGCCAAGTTTTTCACTGAGGGTGACGCTCGGGAAGGTATCTATTGCCCACATCGGCCGTGGCCCCTTCTGAAACATTTGGCTTCTAATAGGCCTGCAGAACACTCGGACTATGTCAACTGTTAAGGCAGAGTTTCGGCACGAGGGCCGATCCTGACAAATCAACCAAAGCTAGACAGCGGCCAAGTGCGCGGGCGGTACAGTCAACGTTGAAGGCTACTAGCCCGTCGTCTGAGCTGTGCAGATGCTATCCGCAGCATTTACCTGGGGAAAGCCAACCATGAACCCTAGGGAGAGAGTCAGCAACAACTTGATCTTGTCAGTTCTCTCCCCACAAAAGATATCGTGGCGGAGATTCCGAGGGATTCGAGTTGGTGTGGAAAGACAGCTAAACCAACTTGTGCCGCCCTTGCATCCAGGATGGGTCGAAGCAGCGCCTCTGGATTCCTAGCAGCCAGGAAATGACGGTGTTTACGGGTTCCAGAGGCATATAAAATGCAAGGCTATGAATTTGCTATCTAAGGCTAGGCTTTATCCAGGCCACCACCTTGTGTGATCAGACTCAACGGGGCAAGGCTATCTTGCTTTCCCGAGCATGCTGGTCGGATCGCTTCGAAGGATTGCTAAGATACCCATCAGGCTGCCGATTGACAAGGTGGTCATCCCGAACGGTCTTTATTAAGGCGAGTCCTTTTTCGATGTGAGACAACAATAGCTTCTTTCTCCCCTCTACATCTTAGGAAGCAACATATAGAATATGATCTTGAGCACATTGCACTCTTGTAAAGGGGTCTATATTGGTATCGCCAATGCTCACTTTACGACATTTACTTGAATTTGCTGTCACTGCCAGCACTTTCTTTACGGTATACTCCCAAACTAGTGAAACCAACTAATACGTTTTTTGAGAATCTCCATAAACCAACGTCAATATGGACGTCTCAGGGCCCAAGTCCGAGGTACAGCTATGAACCTCCGACCCTGAGGATGTCTTGCTGAAGCTGTGCCTTTTAGGCTAAGTGAGCCATAGAGGGGCTTAGTGGTGACATCGGCGATTCCATAAACTGTCAGCCAACCGAGAAACTAAGCATAACAGAGAGTGGTATTCTGGATTTCGTCGACTCCTCCAAGTCCAGGGCTCCCTCCAACTGGCTCCGACTCAGTCAGGGTCAAAGTCTGGACGACAGCCAGGCATTCATGAATACATCACGTCATTTGCCTTCGATAAGAGGTCAAAGCCATCTCTTTCTTTGTATTTGTCTACGTACAATGTCCCAAATGTAATCAGAGATGCAAACATGATTAGTATATTGGGCAGCTGAAGTAAGCAGCAAAGGTAGAGAGAGCATGGACCTCGGCAGGCCTAAACTCGCAACTTTGCCACTTTCCGACACCATGCAGAGGGCTTCAAACTCCTTATAAAGATATCAATCGACCCCAGCTCCCAAGGAGAGTTCGCTCGAGGTGTCTGGCTGTCCAGCTGTAACTTACCCTTCCGCAATTAGATTTCCCGGGATGTCTGACAAACTTATTCTCTTGACCGGCGGCACAGGCCATATAGGTTTTCGTACTCTGGTCGAGGCCCTATCGAAGGGTTACCATGTCAGAGCGGCAGTTCGATCGGAATCGAAGACGACGCAAATCCGAACGGCGAAATCTGTGCAACCTTTCCTTGAGCAGCTGGAATTCACCATCGTTCCGGACATCACGAAACCCGGCGCATTTGATGACGCCATGAGAAGCGTTAATTATGTAGTCCACCTGGCGTCTCCGCTAGGGCGGGCTACCGACGACTTCGAAACCAACATCATTCAACCGGCTGTCCAAGGAACGTTGAGCATACTACACTCGGCCCTCAAAGAACCCTCCGTCGAGCGTGTGGTCATCACAGCGTCGCTCGCGTCAGTCTCTCCGTCCACACCACGGCCTTTCACAGCAGACAACACCGAAGAAGATCCAGAGGGGCCATTTCCAGATCCTTTCACAGCCTATGTGGCCAGCAAAAAGCTCGCATTGAATCGGACCCGCCAATTTCTTGCCCAGGAAAAACCACATTTCAGTATCATAAACGTGATGCCAAGTTTTGTCATTGGTAAAAATGAACTTGCAACAACACCAGAAGCGGTCAACTCTGGCTCCAATTCAAGAGCTCTCGGTCCAATACTGGGAAATGCCAACGCCGTCGCCCTGCCCGGGGCCGTCTGTCATATTGACGACGTCTCTTTCGTGCACATAGCAGCCTTAGACCCGAAGGTTGACGGGAACCAGAACTTTGGAGTCAATTGGCGGAGCTCATCTTTCCAATGGGATGATGCTCTCGAAATAGTTCGGAAGCTTTTTCCCGAGGAGGTCAGCCGTGGAATATTCCCCCTAGGCGGTTCTCAGTCTACTGGTTTGGCGGAATTCGATGCGAGCAAAACAGAAGATATTCTTGGGATCAAGTTCAAGAATTTCGAAGAGCAGATTCTCAGTCTTGCTGGTCATTATGCTGAAGTCTCGGCAAGCGCTTGAGGTGTTTTTGCCATTGTCGAGAAGGTGGGCGAGTCTGGCAAACCTTTGACTTCCGATGTGATAAATTGAGGAGGTTCGAGGAGGTCTCATAAGGAATATAACCTTATTCAGGAAAGTCGTAAACATCAGTCCCATGCGTAAGGATCCCACTCCCCTATATTAGCCCGTTGCCCTTCGTCAAGGCCATCAATGGCTTCTACATCTGCATCTGAGATCTCCCACCCAAACAGATCCTTGTTCTCCTCAATCCTCTCTTCCTTGTCACTTTTTGGTATTACGACGATACCCTTCTGGAGTGCCCATCTGAGAACGACCTGCGCTGGGGTTCTTTGATATTTCTGGGCCACCGATGCGATCGTGGAATCCCCTAATCGTCTGCCCTGTGTTAAAGGAGAGTAGGCCACAACGACGATCCCCTTTTCTCGACAATACTTTACCAGTCTACGTTGCTGATTCCACGGATGTAATTCGATCTGGTTAACACACGGAGCGATATGCACGCCCTCTTCAACCATCAGTTGGTCGATGTGTTTAGGCGCCCAGTTCGACACGCCGATGTTCTTCACGAGACCTTGATCAAGGGCATCTTGGAGCCCCAGCCATGCTTCTTTTCGCTTCTCACGACCTGGACGAGGCGTGTGGAGGAGGTATAGATCGATCGATTTGAGACCGAGTTTGGACAAGGACTGTTTGACCCCCGCGACTGCGCCCTCACGAGTATATCCGTCTTCCCAGAGTTTAGAGGTTACAAACAACTCGGATGGTGAAATCCCGCTTTGGTGAATGGCTTCACCTGTTTCGGATTCATTGGCGTAGATCTGCGCCGTGTCCAGATGCTTGTAGCCGGTCTTTACGGCGTGGAGGGCAGATCGAGTGCATGTCGCACTAGCACAGGTGCCAAAGCCTAGCACTGGGATTTTTCCGGAGGGAAGAGGCAGCGTTGAAGTAGGGAGTAGTGTAGGCATAGTGATGAGCAATATTGACGATCATGGCGAGAAAGGTCAAGAAGAACAACGCACTAGAAAGACAAGTTCAGGCGCGTGGACTGATGACTCAAGTGAAGGGCACCGCGAAGTGAAGCTGGACATGGAGGGGTCTTATGCTCCGCCGGAAAGACTCCTCTGGTGTATACGGTCGATACTGTAGCAGTATAGCGCTATTATCGCCCACTGGCCCGAAGGTACGAGGATGTCGCCTGTATAGTTCTTATGCTTGAACTTCATTCGATACCGACGCAAGAGTAAGACTCGATGCTGAGGTAGAGCTGATTCCGCATCATTACAGCGTAGTACGTGGCACCTTCTCATCATGATGCCTGCAATGGCATCACTAAAGGATAAATTCCAGAAGCAAGAACAAAGCTGTTGACCACAGCATCCCCGACCGTTCGTCAGCTGCGATTAGAGCAGGTCTTGGCTGCTTCGGCGCTTCCGGCTTGATCGAGACTTTGAACATCGGTTTCCTCGATAGTTGCCGTCACAAGCAATTTGCTCTGGACACGTCGAGATTCTAGTGGCTGATCCCGAACGATGCTGGAAGCTGCAATACGGTACGATCTGATAGTACTAGCAATGGCTCTGCCGGCTTACTTAGAAGGCTACCGAAAGCTAGGTCATGACCAGCACATTTGACAGTTCAAAAAGCTCTCCTATCCTTCTGCTGTAATCCCTTTCGCTCTATTCTACCACAGTCCTCTAGACCTGGAACATCCGCTTGATGAAACTGGGTTTTTGCCCAGGCTCGGCCCAACTAGACCGTCTCCGCTCCATGTTCCTAGCGTCGTTTGCAGCAATAATATCCTCGCCTGTCTCCGCATGGTCCATCTTGGACTCGAGATGCGGAAAGAAGCGGTTGAAGAGCCAGTAGAAAACAGCAGATGAGACGAATGAGTACATGTAGCCGATGGCGAATCTGGAGTCACTTGTTAGGTGTGTTGACTGGGACACGGGGCGGTTGTTCAGCAGAACTTACAGTCGTTGTCCACCGAGAGAAACGCTAGTGGTTCCATGACCAGCGACAACAATGTTGTTGACGAAGCCTGGAAGCGGAGGAATACAGCCAATGAGGAATGCAGCAAGAGCACGCCAATTGGTGCCGAACTTTTGACTATAGCGATAGATTCCGTGGAATTGGTACATATCCATGACGGAGACGTTTTGACGGCGGACGATATAATAACTACATAATGTCAGTCGTCGCGTGCTCGTATAATAGGGGAGGGGAAATAAGGTCATTGTGGGGGAGAAAACGCACTCGCAGATCAAGATGCCGGTCATTGGGCCCAAGAAGATGGTATAACCACCAAGGAAGGCGAGGAATTTTGCTGCTGAAGCAAGAATTTTCCACTAACAACATAGTTAGCCAAAATCGGTCATTTGCTAGCCCTAGAGCGTCTTTGCCTACCGGAACAAAACCCCAGCTGCCAATGAAGGCCGCCAAAAGTTGGCCACGTCGGATGTTGATGTATCGCGGAGCGAAGGCCATGAGATCATTCGCAGCGCTGATGGAGTTGGCGGAAATATTTATACCAAGTGTGACAATGATGAGTCCAATGGCGGCAAAGGCGGCAGCCGCACGACCGCCATGAGATCCGGACTCCATCCATAGGTTGATGATATCGATAGGGTTCCAGAGCACCTCTCCATAAGCCGTCTCAGAAGCTGCTGCTGTGAAGATACCTAACAGTCCGACGACGGTGAAAATGGCCGGAATCACAATAACCTGCACATTTTGATCGCTTGGCTTCTTTGCATATCGTGAAAAATCGGCAATGTTCAATCCGAGCGTTGCATAGTTGCCCAGCACGCCGTTGAGATTGCTGAAGAAAGCCCAACCGAGTGCGGAGCCGTGCAAGAGGGTTGGTTGTGTGATGACGGAGCTGTGGCTAATTGTACCACCAGCTCGGCGGAGGGTGTCACCAAAGATGGCGAGGAAGCACATCGGTGCAATCACGGACTTGAACGCGAAGAAGTATTGCACCTAGAGAGTGTGAGCCGGCTAGGGAATAGGGAGGAAATCAAGAGCTTTTCCTACCTTGGTATAGGGAATGCACAAAAAGGGGAGTTGCAGTAAGAAATACAGCAGAAATCCAATCATGCCAGCGCTGGTGATGCCCTCATCCTCGGGGATATGATTTGGGATGTTTTTGAAGGAAGGCCAGATTGCTGTGAGGAGCACTGTCATACACTGTCCACCGGTTGTGGTCTGAACACTATAACACGTCATCAGTGTCGGTCGCTTAAGCCCGGGACGCCATCACAAAGAAGCGCTCATAGTTTGACTTACCCAAGCCAGACAATGGCGAGGACGCAACGAGACAAGACGACGAAGTAGCTGAAATAGTAGCCGAAAGGCATGCGTGCCAGGACTGGAAAAGGGGTGTGAAGCTACACCACGTCAGCTCAGCCCACGCTTCGTCGTGTATTGAAAGTACGATGACCTACCTTGGCACCCATGCGACCGTTGATCGTGATGACCATGCCCATGACCGCGTTACCGAGCACGCAAGCGCCGATGGCGAATTTCCAGTCCAGACCAACAGATATCATGGACGAAGCTGGGGATGGTTGTCAGCGACATTTACATCAAGCAATAATCGCAATAATTGATCGCACTCGGTGTCACTTACCAACCTCCCAATTACTAACTGCCCAGGCATCGGCCATCCAGTACGCGATATACGCGCCCCAGTTCCACGTCCGCTTGCTCGGCGGAATAGGATCAAAGTCGGCATTGGATGAGTTCTTGCTCGCGGCGAAAGAGCTGGGCTCCTGGCGCACTTCCCAGCTGAAGTGCGGGATGAATCGGCGCTTCACGGTGCCGGCGTCGGTCTCATACTCAATCGGCTGGTTAGAGGGTGATGGAGAGGATTTGTCCTCGTAGTTGACATACTTGTCGTCGGTGGCTGCCATAACTGTGTGGCGGATGTCTCGCTGGTTGTTAGAGTGTGACCAAGCGAACGGGAAATGCAGGGACACATGACAAGGGAGAGTCCGAAGTATATATGGATATCCCTTGTACTGCGCGCTTCCCTCGAGAATGGGCTCTTGTTGGGGGTGTTACTCGATCTCGAGATGATGTGCGATCAGCCGCAATAGTCCCAAAGTGTAAACCTAACGTCAAGGTGTGATAAGAGCAAAAGGAAAAATTAGCCACTGCCTTGGCGGATGTCCAAAGATAAGCCCGACGAGCAATGACCAGCAAATGATTGGCAGAGTAGACGAAGACCACCAGGCGTCGAAGCCGGGGCCAGGGATATCTGGGCATCATCCGCAGTTGGCGGGCTGAGGTCTGTGTGGCCGGGCATGCTGTATGGCTGATGGACTGCAGCCATATCGCCCCCGACGTAATCACATCGAGTAAAAGTGTGTGCGATGGAAGCATAATGCCTCCCGCAACCTGGGCAGAGATAAAGAAAGACTATTCGCAGCTCCACTTCTGGCGAACAAATAATTAAGAGAGTCTGGTGAAAAATGCGGAAGCGGGCTGATCCACCAGCAGAAGCAATGTTGGGTAGACCAACCACCCGAGCCTGTTGAAGCTCAGCAGCCTTTTGAGGCCCCTGCAAGCTGCATATCTAGCCCTCCTCGTATCGGCCTGGGCCTTCTATGGATGTTACATGGTTAACGATCGATGAGATTGGGGGCGTCTTCAGGGACGATCTAGCTTCAGCCTAGTGAGCGCCTTCTCCTAAGATCTAAAGTCTCGACTATCTGTAATTTTCTTCCCGACTTCATCCCGACTACTTCCTTTTCCTCCTATCTAAAGGGAACAAGTCACCAATGACGACTTCTGATCCCTATCCGTAGACTGCTATCTGACCAGATTTTTCGAAGCTGACCCTTTATCTCCTCCTTGGAAGCGACCATGAAGGCTGCTCCTTGCACCTCGGTCTCCCAACTCCTCCCTTCCGAACAACCCCCTTCTCACGAGCTCAAGCCAGTGCCTACCGTTTTACTCGCCTGGACTGGTCAACGCTGTGGCAGATGCAGCAGTTCTGGTTGCCAGCTCACCATTTGCGATGGAGAAATTCCTCCTCAACGACAGGCAAGAATCCAGGAATCCACATAACTGGCTTCCGACAAAAGTTTCACATATTAGGGGCGAGTCGACGTAGGGTCCAGGGACCGCATGAGCTTCATTCAGTTCAGCTTATCAGCCTGGAGAACCAGCACGGTTTCTCGTAAGAGCTAGATCTGATATCAGTAACAGACTTTGGCAGACGTTTACCGAGGCTGCTTCAGGTGAACCAAGTTGCGTACGGTACTAATAGATGCTCGATACTCGAGTCCATATCGATTTGCCGCACTTAGAGCGAGTGGTAGCTGATTGAGCCTTGGACTAGTGAGACTGTTCTCTATCTGTGAAAATTCCCGCCACGAGACCATTGACCACATGTAGACACGAAATAGGCCCCTGCCGCTCGGTCTCTCCGTCGTCCATCGCGTGGTTTTGACTAAAGTGTTAGTCCGGATAGTTATCGCTCGCCCCCGCATGCCTCGCAGACCATTAACGCAGAACGCTACTGGGCGGCCCATATGGGGGCTGGCAGACCTAGAACAGCCTCCTGCGGTTAAGCCTCGCTAGCCAAGGCTAATGGCAGCTCTCTTGCACGGTTCCCTAACCATGTAGTGTTTGTTGTGTTTATTTCCACCAACGATCCTCCCAACACTCTACTACTCCGTATATCCTGACGGCTAGTTATAGGAGCCACCAATCGAACATATCATGCTATATTCGTACCCTGTCACTCAGATGCCTTCATTCCCAACAACAAAACCAGCGAACGTGGAGCGGTGATATAGCGGCTTATCTTCTCTCAAATCTGTGTAACATCGTACATGGTTCGGGGAAGTCTTCGGAACAGTCTTCTGGAGTGCGCTGAATGAAGCCAATCTCAATCCTCATTCTCTTGGGATGATATTAGTTTCGATCTAGGAGATCACGCATTCTGTCTCGATGCTATGAGACATGTCAGCTGTTGAGGTCCAACATTTGAATATCCTTAGTACGACAGAACTACTTCACTAGGACGAGGTGAACACAACATGCAACGTCGAGCAGCCACGCCACTATAATTTGAACGAACACCCCCATAACTTGATAAAAGACTAGATACACAGAATTTTAGCTCACACGTTGAGGGCCCTGGGTGTTCGGAGTTAACGGCCTGCTCCTCACCAGGGAGCAGCCCCCTGACCTGGGCGTCACACAGCGTGAGAACCATTTCATTTCCTGCAAGCAAAGACGACATTGTAATGCTTTGTCTGTCGCTCTGCCTATGACATATTTGGCATAGCAGGCTGTTCAGGAAGGTAGCTTTCTGTTGGTTTGGGCTTATCGACTTTTGGTCGTGGAGAGGCATATCGCATACAGTTCATGCGTACGTGCATGAGAATACGTAAGTGTCCTTCCTCCGTCTCAGAAAACTGTCCCCCTGGTGATTGCAGGCGTTTCTCACCGGATGGGTTGGGTTTGCTCTTTTTGGAGATTTGCATCAAGTTCGAAATATCGAGGATAGTATCCTGCAGAGGCCCAGTCAAGTGGACAGAGTCCCCCCTACGCAGGTAGAGCATGTTCTTTCGTGCAGTAACCAGATGGCAAAAGACAAACTCTTCTTGCTGGAGACTAATATGCGCATCTTGCCATTGGTTCATCCACTCTTCCAGACTCTGGACGGTGTTGCTCGTAACAGGACAGCCGTTCTCCCACAACACTCATGCTGGTTCTCCCGCGTGAAGGGGTCCGCGGCCTCTATGGCCAAGATCTGAGCCTCAGAATCTGTGTTGAGGGGAAGTTCCTCGAAGTTTTACATGACATGGTAATCGACTCTCCTCTTGTCATCACTAAAGAAGTCGTATACCTGGGGAACATATATGACGGCCGGGTCCAGGATGCGCCGAGCGAGTTTTTGTGCACCTGCTTCTCCCTCTTTTACACCTGGGCACGATTCGCAAAGAAGGTAGAGCCAAAACCATGCGCCGAAGTTAGGGATGGCCATGATAGAAGCCGGGAAATGCTGAGGGAAGGACTGTTGGGAGCGATCTCAGCGTTATACGGCGTCTTGGAGGGAATGGAAGCCAGTGTAGAAGTCGGAAAGAAGTATATCCGATCCCGACGTTGAAATCACATGAGGAACTAACACTTAACTAGGCTGACTCTACAGTATGTCCTTGAACAGAGAGAGATATATCGTGGGCACGTAACTCCATCACGGCCTTTTAGCGACCCGAGCAACTACATTCTCCGAACTCTCTCCTTATCTAGTTGTCCCAACCAGCCTCTCTCCCTAGCGAGGAACGAACTCTTGGACAGTATCACCTTGATCTTGGGAAGAAGAAGCCAGCTCCGTGCCGAGAGAGCCAACATAGTCTGTAGATCAGCCCCGCGGTATCCTTAACCCCTCCAAAACCCAGAATCGTAACGTTCGGCGCCGTTCCTTGGGCCACTGCGCTGTATCTGCATTGTCCAATGGTCCTCAATATTTGGCACAGTGAGCGATGAGCAGGTTCAGTGCCTTTACTGCTGCGATGCCGGAATTTCGAGGGCAAAGCTTAGCTAAAAAGTACCCGGCTAGCCGACTGCTGAAGCTTTAGCTTTAGCACTTGTGTGCTCAAGGCAGTGAAGCACAGGTACTTGCTTCAGACCTCACCAATAGGACTCATGCAAAAATTCACGTGCGAACCATTCTACCAGCTCTTCGGATCCTTTGGACACTCACCATCATGGCACTGTGGAGGACTGTCCTTACAATGTCGAGCACGTGGGATCGAGTTTCGCCAAAATGTCAGCGTGCGAAGGTACGTGACTACTGCAAGCATTCACGAGAAACTACATAAAGAGAGCACCGACCTCGAGGCGACGTGTCCCAATGTGGACTCCAGGTACTACTCTAATAGGGAGGATGGTTGCCTTTGATATTCTTGCCACGTGTCTGCTGGCGTCCAGTGTGTCCGCAGGAGGACACAACAGCTACCTTGAGAAGCAATTCCCCCAGACCTTCTACGACTCTTATAACGTGCTGAAGTACACTGGTGCCATTGGACCATACAGCGACCGTGTTGGATATGGCATCGACCCTGACCCGCCCGAGTCCTGTGCTGTCGATCAGGTCATCATGCTGATGCGCCATGGCGAGCGCTACCCAGACGCGTACACGGCTGCAGGAATCCTGCATGCTCTCGAAAAGGTGTACGCCTCTGGCATCACCAAATGGGAAGGCGACCTCTCCTTCTTGAATACCTGGACTTCATTCCTTTCTCAACCTGGCTACTTTGAGCAAGAGACATTCTCCGGGCCGTACTCTGGTCTCCTGAATGCCTTCAAACGTGGCTCGGAATATCGCTCCAAGTACGGACATCTTTGGGACGGCCAGTCCACCATTCCCATCTTCGCCGGCGGCTACGAACGTGTGGTCGAGACAGCACGGTACTTTGGCATGGGCTTTTTTGGCTACAACTATTCCACCGCCGCAGCCATGAATATCATCTCCGAGAATTACACAGAAGGTGCCAACAGCATCACTCCGACCTGCCTCGCCGACACCGGCTTACTGTCCTGCTTTTTCACTCCGAGAATGCTGCCGCCCCTTGCTGTCGCGGCTGAGCGATTCAATTTCCAGAACCCAGCTCTCAACTTGAACTCGTCCGATATCAAATCACTCATGAGCTTGGCCGCCTTCGAGCTTCAGGCTCGATCACACTCGCCGTGGGTAGACGCGTTCACGCTCGATGAATGGGTTGCGTTTGGCTACCTTCAAGATTTGACGTACTACTACTGTGCCGGGTACGTAATTATTAAATGGCTTCGGTGAGCCTGCTCAACTTGCGGTGTTGGCTAACATAGAGCGAATTCTTCACAGACCAGGAGATCCATATCAAGTCGCGGTTGGCCAAGTTTTTGCAAATGCATCGCTGGCTTTGATGCAATCTGGCCCGGAGCATCTCAGCATGTCGTGGAACTTTGCCCACGACGCCTATATCACTCCGGTTCTGGCAGCTTTGGGTCTGGACACCCCCTCTAGCCCTCTTCCGAACAATTCTATTCCGTTCCCGAATACCTACCGTGTCTCCGACATGGTGCCGATGGGTGGACACCTGGTGCTAGAAAGACTCTCATGTAATGCCACGGCGCTGAGTACGTCGGGGACATTCGTCCGTGCGGTGGTGAATGAAGCTGTCGTCCCATGGCCAAAGTGCCAGACCGGCCCTGGGTATTCCTGCCCATTGGAAGACTTCTCCGATATAGTCCATCAGATCCCCAACTTTGTAGAGAAGTGTGGTGTGGCCAAGGCTGGTTATCCCGAGTACCTGGACTTTTGGTGGAAGTACAACACAACAACGGACTTGAACTACCAGAAAGGGCCGATTAGGTATCAAGAAAAGTATACCTTGGAATAATGACGTCCAGTAGATGGGACAGGAGGCTCAGAGGACATATTTGTGCTCTGGTTAGTTATCCACAGATATGGCACCCTGAGAAATACTCCCAAAGTGGTGTTTCGATACGACACCGTTGGTTGTCTCGGTCTGACTGTAGGACGCTGGACCGACTTCCTACTAGTTCTTCGACGTCAAAGGCTTGGTGAGCCAAGAGAATTCTAGCCTTTGGCACTGCGCTCTGCGTAGAGCTGGATATCAAGACATGAACAATGGTATTGATTTTCTCTCGTGGATGTAACGACAGACCTGCTGCTATCACTGTAACCGAGTTTCGGGACAGAACCATCCTCCAGAAGGGCGAGGGAATTATCAGTGGAGGCGCAGGCCACCATGCTCAACCTGTTTACTTGTCGCTGCACGCTAAAAATAGGCTATTTGGAGAATCTTGCGGTTCTGGAAGCTCTGGACACCGTGCACGAGGCAGCTCCCGCGTGATGGACTTGCCCTTTTCTTTCGAGCCAAGTGTCTGTGCAGGCGGGAAGACCAGTGCATAGACCATCAGTGCTGCAACTCCAACACCACGGGCACTGTCATTCGGTTGCATCTTCGACGCTGCAACCAGATTGAGTTCGATAGATCGAGATCGATAACGCTATGCCCTACAACAGCCTCGAACTACGTTTCGAGCCGAGATGGCGTGGATAAATAGTCCTGAGAACCACCCGTTGAACAAGTCCATTCTGCGGAACAAGTTATCGGGCCTTGGGAGACAACATTCAGATACTCGAGAAAGACAGGCACCATGGCTCAAACTCTCGCGCAAACCGTCGAAGACCGATATCACATTGGTAGTGTGAAGCTACAGACGATACCGAAGCCTCCCCCGATAATCGACTTCTCATGTACGTTTCCCACACGGGACTAAAGGCATCTGCTGACCGACCATTTCGGCAGCTTTCTACGAGGATAAAGACCATGTTAAGGCGGGGCTTGTGCAGCAAATCAAAGCCGCGTGCTTGGAGAAGGGCTTCTTCCAGATCACCGGACACGGCATATCTGAAGACCTGCAACAAGCCATGTTGGAACATTCAAAAGCCTTATTCGCTCTGCCACTAGAACAAAAAGAACAATACGACCAAGGTAATTGCTCGAAACAAACCCCCCAAGCCGTCTAACGACAACGCTGCAACAGATCTACCGATCCCGTGCTAACACCGTCTACCCTCAGCAAAACACCCAAACAGACTCGGCTACGAACGACTACGATCGCAGAACTTTGAGGGCAAAACTGCCGGGGACCTCAAGGAGGGCTTTTTCTTCGGGAGGTCGCTCCCTCGCGACCATGCCTATGTCAAAGAAGGCAGACTGCACTGTGGTCAAAACGTCTACCCAAAAGAAATGCAAGACCAGGCCCGATTCAAGACGACAGTGACCTCATACCACGAGGCAATGACTGGTTTGGCCGAAGACATTCTCAGTATCATTGCCATGACCTTGGATCTAGACAAGAACTACTTCCACGGCTTTTGTCAGGAGCAAGTCTCGGTCCTCAGGATGTTACACTACCCACCTCAGCCCGTAGATGCGAGTGAGGATGAAAGAGGTAAGAGGGTCCAACCACGATGGCGCTTCATGCAAGGAAGATTACAAGACTGACCTAGTCTTGACTTATTTGTAGGCATTGGGGCACATACCGACTTTGGGACCGTGACAATCCTGCTACAAGATGACGTCGGTGGATTGCAAGTGTTCGACACCCCCACCAAGACATGGATAGATGTCGAACCAACTCCAGGTGCCCTAGTAGTCAACCTCGGCAGCGTGATGATGCGTTGGTCCAACGATACCTATGTCGCAAACCTGCACCGAGTCATCAACAAAAATGGACGGGAAAGGTACAGCATCCCCTTCTTCTACACTGGCAATCCCGAATTTCTCATTGACTGCTTGCCTGGATGCGGCGACGTGTCTGGGAAGTCGAAATACCCGCCAATCAAAGTCCAGGACTGGATATCTGGACGACACAAAAACACGTTTTCGGAAGACAAAGGCCTAGAGGAGCTGCATACTCTAGCAAAAGTTGCCTGAAATTTCCGCTCGATGAGATCTTTCCCAAGCAACCTTGAATTTATTATATGATAATCGACATCCCGCAGCACATGAAACCAGGTTTTCACTTTAGACAGCAAGAACATCTTCGCCGAACAAGATGCCCATTTTTGAGCGTCGTTGTTATGTATGAATTAGAGAGGACGAGACTTCGAAATATTATTCGTCTCATACTGTCCACGCAACCATTCTGAAAAAGTCCAGATACCATAGAGCTGCAGATACAACACTACGCAAAGTCACAATTATCCTGTAGACATCTCTTACTTTGTCGTTGAGCTTCGAAGTGCTGGTAGCGGCCCATCGAAATGAACCTTGAATGTGCAGGGGAAGACAAAGTAGGAGCTTTGGTCTTCTCGCATGTAGACGTAGAAGCCTCCCTCCCTCGGAACCTATCAACATTTAGTATGGCTCGCAATACATGAGAAGCCTAATGTCTTACCTTCTTTAGCTGACCTTGAGGGCCAGGAGCCCGTCGTAGGTTGTTGAGTTGTCCAACCGTGCGCAGCATGGCGGTAAGTGCAACCATGCTCGCATCTTTACCAAGGCAGGTATGGTCTCCAATGCCATAGTGGATGTAGGAATCCATTGGCCTGTCCAGGCGGACACGATCTGGGTCTGGAAAGATGCTGGGGTCGCGTGCTGCAGCGACAAAACTGCAAAACACCTTGTCACCAGGTTTGACCGTGACTTGACGGTTGCCATCGTTGAAGACATGGTTGACCTCACTGCGACGATAACTGCCAAAGGTTCCATTCAGACGGATGCCCTCGTTGACATAGCGAAGAAGCTTTTCGTCAGACTCTTTGCTGTCGATCCTTGCGAGGCGTTGAATGTCCGGGAGGTATTCAATACCTTCGTCGCCAAGGTAGTAGTCCATGACCTGACTGAACACTTGAGATTGATTGGGAACCATGGCGGTCGCAGTTGGCATGATCTGGCTGAAAGCCATGTCGTACGTGCTCATGCCGGACTCGCTCAGGCGGCGAATCATATGGACTCCGTACTCTGCCAAAGCATTGTCATTCTCACGGAAGCTGTCAAACAGCTTCGATGCAAATGAGGTTGCAGTGACCGATTTGACATTCATCTCGATCAACTTTCCGAGCATGTTGGCCAGCTTTCTTGCCACCAACCGCAACTGGAAAGACTTGGTCGGCTCAAAGTCGAAGAATATGGCTGTGAAAATAACACACATCGCCATCCATAGCTCTTGTTCGCTGAAAATCCCACCTGGGTTCTTATGTGTCTTCAATGGGAGAGCGAAAATGTTGGCGGCAAAGTGAACGTGCGCAAGGTTTCCCACGTCTCTCGTCAGGTCGACTTGGTTGACATTGGCAATCTTGCAGCTTTTCTCGTGCAACAGTCGAAGTGTGATATCCTGGTAAAATGCTTTGACGTGTTCGTGCCACTTTTCACGATATAGCAAACCATGCATAAGCTCACGTTGCTTGCGATGCAGACGGGTGTCACCGCCCAAACAGAACTTTTCGCCCCCTTTACCCATGACAAAACCCAAACCGTCGTTCCACATGACAGTAAAGTCTTGAGGGCGCTCTAGCAGGTATTTTGCACTTTGGTAGGATGTCAAGTTTACTCTTGTGGGTATATACGTCGGCGTGCTCCAGTCGTAGTCGTGATATCGGCCAAGGTCCTTCATGATCTTTGCATTTTCGCTTGGAATCGTCATGGGATCTTATATCTGTCAGTAGAGCTCCCATCTCGTCAATAGATCACTTACAGTGGGCATAAATGCTGTTGGGCTTGAAATGGTTCGGCAAAGCACGGAGGAGTAGTTTGTAAAAGACACAGCCTTGATTGACACTCAGGTCAAAAGCAACCTCATTGAACCCCCAGTTCGTCAAGTTCTTAGGGTTGTAGTCGAGGGTATAGAATCGGTCTCCCCGCACCAAAGCAACGGCATCTGAGAGAACAACACGAGAGATGGTGTGGGTGGGACAAATCCCAACTCCCGGAACCATGGGCTGTTTGTATTCTTCGACAGCGAGACCAGGATATAGCTCGATGAAGTCAGGATGCTCATAGAGGTGTTTCAACTGTTCCGAAATATAGGGATCGGGGTTCACCTCCTCAAAGGTGTCGTAAGTCTTCAGGCCAAAGAATTTCCGGTACTCGTTGAGTGTGCAGAGATTCCAAGCTCTGCCTTGCATGATTCCGAGAACGGTGATGGCGCGAAGACACTTTGGAGTATTGCGAGCTCCAAAAGCACCCGCAACCTCTTCAACGCCTGTTTGCATAATTTTTGCGAGGTCTCCATCATCGAATTTACCATCGTCACCGCGCTTCAGATGCGCAAACGGTCGTTTCAGAGGATCTTCTGGTATTTCGTGGTCGTATTTGCCCAAGCCGACCATGAGCTCCTGCAGTGAGACCTCGTCAGGTGCTTTGCCAAACAGCTCCTGATACACGGCCTCTGTCCACGCCTCGTCTGTCTGGCCAATACACGAATGCCACCTGTACGACAGGCTAAACTCGGCGCTGACTTGATTGCCCACTCCACGCGGAGTGCCATCACTCCCGAATGTCTTCGGCTTGTCTAGCCGCGGATCCAGTGTCCAAGTACTGTTGGTCCTGTTAAGGTTGACAATCGTCCGGAGGTAGTCGTACAAAGTAATGTTGATGTAGAGTCCACATGTGATCAGCCTACCAGTCTGGAAAAGATCATTGTCGTACTTTTCCCATGCTCTGCTCGCTGCTTCCGACGGTAACTTACTCGACGGCTTATTGAATCGCCCATTCTCATTGATTAAGGCAAGTTGATCAACGACATAGTTGTGGAAACGGTTCAGCATAATCAACATCACGCCACAAGCAGGAGGAAAGGCCAGTAGCCTCTCTTCGGCAAAACAATCCGGCTTGATCTTGCCGTCCTTGAAGGTTCTCATGTTGTCCTGGTCCTCTTGAGTGTCTCCGTAGAGGATCGATAAGTCGAGGTAACTAGATGTTTTGCTGATACTGTAGTCCTGGTGATCGGTCTGAAAGAGGTCTGCGGTAATGTTAGTTAGAGGATAAGCTTGAAGACCAACGCAGATATACACACCATGAATGATTAAAGATGCCCAGTTGAAAAAGATGCTCGACACTTTGTTCGGGTGTGGTTTGAACTCCTCTCGTGCCATCAGAGAGTCGAAGAGCAGACCAGGATCGGGAAGAGCTCCAGGCTGTATTGTCACCGGAGACACCGAGCGAGCATACGGTGTGTTGGCCGCACCTAGCTTGGGAAAAATGTATGAATTGTTCGATCCATCTGCCGACCTGTACCGAAATTCATCCCCAAGATAGGACATTGGGGGGTGCTGCAAGGAATTCCACAGCACATCCAGAAGAGTTCCAGTCAGTTGAACTCTGTTTGCAGAGTGATCTGGAAGAGCGGCAATCAGTTGCATAATCTCCTCCATGTGCATCTTGCGGTCATCTTGTGGCTTCCCGCTCGCCTTGTCCTCCAGCATATGTGAGACAGTCCTGACGTCTTTCAAACCAAGGGACTTGAGATCTGCCAGGAAACCGGATGATTCCTGCTTCTCGAGATACTGACCATCTCCCGACTGTGTGGGAAGTGGACGTCGGGAGGCGTGTATCAGCTGTGCAAATTGCTGGAAGACATCTTCAACGTCTTTTCGGGACGCAGGACCATCCGTATTCGAGGAAGCTGGTTCTGCTGGCGGCGGAGGCATGGACTGGGTATGAGATCCATTTCTCTCTACGTCCTTGGTCTTTGCGAGGCTCTGGGCCACAGAGCTTCCTGGGGTAGTTTCATGCGTTTCCGTAGTATGCGATTCGTCGACAGGCGTCAAGTGTCCATTGGTAGCGCCGTTCTTGATGCCATTGGTGTGGCCATGTTTGTTCTTCTTGAAGCTTGAAGAAAGTCTGCGAAGGAGAGGCATTTTGTGCTTCTGCAGTGCCTCACTTGGTCAGAGAGTCAAGAGCGCCTAAGAAGAGGAACGGGGTACTTGACGACTTCAAAATGTTGCGTCCACGTTGCAGACGAGAAAAAGAAAGGATGTGGGGGGTAGTGACTGATAGCTTCTCAAAAGATCAATCAACGCCCAACCTCCACCTGCTCGACTCAATCGGCGATATGTGATCACTGACCATCCAAGATCAGGGTCATCACCGGCTGATCAAAAGCCCCCCTTGCGCGTGCATGGTACGTTACGCCTTTTGGGCGAAGAGCATCCGAAAACTTCTGGCCGCCAGCAGCTCCACGCATCATCAGTTGTTTGATGCGTACGACCGTGACCAACCAGCTTCCACCACGCAGAACCACGCAGAATTCTAGGACACCGCAAGCATCGAACTCATTGGTCCGACTCGTGCTTGACATGAGCTTGTCCTGCATGACCGAATGCTGCGAGGTGTACGGGTGTCACCGGTCAACTGCTGCAGGGCAACGCGGTGTCGCGCTTTCACGTCAAGAATGATAGCGATCGGCATGGGTTTCCAGTCGCGCACGCAGCACAGAGAGTATGACACGTTGTTTCGAGGCCGTTTGTTCGCTGTGACCGTACGAGGTCAGAGGATGTGGAGAATAGTACCCCAGCACTTCAAAGTAGACCTCCGCCAGATCTGCCTCCAGGTCGACTGTACGGCAAATGAAGTCTCTAACTGGTTAAGCAAATTGGAAATTTCACGTCAAATGTTTCCAGCCTCACTAGCCTGACAGGAGTGATCGTCGCGAACCGGGGCCGGGATCGGGACGAGGCCCACTAGCCGAAGGGAAGAGAGGACCTAAGGGAGCCGATCCTCGACTACATCGTTTGTACACGATGTCGCTGGCCTGTTCAGGCCATCGATCATTTCCTCTCCAAGCGCGTCATCTCCCAAAGAAGTCGACGCTACGGACTACTGCATGCATATATGACTTTTTGATCAGATCGCCTGCCTCTCCCACATCCAGATTGGTAGTGGCGTTGCAGGCGGCTTTCGATCGGACAAAGAATTAGCTTTGTCCGTCGCCCCTGGAATCTCCTGGACCAGCCACCTCTGCCAATTATGCAGAAGCAATTCCCCGCTGCTGACCACTGATCGACCCGTCTTATCCTCGTCGCCAACATCGAATCATTCTTGCGATAATCATTCCCTAAGTTGCGCTGAGTCTGGCGGTGAGCTACTGCTAATTTTCCCCCAAACACGATGGACGGGGTAAGGTATGACAGCACGTCATCAGTCCAATCTGCAATGAGAAGCAGTGGAACTCGTGATCATACTGCTTGTGTGCTCGAAGCGGCTCCAGCAAAGCTCTAAGCTCTGGGGAGTTGAAAGAGCGATCAGGATGGAATACGACCTCATTTCTATCGCCCTGGGCCATCCATCTGCTCTTACCTAGACTCCCATCGTGAACAATGGATATCCCTGACCCAGCTCAGAATCGGCAGAAAAATGTCTTTGTACTTTGCTTTGATGTCGGTGGTCTCAACAATGATACCAGGACTTTTATTGACGGCGTGACAGGGCACCGGCAATAAATTCAGTGGCACAGATGCCGACAGTAACATTCTGAAGCTGTACCGTATGCTTGACCGAACTGATGCAAACATGTACACCTTCTATCAGCCGGGTATTGGGACGTACATTACTTCTCACTCGGTATGGGCCGGCGTTCACACTCATCAAGAGCCAACGACTGATAAGTTAGATGCAAACGACATCCCTCTTTGGTCGAGTTCATTCCTGGTATCTCAAATCCAAAGACTCAGCCATTGGCTCTTCGTTTGCCGAACATGTCATGGGGGGTTACAAGTTCTTGATGCGGTATTACAGCTGCGAAGATGACTTGTATTTCTTTGGCTTCAGCCGTGGGGCCTATACAGCTCGGTTCCTTGCGGAAATGCTCGACCATATCGGTTTACTGAGCGCTGGTAACGAAGAGCTCATAAGGTTCGCATGGAAAACGTATGCCAAGTGGGCCTCCAGAAGGAACAATGGGAGTGCCAGTGCAAAAGAAGATGAAGCAAAGCAATATGAATTTATGCGCGGGTTCCGCGAGACTTTGTGAGCTACTAACTATCTTTCAAGTTACCAAGCTGATGTTTTGAGCAGCAGCCGACCTGTCCGTAGGATTCGATTTATGGGCCTGTTTGATACTGTCAACTCTGTCCCTCGGTTTGAAACAGCATGGATGCAGCGGAGCAAGTTCCCTTACACTGCCCGATCGTCTGCCAAGATCATTCGACATGCTGTGTCCATTGACGAGAGAAGGGCTAAGTTCAGACAGGATCTCATCGGCGAGACCAAGCCCAGGAAAGAGAAGGACCATCCGCACAGCGACCGCCATGATCCTAGTATTGATGAGAAGGCTCACCAGGATGATTGTCGTACACGGCCATCAAAAGCAGCTTCTCCAAGCCCAGAGCCCTATGCCAACGAAGTCCATGGTCAAACAGATAAAACGAGGTATGACGATGATCCAAAGAATGATACGACTTGTAACGATACCGGTAGTCCGAAGATGCAAACCATAAACCATGCAGGATACCTAGCTGTTCCGGCTCGGTCTAGACCCACAAAGTCCAGCGAAAGCCTTGCCGCGCCGGTACAGACCCCTAGTATCGAGCATCTCCGAGCAAGTCCAGGGGTTTCGGGCAAACCCAGACACTTCCGACGGCGGTGGTCAGAGGCAAGGCATTCACAAGATATCCAAGAGGTATGGTTCGCAGGAGGCCATGCTGATATTGGAGGGGGATGGACCAAGACAGCGGGAGAAACGTGGATGCTCAGCCACGCTCCCCTTGTATGGATGGTCCACGAAGCTGAACGAGCGGGCCTCCCACTCGACCCAATGTGAGACCTTTGCAACGATGCTTGCCCGACTATATGACTAATTCCCAAACAGCAAAATGGCACGATTGACATGTATCCCTCACAAGGTCAGCGACGACGGGACCAAATACGACGACCCTGAGAGCCACCGATCGTATCTTCAAGCCTTGGAAGACAGCTGCAGCACCGGCTTGATTCACGACTGTCTACAGCTAGGTGGAGGTCTTTCATGGGCCAACGTCATGCTGTGGAAGATGATGGAGTATCTCCCTTTCCGACGAATGGACCTACAGAAGAACGGCACTTGGAAACCCATTCGATGGTGAGCATTACCGGAGCGATTGATTCACATTTTTACATCATCTAACAGACGGACTTGTGCTAGGCCATTACCGATGGGCGAACCAAGGGATATACCCACTGATGCCCATATTCACAACTCGGTCATCAAGCGGATGCAACTAGTTCAGGAGTACAGACCGGGCAACTTGATCGTGGGAGGGGGTGGACGAGGGATTCGAAAAGCACCAGAAAAGTATGGTATAGGTGAATGGGTCCTTTCCAACAGTGATGAAGACCACATCAGACAGACATTCGTGAGAAAGGGCACAGTATGTCACCACTAACTAGGAATCGAGAACGTACATGGACAGAGTGTCTTGTCTGTCCCTCGTGCAGGAAGGACCGACGATAGGTGATCTAGGTATACAACTAGCTAATATCTACCCTCGAAACGGCTTAGAGACGATTGAATACTGAGGTCCTTAGCAGTTCATTTCCAACTCTACTTTGTTCGCGCACATGAGCCGACATGAGCCGGAGGCGTTGATTGCCTCAACGGCTTCTTGGTCTCAGAATAACGTTATACTTTTTGTCTGGCTTGATAATAGTGAACTCCTTGGAGCCCAGTACCAGGTTGGGATCTTCCAGCTGAATGTCATACCTCAGCAATAACGTGGCCATCATCTTCATCACAAACTGATTGGCAACGTTCCTCCCAATGCACTGCCTGCTACCATAGCCGAAACCCAGGAAGCAGAGCTTCATTGTCGCCATGTCCGCGTTCTCATCGAGCCATCTGTCAGGTTGCCAGCTGTCTGGGTTACGATACACTGCCGGATTCCGCCCAATGATGGCAGCAGGCACGCCTACATCGACATTGCCTGGGACATAAGTTCCGCAGATGACTGCACCACGAGGAGGAGTCAGGCGTGGCATGGCATAGCCAATGGGCGGGTGCATTCGTAGGCATTCAATCTCGGTCGCCTCAAGGAGGCTCAAGTGCTGCAGCTTTGCAAAGGATGCCGGCCTCGATCCATCGAGATTCTCTGGGAACATGTCTTCCAGTTGTCGAATGATACGCTCTTTAACGGTTGGGTTCTTTGAGAGATAGTAAGTCATCCAATTCATGGTGACGCTACCAGTGCTCGCTCCCGCGACCCTAAAATTATGAGGATTATTCTATTATTATCATCATCATCGGATAGTAGTGACTCACATCAACGAAGAAGCCTCAGCCCTCAGCTCCGGGAAGTCCATTCGTGCACCGGTCTCGGGATCTTGTGCTTCGATGAATCGCTGCATGATGTCTTGTCGCGGTTTGCCACTGGGAAGAAGCTGTTGACGACTGTCTTGGAAGCGCCCCTCCAATGCCTTTCTCGCGTACTCCAGATATTCAAGTCTTGCGCGATACAGCTTCTGAATGTATGGCAATGGTACCCAGCTGAGGACTTGCACATTGTACTTGCCAAAGGGCAACATACCACACAAATTGGCGAACCTTTGGGAGAGTTCAACCAGCGTGGAGTATCGCACAGGCTTTCCGGACTGGAGAGCTCCAAAGTTCTTGCCAAAGGCCAACTCGCCCATCAAATCCATAGTGAATAGTTCGAACCAGAAATATATATCAAAGGGCTGCTGGGTGCGTGCGAGTTCGTCCATCTGCCGGAGAAATGCTTGCATGGTTATATCGACATACGGCTCAAATGAATACAAAGATTGCATACTGAAGCCATGGGCAACCATGCGTCGTTTCATTGCGTGCCTCTTCTTGGAGCGAGTGGAAAACAGTGACTCTCCCGTAGTTGAAAAGGCATCATACCAACTGGACTTGCCGAAACCTTCGGCCCCTTTGCCATGACCTATTGTGAAACTCAGCAATGCATAGATTGGACAGAAACACGACTGATTACCGACCATAAATTGCTTTGACGGCGTCTGGGTGATTGAATGAGACCGAACTAGGCCCAGTGCGCACAGCAACCGACCCGGGATTCTCTGCGAAAAGAGTGTTCACCCACTCAGTCCGTCGCTTGTCCTTCAAAGCGCTGGCTTCAGGAATTCCGGATATCCTTGTAGTCCATGGCCCTGGTATCTTGCTCAAAGGTGAGAAAAACAGTCGGTACAATAGTAAAGCGCCATATGCAGCTATCGCAAGGCCAAAAGGTGCCCACACCGAGATAGTGCAGAGCCCGGTATCGCTCATGTTGGCCAGCTTCTTTTTGTGGAATCCTTGTTGACAGGCTCGCAGATTCCAAGTATGTGTAGGTAAAATGAGAGAGTTAATACACTTGGTCGAAAGAGTAAGTCAGCGGAGAGAGAATATACATGAAAAAAAGAGAGATAGAACTACAACGAGGACTTCAGCGCAATTAGAGGGCACAATGATCACATTGAGAAGAGGATATGGGGCAGCCCTTGCTCACCGCGATCAGCACAGTCTGTGTGCTCGGCAGTGGTACGGGTGTGAGTACGAACACGCAATAAGCACACTTGTAATAAGCTGCCAGTCGAAAGATAAGTATGGTCCTTCGGCACGAGTGGGAGCGCCAGCGTCCCCCCCCGAAAATGTGGAGGCACCTCCACACATCCCTCTACCTTTCTTTACAACCCCCCTCCAGACGCAGCCCTGTGGAGGAGGGAGTTATACTCGTAGCTCCTCTTCTCCCCAGCTCTTCGTCTCTCTCCTCTCTCTCCCTCTCTTCTCCTCACCTCTGGCACTGGTCATAATGCGGACAGATGCCTATTGCTCCGGAGAACAAGGCTCCGTGGATTTTATGCTGTGCTCAACCCTCGGCAATGATATGCCCCACAAACAGAATGTGTGAAGCCCTGCTTGCAAAAGAGTGTCCCAGGTCTCTCTCCGGAACACTGCTGTCAAAGGATGAACGTTCATGTGGTGCAGGCCATAGATCCTCGGCTACAGAACTTCGACCGAGTCCCTGAGGATCCAATGAGACGGCTGTGCTCCCTGTAGATGCTAAACTACCGATTGGATGAATGAGGCCATCGCCATATCTGCCCTCGGCATTCTGCCGGGACTGCACCAACGTACTGTCAGTACCTGAGAAGCCTGTACGGAGTACTCGCACAGTGTCTACAGCACACACAGCTGCCGATCCTCCACAAACAACAACTCGCTCCTCCACCATTTCAAGACCCAATCTCGCCTAGCCGACGAAAACAAGCAAGTCAAGCTCCACAAGGTTGCGGGGTGGTCCGGAGTTGGATGTTTGAGATCTGGAGTAGCGAGTGGGTTTGAGCAGGAGTACAAGAAGTGCCGCGATTCTCCTCGCTGGGCCCGGCAATGTCATCCTTATTCTCTTGTTACTCATTTGTCTCAAACCCTTTTCTCAGCCGGACAACGATGCCAGAAATAGCGGAGCGAAAGGCTTCCATGGACGCCGAGGTGGCGGTTTCTCACAACGAGCAGCAGGAGCTTTCGGCAGGATATGAGGATCCTCACAAGGCTGCGCTCGAAGACAATCCCGAGCACGCTGAACGGCTCAGCCTCTCGGTTATACTTTCAGCCCTCTTCCTCGGCACATCCTTCACTGGTCCAATCATCTTCGGCTTCATCCTAGCGACACCTATCCTTGTGCAACTGAGTCAGATTCTTGGAGGGGACAAGATTGACTTCTGGGTGCCCTCAGGCTGGGGTGCTGCTGCCGCAGTCGGATTCTCTGTCGCTGGTAGGCTTTCAGACATCTTTGGCCGCCGATATGTCATCCTGGTCGGACAGCTGCTCACGGTCGTGGGTGCGGCCATTGCAGCCAGTGCGCACTCGATGAACCAGCTCATCGCCGGGACGGTGATCCTTGGAGGCTCGATCGGAACAGTGTCAGTGGCATATGCAGGTGAGTGAATACTTTTAGACACCTGCTTTGGGAAGTGCTGGATTTGAAACCCCGCAGTCGTGCTCATGTCTTTGGCCAGGTCTATCTGAGATTCTTCCAAACAAGTACCGCGGCGTGGGTCTGGCATGGACTGAGCTCAACCTGGCAAGCTGGGCCGTCGCAGGGACACTGCTTGCGAATGCTCTTCTGTCCCATGCGAGCTGGCGGGTGATGTACTACATTGCTATCGGATATGGCGCTTTCTCCTTCATAGGCACCCTCTTCGTCTACTTCCCACCTAGTCATCCGCGCCCTGACGGCCTCACCAAATGGCAAGAGTTCAAGAATATAGATTTTCTTGGGATCTTCTTGTTTGTCTCCGGCCTGGCCGTCTTCCTGTACGGCCTCAACTCCGGCGGCAATACCTACCCGTGGAAAAGTGCCGGTACTCTGGCACCTCTGATCCTGGGAATCGTTGTCTTCCTGGGGTCTTTCGTGTACGACTTCACAATTGCCAAGGATCCACTCTTCCCGTGGTACCTATTCAAGAAGTTCCGCGAGTTCTCGTCACTGTTGATGCTGGTTTTCGTGGCGGGCATGGTCTTCTTTGCAGCTTCTGCGCTCAATGCCCAGACGATTCTTTATTTGTACACAGCCGATCCCATCAAGATTGGTGTCTACTCGATTCCGTCAGGGTGAGTAAAGTTTCACACACACACACACACACACACATGTGGACAGTCGTCCTCGGACCCGTGCGCCCGTGCCACTCTTCGTCAGAAGTGAACAAGTGCTGACTAAAGGTTTGCAGTGCTGGCCAACTTGTCGGAGGCGTCATCATTCCAGGGCTGGTCCACTACATCAAACACGTGCATTACCAGTTGACATTTTCAGTCTTCATGCAGACATTGTTCTTTGGGCTCGCAGCCCTCGTCACGCCGCACAACATCAACTGGGTCATGGCAGTCCAGTTTCTCGCCATGCTGCCATTTGGCTGGATCACCTTGAATTGCTACACAACAGCATCTCTCCACGTTCCCCAGAAGGATCTCGGGGTAGCCATTGGGCTAATCGGCACCTTTCGCTCCTTGGGAGGAGCAGTGGGCTCGGTCATTTTCTCATCCATCTTCACCCAAATTTCTGCGAAACAGGTTCCGGAGAGGATCGCGAATGTGGCATTAGGTGCAGGGGTGACGACCAAGACCCTTCCGGAATTGATCGAAGCAGTCTCTCTGACCATTGTCGGTGTGCCTGGCCAGGCTGCGACGGTGCCTTCAGTTTCCTCAGCGGTGTTTGATAAGTGTGTTGCTGCAGCTCGACTCGGCTATGCATATGGCTTCCGTATAACATGGCTTGCGTCGATCCCGTTTGGAGTCATCGCTATGCTCTGTGCTGTGGCTGTTCGGGATCCTTCCAAGTATTTCACCAACCACGTGGAGATTCATCTTGAGAAGGAGATTGGTGGCGCCAAGCACGTGAAAGAAGCAGAAACAAAGCAAGTATAGAGAGGTTCATTTGTGGAATTCAAGTGAATGTCTCACTTTTTCTCCATAAACTATATGTTGTCATAGTGGCCCTTAGGGTTGAATATATATATCTACTATATATACCCCGAACTGTGCTTTGTCCCTCGTTCAGGAAAGGGAGTGAAGCTGTGACAGAGCCGACTACGGGGATGCATAGGCACCCTCTGAAAAGTGTACGGAAAGGCATCGTAAAGTCAAGGGTGGGCACTGGAAAGATTACGGTAGCCATCGGGTATTGCACATAGCATGGCTATATAGTTCCGCATTGCACTGGTGGGGCAAGCAAGCGCTGAGCTCCCTGAATCGATCAATCTCATCAAAAGTGCTATTTACCAAGTTCACGAGGCTTAGGGGAGACCGATGCCTGCTGAGAGGCAGGTTGAACCGACCGCTTGGAGGCCAGATTAGGCCTTTCAGCTCCCTTTTGCCCCCATGTGATTCTCGAGGGTACAGTAAAATTTCGCAAAACAGAGGTATAAACCTCAGCCTACTTGACCCTTACACTTCAGTGACTTGCACACCCAACCTTACGCCTTCCTACTCAGTTCATACTACAAGGATCTGTGACTGAAGTAGCTCCACCCTGGAGTCACACAAGAAGCTCTGACACGCGGTTACTTACCTGTTTTTTAGCAGCCTCTAAAAGCAGCATTACGGTCCTTATCATAATACATTAGTTAGGGGGGAGTGAGGCTCACAAAGTGGAAGCAGGCCCTGACTTACGCCATTCTTGAACTCAGCCCCACTAGGGTACCAGTACCTCGTGCTCGAGCAACGTTCATCCTAATCGTGCATCTAAGTTACGAATTAGTTCCTTATTACTATTTAGTATTGCTTTGTCAATGCATCTACCATCTTCATTAGCTAAATATAGAATCCTTAGCAGAGCCCTCTCTCCCTAGCTCCTCGTAGCCCTTAGAGGCGCTCGCCGATCTGGTTGCCTCGTCGTAAAGCCCATCATGCACAGATACGAAACGGGCAAGCCAGGCGAAACCGGTGAGATGCAGCCAGCGCATCCGGTGAGGCGCGACCAGATGCATATAACGATCCCCTCCCAATCCCAACGAGCCGCAGTCCCCCTCCTTCTCAACTGCAGTACATGAATCTCTTCTACTGATACTTCTTTGTAAACCTCTGCCATTCAGTTCGAAACTCAGCCTGTGACGCTGGAGGGTTCATTTCCTCTCTGGCTTTATCTCGAATAAGTTCAAATACGCTGTTACCACGCATAAAGAGCTTCACAATGCGCTTACTCCACACTAGAGACCTCCGAGTACAGGATTTTGCCCCAAGCGAAGCCCCTAGGTCATATGCTATCCTTTCTCACACATGGGAGGAGGAAGAAGTCACCCTCCAACATATGGAAAAGGGGGATGCATCAACAATGAAAGGCTATCAGAAACTCAGGAGTAGCTGTCAAAGAGCAATGAAAGATGGGTACGATTGGATCTGGATCGACACCTGCTGCATTGACAAAACAAGTTCGGCGGAGTTAGGCGAAGCCATTAACTCAATGTTCACATACTACGGACATTCTGCTGTTTGCTATGCATATTTAGCCGACATTGAGAACCCCGAAGGCTTCGGCAAAAGCAGATGGTTTACACGCGGCTGGACGCTACAGGAACTTCTTGCGCCGCGGCATCTCATCTTTTTCGATAAATCTTGGAGGGAGCTTGGAACAAAGCAATTCTTCTCTAAACGAATATCTTCTGGCACTGGAATTCCAGAGGAGGCAATTCTTGGTACATCTGTCCGGACTTACAATGCAGCTCAGCGAATGTCATGGGCTTCCCGAAGACAAACCACGAGAGCAGAAGACATCGCATACTGTCTTCTCGGTCTCTTCGATATCCATATGTTCCCTATCTACGGTGAAGGTACGGAACGAGCGTACATTCGCCTACAAGAAGAGATCCTTCGTCAGAGTGAAGATCATACATTATTTCTCTGGACCCCAAAACATGATCCTTACAATCAAGGCTTACTAGCCAGCTCGCCTGAAGCATTCTGTACCCACCCCGAGTGTTTTACCTGGATGCCTCAAGAGCTGTGTGAGAGCCAACCTACCTTCGATCCATACATGTACTTAATAAGACAACCTAGCAACGTCTCAAAATATCTGTTCAAGCTCGATACAAAGACTTATCGAACTGGGCTTATCCCAACCGAACACCAGGAATTCCGGACTCCAGCGTCGCCGTCTCTTGGGCCGACAGGCTTACAGATTTCCCTTCTCTCTAATATTAGGGATGAAAGCGAAGACTCACGAGTTATGGGGACTGAGTTGAAGATCATTATGTTCGACGTCCTACTCCATGGGCCGGATTTTCGAGCCCCTATTCATCTTTATTTACGGCGGGAAAGAGCGCCTGAACATCAGGACGGCTTCGTGCCTCATCGACTAGGCGTATGGAGGCGCCCAACCTACTCCGAACTACAAACCTCGTATTTCACTAAAGCTCCTCCGTTTTCATTTCAACGAGTGCCGGTCGCAGTCTCCCAAGTTGAAGCCATCGTGCCCTATTCCGGACATGACCTTAATTTTGTTGTTAGTGGGAACCAGAGCGAGGAACTCATTGATTGTGTACTACTTGTGGATTCGGACGGTTCTTTGAAGAATATCTCCAATCCACGGGAGCCTTTCAAATGTCGTGCAGGTGTTGTTGTTTTGCAGCACTCTTGCGTTCAATGCGACATGCAAATCAAGGCTGTACTGTACTTTGGAGGCCATGGCACAGTCTACCAGCCATGGTGCTATTTGACCCATTTGACCCCTCCGGGAAAATATGAACCTTCAAGAGAGGACTTATTTGAGCGACATGACCTGGTAAGTCGTGAAAGTGCTAGATTTGGTCCTCGATCGAGTTGGCATATGTCATGCAATGTTGAAATGAAGGTTCAAATCGATTTGAAGTCAGACCAGGATTTTTACTTCATTATGGTAAGCTCAGCAAAGAAGGAAGTCTACCATGTACAATAAACTATAGTGTGCGCTCTACCGCCGCGTACAATGGCAGCTCTTCAACTTATTAATTCTCCGTGTTTCTGTTACGACTGTGACTGGCTAACCTACCTCGATTGAATCCCTGCAAACCCGGATGCTGAAACTTGCAGTGAAAGGAAAAGAGGAAGAGAAGTATTGTCCTATCCTGTGGTGCAGAACGGGGAGATTTAGTTAACCCCGTCTAGTAAAGTGTTAAGGAATACTCTCAGAGATCCTGCCAACGACTATTTAGTCCACTCGCTCCCTCGCCCGCTCTCCTTCCTCTTTTTCGGACTCCCATTGCTATCAAACCAGCCGGTTTGCCCGTGTACGGACTCTTCTTTGCTGTGGCTAACTCAAAACGCCTTTAGACGACTGTCAGACTGGTGAGACAGTACTTGAATCGCCATTCCCTTACGTGACCCTTATATACAGTTGACCTCCGGGGGAGCAAAAATCCCATTTCAAACAATCAAGACGACGAACACAACCCTATATCCTTCAGCAAGTCTCCTGCAACAACGTCAATGCTTGCAGCCTTGGAGTCCTCGATTCCGAAATTAATAAATACAACATCATCGCTGTAGCCGTGGTACTTCTGACCCTGCGACTTCCAGCTCATAGAAGTCACATAGAACATTTCCGTCTGGTCCCAAGAGTCCAGCGACTCAAACTCGGGCCCTTTCGGTCGCTTCTCGCCAGGTTTGCCTCGGCCGTGGATCCAGATGGGCTTGGACGAAATCGCATGGAGCTCAAATGGAGCGGTGCGTTTGAACAGGATGACATACGGCTCGTAGACGCTGTGGAACGAATAGTAGCTCTTGTGTTGGATGATGGTCATGATGTAGGTGTTCTCGTCGTTGGGTTCGCAGCCCAGATCGGATCGCTTGCACAGCGTGATGGCCAGGGAGTTGGTGGCCTGGTGGATCGATTCCAGAGACTCGGCGACCTTGGGCATGAATCTCTGCATACATTTTTCGTCGCTGTATCTAGCCATGTGTGCCATGTCTCCTCCATTCACGGAACCGTCCCTGTCCAGCTTCGCGTACGCGCGATTGGGCCAAGCGTCGTAATGGACATATGCCTCGCCGCCCTTGTCCCAGAAGACGAACCAGTTCTTCTCGATCAGGCCCATTGGGGGAGGCCTCTGAAGCTCGGTGGCCAGACGAAACGGAGCCCCGCTGATGGTCTCGTAATGCCAGTCGACCAGCACTCTGAAGTCCTGGATCCATTGGCCGAAGCAAGTATAGCCTGAATTCGATCCGAAGACGACCAAGGGCGAGCTTGGGCCATAGAAAACCCTGGCGTCGTGTGGTCCGATGCTGAAGGCGAAGTACGACAAGTCGCCGACGCATTTGTCGCCTGCGGTCACTGCGATGGGTAGATTTCTGGGTGGCTTGGTGCACGAGAGCTTGCCCTTCTTGAACTTTGCTTCGCAAACGAGCTCGGAGAACCATATCGACTTGTCCACGTCCTTGGCCCGAAGCTGCTGTGCCACAATGATCCAAGTTTCTGGCTTTGCAGGATGCGGTATTATGCTGGGGTTGATCGCTTCTTCGCCTCCGAAGTCCACAAGGAAATATTGCTTGTTCTTTGTCGAGGCTGAGAAGACCTCCACGTACTTCTCGGATAATTCATGCTGGAGCTTCCCGTGCTTGCCGAAGGACAAAAAAGAGACTTGGTCTTGATCGGCCGAGCCTTCAGAATTCGTAGAGTCTGTTTTCAGCAGATCAGCTGTCCATAAGCCCGTCTGCCCGCTCGCACTGCTCGGACTGTGTTGGAATAAAACGATACATGTTGTTATGAAGATCAAGGGCACCATGAACAACAGGGCAAGCCGTCGGGGGTTTTTGACCAGCATTGTATGTGATAGAGGTAGAGGGAAGGTCTTGCAGGTTTTATTCTGGTGAACGGGCGGACTTGGAACTATATACATCGTACCTTTGCTCTCTGCTGTGCCGACGCGGTGTGGTGGGGTTGGGCGGGGAGGGTGGCCGCAGACTCCAGGGTCGCCGTCCAACCCAAACTGGTTGCTTATGCCGGTAGAGTCGAGATTGAGTCTAGATTACCAGGGTCGCTTTAGCTCATTCTAGATGATCCCGTTACTGCTGCGTAAAGCGCCTGTCTGTACATGTGTGCGGCTTGGTTCCCTGCAGCAGAGCTCGTCCTCCCAGCACCACTTTATTACCGTTATATCTGTGTATGTTTCGCTACGATTACTACTGCTACCTATCATTCCACCCTTATACAGACTCCTTACAGTTTTGTCAGTGGCATCTGCATTCTGCTGTACAGCCACTGCGAAAACTTGACAGAAGGTTCGTCAATCAAGGTCGTTGCCATTTCCGCGATCCAAAGCGTCAGGGGCAGGAGAACCATTTGAGCCAGCAAAAAACTCAACTCCAAGCCGAAAGGTCCAGTCTTTGGCAGTGGCAAGATATTGATCCATGCAGGAGCATTAATGGCATGAGATTCTTTGGTCCAGCCGACTGCAGCATACACCCTGTCTCCGATCGACCAAAGAATAGGTCCGTGGACAAGGTAGAATGCAAACGAGATGCGGCCAAGATACTGGCTGAATCTTGTCTCAAAGAAGCCTCTCAGCCAAGAGATACGCTGGATCGACGACACCAAAAACACTGACGCCCAGAACAGGTAGAACCATTTGTAATCAAACACGGCCTGAGGCTTCAGCCTTGATAGATAGTTCCATCCAGGAGAATCCCTCAAGACATGGATATCCGCGCTGTGTGAGGGACAGCCACCTAAGTACAGGCTGAACGCAAACAAGATATAGCTGATCGCTGTCTTGTAGGTGCCCAGTTTGGACAGCGGACGAGGTAGATTGTGAGCCTGCTCCAGTAGGTCGAGGTCACACAGAAGCATCCCTGCCATGAAGAGAGCGAAGAACATGCCATCGGCGATGTACATGAAGTAGAAGATAAGGCCAATTTCGCACCAGAGTCGGGCATTTCTGGTACACCTGGAAAGAGCCTGTAGTGTGGTATATATGACAATCGAGCCTTTGAACTCAACGGGAATGGACCACGTAGGAAAGCTGTAGCTAAACCACGGGTTGCCACCAGTGTTGAATACAAAGCTGAAGTTTTTGAATTCGCAGTACCAGTTCCAAAGCTCTTCGCGATATGTAGATTTTGGCTCGGGCTCCGCTCGATAATTGAAGACATGCCAGGATGTCAAGTACAAAAATGTCGTACAGGCAATAGGAATGAACAGTCGTAGCCAGCGCCTGAACAAGGCGGACGCTAGGTTGTCTCCCAATCTCATATATTCTCCCGATTGTATCATAGACAGTGGCTTAGCGGCAAGAACATATCCAGACATCACGAAGAAGATGGTGACGGCAAAATGGCCTCCTGAGAAGAAGAGTCGTATGATCGGTAGACATGCAACGTAGCGGGTATTTTCATAACCATACGCATTCTCCAGGATCTTGTCTGCAGATAGAGAGTCGTGTGCCCATAGTTCGTGGTGGCCCCAGTACACGAGGAGTGCTGCAAAGCCTCTGAGACCATCGAGGTACGCTGTCCTCCGTGCTGTCTCCCTCGACGGCACGGCTATGCCGATGAACGAGGGCTTGACCAGGTCTAAGACCCATTGCTTTGTACGGGTGAGGCGAGAAGGCTGTGATGAAGGGTTGAGGTCATCCCAGTAGCCCTTCTCCAGAAGACCATCCTTTGAAAGAGACATTTGTAGGGAATGGAGTACCAGAGGACGGGGGATAGAGCAATACCAATCCCGGGGGAGTCTGGAGAAGGGATCATGTCATATAGCGTTCGACATGAATGGAGTCCGGCATTCAGACAATCCTTAGCGGAATCGTCAGCACCATCATCACCAACCTCTTGATAATGACATGAGTTGAGCGGGCTCGGGGACTGTGTTGGTCTTTCACATGCATCGTGAAGAAGTGCAGATCCCGAGGCAATAAGAGACTTTCCTCTGAGGGTTCCAGGGTATACAGTAGTTTCTGCAAGGTAGACTAGCTTACTATTCGTCGAGTGCCAGCCATTCTGGATGTTACCTTGTGACTTCGGTATCCCGAACATCGCGGGTAGCAGTTCTGGGGTACTCCGTGTAGTCGGCAACCCTGGCTAACTCCACGGTCGGTTTCATTGGATGGGCCAACGAACCCAGTGGGCGCTACCTCCCCACCCCAGCTGTTCCTGTATACTTTAGTTCCTGGTACCAGTATACTTCCGCCGCTGTGGTCGACCAAGTGTGTGGAGTGAGACTAGCCTTTCATCGGTCTCCGGATCCATTCGGTGAAGCTCGAGAAGAAGCGCCGCACCTGATCCAATGGTGGGTGTCGCCAGAAACACTACGATCAAACAGGCACATACGTCCGTTCAGGGACGAAGCACGAAAATGCTTTTGCTGCTCATCGTACTTCCGAGTCGACAACCTGTGCCTCTGGCGCATTCTGCAGCACCATTCCGAGCCTCGACTCTCGAGCTTGACGTCAGAAAGAGAAAGATGTTCGATCAGATGCTATTCTCAGCTCTGCTGGTTGCATTCCCCACCGGCAATCCATGCGGTGTGGTCTGCTCGTGCCTTGGTCGGAAGACAAGCATTCAGTTGTGAGAGCTTCTGCGAAGACTCAAAATGATCCTGTCCACCCGTCCCTGCGTCAGCTAAGGCACGGACATCTGTAGAAACCTCCTAGAGGAACAATGCAATCTGCGACTACACCAGTACTTGGAGGCTGCTTGCCCAAGCAGATCCGTCGCGCATTGCCAGTATGTCTTGTGCTGGTGCTTCTGGCTCTTGTGTTGATGACGGCCGGATCGTTGGGCGAGTTCAGCGCTGAGGTATCATACCATGCCTCAATGGCAAGCGGCAGATTCCCCAGAAAGATCTGGCAGACGTGGAAGGTCGACCCTCTCGATTTTGAAGAGAGGGATTTAACTACTGCGCGCACCTGGATCATGAAGAATCCAGACCACAGATACGAAGTCTTGACGGATCAAAACGACCTTTACTATGTGGAAACATACTTCGGCCCTGCTGGATTCAACCGACCCGACATTGTGCACACATACAAGTCGCTGACGGCGAGGATTGTCAAAGCAGATCTACTGCGGTATCTTGTCATGTATGCAGAAGGTGGCGTCTACACAGACATCGATGTTGAAGCGCTCAAACCAATCGAACGCTTCATCCCGAGTCGATACAACGAGAAAGACGTTGACATGGTCATCGGCATTGAGATTGACCAGCCCGAATTCCACAACCATAGCATCCTTGGTGGGAAATGCGAGTCCTTTTGCCAGTGGACATTCATGTCAAAACCTCGACTTCCTGTGATGATGAGACTTATCAACAATATTCTGAAGTGGCTCAACGAGGTTTCGAGAAAGCAAGGGGTTCCGATCTCAGATATCCAACTTGACTTTGACGAGGTGATCAGTGGCACAGGACCATCTGCGTTCACTCGAGCCATCATGGAAGAAATGGCAGTGCGAACAGGGGAGGCTGTTCATTGGGATTGCTTCCACAATCTGGGCGAGTCCAAACTGGTTGGTGGCATTCTCGTCTTGACCGTCGAAGCCTTTGCGGCCGGGCAGGGACATTCGGATTCTGGCAATCACAACGCTAAGACGGCGTTGGTGAAGCACCACTACCATGCCTCCGGCTGGCCAACCACCCACCCCCGCTACACGCATCCAGTGTATGGAGAGGTGGAGAGGTGCAACTGGGACGCAGACTGCGTTAGAGAGTGGGACGAGAACAAGGCAGCGTTCGATGCGTTATCGCCCGAAGAACAGGCAAATCAAATTGCCATGAAGGAAGCCGCTGACGCAGCGCTGCTATCGGCAGAGACAGGGTTTCCCGCAGAAGGGCAACTAACCATTCCATAGAAGTAGAAAGGATAGAGTCGTCCACCGTGGGGAACTGGATATCACGATGGGTCTTGGTGGTTTGTCGCCAGCGGTAGCGTTAGCATCATCAAATGATCAGTGGTACTGTGACATTGGTCGGAATTCCGGTCATGCCAGCTGGAATCCCCTACTAGACAAGGTGTGATGAGTCGCCACCAAATGGCGTACTGCATGTGAAGTGGAAAAGTGGTACAGAAATGGTCGTTCTTCGCCCACTTGTTGCATGGAAAAATAGCTTGAAAGTCTCGCTCTTCCTGGTGATTATACTTTCCTGGGCATGGTCCCTGTTTGATGACTGCATACAGTTCCTGAATACGCACACCTGCATCGACTTGCGCTGGTCGATCAATGAAGATGTCTCGGCTTGCTAAACGAGAAGAGAACCCATGACAGGTCCTGGGGTGAGGGAGGACGAACCACTAGAAGGAAAAGGAAATCCTACCGAAGCGCTAATGTTGCGATGATATCCCTCCAGTTGTCCTCAAGCGCGATGCTCACGTACATTATGTACCAGAAAGCCGTGCGTTGCTTGTTGTGTGGCAGCAGCTTGAGCTTGTTCACGCAGGCGGCTTTTAGATCTCAGAATGGATTGTCGTCTTGCAAACCAAGCAGTGTCACAGAAGACTGAGCAGGGCTCGAACCGTACACTGGCCCATGGGATGAAGCACGAGATGCGGAACGAGGGCTGAGTCCTTGAGTCGATCAATGGTACTCCACAGCTGATTTGTCCTCGATGGTTGCAGCAGGGCGGGACGACGATAGACTCGGAACCGATCGCTCTCTAGGCTTGTCCCAGGATTTGCATGAATACTGTGCGCAAAGCAGGAGTAGGAAACCAGAGTCATGCTGGAAAGCCGTTGAACGCTGGAAGACTCGGACATCGAACACAAGATCCCGAGGTAACTTATCTGCATACCTAAGAAGCGACTACCGAAAGGCTTGTCCTTGTCGATCCTACGTTAGATGAGGTATGGAGCATGGGAGCTCCGCACACACCTTTCCTGGTGACACTATTGTATCCTGTACGCTCGTACATGTACAAACACATCGGGGCGTGCAGGGCCGCAGGAGCTGCACCAGCCAGCAATTCCAAGTGGGCAGCCAGCGACTGGGCCCGGTGCGCAGGAGGACGGATCGAGCGAGACTTGACGGGGCACACGACACCTTCCTGGAGGTGAGGTGATGTCGGGATCGAGCGAGGGCGTGGAGGGTGTGGTCAGGGAAATGAGTCGATGGGCAAAGTCAAGGCGAAAAGCTGGAGGACCCCGGATTGTGCGGTTGATGATCGTCTCTGCGTGGCCGTTGATTGGCGCCCGTGGCCGGACGAGGCTCCCAGTTTGGCTTAGCCGGCCTTGTGTCCCGCCAGCCCACCAAGCGGGGGATTTGCCTGCGCCGGCTGCTTTTAACGCCCTAGGTATGCACAGTAGGTACCTGGAGCTGCCGAGGTTGCTTGTACCTAGGTAGGGTAGTAGCCTATAGGCTTGGGATCGTAGGCTAGTAGGCGGGTACTAGTGGCCCAGTGGTACCTGTAGCTTACCTCCCTACGGACCACCTCCAGGAGGTACTTGTCGGCAGCAGCCTCTAGCTAGACCCGTAGATACCTCGCCCCCCAAACAATTCTAGCTTCAACCTCTCTCGTCTCTTCCGAACCTCTCGCAGCCCACAGTGGTAGTATTCTCTTAGCAACCATCGGTCTCAATTTCGCTCAACAGCGCTGCTCAATTGGCATGTGATGCACTGCCAGCCTCGGTCGAAGAATCTCCTACGCCGTCGCATGTGATGGACAGTCGTGGTGGCCAAACCAGGCTGGTGGCCATCGGACCACACACCGTTTTCGTCGAGCACTGACACTTCGATGCTTCTCTTTTGCCCCATTGGAAAATGTCGCTGAGAGAACGAAGGAAATTGGCGTTGAGGTAGGGAGGAGTCGTAGTCGTCCCCAGATGAAGAAAACTTATCATCTGGGGGAACGTCCAACTACTACTCCCCGCGAGTGTTTTCTGGGTTGGTATCTCTTTCGCTTCCCTTCGTTTGCTAGCCACCTTCGTTCCTCCTTTTTATTTCTCTGAACCACACGGAGTACAGATTCAATCATGACAGACAGCATAGCACCAGAAGATCCCCAGGAGAAGCCAGTGACCGTCGAGGAGGAAAGCCCAGTCCCGGCAGATGGAAGGAAACGAGCAAAGGTCAAGCGCCATTGTGGTCGCTTTTGGTGGATTTACACCATTATCTTCATTGTGGTGGTCCTCGTTGTCGTGCTCCCGATGTATGTATCAGACTCGCCCAAGCTCTGCACTGAAAGACCTTCTAACCGCGCCGGCAGAGTATACGTCGCTTATCCGCACAAGGCTCAGTCTGCCATCAACAAGTCAACACTGCTGGTCACTTCACAGGCGCTGCTTAACCCGGCGCCAGACCACTTTGACCTGGACTTGAACAGTATCTTCTTGTCCAATTCCAGCCTGCACGCGAAACTGGATCCTTTCCTGGCCGACCTCTGCCTCGAGGACTCGGAGATCCCTTTTGCTCAACTTTCTATTCCCGCGATTGAGGCAGCCAACGGTACTCACGAGCACGTCAGCCAAACAGTGCAGATCAAAAACAAAGACCAGTTCTACGACTATGCTCGGACCCAGCTAGCGAGTGAGGAATACACCGTCTACCTGAAGGGCAAGGGTGGGCTGAAGTACGGAGGGCTGCCCAAGACGACTGTCAAGTACAACGACAAGATTGTTCTCAAAGGTGCGCTTTCTGCAGAAGTCCCATCGCATGGATCATGCGCTCTTGCTGACGTTTCACCAGGCCTCAATGGTCTTGAAGGTTTCAATGTGACTGACTTCAACCTCATCATGACCGCACATCCCGACAATTACAACTCCAACGGCACCGTGCTGATTCCGAATCCGTCGGTGACCACGTACGAAATGGGAAACATGACCATGGACATGTACGTGGGGAACGTGTCCATCGGAAACTCGACGCTCGAGAACGTGGTGTTGCGGCCTGGAAACAACAGCATTCCCCTACTCGCGCTCACCAATCAGACGGCCGTCGGTCTGCTGCTCTTCACCAACTACAAATCGGGGATTTTCCCCATCGAAATTGTTAATCGGGGAGTCGTCAGCAACGGCCAGCATCTTCCCTATTACGAGCAACCTCTGCAGGCCAAGAACCTCACGGTCAAACTGAACGTCATTGACGTATTGGAGAGAGCGGGACTTGCGCAGGCTTTGGGAATCAACACCACCAGCTCGGCGAGATGATGAGCCGCCGAGAGCCTGGCATGAGAAAAGGCGACGACAGCCGACCAATCGTGCAAGGCTCCACGTGGAATAGTTTAATCAAAATGCATATTAATCTTTACCTATGAACAAGACGTATATACTGGGGAGAGACCTTGTTCTTCCTCAAGTTCGTTGGTCCACATTCTTCGTTCCTCGTTGAAAGTCCGGATCATTGCGCGTTCGGAATCCTTCCTTTATCGTTAACTCATCTGTCTCATGGTAGACAGCCAGCAAGTAGGGGATTTTTAATTCCCTGGTCCTTTCAAACCAAAGCAGTTCGCATAATACGTGACCGTCGACGACCAATCAGCGAACATACCCTTGATGCCGATCTCGCGGCCCATGACGTCGAGAACCTCGTACATCTGTCCGTCGTAATGCACTACGGGGGCTATTGAAGCGTAATAGTAGTCGTCGTCTGCAGCGACACGCGTCAGGGGCCCGGAGCGCTCAAACGACCACGCGATGATGTCGAGCCCGGCGTTCTTGGCCGTGATGGCATAGTCCGAGGGCACGATGGTGTCGTTGTTTGGACCCCCGACGGCCAGCAAGTAGTTGATGGGCGGGGAGATGATGTTGACACCGCTCGCCTTGAGCGCAGGGAGACGGTTGACTGCGGTAGTGAAGTTGGACGGGTCGTCTCCGTCCTCGTCGAGAAATACCGCCTGGGCCCCCCATTCAGGATACTCGTTCAGCCACAGGTACACGTCGGCGGGCGTGAAGGACTGGGGATACACGCGGGCCGGGTCGATGCCGTGGGCGATGAAAGTGTTGATCATGTCTCGAGCGTACTGGGCCTGCGTGTAGCCGTTGAAAGGCATGGGGACGGCCTTGGGAGGGGTCTTCAGCTCGGGCGTGTAGTTGCGGTAGCCCGGAAGAGAGTCCACGAGCTCAATGTAGCTATCTAGCGACATGACCTGTCCGCACGTGTCGTACAGTTCTGTGCGGAAAAAGGGAACTCCGTGCTGGTAGTCCTCTGGCGTGGTGGCACTGGCGTTGAAGCCGTCCATCTTTCCGCAGAGAGACATGAACTCGTCCTTGGTGATGTCGGCCGTGCAGCATAGGGCCGTGGCATCGTGGGTAGCGTTGGCCGGCGTGAATGGAGTATGACACTTCTTCGCCAGCTCCGGTCTCAAGAGGATATCTGTCGTGGTATGCAAGTCACAGATGTCGTGTCTGCATACTAGTCCGCGGTCGGAGGTGAAGGAGACGTCGCATTCTAGGATTCCAGCACCCATGCGAGCACCAGCCATTGTAGATTCCACCGTTTCCTCGGGGATCATAAGTGTGCCACCACCGCGACTGCAAGACTGTCAGTCAAATGCACTGCGGCGAGCAAACAGCGAGCGCAGACAACAGCTGGTGCCCGACCTGTGATGCCTTGCAGCAAGTACTTACTGGCCTATGCTCCAGGCGGTCACGCCAAACGGCCCGTTCTCACACGATTCAAGTTGGCTCTTGAGAGGGCTCTCGGTCATGTTCTGAATAAGATAGTAAGGGCGAGGACCAAACGAGATGTAGTACTCGTCCGCCGGGTTGTAGGCGAGTTTGGGAGTGTGCACCGGCCATGCGACGGCAAGCTCTGCCGTCAAGGCCATGACAGCCACAGTACTTATTGTCGAGCGCATCGTGGAAAATAATTCTTTCTCTTTCTCACCTGCGCAACTCACCGCCGTGGCTAAAGAAGAAGAAAGACTCGGGCCTGCCGATCAGGCGATGCAACATTTTTGTACCCCAACTCTGAACCGCAGCTCAATGCTGGGTGACGACAAGAGCTTGTAGCTCAAGACACCAAGGCATTAACCCTTACCTGATTCTGCCACCACGTGGAGTGAAAACTGACATACAACAGCGTGGATTGGAGGATCGTGAAGCTGGACAGCAATAGATCCCACCTTGCAAGAGCTTTGTAAGACCTAGAGATAGAGATCCCGTCCGAAGACCTACTGAAGGTAGAGATAGTCTGAGCTTGTCGTATCGGACAAATGAAATTGAAGGATAAGCAACGTGAGCTTGATGTACCTGCATACATGCAGGCGAGGAGCTGCGGTTTCTGGGCAGAGCCATCGACTAGACTTGAAGAGGAGGTTGAAGCCCTGATGAGCTTGTAGCTCGGAGCTTTGTCCCCGGCAAGGCCGGGATGCCCTGGGAGGAGGTTACATTAGGCGCAGTCCGGGCCCAATAGCATCGACGTAGACTCTCTGGCCAAGGCTCCGCGCAGGCCATGGCTCCCTATAGCTGCTTGGCGGCAGCTGAACTTCTGCATCTGATGATGTCGATGGGATGCGTGTGAGATAATGGCGGATCCCGCAGAGAGATGGTTTCTCTCCATCGGCCGAACTCATGCAGAGCATTCGTATATCTGTACGTCCAATCGACTACTCCGAACAAAGCATGTTCCAAGTGCACTCGCACTGGAACATCGATGTGGCATTTCCACGCATACGGAGAATGCCGCTACGCGAAGCATGAAAAGCAGGCCGGTGCTGGTCAGGCGAGGTTGTGGTATGCAAATGTCCATTATCACGTTTCTCCGTACCTAGAGATCACCAGCAGCCGAAGCGGTCAAGGTCTTGAAAGAAATGATCGGATTAGTGGTCGCCCAAGGGCTTCCGCTCAAGAGTATATAGCACTGCAGGAGATGTGTGTGAATTGAAACCAGTTGGTGCTGTGTATGTTACCGCATTTGCAGAGTTTACAATGCTGCGATGGCCCATGAAAACATGCTGCTACTGCGAAACATCCCGCCAGGGCTGTAACGTTCCCGGTTGGTCATATTGGCGCCATAGAGCACGTTCCGCTGTCAGTGCTTCGTCGTAACGTGATACCGCGTGCTCGAACTCCGTATACCAGTCGGGAATATTGAGAAGTCCGTAATGCGCCTTTGTATATTCCCAATATTCCAGATACCATCCGGCAAATTGCCAATCAACTATCGCAACGACCTGGCAGTTGCGCGCGATGAGGTTGCGAGGTGTCAGATCTCCATGAGTGAAGTACGTGTGGTGACGACGGGTGTGGCACCGCAAAACAGATTCACCATAAACTTTTGCACAGTCATCCAGCGGAATGAATATATCCACGGAGAAAGGGATGGAATTCCTCGTTGCTGGTGAAAGGTCCCAATGGGCGGTATCCCACTCGGTAGTCGAGACATCGGCCAAGGTCTGCGGAAGCGACAATCTCTTTATGTGGCGGTTTCAGCATTCGAAGTTGATCAATGTAACCAGCAACCTGCATAACAAGAGCCTTTTTCTCATCAGGCGACAATGCACCACTAGCCCATAGGGCCTGAAGCGTATCCCCTTTAACATATTCCATCTCGACGTAGAAACGTCCATCAACTTGGTAGGTGTGGTATACTTTCGGGACAGGTATGGAGGTGCGTTGTGCAACATATCTCTCGGCTTCAATCTCCGCTGATTCACATGGACCTTTGTTAACACGGCATCCGCTCACTCTCGTCACGCTAGGCCCCAGAGAACCAAAGAATTTCTTGCCGGACCAAAGTCGTGCTTGGAGGTAGAGTAATATGACTTTCTCGGACGTGCGCATGATGGTAATATTCGAGAAGGGACATGACCAGAAGAGGCTGACGATGGCAGCTACAGGTGAAGGGACTTCTGCGTGACGCCGAAAGGTCCTGACAATAACATGCCTCTAAAGCACACTTTCATCTTCGCTATGCGCAAATGAACTGTATGTGTACCTACCTGTTGGTAGCCCTCGATAGCACAAGTATGTCGGCCCGACACCCTTCTTCCCCAGGCGGCAGAACTCGGCGAAAGTATTCGGCGTCGTTCCGAGTCTCTGTCTGAGGAGATCGTGAGCAAACACGTTGGCGGGGACCACGTCTGTACATTGATTCCAGTCGTACAGGGATGTGTGTGACTTTTAACAATCAGTTTCCTTTGTCGGCGTTAATACTTCACCCTATGACTGTTATACGGTGGAGTACTTAGCGACCCCAGTACTACAAAGCTTTCTCCACACGCGGCTACTATCGGTATCCTCGGTCCCGGCGCAGTGTGCGTCGACACTCTCCAGTCAATCCCTCATGTACAACAGCTTAGGTCCCTTGTTGCAAGCAGGTCTTCTTTCAAAGGATCAAATGTGTCCAGATACGTAGTCTCTCTGGAAACCTCAACCATGCCTCCCAAATATACGCCGACGGCCTCCCTTCTGCGCAGTCTAAGCCATGCCCTTCGAGAACAACAACCCCTCTCTTCACGCACTGTACGGGCACGACCAGCAGCAACCTTCACCCATGCTCGGCATGCCCAAGCCATTTCAATCCTACCCACGCTTGTGGACAAGGCCAGTCCAGAATATAAAGAAAACTCAAATCAACTGGCGAGTATAATGACCAAGTATGCGGACTTGCATCAGAAGGTCTCGCAGGGCGGATCACAAAAAGCCCGGGACAAGCACATCCAGCGCGGCAAAATGTTGGCACGAGATCGAGTCACAGCTCTCATAGACCCGGGAACTCCCTTTCTCGAACTCTCTCCTCTAGCAGCACACGAGGTTTACGAGGACCAGGTCCCGGCCGCAGGCATGGTCGCTGGAATCGGCACAGTCGAAGGGGTGACGTGCATGATTGTTGCCAACGACGCAACGGTAAAAGGCGGCACATACTATCCTCTGACTGTGAAGAAACATCTCCGAGCACAAGAGATTGCTCAACAGAACCGACTGCCCTGCATCTACCTCGTCGACTCTGGTGGTGCCAACCTACCCAACCAGGCCAATGTCTTTCCGGACCGCGACCACTTCGGTCGCATCTTCTTCAATCAAGCACGGATGAGCAGCATGGGCATTCCCCAGATTGCCGTCGTCATGGGCCCTTGCACCGCAGGCGGTGCATATGTCCCTGCAATGTGCGACGAGTCCATAATTGTCCAGAACCAAGGTACCATCTTTCTCGCCGGCCCACCTCTCGTCAAAGCAGCAACTGGCGAAGTGGTGTCCGCCGAAGACCTTGGTGGCGGCCAGCTGCACAGCAGTGTCTCGGGTGTGACGGACTACCTCGCTGTTGACGACGCGCACGCCATTGTGCTTGCTCGACGGTCCGTCTCAAATCTGAACTACCCCAAAGACCAGCCTGCGCCGGCCGAGGTTCGGGAGCCGCTCTACGATCCCGAAGAACTGCCTGGCATCGTGGGCACCAATCTGAGAAAGCAAATTCCCATGCACGAGATCATCGCACGTGTCGTGGATGGCAGTGAGTTTGCCGAGTTCAAAAAGGACTACGGGTCCACGCTGATCACCGGCTTTGCACACATCTACGGCTACCAGGTTGGGATCGTGGCGAACAACGGGATTTTGTTTTCCGAGTCATCGCTCAAAGGTGCTCATTTCATCGAGCTGTGCTGCCAGCGCAACATCCCGCTGGTGTTTCTACAGAACATCTCCGGGTTCATGGTCGGCGCCGATGCCGAAAAGGGCGGCATTGCAAAGAACGGGGCCAAGCTCGTCACGGCCGTTGCGTGCGCCGACGTGCCCAAGTTCACCGTCGTAGTCGGGTCGAGTGCCGGCGCCGGCAACTATGGCATGTGCGGCCGCGCCTACAGCCCTCGGTTCCTGTGGATGTGGCCGAACGCAAAGATTGGCGTCATGGGCCCAGACCAGCTCACGGCCGTCATGGAGACGGTAGGCAAGTCTGTCGACCCGGAACTGCGGGACCGGATCGAGCGCGAGAGCGATGCGGCCTTTTCGTCTGCGAGGCTCTGGGACGACGGAGTCATCCCGCCTGCACAAACGAGGCACGTGCTGGGCATGGGTTTGAAAGCTGCACTGGGAGGAAGGACGGAGAAGAGTAGTACCAAGTTCGGCGTTTTCAGGATGTAGGCAGTACGAAGACGAGGATGAGCGCCTGGCTACCAGGTAGGCACCTTAGATACCCAGGTAACGACCGCGGGTGAGAGTGTTGGAGTCTAGATGTATGCATGCTACGAAGCAGATCAACTAAGTTATCTTGTCTTGCGCTCTGTTGTCTGGTCTATGTCCTTGTTTACTTTTTTATATTCCTGTCGTAAGCGTTTCGTGTCGATCCCATTCCATCCCAATCCTTCCCTTCCCTATTTGCAGTTTTTACTTTGCAGTTTTCACTTTGCAGTTTCATTTCCTTTTCTATGTTGATAATCTGTACCGTCCGTGTGGTGTACCTCGAACCCCTGCCCGCCGAATATGCCCATGAAATCGACGTAATGGAGAGAGATGTAGGAACGTGATTGATGAAGTGGTTGGTGGTGGTGTAGTAGATGTTGAGAGGTGGCGAACTGTGGTGATGCATCCCAAGCAACTTGTAGAGAGGTCCTCAACCTAGGTTATGGTAGGTAGGTCCCTTTGGGTGCATTTGGTGGTGATGATATATCAATCAGGTATCTCTTCCCTCCCTCGGTGTTCGCCCCGTACCCGTACGGTACCCAGGCAGATAAGACACCTGCAATATCTCCTTCTCACGAGATCTTTCCGCCTCACTTGACTGCGACAGCCCCTGGGAAAATTGAACGTGCGGAGTATCTTTGCATGACGGGTGACTCCACGACTCATGACTGGCGCAGGCCACAAACCCTGGATCTCATCCTCTAATGGCACCGTGTTCATTCCCGTCCGGTCCGGTCCTGTGTCCAGTCCAATGCACTTCCCTTCATCTCAAGATCACAGAATGACACAACGGTCTCGATTGCGAGATCGCCTTCCGGCCGCCCTCCGATCGTGTCGATTCGGCCTATCTTGTCTCCGAGCGGCGAGCTGCTGATCGTGCTGCAGCTGCTGCAGGTGACCTCGGTTCGTGTCGCGCTGGATGATCTGCGAACAGAGGTTGTGAAAGACCTCGTCGACGTTTGTGCGTCGGCGGGCCGACGTCTCGTAGTACGGCTTTTGGCCCCACGACTGGGCGAGCTGGAACGCGCGGGCGCGCGGGACGACGCGCTCTTCTTCCATGTCGGACTTGTTGCCGACGACCACCAAAGGGATGTCTTCGTCGTCCTTGATGCGGATGATTTGTTCGCGCAGCTCGGCCAACTCGTAAAAGGAATTCATGTTGCAGATCGAAAACACCAGCAAGAACCCCTGGCCTTGTTTCATGTAGAGCTCCCTCATGGCAGTGAATTGCTCGGTTCCCGCGGTGTCAAGTCTGGAAACAGAAAACAAAAGAAGGGCGGGCATCGTTAGTTTCAACTCTCGTCTGGTAGGTAGGTAGGTAGGTTGGTAGGTAGGTAGGTAGGTAGTAAGGTAGGTAGGTAGTAAGGTAGGTAGTAAGGTAGGTAGTAAGGTAGGTAGTGAACCTTGGGGCTATGATAAGAAGACGGGGTTGTACACGGTGGAGAGAAAGACCAGAAGGGCAAAAAAATGACATACATTTCCAGGATGATCTGTCGCCCATCGACATTGATTTGCTTGCGATACGAGTCTTCAATTGTCGGATCATAACTCTCGATCCAAACATTTTGGACAAATTGAGCCGTTAGACAACTTTTGCCGACGCCGCCTGACCAGAACAAAAACAAAACGAAGGGTCAGTTCGGGGTACAACACTAAAGGGGCCTGTTCCCCAAAGAAGCTTTGGTTCTTCGTAGAATCCAGACTTACCTGCACCGAGCACGACAATGTGATATTCACGCCTGTTGGCAATCAAAAACAGGGCATGTTAGTCAGAGGAGAAAGGACAACATAATGAAAGGCGGCGGCAGAGCTTCTCAGGGCTTGCCTGCCTGCTTGATAGCTTGGTTGCTTACTTACCTGGGTTGCAAACTCATGCTTCCGTGTCTCGCGGTCTCTCTCTGTCTCGCTCTCGTACTCGCTCTCGCTCCGCCCAATCACTCGTACAGCCTCTGCGCTCGCCTCCCAGCAACCTCGTTTTTTCCTCGCTCGCAAGAATTGGAAAATTGAACAGTCGGTCGCTATGACGCCTACATCTCAGAACGCGTGTCTGGGCTCCTTCCTTTGATTCTGTTCTTTGCAGCAAGTAAGTTCGCCTTCTGGGAGGGAAATCTTCTTGGCGGGCGTTACGCGGCCTCGAAGGAATATTATATGTATCGTCGTGGCGTAGGCAACAAAGGGTGTCGAGCTCTCAATGCCGGAAGTTTTGAGTTTGCGTGGTGCGATTCCTGTCGAGCGGGAAGCGGTTCGCTACGAAGTCTAGTCCAGTACGGCGTCCGGTCGAGAGTGCGTCGGCTCTTTTTATACGAAAGGGCCCCAGCGCGTTGATGTAAGAAGAACCCGTCAGAGCGCGGGTGACAGCCGATACGGACGGTGACAGGTGGTTTTGACTGGTTTGCCCGCAAAATGCCTGGGCTGAACACCTGGCGCGGCCGACTGTGCGCAAAGCTCTCAGCTTCTCTTGGAAGCGCTGTGGTCGTCTTTCGGTGGATCCAGCAGTCAACAAAGACGTGGATTGTGATAGAAGCGCGGGCGATATGTACTATTCTGGGGGCAAGCAAGCAGCTAAGTCGTTCAATCAGGTGAGGCGTGCCTTTTGCGAACAATCTGGCTGTTTCGTGCCAAGTGGCGCGCGCTCTGGCCTTAGGAATCTCTGGAGATTTGACATGGACCTGGGCAGAAAGCCATATTTGTATCGTAACGGGAATAATAACCTTGTCCTTCGGTCACATCAACTGTTAGCCGATGGATGTGGTTGGTGGGCGAGTTCAACAGTAAGCGAGTCTTTGGGTGTATGGGCGGTAGAAGGACTCGGAACAGGTAAAGAGATGTGACCGTTCGCTTCTTTTTTTTTTTTTGTTTTTTCTGCTCTTTTATCGGCGTACCACCGCGCTGGGAAAGAAAATTTCGAGGCTAGTAAGATGCAGTACAGTGGTAGTGTGTAGATGGGCTTGGAAAGAAGAGTGTACTGTGCAGTAGTCTGGCTTAAGTGGGCGGGAAGAGTCAGAGGTACCGCATCAGCTCATCATCATTGCCATCCTGCATGCAGCGACGATCTGAGTGGCGCCTCATTCTAGGAGCACTTGGGATCACTTGCACGGATACAGATACTCAACAATCACTAGTTAGCAGCTCCATCGGACAGTCTCTTGGGCCCTGAATGTCCCTGCGTGTAACGGACTGACTCCTGAGTTCCCCGCTGCCGGGGAAGTGGAAGCGTCCCATATTCAGCATTAACTTCTTTAGCCGCCTCCTTACCGGGCATTAAAGGGCTAATGAAGCAGTCAGGATCAGAGTGGGCGGCGCGTACAAGCACAGCATCTTAGCCTGGTGAGCCTACAATGCTTTGGACGGACTAGTTCGTGCAGGCTGGCGAAGCTCGCGTGTTTATCAACTTACAATTATCATGCTACGGATCTAGTTCCTCCGGCGGTGTTGTACGGGCACTTGCAAAGTTGTATTGAATCTCGTGCGCTGAGACTGAGACTTAACCCAGGATTGCGCTTTGTCTCCAGACACGTCCGAGTACAAAGATGGACATTGATGCCCAACCCACGTCATGTTCAATTGACGATCTTCGAGGGATCTCGAAGTTACACAGACGACTCAAAGGGCTGTGGCTTTTTATGACAAGTCCTCGTCCTCTGCAAGGTCTGCCCAACAACAAATGCCAATGCTCGTATCCGTCGGTGGCTTGGGCCAAGATCGAAGCCTTCTCCTCGCTCACGGCTGTTGAAGGCGCGAGGAAAAGATCGCCCGTAACGCCACATGGTCGTCCCGTTGTGCTCGGTTCGCAAGTTCGCATGTGTCGTGTAGCGGGTTGTCAATCCCTTTCTGCAGAGTACGAGTATGTTTGACCTCCCGCAATGACGAAAGGGGCTTGAGGTTTCCACGCTTCGAGATCGGCAGGGACCCTTAGTGACCGTCACTTTGCTCGTTGGCTGGACGCGCAGAGTCCGCGGTCGCCCTGGATTGCCCTGGCAGAACGGACGAGAAACGTGGCTGAGGGTATCCTCGTCCTCGCAGGATCTCCATGACGCCGATCGTGTTTCAGGAACAGGAACAACCTCCGGTGATGCGGCAGTCCTGCGAAGAACCCTCCAGAATCGTCATTTTCACTGTTCAGTTGCTCGGGCAGTTCAGACCAGCTGCGTCGTCGGCCCCAGGCGGCTCGTACTCGTATCAGATGAGGATGAGTTTAGGACAATCGAGACCTTGAGCGGTGGAACGAGGAGAGCAAAAGCCTTTGGACACATAACCCTAAGGAAGGGCCCTCTCACCTTATTTCCCTACGGTGCTCTCACGAGCCAAAGTCATAATGAGAAGGGTATTGAGTCAGATACGATCGGAAGTTGATTCGGGATTTGTACTTCGGTAAGCTTTCTGTGCTCACAATACGGAGTACCGTCTTTCTATCTGGTGGTCTGCTCGCATACACCGTGCTAGTCACTTACTACCGCCTCTGTTCATCTAGGAGCCTGCAAGATTTACTCAGTCGCTTCAGCTTCGAATTCGACTAGCTCAACGCCGCTGCCAACGACCTCCCCCTCTCCGTGAACTACCCGCTTCACCGTCATGTCTGAGGCCGGACTCCGAATAACTGTTTCCATCTTCATACTTTCAATGACCAGCAGTGGTTGATCCTTGGTCACGACATCCCCTGGTTTGACCATCACTCTCAAAATCTTGGCGGGCATAGGAGAAAGCAATGAATTTGCCTTCTCCGTCACACCAAGGGCTTTGGCGAGCCACGATGGTTGGCATGGTAACAGACGGAAAGAACCATCAGGAGTGAAAAGATGGATTGCACCACTGGACACAGGACTCGACGGAGCAAATATCACGCGGGATGTGTGACGCGTGTGTGGGAAATAAGTAGTCAGCGTATTCGTAGAAGGGTCAAGGGAGGAAGACACAGTGGTAGCCGTTGTATCGGACGGCTGTTTGAAAAGGAATTGGCCAGGGCTTGTTTGGTGAACCTCAATGGAGTGGACATCAGGACTTTTGCCCGGACCTGGCTCGAAATCTGCGGACTGGAAGTGGAAGTTCCGAGGCTGGAAGTCGGACGTAGTGTTCAGCCATGAAGTCGACGATTGTGCCGACACTGGCAGGACTGTGTTGTTTGTATTGTGGCTCGAATTGTGTAGATACGAGGCTATTGCTGCTTCAGCGAGTACTTCTGGTGTGACTGGGGCTTGCGCAAAGAGCTCCTGTCGATGCTTTTCAATATATCCTGTCTCAACTTTGCCGGAGATGAAGTCTGGAGACCGGCATACTCGTCTGACAAAGTCAATATTTGTTGCTGGTCCTGCCACTTCATAGTCTTGCAAAGCCAGAGCCAATTTACGAAGGGCATCTGTTCGGTTCGGTCCTCGTATGATCAGCTTTGCAATCATCGGGTCATAATGACTGGAGACTATGTCCCCCTCGACGAAGCCGCTATCGATGCGCACATCCTCGGTTTCGATAGGTAGTCGCACATGGATGAGCTTCCCTGAATCCGGAATGAAGCCTTTATCGGGATTTTCTGCATAGATGCGGGCTTCGATGGCATGGCCACGTTGAGAGATTTGCTCCTCGACTTCGGCCTGGGTTAGCGGAAGCGGTCTACCTTCAGCGACCAGGATTTGCCAATGCACGAGATCTTGCCCTGTCACCATTTCTGTGACCGGATGTTCGACCTGAAGCCGGGTATTCATTTCCATAAAGTAGAACTCGCCAGTGTCATTGTCGAAGATAAACTCCACGGTCCCTGCGCCTTCGTATTTGACAGCCAGAGCAGCAGCACGAGCCTTGTTCCAGATGTCTTTGCGAATCACGTCGTCTAGATCTGGCGCCGGCGACTCCTCGAGTATCTTCTGGTGTCTCCGCTGAATGGAACAGTCTCGCTCGCCCAGGGCAACGCAATTTCCGTGCTTGTCGGCAAAGACTTGGACCTCGATGTGTCGCGGTGTCGTAATGTACTTTTCCACCAGAACCTCGTCGTTCCCGAAAGAGTTGCGCGCTTCACTTTTAGCGCTCTCGAGCATATCTGAGAACTCTTGTGCATTCTTTACTATTCTCATGCCTTTGCCGCCTCCCCCCCGCACAGCTTTGATGAGAACGGGATACCCGATTTTGTCGGCCTCCTGTGCGAGTGTGTCTGGGTTCTGATCGCTTCCATGATATCCAGGTACGCATGGCACCCCGGCCGCATTCATTATCTCCTTGCTCCTAGCCTTGTCTCCCATATCTTCGATGGCGCTCGCCGGGGGCCCAATGAACGCGATCCCCTCCTCCGCACATCTGCGGGCAAAGTCGGCATTTTCAGACAAGAAACCATAGCCGGGATGTATAGCCTGGCAGCCTTGTTCTTTGGCTATCGACAAGATCTTCTCTTGATCAAGGTAGGCGGCGGTCGCGCCGAGGTTGAACGAGAATGGGGACGAATGAGCGTGTTGTGATCGAGCATCAGGGTCCGTATAGAGCGTAGTCGTTCGAATGCCGTACTTGGCCGCGGTTCTGTTCACCCTTAGCGCTATCTCGCCTCGATTGGCGATTAGTATGGAGTCAAGCGACTTGGTATTGTGTTGGTGGTCTGCATGTGTTCTTCGAAGTTGGCGGTTGACGTAGGATTGCACGGCTGGCCTCGCCCTCCAAGCAGGGGTCCGTGGCAATCGAAGGTGTGACATGGTCAGACTAGCACTGGAAGCCTTTCACCTTCATGCTGCGGTTCAGACGCGAGGTACAAAGCACCCAGGGAGACAGGTAGATATCTAGGCAGGGAGAGGTGGTTGCAAGCCATGAAGCCCCAGACGCATACCTCGGGAGCCCGGTTAGTGACGGTTAGAGGGGGCCGGGACTGCGTAAACTGCGGAGAAAACAGGCCGCCCCGGCTACGGGTCTTAGCGCTCATGCACTGCCTAAGACGCACGACTCAGGCAGGACTGTGTGCGAATGCTTGCTGCGGGCTTTTGCGCGCGTTTTCGTATGACATTCTGTCCAACACATCTCATTCACGTCACGTCGGGTTGGGAATCTTGAGCAAACCATGGTTGGCCTGTCCTAAGGCTATTCTGAGTTTGATGCTGGGTTTCCATCGCCTTGATTCACAAAAGACGCCGACAGTCAGTCCCTCTACCACCTCGCCGTCCCTCCTCATCACCGTCCTCTTTGCTGCCCCACAGGTGAACATGAGCAGATGAACTCGCCATCATGTCCGACATTGAGGACTATGTACATTCCCCCTACGATGACATCGAGGACATATTGGAGGATGCCGACCCTGCTTTGGAGTTGGCTGACGACCTTGCGGATCATTCCATGCCGAGCCCCGTATATCCAGATGAAATCGCCGGTTATGACATACAGGAGTACTTCAGCGATTGGGATTACTATTCCGACGACTACATGGATGATGATCCGTCATTGTTGAAAACCCACCCACAAGACGGCACCGTCCCGGAACAAGCAACGTCGCAGAAGCCCGGAGCCAAAGCCGAGAAGAGAGGGAAAAAGAGGAAATTGGCGGACCGATTTAATGCGCAGCCGTCCGACGAAGAACTGTTGGTCAGAAACATCCAGGGAACTTTGTGGGCAAAGCCAACATCGCCCCGGACTCCACCATATCGGAAAGAGGATGCCCCAAACGTTGCCCTCATGAAGAATTGGAAGGAGATTTTCGCCATCACGGATAGCGGGTGGGGTCGCGAAAGCGAAAACACAGAAGATGAGTCGTGGGCGAAGGACATGAGTCTGGCAGATATGGGATTGAAGACCGTGCACGGAAAGAGAATGGATCAAAACGATGAAGATGAACCCGGCGGAGACGAGGAAGAGAGTGAATATGAGGAGGTGATGCGGGTGGATGAGAACGAAGAGGGGGATGGTGCGATTGAGACAAAAGATGGTGACGATGTGGAAGTTATCGAGGATATAGAACCAGCGCCAGCAGAGGAACCTGTGGACGATGAGAAACTGCCTCGAAAGCGACGGCGATTGCAATCAGAGTCGGCAACATCGGCAGCCTCAGACTCTGCTCCTGTTAGAAAAGCGGCCACCACACTCAGGAGCGCCGCCCAGCCTCACCCACCCGCCTCGCGGACAGGGGCAAGACTGAAAGAGACAAGACCAATGGCCTCTACCGACACACAACCACCAGAGCATGACAAGGACTCCAGAACAAACGGATCAGCGCCGGCTACGAACAAGAAGAGGAAGGCAACTGAGGAGCCCGAGGAGGCAGGCATGTCGAGATCTACCGCGAGCAGTCGTGCGAAGCGGGTGGCAGCGAATGAGTCCAAGTCGTCTGTTAAGTCGGCGGATAGTTCACGTCGAACGCGACAGTCGAAAAAATGATGTTTCTGTGGCCGACGGATTGGGCGCCCAATGACTTGTCTATTCCACATAATGATTCAGAGCGATGAAGCTACATGTTTGTTACCCGGTAGATGGATACGAGGCAGGAAAGTAAAATTGCTTAGATACAATCGATCCCATTGGAGGCGGCACTTGAAGGCCGAGAGTTGCCCTCGGTCCCATGTAGTCGACTGTTTGCAGCAAGCGACTGTGCAGTAGCGGTAGCAGTATGAACGGTCCATGCTGGTCCGAGCATGTATATCGGGATGTCTCTCGTGTGTATCTAGTTCTGTGCAGTTGGTGTAGGCGTATGTTGGGCCTCCGTATTCGTCTCAATAAGGATGGAGATGCTCGTTCTTGGCGAGCATTGGCCGAGTGGACACTTTCACCGAGACTGAGACTGCGCTCTTCAACAGTCTCTTCCGAGATAGCTTTCATTCACATCTTCCCCCCGTGTGATCGTGGTCTGTCCGGGCTCATCGATTTAACTTTGCTCTGTGCTCCTCGGCCCCTTGCTAGATTGAATCACGCCCGTCCGAAAAAAGCCCCTGTCGCACCATCGTCCTCGACAACTCTCCGGTTCTGGCTGAATAATTCACTCGGGGGTATGTTCATATACACGAATCCACTCTGCACAATGCCATTGTGTCCCCTAGAGGTGGCGAAGGGGCGCTATGTATCCATCATCACTCCTGGCTCTTGGAGAAATTTTCAGAGACACCGCTGACCGAAGCATCTTGCAGACCAACCTCGGTATCAACAGGTCTTGGTTCATGGGGTGTCGAAGATCTTGCTTTGTTTGTTAGCAGAGAGAAGGGAAGAGAGCCAAGATGGCACGCGCTACATCCCCTGGGACGATAGAACGAGGTATTCAGGTCCAGTCCCGCGTCCTCGATCCGACTGACCTTGGGCGTTCAGGCAGTTCCTATCTATCGTCTCCGGACACTCCCTCGACCGCTTTTCCCGAACGACTGATCCGTCCTCTTCCTAAACGATCGATAAAGTCTCGCCTGTCTCAGGAGGCCGCCGAGTCCATTACCTATCCTCCGTCGTTACCCTCGACGACCCTTCCCTCGTATGCTCATTATGGTGAAAATGGAGATTATCCAAATGACAGCAAGGTGTTAGTCCACCATCACAGTGACGGTTACGATCATGACCATGACCATGACCATGACCATGACCACGACTCTGATCACCATGACCATGATTGCCCGCATCATCACCATCATTGCCACCACGATGATTACGACGATGACCTGGACGACCTTGACAGCATAGTGCCCGTCTCTCACTACCTGTCCTCATCCCCGCGCAGTGGACGCCATCCCAGATATTCCAAAGGCAGTATTTCAGGGCCCGATGGTTATGAGGCGTTCGAAAACACAAACAATAAAAAGAAACGAAAAATACCAACCTCCGGCAGCTTAAATCTGCACCACTCGAGCATGACGAATGAGTTTTCGCACATGGGCCTCAACCACGACGGATCCGCCGACGACGCCCATTACAACGTGAAAAACACTAGTGGCAATGCTGGTCTTGGACTCCAGGGCGCTGGTAGAGGGCGTAATGCAAGAAAATTCCCGGGAAGAAACCCATTAGGTGTTTCGGTCAATGGCTCCAATGCCCGATCATTTCCCTCCAAATACGACCAAAGTCTGACGAATAATACCAAAGGTACGTTGGGTCAATCGTTGCGCGGGAATATTCTGGCTGACATTGTCCAAGCCGAGGACACCAAAGATCAAGGGATCATTTCTGCGGCAATTGCAAATGCTACCGCTTTGCTGAGGAAGCCTCTTGGGAAAGGCCAGGAGAATGTGGGCGTTCTCGACCAGCAGGCCAAACAAGCACACTCGACTTCGCAATTCACGTTTACTTGTGAGACAGACGCCAAAGGTGTGACGTTTCCGGAGCAAAGCCTGTACTCGCCAGGATACAATCAGCGCAATATAGCGCCACATGCACCGTCAGGCACATCCTCAAAGAGCGCTCAGACAGCCCAGTCCAGCATGCCGCCAACCAACGCTCCGACAAATTCGACTGCCCCCAATGCGAGTGGTGGCAATGCGCAGGGCAAGAAGCCACGAAGAAGGAAGGGAGATGTGTATGTACTGGCAGCCCGACAGCGGCGGCTTCAGCAAGAGTACAACAATCTCCAACATCCTCCCGCGCCAGAGGACATCTGGATATGCGAGTTCTGCGAATACGAGAGCATTTTCGGAGAGCCGCCACATGCTCTAATCCGGCAGTATGAGATCAAGGATCGAAAAGAACGACGACGATTGGCAGAGAAGAGGCGGCTATTGGAAAAGGCAAAGCTGAAGGGGAGAAAAGGGCATCGGAAGCTGAAGAAATCATCCCAAACTCATCAGCCGACTCCTCCAGAAGAGCCTTTGCCCGAATTCGCAGACAATCATCTGGATCAACTTGTGGACGATGGTTTGGATGATACGTACGACGATCCAGTACCGGTGCAAGCTCCAGCCGCATCAGCAAACACCAAACAGCCTGGAATGGGAGGAGCAAACGCCAACAGTGACAAAGCCGGCGGAACAGGAGGCGGCGGAGGAGGGATACGATGACATTGGGCTGCTTTCAGTCTGTGTCCGTATTCCGTTTCTTCGCATTCCTGGGTCGTTTCTCTTTTGGTTTCGTTGGCTTTGTGGATCTACATTGGTTCTCCTGGTTGTCTGTTGTAGTTTCTTTTGCGCTACTTTCCCTTTTCCCCCAATAACCCCTTTAGCATAGCTTGCATATACTCCTCTCAAAAAATAATGATATCGTCACAGATACCTCTTAAGCATATGGAAACTGATCTCGTCTCGTTCCTGTGTGTATTTATTTGCGTGTCTGTCAGGATACGAGAGTAGCACATTAGGTTTGCGTCGAAATATTCCCAAACAGTACCTAGAATCAGGATCGAGGGTGAATCAAAGAGCCCAAGATTAATTACCTAGGTACTATTTATTGTATGTTACGTATGAGCAAAGACAGTTAGGTGAGCACACTCCAGAAAATCACGGTCTACCAAGATGTACCTTAGGTAATCTCATAGTGGAATATAATATATTGTACTGTACATATCTGCACGTATGTGTGTGAGTGCGTGTCTGTTTTTTTACACCTCATACCTGAACTACCTAATCTACCGAACTACCAAGGTACTAAGTAAGTAAGTAAGTAGGTTCGTCGATCTTGCTTTCATATCATAAATCTCTTTCTATGTAGTGTATGTCTACTAGTGTTCGTCTACTGCTCGTCCACCAACTATTCCTACATGACTAAAACTTTTCGCTCTCCTTGAATGCCTTCCAATCATTGGCGTACTGTGTGCTTCGGATGCCTTCAGGGTATCTCGCGAGAAGGTCCTTCGCGTTGTCCCAAGCCTTGATCACCATTGCGGTGCGCTTCGGGTCCCTCTCGACGAGCCTGTACTCGAACGGCCGCGGTCGGCACACGATGCCCTGGGTGACGGCGTCCGGGCTGACTGGGATGTTCTCGCCGTTGTCGTCGACGGCGTGCTCCAGCGTAAAGGCCCACAGAATATACGCGATGCCCAGGAACAGCGAGCGCTCTGCGATGTTGAGGCCCGGGCAGACTCGTCGGCCGGCCCCAAAGGTGAAGTGGTCTCGCTGGTAAGGGTCGTTGAGGGTCGCGCTCTCCTGGGCCCGGAGAAAATCGTTCTTGTACCGGTCCGGATCGAAGTTTCGGGGATTGGGATAGCGCTCCGGGTCGTTGTTCAAAGCCCACACGTTGATCATCATGCCTGTCTTTGCTGGGAAATGGTAGTCGCGGTAGGTGTCGGCGTTGGTGGTGGCGTGCGGCACGATTCCCAGGATACTGGACGGCAGGAAACGCAGAGACTCTTTGACGACGCCTCGAATGTATTGCAGGTCCATCTATTTGTGTTCGTTCAAGAGTCAGCCATTCCGCTCCCTTCATTCCGCTCTCGCATCTCTCAGGGGGGTTCACCAATCCATGTAGCAACTGATACTAATCCTTATCTCAGACTTCTTGGTATCAAAAAAAGAAAAACTCACCTCGTCGGACATGGCTGGGAGACGATCTGCTCCAATGACCCTGTCGATTTCGGCCTGGGCCTTCTTCTGGACCTCGGGAAAGTTGATCATGGCCACGGCAAAGGACAAGAAGATGGACGCCGTCGTATCGGAGCCGGCTTCCAGGAGCGTGCCGCTGACATAGCTGGCCCAGTCGTCGGAAAATCCAATCTTCTTCTGCTGCTTGAACATGTCGTCGCAAAAGTTCTTTGCAACGATACCCTTTTCGCTCCGCTGCTTGACCTTGAGCATGTACTGCTTGTACAGGGCGATTTCCTCCTTGTGAAGCTGTTTGCCCCTCTTCTTGCTCGGGTTCATGAAGTCCGGCAAGTTGCGCAGGATCGGGAAGTAATCCAGCATCGACGCCGACACTTGCGAGGCTACGGCGAATTCCTCAAAGCCCTACACATACCAAACACAAATGCGATCGAGTTAGTCAACGCACTACCATTACAGAGAGGAGGGGGGGGGGGGGGGGGGGGGTAAGACTTGAGGTAACCAAAAAAGATGCACCATGCAACATGCAACATGCAACATGTGAAACAGAAATGTAATGGGGATTTTCGGGGGTCTGGTCCAGCACAATTGAACTGCCAACTGCCAACTGCTAGGGCAAGCTTCTCACCTCATAAATTTGCTTGACATCAGGATCATTGAATGCCAGACTCCTCCAGCCAAAAGTGATACTGGTCACCAGCGACGTGCTATACCGACGCACGTGGTCATGGTACTTGTCCGGGCGCTTCACCATGTCGGCGAGCATCTGGCGCAATTCCAGCTCCTGGAATGGGATGTAGTCGACGGCGGTCTTGATGTTGAGCAGGTTGTGAATCATCTTCCGGGCCAACCGCCATCCCTCGTCGTACTGCATCAGGACCAAGCGATATCCGCCCGAAATGAGCGTCTGGCCGACGTACATCTCCGGTCTGGACGAGTAGTTGTTGGAGCGCTGGTCGATCAGGTCCTTGACGACGCGGGGCGAGTTGAGGACCACCATTCGCTGGTTGCCGAGCATGATCGAGTAGATCTCGCCGTACTGTTGAGCCCATTCGCGCAGCTTGACGTGCAGGTTCTCCTTGGGCAGTTGATGCAGATTTCCGACGATGGGCAGCGTCGGGGGCCCGGGCGGCATGCCCTTTGGTCGTCGTCCGACTTGCAGGAGCTTGTAGAACAGTCCTGCAATCGCGACGACGGCCACGTACAGCGATGTCTGTGAGATGGCCATGGTGATGTCGGAATCGGAGCCGCAAATCACAGAGGGTTCAACAATAGGTATGAACTAACGATCAGAATTCAGACCCAACGCCAATGGACACACGATGGATGTTGAACGAAGCTTTCCTTGTTCAACGAAGGGAGGGGTTTTAAGAGCCTCAGAAAACAAACCCCTCCTCCTCTCTGGTCACACTATACGCACGCACCGAATACGTGTGCTGCGTACGGAGCACTATTTTGACTAATACCAAAAAGTCATTATCGATACGGGTCTCGTACGGCAAGACGACCACATGTAATGGCGTCCACTGTCCGGCGGCTACTAATCTGTCTGGCCGCTCAGAAGGTGGGTGGTACCATACGTCAATACCTGTGGTGATAGATGGGAGGTTGTGCAGCACCGTCTTGAGGAAGACACTGACCAATGGCGACCACCAGGTATACGATAAACACCCGTGACCCTGGCCTGACACAGCGTGGTTGTCCTCGCCCTAACGAGTGCAGGGGAGCAAAGGATGGGGCATGCAGTCGAGGCTGCGAGGCGCCGAGAGCCGCCCCCAATCTTGGGTGCGTGGTGATTCTCTTACACGATCTGTTTGGTCTGGGAGGAAGCAGTCATCCGAAAAGACAGTGTGGTCCGAGTACATAATGATAGTCTACCGTATAGACCCAGACCCAGACCCAGAACCTTATCAGTTAAACGGGGCATCAAGTGGGCCTGGGGATCCACCCCTGGGTCCCCGTCCCAAAGCTTATTCGCTCCGAGATCTGATAGTGCGCCGTGTACCATGCTCCTGGAGCCTCCCATCAGGCCCAGAGGAGGCATTAACTGCGCACTGCTGCCGGCTTCACGACTAACGTAATAGCCTGATCCCGGCCTGGCGTGGGCACACTTCTTCCGTCGAGTGAGTGATTGGAATATGGCACCAACTCTACGTTTATCAAAGAGCGCAGGCATCCCGCGGACCCACGATCTATAGGGTTTCCCGATCCTACAAACTCAAAAGGAAGCGCCAGTCAAAGGTACAGACCTGAGACGACCGACAGCAGGACCCCCTCATCATTATTAATTCCAGCCTTTGCGCGAGTTCCCTCTCTGCCCACTGCTCCATCATTGTGTACATATGCCTTCCTCCACCATTCCCTCACGGCTCGAAATCAAGGATGCTAGCATTACCCTTTCCTCCACCCTCTGAGAGAGAGCATGGCTCCAGCGAGCATGTTGCCGTCTCCCGGCTGAGACATGTTCAACTGGGCAGCGCCGTTCATCCCTGGCCACGTATACTCCTGATGAGCCTCCTCTCAACTTCAGGAATCGACCGTTGATACTCGTGCGCAGTGAGGATTCATCGTGGGGTGGGTAGGGAACCATGAGTCGAAGCCTCCCTGTCCATTTAATTAACATTGATCATCCACCACTTATGCTATTTCCCCCATTGGTAACCAGAAACCCTCAAGTGTGGAGCCTCCGCCCGGACCCGAAGGCATGTTTCGGACGTCCAGCCCCCGGGCCCCGGGTGTCAACGCGAGGTCTCCTAGATAGTAAGGCCTCTCTATCCTGTTGGACCAGGCATGGGGTTCGTACAGGGCTATCAGTATCGTTCCAACGGTAAGAAAGTGGGGGGACACCATAATAGGCACTGGTGTGAAGATAAGTCTATCCTTGTATCACAAGAGGCTGAGCAGAAAGCACCTTCGACTCTATCTGATTGTATCTGAGATTAGAATACTTGGCAGTGGCTGCAAACATCTAGAACAGTGCTTGACCTCTGGGCGCGAGGCCAGGTATATGTATGTACTATAGATGCCAGTATTTGCACGTACGTACAGTACAAGGACCGGCGTGATTTTAATTTTCAAAGACCAAACAATACCCTTGGTCGCGCCGCACCGCAAGTCAGGCCCGACGAAGCTGCAGTAGACCCGAAGCACCAGTCTCAAGGTCTTCGCTCAGCCGACCCAGGAGCGTCAACGATCCAACATGACCAACTCGCTGGAGAGTTCTTCTCGTGACGAGAAAGACGCGGCAACAACAGACACACATATCCATGAAAGTCGTCATCAACACCCCACGCCTCACGACTATCTTTCCGCAGTCGAGAACGGCCTCATTGAAGACATCCCGCCTCCGTCGAACTTTGCGCAGCGATGGGCACTCAAGCTCGAACAGCTCGCCGGCGTCGAAGCCAGAGGCGTCGAACGCGTCCCTGAAGCGATCCGCGCGCCCCATGCCTCGTTGAAAGACTACCTGCAGATGTGTGTCATCTGGTTCTCTGCCAACGTCACCATGAACAACATGATCATTGGATTTTTGGGTCCGTTGCTGTTCGAGGTCGGCCTCAAGGACGCCATGATACTGGGTGCCTTTGGAGCGTATCTTGGAGCTGCGGGAACCGGATACCTTTCGACCTTTGGCCCTGCAAGTGGTAATCGCACCATGGTGAGTCTGATCTGTGCACCTCTGCAAACCCGCAACGCAAAAAATAGGCGAGCGTTATGCTGAACAGTTACTGCACAGGTATGCGCCCGCTACACCATGGGATGGTGGCCCAGCAAAATTTGCGTTCTGTTCAACATTGTAATCATGCTCGGTTATGGTCTGATCGACGTTCTCCTTTCCGGACAGATCCTATCCGCGGTGAACGGTCACGGCCTGACCGTCATTGTTGGAACCATCGTGTCCGCCATTGTAACGCTCTTCGTGGTCCTCTTCGGTATCAAGCTGTTTCATACCTACGAACGATATGCCTTCATTCCGCAGGTCATGGTCCTTCTGATCTTGATCGGCGTCGCTGGGCAATACTTCGACACTTCGTCTGAAACGTTTGGAAATGCGTCCGAGAGGGCCGCCGACAGAATGAGCTTCTTCTTCTTGGCTGTGTCTGCTTCTATCGCGTGGACACCCAGTTCGGCTGACTTCTACGTCTACTTCCCGCCAACGTCGAACCGTCTCGCTGTGTTTGCTTGCACCACAATCGGGCTCGGCACCTCATGTGCCTTCACGTACCTGATTGGTGTAGGTATCGCATCCGGCGCGTTGGCTAGGGACGACTGGATGGCGGCTTATGAGAACGGCGGCGCAGGTGCCCTCCTCGTCGAGGCATTCAGGCCACTCGGATCCTTTGGAGACTTCTGCGCAGTAATCGTCGCACTTGGCCTCATTGCGAACAACATTCCCGGAACCTACTCTTCGGCCCTGTCTTTCCAGCTGCTCGGGAGATGGATGAGGAAACTGCCGCGCATCTTCTGGACCGTTGTCGGTGTCATCATTTACACCGTCTGCGCATGCGCCGGTCGTAACCACTTGTTCGAGGTTTTCCAGAACTTCCTCGCGCTGCTAGGGTACTTTGTGGTCATCTACATCGCGATCACTCTCGAGGAGGAGTTCATCTTCCGCCGCAAGAGTGGCTATGACTGGGCAGCTTGGAATGACCCCAAGAAACTGCCGCTAGGAATCGCTGCCTTTGTTGCCTTCTGTGTCGGCTGGGTTGGTGCAGTCTTGGGTATGTGGCAGACATATTTCACCGGCCCGCTTGGAAAGACCGTTGGCTTTGGCATTGATCTGGGCATCCCGCTTGCATTCAGCTGGAGTGCTCTGGCGTATCCCGGCCTGAGATATCTAGAGCTCAAGTTCATTGGTAGGTAGCCATGTCGTCCTGAAAGGAGACTAGTTGTACAGTATGTGTCATATACACTTCAAAGCGACGCATTAGGTAGTTTGTATGACAGTAGTCAGCTTTCGAGTACACGACGCGGTGCATTTCGTCTCTCAGAATATCAAAACGCGTCGGAATCAGCACCAACAGGGCCAAAAGCAGTTAGTAATTCTCTCTCGCTCGATATGTTCCCGATATATCTCCATCGTAGTGGAGCCTTGATGATGTTTTACTTATCTCCGCAAATCCAGATGCTGGAACCTATCGACGACGCCGAGAGGAGTGTCGCACAGCAGATTCAACAGTGGGGGATAATAGTAGTGCAGGCTGGATGACTCTGCCCGACGGCACAAGGCTGACGTTCGGCATGTAATATCGATCCCGCAAGACCCCTGCAGCGCTTGCCTCACCTGCGAGATCTGCGGAGCAAGTGCATCTTAGGAGGATCGATTTGTGCTAGGTATATGAGGTGAAGCATGGAATTGAAATCGATACCAGAGAAGGATATCCCGACGCGGGCATTAGTAGTTGACGAGCCCGGCGGCTCGTTTCGACTACGGGAGGTGATTCTGGACGAGGTCCGACGGAATGAAGTCCTTGTACAGATAAAGTATACGGGCATCTGCCACACGGCAAGTTGATGCCTGTGCAACAATGAGCTATCTTCTGACAAATATTCTCAGGACCTTGTTGTTCAGGAGGGAGGCATGCCTGGGCCATTTCCGGCAGTCTTCGGACATGAAGGGGCTGGTGTCGTCAGACGAGTTGGCAGTGATGTGAGCCACCTTCAGGTTGGGGATCTCGTTCTTCTCAGCTTTTCTTCTTGCATGAGATGCTCAACATGTGCCGAGGGTCGGAAAGGATTTTGTGCTCACATCACCAACATCAACTTTGGCGGTGCACGTGGATTTGATGATTCACCTATACGGCTCCCGAACGGACAACATGTCCGTGGACAATTTTTCGGACAGTCCTCATTCAGCGAGCTGGCGATCGTCGATGTGCGCTCAGTGGTCAAGTACGATGGCAGGGAAAAAGACCTCTCCTTCCTGGCTCCCTTGGGGTGCGGGTATCATACGGGGGCTGGGACAGTACTAAACGTCTTGAAGCCCAAGCCAAACAGCAGCATGGCTGTGTTTGGACTTGGTGCTGTTGGCCTTGCCGCGCTAATGACTGCCAAAAATGAGAATGTACAAGACATTATCGCCGTGGATATTGTCAAGTCCAAACTTGAGCTGGCATCTTCGCTTGGAGCCACCTACTGTGTCGACTCAAAGAAGGAAGACTTACTTACCGCCATTCGCGCAAAGTTCCCCGACGGCATCGACTTCGTGATCGACACCACTGGGGTCATTACGGCCATCAACACTGGCATCAAGGCGCTTGGTCATGCCGGGACTTTGGCTCTTGTTGGTGTTCCTCGCCCAGGAGCGCAGATTCAGGGTGACGGACTGGAGCTCTTGACGTCGTGCAAGACAGTATTAGGGTCTATTCAAGGAGCTTCTGATCCTCAGAAGGTGCGCACCTCCGTTACTATGCGAGTGGCAATTCGCTGATAGGGCTACAGATCCTTCCATACCTGGTCGAGCAATATCGAGAGGGGAAATTCCCGGTTGATAAGCTGTGCAAAGTATACCCAGCTAGTGAGATCGACCAGGCGATATCAGACATCAAGTCTGGAAAGGTGAGACAGTTGCAAAGGACAGAATTTGACAAGAAAGCTGCTGACTTCGAATAGGTAATCAAACCTGTTCTGGCGTGGTGACTGGGGATGGCCAGAGATCAAAGCAGTGAGATGTTCGACCTGATGTCCGTAATGAGCCTCACGGGGGAGCTCGGGCTACTTGCATAGTGTAGTCGTATTTTCGGAGTATCGTTTCTCCGCAAGTTTCCTTGCATTCCATTATGACGCAACATGCCAAACACCAAACATTCCCGGATTTGGCTCGATTGTTCCAAGATCCAGGTCGTTTACAACCGGACTCCTGGCTTGTCTGAGTAGTGCCTTGTACTGGTAATGCTCACTGTTGGTTTGTATCCTGTTTGGAACGCACTACCCATATATTGAGTCACCATTGCCTCGATATGTCTGGGACTCACACTCCAGCGTCGATGTAGAAGTGTCACGTTGGCCCTGCCGCAGCAATTAACTACAATACCTAGGAGGCCATGACTTGCTTCCCCCTTGGAGACAAAGGAGACAAAGAACGATAAAGTGAGCCTCGTCCATCCCATGCTTTGTTAAACAAGCGTTCCTTGTCACGCACTCTCTTTGTCCCAGGTAACCTTATACTAGCAGGACAGCTTTTGAAGGCCCTACACTACAAACAGACCTTCTCTACGTCTCTTACCACTTCGGACAAATTCTGCAAGATACAGCACATACATAATCACATATACAAATTCTGATAACAGACGCTTCAGACACCCAAGTCAACATCGAAATCTCTGCCAGAACTTTCCATCACAACAGCCACAGCCAGCTCTACCACCACACAGAGCACAACGCACTACAATCTCGTCAAAATGGTTGCCTTTCTCCATAACCTCCGCAAATCCAACCTTCTCAACCTCTTCTTCCGTACTCTTCAGCTCGTTCAAGGTCTGGTCGTGATCGGACTCTACGGCGTGGATCTCAACCGAGCCAACCGCGAACACAAATACTCAGACGGCAAATGGGTTCGTTCCACTGAAACCGTCGATCTGCCTTCTGAAGTTTTGAGGCTAATGACAAGCATTCAGGTCTTCGCTGTTGTCGTCGGATCTCTGGCGGCATTCACGGCGGTCGCATACGGACTCGTCAGTGTCTTCTTACAATACCAGACCGTCGCCCGTCTCTTCGTATGGGACTGGATTCTCTTCATCCTGTGGGCGGCCCTCTCGGGGATCTTTGGATCCATGTACATTGGGGAAAAGACCGAGATGGAATGGGGCATACACCGTATGAAAATTGCCGTTGGGTTTGACCTAGCCGGGTTGGTCCTCTGGTTCATTACCGCCGTCATGGGTACTTGGTGGATCTTCTCCCAGAGACGTGTTGCTGGTCGCGTGTCCGGCGGCAAGGATTGAACACAGAACAGTTGACGATGTACTACCCGTAGATCGCTTAATTCCGATTTAGATTATTCCTGATAGGAGAACAATGCTCATTCGATACAAGGACCTGCTCTGCACGCTTCTGGCGCCTTGATCAAGTCAAATTTGCAGCGAGTAGATCAACATGTCAGCTTATCGACAATGGCAAGACTCATATTTTACGAACACCGGTGTAGAAAGTAGTTACCTTACTTGCCCTGCAGAGTGGATTGCCAGAGACACAAGATGATCGCGGGGTACGAAGTGGATGAGAGCGAAAGACCAAAGTTCCCCCCTGTGCGAGTAGAAAGGGCTTAGCCACCTGTGGTCTGTAGGTAACTCCCAGCAAAGCAAGCGAGTAATGCTAACTAATAATATGCAGGCAGGCAACACTGCCACAATCTCACGGCGTTCTCTCAAGATAGTTTGCACGCGACGAGGATTCGGCCTTGAGGCTGAATTCTTTGCACTGCATCTTCTGATCCTCAATGGTCTGGTTGCCTTCCTTTTGTTCTGATGAATTGTCTGCACTCCATATATCTATCTTCTTACAAAGACAAGTTCTCGACTTAAATCTCGCTCGACCAAGAGACTAGTACCAGCCGCCGCACTCTCCTCGACCAAAGGTATCGGGTTCCTATATACTCGTCACCATGTCCATAGGCTTCGGCGACGCGCTGGCGGTGGTGGAAAAGGCCATCGCCGTTTATCAGAAAATGACCGACGCCGTACAGACAGTCCAGTTCATGGGCATACGTCTTGAAGGTATCAGAGACCAAATCAAGATAGCACAGAAACTGGTCCCTGACGACAGGACCAACAATTTCTTGCAGAAGCTCGACGGCGAATTGTACGAGATGATCCGCAAGACGATCGCGAAGATCCAGGTCGACGCTCAAGCCACGCAAGACATTCTAGAGGAGTGGTACAGCAGGAAGACGGGATTTCTCAACTCGACATGGCGTTCCCAGTTGTTTGCCAACATGGTCAATGGCATCCTCAAGGGCAAGGGCGATGACCTGAAGATGCTGAACCAACGACTAGACCATTACCAGACGTCGCTCAACCACTTTATCGGCATGGTCAACACCTATGGCATCAAAGAGCTCATTGAGCGCGATACGAAGAATAAAGGCAAGCAACTCGCGGTCGGGACTACTGCGAGTGCGAATACTCCTGCCTCCAAAGTAGGACGATCTTCTCCGTCCCCAGCCAGGCGCAAGCAGTACAGGGTCATCTTTGTCGATCCACACAACGAGGGCCGCTCAGTCGTCGCGCAGTCGTACCTGTACCTGGTCCACCAGTGGACGGTGAGGACTGACAACCACTGGCCGTTGAGCAAGTGGGAATCCGCGGGAATGCGACTCCGGGCACGATCAGCGTTTGTGCCACAGCTGCAAGCCTTGGGACTGCCGAAGCGGATCAAGTTCGTCGACGGGAACGTTCCCTCGTCACCTCACGCCGTCAATGCCCTTTTCGACCAACCGTATTTCAACTACGCATACAAAGAGCCCATCCGCCAGCGTGCGGCCAAACGGCTCTCGCGGGGCCTGCCAGCCAACATGTTCGAGCACTACGACTTCATCTTGGTCTTCACCAAGGAGCAGCTCGAGATCCTCGAGGCATTGCGCGAGCACGTCGCCCGGACCCAGCCCCAGTACAAGGATGTCAACCAGCGGGCAAGAATCCTCTTGCTCGGCTCATACAGCAAGGCAGGACAGATCTATGTGCCCGGTGCCACGGACGATGCTGAAGAGCTCAAAAAGATGTGGGGAAAAGTCGTCAACCAGATCAAGGGCAGCGTCAAGGGATTTCTGGAGGTGGAGTGCGGTTGGAAGCCTCCAAAGAAAGACGACGCATGGAAACAGGCCGTGGAGAAGACATGATACTTGTAAGCAAAAGCTTGGAGACATGGAATGTGGGATCCGCAGGGTAATGAGCCGGCCGTTGACAACCAACTTTCCAGCGCGACTTGATCATTGATGCAAGAGAGCAGTAGTCATGGGCGGAGAAGGCGGATCCTCCCGAGTCCTAGCCAAGGCACTCAATGTTCGGGGATGCCGTTGCCAAAACGCGTCTTGTTTGACATGTCTCTGCTATTGTGCTGTCTGTGTCAACAAGGCGGTGAAATGGTAGATGCCGACGGCGAATGGAAACTCGACCAGCGAACGCGAGCATTCACGGAAAATGGGATACGTCAGCTGTGGGATGAGTTGTTATCTTGGAAAGGGAGAAGATGTATTGTAAGCATGAGAAAAAGGAATATGATGAGGATGGAGGACAGAGGACGATGGGACATGGATATGGGTCCGTGGGGTGGTGGATGGATACCTCCACTTGTAGGTACATACCTGGTCTACCTCCTTTACTATACGAGTACATTGGGAGATGTGATGCAGTATCCATGATGAGATCCGACACCCTTATCTCTTACATTCTCTCAGTCGGAACAGTTTCAAGGCTGAACCGGATCATGGCTCACCGACTCCACCGAAGATGCGGCATGACGGATTCTGGATACAAAACTGGGTACAAACTGGGTACTTGGTGAGATTGATCAGCAACATGTGAAGTCTTGGGTACTCGTACTTCTACGAGCATCCATTCTTGTTGGTATTGCTAGGATGCACTCCTGGTAGTCAAGATAGTATCCACACACATGCGCTGATATCGACAAAGCTCTAGTTGCTGCTGAGGGTGAGCCAGACAGCTTGAGATACAATCACAGGGTGTACTCGTGTAGACTCGCAGGTAGAATTGTACGATAGTACGGAGTACTCGGTTAGGAAGGGTAAGGTACCTTCCCTTAGGTACGGGTAATAGTCCCGAGAGTCGGCATTAGTTAGTACCGATAGGCGCAAGGTCGCCTAACGCGACCCTGGAAGCACAAGCCTCCGGACGAGCCTGGAGTAGCCTCTTCAGGCAGCGGTACCACCAAGAGGTCCCTGTGTTTAGCCCCGAGGACCCCCCAAGCATTACGGGTCCTTGGAGGCTCTTTGGGCGCTGTCCACGCAAACCACCCCCCTCCCCCCCACGCCATCTTGTTCAGGGTCCGCCGATTATCAACGTCGGTGGCTGAGATTGTGACTGGCTCTTCACCGCAACATCTCATCGGCGTCAATCTTCAGAGGAGAGCAAATCGCTGATCCCAAAGCATCAGCAGGTGGTTTATGAGAAATCATACTCGAGCTCTTGCTGCCATCGAGGCACATAATAGTTAGTACGACTAAGCCAATTTGTGAAGTGTCATACTTCATCCATCCAGCTCATGATATTCGTGCGTCGACCTCCCATTGAGTTTTTTCTGTAATCAGCTACAGTACGACTACAAAAAGCCCATAGCACCCCTTCTCCACCGCTCTGCATCGCTTGCTCCAGTCTGAACTCAGATTGCTGCCCAGTCTTGCCTGGTCTCAGTATAACCGCGAGCCCCTGATGCAGCCAGTAATCGATGCCCCTCAGTGACATCAGTCCGCTCGCTTCCTAACATTCTGAACACATCTGTTGTTTTTTTTTCGGGCTGGTGAATATTCCATCCTGTGCCGTACGTTTTCGAAAGCTGTACTTGCAACATTCGCAAGGTGTGAAGCAATCCCATCTCCCAAACGTCGGTTTCTTTCTCCCAAGCCCTCTCCAGACACCGCCAGCCTCCTCGAACGTCTCTTGTACCTGCATAGCCGAGAGACCTCGTTACATCCGCCGACCGTCCTGACTAAGGCCTCGACGCGTCCATTTTCCAAATTTCTGTGGACCAAAAAGTTGTTGGGAAACAAACCCATAGCTCATTGCCCTCAAAACACGATCGACTTCTACTCTCACGGTGTAGTCCATTGAAGGCCTGTTAGGGTTAAAAAGGAGGAAGAGACTTGACAAGACACCCAAAACAAGTACCACATCCAAACCGCAGGATGAATACCTCCACCGGCCTGCGCCTCCTGCGCAACGCAACTCAAGGTGCTCTTCGCACAAAGGCTTCCTCAAAGGCAACGAGACAGTCCTTTCGCCCCATCAGCACAACCAACCCACAATTCATCTCAAACACTCCCCGTCGCAGGGACCCCAACGATCCCTACCACAAAGCCAGCACCGAAGCCGTCGGCCAATCTGCTGGCCCTCACGAAGGATCTGCTTCCCGAACAGACAGAGAGATTGTGGTAGAATATCCCGACGATGAGAAAGACTTGCCTCCAGAGCGACCCCTGCGCGGCAGAGGCGGCGTGCACTTTGTGCGTACCTTGCCCACCTTCTCTCTGGAAGGCAGAACGGCCGTCGTCACCGGTGGTGCTAGAGGTCTCGGTCTCGTCATGGGTCAAGCCCTCGTCAGCTCTGGTGCAGACCTTGCCATCGTCGACATGAACAGTAGGTTACAACACCCAGCAAGAGTTGCCACGTGAGCGGTTGATGTAGAGTTCGATGCTGACGGACGGGTCTGTGCAGAGGAGGAAGCCGAGAAGCAAGCCATCGAGCTCGTCGAGATGTTTCGCCGCGAGACGCCCGACAACCCGGATGTCTTGCCCAAGGTCACCGCCCACTACTGCGACGTCTCTGACCCGACCAGCGTCGACGAGTGTCTCGCCGAAGTGCTCGACAAGCACGGCAAGATCGACCACCTCGTTACCTCTGCCGGGTTCACCGAGAACTTCTCCGCCGAGACGTACCCGTACGACCGCATCAAGAAGCTTTGGGGGGTCAATGTTGACGGCACTTACCTCTTCTCCACCGGCGTCGCTCGACACTTTATGCAGCGCAACATCACACACGGCAGCATTGTCATGATCGGTAGCATGTCTGGCGCGATCGTCAACGTCCCCCAACCTCAAGCACCCTACAACGCCGCCAAAGCCGCCGTTCGCCATCTCGCCGCCAGTCTGGCTGTGGAATGGGCACACGCCCACATCCGAGTCAACTGCATCAGTCCCGGCTACATGCTGACCGCACTGTAAGTTATTCCTTTTTTTTGTTCGTTACGAGCGCTCCACCTCCATGAATTCGAATTGAAGGTGCAAGTAAGCAAGTAAAAGGAAAAGCAAAACTGACCTCGCATAACCTTAACAGCACACGTAAAATCCTCGACGATAACCCGGAACTCAACCAGAAATGGACCTCTCTCATTCCTGTCGGCAAAATGGGATCTCCCGAGGACTTGCAGGGTGCCGTGGTCTACCTGTTGAGTGACGCCAGTCGATACGTCACTGGAGCCGACCTGAGAGTTGATGGAGGGTAAGTCAAACTTCTGAGATGAGAGAGGATAATGGTGCTTTGGAATCTCTGATCGCTGACTTTTGTTCTAGTTACACATGCACTTAAAAAACAGGAGCGCTCATACGCGTGGACTCGCACATAGAAGAGGGGGGAGCACATCCAAGTAATACTATCCTTGTGCGAAGAACTGGTCCAACAGTGTCACACCTAGGTAGGAAGGGCAGATAGTTTCCTGGATCCGATATCATATAGAGGTATGTTTTCAGGAAATTGGTTGGCACAATAGACGAGGGGGGCGTTGGGGTCACAGCCTGCCTAGGTACAGAAGGCGTCCAAAAGAACCAAAATATACTGATACTGTATGTACGGGTACATAGAATGGCAAATGGGATAATATACGTGTACACTGGGTACCTAAGCCGACTTTCTCGACGTACACACGTACCTCCTACTAGGCAGGTAGTTTTTCGTGTCCAACTCTTCCACCCTTATTGTCTGCCTCCCTCTCGGTTGTTTGGTTACAGTACATGGGTAGATACCACCTAACGCACTGTCCAGCTTTTCCCGCCTTACCTAAGTTGACCACTTAGGTACGGAGTAGGTAGGCAACATGTTCGGTATTCTGACCCCGATAGCTTGCCTTACCCACCCTCATTCCCACTCCGGAGCTCGCGCTCCTTGCAAAAATCAATTCCCCCTTCGGGGCTCCTCTACTCTTCAGCAGCAACCTCTTCGATCGCAGCTCGGATGATGCTCAACCCCTTCGCCATGTCTTCCTTCGAGATGTTGAGCGGGGGGATGAAGCGTAGCGTGTCGTAGATGGACGTGGTCAGGATCAGCAGGTCCTTCTCCATGCACTTTGCCTGGACCTTGGAGGCGTAGCCCTTTCCGCCGACGAATTCGCACGCGAGCATCAACCCCAGGCCTCGGACGTCGTAGACCAAGTCCGGAAAGTCTGCCTTGGCCTGCCGCAGCATGCCCACCATCTCTTCACCGCGGACGGCGACGTTGTCCAGGATCTTCTCGTCCTTGAAAGCCTGGGCCACGGCGATGCCGGCCGCGCACGACACGGCGTTGCCGGCGTACGTGCCGCCCATGGACCCGGGCTTCTGCGTGTCCATGAGCTCCTTTCTCGACACGATGCCGGACAGGGGGAACCCGTTCGCGATGCCCTTGGCCATGACGAGGATGTCGGGCCGCACGCCGTAGTGCTCGATGGCAAACATCTTGCCGGTCCGGCCGAAGCCAGATTGCACCTCGTCGACCACGAGCAGGATGTTGTTCTTGTCGCAGATCTCGCGCACTCGCTTCAGGTACTCGGGCACCACGGGCACGTAGCCGCCTTCACCGAGCACTGGCTCGATGACGATGGCCGCCGTGTCTGACGGCGCGGTCTCACGCTTGAGGAGCAGCTCCAGTTGGTCGACGGGGTCCATGCAGCAGTTTTCGGCGCTGTATTTGCCGTCGCAGCGGGATGCGATGGAGCATTGAGCGCAGTAGGGGAACGGCGTGGCAAACACTCCCGGCATCAGCGGTGCGTAGTTTTCGCCGTAGATCGTCTTGGACCGAGTCATGGCCATGGTGCCGAACGTCCGGCCGTGGTACGAGCCCTGCATGACGATGATGTTTTGTTTCTTGGTCGCGTGTCTCGCGAGTTTGACGGCGGCCTCGACAGCCTCTGACCCGGAGTTCCAGAAGAAGAACGTGTCGAGGGATTTGTGTGGCATGAGCGGAATGAGCGACTGGATAAGCTCGAGATACGGCCGTTGGAAAGCAATGTTTACCTATTTACACGCCACCATCCCCATGGTTAATTTTCAATGCTACAGGAGGCCACAGAACATGTCATTCGGGACAGGATAGATAGTGTCATTTACCTGTGCGTGGACCATCTTGCCGACCTGAGCCTGAGCGGCCTTCGTGACGGCGGGATGGCAGTGACCTAGATTGGCGACACCGATGCCACAGGTGAAATCGAGCATCTTGCGCCCGCTGGCCATGGTCACGTAGCTCCCGCTGCCGCTCTCAATGACCTCGGTGGCCAGTCGTCCAATACCTCTGGCCACATGTCGAGTGCCGAACTCTGCGAGCTTGGAGAGGCTCATTGTGTTTTTGTTACGGGGCGGCCACAATTACACCTGGTACGTAGGTAGCTGAAAGAAACCAAAGGCCGGAAGAGTCACGCCGCGGTAGCGATGCGGTCCTTGAAGACGGATGCGAAGATGCAGGGAAATGAAGATTGAAGTCAACTTCCGACTCGATAAACATTTGATAACCATGTCGCTGACACTTGCCCGCCTGTTGGTGGTAATGTCCGTGTCTCGTCTGCGACATTGAATATAAAAATGTCCGGTGATTACGTAGGGAGCAATTAGGCGGCTTGCCATTGGGTGGCAGCCCTTGAAATGGGGGGTGCTAAGTAAAGCTTGGTACCTGCGATGCCCGTATGTGGTACAAGTCATGGGCGCCAACAGCGCCTGAACGGGATCCCAAACCGGCGCCCACAGGTGACGGCTAGTTAGTGAGGCAGTGGAAATGGCATCCCCCCCGTTGCCAGCTAAAGGCGCCGCTAACTAGCACCAACCTGGTATTTACAGCCAGCTCCCCGCACGCGACTTCTAACCACCTTGGGTACTGCACTGTGCTGTAGGTACGTCCTCAGCACCTCCACTTGTTCGACATCGAATCGCCACGAATATTTGGGTTTCAAACGAATGAGCTGAGCCGAATCTTGCTGCAGGGGCTGAGCTTGAAGGTCAGATACACCTTCACAAGGCTGTCTAGCTGCTCCAAGGCCACCTGATCACCAAAGGTGTTAGCTAAGGCAGACACGATCGAACAAAGCAGTGTGCTCGGCGTCAAAGAAATGTATACAATGGGACGAGAACAATCTCTCATGACAAAGAAACCTCCATTTGAGATCCATTGTAACCAAAACGGTCACCATGTTAAAGGGCACTTCTACTCATCCTCGCTTCTGGATTGCCGAACAAACAGCACCGACTCTACCCGAAACAGCAACAGCGAACAATACTTGAACTTGAACCATGGCTCCCGTCACCAGCGACACGAAGGTTTGTCGGTCTCACGATGCTGAGCGTCACGATTACTACTCCACTGAAGCGGAACGTGAGCGAGAGCTAGAGCAAGAGGAAGAGCGACAGCGAGAGCTTGAGAGAGCGCGTACTGCTGAGTTGCGTCGACTTCGAGAAGAAGCCGACCGAATCGCCGCTGGCACACCTGCTACAGCTACTGCACTGGCAAGTCAGGCCTGGCACCTAGACCGTCCGCGCAACGGTAGATATATGCAGCGGCGAAACGCTATCTCTGGCCCTTCTTCCGGTCCTTCTGGTCCTCGTTAAATGCCAGAGGCATGTCTTCCCTCAAATACACCGGTGGGTGTTGTTATCTAGAACGGTTTAGTGCTGTTGGCGGCGTTGCTGCTGGAATGTGCGTGACAAAGGTGAGCGAACACGAACGGTAGTAGATATGTCGGTCAAGTGCTTGTCTCTATCTTTCGGGACTCGGTACTTAGGTAGGTATAATGCCATTGATATCGCTGAGAAGAATAAATTACGTTGAATTTTGCTCCCTTGCTTGAAGCTGTTCACTACCTCAGCAGCCTTGCCTAAGACTCCTGACGGAAGCCATAAGTAACAACAGAGAGATATGGCTCTCTACAAGGGATTATAGGGGTCTCAGGTTACGAATATCGGAGACTGTACGAGTATGGACACAGACACCAAAACCATCGTATTCACAGTCGCAGGTTTGGCATGATGTTTCAGTCTTTTTGGTTCTCGTCATCACATCCTCATGACTTCGTCTGCCAGGCCTCCGAATGGGCAGCTGTATCCCTGACTGGGATACACGTGCAATCTAACCTTGAACAACCTTCTCGGCATGACTCTTCTTCAGTCCTAGAAGATGAGCCTCGCCGTCGACGGCAGTTGCTACCTCTGCATGTATGTCGCGCATCTTAGGAGTCCAATTTAGAAGTTTCTTCCCTCGTTGTGAGACGCCACGAGAATTTGTGCCCACGGAGTATGGTGCGAACGGCATGATCTTATCGGCGTCTTCAGGCGAAAGGCTCTTGAGGGTCGAATCTGGGAGGAGGCCTTCTTTATGCGCAATCTTGGCCACCTCCTGCAACACTTCGCCCCAAACAAAGGGCCCATTTTCCGCCAAGTAATACCCTTGGTCGTTCCATGTAGCTGGAGGCCCTCCGTTGACGGCGGCTTCGCCGAGCAGGAGGTACAGGTCGGAAAGATCTTGGACATTGATATAGTGCCATATGTTCTCGCCTTTGCCAACCTTGAAGGCCTGCTGGTGCTTTAGAAATGTCTCGGTGGTTCTGTAGAGCTGCTTCGATCGTGCATTGCCGGGACCTCGCCCAGCACCTATGATCGTCGGGGGACAAACAATGGCGGTCTTGACCTTGTCCGAACCAGCAGCCAGCACGACTTCATCGACGTCTCTAGTCAAATGATCAGGATAAAAAATCGAGCCAAGAGGGAAGTTCCATATCTCACCTGTGGGGTGCTTCATGCGGCTGGGACGTGAGTTCATTGACATTCTCCCAGTCATCAAAGACCTTCTCAAGACGCTCGCCGAACACCTTTTTGACTATTGTTTCATAGCCGAGGATCAGTGTACCGGATGTGTGAATCCAATAGCCAACCCCGTCACGCTGTCGCCGGGCAAGGCCTCGAGATATAGCTTGGGATGACGGTACATGATCACAATCGGCAAAGTGATAGACGACGTCTGTGTTGGCGGCTTCCTCCTCAATCAAGTCGACTTTATCAAGATCCCCGTAGACGAGTCGTACCTTAGGATAGACTGTCGCGATTTTTGCTCCCTTGTCACTGTTCCGCACCAGGCAAGTGAGCTCCCAGTCCGGGTGTCGTTCGGAGACCAGGTAAAGAAAATCACCGCCGATGTAACCTGTGGTGCCGGTCCTAGCCACAAGACATCAGGTCAGCGTCCTACAACATCATTATATACGTACAGGAAAACCTTTGGTGGCATCGTGGCGTGTGTTCTTTGCAGAATGGGTGCCAGAGACGATATGAACCTTGTTTAATGATCTGAGTTTCCTCGAATATCAGCACGATGAAGGTGCCGGTGGCCTGGTCTCGCAGTTTATGGTTTGCGAAGTCCAGGTCGTCACAAGTATGATGTCATAAACGTATACTGCCTCCTCGTCTTAGTAATGCAATGTGCAGCCTTGTTGGAGCGAGGCAGCCTTGTCACGTGCGCGTCGGCTAACTTTCTGAGCAGCACTCTGGCCCTCTCCAGAATGCAAATGCGCGATCCTGGACAAAGAGTGCCATCACCACTTCGACCTTCTGCACCTTGCTCCGAGCCTTCTACGTGGCTGACTCACCGTCGTCCTGCAGATCTAGGATATCTAGGGCCCTGTTTCAAGTTTTTCGACCAAGGTTCCAATTGACTGCGACCGAAGGGAGGACGTCTGCCTGATGATACAATTGACAACAAAACTCGCGCAGGGCTCGCCGAGGTGACCGTCCGTGCAGAGAGCAAGCAATGCCTCCCCCCGGCGGAGCTAAGCGTAAGAGAGGCGACCGCTCATACTCGGACGACCAGCAAAGCCCTCGTCCTTCGCCGCATCGGCCGGGAAATCTTCACCTAGCGCAACAAGGCAATTTTCAGTCTTCGGGCAATGATCGCGACTACACCAACCCACGTGGTAGAGGTGGAAGAAGATCTAGTCGAGGTGGAAGGGGTGCGATCAATACACCTAGTTCGGCCACCCATTCCGAACAGTCCCCTGCCATGACTGTAGAGGCTCCTCCGGTGAACAGCGAGACAGCTCCCACGAATGGTACCGTGGCTACTCGGCAGAACCCTCCTACCCCCAGTATTACCTTCACCGACCCTCCCCCCGAGCCCCTTCCCTACAACTATACAGTTGTCACCCTCGAAGCTTGTGGCTCATGGAAAACTGGTGGGAGAGACAATGTTCTACAGCAGGGTCTGGCCGCAATACGCGAGAATGACACAACTAAGACCTCCGCAATTGTTCAAGAGCTGTGTCTGTCCGTCGTATATGGACGTTTGGAACCTTTCGACGCCGGCGGACTTGTCAAAGCAATGATCGGTGCAGATATTTCAGACAAGCGCACCGAGACAGTCCCCGACTCAACGCCACTGCAAACCATCGTTCTCGACTCAGTATCCATCATCTTTGAAGCCACTGTAAACTTGCCGACCGATCGACTGTCGGCCTTCATCGCCAGTACCGCAATCCCTGACGAATTGTTGCGTCTCGAATTGGATGCTCCTCTGCTCGAAAAGTTGGATCTGATTAGGAACACTTTCAGCCGGATGAATATCAGGAAGCAGACAAATCTGCTCTACCGCCAAGCAAACTTCAACTTACTGCGCGAGGAGTCAGAAGGTTTCGCAAAGCTTATGACCGAACTGTTCACCACGAGCGGAAACGAGCCTCCCACTAGCGACGTTGTCGAAGAAACGGTTGAGAAGGTCAAGGCAATGATTGGCGCGTTCGATCTCGACGTAGGGAGAAGTCTTGACGTTGTCCTTGACGTCTTCGGTGCAGTTCTCGTCAAACAGTTTCGATTTTTCGTCAAGTTTCTGAGGGCTAGTCCTTGGTGGCCGCGATCCACGACAGTCCAGAGGAACCATAACGCCTTGAGCGGTCTTCCTCTATGGGCACTGCCCTCATCTCCTAACTGGCACCTTACGGGTGAGCAAAAAGAAGTTGTTGATACTCAGGCTCGCACCCGTGATGAATCCTTCTGGAACCTAGCCAGAGAAAAAGGCCTACCAGCATATCACCTTCTTGGCAGAAATGCGGCAACTGCGGAGCAAATTTCGTCGGCTGCTTCAGCTCCTGAAGAAGACCTGGCTGCGCAGTGGATACGGGAGACAGGTGTACAACCGCCACCAGGCAATCGTGACGCAGCACAGCTACTCGGGTTCAAGCTACGATTTTACTCGTCGTCACCAGCACGTGACGAAACAGATGTTCTTCCTGATAATCTGATTTATCTGTCTGCCCTTCTCATCAAGATCGGTTTCATATCGTTGAGAGACTTGTACCCTCATATATGGAGGAGTGACGAGGACATGGAGGAGTTGAAACAACAAAAGACAAAGGAAAAGGCGGAGCGAGAACGAGCAGCGAGACCTGGCGCCGGTGCTAGGAACGCTCTACTACTAGCAGGTGCACTCGTAGACGACACTTTGCCTGTGCCGGCACGGTTGAAAGACTCGGGCACCCGCTCCAGCACGCCCTCCAAGGAAGTCGACAGTGAGAAGCCTAGCACCAAGGACACAAACGAACCTTCCGATCAGAAAGTGCTGTTACTAAAAAGTCTCCTCGCCATCGGAGCACTCCCTGAGGCCTTGTTCATATTAGGTCGCTTCCCATGGCTGATGGAACTATTCCCCGACCTCGCCGAATACGTCCACCGCATTCTACATCATTCTTTGAGCCACGTCTACAACGCAACGCAGCCTTTGCAAGATCGCCTTTCGCTATCTGAAAGAAAGCCTAGCTACGAAACTGATGTCCCTGGCTTACAAAAAGGGCAAGTGAAGATCGTTGACAGTCCAGACCGAAAGGTGCTACGTTGGGCCCTTCTTGACCGTAACGACAGTGCCGATGGGACTGACTATCGTTTTTACTGGGACGAATGGAATGACAATATCCCAGTCTGCAGAACCGTTGACGATGTATTCACCCTCTGCGATACCCTGTTGCCTCTTGTTGGGGTAAAAATTGGTCAGGACCCAGGTCTCCTGCTAAAGTTTGCCCGCATAGGCAAACATAGTCTACAGACCGATCGAACAGAGCAAAATCGTTCTCGGTGGCTGGACTTGAGCAAACGCATCTTGTTGCCGTCATTGAGCTTGACGAAATCCAACGCCGGTGTTGTCAACGAGGTCTTCGAATTGATTAGCAACTTCCCAGTCAGTGTTCGATACTTGATGTATCTGGAGTGGTTGTCCGGAAGAACCTCGCGCAATCCCGATATCAAATCAGCTTTTGACCAGGCGAGAGCGGAAACCAAAGATATACTTAAGCGTATCTCCAACACGAATGTTCGGCCAATGGCTCGATCATTAGCCAAAATCGCCTTCGCCAACCCCCATATCGTCATCACTACTGCGCTTACTCAGATCGAAGTCTATGACAGCATTGCCGAAGTATTTGTCGAGGGTGCACGCTATTTCACGGACCTTGGCTATGATGTTCTAACTTGGGCTATCGTGAGTTCTATGGCGAAAGCAGGAAGAAGCCGTACGCAAGAAGGGGGTATGTTTACCAGCCGCTGGCTGTCGGCTTTGGCCCAGTTCGCGGGCAAGATCTACAAGCGATACGGCATGATGAGACCGGGACCGATCTTGCAATATGTCATGGAACAACTCGAACATGGAAACACTACAGACCTCAAAATGTTAGAACAGATCGTTCTCGCCATGGGTGGAATTGCCCCCGACACCAGCTACAATGACGCCCAGTTACAAGCCATGGGGGGTGGCCCCTTACTCCAGTCGCAGACTATCCTTCAATTACTCGATCGCCGGCACGATTCCAAGAAAACTTCGGAGCGATTGATGAAATCACTCCAGGACACTGGCTTGGGAGCCAAGTTCTTGATTGCTATGGCTCAACAACGCCAGGCTTGTGTTTTTGAGCAGGGCGACGTACCACTCAAGGCCATCGGCAATACTTATGACGAGGTGCATCGAGTTATGGTCCAATACCTCGATTTGCTACGCACCAATCTCTCCGCCGAAGACTTCCAATCAACCGTACCAGATGTGGTGAGTCTACTGATCGAATATGAGATCCGGCCCGAGATTGCATTTTGGATCAGTCGGCCATCCATTTCCAGACAAATTGTCGAGCATGACAGAGAGAATGCAAAGTACCATCGCTTGGAAGATCTTCCAGACAGACCGATCAATGGTGACGTTGAGATGTCCGACCAGATCAACGGCGGTTCTGAAGAAGACGGCGAGGCGATCGAGACTGATACGGCCGCTAACGATTCGCCTCCTGATGGCGATGCCTCGGGGCCTATCCTTGAGCTAGAACCAAGTGGAAAGACCGCAGGTCCTTCGGATATCACTGCAGAAAATTGCTGGCATCCTGTCATGCGAGACCTTATGCAGGCTATTGAGCCCTCGCTTCCGAACGAAGTAGTCGAAACCATAGGCACCGGCTTCTATGCTACCTTCTGGCAGCTGTCTTTGTACGACATCACCATTCCAGGTAAATCGTACGAGGACGAGTTGTCACGTCAGCACAAGAAAATCGCTGCTATCTCGGCAGACCGCTCAGACGTAAGCATGTCTGGGTCTAAGAAAAAAGAACTCGCAAAGAAGGAAATCACAGATCTAGTTGACAAGCTGCTTGCAGAGAACAAACAACACCTCAAGGCCTTTGCAGAAAGTAAGGCTCGATTGCAACGCGAAAAAGATCAATGGTTCTCTGGGAAGGCTAGAATGGACAAACAGCTCAACACGTCTTTGATGGAATACTGTTTCCTTCCTCGTCTTCTCTCTTCGGCCCTGGACGCCTACTTCTGCTTCAAATTCGTCAAGTTTCTTCATGGCGTTGGAACACCAAACTTTAGAACGCTTGGCTTCTATGACTTAATTTTCAGAACGCCACGACTCGTGTCTCTGATATTCATGTGCACATCCAAGGAGGCCGATAATCTGGGCAGATTTCTCAACGAGGTTTTGAAAGATCTTTCTCGGTGGCATACCACCAAAGCGACGTACGAGAGAGAGGCCTGGGGAAGCAAGAAGAACCTGCCCGGTTTTGCCATGAAAGTCGAAGCAGGAAAAGTTGTGTCTCTATTGGACTTTGAGAGCTTTCGAAGGGTGCTTTACAAATGGCATGGCAACCTCTATGCCGCGCTGCAGAAGTGTCTGGGGTCGCCAGAGTACATGCACGTTCGAAATGCAATCTCGATACTTCGTACAATTTCAGCAGTCTACCCTGCTGTGAATTTCCACGGAACGGGATTACAGAAGGCTGTCGATAAGCTTCGCGATTCAGACAAGGAAGACCTTAAAGTCTCCTCCCAGGCTTTGCTCGGAGCTCTACACAGGAGGGAAAAGGTCTGGAGCGACCCGCAAGCGTTCCGACACGGCTCAGAAACCGTTGGCGAGACCACTCAGACTGCTTCTCAGACAAAATCCGAAAGTACCAGAGATCCGGAGGCTGCACAAAGCAAGCGAGACGAGGACGGTGAACTCAAGGACACTACTATGACAGACGTCCCTGCGAAGAAGGAAGAGAAGCCGTCCATTGAGAAAAAGGAAGTAAAACCACAAAAGCACCCAGCATCAGCAGAATCTTCTCGCCCTGCGTCCAGGCCAGCCTCACGGTTGGCAACGACGAACGGCTCTTCCACGCCCACGAGACAAACATCCGAGATTAGCTCAACAGCAAAGCCAGATGCAAGAGCCAGCCGCCCTGAGACGAGTCGTACTCAAAATCTTCCTCGTCGCGTATCACCTCCACCTCCTCCTCGAGCTCAGCCAACAGGCTTGCCCAATCGGCCAGACTTCCCAGACCCTCGGTCCGGTAACAGGGAAAGTCCACGTATGTCGGCGAGAGTTCAGGCTGAACCGCATAGACCACCTTTCGAGGCTCGAAGCAATCACAGCCGAGACACGCGGCCTAGTTACCGAAGCCATGAATCAGCTGCGGAAGATCTTGATCGACACTCGCGAAGGTACGAACGGCCCGACGTCCCACCGCATGTCAACCGTGATGACCGTGGATATTCGCGAGATTCTGACAGAGGTAAACCCTATGACCGCAGCACACAGTCGGAGCGAGATCGCCCCTCAACTCGACCTCCACCCATGGCTGATCGCAATAGAGATGGTCGAGACCGCGAGTCAACACCAAGATCACGACCGCTAACATCATCCGAGCCGCCCGCTACGACTTCCCAAAACCTGCCGAAACGGGACCCGGATCAGCTAACTTCAAAAGAAGCACCTAGCACTCCGGCGGCACAACCTGCCATCAACCCTGCCCGCGCTGCCCTGATCGATGGCAATTCCGACCAGCGCTCGACCTCAGGTACACGGGGACCGGGACCCGAGAGATCGTCGAGATCCTCGCGGCCCACTTCTCCTCGTCGAGAAGAAGATCGGAGGTCGTATTCTCGTCGTGACGGAGACGAGAGACTCCCTCCTAACAGTCGACCTGAGCCCCCACCACCACGTCAGCCACCGTACGCTTCGTCCCCGGCCACCGATCCTTCTTCTTTTGGACCGGGAGCACGTAGCAGTGGGCATAGCAGTTTCAAACGGGATTCTAGACAAGGTCCACCGATCGACATGCAGCATGGCCGACTCGAGCGAGAGTCTCCCTCCCAACGACCGATGAGCTCTCGTGGTTCTGACACACAACAGGAGGCTGAAGTTCCTTCCGGGCCTCGTGGCAGGCCAGCACCAGGAGCTGGTACGTCAATGAGAACCACTTCTGTTAATACGCACGTTCCCACAGGCGCTAGCACCGAGAGACCAACACCGACAGGGCCTTCACGCCGGCACGGGCGCTCAAGCTCGTACAATGAAACTGCCCCCTCACCCGGCGCGCCGGCTGAAGCAATTGGCGTTCATCCTTCTCGATTGAATCAAATCGAGGCGTCAGCAACGACAGAATCTTCACGAGCTGCCCAGCCTCCCCCGTCTCCTCACCAGAGCCAACCACCTTCGGGACCCCGAGGCAACGCACCCCCCGGTGCTCCCTCAGGACCTTCACCATCATCGAGAGGCCCGGCATCTGGTCCTCACAATGCGGACATGGGCGGAAGGTCTGGACGAAACAATCGGCATCCACTTGCTGCCGTCAACAACACGCTGGCCCAAGCCGGGACATCAATTCGTGGAAGGGGCGGTTCTACAAGACAATCCGGAGACTCTTTCGGCCCTGCTTCCGGAATGGCGCCACCACCGCCCCCTCCGCCGCCGCCGCCGGGCGGCCCTCCAGCAAACTACAATCCTAGTTCAAATGGCTACCCGGCACAGAAGGACCTATTTCCCACACAGAACCCCAATGATGTTCCTGTCGGTGCTCGGACATCATCTTCACGGCATGAAAGCGGGAAAGATCGAAGAGCTGAGCTCTCCGATGAACGCGGGTCGGATAGAAGATCATCTCGACATTCCAGCCGACATGATGACGGGCGGGAAGAGCGAGAACGTCGCAGTGACAGGGAGAGTAGAGATGGACGTGACGATAAACATGGTGGCGGAGACCCGCCAAGGAAAGACGAACGATCGAGCCGAAGGGATCAATATCCGCCAGAAAGTGGCGATAGGAGAGGAGGCTATTCAAGATCAGGACCACCGCGAGACGAGCAGATGTCGAGGAAGCACGGCAGAAACGACGATGGGGCACCTTACGGTGGAGGACCTGGACCGGGCATGGGCGGCAGAGGAGGTGCTAGAATTGCCAGCGAAACCAAACGTCCCAGGAGAGGACCTTGAGAGTTCGACGACGCGTTCTTCTCACGATTGGACACTGCAACTGATGATGTACTATGGCAATGGCCGGCAAGATCACGGCCACTAGTTTTATCTGGAGATTTGCGTTCCAGAGTGTGTTATTATCTGCTACAAATGAAAATGACAGAAGAGTTCAAAGACCTTGTTATCAGACGCATGAGCTGTGTACCTAACCATCAGTTTACTGAAGCAAGGTCTTCTCATCTTGATGACTTGTGCTGGATAGTTCCAGATAGTCCCAAGCTTTCACCATGCCCTTGTCCTACCCTCACACGAATGGCAGATCAAAAGGTAGTTGTCTCCTTACTGCCGGTACACTATTTTTATCGAGGTCTGACGAGCCTTTTCCTTTTGTTATAGCCCAATATGGATAAGCGCACCACCTGTTCGTGCGCTAACACGGTCCCGCTAGATGTATATTTTCGTCTGACAGTTCATTTTATTTTCTTGGGGAAATTACGACTGGACACTTCATACGTGTTCGGAGTTGGGATGATTTCACACAACTGCCCATCCGACTGTCATCTTGGGGCTTTAGGCTGAGGCCACCTACATCGTTTTGCTGCATAGTGATATCTGTGCACCTCGCTCTTCCTTTAGAAAACACCAGAGCATCCCGAGGTCGCTGTCAGCACTCAACCCCGTACCAGTCCTTCCGCGCCCGATGCCAGTATGAAGCGCAGACCGACCACGCCACTACCATAGAATTTCCGACCAACATGGCTAACTACGGTTCACCTTATGGCAGTGGCGCCGGCCAGCCGTATCAAGACCCTAGATTTCACGATCCCAGGGCGCAGCAGCCCTCTCCTAGTTTCCCTCCCTCGGTCAGTCCACAGCCAGGTCACCAACAACAGTACGGTGTGCCCGCTTCGCAACAGCAGCCATACGCTGGGCAGTTTGGGGGACAGGCTTTGCAACAGCAAGACAGCGTCAATAGTCTCGCCGGCCAGTTTGGTGGCTTGGATGTGTCTGGCGTGCCTGCACGATCTCATAGGAAGAAAGAAAGACACGCATATCATGAGATCGCGCCGGCACCAGGTGCTCCTGGTCCGCCAGGGATTCCTCAAGCCGAAGCGTTTGGAGGCCCCCAATTCCAAAGCAATGGGCAAGCTGCTTTTGGTTCTGTCCCCGGCCAGCCTGGCCCGACAGCCATGAATCCGGGGGACAAGCTGCGCATGGGAGAGGAAGCTGTTACCACGCAAGGTCGTGTCGACCCAGAACAAATCCCAAGCGTGGCACGATCCCGAGATCTGGCGGGGCAATTCTATCAGACAAATGTGTTTCCCACGATGGAAAAGCATCTCCCACCTCCTGCGGCAGTGCCCTTCACGGCGCATGATCAAGGCAACTCATCACCGAAGTTCGCTCGGCTGACTGTCAATAACATTCCCTCATCAGCCGAAGCTTTGGCATCGACGGGTCTGCCGCTTGGACTTGTCCTGCAACCCTTCGCCTCCATACAGGATGGAGAACAACCAGTTCCTGTTCTAGACTTTGGCGAAACTGGTCCTCCACGGTGTCGCCGATGCAGAACATATGTCAACCCTTTCATGACATTCCGATCTGGCGGTAGTAAGATGGTCTGCAATATGTGCAACTTTCCGAACGATGTGCCTCCGGAATATTTTGCCCCGACAGACGTTGCTGGCGTCAGAGTTGATCGTATGCAACGACCCGAGCTTATGATGGGCACTGTGGAGTATCTAGTGCCTAAAGAATATTATACAAAGGAGCCTGAACCATTGCGATGGCTGTTCATGATCGACATTACGCAGGAGGCTATTAACAAAGGATTTCTGGGCTCGGTATGCCAGGGTATTCTGGATGCGCTCTATGGTCATGAAAGAGAAGACTCGACGGAAGAAGATGCGACGCCCCAAAGCCTTCCGGTAGGCACCAAGATCGGCATAGTAACATATGACAAAGAGATTCAGTTCTACAACCTGTCAGCTGGTCTAGCGACTGCTCAGATGATGGTGATGACAGATCTTGAAGACCCATTTGTTCCCCTTTCTGAGGGAATGTTCGTTGATCCCCAGGAATCGAAAGAGGTCATCACCGCTCTACTCCAATCAATACCTAACATGTTTTCGACGATTAAAAACCCGGAGCCTGCCTTGTTACCTGCTTTGAATGCGGCGTTGGCATCTCTGACTTCGACGGGAGGAAAAGTCGTCTGCTCCCTGTCGGCACTGCCCACATGGGGACCAGGAAGCTTACATTTGCGCGATGATGGTAAAGGTCGAGATACCGACGCTGAGAGGAAGTTGTTTACGACAGAACACCCAGGCTGGAAAAAGACCGCTAGCGCCATGGTGACTGCCGGCATTGGGGTTGATTTCTTCCTGGCCGCACCAGGGGGCGGTTACATGGACGTCGCTACCGTCGGCCACTTGTCACGCTTGACAGGGGGAGAGATGTTCTTTTATCCCAACTTCGTCGCACCGAGAGACAACCTCAAGCTTCAGACTGAGATCAAACATTCAGTGCATCGTGAGACAGGCTATCAAGTCCTCATGAAGGTCCGATGTTCAAATGGACTGCAAGTCTCAGCTTACCATGGGTCATTCTTGCAGCATACCTTTGGGGCTGATTTGGAAATCGGTACCATAGATGCTGACAAGGCCATTGGGGTTTTATTCTCTTACGATGGGAAGCTAGATTCGAAGTTGGATGCACATTTTCAGGCTGCCCTCCTCTATACTTCAGCCTCGGGTCAGAGAAGAGTTCGATGTATAAATGTGGTTGCCGGCGTCAATGACGGAGCCACGGAAACTATGCGAACTGTCGATCAGGACGCTGTGGTGAATATTCTCGCCAAAGAAGCGTCCACCAAGCTGTCCGAGAAATCACTCAAAGATATTCGTGCCGGCATAACAGAAAAAACAATTGACATTCTGGCTGGATACCGCAAGAACTTCTCGGGCTCGCATCCGCCAGGCCAGCTGGTCTTACCTGAACATCTCAAAGAATTCGCCATGTACACGCTTGGCTTGATCAAAAGCAGAGCTTTCAAAGGTATGCGGAGTCAGATAGTTTGAGTTTGTATGTGCTAATGAGCTGTAGGTGGAGTTGAGCCGACAGATCGCCGTGTCCATTCGGCACGGCTCATGAGATCTTCTGGGGTGACAGAGACGGCATTGTATCTTTACCCTCGCATTTATGCCCTCCACAATCTGGCTCCAGAAGATTGTTTTGCCAATGCCGAGACCGGGCAACTAGTCGTTCCGCCAACAGTGCGAGCTTCATTCGCACGCGTCGAGGAAGGTGGCGTGTATTTGGTCGACAACGGCCAGATCGTACTGATTTGGCTCCATGCGCAGGTGTCGCCCAACCTTCTGGAAGACCTTTTCGGCGAAGGGACGCGGAGTCTAGAGGCTCTCGACCCCATGACCAACGAACTACCCGTGCTGGAGACTCACCTGAACGCACAGGTGCGCAACCTCCTCCAATATATCTCGACGGTACGGGGCAGCAAGGCCGCAGCTTTCACTCTAGCTAGGCAGGGGCTCGATGGTTCAGAGTTCGAGTACGCTCGCATGCTGGTTGAGGACCGGAACAACGAAGCTCAGAGTTATGTCGACTGGCTAGTGCATGTACACCGCGCAATTCAAATGGAGTTGAGTGGCCAAAGGAAGAAAGAGGACACGGGGGACAATGAGGGCATCTTGAACAGCTTGGCCGGGTTGAAAGCCCCCTACTGGACATGATAGCGCGAACGATGATGAAATAAGACATGACGAAGGTACTGCTCAAGGACATAAAAGGTCGTAGAAGCCTTGGTTCTACGACAAAGGCCCAGCTACGTTCTCCATATCACCAGGTCAATAAACATACTGTATGAGAAACTCAACACCAGCCGACGAGTGCTGTTAGACGTCGTTTGCGACACATACGGATACGGATCCTCAGAGAGAGAGACACAGTAAGGTTGTTACAGAGTTGGTCTCCAAAGTCACCAAGCTGATTCACGGTCACACTCACAGTCGTCGTCGTCGTCGTCGGATTCTGTAGCCCAAGATCTCCGTAGTCATCGAATACCCAACCCCACACAACTATCCCGCAACCACCTCTCTTCCCCGACCTCCCGTGCCGATTAGCCGGATGCGTGTTGTTTTAGTCGTGCGACAAATTAGTAATGCATATAACCATCGGCTTCTCTTCCCCAGAGGAGGGCCCCGTTGTTGGTTGAGGGGACCCTTCTGTCTGGTCTGTGGACTCTACTAAAGTACAAGTTTTGGTTCTACCGACTCTACATGTCGACATCCAGACCAACTTTCCTCACGCGATCCTCAGTTAGCGTCTTCCTCACCTCGTATCGAGCTCGGCGGTGAGGCTCTGCTGAAGACTGACGCCGCTGACTCTTTCTGTCTTAAAAAAGACCAAGAATACACGCTGCGCCGGCGACTATCACACGTCTTGATGTCTTCACCAAAGGCACAATCGGACACAGCTCCCCCGAATGGATTCTCGCGCAACAATGCAACCATGGAGGATACCATCTCGTTGTCCCGGTCGAGCTCAGTTGCCACGTACGGCCAGGTGACGATGGAACCTAGTGATCTGGAGAAGGTCATGTCGCAGCACGAGGACGCAGATATTGCAGTCACCATCCAGGAAAGCGACGATCCAAATGTGGTCAACTGGGACGGTCCAGACGATCCAGAGAATCCACTCAACTGGCCCGGGAGCAAGAAATGGATCAACATTGCCTTGATCTCTTCAATTACCTTCTTGACGTGGGTTTTCCCTGCTAGACGCGGACATGACGGAAGCCGTTCGATGCTGACTCTTGTCACAGACCCTTTGCATCGTCCACTTTTGCCCCCGGTGTTCCCCTGGTGATGGAGGAATTCCACGAGGATAGTCTCGCGGTGGCATCCCTCGTGGTATCAATATACGTTCTGGGATACGTTTTCGGCCCTTTGATCATTGCACCAGCTTCCGAGCTCTACGGGCGCGTTCCCGTGTACCATGTCAACACGTTTCTGTTCCTTGTTTTCAGCATCGGCTGCTCGAGGTCTACCAGCATCCCGATGCTGATTGTGTTTCGCTTTCTTGCCGGCGTGGCAGGCTCCTCCCCGATCACAGTCGGCTCTGGAACCATTGCGGATACTTTCAAACAAGAGCAGCGAGGCAAGGTCATGTCGATCTGGAGCTTCCCGATTCTTTTTGGACCGAGGTGGGTTCTTTTCCCTGTCGTTTCTCTTTTCATCAGTACAATCAGCTAACTGGGTCGTTCAGTCTTGGACCAGTTGTAGGGTCATATCTGTCGGCCGCGGCTGGCTGGCGATGGGACTTCTACCTCATTTCAATTTGCGTAAGACATCACAGCGAGAAAGGGAAGGATTGTTGCTGATTAGTTCTCCTTTTCAAGACCGGAATTCTCTTCGTGCTCACCGTCGTTTGCCAGCGAGAGACGTACCCGCCTGTTCTTCTCGAACGGAAAGCCAAAAGACTTCGAAAGGAGACGGGAAATGACAAGCTTCGCTCTGCCCTGCAATCGCGCAAGACGCCCCGCGAGATGTTTCTCCTGTCCATCGTGCGTCCGATCAAGATGCTGTGCCTCTCACCCATCATCTTCGGGGTGTCCCTGTACATTGCCGTGACTTACGGCTACCTCTACCTGTTGTTCACCACCGTCACCTTTGTATTTGAAGATCAGTACGGCATTAGCTCCAGCAACGTCGGGTTGGTGTACCTGGGCATCGGCGTCGGGCAACTGTGTGGACTCACTGGATTCGGGTACTTTTCGGACAGGTTGCTGAAGAAGTGGGCAAAGGGAGGTGAGCTCAAGCCCGAACTTCGGCTGCCTCTCCTGTGGCCCGGAGCGTTCCTGATCCCGGCCGGCCTCTTCGTGTATGGCTGGTCAGCAGAGTACAAGGTACACTGGATTGTACCCATCCTCGGGACCTTCTTCTTTGGCGCCGGGATGATCATTACTTTTATGCCCATCGGCACGTACCTCGTGGATTCTTACACTACGTACGCAGCGAGCGCCATGGCAGCGAACACGGTCCTCCGGAGCATCGGCGGAGCTCTGTTACCTCTGGCGGGCCGTAATATGTATGCCGCACTATCACTCGGCTGGGGAAACTCATTGCTCGCCTTCATCGCGTTGGCAATGACTCCGATGATCTGGGTCTTTTGTAAGTATGGAGAGAAGATCAGAAATCATCCGAGGTTCAAACTGAACCTTTGATGATGGAACGGAGCGTTGCTTTCTGCATTGAACGGCGGTTGAGGACAAAAATAGATATTGCATGGACAGATACCGGAGTACCTCGTGGGAGCAAAAGGAGCTGAGAAAGGTCACAGCCCAGAGGCGAATAGATAGATACGCTCCTCATGATAACCGGGAGAGTTCTAGATGGTTACGGTCATGGTCATAGCTCAGCACAGACCGTGCAGTGAGAATATACAAATGAGTGCTGTCACGCATCATATCTGCTTACTGTATCTCATCGGCTGCTGCCCGGAGACTTTAGCCAGGGGGCCGGGTAACTCGTATTGGTGGCTCCCCCACGCTATCCGTTCCCTATAGGCCATAGGCTATAGCCTATAGGGCTATAGGCTCCCTGGCTATAGTGATGACCAGAGCCCAATCGACCCCTGGCGCCTCGACTAAGCACCTAAGACAGAGCGCCCAGAGGCTCCTCCAGGCCCGGAGTCCGTCACCGTGCATTGTGGATTCTCGCTTCTCCATCTGCCGCGGTCTCTTTTTTCCACCGCAATCAATGGTGGGAGTCATGATAAAAAAATGCCCTTGAGCGCCGTCCAGTTTCTCTTGTTTTTTTCATCCCCAGACTGTAATTCGTTCTGAGTCACACCGCGAAGCGAGCAACTATATCTACAATAACACCTCCCAATGGACCTCACATAACATATCCTCAATCGTCGCAACAACCCCTCTCCTCTCAACCCCGCCAGGAACCACAGCAGAAAATTTTCCACGATGGCGGCCACAGAGGCCAACGGCAGCGAGAGCCATCCGTCTGTACAACTCCGTCAGTGTCTCCCACCCCCTTTGCCCCCTTCTGTCCTCTAGTGTGGGTGGACGGCTGCTAAATCCCGTAGAGAGTGCCAAAGGCCAACCTGAAAACCCTTTCGCCAGCCTCGTATCCGATCAACAATACGCCATTGTACCTTCCTTCACCCTCGAGTCGGGCGTCGTCCTCAAGAATGTTCCCGTGGCATACACAACTCGGGGGCAACTCTCAGAGAATAAAGACAATGCACTGGTAATATGCCATGCGCTCAGTGGCAGCGCCGATGTGGCCGACTGGTGGGGTCCTTTGCTGGGAGGCACCGGGCAAGCTTTTGACACGACAAGATTCTTCATTGTCTGTTTGAACAGTCTAGGAAGTCCGTACGGCAGTGCCAGCCCAGTCACCAGCAGAGACGGAGATCCGGAATTGGGGACCTATGGCCCCGAATTCCCTCTGACCACGATAAGAGACGATGTGAAGTGAGTAGGAGGTGCATTGCGCTGCAGCCCGGGCAAAAGCTAACACACTATCCCAGCATACACAAGATCGTACTTGATGCCCTCGGCGTTCGGAAGATCGCATCCGTCGTCGGAGGATCCATGGGCGGTATGCTATGCCTAGAATATGCCTACTTTGGCAAAGATTATGTGCGCACCATTGTTCCCATTGCTACGTCGGCCACACACAGTGCCTGGGGCATCAGCTGGGGCGAGGCCCAACGGCAGGCCATTTACTCGGATCCCAAGTATGAAGATGGTTATTACTCGCCTAAGGATCCGCCCACGGCAGGCTTGGGGGCTGCGCGCATGTCTGCGTTGCTCACGTATCGCAGCCGTGATTCGTTCGAGGCACGCTTCGGGCGAAACGCACCTGATCTGTCGAAACGACAAGCCATCAACCAGGAGAACGGCAACGGGGTGCAGAACGAACATTGGTCGATTCACAACGACGGTCACAGTCGTGCCAAAGGATTTCGACCCGGGTCGCGCAGCGGAACCCCTTCAGGGTCGACACAGCCGGATTCGCCGGAGCAGGCGCAGACAGCGACCTTCAAAGATCCACAATTCAGCGGTACGACAGAATACTCGGTCCCCGTACCAGTCCTCAGCCGGAAAACCTCGCACCCCACGATTCATTACTTTTCCGCACAATCGTACCTGCGGTACCAAGGCAACAAGTTCGTGGGTCGATTCGACGCGAATTGTTATATCGCCATTACCCGCAAGCTTGACACGCATGATGTGTCAAGAAATCGGGCATCCAGTATCAAGGATGCTTTGGCGCTCATTGAGCAACCCGCCCTGGTATTGGGCATCGAGTCTGATGGGCTCTTCACCATCGCCGAGCAGGAGGAGCTTGCCCATGGCATCCCAAATGCTCGGCTCGGGAAGATTGACAGCCCCGAAGGACATGATGCTTTCCTGCTGCAATTCGAACAGGTCAACAGCTATCTCTTGGGGTTCTTCCGAGAATTCCTGCCAGAAATCATGAGCAAACCCGGTGTGGGAGGTGAAGATGGAGTGGCCAAGGACGGAGTCGGGAAAATGACGAAAAGCAGTACGTTCGGAGAGGCAGAGATTGGCGACTTGACTGCCTGGTGACTCGAATGAGGATGAAACGCCTGCAGAGAGTATGGGGCGGATGAAACCCGGACTTTGTTGAGACGGAACGTGTCCCAGAAATACCAGTTCAACTCTGGTTGATGGACTTTTGGCTTTGCCCGAGCGCGAGCATGCATAAGATATGAATGAATTGTATCATTGTCGTCGGTTGAAGCCGCATTCACAAGATACCCGGAGCAGTATGTATGGTTTTTTCTCTCCCAGGAAAATAAAATACAAAAAGAAAGCATGGATGAACAGATATTGTCTCATTGCGATACAGAGAGTAGCATGAACCACGAGGTATCTATAGCAGGCTCATCCATATTTTTTTGTGCAGGCGGGCTATTCAGATTCTGTTCGGACATACGCACCTTTCACGCTCTAAATTCCGTCCAATGCCGGCGGGACGACGAGACGAAATTGAGGCCTTCCAGGCATTCAAGCGTAATGTACGGAGCACCGTAGGTAAGAATGACAAGCCTCCTTGACTAGACTAGCGGCAGCGCCTTGGATGAGCTTGGGGCTATACGAACAGCGGACTGCACAGTCGCTGTACAGGCACAGCAGATGCGGTATATCCAACAGCACAATCTTGACCCTATCAACACTGTACTGTATGTAGAAGCCAGCGCATGAGATACACCCACAGGCACAGTGCCTGCAGTCAGGGATGTAATGCTACGGGAAATCATACTGTGTATTTCTGCCACACAGCAATTCAACACCATGTTTCATCTTGTCGATCGGCGCCAAAGCCACGTCCACTAGCCGCACGTTGGCCTCGTCAGCCTCACCATGGGCCGCCCAGTCTCACTCAACTACGACCAGCCTCTTCCGTGCACAGTCCATTCGTTAGCGCGGCGTTTGCCTCAATCCCTGCCCGGTCGACCACGGTCGAACGAATAGAGTCTTTGTATAGGGGGCATCCAGAAAACTGCCCGCCTTAAACCACACCAAACTCTTACCGTACCAGCGAATTGTCCTGCATCTAAATTCGTCCTCAGATCATCATCATCCTTTGCGGCGCAGTCTTTGACCACATTGTCGCTTCCACTCTCACTTCTTTGTCGCCCTTTTACCACCAATGCTCCTTCGTTGAACTCTACCAGCGTCACCACCTCACACGAGCACGACCTTCTACCCCCTTTGTCTCACTCTTTTACGAGTCCAGAGGACTGCTACAGCCAACACCACCACCACAGCAAACGCGACTTGCGAGAACGCGCTCTCGTTACAGACCTCCCACACCCCAGACCCCTCCCTCGTTCCGCTCCTCTGCTTCGATGATCCTGCCATAGAGCCTTCACCAATACCAAGCTGAGAGAGACGTTAAAACATAAAAGGCCGTCAAGATGGGCTGGCCAAAATGCAACACGACGCTGGAGGATATGCAGATTACAGAAGAGCCCATATGGCACGACAAGAGCTTCCACGACCTGGGTCTCTATCTGGGTGCGATCTTCACCTTCATCGCCATCGCGGTCTCGTTCTTCCTCATTATGATGCACGCCACACACTACCAGAAGCCCTGGGAGCAGAGACACATTATTCGCATTCTGTTCATGGTCCCAGTCTACGCTGCTGTGTCTCTCCTGTCCTATTACTATTACAACCACAGCGTCTACTTTGAGGTCATTCGAGATTGCTACGAAGCGTTTGCCATTGCCTCGTTCTTCAGCCTGCTTTGCGCCTATATTGCTCCCGATTTGCACCAGCAAAAGATCTACTTCCGCACCATCACCCCTAGGAAATGGGTTTGGCCCATACCCTGGTTCCAGAAGTGTACAGGCGGCTCCGAGAAGGGCATCTTGAGAACCCCTAGGAGCGGTCTCACTTGGTTCAATGTAATTCTGTTTGCCATCTTGTGGTGTTGCAAGCGCTGACTATGTTCCTGCAGGTCATCTGGGTCTCGGTCTTTCAGTACTGCTTCATTCGCGTCTTCTTCACCCTGGTCGCCGTCGCAACGCAGGCCGCCGACATTTATTGCTTAGAGTCCCTCAACCCCGCCTTCGCGCATATCTGGACCATGGTATTCGAATCAGTCGGGGTCACCATCGCCATGTATTGCCTGATCCAGTTCTATATTCAAATCAAGGATGACATCCGCCGCCACAAACCCTTACTCAAGATCACAGCCATCAAATTGGTCATCTTCCTCAGTTTTTGGCAGAGCACCCTGATATCGTTCTTGACCAGTTCAGGAGCGATCAAATCGACCTCCAAAATCCAGACTCCCGACATCAAAGTCGGCATCCCCGCGTTACTCCTGTGTATCGAAATGGCCTTTTTTGCCATTTTCCACGTCTGGTCGTTCAGCTGGAAGCCCTACACCCTTGGGTCGAAAGAATTGATGGCCGAGGCGGTCCCAGGTGATCGGCTTACGTATCAAGGCGGATTCCTGGGCGTAAAGGCCTTGTGGGATTCGTTCAATGCGTGGGACATGCTGAAGGCCACTGGTCGGTCAGCACGGTGGCTGTTCAAAGGTCGCAAGCACCGGCACACCGATGCTAGCTACGACATGACACGCAAGAACACGACAGGAAGTGAGTATGCCGGGAGTCAGAAATTGTCCAACTTTGACGGAAACACCACGTATACTGGACCGGCTCAACCGCCGCACTACGGTGAAGAAGGTGACAACCTGCTTTCGAACAGCCAAGGTATGGCCATAACACGGCCCGAGATACCTAGAAGGGACAGCGACCCCAACGAGGCACCAATGTATTACGAACAGGGTGACATTGGTATTGCGACGACAACGTACGACGACAAATACACACCACAACAATACAATTCTCCAAGACCACCGCCGCAACAACACTACTCGCAGTACGCGCCCTACCAGGGGACAGATGGCCAAGAGAGTGGCGTATCGTCATCCGCTCCTTACCCTTATTCGACACGGGAAGCGTCAGGGCAAGCCAGCAGTAGAGATAACAACCGGATATCTATGCCGTACATGCCACCACCTCGAAGTCGGCAACCGGAGCAGTCATATCCCTACCCGTCCCCGCATGACAACAGAGACAACTTTTTGTGAGATTTCAGCAAACCATTTGAGCGGGAAAAAAAGTGATGGAAGAGGAACATGACTTTATGACCATGACTATGTAGTAATGTGTTTTTGGAAACATTCCTTGTTCTCCCATTGCAGTGATTGTGGACGTGGGATATGGAAATGTGAATATGGATGTCGATTAGGAACAAAGGTATCATTTTGCTCGAACATGGTGTTGTAGGCATTTACCTTCAGGAGTAGAAGAACGCATTTCGGTACGGGGGTTGAGAGTTACCTCCCTTACTTACCTAGGTATATAGATCGATGACGAACAGTTGTACAACAGCGTACTTGGGTGCTCTGTACACGGGGTAAACGGTATCGATTTGATCGATTTGATCTTCTTCACCTCAAGGGCGTGAGGCATTATCACCATCACCACAATGCGTTCGCGACGTTGCATGGCCTCCTCGTCACCATTTCCGTTGACTCCTTGCTTGAAAAATGGTCAGACGAGTTGAATGATTCAAGAAGGAGTGAAGTGATACCGATTGAAGCGGTGCTGGTTGGGGATCAGAGAAGCACTCTGCGAGATAATGTGACGATGTGCGGCGGCGGCGGCGGTGGTGGAAAGGAGAAACAGGAGAAATGAAGCACCCTTGGCCGGCGCCGCCACGACCTCTCAGGAAGACGAGCCACCGTCAACCCCTCAGATGTCTAACTAGTGGCTGCACATTCCGCAACAGACTATTTGCATACATTTGCGCGACGAGGATCGGCGAGACTACCAAGGCCTTCGGAAGATGTTCGATAAACCGGTCCGCGAGCAAGGGATCCGAATACTTGTCGTCAGGAGTGATTGATTATAAAGCTCCGATACTCATGGTATATTCGGCCAATAGATACTGTTCGTATTCCCGAGGCTCAATGATCTTTGGGATGTACGTGTTGCGCCACACACCCTCGGGGTCCGTCGTATAACACATTTTAAAGGACTCCCAGTAATCCGGGTACCAACCTGCTTGTCCCCAGTCGATCAACGCCAGTATGCGCGGTGGCCCGAGGTTCGACGAGGCCGACACCATGATATTCGTAGGATGGACATCGGCATGGGTGAATTTAATACCAGTGGGATCGGCTTCTCCCAGTCGGAGAGGCTCAAGATAAGGATCTCTGTGTCTCTGAGGAGTCGATAAGAATCGCTGCGGAAGCCATTCAAGGAAGTTGTAGAAGTTGTCGAGACCGTCGAACGGCCGGGTCTCTGGGCGGTCATAAAAGACTCGATCGAGTAATGGCCCTCGAGTGACGGATCCTAGAGAATCTAATTCAGATTTTGAACGACGCATCGTGTCCCTCCGCGGAGAATCGCTTACCGATGAACTCATCTCTCTGCTCAAGTTGCAGTAGAGATGAGAGAATCTGACCGAGTTGCTCGCAGAGAGAATCCTTCTCCGAGAGATTTAGATCGTCCCAGCCTTCCTGTAATGTTAGTCCAGAAATCAGCTCCATATATATGAAGACTCTGTCCTGACGCACTCGCCACCCAAAAACCTCTGGAACTGGAACTCGATGACCTAGTCGCCTTCTTACTGCCCTCATCGTAACCGCTTCATCAATCGTCACATGTGGTCCAAATTTGATGAGGAGTCGCATTTCTGAGACGACCAAAGTGCCCTGGCGATTTGAATCGACACTTGGAACGGCTGGAAGTCTTCTGGCTCTTCCAACCTGAAAGAAAGATGATTCCGTAAAATCCACGTCCTTTTCCAGCGCAGCTTTTTCCAGAGTGTCTGGAAGCAAATCATGATCTTGTTCTCTCAGACCAGGTTCGTGTGTGGAGCTCATCTTTGTGGATTTTGTTATTGGGGGAGAGTGGCGGGCTTCTGTCTTGATCTGAAAGTCCGATGTTGAGGGAACAGTTTGAATCTCACTAGGGGGCATCCGGTGAGGTCTCTTCCAAGTTTAGAAGCCTTGTCTGGTGGCAAGTGAAGGAAAAGAGCGGGCGCGTGTGATGGTATGTGTTAATGCTGTGGCCAGTGTCACTCAATCGGAGGACATTGGTATATTCAAGAGGCTGAAGGATGCCATTCGGGATGCCGTCCGTCCCTGGGGCCTTGTTTGGGCAGCCCTGCGTATCGTATCGCCCGTTCGATCTCCGTTTTTGTGATCTCCGGGCGTGCAATGGGCTGAGGGTATTAGACCCATTGAGGTCGGACAGGTCGGGTCTCCGTGGCAGTGGAAAGAAAGATTGACGCAGAGTCTCGGCCTTCTCCGTAGCTTGGTGGGCGAAACCTTCCCCTGGCTTCCTGAGTGAGGGTGTGCATGTAGGCGTCACAATGTGCCCCTTCTTAGCCAATTTCACTAAAATCAATGCTAACAATCAGGTATTTAATGGACGAGAGCAACAGATAGGATGGGATAGTAGCTTCGCAAGATTTGGATATGCTCAGGTGGTTGACAAAGGCTATATGTTGGCCACAGAGTTCCTTGGCGGGTTTCTCCATTTGGTTTTCATTTGGTTTTCTTTTTCTTCATTTTTCATGTTCAAGGCACCGCAACAATGGCAACACGGTAACAACACATTCAACGAGGGACTGCGTGTGTGTGTATGTGCCTGAATTGGTTGATGACAAAGAGCCAGACCGCCAGACCCTTGCTGACCAGAGCCAGGCTGATGGATGCATGCGTGCGATGCGTTGGAAGACGCGCCGTCCGAGCTAGAGCCTGCTGAAAGAGGAGATCTCAAAGTGCAACATCTGGGAAGAACAGACCTTGAGCTCCTCCATCACCACGAGCTCAAATGGAAAGAAGCTACAAGGAGTGACCTTCAACAAGTGGAACATCAGGCATACAGTGATCGTGTGTCGTATCTCGCGGCGCATGAGGACGTCCCCTTTGTGTATGCAGTGACGAGCTTTGGTACCAGGGCAAGGATGTGGACTTGCGAACCCGATGCGACGTATCTGGAACCGGGCTTCGGATCTGGAGAGCTGGCTGAACCCTCGCAATATATCGAGGCTCATTCCAGCGAAGCAACCGAGTTACGAAAGGGATATGATCGTATGAAGAGAGATTTCCACCAGTTGCACGTCGGGGTATTGAGATTGGGGAGAGATCTCCAGAATCATCTCGCCGCGATTAGCTCCAGAGGAACCCACTTGGAGCGTCGAGAAGATGGTGAAGTTGGAGTATACTACCATGGACCACCGTCTGCAGGAATGGTCGTTGCTCCTAGCCCGAAAATCCGAATATTCCTGACACGTATCTCGTCAAAGGATACTGCAACTCGACATTCACCAGTCCGAAGCCTCCCCTTGAATTTTCGAAGGTTCTCTCGTCCATCGTATCGATTGCTGACCATTGAGACGTACGAAGTGCCGCGGAAGCACAACCTCTTCAGATAAACTACGCTGGAAAGGTCCAGCGAGATCCTGGCTCCAAGTGGCTGTCGACGCAACGCGCCGAAGAGAGAGCGAAATTCTTCTATGGCGGAGAGACAGGCAGGTCCTATCAGCTTCACGATTTCCAGGACAATTTCCTGTGGCATTCGCTTAACCAACTCAACCGAAAATATCTCCCGAAGAATTGAAGAACATCCATCGAGAGAATTGCCCTCGTCGTACGTTGCCAGCCGGTGCTCTTCCCATCTGGGCCGGGTCAGAGATCCATAAGACAGGAGTTCACCATGAGCAGGTGCCTTGCCGTCTCGGAAGCTCCAAGCAAGGACGCTTAGGCATGAAACATGGCACCAGGTTCTGGTCTGTGGTGACTGTGCACAACCGAGACAAATCGGAGGGCATTGAACCACCTTGATCCGGCCATCGCCGCGATCAACTGCAAGCCGTGGACCTTAGTGACAAGTGGCACTGAGAATGTAGCAATGCTCAGTTTACTCACGTAATTGGGCTTCGTTCAGGGAGGCTATCGTCTCGTGACATAGGATACAGGTTGCATCAGAGAAATGAATGATGTCTATCGAATCGGACGACATCTGAATGGAGTCATGATTCATCCAACCCCCGGTGGATGGAATTCGGGGCCACAACGTGGTCAACCGGGAGAAGTCATCAAACGTCAATCGGGCCCGTGGGCTTGTGATTCTAGTTAGCGCCGGGTTCGGTAATACTTGTTCCCGGTGGCCCGCCCCCCTATAATTCTCGTTTCTCGTTAGTCCGTATCAACTCTATCAAGTCAGAGTGTTGTGTGAGATTCAATGCACACAATCCTCCACATTCACTTGAATTGATAGAATTGGGAATAAAATAATCTTCACGATATGTATAATGCTAACAACTGTTGCAAGCATGTAATATATACTACCACTCCAGTACTAGTGCGAGTAACCTTTCAATTCTCGTTTTCTTTCTTTGTATTCCTTCTGTGCCTTCATTTTCCTTACTCTGCTCTTTTTGAGTCTCATGATGGTCTGCGTCCCTGATACGTGCAGACGTACCACAAATACCGTCGAAAACACAGCGCCCTTGTCCCATAGCTCACAGTGAACCAGTACCTCATGGCTAACATCTCATAACTCATGGTTTTCGTTTTGTGAGCCTCTTGATCAATCAACAACTTCTTCACAGCTTACTCTTACTAGCTTCAGGTGTGGCACAGCAAGATCCCTCCCCAACCTTCATCTCCAGGGCGGGTTGATGATGCGCTTCGCTGACAAGAGTAGACTGGTTGAAGTTCTGCTCGGAAGGAGGGACGTCGAGGGCAGGGTTCTTGTCGAAAAAGTTGACGGGCTTCAGGCTGACCTTGAGGATCTCGCAGGGCATGACGGGGAAGTCCTCGATGCGCGGGACGTGGTTGATGCCGAACTGCACCCACACGACGATGTCGGTGTCCTTGACCGAGTCGTTCCGGGCGGCAAACGAGCGCACGCCGGTGCCGCCGCGCGACTGGTTCGTGTACCAGCCGCCCGAGTACAGCTCGCGGTCGCGGTGCGTGGTGACGTAGATGTTGTGGTCGGCGAACTCGGCGCGCTTGAAGTGGAACGACGACGGGTGCGCGAGCATCTTCTGGAAGGGAGGCGCGTGGATCTTGTACGCCACGGGCTTGCCGTTGACCGGGTTGCGCACCGCGGCGTTTTGGATCTTGAACACCCGGTTCGTGTCCGGGTCGAGGTCGAGGCCGCCGGCCGTCTCGACGACGGTTTCCGTCACGTCGTACGCCACCCCGTGCGGGTTCCAGTCCTTGTCGATCGGCAGCGCATGGGCCTCGTCGTACGCCAGCCGGTTCGCGTGGCCCTCGAGCATCGGGTCGATGCGCAGCGAGAAGATGTGCTGGTGGTGCACCGCCAGCACACCCGGGTGCACCACCGTGCCGAAGGGGACGCCTGTCTTGTCGAGCTCGTGGTCGATGGGCTGCGTGGACAAAATCCCCGTCGCCCGGACCTCGTAGATGACCTCACCGGCCTGGTTGAACATGAAGGCCAGGATGTACTCGTAGTTGCTCACCGTGATGATGCTCTGCAGCACCAGCTCGCGGTTGCGCACCACCGCCGCTCGCCCTGTGCGGTAGTTGGTGTGCTTCCACCCGATGCCCGCGTCCTGCTCGTGCACGCACACGCAGTTCTCCACGGGGGTCGGCACACCCTTGTCGTCGGTGATGACGGACGAGATGTACTGGATGTGCCCGAGGCAGTCGCAGCCGAGTTTGAGGTTGTTGGCCATGGCCCCCGCTCCCGCGTCACCGAGATCGTACGCCGACTTTTTGTGGTACGGGTGCCGGGGGTCGGCGTAGGGGATGTTCATGTCGGACAGCGACAGGCGGTAGAACAGTGGCCGAGAGTCATATCGGACGTCGTACAGGACCATGCCTTCTCGCTGGTTGAAGCCCACGCGGAAAGACCATTTCTGCCACTCGAGGACATGGCCCGTCTCACCGGTTGGGGTCAGTGTGAAGGACGCTCCCTCGGGCTGGATGACGCGGAGGGGCTTGATGTCCTGTCGAAGTTTCGGTTGCGCTTCGGAAATGTACTCGTTGGGCGCTACGGCTTCGTACGGCCGTGGCTCGCGGATGGTGTTGTCGGCACCTGTGGGTAAATAATCGATGCGAATGACTTTGTACGTGTTGCACTCAACGACCGGCGAGATGGCAAGTGGGAAGGCGTAGTGGTTGCTGTCGAGCTCGTCCGGGTTGGCAGGATCCCGCATGTACAGGAAGACCTGGTACAGCCGGTCGTCATCATTGATGCCGTCAGAGCCTTGAATCGAGCAGGAAAGGCGTCAGTCAGTGGAAACAAAAAAAAAGCCGATAAGAGACAGTTCGGGTTGGAAATTACTTACCGTAAATCCAAGGGTCAGCACACACAACGGTTCCCTCTGGCAATTGGAGTTTCTTGAGAGCCTCCTTGACGCCTTCATCCTCGAGGGCGTTCTTCTCGACCTGGAGAATCTCATCGTAGTCTCCGTTGCCGTGCATGTTGGGGCCGAGTCGGACATTGCTCTCGACTTTGCCCGCGGTCAGATTGACAACGGCCTCGTGGAAACGGTCCTATCAGGTAGCGATGCTGTTAGGCAATGAATTACAATTCAGGCCCTCCCCCCCTTTGTGGGGAAGAGACCTCCTCAAGTCAGAAATGAGTTGGCGCTTACTGTGTTGCGAATGTAGTATGACACGAAGGACTTGCGTGGGATTTGAGGGAGTGGCGCGCCGCTGTGCTCGGCCTCGAGATAGGGAATCATCGACTTCTTCGCAGGCTCATCGAGCGTGATGACCTTGAAGCGTAGGTCGACGGTTGACGGCCATACTGACCTCAACAGATCAGCGGTGGTGGAAATCTCCGCCGCCGTCAACGGGCTCAGAGGGTGAGGGACAGAGGCCACGGCCGGCGCCGGGGAGGTTGAGAAATCCTGTGCGACTGCTGCCATTGTGAGGGCGGGGAGGGTGCGGATGAAGAAAGAATATCAGGAGGTCAGAGTGATAATCGACAATATATAGATATACAAGAGCTTGTTGAAGCAACTGATACTTGTCCCAGAGGCCTAAGGGTGGGCCTTGGGGCGAACCAGTCAAAGGCCACGATAAGACGAGGACAACGAGATGGCGCCAATGATGTGCAAAAGCGCGGACGAAGCGGAACAAGTAAAGTACACGCGACAAGACACAGGCCGGACGAGGCAGAGGGAGAATGTGGTCTGGGTCAAGCGGAGGAGGTTCCGATCACCAAGACCAACAAGAGGGTCCGAGAGAAGAAATGTCCCAAAGAGGAATGAGAGATGGATCACCACAACCCTCGCGGTCTACAACACCTACAACTGCTGTGCACAGGGATCTTCTTCGCATTCCGGGTGCTGCTGGCAGTTGCCTCTGAGCTAAGCCATGTCACATATTGTACAGCTGGTGGTTTGTAGCTACGGATCTGTACAACAGGACTGCGTCTGCAGCTCACAGTCGTCCAGTATGCATCCACCCACCGTGGCCTCGCTAACCTGCAATTAGCAGGCCCAGCCGACGCACCAAAGGGCCAGCCTATCTCGGTGCACAGAGTCGCTGCTCCACCGCCCGCGGCCAGGTCAAAGTCGTCCTTATCCGCTCCCAGGATATCCAAACGTCGACTTCACATCCAGCCTGGTGCATCTGTCACCCCTCCAACCAGGCCAATCTCTCATGGAGCCCGAAGCAGCTCCAGGTGCCTTTGCCTCTGTTGCCAGATTAGTACGAACGACTTACGGCGCCATGCATGTTCTGAACTTACAGGAATCGCGTCAGGTACCGTGGCCGTGTTTGCTCAGCTTCGCCCATGTCGCTTCCCCAGAGGTCTTTGAGTGTCCATTTCGCCTCTTTGTCGGCAAGACTGATCTTCGATCCTACCACAAACCATCCGCTGCCGCAGTCAAGGACTTCCGCGAGCCCGACGTCCTGTAGTTGGTGAGTCCCGGGTACTTTGTCGCAGTCTAGTTGCATGATAAGTTCTTGCATTGTCATCGAGCACGGTGCCGACATGACGCGGAATGGCTCGGCCACCTCGGGAGGAATGTAAAACTGCCCGTAGCAATTGGGCTGGTACTTGGAAAGAATGTTGTTGTTCCAGAGGTGAAATGTCGTATTGTGCTTCGGGGCAACATACCCTGTGCCACCACTGTCCTTCAACACTACCAATCGGTCTTTGACCCGGTTTCCACTGACTGGAGGTTCCGGTCCTTGAAGTGCAGCTTGACCTACAGCGGCCGCGAAATTGTACGCTGGTGCTGGAGGCGCTTGTGCTGCTGATGCTGCTGATGCTGCTGCTGGGGCAGAGGGCATCGGGGGAGGCGGAGGCGGTACTGCCGCCGATGCTGCTGTCGGCCCCGGAGGGGCAGGGGCAACCCCTGGAGCAGGACCTGGACCCTGAAACCAGAATGCAGGGCCTGAAGGCGGAGCAGGCGGTGCCGGTGGTGTGGCATTTTGAAAACAGACTGCTCCCGGGAATCCAGGCGCAGTGGGGATGAAGAACGTTGGTCCTGTCGGTACTGTAGGTGCTTGAGGTGGTGCTGGCGATGGCCAGAGACAGTATGGCGGCGGAGGACCACTTGAAGGTGTTTGCGAGGCTGCTGGGGGACTGGGTGGTTTCCCCTGGTTTGGAGGACCTCCGTCCTTGGTGAAATAGCGATATTCAACCTTTCCAGTCAAGCCAGGAGGCGGTGCGGCGGCCATATTCCAGGGAGCAGGGATGCCTGCCATTGCGAATGATGATGCGCTTCGTCTGCCTAGGTACTTCTCGCTGCACGTCAATCCTCAAAGCAGACCACGAGAGAACTTCTTCCGAGTGCCTAGACAGGGAATCATTCCAAGTTGCGGACAAATCAGCCATATTTGTAGACGGGACGACTGCGACATCTTGACTGTCATCAAACATCTTGGCCTCGTTCGCCTAACCTGATGACCGGATTCGAGTGACTTGAGCTACGAGATCAATGCAGACAAACAGGAGCCCTGGGATGTAGATGGGGCCAAGGTAAGCAAGGAAACAAACAGAAGATGACCAGGAAATGCAAACGGGGTCCACAAAATTGTCATTGACCTATCCCGCTGCCACGACGGCGAGTCCTTCGTAGACTTTTTGCTTCACTCTGGTGAAATTGTCGGCCGTACTGGTACTCATGGCCGTCACGCCGAGAGGTGCCCCTTCAACTATAATCCTCCCGCTGCCGACCTTCTTCACTGCAATCATCCCATCCACCAGCAACGTGCCTTCTCCTCGGAACTCTGCCGTGTGCCCATCCATGGCAATGATACGCCTGAGTTCAGCCAGACGCAAGTCTCCAACGTGAATAGCTTGAGACACGGACCTTGTCGAGGCAGCCAAACTAGCCGGCAAAACATCGAGAACCGGTTGGATCGAAAGACCTGGCTGGGGAGTCGTTTGTGAAGACGCCTCTGTGTCGATTTTCTGCTTCTTGGATTGTGGATCGTCCTCGACATCCGCTTTCTGCTCTCCCTCAGCCTTCAACTGACCCTGGATAGTGACCACTCCCATGTTCTTGACATTCTGCCACCGCAGTGTCTTGGCAAGCTCCCGGCTCAGCTTCACGACCCAGGCATTCGTATCGACACTGGCGTCGATCGTCTGGCCCTCTTGAGGCGTGAAGATCTCAGTCGACGTTTCCTCTTCCACGCCCGCCGCTTTGACGCCCAGCAGCTCTTTACAATCCGATGCAAGAGCTAGCGTGTCAGAAGGATTTCCACTGGTGAGAATGAGCTTCTTGGGTCCGATGAGAGGGATCAGCATCTGTAGGCTGCGCTGATCGTGCAATCCGGCAAAATCAACGAAAGCTAATCGAGCATTGACGGTGACTTCGGAGGTTGAGAACACAATTTTTGCTGGACCCTGCGGGCCTTCAATTTCCATCTGGCCCTCCTCGTCGGACTCATCGCTTTCAGATTCATCTCCAGAGTCGGCTGCGCTTGCAGGACCGCCCTGACGTGGCCGTTTCTGATGCATTTCCCGTGCATTATCTGCTTCACTCCACTTTCGCTTTTGCCCCAAGAGCGCCATGCTTTTGCTATCAGTCTGTGCCTCTTGCTCTTCCTTTTCTTCCTCGCGCAGAAAGTCTTCAGGCTTGATAAAGTCGCCAAACTCGTCGCCACGTCTCCTAGTGTGGGTATAAGGGAACACAGCATTTCTACCCCTTTTATTGCGCACATCGTAATCATACACTCCCTTTTTCCGGAGCAAGATATTGATGCCCAAGTCTTCGTCGCTAAGAGCCACCTTGTTTCGAGCTCCATGGCCCAGAGCCGACGAGACATTCAGGACGCGACCCTGCTGCTCATCCTCCGATTCTTCCTCTGAAGACGTGCTTGATTCGTCGTCCAAATTGTCGTCAACCCCACCTTGGTCCTGCTCGTTGGCAGCCAGAGAGTCTTGAATCTGTCTTTGAGTGGCCATGTACTGTTGGTACCGTTGACTTTCCTGTGTGCTCAAGGAAGCCTTCTCTGCGTGGCGAAGTTTCAGCATCCTCCCTCCACTGTGTACCTGCTCCAGCTGCTCGCCATCAAGGGTTTTCTCCAGGGCGACACCATCTTGGCGTTGTTCAAACCACGTCCAGAAAACCTGACTCGGACTGAGAGAACCAGGTCGCATTTCCGCCTTCTCAGTCAAGAGAACAAGATTCTCCGGTCGCTGCACCATATGCTCCAAGAGAGAGCGGGAGAAGCCCCAGTCCAAACTTACATCACTCGCAAGGATGACGCGAGGTCCTTCAGCTTTCAATAGCCTCTCGAACTGGCTCTTGCGTTCCACAATTTTAATATTTTCGAGCTCGAACGGTCTGGAAGATTTGGACGTGCCATTGATTTGCTTGCTGCCATTTCGGCGACGGCTTTGTGTTTGGTTTTCGTCCTCCTCTTCGAATTCCCGCACAATACTATCGTCCATCCATTCAAGCAGACTCCTGGCGTGGCGCAAAGTTGCGTTCGCAGACCGACTTGCCAGGTACACCTTGGCGCCTTTGAGGACTGGATCAGTCCAAGCCTTCTCAAGAATCCACGCCAGCTCCAGAACCCTCGCACTCGAGTCGGTGGGTATCAAAACAGTACCGTTCTTGGCGATGCTGCTCTTGATGTGTCCTAGCAATGCGTCGTCTCGTGCTTTGCGACCACCAGCCAGGCCAGCCCTCGCAGCGCCGACACTACTGCAGACCAATGCCGTAGGTTTGCGTAACTGCTCGATGACTTCAGCGCCTCCTACGCCCCCAAACCACGCGGCTCCCGCGATGACATTTTCTCTTGCTTGGTTCCAATCTACCGCATAGACTATCGATTCCATGCCATATTGTATGTGCCATATCGTTCCACCGAGAGTATGTCCCGAGTTGTACGCGGTCAATGTAAGCCCCTCGATCGGGGCAGAGAAGTGCGACGGCGTAGGCTGATGGGGCTGTGAGTATTTTAGAGGTGTGATGAGGGTGAAGAACTTGTTGATCTCTTCGAAGGTCGGGGCTTGTCGGAGGATGTTGGATCGAGACTTGTCGTCAACGCTGGAGTCGTCTTCCGGGGAGCCTGAGCCAGGAATGAACGTGGCGGCGACCGGGTTCGAGGAGTAAAGGTCTTGCAGTAGAGTGCGACCAAAAGCTATTACTGGCGGCGTGGCGTAGACAGGGATTTGGGAGAAAATGGGGATGTGCTTGCAGCAGTGTGCAAAGGCACCGACATGAGAAGTAGTGGCATGGGTGAGGAGAATGAAGGATAAGGTTGATGCATGTTTTTCTATCTCGGCTAATTGACGAGTATCGAATCTCTCATCCCAACCAACGTCGACCAGGATTTTGACTCCTCCATCCAACTCAAGGATTGACTGTGAAGATCGAGAGTTGCTCTGGGCCCCGAGCAAGGGCGTGAAAGTGAACATGGCTACGCGTCATCGAGGGTAGGAAGGGGACTCTGGAGAAGAGTCAAGGGTTCGTTAAGAAGTGCCCAAAGCCATGGCGTATTCGTGGATGAGGACTGACGTTGGGCTGTGCCGGGTTGTAAGTTGTTCAATTCGATCTCATTGCCTGATGGTTATGAAGCGACGGATACACAAATCGCAGTTTCGAGGATGGAGATGGTGCCAAGGCAGTGCTTAGTCATGAAAGCCGTAGCCTCGCCAGCCTCGTCTCTACAATGTACCTGGACTCGCCTGTAATTGTACAGTCGCACTAGGTGCTTTACAGCCTTGTCACAGGTACGAGTACGAGCACACCCTACAAAGGCGGACAGGAATGCGACCCATCAAATGCCAGAGATGACGGCGTGTGGTACGGATACCTACGGAGAGAAGGAAGTCCCCTGTCCGTACGGACTATTCTATAGTCCGTCTCTCGACGTGGCATCGATACTACCGCTATCTCTCGTACTGGAGATGAAGGACCTCGGCCCCGAGACGAGAGCTTCGCACCGAGGGAGAATGCGTATTCGCATTCGGGTTCATTCATAGTTTGGAGTCAAACCAAGCAGGCATCCACATAAAGAAATAGTCTCAGCTCGTGTTACTCTTGCCCTTACTCGTACTCGTCATCCGGCCGTGTGTCTCTACCTCTGCACTGTGTCCGCGTCGTGGTTTTGCCCCAAAATCATAATGCTCAGGCATAAACAATTGTGCATTTCGAACAGGGGTCTGTGGAGTAAGGTTCAAGGTTAACCCAGCATGGCAAAGGGAACGAGATACGGGAGTGCTTCAACTCGCTTGGGCCAGACATCGAAGTGTCAGGAAATTTGGGCTTGGGATCTGGTGAGTTGGCGCCTGGAGCGGCCCACCTACAATAGGGATGCCTAGAGGCTAGAGATTCCCTGGGACATGCCCACGAGGGTAACCGTGCGTGCAATCAGCGCCTGATCTAAGCGAGCCTCGGCCGATGCGAGCTACAAAGTACATACAAATAGCATTAGGCTTGCGAGGCGCCCGCGGTGGAGCAGTGAATTACCCCGACAGTGCCTATTGTGGTCGTCATCGTACCCGTATCCAGGCCTAGCGCCCCCTGGTGTTTGGGTGCTCCAACTCTGCATGCGCCTGCGCCTGCGCCTGCGTCTACCAATATTTATCTCGCCATCAAATCATAGCCCTGCAGTTTCTCGTGACCCTTACCTTGTGCATATATTCCTTGTACCAACGTTCACTTCTGCCTTCGGACTCCGTTTCTTTGCGCATATTGCCTTGTCGATACATTTTATTGCGTTCAAGTTTCCATAATACTGCCGCGACCACTCCTAATATCCTTTCTGCTTCCATTCCCTTAATAGAGCCGGTACCTGGCTGTAACACTATCCACGACGCAGACATTCACATATTATTTCGAGAAGAGCACATCACCTATTACGACATGCAGACATAAGGCCAAAGACCTCAGAGAGGCTTCGCATTCAGCAAACCATGAACCCAAGCGGTCAAGGAGAGTTGCCAGCCGGCGCCTCGGCCATTCAAGAGAACATCGAGGAAAAGCAGAGAGCAGAGCTAGGTATTGTGACTGACCGGGAGAAGGACGTGAAGCCGCCTGAGAACGATCCATCAACGCCAACACATACCTCTCCTGGGTCCCCCACGTCTCTCGACTCGCCAGCTTCTTCCACCTCCAATGCAGAAACACCTCCAGACCTCAAGAAGTATGATTCCAAGATTGTTCAAGTACGAGACGTGCCTGAGGGAGACGCTGCTCTTGCGCACTTGCCGGAGGATGAGCAAGAGGTATTGAGGAAACAATTAGCGACGCCCCCTGTTCAGGTAACGTACAAGAGTCTGTATCGATATGCCACTACATGGGACATTGTCTTTATTGTTATCGCTGCGCTCGGCGCCATCGGGGGCGGAGCCGTCATGCCACTGATGACCGTTATTTTCGGAAACCTCAGCGGTTCCTTTCAGGGACTTGTCCTGGGCAACCTTGAAGAAGATTTCGACTCTATACTCGTCCGCTATGTGCTATACTTTATCTACCTTGCCATTGGGGAATTCTGTCTCATTTACGTCTCCACCGTTTTATTCATCTATACTGGCGAGCACATCACGGCCAAGGTCCGCGAACAGTACCTCAGGGCAATCCTTCGACAGAATATCGGCTTCTTCGATAAAATCGGGGCCGGAGAGGTGACAACGCGCATCACTGCCGACACCAATCTTGTCCAAGAGGCTATCAGCGAGAAGGTTGGCTTGACACTCACAGGCGTCGCCGCTTTCTTTGCCGCGTTTGTCATTGGCTTCGTTAAATTCTGGAAACTTACCTTGATATGTATGTCTTCGGTGGTTACCATTGTGGTCGTCATGGGCACCGGTGGTCGCTTCATGGCTGGCTGGAACAAGAAATCTCTCGAATCCTACGCCGTTGGTGGATCCGTCGCCGAAGAAGTGCTGGCTTCCATCCGCAACGCCGCTTCATTCAATACTCAGGATAAGCTGGCCAAAAGATACGATGTTTATCTGCAGGATGCCCGACGCTGGGGAGTTCGCAGCAAGAGCGCTCTAGCCTGTATGATTGGATCTCTGCTCTGCATTATCTTCTTGAATTATGGCCTGGCCTTCTGGATGGGTTCACGATTTCTCGTGTCTGGTGAAACCACCCTTGCCCATATCCTTACGATCATTCTGGCCGTTATGATTGGTGCGTTCTCATTCGGCAATGTAGGGCCAAATATTCAACACTTTGCCGCCGGCGTGGCGGCTGCTGCAAAGATATACGGCACTATCGACAGAGCCTCCCCCATAGACCCATTGTCGGACGATGGTGAAAAGCTAGAAAAGGTTGAGGGCACCGTCGAGCTTCGAAACATCAAACACATCTACCCATCTCGTGCTGAAGTGGTGGTCATGGATGATGTGAACCTCGTCATCCCGGCGGGCAAGGTCACTGCTTTAGTGGGCGCTTCCGGAAGTGGAAAATCCACAATTGTTGGCCTGGTCGAACGGTTTTACGACCCTGTAGGTGGCAAGGTTTTCCTTGATGGACACGATATCAGTACATTGAATTTGCACTGGCTTCGTCAGCAAATTGCTCTGGTGCAGCAAGAACCAATCCTGTTCAGCCAAACCATCCGAGAAAACATCAGAAATGGCCTTATCGGATCACCTTACGAGAATGAGCCTGAGGAGCAACAAACACAGCGTATCCTCGAGGCTTCTCGGAAAGCAAATGCTCACGATTTCATCTCCTCGCTCCCAGACGGATATGAGACTCATGTCGGCGAGCGGGGGTTCTTGCTGTCCGGTGGTCAGAAGCAACGTGTCGCAATCGCAAGAGCCATTGTCAGCGATCCAAAAATTCTTCTTCTGGATGAGGCAACGTCGGCCCTGGACACTAAATCCGAAGGAGTAGTGCAACAAGCCTTGGAAGAAGCAGCCAAAGGCCGTACCACGATCGTAATTGCGCATCGCTTGTCGACCATCAAAACTGCAGACAATATTGTCGTAATGCAGGCTGGACGCATCATTGAGCAAGGCACCCATGATCAGCTGCTGGAACTGAAAAAGGCCTACTATAACCTAGTCTCTGCCCAGCGCATTGGAGGAGACGATGAAGATCAATCCGAGAACGAAAAAGGAACAGATATGAGTGACGACGAGCTGCTTCGTGTTCAAACTTCGAGGTCTGGTGGAGACCCGATGATTGATCCTGAAGACGAGAAGCTTGCACTCGGAAGGACAAGAAGCCAGAAGTCGATTTCCTCAAAGCTACTCGCAGACAGATCGTCTGGAGGTGAGCCGGTCTACTCGCTCTGGACGATCATAAAATTCATCGGGGGCTTCAATGCTTCGGAGTGGCTGATCATGTGCGTTGGTTTTGTCTTCACCATAATTGCTGGAGCTGCACAGCCTGTCCAGGGTATTTTCTTTGCCAAGTCAATTGTCTCCTTGTCCCACCCATTGACCGAGCGTCATCAAATCCGCTCGGATATCAATTTTTGGTCCTTGATGTACTTGATGTTGGCTTTCGTTGACCTCCTGGCGATGGTCATTCAAGGCATTGCCTTCGCATATTGCAGCGAAAGCTTGATCCAGCGAGCAAGAGACGGTGCTTTCCGCAGATTCCTCCGCCAAGACATTGCATTCTTTGACGAGGATCAGAATTCGACGGGTGCTTTGACGTCGTTCCTTTCGACTGAAACGACGCATATCTCGTCAATCTCGGGAGCGACATTAGGCACTCTGCTCAGCTGCACTACAACCCTGGTCGTTGCTATAGCCATTTCTCTGGCCATTGGATGGAAGCTAGCGCTTGTCTGTATGACTGCTCTTCCCGTTATCCTTGGGACAGGCTTCTTCCGGTTCTGGACCCTGGCCAAATTCAGCGCAACCGCTCAGAAGGCTTATGAGAAATCCGCGGGATATGCTTGTGAACACACCAATGCCATTCGCACGGTGGCTTCATTGACTACGGAACGCGAGGTCTACCACGAGTACAAGAAACAGCTTCGACTTCAGCTTCGTGCATCCCTCAAGTCGAATCTACGGAACTCATCTCTGTATGCAGCCTCCCAGTCAGCAATGTTCCTTGCGTTCGCCTTGGGTTTCTGGTACGGAGGAAAACTGCTGGTTCGGGGTGAATATTCGTTGTTTCAATTCTTCATTGTCTTCTCCGAAATCATCTTCGGTGCTCAGTCAGCCGGCACTGTCTTTTCGTTCGCGGGAGACATGTCAAAAGCCAAGAATGCCGCTGCGGCTCTCAAGAAACTGTACGATCGCCAGCCAAGCATTGATCCGTGGTCCCCAGATGGCGAGAGGATTGCGGACGTCGAGGGCACGGTTGAATTTAGAGATGTACACTTCCGATATCCCACGAGACCTGATGTACCCGTCCTTCGTGGTCTTAACTTGACTGTGAAACCTGGACAGTACATTGCCCTTGTTGGACCTTCTGGTGAGTTTTTCGATCTGGAGATTATACTACATAGCTAACGACGGTCAGGTTGTGGCAAGTCCACTACGATCGCGCTCATGGAGCGGTTTTACGACCCCCTATCAGGTGGAGTGTACGTCGATGGAAAGGAGATTTCGTCGCTTAACCTTACCGACTACCGATCGCATCTGGCTTTGGTGTCACAAGAGCCTACCCTATACCAAGGAACGATCAAAGAGAACATTTTGCTGGGCGCAGACAGAGGCGAAGTCAGTGATGAGGTAATCATCCAGGCTTGTAAAGACGCCAACATCTATGACTTTATCATGTCTTTGCCGTAAGTGTAACATTCGAGCTATCCTGACTTTTCACTAACACATCTAGCGATGGCTTTGCCACAGATGTTGGCAGCAAGGCTGCTCTTCTCTCGGGTGGCCAGAAGCAGCGAATTGCGATTGCCCGAGCTCTGATGCGTGATCCGAAGATCCTCCTCCTGGATGAGGCGACGTCGGCCCTTGATTCTGAATCGGAGAAAGTCGTACAGGCCGCCCTCGATGCGGCCGCAAAGGGAAGAACAACGATTGCTGTGGCTCACAGACTTAGCACCATTCAAAAAGCCGACATTATTTACGTGTTTGATAAAGGCGTTGTTGCAGAAAAAGGAACACACCATGAGCTTATGGCACTGAAGGGCAGGTATCGAGAATTGGTCAGCCTTCAAAGCCTGGAGAAACAGCGGTGATAGTGTGCATCGTTGAATCATCGTCGCTGAAATCGCGACTCTTAATTTTACGACAGCATTCTCTAGTGCATCAGAATCCAGATTTCTCTATGGAACAGACGATTCTCCAGCAGCCGCAAGGCTCGTGATGATGCCTATACAACAGTTGGCTATGTCGGTTGACATAAAGGATATTCATTAGACAAGCGCTGGCGACGGCAGAGGCCGAAGTCCTCTGGTCTGTGGAGATGGTATGCCGTTTTAACAAGTCGAAAAGACACTGGACCGAACTCCACTCCGATAGTGACTTGAGTACCTCACCCGCGCTGTGCTCCTTTGGATAGAGAAGCACTCGGGTTGAACGAGGTGTTTGTGAGATAAGTCAACGGTGACTTTGATACCTGGTACCAGCCGCGACCTTTTGAAGACAGTCAGAGGAAGTATTTGTACAAGTTGTACCGAGTACATGGAAGTGATCTGAGACTGGTTGTGAGGTTCAGCCCAATTCATCCCGCTCAGCCAGTACACATAGAACATAATTAGGTTAGGTAGTTAGCCACCTTGGAAATACTGTACACCCTTCTCACTCTCTTTCTGAGAGAATCAAACTCCGTCCGTTTTTGTAATCAATCTTTCCATTTCTCCGTGTTGTGTACAGTTGTGACAAACTTTGCGTACAGTGGGCTTTTTTTTTTAGGGTCAGTCGTTTTATTCGTTGTTCGTTGTTCAAATCGTTAAAGTTTGTTTCAGTGGTGGTTCAATCATCCTCGGTCAGTCCATGGTCCTGCATGACCTCAGCCAGGCGTCGTCCCTGCTTCTCGGCCAAGATGGACAGCATGCCCATAGCGACGTCTTTGATGTCGTTGTATTCTTTCAGGAGGGAAATGTGGTTGGAAAAGACACGGTCCACGTAATCCAGCGCTGTGTTTTCCTGACTTGATAAAGTTGAAGCTGTTGTTGTTGTTGGTGGTGGTGGTGGTGGTATCGACATACTGGTACCCGTGGGAGTGTTCGAGGTCGGTGATGATGATGATGATGATGTCGTGGCCGAACGTTGTGTAGCGAACGATGGTAGCTCCGATATTTGACGGAGAATGAGGGAGAGTTGGTTCTCGGTTGACGAGATGTTGGACGTGAGTTTCTCAATGGTGGTGGTGGTGGTGGTGGACTTGCTTGTCGTGGGCATGGTAGATTTCGACTTCTGGTCGTCTGTCCTCGAATCCGTACTTCTTGGAGTGGACGTGGCTGTAGCGGTCGACAACGATAATGACAATTGCTGAGAAGAAGAACTATCGTCACCGTCGTTCTCATTGTTGTCACTGGGATTGACGATGGCAAGGTCCTCGTCCTTGTCCTTGTCGTTGTCCTCGGTCCGGGTATGATCCTTGTTCTCGGGCATCCTGATCAAAAAACGGCGAGTTACGTGATTGCCATCCTCTTCTTAACGGTAACAAAGACCAGACCCTTGAGACTGGAGCGCAACTTTGCTTTGATTAACGTTGTATTTTCGTAGGCAGACTGGGGTTGGTGTTTTTGGTAATCTCCTTGGTGTCCATGTTCTCACAAAGAATATCTGGCAATTGTATGGAGAATATATTTTGGGGGAGTTTGAAACCCCATTCCCAGAGGCAAAAATATCACTTCAGCTCTCAACGTATTATTTCCGAATGGGATCAGATCAACCAGCGAACGTAACGTTCACCCTCGGCAGTGGGTTTACTTATTTCTAGGAAACCTGCGAGAGAACATGAAAATCGATCCACGCTGCTTACTAATGGGTAGTGTCGGTATTTTGTTTTTGTCAAAAGCCTGCATTGAGCTTTGGAGGCACAATATCGGATCGAGAGTAGAACAAACAAAGTCACCCAATGCGCCTCGTCATAGTTTTGACACACGCGCGGCCTTGCACGAGTCGAATCACAACTTTGCCCTCTGCACGACGGCCTGGTACGCATCAACCCGCTTCCTGGCTTCCAGGTCTCTGCGATTGCGGTCCAGATCTCTGGCGGCCAGTGTTTTCGGGACCTCACTGCCTTCGTCCAAATCCTTGACGACCTCACGGTACAGCTCCTCTTTGATCTTGCCGTAGGACTTGCCCTGGGCTTTCTGGGTGAGCTTCATCTCGGCGATGAAAGCCAGCGTTTCGTCGACGCTCCCCACGCCGTCGATGATGCCCTCCTTCAAAGCCTCCAGGGCCGGGTATCTCTTGCTCTCGAGAACCATGTTGCGGAAGGTGGACATGCTCAGCTTGACCCGGAACACGGACGCCATGGTGGGTTGTAGACTCGCGCCAAAGTCGAGCTCATTCAGGCATACAAAGCCCTTGTGGGGATTCATGATGCGGTAGTCGTGCATCATCGCCGTCATGAGACCGCCGGCGAATGCTGGAATGATAAGAAAACAAACATACATCAGCACAAGTTTGGCCCCCCGACGGCAACCTACCTCTCTCTCTTTCTCACACGAAGAGGGAGGCAGACACAGAGAACACCACAAGACAAAACTCACCGTGTCCATTCATCAGAGCAATCGTCGGCATGGGATAAGTAATGAGGCGCCTCCATAGTGGATACAAGCTGCCGGGGAAGAAGTTGGGGTCTCGAATGGCATTCTCGAAATCGAGACCGTTGGAATAGAACTTTTGGATCGAGGAGGTGGTGACGACGACCCCCCGGGGCAACTTGTGTTCAATGATGTCGAGCGCCAGGAGGAAAGTCTCGTTGAACGCGGGAACGAGGCGGTTGTCGGGTGGGCTGGAAAAGGAGAGCAGATAGACCTGTGGGGCGGCCTGGGTGCAGATGAAGCTCCCCTGCTGTTGAGTGGCTGAAGTGGCCGATGATGGGGGGATCGGGAGGACAAAGAGTGGTGGTACAGGAGGCATTTTGGTTGGGTTCCTAGGGAATATCAACGTGTTGATCAAAAAGGTGCGTCGAAGCAGAAACAAAAACCTGGGGTAGAGCGGTCGTAAATATCAATGGATTAATTAGATCACTCGGCACGATGAAGAATAGAAATGTTGATTAGTCGATGGTCACCGAGGTTGTTTTGCTGCCAACCGATGAATTCTAATTCAATATGAGTTGCTCCCTCCGGAGGAGGAACGGCATGTTGCATGTGCCGGAGTACGAATACGAAGATACCTTAGCTGAGATATCTCTACCTCCCTACGGAGTACTCCCTGCTGAGTCCTCTATTGACTTATGGAGTACAGAGGACAGAGTAGGGAATGTGGCGGTTATTTTTAGGCGCCCTCGAGGCATACAATATTCGATATTCGCTGGTCTGAGGGCGTCCCAAGTTCCCATCCTCCTCTCTGTCTACTCCGTACCTACAGTATGGTACAAATGTCCGTGGTCCCTTGCCCGTTGTCCAGAACCAGTCCATCCCCGTCCCCGGTACGAGTAGCTTGACAAGCCAAGGCTCATTATTGCCCTCACTGCACCTAAATCTGAGCCTAGCGAGCCCACAAACTCTCCTACCGTCGCCCGCTCTGACTAAGATATGCCTCTACCAGAACACATGGACGCCTAGTTAGACGCCGATGACGTTGCGCTTGGGCGTCGAATGAGCAGCTCAGCCCAATTCGGCTGCTACCGGAGTCGCTGGATACGAGATAGCCTTCTAAATACCTGCAGGCCAGCTTGCGCGGCTGAATCCCTTCTCTGGTCATCTCTTCCTGCGAGGCTTGTCGGCATGCAAAGTGTCGTGTCGAATTCTGTGCGCCGCCTCAGCTGAGACCGTCGCACTGACATCCGCATCCTCCTTCCTGTCGACCCTCCCTCTTCGGCGCAGCAATGGCGCAAGCCTCGGATGCCACGAGGACGACGTCTGCCACAAACAATGCCACCGTCTGGGAAAAGACAAAAGGCTACTCCAGCACAGCCTATGAAAAAGCCTTGAAGCCCGGCTTCAACAAAGCCTACAACTTCGTCAACAAGTTGGAAAAGCCCGTGAACCGGTATACAAACAAGGTCGGCTCCGAAACATTCTGGCCGACGTCTCTAGACAAAGAGTCGGAAAAAGCGGCTCGCATTCTCAGAGGGTTCTGCAAGGATGGCTTCTACGAACAAATTGAAGAGAAGGAAGCAAAAAAGATAGAAGAGCGCAATGCCACCGCGGATGGCACCCCACAGGGGAAACAAAGAGTTCTGCAGAAAATCCCGGCAAAGGTGATCAAGAACTGCGTTGGTCTTGCCATCTTCACCACCATGCGGACAGGATGGGTGTTTGGCGGGTCTGGAGGCTCCGGGATCTTGATTGCTCGACATCCTGAAACTGGTGAATGGGGTCCTCCAAGTGGTATACAGACACAGAACCTGTCCATCGGTTTCCTCGTTGGTGTCGACATCTATGATTCGGTTCTAGTCATCAATACACGCAAAGCACTCGAGGCTTTCATGAAATTACGATGCACTCTGGGAACCGAAGTCGGCGTGGCGGCCGGGCCTGTCGGTATGGGTGCCTCCCTTGACTCTGAAGTGGTGAAGAGGCAGGCCCCTATCTGGTCATACGTAAAGAGTCGCGGTCTGTACGCAGGCGTCGCCCTGGAAGGAAATCTCGTCATCGAACGGACAGACGAGAATGAGCGGTTCTATGGCGAACGTGTGGGGGTAGCTGATATTTTGATTGGCAAAGTTCGTTACCCACCGGTTGAAAAATACCAGGTCCTCCTGGACACCCTGAAGGCCGCACAGGGTGACGAAATCGACGACTCTTTGCTTCCGGGAGGAGTGGTACCAAGTGACATGGAGCTGATCGGAGAGGGTAAGATCTCTAGTCGGCATCTCTAGTATCAAACTAACCCTAGCGCAGGAAGCACCTTCGGCATACCGGCAGAAGATGATCCTGACCCATACGGCGTCAAAGCCCTCGAGGCCGAAGGGCTCACTATCCGAGAGGCAGGCACTCACCATCGTCCCAGCGCAGAAGTCTTCGAGTTCAGGCCATCGCCAACAAGCCCTATATATTCACATTTCTCCAGGAAGAGCGTGGATGGATCGGTCCGGAGTCGGACGTGGAGAGACAGCACCCACAGCTTAGCCAGCATCGATCGCGCAACACAGACCGACGAGGATGAGCCAAAGAGTCCCAGCCGAAGTATCCAGAGAGAGTCGATGCCGTCAGCCGAAACCCCTATGAAGCACAGCCAGAATGTCGACGACGACGACGACGACGAACATAAACAGCAGACAGAATCCTTCTCTGACGTCGACTCAGATGCGGAGATACACACTGCGGTGCCAGTGGTAGCACGAGCGAGAGTGGTTGAGGTGCCCAAGCGGGCACCACCTGCTCTGCCTCCCCGAAACCCTGGACGGGTAGCTTCGCCAACTTCGCCCCCACCGCCTGTGGACGGATTCGACAGAATTTCGTTGAACGACACCGCAGAAGAGAAGCACGATGACTTGCACAAGCTGTCGCCCACCAGTACACATGAAAATGCCGAGCCGAGTTTTCATTCGATCCCAGCAACCCCTGATGAGGAACGAAGAGCTTCCAAAGAGCTGCCTGAGGAACGAAGAAGTTCCAAAGAGCTGCCTGAGGAACGAAGAGACTCCAGAGAGCTGCCGGGGAGTTTTAATTAAACGATTGCGTGGTTGACCATTACCTCGGTGAAGTGCGGTATACTCCATTTACTGCATTATATTCCCAGAGGCGATCTCGAAGCACACCATGGGTCATGATGCTGGGCGTTGTACGACGCCGCTACCACTTCTACTATTTCTGGTATTTCGAAGCCGTTGCAACGGAGACATCTGATTGACGAAAGTGAAGACTTCAAGGAGGGAGAGACGAGGCCTAAATCCTAGGGGTAAGGGCTTATAAGGGCACCTATATTAGTTTTAGACGGGGTTAGGGAGGCTTACAGGCCCGGGCGCCTGTCCCAGTACGGATGGGCCCCAGACCTGTAACTTACAGTATAAGATACAGGAGGAAACCAATGATATCACGTGTTCTGGCTCTTTAGCAGCCCACTCTGTTGCGCTTCTGCCGGGGCTGCCGGCCGCCTCTTTTTGCCAGACCGTGTTGTCAACTGACTGGTCAGCCACTGATTCCTCCTGATTTATTAATTCAGCGTCTCGATACCAGACGTACCTAACCGTTGTATACACGTTCTCCCCGTCGGTCCAATGCCCATCGGTTGAAACGACGGCTTACGCCTGTCCAGATATTCCCTGCATCACCTTTTCGTCCTCCGCGACACAATGCAGCGCTTCCGCGTCGAGTCACTGCGGGCTCGACCATTCCTCCTCGTCCTCTCCGTCTTAGGCCTCGCGTCGTCCGCCTCTGCCCATGGCGGACACACAGACAAGATCCCCGAGGGGGCAGCAGTGTCACCGGACCCTCTCGACGCGCGGTTATGGACGCATATCCTCCTCATGACCCTTTCTTTCGGCCTGATTTTTCCCTACGGCATGGTCCTGGGCATCATCCGAAGCAGATGGCATGTCCCCGTCCAGATCGTGGGCACGGTGGTGGCTACAGTCGCATACTTCCTTGGCCACATGCATAAAGGGCGACAGTTCAGGCACCCCAACATCCATGCCAGCTTTGCCAACAGCCTGGTTTTGATGCTGATCGTACAGGTCGGTCTGGGTATCGGGCTCAAGTTACATCTGGAAGAGAAGAGCGGATGGGTGGGGAGGGTTTTTGGAGGCAAGGTGGGAAGAGGCGGTCGACGCGGAGTGGTCATAGTGCATGGCTGGTTGGGAAAGGCCATGCCCATCATCTCATGGGCACAGATGCTGTTTGGCGGCATTGTCGCAATGGGCTATTGTCGCGGAGACCACCTAGGTCAATGTCTGGCACATTTTATCATGGGATCTGCCTTCATCGCCTACGGAATCATCATGACCCTCCTCTTGCTCATCGGTCAGGCGTGGCTCAGACGTACCGGACGCAGTCAAGAGTTCTTCGACAGCATTGTCATTGCGGCCTGGGGTTGCGTCAACACCTTCACCGAGCATCGATGGGGCCATCCTTGGGTTAAGAACGACCTGCAGCACACAAGCATGGGCATCGTATGGTGGTGCGCGGGACTCCTCGGTGTCTGGCTTTCCAGGTCCAGAAGTGGACGGCCGAAGCGCAACATCCTGCCTGGCATTGTTATCGTGCTCACTGGATGGGCAATGGGCGGACATCCCCAGGAGTTGCCATTGAGCACTATGGTCCACACTGTCTTCGGTTACACGCTGATGGCGGCTGGGGCGGCACGGATCGTTGAAATTTCCTTCTTGCTCAGAGACAGCAGGGGAGCCGGTGAAGCCAACAGTTGGCAGCATCTACCACCGTTTGTAAGTTTTGCCGTCAAAAGACGTCACCGCATTTCCCGGGGTGCGTGGATATTCACTGACATTCCCATTAGCTCCTCTACGCATCTGGTTTTCTGTTTATGGGTGCCACCGAAGAACAGATGCACCTCTTGTCTGATGCCAACGTCACACACGTCAGCTACATCCTGATTCTATACTCGGTCGCGTTTCTGCTCTACCTCTTTGTCAATATTCTCCTCTACGTTTACGCATCTCATGCCTGGCCGGACGACGAGAGTAATGGTCTCCGTGGCCCTCCGCCCACTACCCACTCTCTGGGCACCACCGCGGGACCGAGCCACTCTAGAAAGGTGTCGATCCTCCGTGACTTGAACGGCCATGTTCCGGGGCCCGCCAACGGGTCGGTGAGACTGCCTCGCCACCGAGGCTCCGACAGTCAGCAAGTTAGAGACGCTGAAGAATTCGAGCTCGAAGGGTTGATGAGCGATGGTGAGCAGGAAGATGGTTTTGTGAAACCGAAAAGAATAGGATCAGCCGTGTAATTTTTCTTTTTCAATTCATCAATGACCAAAAGCTGTTTACAACGATTAGAGAGAGCTTTTTTTTGGACATAATGGGGGGGCGTTGCTCTGTTTATTTTGTCTTGCTGAGGAGGTCACGACGAGCATCATAGGGGTTTTTCATCTTCCCGAGGTCACAGTGAGCGTTAAAAAGGCATGCATTGCGAGAGAGTACATACTGCGTATACTGCGTGCTGCTAGGCACTGTACGTACAAGGACTGTAGCGAACATGGCATGAATCTCCCAATGATAGGTTTACGTCGCAGACACGTTACGAACCATTATAAACTAGATTCTGGATCCATTCGTAGGTATGTAATTGACATTCCTCATCATTGCTTCATTACGTATTTACCAGGTAGGTACACACACACACACACACACACACACATATATATATATGTATGTATGTATGTATGTACATCCGTACATTGGGGTAGTACATGAAATCCCTCAAGGGGGATGTGTTCCGTCACCGCAGCGGCAATACCTTTTGGGGCAGCACGCCCTGTCTACACAGCGGGCACTCGGGCTTTTCTTTGACCCAGTCCTGCACGCAAGTCCAACAGAACACATGGCCGCACGTGGTGGCACTCGGGTCCCGAAACGGTTCGAGACAGAGCGTGCACTTTCGCTGCTGGCCCGCGGGGATCCAGGCCATGACGTCCGGGTCCGAGAGGTCGTACCTGGCACCGTTGCTGTCCAACACGGGCGTCGATGTGTTCTCCGCCAGGCCCGGTGACAATTTTGACGACGACGACGGCGGCGGCGGCGGTGGCGCGTCGACCGTGTCGGCGGCGGCGAGAACGTGGTCTCGTGCGCCAGAGAGGGAGACTTCAGCACCGCTCGGCGCTCCACTCGTGGTCGTCGCCGCGTCGAGATACGTCTCGCGCACGTGCAGGGCAGACTGCACCGCCATCTGCAACACCAGGAGGACGCCGAGGACTTCGTAGCCGACGCGCTGCTCGTCGGGCTTGATCTGCTTGGTGAAGACGTACCGTAGCCGGAACAGCCGTTTGGACAGGTGGTAGTACGCGCCGGTGAAGTAGAAGGTCGCCAGGCTCAGTGCGTACAGCGGGTTCGGCGAAGTGAGCGTGTCGAGGTGTTTGAGGAGGTACTCCTGTACCTTCAAACCGGTGCCGGTGTGCTGCTCCCCCCCGCTGCCGCTGCCGCTGCCGACACCGTAGTCGTGCGTCGTCTTCTTCTTCTTCTTCTTTTGGGCATGCTCTATGTTTCGTTCCAGTTTACTTCGCAGCTTGCGACGGAGCGCGGGGAGCGTCTTGCCCAGCATCCACGGCGAGAAGACGACGCTGGCGATGTACCCGATGCGTCGCCCGAGGCCGGCGAGACGCAGCGTGTCGTCCTCGATCTGGACCACGTCGCAGTACTCTTCGCCGAGCGTGCGGTTGCCCAGGAGCGTCGTCAGGCAGAGGTAGAGCAGTTCGCTGAGGTGTGCGGTCGCGTCCGAGTACTTGTGCGCGACCCGTGCGCCGAGAAGCGCCCGGAGGATCGTCGACGCTTGCGATGAGATTGTCCCCGTCACGTAGGCGTCTTTCTCGTGCGTCCGCAGGATGTCCGGCGACGGTGCGAACGGATATTCCAACGAGGGTGCCGCCGGCTCGGGGGAGGGTTGCTGGGACATGGCGGTGTGTGTCCTCTGTTGTAGAGGCGTCAAGGGGGTTACAGGCCCCGTCAGGACCGTTGGATGGGCCCACGGTATGAGGATCGTGTGTTGGATGACGGGCTGAGGCGTTGTCGAATATTATGTATATGCGGCAGAGTAGAGCAGAGTAGAGTGAGTACTTCCAGTTACATGATGCCGAGGTCTGGGACACCGGAGTAGATCCCGCTGCTTTACCGTCTGTACAGGAATCTACTCCGTATGGCGAACAAAGGCGTCTCAATTTTGACGACGAAACTCGGTCCCTATGAGAAATCCCCCTCGAGCAACGCAACACTGCTCGACATTGATAAATGGGCAAGGTCAAACGACAAGCCCAGAAGCATTCAAATCATCACGACAATCCTAGAAAAGGGGCCACTAGCATTTCCCGACGACAACATAGCCAGAAGCCACCCACAATTGTGAAAAAGGCTGCATCCAAGCCCGTTTCTCATGACAATCTCCAGGGCCGCCTGAAAGTGCCGTTTACAAAGTTTGACAATGTGCTACTCGTCGGTGAAGGTACGCACAACTTTGTCCTGAGACAGACTCCGCTGTATCCGGTGCTTGAGTTTGACCACGACGACAACATTGCTAATCGACAACGCAGGTGACTTTTCTTTCTCGCTGTCCTTGAAGCAGCATCATAAAGTCAACCAGATCACTGCAACGTGCTATGACTCTAAGGAGGCTCTAGAGAGCAAGTATCCCAGTGTAGCCCAGACGGTAAGACGGTTGGCAGGGTCAAGCCACGAATTTCCAACGAAGGAGATTCCGGGAGACGACTCTGATAGCACAAAGGCGGATGTGCATGTTGGTGGAGAAGACACAGAATGGAATGGTTTCTCACCGCCACCATTGTCTCCCAGTCCTGCTTCTCCCGGTGACGAAGCCGGAGAGACGACATCAAAGATACCGAAAGTGAACCTACTCTACGGTGTTGACGCCACGAAGCTCCTTTCGACACACAAAAAAGCCCTTCGACCCTATGGCCCCTTCACGAAGATTGTCTTCAACTTCCCGCATGTCGGAGGTCTGAGTACAGATGTCAACAGACAAGTCCGATATAACCAGGAACTCCTGGTTGGGTTTCTCAAAGGTGCCAAGGACCTGCTGTCAACCCCTGCTCGCCCTGCGAAGGTGATAAAGTCAGAAACCTATGATGAGGATGACGAGCTTGACGAAGCTGAAGTCTCTGACAATGAAACTCGTCGAGATCCAGGCGCCGTCAGCGGTCAGATCCTGGTCACCTTGTTTGAAGGGGAGCCCTACACGCTATGGAACATTCGTGATCTAGCCAGACATTCTGGCTTGAAAGTCATAGAAAGTTTCAAGTTCCCGTGGTCGGCATATCCAGGATATCAGCATGCAAGGACGATCGGGGACATCACTACCGGCAAAGATAGGAGTGAACAAGGGAAGAGAAAAGGAGCATGGCGCGGGGAGGAGCGAGATGCCAGATGCTATGTGCTGGAGGACAAAGATGCAGAGACCAGCGGCCAGGCGTCAAAGAAGCGGAAGAGGAGAGACCATGACAGCGATGGTGATGACGGTGACTAGATATGAGATGTATTTTACCCCATACGATAACGTTTTGCTCCATCAATTGGTAACAGGAAATGAGATCCATCGCCTGGGGGAATTGCTCCGCAGGTTTAAGCATCGCAAGCTCACTGTCCTGAGCACCACCTGTCTTTTCCTGTCATTTCTGGAATGGCCACTGATAACGTTCATCAAACGTCTCGGTGGGGTCCTTGAGTACTTCCACGTTGTGAAGGGCCTTGACAAGAGCCTCTCTGCCCGGCCGAGACCGATAGTCATATCACGCATGTGGTGGAGACTGATCGTTTGGAGGAATCTGGTCTGCAACTGACCTGAGAACCACTTCAAACAATTCGAGGCCGGAGAGTCGTGCTGAGGAGGTTTCCAACAATCCCAAAGTCATCTTGGACATGTCGTTGACCTCTGCTTTGTCGAAATGATTGTAATCTTGAGCGACCTTCAAGCTAAGCGTCTGAACTATCCACGTCCACAGCCGTGAGTTTCACAGAACACGACCCCGTGCCACGCACCTCCGTGAGGTATTGATGTGTTGCGGGTCCTCAAACACCGATGGCTGTGTCCGGGTAATGGTCAAGCCATCTGGATTTGCCTTCGCAGCCACCGGTAGTTTCTGCAACACAACCTGAATGGTCTCAAAGATGACTTTCATCATCTTGCAAAGATGCAGCAGCAAAGCTCAGCAAAGGATAACATCTCGCTTCGCAGATGATCCAGCTTGTGTGAGCGATACGGTGTCTCTAATGCGGTCGATTTTACCAGGTGCTTCCTCTTCGGACAAGGAAAACAACCGCCAATTGACAAAATCTCTTTCCAGATGATTCGACATTTTCATGACTAGAGCAGAATAAACGTGGCCCAAGCTGTCTTTCATTCACCACATTTCCTCTGACCCAGATCGTGAGGTTCATCTCCAATGAAGAAGCAATCTCTGTCGCTGTGATCTACTTAGTCGTATCTCCGTTTCACGAAGCCGTTCAACGACATCTGCAGGGTACGAATCACGGTTAGTATAGCTTGATATTTCGATTTCAGGAACGAGCGCTTGTATGAATTCATCAGCGTCGAACTTGATCAGAACAACGTAGGTCCCAGGAAGATCCAAATCTGAAACTTGGACCGCAAGACCAGTATCACTCCAGGAATCCTCTATCGTACCGTGTGTCGCACGCAGAGCAGTAATCCCACTTTTTGGATCATAAGATCTGTCTTGGATGGGGTTACGCGGCAAGTCAACAAATGCTCGGATAATATGCCAGGCTCGAAGCTCGCGATATATCGTACCACAAAGAGGGACTACCACCCAAAACGGGTCGAAAAATTCGTCGAAGCCTAGGCATATTAAAACATCTAGGCAGTCCGAGAGCGTTATCAAGAGATGACCAATTATTCCTTGCGCGTGCGTGCATTCAATAGTACAAGAATAGCCAGTAGGCAGTGTTTGACGCATTTGTGGCCATTGATGTAATGGCACGTGTGGATTATCTCGTGTTCTCTTGTGCGCTCTGAGTTCCAATCGGTTTTGCGACCCGAAACGGATATCGAATCGGCGATGGCCAGATGATTGGTGGTATATAAAAGGTTTGCGCGAAATAAATATGTGAGACAATGTTGATGTCCAGGGTGAATAGAGGTTGCTTGAGTAGGAAGACAATTTAATGCACGTCTCGCTGTCGACTGCGACGCGTCGGTATCTGTTTTTGGTGTTATCCCGGTCCTCTTTCTCAAGGAAGATGCCCATGCCCTCGGTGTCATCATAGATATACGGCTCGTGTAAGAGAGCCACAAAGATTCCTGTATACTCTTCAGTTAGCAGATGAGACAAGCTCAGCCTCATCCCGGCGTTGTTGACTGTCCAACCCTCTTGTAGCTCGCATATTTCCTTGGATAGCTCGAGTTTTAACCAATCGTGTATGTCCGAAAAGCACGATGGTGAAGCAGCCAACATGCCAAAATCTTCACAGGGTTGGCCTTTCCAAAGAAACAAGCTCATGTCAGTATTGACTTTCATGATCTCTTCTTGAAGCCTACGGAAAGCTTTTTGACCTTCTCCATATAGTAATGGCATCTGGACATCGAAAAGGCCCAACAAGCTATAAGCGCGGTCCTCTTGACGTGTCGTCTCCCTGTGGGCAGCCCATGACATTTTCTGTGCTATGCAGAAATCGGTGCTTCTGAAGTCGTCCAGGGCTCTCCTGGGTATCGAGGTCATCCTTTCAAGCATGGCGCCCAGCTGTCGTCGCGACGCAATAGGCTGCCATTTCTTATGGAAGAAATGCAGCTTTCGAGGAGCCAGCAATTCTTGTAGCGTCCATCCTCGTGTGAACCACAAACTCTTCTCTAGATCGTCGCGATTGTTCACATCTGAAAGATAGACATAGCAAATGGCAGCTTCACTGTACCATTTGTACATACTGTTTATAGCTTCATTGAGCTCAGCACTACTCTTTTTGTCGATACAGCATGTATCAACCCACACATAGGCATAGCCCCGTTTAAGGGCTACTTGGCAGAAGCGCTTGACCTTGCGAGAACCTTTAGTATCCTCGGAGAATGATTTAATCGACTCAAAATTCATCTCTTCCTCCTCCCACCTGTGGGAGAGGATGGCATATTCCGGTAGCTTGTGGTGAAATTCTTTCAGTGTCAATGTTTCTGTCTCAAGAAGCCACATCTTTGAATAATTGCGGTTAGGCACCTTGTAATGCTCGTTCGGGATGATCAGCGGCAAGAATCGGGTGAGCCTGGATGAGACATACGAAGTCCGGATGATCTGGATAGCTCGTGATACTGTAGATGGAAGAACTTAATCGGGCATGCTAGAGGAAGTTGAGCTGAAGCGCTGACAGGTAGCCCAACCTTGCCGAGTTTGTTTCAGCAATCGGCCTGGCTTTTCGGGGATTCAATCTGTCGCAAGCTGATGGCGACAGCGGTTCTAAGCAAGTGTTCGTGACTGCAATACGCAGCTTCGAGGTCAGATTGTGCCTTTAGGCCTGGCGCAATCCTTGGCGGCGACAGGCGTCTCACACCGACAGTCCTGTACCTGGGGGATGGTACCAACGCGGAGCTCACTGGGGGAGGGGAGGGGAGGGGAGGGGTCCCTGATCGCTAATGTTCGCTCAGGGTTTATCAGCTTGTTGTCTGAGACTTGTTGCAAGTTTTACCTGGGACTCCACAGATACTGATTGACCGCGTCAATTCGAAGGGCGAGAGTTGAAACTATGGAGGTAGGTGTGTTTTAGTGTTTGCAAATCCGGGGTTGGGATGCCTCCCCAGTCAGGCTGAGCAATTCTCCCTCCTCTTTTGCTGTGGAGGACTTGTCCAAGGACTCCAAATGTCTTTTAACTTTTGTCACCGCGGGCTGTGAGCCTCACGACATCTTGTCCTTCTCTCTGTCGATGAAACTGAGACGTCGCGAGTACTATGCGTGGTACGAAGTAGCTAGTAGAAGTTGATGACTGAGTTAAGCGTCACAAGTCGAAAGAGAGCCTTGTGCTCGAGCACAGGGCGGCGGATTAAGCATTACGCCGGAGTCCGAGTCAAAATTGCCGATCGGCCGACGTCGGGCCGGGTCGGGGTAGATTCCAACTCCAAAACAGTAATATACATTCAAGACCAGAGATGATCAAGCCATATATGACGATGTAGGAGAATAATGGGCCATGATTGTGGTCGCCTGATTGGGACCCATTCGCGTATATATAAAGGTGATGAGGACCACCTGGTGAACACTCTATTCCGGCTACATGCAATTCACACCTACTCTGCGACACACAGCATTTTGCTTTAAAGAGCTGCGAAACGATTCTTCAACGTCAAGTCAACAACGCCACACAAAGACGCTAGAGTGGAACAAGACAACATCAATATGGCAAGTCAGAAGGAAGCACCCCGCGGGGAGGACTACTCAACTCAGCGCCTTCGACAGCGATATCGATTTACCGATCCCAATATGGATCTCTTCTTCCTTGGAGCCCTTGGATGGGGTCCGGCAGGGGGATTGTCCGTCGGTGAGGCGTTTCACGCAGCGTCGCAAATCATCGACGGCGACGTAGGCTCCTGGGCTGATGCATTTGCGAACCTCGGAGCTGCGCAGAACGCGCAGGCCGAGACATGGCAACGACGTGGCTGGACCCGAGCCGCGGGTGAGACACGGCTGAAAGCATTTGCAAGCTACCGGCTGGCGTGGCAATTCGTCGGTCCTGGCGAGCGCTTCATGTCACTGTTCCGCACTCATCAGAGACTTTTCGCCCAGGCCATGACAGAACTGGCTTTCCCATGCACAAGCTTTACTGTCCAATACCAAACTGGAAATCTTCCCGGATACTTCTACCAGGCGAGCGATCCTTCAACGCCCACCGTGTTGGTGATAGGTGGAGCAGACTCCTGTCACGAAGATCGCTTCCTGTCGCAAGGACGCCATTTATTTGACCGAGGCTATTCAGTCGCCTTGGTCGATCTTCCGGGCCAGGGCCTCGTACAGGAACAGGAACTATTCTGGGAGAATGAGACTGAGCGGTCGATTGCAGCAGTGGTTGATCACTTGATTAGTCGCTTTGATGTGAGCCCACGTAAGTTGGTCCTGCTGGGAATGAGTCTCGGCGGGTACTTCGCCTGCCGGGCTGCAGCACATGAGCGGAGATTGGCGGCAATTATTGCGACAACCCCCCTTTATCGGCCGGGGGAATTGTTCAGGGAAGTGGCAAAAGGACTTGCTGAAGGTGGCGGCGACAAGTTATCGGACGCCGCACGGAAAAACTTCGAGGTGCTGGCATGGAAAGCCGGTGTTTCTGACATAGCAGATCTGGCTGTGCAGTGGGACGGTGCGAACGCAGAGCCGAACAAAGTCGAGATTCCATTCTTGTCGGTCGTTGGCGCACAAGAAGGTTCGGTGTGGAAGAAGCAGGCGAAGGAATGGCATGCAGCCATTCTTTCAAGCAAGAAGAGCTTCGTCGAGCTCAATGCTGAAACGGGCGCCGATGTGCATTGTCAGGGCAATAACACACTTAGATTGGTTCAGGAGGTGGATGGATGGCTACGTGAGATCTTGCCACAGTCCTGAACAGACAACTTCCTATTGCGAAAAAGGAGTTCACCGGTGAAAGTTCTCTTTCCATTAAGGACAGCGATATTTCAAAATGAGCGGTGAAAGTTAGCATCAAATGTTGATCATGGAGCTCCTGTTGGTTTCGGTGGGGGGTCAGATGTAGTACCGTTATCCGCCAAACATGTCAGCAGTCCCAAAGAGACGGTCCCATTGAATCCAATCTAACGTCGCGTTCATCCAGCTCTCCCCGTTGTAGTCTTGATCAAGTAACAAGTCGAGATTAGAACTAGAGGTATCGGTGAGCCCCGAATGAAACCCTTGCGATTGGACATCGCTCCGCGATACGTTGTCGTCCAAAGACAATTCTGTCTGCTCGACATCGACAGAACGAAATAAAGCAGACGCAGGACGGTCGGAATCTGCGTGACCTTGCCGTAAGCCGCCAGTGTCACCCATGCTCGCCAGTCGCGGATACCTTTGGCGAGAATCGACTGGACTGAACGCGTGGATAGTCCGTGTCAGGCTAAGGTCGACACTCGAGGTTTTGTTCACTTGTTCCTGGTTTCGAAGTTTTTGTTTCTCCCTTTGCTGACGGAAGTTGAGGATGTAGGATGGTGGGGGTGGCAGTGGCAATCCCTGCTTATCCAACGCGACGTCGCGAGCTTTGTATGCTCCTAGGCAGAGATCGCCTATCGCCACGCGTAGTCTCATCTTGCTGTTAACAAAGTCAGGATTCCAGTTGTAGGTTTCACCGACTAACCGCCAAGCCCTGTCACTTTCCGGAGAGAGGGGATTAGCACGTAGCGTGTCAAGAACATGGACCAGTGCTTCCCACGGAAAATAAAACGATGACTGCCAGGTATAGCCGCGAAGCTGGGGGCTCGTATACAGCTGTATATGTCCATCGAGGAGCTTGGTAGATAACTTCCAAACAAAGTTACTCTCCGATTCAGGAACCTTGGAGGAACCCCATCTCCGAGGATGGTGCGAAAGAAACCGCATGGTAAAAATGTGTGACCGGGCGAACATCATAGCCATCAGTTGGACTGGCTCTGAGGGATCACAGTATCGGAGGTATTTGGTCTCTAGTATCGCTTCGAGTTCATCGATAATGTCATCCCTAGCCTTCATGCTGTCTGGCTCAGGGTCGTTGCTCCAGAAGCCATCTTCCAGTCCCTGTTGGCGTCTCCTACTAACATACTTGGTCCAAAATCCCGCGACTTCCCAGCGTATTGCACACAGTACCAACGTGGTCATACGACTGGCAGTTTTTGGAGTTTCCTTGATGCCTGGGAAGAGAGCATCGTCGGTTATATTCGATGGAAGAAGAGGACTTCCCCTGTTGAGCGCAGTGTTTTGAAATTTCTTCGCGCCAATGAGCTCCGAGGTTCGTGAGTCGAACCAACTCAATTGCCACCAGATTCGGCGCCGGAGTTCTACTTCAAAAGGAGGCAATCCAAGGACTCGTCCATCGCGGTGCAAACCCATGCCTTCAGCTAGTCTTATCGCCACTGCCGTAAGAGTACACAAGGTGCGTGGATGACATGTGTCTCGGATTGAGAAAAGATGGAAGATGAAAGCCTGGAGGACAACAACATTCGTAGTGCGCAAGACTTTGGCACGTACGAGGGCCATTCTGGTTGCTGCTTTGTATCTCGCCAGTAATATTTGTCGTGTCTCGCCAAACTTCTGCTCACAGTCTTCGTTGTGCAACGTGAAAACTGATAGACAGTAGACAGCGAACATCAAGGCCTCGAAACTCCGTGCTATCCGGTCTGGATCGGCCAATGCCTTTTGGATTGATACCTCCACGGATGGCGCATGGATGATCTTCACCACCGGGTCAACATTGTCTTTGAAGATTTGCCACAGCAAGAGGACATGTGCCTTCGGTGGATGTGTTATGTTGACGCTGCCGGTTGCCCCCGACAAATCTGACAAGAAATCAGAACTGTAATTATCGCTGTTCTCATTGTCGCTTTCCTGATCAGACTCGTTTTCAAGACTTGCGCTTGCCCTGGGAAACTAAAACCGCAATGAGCCTCGAGGTATACGTATCCAATGCTCAGAGTAGACTTGCCTCGTTGACTGCCCTTGTCCAGAGAGCACTGGCTAACTATCAGAGTCGACTCGCTCCAGAGCAATAAGACTCACCTCTCCAGATACGTCAAATCCCCAGCAGTGTAGGCTAGTCGCGAAGAGGGATGAACATGCTCGGGTTCAGAAACGATTTCTGGAACAGGAATCGCCGTGGAGGACGCCCTTACTGCCGAAGATTGGCAGCCATCCTCCGGTGCATCCTCTTCGCCAGGGGCTGTTGACACTCCAGCATTTGTATCAGCGTTAATTCCATGTTCCTGGAGCAAAAATTCATATCTCTCAAGGCGTTTAATCAAGTTGCTGTGAGGGGTGGACTGTTTCCTTGTCTTACGAGGACCTAGCGGCCGATAGACACAATCAAAGCCGAACCTCAGACAAGCCGTACAAGGGTGTTTCCTGTCGCATTTGACCTTCCGTTCGGAACATCGGGCGCAGGCATGAGTAGCTGATGGCTGCCGTGCAGTGGTGGGAGCAACTGAGGAGCTCATGCCACTGAATGTGCGATGAAAACCCACAAGAGTTGCGAAGTACATGAGCAGAGGGTGAATCGCGAACAGGCACAGTTGGGCACTCTTAAAAGCGGCACCATTTTCGTGAGCTGCCAAGGTTAAGGAGGCTGGAAGCTGCTTCTGCGTCCACGGAACAGCATTGACCTTTGACGACTTCGCGGCTCTAAGTTGATGCCCTTGTCCTGTGTTTTGCACCAGGACGGGACACTGCGCCATCCGATCAGGAAGTGAATGAGAACTTCTACAACCGCCGGCAGAACCCACAGAGAGACTCGCACTCTCTACGGTCGGCTATTGAGCGAGCATGTCAAAGAAGAGCTCGGGTTCAATGCACGGTACTCATCCTCTTTCTTTGCATACCAGCCGTGCAAGCCGCGCATCGTGTCAATCTATAATTGGTTCTCCATCCTTGGTCATGCGACTTTCAGCGCCGAGGAGGCCTTATATGCTCCCCCATAGAGGTCGAATTGACACTTGACCTGAGGCGCATTTGGCCCACAGACGCTTTGCAGTCTGTCACACGCCTATGCTTACGACTAGAAACATCAGGATCTACGCTAGTTGCTGGCCCTAGTTAGCTGGCGCTCGGGCCTCTGGGTCGAGCCAGCAAGGGTGTTGGTTCAGGACGCAAGGTCGAGGTCACAGTCGCAACACGAGCCCCTCGATGAAATTGTGTTGTGAATGGACCGAGAGTTGGTTAACGAGTGCAAACTCGCCTGTGGCAGCACATCCTGGCCAAACCGTACTTCCTCACCGTGGAAGTTGTACTAAACTGACCATTAAAACCCGCACCTATATCTTTATCCCTTCTTTGTCTATGGGGTTGCTCCCATCAGACTCGCAGACTCCATTGTTCAATTGATGAGGATATGAAATATGAGTCTCTGATCGTGGGCGACTATCCGGCAAGATGTCTGTGCATGAAATAACGGGCAACATCCAAAGTCGCTTTGTCCAGGTTACGACGCTCCTTCACTTGATCGATCCAGTGCGAGGTGAACCAACCGTGTACGGCCTCGATCAAGGTGCGAACGCAGGCCAACAAAGTCGAGAGAAGCTTCTGAAAAAAAGGTTTCTCGATTCTGTCGCCCTTATATGCGCAAGAAGGAAAGACGGCGACACAGTGTCCGCGGCTTGCCTGGAGGAAGGCCTTCCCGAGGGAACAGTCGTCCGTATTGCTAGTAATCAGGGCGTCAGTGATTCTACCCTTACTGAGCTCCGAGAAATCATACATATCTTGAATGGCATTGCCAGTGGCGGTAAGTCTACTTTTGAACTAAGAAAGGCAAAAGTTCACTGTCCTAGAATACGGCGCAGCCGACAAGGAATCGGAAGTACTGGCGCGGATCACGAGTCTCGACATCTCCAGGATACGAACTTATCTGAAAGACATCCGCAACATCGGTGACGACGTGGAGGGCATTTTCGAAAGCAGTGGCTCAGCATCGGCGTTACATCAAATTGACTATGTAAGAGATTTCCGGGAATGGTGTGCCCACATCGTAGCAATACGACATACGCCTCCAGGATCTGGCCCGGAGCTTCTTGTCGAACACCTTCGGTGGGCCACGGAAGCTCGACGGACTTACCTGAGTTGTCTGCAAGCTCTGTTTCCCGATGCGTGGCCGAAATGGGCCCGCGCGATATTCAAGCTAGGACGGTATGTGATTGCTTCTAGGGTGCTGCTGCAGTTTGCGTCGGACTATCCAACATTCTTCAATCCCATGCTGGTACTCCCCGCAACCGCTCCTCCGAAAGCCAGGTTCACGTGCTCCCAAGAAGAAAAGCCCCTGGCGACCGTGCTGCGAAGACTCTCCAGTGTCCCTGAGGTGGACAAATACTCCTCAAGGTTAGCTCAGATCTGGGGTGTTCGAGATCCAGAAGCCCATTTCCGAGATACTTGCACATTGGACTTAGCTGTGCATGCTGAGATGCAGCTACTCAATTTCTATGACAGTAATCCCACCAGAACCCCCCCTTTTCGCTTCATCGGAGTCAGCAAAAGATCATGCTTTTTGTGCCAAACATTCCTAGGAAGGCATCCGCAATCCTTCGGTATCACCTCTTCCCACCAGAAGCTTTATCTCACCTGGAGGCCTCCACCCACAACCAGCCCAGCTATTTACAGACAGTACAAGACCATCATACGTGATCTGAGTACGGCTATGGAATCGGTAGCGAAACAGGATCTACAAAATCGTCTTGGTCTCCGGCGACGTGTTCCTGCGGACTCAACTGCTGGCGTATCCATCTCGGGATTAACGGATCACAACAGAACATCACAACATGAATCCCTCCTCGAGAGGGTCACGCCGTCACCAGAGTCCGTCGTCGGGGAGTGTACACCGTCATCGTTGCAGCCGATCCCGGTGGTGGATACCTCATCTTCAAGGGAAGAATCGTTCTGCTCTACGTATACCAACTCACCTGCTGGACATTCATTTGCCGCTGCCGAGATGGTATTTCATGTCATGCGCCCAAACGAACCACAGAAGCAAGACATCATCGGCATGCGCGACGTTATAGATGCCCACACCGATGAACCATCTTGGCCAAGACTGGTTGATCTTCTGATGGATGATTCGGGGGTTGGTTTCGGGAGAGGCGACTACCTCATGGTAAACAACCAAATTCGGGTTGGCAGCGAAAGGCAGTTTCTGGCTTGCTTGCAGTATTTACGAAATGAGATGATTCTGAACTGTGCGGTGTATGTGTATAACTCCGACACAATATCACCAAACATACCACGGCAGGTCGAGTAGTACGAGATGCAGATTTGGATGGACGCTGCTTCTTCGTCGATGATGAATGGAAACCTCTGGATCTCAGTAATCCAATCACCGTCCACTATTCGAGGTGGCTTTCTTGGGCCTGCTGAATCCCGGTTCATCTGCGCCAGCATGTGTCCCTTTCCTTAACTACAGGTACGCTGGCTTCTCGATTTACGCTCTCTTTTCAATTGTTAACTTCAGCCTCATTTCGCGCGCAGTCTACTCGTTTATCAACCCCTGCTTTTTGGGGCGCTGTTTAATCCATAGGAAGGCTCCAAGCCATGGCTGACCCTTGTAGCGGTCATGGTAAGTCAGAACCCCCCGCTCAGCCTAATCATTCATGCAGCTCGAGGATTTGGGAAAAGCCACGAGTAAGCGAAGCAAACTGGCAAATAAAGGGATGACAAGTCTTACATAGATAAATGCGCTGTTCTTCAGCTGGCTGCCACAAGTCATCGCTGGGCCAATAAAGTTGTCCGGACGATTCTGTTATCTGGTTGTTGAGCCTCACTTCTTCATTGAAGTGTTTCCGCAACCCTCCGCAGTGTTAGGATCAGATTCATGCAAAATCTCACATGCACAATGAGCTTTTCGATCGAGCCCTGTACGATACACAAAATCCACTATGGTATAAAGAGATTTTCGCTATCAGCCTTCCCTACTCCGCCCAGGATTGCATTCTATTGTCTCTACAATGACGGACGAAGATCTTTTGGCGAGCCCAACTCTACTGCGGAAAATAGACCAATTGCGTGAGAGGAATGTTGGCCAACATGTTCCGCTTCCACAGGTAAGTTTTCAACTATACTATTTGCCCATGCTGAGATCATATCTTCCTCAGCTTGTTGTTGTCGGCGACCAAAGCTCTGGTAAATCCTCTCTTCTGGAAAGCCTGACCAACATTCCCTTTCCTCGGAATCTGGAACTATGTACGCGCTATGCGACACAGATAACATCTCGCCGCGATTCTGAATCATGGCTGGAAATTACTATCATCCCCGGTCCCCGTGCAACCGACGCGCACAAAAGAAATCTGGCCGATTATCATCCCAGAATTACATCTCCGCAAAGCCTCCGCACTCAATTCCGGGAGATTCTGGGCGAGGATGGTCCGGATTTAATCATGTTTAGCACATTGTCGTCGTTATTGACTACGTCCTAGGTGAATGTCCGAATGGGAATTCGGACGGACACGTCCTCCGGCGAAGGGACTGTTTTCAGCGAGGATGTTCTTAAGATTGAAATATGCGGCCCTAATGAGGATTACTTGACAGTCATTGATGTTCCGGGTCTTTTCCGCACCCCGACGGAGGGAATTACAACTAGAGAGGATGTCCAGCTTGTTCGAAACATGGTGCAGAAGTATATCAAAAACGACCGTACCATCATCCTCGCAGTCCTCCCCAGCAACGTCGATATTGCTACCCAGGAAATCCTTACGCTTGCAGAAGATTATGACAAGGCTGGAGAGCGAACCCTGGGCGTACTGACGAAGCCGGATTTAGTAAAGGAACACAATGCACAGGTCGGCATTTGCAACATTGTTTCGGGAAAGAAGAGGCCACTCACCCTTGGATACTACGTCGTTCGAAGCCGCGGAGCGGACGACGACGACGACTTTAACCATGCAGATGGTGAAAAAATGTTTCTGAAGACGCCTTGGAACCAACTGCCAAAGAATCGTCTAGGTGTACCGGCTTTGAAGGCACGACTGAGCGAACTCTTGAGTCAAATTACGCAAAAGGGCTTCCCGGAACTACGAAAAGAAGTCAATAAGCAGTTAGCTGATTGCCGCACAGAACTGGAAGGACTTGGCCCATCGCGTCAAACTGAGAGGGACCAACGATTGTTTCTTAGTTCTCTGGCCCGGAGCTTTCAAGATACCGTTCACGCGGCCATGAATGCCTATTATTCGAGTCAGGCTATTTTTGAGCAGAGAGAAGAACTCAGACTTATCACGTACGTGGTAAATCTCACGGAGATCTTCGGCGACGATATTGCGCGGAAGGGTCACGTCCGCTCATTTGAAGGTCACTCTAGACTCAGCGATGATGACGAGGAGTCTTCCGAAAGCGAGGAATCCGATTCCCGGGCCGAAGCTCATGCGATAGAAGGGCCAGATTTTCTTCAAGATATTGATCTCGACGAATTCGACGTCCTCGACAGTATCATAATTAAGGATTGTGATGTCGATGATCCCATGCCCGGCATTATGGACTGGACTGAAGATATCTACCTCCGAACTCGTGCAATTGAGTTAGGCACTTTCAGTGGGATTATCCTCTCAAGCGCCTTCAAAGAGCAGTCTGGTAATTGGGAATTGCTGACGAAGTCATACATCAGCCATGTTGTCGTGGTCATTCACCGTTTCATGGTCCTTACTCTCAACGCACTTTGTACCGACGCACAGCTTCGCGAAGAGCTATGGAATTGTATCATTGATGAAGTCCTCGAGAGATACAAGGCAGCGATGGATCAAGCGATGTTCCTCGTGTCCCTGGAGAGAAACCGAAGGCCATACACGGTAAACCATTACTTCAATGACAACCTTCAGATCGCCCGTGGCAACCGAAAGGCGGACATGTTGAAGCCAAAGTCTCGAAGAGAGATCACGCAGGGATATAACCGCCAGGCCATCACCTCGGAGAATCTCATTGTTAATCTCAGCGATGTCAGAGCTACAACTAGAAGCAAGGGCAATCTGGAATATATCAAAGAAGAGATACACGACATCCTATGGTCATATTACAAGGTAGCGCGGAAACGTTTCGTCGACAATGTTTACCAGCAAGCTGTGGATCACTGTTTATTGACCGGACCGAAGAGCCCTCTGGCTGTTTTCACGCAGGAGTGGGTGATCTCATTGGACTCTGAGAAATTGGCGAGAATCACACAAGAGCTGTCGGTTACTAGAGCACGGAGGGAAGTATTGACAAGGAAGCGTCAGGATTTAGAGACTGCGGTGCGGATTTTGAGAAACTGAAGCCGGTAGTCAGTGTCAAAAGTTCTAGCATTCTTTACGAAGCATGTACATGCAAAGGCTCACCTTTGTGCGCAGGAGAAGGTTCGAATCGGCATAGGAAAGCAGATATAAGAAGGCAGACTTGTTGGAGTATGTGTCTCTAAATAGGTCCATCATGAGTCAAAGCCCGGACAACTGCAATCCTTGCATTGCTCAAGGACTTCGGTTCGAGCATTCAGGAGGAGTCCTTTGGCCTCAGACCGAGTCCTCGAACATAGAAATTCAGCAGCGTTAAATAGTTTGCACTATTTCGAATCTAAAAACCCGAGGTTGAGGAATCTCGTTACGTTCTAAGTAGTTATCTATATAGTGATCACTCTTCCTGAGCTCAGCGACTAAAGAGAAAAGCCCATTTTAGGCTCGCGACTTGATTTGACTTCCTTGATCTTCCACATACTCCCATTACTTAGGGTTATTTCTGGGACACTATCACTCTCAATAGCCTCGCTAGATCGTCAAAGATTAATGGCTTACTAGATACTCCAGCTCTACTCTTTAAAAGAGACATTATAGAGTATCAACATCTCAAGAACACACTACCCAAAACTATTACCATGGACTCAGACTGCCTCTACGTCGCGAGCTATTTGCAAGCCATATGGCATGCTAACTCGGGGCAAGGAAGCGTCTTCATCGTCCGCATCGCTCCCCCCTGAGGTTTCTGTTGCAGTCAAAGACGAGACCTTTTGCTCTTCAGGAACGGGTATCTCCATCCCCTTCCGAAGTCTCTTTATGAACTTCTTAGACTCTTCCTGACTAGCCAGGTACTCCTTCAATCCCGCAAGGGCTGTTACTTTCACCTTTCTGACAACCCCTCCTACGTCTTCAAGATCTTCGTAAAAGCCCACCAGCATCTTCTTTTTACCGTCAACACTACCGGCAGCTTCGCATTCTGCCCTGAATTCACTCACATCTGTGTTCCAATTTTCCCTGTCGCTTCTGTCGTCAGGGATTATGTTTTTGGCTTCCTCATACAATTTGCGCCAGTCGAAGGGAATAGGTTGCGGTGAAACAGTGCGTATGTATGAACGTGCACTGAAGCCAGAGTCGAAGAAGAGATTGTGGAGGCCGAAGAGCTTTGGCCACTTCACCATTCTAGCAGATACTTCCAGCTGAACTTTGAACCCTCCTTTGAGGCACCGAACGAGAGTAACAAGCCTGAAAATCGATGGTATCCCGCTTTGACTTCCTGGTTCCTCGTAGAGTCTCCAGGATGCAGTATTATGTCCTTTGACAAGGCCATGCAACTTCCTCCTTCCTTGGAAATTCGCTTTGTCGTGATGTGTCTGCTTCACGCTCGTATTCACTTGCCCTGGTCCGGCCGACGCTCCTGCACCGGCAATAACCTCGTTGGTGTCCTGAACCTCCCGTTCGCTTACATCAACTGCGAGTACGGTGGGGAAAACTTTTGTAATTGAAGGCTTGGAACCCGACGCTTCGTCTCTCCAAACGGTAATATTGACGTCGGCGCCTCGGAACCGATACTGCGGAGAGAAGCGACTTCATAAAGTTTAACCCAAAACCGAGTAGGTATACGTCTTGTCTCTCATACAATATTCTCTCCGCTGTCGTCAACTTAGCCTGAAAATAGGTATCTCTCCTATAGAGCAACCCCTTGCCATTGAACACCGCCATGAGTACTCCACCTCCGAAGGGATCTTCCGGGAAGTATCTCTCAAATTTGGTACTGCCTGAGGGAACGCTGTCTCCACCGCCAATGACAGGCGTTTCTTCCATTATTTCGACCGAGTTTTGACTGGAAGTCATCGGTGAAGGAGCACCGTTTCCATCGTCAATGATAGGCGCCTCTTCAACTATTACTATTTCGTGCGAGTTTTGACTAGAAGCCATGGGCGAAGGGAGAGGACTAAGCGCCAGAGGGGTTCGAATAGACTGTTTTGAACATTGGGTTAAAGAGATTTTGCGAAAGAAAATTTGCTAATCCTCTAGAAATCCGGCTGTAGAAAGTAAAGGATGCAGCGTTCACCGAAGCAGCCGTTCCTCTAGATGAGAGGCACACGTGTCAGAAGCTGATTCGATGCGACCTCGACGAGGGAGGAATTTCACAGCCCCAGTACATAATTTCCACGGATAGGGTGCAAGATATATACACATAGGTAGCCCTGGGCCCCTGAATAGTGAGCTCAATGAGAAAGAAAAGTTAGTCGAGTAAGGCACAAAACTTGTTTATACAAGGGCCCAACTTAACTATAGAGTTACTTAAGATCGCTAGCGCCCTTACAGCGCTTAGGCGCGAAGCGTCTCGAGCCCTATAATTGCTGTGATTGAAAGCTAACGATTACCATCTAGGGAGCAGGAAAAAAAAGAGCTGGTACAGGAGCGCGGAAGAGAGGCTGATCGGACAGAGCAGCGACTCTTGCAGCGACTCTTGCTGGAAGAGATCCTGCAGCGTGTCTGCCAGTGTCAATCGGATAAACAGAACGAAGAAGCCACAACAACATAACTTATTGACAAGCTATACAGGAATTTAAATTCTACTCCAATATTTTTGCGCCAAGCAGATTCAAGATGAACAGCCCTGGTGAGAGCGCGTAGGGGGTCGGGAGTTATGGAAATGAACGGGGGTGGGATCTCGACTTTCCTATCGTAATCAGTAGAAGGGTGAGTATCAAAATTCACTCACGTTTTCATCATGAGAGCGTAGCCATTGTCTCAATTTCCACGAGGCCGCCTCTTCAACTTCATTCAAGCCCGTCATCAGATGCTCCGGTCCTGAATTATATCTTGAGGTATTTACACAGACTGTGTGGAAAGAGGGAAGATGATCAAAAGTTTTGCGCAACTTGGGGGCGGCTTCAAAAGCGTTGTTGGCATGAAGCTTACTCCTGCTAGAAATCGCATCTTCAAGCGTTGTCCTTGCTGTATTTCCTGTGACACAGTCCGTATTTGCGCTTCGTGGAAAGTACCAGAGTTCACCGGCGGCTGTCAGCCCCACGCACACTGTGAGCATCGGCATTCCATCTTGACTTCGGCTTTCTTCCGGAGCGCCTAAATTATATCTCCGCAACGTCCTGGGTTCGCCTAGCGACATGCGGAAGGGGAAGGGAGAAACGAAGCCTGTGATATAGCACAATATAGTGAGAAAGGAGTGAATTGATGGCCTTTCAAAAGTTGCAATTCTTGTAAAGGGGCGGCGGGGCGTTCGGCGCGAGGCGGGGGCGCTAGGGGTGAGTGTTGCAGCAGTCAGTAATAAAGACGGTCATGGGTGATAGCCGCAACTCAGCCTGTTCACCACCTTGCCTCCAGCGCAAATGCGGGAGGATGCTGGTCTTGAGTTTTCTCAGCTTTTGTCTCTTGTCTGTGTGATATTATGGAATGGCAACTGGCATGAGAGAAGCTGTCAAAACCAGGGTTCATGCTACTTAGAGGGTATGGTGGTCGTGGAAGTTTCTCTCGTACTCTTCAAATAGTTACCTAATGGACTTATTCAAAAGAACTAACCGCAAGTTTAGCTGCATAAAATGGGATTTGAAATTTGCGCATTGGTCCAATGTTCTTATAATTAGTATTGCTTGGTGAGCTTGTTCGGACGTGGCTGTGTAAATACCTACCAATGCTACCATGTTGTCTCCATCCGAATTTTGGGCTATCACTGTGAGTCATCCATGGTGAATGTTTCCAATTTCTACCTGCACTACATATTCGCGGTGTGTTATTGCTTGCTTGTTTCTTTGCAAATACCATTGGAACCGCTTTAAATGTACCAGTTCCTGGCACGAAGAAGGCAGGTTGTGTACTGGAGAGTCTGCCACTACGCCCGGTCCATGGGGCCGGTATCGGCACCCCCTTTTCTTCTCCAAGCGTACTGTAAGTGCGAGAGCGAACCATTTTCTAAGTACCCACTCCTCATATTCGTCGACGATTCAGCTGCTGAACCTCAGCAATTGCCTTTCCGCCACGACCCGCGCCGTGGCTTCTGGCGAACCAAGTGAACACGCTATGGTCTTCGTGACCGTGCAGCGCTGCCTCAAGTTTGTCAACCCTACCCACTTGAGAGGGAGGCTTGGGATCAAATTGACTCAAAGCCTCCACCGTGTGGTCCCTTTGATCGCCAGCTATGCCAAAGACATCTAGGCCATGTGGTCTACCATGGCGCACTGCGTTACCATTGCAATAGTATAAGGAGGGCGGCCGTGGCGTGGAATGCATGCGCCTGTGGCGACTCTCCACATACATATTTGCTACCACTTCGACGCCTGGGATTAAACCTGCTCCTCAATGTCACAGACAAGTGTTTACACTGGTATCTGGACAGACTGGAGCCATGGACGTGCTTCAGGCTTGACTCTCACACTCACTCAGAATCACTCCGGCTATCTCCTATCGTTCCTTGCAATCTTGGTCACCTTTGCAGGTGCACAGCTATGGAAAATCGCGGCCTTCATCTTGCATAACCTGGGTTCGGGAAAGCCACTCCAGAGACACCGATTGATCCATCAGCAACAACAGGTCATCCTGCGCAACTCGCAGGAAGCGGGCAGCACCATACTCGATCTGTTTCGCCTGGTGTGGGCGTGGAGGAATCAAGGCGCGAGGCATTCGAGGACATACGTGACTATCGTCCTGGCGACGCTCATTCTGGTCGGGTTTTCTGCTGCGGGTATATTGACGGGCGAGATTACGAAAAGCGCAAGCAAACATATGCTGGTTCAAAGCAACATCTGCGGAACATGGCAGGCCACAGGCGACGCGACGTCGTACGCGACGACTACGGTCTATACGCAGAAAAACATCAACGACACCTTGAGCGCAGCAAACTATGTGGCGAACTGCTACGGTGACACACTGAACTCCTCCTTCGCATGTACCAACTTTCCCCGACAAAGTCTGCCGTATGTGTTACAGCACAACGCCTCATGCCCTTTTGACGACAGCTTTTGCATTGACGGGCCTACCAGTGCCGTATCATTCGATACTGGGCTCCTAGATTCGCATCTGCATCTCGGAATCAATGCGCCTCCGAAGCATCGGATCCAGTACCGACGTCGCACAGTTTGCTCCCCTCTCGCTTTCGGGGATCGCTTTTGCCGTGCCGAGAATGATACCCTCTCCGGCTTGGGTGCCGTTGATGAGTTCGTTCGTTGTTACACGGGTCCAACGGTATACACCAACTACACCTTTAGCGTCGACACGCACTCTTACTTTGTCGGCACGTCTGGATATCAATTGCAGGCCTACTACGCCGAGGGAGGCGCCAACCAAACCGCGTGGGAGCCTGTTCCTGAGCTCTCTCGCACCGACGCCGATGTGACATTGTTCTATCTCGCCCAGAACAATGTCGTGTATGCGAACCCCGTGGATGATCCGTTCTTCTCGGCGCATCGAGTGAGATACGCCCCATTCGGAACCAACCGAGATGCTCTAGCAAATGTTACTGTGTACGCCTTTGATTCCTGGATCGATGCCATGGGTTGCACCGACCAACATCAAATCTGTAACTCTTCGCCACTCAACTCGTCCAGCCAAGTCTGCACACCTCTGACGGCGTTGTTGGGCGTAGAAGAAGCCATCCTCGCCAACGGCACCGACGAGAAGAGCGCGCATCTTGCCATGAATCCGTACCAACTCAGCACGGCTGTTCGCGTCTTCGAAGCTGTCGACGGCTGGGCCATTTTCGACGTCGTCAACGCCCGTGGCGCCGCTGCAATGAAGGCCAACGATGTCTTGGTCGGACTCAACGGCCCCGGCCTGCCGATTGACCAATGGGTGGTCGAGACTAGAACGTGGTTTGCGCAAACTCTGGCAGCCGTTCAATCAGCAATCATTCAGTACACTACAGGCCCCGGCACGACAGATGGCGAAATTGTACCTCCTGCCAACAAGTATGATGCCGAGGGGTGCAAGAGTCAGCTTATCCACAACAGCGGCGCGTATCAGAACTTCAGCGTCCTCGGAATTGCGATAGTCGTGGCCCTCTCAGGCGTCATCATCCTGTGTTCTTTTCTCCTCCGTCCGCTCACCGATCTGTTGCTCTACCGAGGAGGTGCTCGGCAGTGGCACCGTCAGCTATGGGTGATGGAGGACAAGTTGCAACTTCAACGATTGGCTTACCAGGGAGCCGGCCATCGTCAGGGTTGGCATCGGGTTCATGAGTCTGTCCCCGTCTCTGACAAGGACCAATTGTTCGACGACATGACAGCAGTGGAGGACAGAGCCACCACTCCACCATTGAACTATCCCATGAGTGGGTTTTCACAATCCACGCATCAAGAGAATGGGCAGCTGCCGTTCGGCTTCAGTGATGGCAATGGTACTCAGTCGATGAAGGAGGCCTCCTCTCTTTTGAGGTCACATCAGTAGATCGGAGGTGAAGAAGAAGTTCTGACAGAGAGCTGAATCTGTTGCCCTTTTGCGTTTGGTACATCACACCGTTGTTTTGATCAGCGGTTTGAGCCACTCGAGACGACCTCAGCTAGTCTGTCCTTCTTCTCATGCCCGTAGCCAGCACCATGGGTAAGATCCGGTAGAGATCATCCCAAGAGGAGCTAAGCATGGGGACCTGAACTATCCATGATGGTTGAAACATGTCTGGTTAGGACTGGTCAATCTACAGTGTCGTCTGTGTAGAACATTCGGCGGTGATCTCCCCTTTATATGGCTTTTGATGTATAACGCCGGCTTTTGGCGGCTGGGATAGCCAGCCTTTCGCCAAATCAATGAGCCATCCGGCTCGCCTATGCAATCCAAGGTCCTTGAAGAACACGAGCGTCTCTTCATGTTTGGCTCGTGCAAGATGTTCCGGATCGGGGAATTGTAGAAGAAAGCTTTGGGCAACAGGGAGTGCTTCCTTTCCTCGAGTTCGGTTGAGGAAAATGCAAACGACCAGTAGTTGAAACTGAAAACAAGAGTCAGCTCGGGTGCGTACATATTGGATGAATGCTTGTGCTGCTGGGCGCAGTCTTACTGGGCGGTCCGCGTATTTCTCTTCTGCGAGCCCACAATACTGCGTCGACTCTGGCACTGGGCCTTGCCGACGGCGGTTGAATCGGATTCATTTCGGAAGCCATGTCGCGGCTTTTATCGTTACTCAAGTCTCAAGATACTGCCGGGAGAGTGTACTGAACGTTCGTCCAACCAACAGTCAGTCTGGCTCAAAGCCGGCGCAGCATCGCGCATATACGTGTCTATATCACTATAGCTGGGCGTTTCCCCTAGCGGCGCGCGTGACAAAGTAATTGGCGGCCAGCTATTCCATCTCACTGGTCAACGCAGGCGAAGTGCTCTGAGGCTGAGCAACGAAATATCGGTGCCTACTGCGGGCTTTGTTCAACGATGATGCTGTCAGCACGCGCCTGACTGAAGTGATGAAGGGGATCCCATTCGTCCACACGAGGCAAGTGAGTGTTAGACTGTTAGTCTGCGAGACACTGTTGTCTCGGACTCACACAGCTCAGTCAGAAATTCAGTCCTAGCTGCCAAAAGAAAAAGGAATACATCAGGCTCTGTTTAGAACAAGTTTCTTCTGCATTGATCTCTTGAAGGAGACGGGTGTTCACGAAGACGCCAGAAGCGCTTACAAGCAGCGTAACTCATAGGGGATCTGCAACATCCAGGGTGTTTCGACCAGTGGCAGGCACCATTTGTCCTCGAACGTGAACACTCCCGGCGCAAGAATGTACACCTTGGAAAAAAGATTCGAGGTAGATGTGAATATTGATATTAACGCGACAGTATTGCTGGCAAACTCAGTTCGATATAAATACTTCAGACGTTGCCAGAAACACGAGGCACACTCAAAATACGACGAAGATTATGTAATACGAGCTTGTCGAGATCTCCGCTATCATACTGTTGCTTGGCGCACGTCAAGACTGGGCGAGTCAATCGCGAGGGAGCCTGGTATATCTAAAATCGTCCTCGTACGCGCAGCAGAGTATTGACGAGAGATGGTGGTGCGTTTATACCCTTGATCGGGGAAAATGAGAGTTCGTCTAGTGGGTCGGAAACCCCGTCTCTATCAAAACGTGCCTCTTCCCCCGGGTTCCCTCTCGCCTCGCTGTTCTCATCCCAACCCACACCATCGCCATGTCGGATGATGACTGCGGTCGCATCACCTACGGCTATGTCGACCCGAACTGGCCTCGACCAGACACAGACGACTCCGCGTGTATCATTATATATGGGTGAGTTGATGGAGCCGACGAAGTTCCGTCTCAGGTCAACCCTGACAGTGTCGAGCAGATATGTCCCTTCACTCGCCCTGGGTATCCTCGGGGTTGTCCTGTTCACTGCGGCGCTTGCTCTTCATTTATGGCTCCTGATTCGGCATCGAACATGGTACTTCAGCCCCGTGGTTGTTGGCTTGGTTATGGAGATTGTCGGGTACGCTTTTCGACTCCTGGCGTCACAGAAGAACCCTTACTCTGTGTCCTACTTCGTCGCCCAATACTTTTGTATTGTTGTGGCGCCCGTCTTCTTCTCGGCGGCCATATACACCATCCTCTCAGTGATAATCAAGGTGGCCGGTTCGAAGTATGCGCCCCTTTCACCGCGCTTGATCATGTGGATATTCATCGTTTGCGATGTCGTCGCCACAGCAATCCAGATCACGGGAGCAGCCTTGGTGGGACGAGCTTATTCGGATCAGAAAGACCCTACGACACCCAACAACATATTGTTGGCCGGTCTCGCATTTCAGGTGTTTTCGTTCGCCATCTTCATTCTTTGCTTCGTTTTGTTCATCTATAGGGCGAGGCGAATTCTCGGCAACAAGCTCAAGGTCTTTTCTGGGGCGGTAATGGTGGCTGCCCTGGCCGTTTATCTGAGAACATGTTTTCGGCTTGCTGAAACTGCAGAGGGTCTCCTGGAGTATCTGCCGACTCATGAGGTGTTCTTCGGCTGTCTGGAGTTTCTGCCCGTCGTGGTGGCAGTGTATATACTTGTATGGTGGCATCCTGGCCGCTGGTTGTGAGGATTGAAACCCAAACAATGAGCCGTTCGGCCCATTGGCATGTCCCCATCATTCACAGCAGCAGCGATTTTAGATATTATTGATCCTTGGCATTGCTGATGATGGCAAGTTACGTGCGCATAACTTCGAGTACAGTTCTCGTGTGTGGTATGTGTTTCAATTCCCTACAATCCACTTTCATAGGTTAGCCGTGCGTGTGTAGCCGCCGTTGCGTGTGAACGGCAACACCATTCCGCGCGGTTCCGCATTGTAGACGGGCCCCTTGCACGTCGTCCGGCTGCAATTTTACCTTGCAGCTGCATTGCCATCAAGAAAGGTCCGAGAAGTTCGGTCATTGGACAGTCAGATGAGCGTGCCTGTGTGCGGTCCTTGCGAAGGGGACGGCCGTGACGTTGATTGGGGGGTGAGGTGGGATTTCTCGTTCCACGGCGAGATTGATGTCCGGGCAGGATCATCCTTCGCAGCAGCCGGAGATCAACGACTCAGGGTACATCGAAGCAGAAAAGATGCTGGCAGCCACTTCGCAAAACCAAGTTCTTTTGTTGAGCTGAAGATATTGACGGAGATGGCTGCGACCAGGGCCGGCGAGGCAGAGCAAGCTTCATTGTCATTGGCTCTGAGGTTGGAGCTACCTCACCACCCAATGCACTAACATTTTCTCCACCCACAGTGGCTTGAGGCTGAATTCTTGTAGGGACAACAATTCAGCGAGACGAAGCGGGATTGCCTGGCAAAGCACTGGCAAAGCACGGTAGCTCGTAAGGAAGGCCCGGAAGATCTAAGCCATGAAGTCGTGGTGCACTCGAGTTGGAAATATTTGACGACGGTTTCTTTGGACTGCGATCAGCCTCCCAAGCCCAGACGAAGTGCAAGCTGAAAGGCCCTACTTGGCAACGTGATGTTCTAACTTACTCCCAGCGCTACACTGCCTTGATGGCAGTCGGAAAACATCTCGTATAGAGAGACCAGACGAGTCCAGATCTTCGTATTCGGCTATATGTCAGCCTCGCCTGAGACCAGTGGAAGTGCTAAGACGAATGCCAAGATGGAACAACGTCGATTATGAATCTACCCTTCCCAAAAGGACGTTACGGAGACGCTGATGCGACAACGAGAAGTTCTGCGCTTCAAGAGGTAAGTTGCTTCCTCCGCAAACTCGATGCTCATTTAGTTTCAGCGATTACGGGCTTTTGAAGCGGAGAAAGGTTACGTCGAGCCACCTTTGCGTCCCTCGCTTTGCCCTTATTGTTAGCCAACGAAAGATCAGAAGAATTGGTGTCCCTGTCCTGTCGCTTTGAGCTACAAGTCACGTCTTTGCCGTATCCACGGTTCTCGTCGTTCAAGACTGCTTGAGATCAGCACACTTTCCTATTTTACTTGAAACCGTGGACCATCTTACTTGGACGGCGAGGTGCCCGGAGAACGATGAATTGCAAAGGGCTCATCGACAAGTATCATGAACGCCAACTGTTGACCAGATTAACCGAAATGAGGCTTCATAAAAAGTCTGATCAACCTTAGCGCCTACCTGACTTCCATCACACTCGAGCCGGAACTTCCAGCCAAGCCCCTACTAAAGATAGGTCTGGTGCTTCGGCGTCATGTTTGTGGTTGATCGCGAAACTCTGGCCATGATGGTTGTGTGCATGGTGGCGGTTTTTCATCTAGACCTTCTGATACGAGGTCATTCCAAACATTACACACAATATGTGCCAACTCTCAGTGCGTCTTGCCCTCTCTTTGTCGATATCATTGGAGGATAGCTCTACGGTGCTCCTTTGCCAAGGTAGGATCTTTCAGCTGCAAAACGCCATTGTGATTTGGCTAGCTGAGACTTCCAGTCATGCGGAAAAGCTGAGTGTTTGAAACCGGAATCATCTCAAGTGGTATCAGCTCGTGGCACGACGAGAAGTTCAGATGGAGCTCTTATACAGGCTCATGTCCCCCAGCGTCTCTTTCGTTACACTCTCCAAGGTTGAATACAAGAGGAGACAGTTTCCAAGATACGCTTTAACTTACCGTGCAAGATGTCCAACAACATCGTTATCAATGGAAAGAGCGTGGCGAAGTCAGCTCTGGCACCGGATGCTTCGCAGTCCAATTACATCCTGATTCAGACCACCGGTGATCCTCTAAACAAGATCCAGAAGGCGCAGTTGAAAGACCTGGGAGTCAACATTCAGGAATTTGTCGGGGACGACGACAGTCAATTGTATCTTTGCGGGTACAAGCCTGAGTCCTTGGAAGTCATTCGTCAGCTACCTTTCGTCGACTACGCCAATGTCTATCAAAATGATTTCGTCGTGCCAGCTGATATCGAGCCGGCGGCTGTCCAAACAGCTGCAGCCGATCAGACCAATATCCTCAAAGTTGATGTTCTCTTGCATCATGACGTCAATGAGCCATCCGATGATCTGGTGAATAAGATCGCAAGTGCGGCCCATGTGGAAGCAAGTGCCATTTCAGTTCAGCAGGGACTCGTGAGACTTGAGCTCGCTCCGGAGAATCTAGCCAGTGTTGCTGCGGTTGATGAGGTGCGCGTTCTCCATCCAGTCAAGGAACGTACGCTATTCAATAACGTCGCTCGCGGGATCCTCAATGCCAATAACGTGAATGTGAACAACACTATCTACAGAGGGAATGGTCAGATAGTTGCGGTGGCAGACACTGGCCTAGACAAAGGCTCCGATACAGACGTGCACGACGCATTCACCGGCCGTGTAGACAAACTTTTCGCTTGGGGCCGACAAGACAAAGCCGACGACCCAGATGGACATGGGACCCATGTTTGCGGTTCAGTCCTGGGTAGCGGCACCGTCAATGGGGAGGGCCTGGTTGAGGGGACCGCTCCTGCTGCGAAATTGGTCATGCAGTCGGTTTTGGACAGGAGAGGCCGCCTGGGCGGTATCCCCGCCGAGTTTAGTAAGTTATTCAACCAAGCGTATCAGGCTGGAGCTCGGGTCCACACCAACTCCTGGGGTACTCCACTCCCAGATTCAGGGGTCCAACACCCCTACGGTGCTGGTTCCGAGCAAATAGATAAGTTTGTTTGGAACAATCAGGATATGACAATTTTGTTTGCAGCCGGCAATGATGGGCAAGATCGGGACAAGGACGGTAAATTCGACGGCACAGTCAACGAGAGGTCCATTGGCTCCGAGGCTGCGGCCAAAAATTGCATAACTGTAGGTGCCACAGAAAACAGCCGTCCGAATCTCAAGTCTTCGATCTCAGGACTCCCCTACACATATGGAGGCTTCTGGAGCAACGAGTTCCCCAAAAATCCTCTCAAGGATGACAACATGGCCAATAACCCGGAAGGACTCGCAGCGTTCAGCAGCCGCGGACCCACCGCTGAGAACAGGCTCAAGCCGGATGTTGTCGGGCCCGGCACGGCCATCCTCTCTACACGATCCAGAAATATGGCGAATACATCTGAGGTAGGTGTCTTTGGGACCCTGTCCGACGATAGATATTGGTTCTTAGCAGGGACGAGCATGGCAACTCCGCTAATCGCCGGCTGCTGCGCGGTGCTGCGCGAGACCCTTCTTGCCAATGGATACAAGGACACCACGAACGGCATCAAGAATCCTACAGGCTCCTTGATCAAGGCTCTCCTTATCAATGGTGCCAACCCAATCAAGGGTCAGTACATGCCCGATGAAGTCGGCGACGAACCCAACCCACACTCTGGCTTTGGGCGCGTCAACCTGGCTGGCTCGGTGGTCACGCCTGGCGACAAATTCTGTGGCTACGGCACCGGGATCCTGGACGACGATCAAGCGCCCTTCAGCATCTCAATCCCCGTCCCAAAAGAAACGCCCACACCTCACCAAAAACCACTCGGAGAAACCGCTGGCCTCTCGCTCAAAGTCACGCTGGTGTACGCCGACGCCCCGGGCAAACGCCTTTCAAATGACCTGAACCTCGCCGTTGTGGCCGGCGACAAAGAGCGTCACGGCAACCAGGGCAACCAGGAATTCAGCGTCGAGTCCACCCAACCGTTCGACCGTGGGAACAATGTCGAGCAGGTCCTATGGCCTAGCGTCCCGGGCGGAGAGATCAGGATTGTGGTCAAGGGGTTCCGTTTGACACAAGACGAAGTGCCGTTTGCGTATGCGTGGAAATTCTTCTAGCTTATCCTCACTTAACCCAAATATCGAGACAGATATCACATCCCTGGTCCTTGATTGGATGCTATTCTCTTGATACTATCAGAGCAGACCCTTGTCCTCACATTGTTCTGTTTGTGCTGATGTTAAGTATCCTCCACCCGCTCCCTCTATTCACTCAGTAGAGGAAGATCCTGAGGAGAGACTTCCCGCCACCCCATAATGGCACTGTGATCTGGGGCACACTGAAATTCAGTATGCATCAGAGTACTAGTTGTTCTTAACACTTGACTTGGAGCACACTTTATTCGCATCATACAGAATACTAGGCATTGGCTAATCAGCGTCCGAATACATTCTGTGTTATACATTTCGTGCGTTTTCAAGGCTTCAGAGTGCGAGCTACCTTAGATCACAGATCGCCTCAGGTTCAAAATCAACGGGTACAACAACTGCATTTCAGATATTGGAATACTAACAGTTCCCATACCCCAGCCCACTACATCTATCCTTCACGGTAGAGGAATCTGAGTGAGCATAGAGTATCACCTTTATGACGACGATCCCAGGTTTGCAAGGACAGCTCTTGTTCTCATTCGTTTTCTGTTAATACTTATGTTGTACCGACTTTTCCATACAAGGGAACACTGATCAGAGCGAGGGGTGATAGCCACCGAAGGCTGAGAGGTGATCATAGCCTAAATGCTTGAAGACGAGAAAGATACCATTTTATACCTAGGGTGGGCGACTTGATAAGCGAGAAAGGAGGCAGTAGACCTCATGTCTGAAACTCACGACCATTTGAGGGGATCCAATAACGCAGTGCCCCTGGTTGTCGCCAATTATGGACCTTATCTTGAGGCGGAGTGTACCTGGGAGGCTGCAGGAGAAAGTAGACCGTCGCCGTGAGTGTCTTTGAGAGCGTGATCGGGAGGGTGAGAAGAAGGTGAGAGCGTGAGAAGAGCGTCAATCGTGAGTATCTGGTTTTAAAAGCGGCAACGTCTGCCGGTGCCAAGGACGTTGTTGCATCAAGCCCAAAATCCTCGACTTTCAGTCTTGACTACTGGCTGCGAACTCTGCGACATCTTCTGTGTTTCTCTTTTCGCGACTCTGCTTGCTTGCAGGACTACTTTCACATCTGTAACTTTGAGCACGCCGTTCTCTCTGACTCTTCTTTTTTACAAAATGTCCGAAGAAGCGCCACGAAAGCGGTCGCGCTTCGATCAAACTGAACCAGAACCCCGAAAGGCTTCGCGATTCGATCGACGGTCTCGATCTCCTGCATCCAGACATAGCGAAAGCAGACGAAGTCGAAGTCCGTTGGATAAAGACCGCCAGAGTCCTGCTGGAGAGAAGCGGAACACTCCTCTTGACCCTGCTGCTGCTGCAGGTACGTTCGTGGCGCGCATCCTTCGCTGTTCATTCAGTTAACAATTCACAGCTGCGGCAGCTGCCAAAATCAACGCGGAACTACAAGCGCGCAAAGGAATTCAACATGTTGACGTACCTCCCATCCGATCTGTAAGTCGTCTTTATTCCACTTTCGCGTTCAGATACTGATGGACGCACCTAGTCCACTACACCCACGCCGGCGCCGAAGCCTTCAACCCCTACCTCTGCCCAGAATACCAGCAGAGTCGACGGAGAGATCTATGTTGCGGATGGCGACTACATCAAAGACATTGAAATCAATGATCTACGTAATAAATACACCTTGACCAGGGGTTCGGCACAAAAGATGGTAATGCTCCCCAATCTAGAATCATATATGCACAGCATACATCTCCCACGATATTAGAGCCAAGTTCAGACTGTGATGAGATTGGAAATGCTGACATTGCTGTGAATGCAGATCAAAGACGAAACTGGTGCCGGTATGGTTTCTAGCACACCTCTCGCTCTCACGAAACTGTCACTAACGTTCAACTTCAGACGTCACAACTCGTGGTTCTTATTTCCCGGATAAAAGCATGGCAACCGCCGCGGTAGGTAATAACACATTGGTGCAACCGACCACACTGCTAACCTCTCCATTCCAATCAGAACCCACCTTTGTACCTGCATGTTACCAGCACTACCAAAGCAGGCCTGGAAAAGGCTGTCGCAAAGATCGAGGAGCTTATGAAACAAGAACTACCGAACCTGGTGGATGAAAGACGTTTCAAACGCAGAGAACCAGAACAATTTGAGCGCGATGAATTCGGAAGGGTATGTATGCCACTAGGATGTATTGACTCAACATCTCACTGTCTGTGCAGCGGAAATGGCCCGAAGAGCGCATCCCTCTCGACATGGAAAATATCCCTGGTTTCAACCTACGTGCCCAGGTAGTTGGCCAAGGGGGTGCCTACGTCAAACACATTCAACAGGAGACCGGCTGTCGTGTACAAATTAAAGGCCGTGGCAGCGGTTTTATGGAACACAGCACCGGGCAGGAAGCTGACGAGCCAATGTATCTTCATGTTGCGGGGCCCCAGCCCCAACAAGTGCAGAAGGCTAAGGAGCTTTGTGAGGACCTCCTAACCAACGTTCGTCAGAATTATGAACACTTCAAAGCGAACCCACCGCCTCAGCGGTTGGAATCATACACTGATGGATATGGTGCTGATGCTAATCGCCATCACTATGGTGGTGGCTACGGACGAGATCGAAACCGCGAAGACAGCTATTCACATTCACATTCGGCCAGCTACAATTTTCCATATTCAGCGGCGACGCCCGCAACCCCGGCACCTGGCACCGCAGGTTCTCCTACCGACTACTCAGCACAATGGGCTCAATATTATGCCAGTCAACCTGGTGGGGACCCATATGCCGCTTATGGTGGTTATCAGAACTACGTGGCCTACTATCAATATTATCAACAGCAAGCCGCTGCCGGACAACAACAGTCCCCTCCACCGCCTCCGGCAACCGACTCCAGTGCAGCTCCGCCACCTCCTCCCCCGGCTTCAGACAATTCAGGGGCACCGCCTCCACCACCTCCTACCGGAGGTTACTCCGCTGTTCCACCTCCTCCAGGACTGTGAGCCTTATCCGGTGTTGTGAAGTACTGACTTTGTCAGACACGAACAGATATCGGACGACGCCATCGTCACCTTTCGCATTTTGCATTGAAACTGCTCGTTGAGCGATAGCTCCAAGCCGTGAGAGCAACAAAATTAAATTTCGGATCTCTTGCAGGAGCGGATAACGTCTGATTGATTGGACAGGCAAAGTATTGCAAACAGGGATAATTTGAGAGCTGATCGGTCAATAGGGACCTGATCCATAATGACATTGAAGCTTGTGGTTTTGAATAGCTGACTAAACCAGCATAAACGCGTGACTCACTGTCTTGTAGAGCCGACCCGTCGACAGCGAAAACGGAGCGAGTTCCAGTCTTATGCCGTGTATATTACGAACGACTTCGGTACCTTGTAAGTACTTTTGACTGTGTGTTTGCACTGCACTTTAAATGCCACGACACCAGGACCGACATAGGTTGATTCCTCGTCTGAACACATCATGAGCAGGATTGCATTTTGTTGGACTCACTAGGCTTATCAGGGTTCAATTTCACCTGGTGGGCCATGACCATCTAAGGATGGGCCCAGTGGACGACGGGCAAAACGACGCAGTATGTCTACATACCAGCCAGGGCGAGTGTGTGAGTCTATCATGAAGTTGACAAACAACCCAGGTAGGCGATTCTCTTTCGTTTGTGACATGGATGTAGGAAATGGCATTACACTGCGCACTGTAGAGAAGGCAGACCGCGGTCGCCGTATCACGTGATGAAACACCTTGCTGTGCTACGCGGTACAGAGAACACTCGAATGATCTCCTATCTAAATATATCACAGTTCAGCAGCTTCTCGTTTCGGTCTCCCACGGGGCCTGCGTACATTGACTGGTGATTATGGCTCGTCTTCCGTCCCACAATCTTCACTTCGCCTTGGTCCCGCATCCCGCATCTTCGAAAATGGTCTAGTCAACCAGTCTCCAGCAACAACCGACCTGCACCTCGTGCGGTGACCTGTCATCGCTGTTTTGCTGGTGGCGGATCCTGAAAACGGCTTTTCGGTGGTCATGTTGCGCGACTGTACGACTTCTTGGGCTCTAGCCCGGCCAACCTCTTGTGGGCTGTCCTTGGGCGGCGCTTGATGCTCTTCCCACCGAAGGAGGGGGGTTCTTGGACGTTGCCCGGCGCCTCGGTAGTGTTTCCATCAAACTGCAGAGATCAAGTCAGCCCACCTGTTTGATCTAGGCACTCACCCCTGGTCCCTGGTTTGCAGTTTAAAAAGGACCACAGCACTTCGCGAATCAGCCGCCGAGCAAATGCCAAAAGCTGCAGCTTGCTGACATTGATAGCGATACTTTGTAGATTGCGGAGAATGAGTACCAACAGTTCTCACACCACTACAGAACAAGACACAGGGACGGACATGGACATGGACGTCGAGATGGAAACCACCGACGTGATCATATGCGGCTGTGGACCAACGGGGGCACTCCTCAGCGCGCTCCTGGGCCGGAAATCGACCAAGAACACTGTTTTGGAGCGCGAAATGGAAGTCGTCACGGATCCACGAGGCATCGCCCTCGACGAAGACGGAATCCGGCTCCTCCAGGAGGTCGACCTCTACGACAAAGTGTACAGCGAGATAGGGGAGCCGATTTCGCACGTCTGGTTCACTTCCGGCAAGGACGGCCTGAAGACCAAGCCGTTCATGCACATGGACATGTCCACGACCGAAGGCGGCAGCGGCCATGTCGGCGGCATCTGTCACAGGCAGCCGGTCATGGAGAAGTACCTGCGGCAGTCTGCCGTGGCGTGCGCGCCGACGTCGGAACTGAGACTGGGCTGCACCATTACCCAGATCGAGGAGGACGAGGACCACGTCCGGGTCAAGTACACGGACGACTCTCTCGGCGGCGTGGAGAAATGGATCAAGGGCAAGTTCCTCGTCGGCGCCGACGGCAAGACGGGGTTCACCAGAAAAATGTACCTGGAGAAGAGAGGGGTGGTGCTGGAATCTCTCCCTGGGTGAGTGAGTTTTCACAGTCTACTACCTTACTTACGGGTGTTCGTTGCCCTTGTATTACGTTGTTATGTTTCGGAGCGTCACACACACCAGTTGTGTTCAGATTCACACCGCCGCCCCGAGTCAGCGTCAATGGTGGTGGTGGCCTCTGCTAGGTCACCGCTTGGCTGATTGTGATTCTCCATGGAGCATATAGGTACGAGTATCAGGAGACATGGGTCGCTGTGAATTATCACATGGACCTTCCTACCCCCGAGACGCACCCTGACTTCCCACTATGGAAGCTCGGATACACGCCGCAGGGGGTCTACGATGCCTTCTTCCCCGTACATTTCAGATTCATTGGAAACCCGGACCGACCGTCTGTATGTGGGACGTTTGGGCTGAGGAAGGAACGACTCTGGCGGTTCGAGTACGTCGTCGACAAAGCCAAGGGAGAGGACCCGGTCGAGATGGCGACCTACGATAAGATGGCTGCAGTGATTTTTCCCTATCTCACTCACCCGGGCAAGACGTATGGGTATGTGTTACTATTGACCCACCTAGCAGGCTAGCGCCGAGCATTGAGAGTACCGAGCCAGAGAATCCCCTTTTCTTTTCTCTTTTTGGTTGCTGACATACAATGTCAACGCGACAGGCTCGAAAGCCCCGTCCAGTACCCCGTCGACTGCATACACGTGTTGAGGTCGAGACCATTTTCGTTTTCTGCCCGCAGTTGCAACAAGTGGTCAGTGGGAAGGGTGGTGTTATGCGGCGATGCAGCGCACGTCATGCCTCCATGTAAGGTTTTTGGTCTCGGTTAATTCTGGTTGTCCATGACGTAGACTCTTCTGATCCGACTTACTGACGAGCTTTTCTCAAAGTTGGCGGACAGGGCATTGCATCTGGGTTCAGAGACGCATCGGGGATCGCGTGGAGACTTGTCCTGGCATGCCGACCACCGGCACAAGGTGGTCTGGTATCCAAGCCGGGCTCTACCTCGACGTACCACGAGCGCCTGTTTAGTGGGTGGTGTCTGGAGCGCAAGCAGCAACTCGACATCTCCATCGCATCGACCGTGGCGAACGGCGAGCTCACGACAGCCCGCAACCCGATCAAGGTTTTTGTGAGGGACTGGATCCTGTGGTTCATGCAGCTCATCCCGAGCCTCAGACGGAAACTCGAGCTCGGCCCGCGAAGCGAGGGGATGGTTCGGTACAAGTACGTTGACGGCATGGCTTTTCTCCCTGATCTGTTTGGTGGACGGCAGCTACCGCAGGTATACTGTAGGGCGGTGGGAATAATCTCCTCGTCGTCGTCGTCGTCCTCCTCCTCCACCACCTCAAGTCGAGGGGAAACTGATCGTGTCGGTGCCGTCGGCGAGGTCGAGTTCACCGACGACGTCATCTTCCGGCCCGAGTCGCTTTCGTCTCTGAGATTACTCGTCCTCGTGGACGCGCTGAGCGACGTGGCGAAGGCGCGCGACGAGCTGAGCCAGTTGAACATCGAGCACCTGTCCAACAACGAAGTCAAGATGAGCGAAGTGTGTTATCTCGTCATGTCTAGTGCTGGCTGTTCCGACTCTACCGGTGTTGACGTCAAGGCCGGTACCAAATCGTCAGCAGCACAGGGAGTCAACGGCAACGTCCACAGCAACGGTAACGGTAACGGTGCCATTGTAACGGAGTCCACGGACCAGAACAAGACGAAGAAGAAGGAGGAGGAGGAGGAGGAGGATATGGTGTTGACGACGATGCAAAACAAAAGAGTCTACCGCATCGCGACGGGCGACGAGTTCGCGGCGTGTCGTCTCTGCCGCAACCGCCCGCCGCCGACCGGGTACGACATGCTTCGGGTCCGCGCCGAGGTGGGAGGCCGGAAGTACGTCCTGGTCCGGCCCGACAGGTTCACGTTCGCGGCGTGCCGGTCGGGCGCGGAGTTGGCGGGTGCCTGCGGGAGGATAGCCGGTGTCTTGTTCGGCACGCCTTGAGAAGAAAAAGTTGAGACGGACGACGACGTGGGAAAAAGTGAGGCGAGGAATTTACCGCGCACGCGAGGTTCAAAAGAGCCAAGTAAGTGAAAAAAAAAGGGCTTTCCAAAGTTGTACCGCCGTAATAAGTTGTTAAGTAAGTACACAGTGATTCGTGAGGAGGAGGAGGAAGTGTGAGTTCGATGAGTGTATGTACATGGGAAGAAGAACTGAGGCACAAACTTTTACCCACGTACGCGTACGGTAACTGGTTGGTAGTTAGTTAGTGGTCGGCGAGGCCAACTTTTGTTACAACACGACGGACCACCTACTGCTGTATAGGTAGTAAGTAGGTATGTAGGGACCTAGGTACTAACTTAACTGACGAGTCGGTGGCGACGAGACGGCTCAGGGTTGTCCAAAGGTCGGGCACCGGTGGGGTGACCCCGACCTTTGTACGGATACCACGGTCCCTGTTGACTGACTCTCGGCAATGAAAAATATTGACCGCGGCATCGTATCCTAGTAGGTGGGTAACAGGTGATGGAAACCAGGGGTGATGGTGGTGGTGGTGGTATGTATGTACCTTGACTATTATGCAATGATGAGCAGCTATCTAACCAACCTACTGTACCTACCAACCTCAGCCAGTCAGAAGCCAAACATACAAAGTTTCACAAACGATTCAGCACCAAAAAAAGAAAAAGAAAAGCGTAAAGAAAAGGGGCTTACTACTACTAACTAACTACAAGACTATAACAAAGCACCGTATATAGCCAGTCAAAAGTAAAACTACTTGGTGAAGTCATGATGATACACACACATGACAACATGGAGAATCTCTCTAGACAGTCTTTTCTGCAGTTTGAGCCTCAATATCCTCGGTGACACCGTTGGCCGACGAAGGAGGAACATAAGAGTCCTTTCGGTGGCCGGCGGATTCAGGATCGTAGTTGGGCGTACCGGGGACTTCGCCCGCGAGTTCTTCAAGGGTCTTGCGCTTCGTCTCGGGGATCAAGAGGGAGGTGAAGATGCCGCACAGCATGAACAGGGCAAAGATCTGCATGATGTGGTTGACCCAGGGGGTCGGGTTCGCCTTGGTCGGGTGGCCCTTGGTCTTGAGGGGTCCAAACACGCACTGGGCGATGATGGCGCCGACCTTGCCCGAGGCGGCCGACAGGCCGTGCGACGTGGAGCGGTAGCGCGTCGGGAAGCACTCGCCGGGCACGATGAAGGTGGTGGCGTTGGGGCCAAAGTTGAAGAAGAACTGGGCAATGACGTACAGCGCGAGCAGGCCGCCCTCGTGCAGGTGGTGGTAGGCAAAGCCGATGACCACGAAGACGATGGTGAGGATGACGAAGCCCATGATTTGGATGGGCTTGCGGCCGATGGTGTCGACGGTCGCGACCGTCACCCAGTAACCCGGGATGGCGCCGGCGCAGACAATGATCAGGTTGCCGACGGCCGTGTTGTAGAAGATCTCATACACGTCGCTGCCCTTGGCGTAGCCGATGGCCTGCAGAATGATCGAGTTGTTGAGACCGAGGCCGTAGAAGGCAACGTCGAGGAAGAACCAGGACCCGGCCGTTCCCAGAAGCACCTTTCCGTGCCTCCATTGAGAGTAGTGTCTCCAGAAATCGGACCACGAAGCCTGTTGTCGCGCGCAGAACAGAGTCAGTAAGGTCTAACGCCACGCTAACATCAAGACATGGGAGGGGAGTCTCCACTGACCTTGGGGGCTGCAAGACGAGTACGGGAATCCTGGAGAACGGCAGCGCGGCTGACTTCGTCCGGGTGGCCCTCGGCCTTGCCGCTCTTGTACGCCTTGACGTCTTCGACAGCCTTCTCCGAGTCACGGGCGACATCGAAAGTGTAACGAGGAGTCTCCGGGATGGTGAGACGGAAATACAAGGCGACACAGCCGGGGACAGCGCCGAATCCGATGACGACACGCCACATCTTGTCGACAGCAAGCAGGCAAACGCCGTCACACTTGTCGACGGTCTTGGCCGTCTTGAGGGACTCCTTGAAGCCGGCGGTGACGATCAAGGCGATCATGGCAGCGGAGAATTGACCGATACCCTGCATGGCGAAGACGGCACCCATCATGGCACCACGCCACTTGGTGGTAGCGAATCTGGAAGAAGTTCAATCGTCAGACACACGAGACACGGTGGGTTCGGCGAGTCGTCTAGGAGGAAAACTTACTCGGATGTGATGATGCTGGAAAGCGGGTAGTCACCACCGATACCGATGCCCATGATCACACGCCAGAAGATGAGGACACCGACAACAGAGACAGCGGCAGAAGCAGAAGACAGAGCCTGGGCCAACGTCGCAAAGATGATGATGATCAACTCGAGCCCATACATTCTCTTTCGGCCCACGATATCGGCGAGCCATCCAAAGCCGACCTGACCAAGAACGGTACCGCCCGAAGTCGCCACCTTGATAGCGGTGTCTGAGTTGGAAGGGATCTTGCCGGGATTCTTTTCAGCGCCTTGCCAGTAGACAACACCCAACATGGCCACGACCAAGTTGATGGCGAAAATGTCGTAGGCATCGGTGAAGAAACCAATGCCGGCGACCACGATGGCGCGGATGTGGTACCAGCCGAAAGGAGCCTTGTCGATCTCGGCGAGGGCGAGTCGTCGTCGCTCGTTGGGGTCTTGGATGTGAGCGAAGTCGTTGTGGAAGTTGTGGAAAGCGGCATTGCCGCCCGATGTCTTGGTGGCCATGGCGAGCAGAGAGGCTGCTACTACTGCTTGTCAGACCCAGCAGACCGATCCTCTTCTCGAGTCGAGTGAACGGCCAAGATTTCCAAGCAAAACCAAGGCTCGGTATACAAGGCTTGGTCTGTTGAAGAGTTTGAGTAAAGACAGACCGGCGGCTTGTCGACGACGGCAGGCGCGTGCTACATATAACACTCGTCTCCTGGGCACACTCCACTTGAAAATCTTAGACCCGACGATGCAGTGGCACCTGCGAGCATCCACAATCTTTCGATCACCACGTTGTAGATGATATGAAGCGTCGCGAAGGCCAATCGGAAAGGCGCTCAAGACCACGCCCAAGCCAGAAAGAAGAAGTCCCGAAGGGTCTGAGGGCAGTGGAAGAGCAACAAAGGTGCCAGTGCAGGGCGATGGTTCAGCTCAGGGAGTCGGCAAGGATGCATGTCCAATGGCAGGGCAGACCCGGGGGACGCCAGGGATCGGACAGGCCTAGTTCTGCTAGTTCTCCTAGTTCTCCTAGTTCTTAAGCGAAAAGCCTGGTGCATCGATTGCGGGTGGTGTTTGACTTCGAGAAGGCGTCGGCACCCATGTAGCCAAGAAAGTGGTGTTACTTCGTGCTGGACCGCTTGAAGGCCGAGAACAAACCAGACAAAACAAGCTCAGAACGTGCCCTCGCCATGGAGGCTTAGTGTATTCGACGTCGGGAAGACCTGCTCGTCGTAGAAGGCGAAGATGCAGCTGGTTCGAGTGAGGCTCACCTCGATGTCGTACTGCGTTCAAGGACGATGTACCCCAGGACGATGAGTGAGATCATGCAGGCGAGGGTCGAGACCGCGAGAGCCTCAGCCTCAGCTGCCTGGGGCCCGTCAAGGTCGGTACACACAATAGGTACATGAGTTATGGGCCCGTGACAGGGACTTGGGTGTCGGAGTTTAGCAGAGCGCACCCGTACAGTAAAATCTCTGATGGCCATTCTGAACTCTGCACGGGGATCTCAGATCCACCTGGCCCAACAGGAAACAGACGATGACAATTCCAGCATGTAATAAAATGCAAACTGCGGTGCTGATGGCGATAGTGACAACGAGGCGCCTCAACATCTGGACTCACTGGCCTTTGATGGGCGCCACTTCCCACATGGGGAAAGGCGCAGGCGGGTCAATTTCCGAATGATGGCTCGGTGGCAGGGCACGTTGTGTCGATGGCTGCTCCCATTGGCCGGGGCTCAACGACTGTGCCAAGGCCTTCCCTGCCCGGACCACGTACTGTACTTTACCTAGGAAAGTACAGGCAGCGTAGTACTGTAAGTGAGTACTGTAAGTTAGTACTGTAAGTTAGTACTGTTAAGTTATTAGTACTGTAAGTTATTAGTACTGTACCTGAGGCTGGTGCTAAGAGTGAGCATGTGAGTAATACAAATACCGTTGCTCTAGTACTGAGCCGCCTTGCAGTCCAGTTAGCTTCCATTTAGGTGCACTGCTCCGTCCCAGGCGATACGACACACCAGAGAACGAGAGAATAAAAAGAAAAGAGACAAAAAAAGAAAAACGAACCTCGACGGGCCTTGAACGCTTGTCGAGCCGTTACACCGTGGTATCATCCGCACCGCGCAGCATATTCATGATTTTTACTCTTTGATCACTTACTTCAGGTCCAGCAGACAAGTATGAGACTGTGCACCTCCGAAAAGTACTCGCATCATGAACATACCTGACACAGACCCTGCAGCGATGATGGAGTTGCCGTATTAATTGAACGAGCATAATCTGTCTGGGTGGCATCAGAAGACGGTGTCAGGTCCTCACGTCTCGACCTGCTGTAACAGGCTACATACAAAAAGGGTGCCCTTCCCTATCGCCGCTTATGCCGTATGCGATCCGTTGCAGCCACCTGAAAAGTCTGAATGTAGCCTCGCATCTCACATCCTCCCCCGTCTCACGTCGTCTCACACCTCACACCTCACACCACCCCCATTCCCCATCTCCCATCTCCCATTCCACGTTGGTCCAGAGATCCGAAACTCGCTCACTCACCCACTTACCGATCCACGTCCGGACCAAGAAGGAAAAGGAAAAGAGAAGGAGGAGGAGGATGAGGAGGTGGTGGTGGTGGTGGGGGCAGCGGGCGTCCTGACTCCTGATGATACTGTCTCGGACCGACGTTGATAGAATAGCATATTCCACGACATGAACATCGGATCGCCCTCCCCGCCGCTATCCTCGGGCTCATAAAAGTGAGGGGGAGAACATGTGAAAGAAAAAAAGGAATCAAGTGCACGAAAAGAACCAGGACGGCGGAAGAAGAAACCGAAAATTCTCTCCCGTTGGACCAACGACCGGGCAACAGTGACAGCCTCATCAATGGTCACCAACTGGCTGGGACAGATTCTGTACTAGTTTGACATGCAAAGCGCCTTAAACTAAAAAAAATGTCATCCTTCCCTGCCCGTAGTCGCAGTGGCCACCATATACAATAGAGTAGAATACTATGTAACAAGTACAAGCCACAGCCAGCTCGCTCGCTCACTCAGTCACCTCGGGCCGTCGTCAATGCTTCATGCCGTACTCCGTACCTACCTACTCACCCAGGTAGCTTGCCGAGCCTACTGTACTGTACTTACGTCAATCACACATCGGGTATCAACCCTGTTTGATAGACCGATCGATTTCTCTACAATCTCATCTCACATGGCAAAACGCAAAAGAAGAAAATGAATACATCAAATCTACTCTCAAGATACCACAACAACCTTTACAAAGGACAAAACTCTGGCTAGGAACAATATTGCCGTGACTTTCTGTTATTTCCTGTACCTTCGTGTTCAGCTACCACGCTATCGAGGAAGCCGACATCTCTACGTACTCCGTACATAGGTGTGCATCTGAACCCGCATAACACGACTTCTTATTCTATACTTTTCGTCTGGGCCTTTTCATCGCGCAAGCATGGCTCTTTTTGGTTCATCGAGTGATCAACACAATCTACCACATCCCGCCCAAAAGTGAACCAACTTCCCTCCCGAATCCTTCTTATCAATTCTCGCCCTTGACAGGTACACCTCCATTCATGCCACCCTTCACCGACGCAAGGTGTGCCAGTCCAGCCTTGAGAGCTCCATCGAGTCCAAATTGGCTCGGGACGCCTTCGATGCGGTGGGTGCTGTTCAAGTTCTTGACCAGAGTTATCTGGAAACACGTGGCGCTGCCCTGGCGAGAGATGATGGTCGAATATGCTAGGAAATACTCCCAGATGCGATACCACCGTTCACCATACTTCGCCTTGACCTTGTCCTGGTTGGCAATCCAGTTGCGGTACCATCTCCACAGAGTCGCAGAATAGTGCACGCCGACGGTGTCGACGGCTTTGATCTCGAAACCGGTTCCTTCCAGCTTGTCAATCACGAAGCCCAACGGTGTGGAAGCATCGGCACCTGGAAAGATGTATTTGTTCATGAACAATCCCCAGATCAAGTCCTCGTATTGCCACGCCTTTCGGAGACCGGCGATTTGGAAGAAGAAAACACCGTCGTCGTCAAGCATGTTGTACACCTGTGTCAGGAAGCTGGAGAAATGCCGAACACCCACGTGCTCGGCCATTTCCAAACAGGTGATGCGTTTGTACCCACCTTCGGGCACCGGAATGTCTCGATAGTCCATGCAGAGAATTTTGCTTTGAGCCTCAGAGATTCCCGCTTTGCGAAGACCGTTATTCCCCCACGCGGTTTGGTTTCGGCCCAGCGTGACTCCAGTGGCGTGAGCACCGTAGTTCACACTGGCGTACTTGGCCAATGTTCCCCAGCCGCAGCCGATGTCGAGGAGCTTGTCACCCGGTTGGACGCCGACCTTCTGGCAGACGATGGCGAGCTTGTTATCCTGAAGCTCTTCGAGAGTTTCCTCCCGGTTGATATCAGAGATGATGCCGGACGTGTAGATCATGCGCGGACCCAAAAACCAGCTGTAGAAATCATCGCCACGGTCGTAGTGGTCACGTACTTGTTCCTCGTCCTGAGACCGGGTATGCATGATGACCTCAGGGATCATGCCGGTGAAGAAGAATTTCATCAGGCTGAGAGTGAACTTCCAGCTGGCCCAGTCATGTCTGTACTCCAACATCTCCAGGCAATCTCCTTTGAAGTCCACTTTCCCGTCAAAGTACATCTCATGGAATGTTTCCATTGGAATTCGGTTTTTGCCGTGGTACTTGGCTCTGTCCTCCTCTTCACGAAAGTGCAGATAGTGCTCGACCGGTCGGCCGGGGTATCGTACCTTCTCGTTCTTCCTAGGAGAGATGGACGATGCCACAGTCCAAAACGCCATCAAGATGGGGATCGAGGTGAAGATAGCCAGGAAGATGGTGGTGTAGAATCCACCACGAACTTGTCTGGCCATGTAAGCAGGCACACCGATAAGCAAGCCGATGAGAAGATAGTTGTTGAAGGACTCGCTGCCCGCTGCATCGGCCGGTAGAGGCGCATTCTTGATAGCTGGATACTGCAAAGTGTGAGCAAATCGCCGGCCAGACACATTGGGACATGTCTCAACCTACAGCGGTGGTGCGGACACCGCAGTCCTCGGTAGGAGGCTCGGGCGTAGGAGCAGCTGGAGTCTCGATGAATTCAAAGTCCTCTGAGGACTCGGAGTGCGTCTTTGCCATGTTGTCCGCTGAGCGATTGTGCAACGCCCAACTCGAACAAGGTCTGTGAATTTCAATGCGTCGGTGTCAGGTCAAAAATCATGTGGACAGTTTGGCATTATTGATTATTTCCCAAGAGGCGGTGGGGGAGAAGCTCAAGCTGAGAGCATGTGTTTGCAGTCTCAACCTTTTCTCCACCGCCCAAAGTCAAACTCTCCGTACTCCGTACTCGTATCCATATTGCGCTCCGTACCTGCATTAGACGAGAAAGCCCCGGCCAGATCGGCGCCCTAGGAGTCCGAATTATCTCTCGCATCGACCAGACTCTATCGCTACTCTTATTACGGTTGGTTCAACTCGCGTGATATATCTTATATGACTACCGTAACTGCTCACTTGACAGGTAGAGGGACTCGCGTATAGGAAAAAACGAGTGCAGGGGCGAGGAAGTACCAGGTACCAGAAGAACTTCCTCTCAACAGCTCAGCAACCTACCAAATGGCTCAACTTGCTCGACACCGCCATCAGCTACGCTTTATACATGCGGCCAAGTAATGTAGGCCTAATCCTCGTCTATCTTTCCACCGTAGTCTCCCAATAGTATATCATCTGAAGGGGGACCGCGATTATTGCGGACTATATATGTCAGTACAGGGCTCCGATCAAGTAGCACGAACAACTCACCCCATTCTGTCTCAACCCGGAGGAATATCCACATCCAACGGCGCAGTACTTCCAGGATTTCCATAAGAAAGATGCCACCCTCGAGATCATTGAAGTGGTCTAAATGCGGAGAGAGCTTGAAGCTCCACGTACAACGCAGAAGAAGATCTATCACAATGGCGGTATAATACAGTTCCCTGGCGTGAAAGTGTCGGTGTCTTCGTAGACCGTAGGGATGCTCGGGGTCATTCCTCTCCCGGCTCGACAAGAACAATGACAGATCCCAGTCCTTGGTAACATCCCAATAGAACGAATAGAACGAGTTGACAAAAACAAAAAGCAACCTGAGAACGTACAAGGTTAGCGTGGTTGGCCATGAGCCCCGAGAACGAGTCCATACCATAGTCTAAACAGCCCGGCTTCAGTCATGTGAAATGTCGTCGGATCGTAACCTCGTTGTAAAGCACTCAAGAAAATGACTGGAAAGGCCGTAGCATATTTGAGTGCATTGGCCAAATGTTGTCCCCCCCATCCAGAAGTAGACGTGCGGTTCCGACGAACCCGAGAATAGTCGATTAGGCACTGTCGGAGACGTATCATGCTGGGAAAACTGATGATCAGCGGGACAAGATATGCTCCTCCACATCCCCGGTCAGGCTTGGCCGTGCTCGCTGTTCTTCGAGAGAGGAGCATGCAGGTAGAGACAAAAAGATCTCCCAGCACCTTCGCATAACTCGTGAGAACATCCGCCAGGAGTATATCACCGAACTTCCCATCTTGGACTTCCGCCAAACCACCCACGCTTATCCTCTTCAGCGTCGAGAGAAAGTGTACACGACCGGACCGTGACATGCGCTTAACTGGAAGGAGGAAGCACAACACAAGGAATAAGAGGTACGACTGTGGGAGGATCTGCCATGATAGCGCAGTGTGCCTGTCACCTCGCGTTATAAACCAGAACAGCAGAATCGATCCGGCTAGAGGAAGAGTCAACAGCGTTGCTAGTTTATATGTCGAGTGATGATGGCTCAACGACTGTTGACCTGAGCGGGCAGGGTATCGTATGAGAGCGGGTACATCCTGTACAAGTCAGTGGGAGCAAGAGCACGGTGCGATGAACGTACAATCCTGACAAGGTGAAGATAGTGAAGGTTCAGGCCCCATGCCCAAATTCCCAGAACAGCAATGATTGCAACTCGATAAGGGAGCGGAAGAAATAGACTGAAAGAGTCAACCTCGGGCTCGACAGCCGGATCACCGTCCATTGTGACTCTGAATTATCATGCTGCTCATTGAGAGGCAAGTAGGCGGAGAGGGGACAAGATGGACCTTGTTGAAGGGCATCGGGTAGAGGAAAAGGTCACGGTGGTCGCAGTCTGACCGGAGTTGCTCCAAAAATTGGCATGAAGTCAAATGCGAGGCGTCATCTTGGCAGGGGCTTGAGTATTCTAACGGTGCACGGGCATGAGCATCTCCACTACGGACCACGAAAGTATCAAATAAGTAGCCCAGATATGGTGCGCTTCTGATTGCCTACGGTACTGAAGGTCAAAGGGACGCCGGGGATGTATTGTAAGCATTATATCGACATATAACTTCTAAGTACCTATATAATCTATCTCTGTTCCACTTTATAAGAAAGTACTAACACGCACTGAGCCACTCTGCATCTATACCACTCATTAGAAGATCACAGTCCAACGATGTACCAACTTTCTGGCCACTCTCTTCTCATATCGGGACAAATCTTCCTGACTTGCCAGATAAATCAACTCAAACCGATCAAACAATCAAAACAAAAATCAAAGAAGTCCGGGAATCCAAACTTGCACCCTCCACTACTCTCTTTAGATTGCTCCCATTCGTCTAGCAACCAGTAGACATGTGAAAACAAAAGCAGCAATTCCCCCGACGATGCCAAAAAACCAATGCAACGACGTTCCACCGGCACCCGGTACGTGAACGTTCATGCCAAACAAGCCCGTGATCAGATTCAGCGGCACCAGGATTGTGGCGATGATTGTAATTCTTGCCAGCGTTTTGTTCGTCTTGTTGCCTTTGACAAGATTGTCGACATTCAGCTGCGCCAGGTAGTTGGCATGAGATCGAGATAACATCTTCTCCACGTGGCCTAGATTGGACATCATTGTGACGACGTGATCCTGGATATCGCCGAGATACAGCCCAATGTCGCCTCGGGGAGCGATTTCGTACTGCTCGTTACATCGCTTGGCGAAGCCCTTGATAACATCTGCCTTGCCGCCCAACAGTCGCATCATGTTGAGCACACGCTTGCGGCACTCGCCAATCTGTCGAAGTAGGGCGAGGAAGTCATCCTCACGAGCAATGAACACTTGGTCCTCGATATTCTCAGATTCATGCTCCGCCTCGCGGATGATGGGAGCGAAGGTATCCACAATGTCATCGATCATCGCGTAGCAAATATAGTCAGGCCCCAGGCTCAAGAAGTCGCCGAGCTTAGCGATCCGTTTGCGCACATTCTTTGCATGCGGGTTTGGCTGGTACGAAAAGCTTAAAACGCCATCGCCGCAGACAACAATATAAATGTGAATAGGATCCAAAAAGTCTGGATGGGCGCGGTCCATGATGAACGAGCGAAAACATACAAAGTAGTACTGGGAGAACAACTCGACCTTCTCCCGAGATTCTTGGGTTTCAATGTCTTCTCGCGTCAAGCGATGGAGTTTGAATGCTTTCGCCAGCACCTCGAGTTCAGACTTTGTGGGATTTTGTACGTCAAGCCACCAAACACCACCGTCTGGACCGACATCAAAGAGGTCTCTGAAGGTGGTGCCATCAGAGACAAAGTCGCCCAACTTGTTGACGTTCTTGCCTTGAGTCAACTCAGAGGTGAAAAGGAAAAAGCGGTTGGATGGCTGCAGATGGCTGGTCTTCTGCAGGCCGAACTTCTCGTCCGAGCACGAGCTTGGATTGGTGTCCTGGTGAAAGAGCGGTTTTTCGTAGAAGTTGTCTCCATTAAGAAGGGCATTTGGCACCTCCCCGGACTGACCGCGACTTCGGAGGTCCTCAAACACACGGCCGTCTCCTATGGCCTGAGGCTGATATTCGTCCTGGAATTGTCCCTGCGCGCACAGGGCCACATACTCCTCTAACTCTTCGAAATCGATCTTGTAGGTCTTCCCAGGCTCCTCGTCGGTTGGGAAAGTCACGTCATCATTGAAATCGCGATCAGTTCGCTGAGTTAGGCCACCTGGGAGGCTGGCATCACTGAGCGTCGGCCGCCTGGTGTTGGTGCCAATGGAGGCAGCACGGTGACGAATATTGTCAATCAGCGACGACGACACACTCTCAGCCGTATTAGCCCGTTGACGACGTCGTGGTTCGGCAAAAGCCTCGACGGAGTTTGCCGGGGACGTTGATCGAGAAGAGGAACTATCGCGAGAACGATCATGTTTCGGGATGATCATGCGTGGACGCCCGTCTCTGTTGGTCATCTGGCGAGGACGGTTTGAGTTTCGCCTTTGGGGAGGCTGAAAGTCGTCATCATTGTTGTCGTCATCGATGATAGCATGCTCAAAGTCACGAGCGATGGTGTTCCTGTCATGTCCAGGCGTACTGAGCAATGCGGAGTCAACCTCATTTAGATTGTGCTCCCCCAAAGGGCCGGCTGGCGGACTGGGAAGTTGCAATTCCACAAAAGGCACAGCCACAGGGTTCTGTGCTGGGGTCAACCCTCGGTGTCGTCGATGGTCATCCAGCTCCGGCACAGGCGTGCTGTAGCGGCTGTCCATCCGCTCCTGACCATGAACCGATCCGGAAGACGACATCTTGCTTGAGTCTCGAAGGCACCGTATATGCCGCTCTATCCCTTTTGAAAGCTAGGTTTCAAAAACAGCAGTGTCTTGCTTGCCAATACCGAAGATCCGAATCTCGTTAAATGCCGTCTCCTTCTCGTCTATCCAATTAACAGTGAAATCTGGCCGGCCTCTTTCTGGCCAGAAAATTGTGGAAACTGAAGGGCCAGTTATGGTGGTCGAGTGGTGGTGCCGCAGAAGAACATGTATGCGATGCCCGTGCCTAGCAGAGGGCGGATGCAGGAGACGGAGGCAATCTTGAGGCCCGCCAACTTGAAGGCGTTGAAGTGAAAATCGCGATCGAGCGCCAGCGTGGAGGAGGAGTGCTGCAGAGATAGGAAGAGCTGTGGCAGCCTTCCTACACTTGCGAAGAGTGAAAAGGTAGGTATCGAGTGGATTGAGCGCAGATGGAGTGTTGTCCGTGGTCGACAACACGTTGGTGATTGCAGTTGATGGGTAGAGTTGACCCGAAGAAGCGTGTTCGAAGATTGTTCCCTAGCAGGAGTAAGGCCCTCAATAAGAGTATGAGGAGAAAAAGAGGAATATAATGGTCGTGAAAAGCCAAAATACCTCACGAAAGCAGTGGTGGATGCACGAGCAGAGGAAAGACTTTTTTGGTAGCCGAATCGCCCAAACAAAATCAAGTTGACTGATGTCTGTTGGGTGACTCCGGTTGGGCAGTTTTTGTTAGCGCAGAGTACGTCACAGCCAGACCACTAGACTACACGCCATTTGGGGGGAATTCAGGAGTCGTTTAGGCGTGGGCGGGGGAACCATTGGCTCGTGCCGAGTAGCCTTAGGCATTCATTTATTGATTAGGTACCTAAGCTGACAAGCTTTAGGAGGACTCGTACTGTACCAGGCCCGGATCTCCCAGTGCATGCAATTACCCATGCTCTCTCGGGTATGAGAACCTTGTAGCGCGTCTTCTCACATCCCCGCCATCCAGGAAGCATGGAAGTTTTGGTTCGTTTGTTTCCTGACTCGCCATCGTAACTCATCGCACTGGTTCCGTCCTGCCGAAGCTGGCAACAGTAGCTCACTCCACGAATGCATCATTTGATATATCCCGTCTGCAGTAGACTGAAACATGACACTAATTCTCAAGTCATGGACCCCATGATGAGGCCGCAAAAACAACAAACCTGGCCCTTCCGTATGACTGTAGGGACCTAATTTTCCAACGGCACGTAATGAGGCAGTCATCATGACTACATGGTTAGTATTGCGGATAGTACGTGGTCCTCAAAGGATACGTAAGGTAGGTAGGTGGGTAGTAAGGGAGGTATCTCGTACTCGTAAAGCCTTGCAGCGATGATTATGTAATTTGTTGCTCTTCAACGCCATCTGGCCTCCATGCATTCCCACCTCACGATTTCCTCGACCATTCCTATTCATAACCACCACCAGCGCCTTGATCTACGACAGGAGAGAAAAGCGACGGCAGTGTCCTGCAAGCTCGGCTCAGTTGGCCAGTCAAAAATAAAAGGCCTCATTCCTCGACACACAGCAACATCTATTCTGCGCTGTGCCCCTTCACCCGACGAGTCATGGATGCGATCCTCAATCAGCTACAAGACCTATTCGAAGGTCAAATTGTACGTCTCTGTCTCTTGATCGCTTAATAGCCGACATATCTACTGCTCTCAATCAAGCGCCCTAACAATGTGCACAGGATTTTCATGGTCAACGGCTTGCTGAGACGATCTCTACTGTCGTTCTCACCCTGTCATCTGTACGTGCACCGCTGCCACTAATGCCATCATCCTCAAACCGAGCGCTCTACTGATGATAATCCTTAGGTCATCGCTCTTCTGGCTGGCTACGTACTGCAAGATCTCTATTTGACAATGTGGATTGGTGTCATAGGCACGCTCTTTGCGATGTTCCTGGTTGTCCCCCCCTGGCCAGTCTATAACCAGCATCCTCAGCCATGGATAGGGTCAAAGGCGAGACTGCCACCCGGTGGGATCGTTGTACCAGGAAAGTGATGGATGTTCAATGGTCACGTCTCATTTCTCATTTCAGTTCTGCTAAAGAACCGATTGCCTTGTTATGTGGCTTGATACACGATCAGCCGTAGATTCCAGATCCCCCCCTCTCATGAGGGCGGCTATGAATCAATGGCACAATCCCTTGGCCTTCTCTTGCATGAGAGCCTGCAACTTGCGGTTGAAGCTATGGCAGTCATATCGCAGTGTCGTTCCGGAAATCCACCACTTCCATGCTTCTTTGGCTTTTCCGTTGCGGGTTCAAAGCCTATATGAGTTGACGTATGAATCATAATTAAATTCTTTGGACGTGCCTCTGTGAAGTCTGCCCGAACGAGAAGCCCTGACGCATCTCAGATCTCCCGCTCTTAACACTCTTAACGGCCATATTTCTGGAATTCCCAGTCTCGGTTGTCCAGTGGGCAGACTTGTCTTGTCTTTAGCCAGCGAGAAATACAATGGAAGTGGAAGGCGTGCTAGATTCATTGTCAGCGGAGTTCCCACAAACTCGTGTCTGCTCTTACATTGCAGATTCCCCAAGCCACGGTGCATTCCTCCGTTGTCGCGGCACCCTGATTTGCTTGACACTCGATGCATAGATCCATGATATGATTCCGGCAGATGGCGCAGTTGTCGACGACGATGTCCCACGCCCATAGAGCAACGGCGTTCCACTGTTGCTTGTTAGTCACATCACTCAGAGTGGTCTTGTTACATTTGCAGTCTAACCTTCTTGACTTCGAACCGTTTCTTGCTATCTCCGTCCGCGGCTGCTGATTTGGATGCCTTGACTGTAGCCTTTCCTTTGGGTTCCTCGGATGCGTTGTTGGCAGCATCAGGCATCTCGACGTCGGCCATGATGTAGTCGGTCCGCGGTAAGGTTAGAGAATGGAGTGCGGGGAGAGGTCCAGGGCAGTGGCAGGCTTGGTCACGGCGTAGGCGAAGTCTTGCAAAGGAAGGCAGGCGGAGGGAATTCGAGTAAAGTACAAGGCAACTGTGTCACAATGAAGTATGGGAAAGTAATTTGAGGGTAACGAGGCTGCGAGTGCTGCGAGTCTCAGACAAAGGGAAGCGGTGGCGTGGGCGATGAGTGAGTGACTCTGCAATGGCCTCCGCCAATGATAAAATGCCTCCGCCATTCATTGTATTGTACGTCCCTAATAAGCTGCGCCTTGATCATTTCCCGTTGCCTGCGTCACTTCACTCACAGATCACCATCTTGCTCGACCTTCTCTCATCAGCTTCACTAGACAACTCATCGTCTCCCCTATTTACTCGCTTTCTTCTATATCACAATCGCATTCCTACTAGACGACCGCTCGTTTCTTGCGCTCAGCTAGTCTTGGAACCTCCTCTCAGTACAATTCCCATCTCAGGACAATGAGCACTACCATTTCTACCACTGCCAAATCCTCTACACAAACACGACGACAGTATCCAAGGCGCTACGCTCTCCCCCCATCGCAAACGTACAAGATAGACACCAGTTGACCTCGAAAATCCTTGGTCAAGGTCCCTATTTCTTTAGTGCGTTGATATCGCTATCTGAGCGTTCTGCATTTTCCATATCTGTCTTCAAGGTCCACAGGCTGCCGATTCATCAAGCCTGAAAGTACAACACTACTACAATGTCTATGATCGAGAGCACTTCGCATACCCATGCCAAAGGCAGCCGCCGATCCGGGAAGAAGAACCGTCCAAGCAATCCGCACGATGGTTTTGTGTCAGATGTTGGTGCGCCCACCGAACATCAGCGCAACAACTCCCCAGCCAGTAATGCGGTCAAGAACAATGGAAAAGGCCATCCAAGGAAGAATTCATCAGCTCAAAATACCGCCGCTTCTGTGGGAAAACACGACAAGATGAAAGCCACTCCTATGAAACCCGCCGCCTACGCAGGGGCTACCTTTCAGCAATCTCCAGCCGCCTCTGCGTTGCCTTTACCGAGTTTTTATTCAAAGTCGATGCCTGCAGCCGGACCTCTTACATCCCAAATCAGTGACGAGGCTAGCGCCGATACTCGCCCTGCCGCGCAACAGGTTACCGCCTCGCCTAACAAGCGAGAAACGACGCCGTGTGACTTCCTCTTCGACGCCGCTCGCCAAGCGCGGGCCACCCCTCGAGGCGACACGCCTGGAGCCCGCTCAGGCAACATGTCCATTTCCAACGGCAGCCCTGCCTCTGGATCACCTGCGCCTCGCGACGGCGACCCCATGTTTCCATTCGAGTTGGATGGAGCATCGGCTGCAGGTGAAGACGGTGCCTTTTCAGCGACACCTTACAAAGACCGTATTGAGGCGTTGAAGTCGACTAGGTCGACGTCTTTGCCCAGTAAATCCATGAACGAGCATGAGCGGAAGGCGAAAACCGACGCTCTGAAGCGACTGCTAATGAAGTCGAGTGGGCAACCTCACGACAACAACTTCCAGCCTGTCCAAGACATGAGCAATCCTTTCAACGCAAGAGCTCCATATCAGCCACCTCCGGCCCCGAATCAGGGTCCTCCTCTTGTTCGCCATACATCTGGACCATCAACCATGTTCAAGCAAGACCAAAGCGGTTACGGTGCCCCACAAGCCTTCCCACAAATGCCGTATCAGTATCAACCCACGCAGATACAGACTCCAAAGAGACCTAATTCGTCGAGCTTGAGAAACGTTTATGGTGCTCAGAGCGAGCCAGAGTACGCCGAATTGTCCTCTGACAGTGCTGTTACACCACCAGTTTCGACTCAACGACGACACACACCGCAATACATACCACAGTATAACACTGCTGCTCCCTTGGATTCGCCATATTCGAAACAACAGCAAATGCCGAACCACCGTGCTAAACCAAGTGCGCAGCAATTGGAGGATGATTTGAGACGAGTTCTGAAGTTGGATCTCACGACGAGGGGTTAGATTTGGTGCAATGGGTGAACCCATCATGGCAATGATGTTTAATCAACCTCCCGAATTTTGGATGAGGAGAAAACATGTCATTGCTACGGCTTGTTGAAGGGCCCTTGGCTGCGAGGGGCTGTAATGGATAGCTTAGAAGCACGAATCTCCAACAAAAGCTACGGAGGCATGGACATTCATTTAAGGAGGATTTCATTTGATTTGGTATTGTCTATCGTGATGGCCGGCTGGCCGGTTTCTCATGTACTTGTCTCTCATTCAGATAAACTATGGATAGGATCACATTGCTCGAGAGCAAGCGAAAATTTCATCTTAAACCCCTGCACCCTGCCTGAACTCGAGTGATCATGTTTCCCGCTCTTTTCGGACCCGCCTCTCTGTATTGCCTCGCTAAAGTGAGGGATAATTTGCGGGAAAACAATGCCCTGGTTCTCATTCGTGGATCGAGTGGTCGTGTTATGACGAATCTGCGCAGATATGGAGGCTCATTCGTGCAGAAGGCCAAAGTATTCAAAGGGCAGACTCCGACAAGATAGTCAGGCCACAGTTAGGGGAGCGCCGCATCCCACTTCTTGGCACATATCAAAGCATGCCTTACGCAGCTGAGTCCTGTTCGGCCGGCCGGCTGTCTGGCTGACAAACGATTTCCGCCGTAGCTGGCGCTTGCTTGCTTCGTTGCTGTGAGTGCGTGCGTATGCAGGTACCATTACAGGGAGGAAAGGGTTCATGCAGACCAGCGCGCCGGAAAGCTTGACCGTTTGCGCAAATGGTCCTGGGAATAACCAGACAGACCTGAATCCCCCGAGCACAGATGGCTCAATCTGAGGAGCGTCGTTCGCCACCGAATCTCTTTTCGATATGTACGCACGTCGTTTGATGGTGCCAGAGACATGATATTAGTGTGTCTTGATGAAGAATAGACAGTCGCTTGTTTGTTTTTCGGTGTGGGTCTCACGGTGGGCAAACCTCGAAGGCCCGTAGTTCGTTGTCACGTAAGGGGTGACTTTCCAGATAGGAGATTATTGCTTCTTTTTCTCTCAATCACTGCTCGCGCATCCTCTGCAGCCGCAATTGACGCATTGTATCCCGGCGCCACCGCCGCCTCCTCCCTCACCTTCTTCACGGCGTAGACTCGCTTTTGGGACACGACAGATACACGTTCCTTGGAAGTTCGTCTCCTTGGTTTGCACGCACCGCAGGCAACAGAGCTTTTCATAGCCTTGCTTCTTCCACTTGGCGATCAGGTTGGCGTCGGCATACCCGTTTTTGAGGAGCCAGTCGTAGAGCTGCTTGCTGATGGCCTCGCGCTCGTAGTACAGGTCGTAGATGTACCGGGACCGAGCGTGGGATATCTGGAAGATGGGCCACGTTGTTTCGTGCTTCTTTTTACCCTCGTGTGAAGCGTTCTGGGCGTCGCGCATCTTGTTGGCGTACTCGAGGAGCGTGTCTTCGATGTCGTCGAAACCTGCGGGCGGGGGTTTACGCGAGTTGCGTGAGCGGATCGGAGGCATTGTGCTGGAGGGTGTCTGGAAGCGTCGCAAGCAAGGGCAAAACGTTGTAGATTGAGCAGTAAGTTTCCAAGACTCCTCGCGAGGTGAGACAGTACGGGCTACAGGTAAAAGTAAGTGCTTGGAAAAGGCAGGCGCTCGGAGTTGCAACTCGTTCGTACAAGGCTACCATAGAAATTCTTGCGGGGAGTCGTTGGGGCGACAAAAGCAGCGGCCAAATACCGCACTCGCACTCTCGAAGCGACGACAAGTCTGTGCAAGATTTCGCTGTCTGATCAATGTTCCTGTTTAAAGTCCTTTGTAAGAACTTGGGCGCCGAATCTCGAAGAAATCCAGAGATGCTCCGACGCTGCTTCATTTTGAACCGCAGCGCTCAGAGCACTGTTTACGCAAGGCTGACCACACAGAGCCTCGCCACTTCTAAAAGCGGCAAGAGTGCCGAAGCCTAGCGAAACAGAATTGTCAAGTGCAGTGCGCAGGTCTCGGACCTCCAAATTTGATATTGCCATACTTGGTACCACCAACTTCAGCAGTGCTTCAGCATCGCCATTTTAGGATTGGAGTGTCGCAGGTTCACATACGCAGGACTCTTTTCATTCTACTCAATTCCCTTTTGCCACAGCGCCTCCCCGAGACACAATGGACGACGATATCAATGTCAGTGCGGAGGACCTCCAACACCTGAGCAATGCCGAGAAGCAGCAGCTTCAGACTTTCATCCAGACTGAAAGCCAACGATCAAGTATCCAGAAAAGTAAGGAATATGCTTGTGGTGGCTTCGAGCTTCTGCTGACCGTGGATGATGCAGCTGTTCACGAATTGACTGAAATGTGCTTCAAGAAGTGTATCACCGGCTCAATATCTTCCGGCAAACTTGCCAGCAAAGAGGAGTCTTGTATGTCGAACTGTGTCAACAGGTTTATGGACTCCAACCTTGCAGTGTTACAGCACCTGGAAAAGCTACGGGCACAGCAATGATTTCGCATGGTTGGGAAACTTTGTACGAGTATTCGACGGTCAGCAGCCCTTTCTATGCGGAAGGCATGCATGAGTTCAGATGGATGGACCTGGCGGGCTCAATTGTCCTGCCCTGTAACAACACCATATCTCGTTTGGCAAGGCACACAACACGGCGTCGTCATGACCAAAAAAATTCTGCTCATAAATATTTTTTCTTTTTGCATTATTCGGATGCACGCCTGCCTAGAGCCTTGGTCATGCTTCGACTATTTCCATGTCGAGCTTCACACTCTTCTTCCCGCTGGATGATAAGTCATGCTCGATAATGCTTGAACCCTGTAAACGTAAAAACAGGAGAAACTGCCCCGTCGCTATTCGCCAACCCTGGTCACATTGCCAACTTTACACAATCGACAGCTTCGTAGCCGCAATGTCCAGGGCATCCACGTCTGACGTTAATCTGGCAAAGGCCTTCTTGGTGCCATCAGGCCGGATCAGGGTGTTGATCTTGACAGTGTCCACATCGTACAACTTCTTCAACGCATCCTTGATTTGTTGCTTGTTGGCCTTGACGTCCACAATGAAGACCAGCGTGTTGTTCTCTTCGATCTTCTTCATCGCGCTCTCGGTGTTCAGAGGGTGGACGAGCACCTTGTGGTGGTCAAGTCGGGTCTCATGAGGAATGGACTTGCGGGGATATTTGGGCGATCTCGAGAGGACAAGAGTCTTCGGTCTGTGGAACGACGTCGACTTGCGGATCTTGCGAGCCTTGTTGGCGTGCACCTGCGAGTTACATGAGCGGCTGTTCCTGCTTGCGTCTCGAGTTGAAGACTTACGCCCTTGAGGGTGGCTTTGGCGGCCTGGTTGGCTTTCGCACTTGGCTTCTTGGACTTCGAGCCTATTGAGAAGGAACTTGTCAGCGAAAAGGCACATCTAGTTTCCAAAACCACCATCCAAAATCGTCCGTTAATCGAGCGTTCAAAGGCGCAAGCAGTTCCTCCGACTTCGACCTCTGCTGCACCCAGTTGTTCCACCACTTCTGCAGGAAATTTGCAAGGGGGTTATTGTCGTACCTGACGGCTTCTGTGTTGGTGGCGCCATTTCTGCTGCTGTTGTTGCGCCTGGAAAGGATGGTTGTAGAAATTGTCGTCTCGGCTGCGAATCCAGGTTGGGTTGTGAGGCTATCAAAATTGATTGTGGTGAAAGTCTTGGCGCCAAGGTACGGCGGAGCAATGTGTTGAGCAAATGCAATATGTTACAGACACCCCTTCATACTCCGCAGTGCACGTACGAGGTGAACATTACTTGCACGGCCCCGTGTTACAAGCCAGAGTCGATCGTCGCACAAAGGCTCGTCGAGATTTATACCACAAAAAGCATGGATACGACATGCTTATAGTCAGAAAATCAATTGCTCTCTAGAGGTGACGCTCGGGGAAAGGCAACATGGATTCACCAGCGGAACAGGGCGGTCCGCGCAATTCACAGCCAGAGGAAGATGACACCGACGCATTGCTTGCTTCGCTTGAAGATGAAGATGACTCTTCATATCGCACTCAAAGGCTGAATGAGTTGAAAAGCGCATCAGCAGCTACTCAGACCACCACGACATTCAATACCTCGAAAAATCACTACATCACGCTCACCAGTGATGATCAGGCTTTGAGCTTTACTACCGAACACGAGAGGGCCGTGGTGCATTTCTTGCACCCTGACTTCGCAAGGTGCAATACTATGGACACCCATTGTCAGATAATTGCAGAGAAGCATGCTGAATATGGCAATGCAGATGTCGCGTTTGCCAGAGTCGATGTCAAAAACTGCCCGTTTGTGGTTGAGAAGCTTGGGGTGAGAGTGTTGCCATGTGTCATTGGTTTCGTCAAGGGAGTTGTCAAAGGCCGAATCACCGGATTTGAAGGATTGTGTTGGGACGGAAAAGAGGGGAGCATGAATGTAACAAGAGCTGTCGAAGAAGCGCTTATGAGCTGGTCCATCCTACGCAAGCGGCTTCTTTTTGCTCATGACGACGAAGCTAGCGATGACGACGACGATGATGCCAATAATGGCTCTGACAGGAGGCGGGCAGGTCGTAGGGGTATCCAAGGCCGCAAGCAGCAGATTGAAGATGCCGACGACGACTGGGACTAAAGGAGCTCTAAACCAGAGCGTGTTGAAGGAATAGTCATATCTGTGGAGCGCCGGGCTCTGTGAAGATTGGTGCCTTTGGAGAAAACCAAGGACGACAAATCTCATAACCAGATCTGGGGCTTTGGTCGAATCTAGAACGTCGTGTATCCCATACCAGGGTAAAGGTTAAAAAGACACACAAAGCTAATGTCCAATAGTGCAAAACATTACTGTGCTCTCGTAGCATTGCGATGGAACCCGGACCCCAAAAGCGAGTTCCAGTTTAGGGCATAACACAGCTATAATATCGTATTCTGTAAGACTACGAGGCAGTTACTATTAGTAAGAGTAGAGATAAAGGGTGACTCGCAAAAGTGTTAACTGAGATTGTGTGAAAGTCTTGGAAGTGTCCTATCGAATACAGGTAGGTACAGTAGGTACCGGTACCCTTAGGTATGGACAGGCGAGGATAGGGATCTCATACATAAGTTCTAGCGCCCATCTTAATAGGCATTAAAGCCTATATAGACCCAGTTTGTGCCGCTTAAGCTTTATCTGCAAACCAAGGACAGTTCCGGAGCGCTTCCGGTCCTCTTAGCCTCACTTGCTGGCACTTATTGTTAGTCGACCCACCCCAGGAAAAGTTCAGCTTGCAACTCGTGAGTGACCGACAGCTTTGTTCAAGTTGTTGAAAGGACCTGCGCAATCAAAAGGCGATGCCAGAGGTACTGCAGTTGCAAGCTATCTTTGATGAGATGGAATTGCAGATTCAGGGGGTTTGTGTAGCCAGAGTAACTGCTGAAGGTGTTTCCTGGAGCGCGGATCTGAGTAGATGCACTCGGTATGCAAATGCGGTGGACACTGTGGACACAAGCAAAGTGATAGATAACGGAGATTGTATTAGAGGCTGATGAACAAGACCGCTCAGCTGAACTATACGCTCAGCCCGAGCCTGAAAATGCATCCTGGTTGACGCACGTCAGGTATTGCTGTACAAGCCACAAAGGATGTTCAATGCTCGTGGGCCATAACTCGCTTGAGTCCTTCGGCTGCGGCATGCCCTCACGTTAATCGTGTCTCCTTTTCTCCCTCCTTCACTTACAAACTTTCTCCCAACTGCAACCCGCGGCATCCACTCTACCTGCAAACGCCCTTGGATTCACTTCCTCCCATGAAATCGTGCTTTCCCACTTCTCATTCTGGTTGATTTATCTCTTCTGTGACCCCGAAGAACATTGCAGGACTTTTCCTTCCTCTACCTGTTCTCGAACCCGCCAACCGCACCGCCCTTCGACCCCCGAATCCATTCTGTCGGTCGACCGTTGGGATACCTAACTCTGCAACAAAGATGGCCGAGGAAGAGAAGAAGAGATTCCTCGAGGGCAACGAGATGGAACTTGGAGAGAAGCAAGGGCGAAGCCTCGGTGGCTCGCCTTCTTCCTCGACACCCCGTTATACGCCGCATCGCTCGAACAACTGGCAGAACAATCCCATCTTGCCCGTCGTCTGCTACTGCGGTTCTTCGATTCTGATGACTGTCTCTAACAAATACATTCTTTCGTTCCCCGACTACAACCTCAATTTTTTCCTTTTAGCTGTTCAGGTTTGTTGTTGACATGACTACGTACACCACCGCCGCTGACCGACCGGTAGGCCATTGTTTGCGTTGTGGCCATTCAATCTTGCAAGAGTGCCGGTGTCATCACGTATCGGGACTTCAAGTCTGATGAGGCGAGGAAATGTACGCTGCGATGGACCCCAACGGAAAGAGCATGCTGACATGTGCAGGGTTTCCCATTTCGCTCCTTCTCATCGGCATGATTTACACGAGCACAAAGGCCATCCGATATCTCTCGATTCCTGTCTACACAATCTTCAAGAACCTGACTATCATCCTGATCGCATACGGCGAGGTCCTGTGGTTCGGTGGTTCCGTCTCGCCTATGGCCCTTCTCTCCTTTGGCTTGATGGTACTTAGCTCGATCATTGCTGCTTGGGCGGACATCAAGCACGTCTTGGAGTCTGCCAGCACAGCATCTTCTGCCACTGCCCAGCAACTGGCAACACTGAATGCAGGCTATATTTGGATGTTGGCGAATTGTCTGTCTACTGCTGCGTATATCTTGGGCATGCGCAAGCGCATCAAGCTCACCAACTTCAAGGACTTCGACAGTAAGTGCCTGGTCGTCAAGGTATTGACCAAGACCGTGCTAACAATTGTCCAGCCATGTTCTACAACAACTTGCTGACCATCCCCGTCCTCCTGATTGCTTCGTTCCTCGCTGAAGATTGGTCAGGGTTGAACTTGTCCAAGAACTTCCCGCCCGAGTCAAGGAACGGAATCATCTCCGCGATGATCTTCACTGGTCTGTCCTCTATCTTCATCTCATACACTTCGGCGTGGTGTGTGCGAGCAACCTCTTCAACGACCTACTCCATGGTCGGCGCACTGAACAAGCTACCCATCGCCGTATCCGGTCTCATTTTCTTCGACGCTCCTGTCACAATTCCCAGTGTTTCAGCAATCTTCGTTGGCTTTGTCAGCGGTCTCGTGTACGCAGTCGCAAAGGTCAGGGAATCAGCGAAGCCCAAGACCGGCATCCTTCCTACATCGAGCATTCCAATGAGCGCGAGCAGCCAGAGCGCCCGGGACAGTTTAAAAGCATGAAGAGATTATTTCAGTTACTGGTGTGGAGTTGTTCTCTGCAGTATTATGTCTCAATAGTGACTGTTGCATTTGAGGCATTGCGCGGCGTCTGGGCTGGGGAATTTGTGGAAGATTTGTAACGTTACCGGCTGTCCACGAAAGTTTCCCTCATGAGAGTACGGAACCTTGATTTCTTCCTTGATTTAGACTTGTTAGAGTAAAAGGTTTCGGCTGATGTCTTCAAAAAAAATTTGAATTTTTTTGAAAAATGAGTCGAAGAAAATCCATAATGGCTCAGCAGTGTCATGGCCCAGTTCATTAAAGATTATTACAGCATCTTCAAGTCTTGTGAGTGTATCTCCTACGAATACGGAGTACTGCATCACAGTTGATTAGCTACAATACAGTTAAGGCATGGATGGAAGAAGTGCTAGGTTGAGCAGTTTAGTACTCCCAGTAGATCATTCCCGGCTGTCGTTTCCAAGCTTCTGAACGGTTGGCAGTCTTTGTTGATTCCGATTCTCATGATAGGAGAATGAAGCATACGGCAAGTCTGTGTCTTTTTGGGCTAGACCTGTCTTGAACACTTTGCATACGGAGTACATGATGCACCACGGAAATTACTTGTGTACCTGCATTAAAGGCGCGGCGGCGGTGGTCGACGTGTTTAGTAACGTGTACTTGTCTCGCCAGGGAATTCTGGGTTGTATATCCGGATACAAGGACAAGGTCAAGTAGTTTTGCTTTTGAAGTCAAGTTCAGCCAAAGCAGCCAACTAAAAGCCTTAGGTTCATCTTAGCCCAGGTAATAGTTGCTTGGGTTCGTAGTCATCCTTCTTATCCTCACTGGTGTCGCGTGAGCTGATGAAAGCGCAGAAAAAGAAGAGAAACCATCAAGTCTGTACTCGTACTCGACCTACGTAGGCACCTCAGGCGCTTGTAGTGTCACGGTGTCAGATGCCCCGACGCGTACGAGTAAGTCGTCACTTGCAGTGATTTTGTCAAGCGATATTCGATCCACTGTAGGCACGGATGACCAAAGCTGGGAAGCCTACTCCGTAGACATATCTTTTATGCTGCCTTTGTCGTACTGTACGAGAAATCAGATGTGAAACAAGATCGACATGCCTAGTTTCGCTTGGCCTCAGGCTGATTGTTCCTGTGGCTTGTGTCAGTCTCTGCGGGACAGTATTTGATAAGACGACATGGGGGAATCTTTGTCACCTATCAATGAGCCTCCTAGCCACACCACGAGTACGAGTACAAAGATCCGAGACAGGCAGACGATAATGTACTCGTACAGTAGGTGGTCACCTTGGATGGTCCCTAGGCTTCGCGCGTGGCAAATCATGAGAGGAGATCAACCTACGGGGTAACTAGTCGCCAGGAGATCAGCTCCCTTATCATACAGTACTCGTAAAATTCAGGGTATAGAGTATCTGGCCCCTTTTTCTTTCTAGAATACTCTATGGGCTGCAGGACAGTGCTCCGTACTTGTCGGAATAAAGGGGCACGGTATCCAACTCAGTGCCTAGCTACAAGCAGGTAGTGTTCTCCGTACTGTATTGTACAGTACAATCGTCCCAGGGGCCCCTCAGCCTATCGGCTTAGTGTGCATCGTCTAAAAATGCTTGATTGCAGCCACGAAAAGCACGCACCTATCAACACGCGTTATTTTTTGTTCTCCGTGAACCACGACAGAGGCAAAAGATGCGACACGGTTGGATGCAATGATAAAAAACGTCGACGACGATTTGCACATTCCTCTCGACACTGACACTCGGGCAACAATATCCCGTCTCGTATGCGAATAGTCCGCACAAGGGTTGGACGAACAGCTGCTGCACGTATCATGATCGACGGCCGCCGCACACAATCGGCCGACAGCTTTGTCCCCCACGGAAAAGAGGCAACGATTGACGCGTCAATCGGCACTTCCATGAGGCGCAGTGCATGCAGACATGGAAATTCGCAGCAGATGATGACAGGTATAGGCAAATCTGCCCCAAGTCAACGGAGACGTCCTTGGTATACTGCTGATCACGCGTCAATTGGCTCCGGTAGGCACAAGACCTCGCTCAGAGCAGAGGCTGCTGGGAGCTGTATGTATATAAAAATATACCGTATTAGGCGCCCAAACCCATAGGCACGTATATTAGTCAGGTAAAGGTCCCTATACATTAGTGACAGGCCAGGCGCCAAGGAGACCTGCAATAAGCCCGCGCGCGGCTTCGTTTAGGCCTACGTTTAGGGCAAGGCGCCCCGGTCTCTAGGCGCGCATGTCGAGCTGAACAGGCGCTCGGAGTCGCAGCTTGTGTTATTGTAGGTAGTGTGTACTGTACTGCAGATTGACGATAACCTACTGTTGTGTCTTCACGCGTGCCTCGATCACTTGTTGTCGCTCGCCCATACCTGTCCCTTTTTTTATCCACAGCATTGCCACGTTCACTTCTCTTCGATCTCTCAGTGTCAGCGTGTCAGTCAGGCTCAAGAAGTGGCTACAGCATCGAAAGCAGTCGTGCGTCGGAACCCTACCGCTAATTCCCAATCCGCGAAACCCCAGTCAGATCAATCTCAATCCGAGCCCACTCACTCTTCTCCTGGACTCCCCCATCTGACGGCTTTTCTTCCCTGGCCAAAACCTGCTTTAACAGAAACAACAGTCCTTTCCGTGCGCCGCAATTGTTCACGCTCGTTTTGTTCTCAACCAAGCCGCCGACCGCTGGAAATTCCTTCACCTTTGTTTGCGGCTGCAGCCACACCGACGTCGACGCCCTTTGTTTTGACTGCCCGACAGTTAGATTCCGCAGCCAAACAATCACCCCCATGTCAATCTAGTCCACCGTCAACCACCATACAAACCCCGTCAAAGTGGCATCAACTACTGTGACGGAATCGCCAGTCATGGCAAACTCGTAGGTTTCTCTGTCTCGGCGTCAACACTCCCCTATTGACACTGCTAGCTTCTCCTCCGCATGGCGCTCCTTCTGGCATACCATGACCTCTAATGATCGCCATGCTTCTCACGACTCCCCTTATAGAACAGGCCAACATGTGCCCGTCAGCCAAAGTCGACACGCCCCTCTCACCTCCGTTGCTACCAGCGCTGTCGACTCACACCAGGACCTCTCGGCAACCTACCACGACGAATCGAAACGACCTTCCATTTCCTCCTCACAGATTGCCGGATCGCCTGCAAGACCATACTCTCCCGGAATGCGATCCCTGTCCTCTCCAAAAGTGCCTCAGGTCGAAGAAACAGTATCTCCTGGCGAGATACAGATGCAGAACTTTGCCGACGGTGCACCTCCACCTCCGCCCGTCTCTCATTCATGGAAGAAAATCGATCGTTGGGCGGAGAACAATTACGAAGAGCTCTGGGATCAATTAGGCGAAGGATGTACACAGAATGATGTCAACGAGCTTGAACACGAGTTGGACATGACCCTACCCCAGGATGTACGCGAATCTCTCAGCATTCACGACGGTCAAGAGCGAGGCGGTAGACCGACCGGTATCATTTTCGGCTGCATGTTACTCGACTGCGAAGAGATCGTACAGGAGTGGAGAAATTGGAAGGTCGTGAACGAAGAGTACTTGAGCGGTGCTAGAAGCAAATACAGCTCCAAGGGTCTCAGCAATGGCTCCTCGTCCTCCAGCTCGACTCAAAACGGCAATCGCTTCTGGCGACAAGAACTCCTGGACAGACAAGAGTCACAACCCCCCAAGGCTATTCAGAAAGCGTATGCACACCCGAGCTGGATTCCTTTGGCCAGAGACTGGGGTGGCAACAATATCGCAGTTGATCTGGCTCCCGGCCCTGCGGGCAAATGGGGCCAGGTCATTTTGTTTGGACGAGACTACGACTGCAAATATGTCGTGGCACGATCGTGGGCTCACTTTTTGGCCATTGTAGCTGATGATCTGAGCACAGAGAAAGTCTTTGTCGACGAAGAAACAGGAGAGCTAAAACTGAAGGAATTTAAAACAGAGACTGTGGAGCCACCATACATGGACATTCTCCGCTGGCGAGCTGACCAGAAATATGGCCGACGAGGACCCAAGAGGCGTCCTCAGCCAGCCGGCTTGAACACCAACAGTGTAGCACAGAATGGACGACAGTCGCCATACGGCAGCCCAGTCGCCGGTAACGAGGACAGAGGCCGATCGCCACAGAGATTCTCAAGAGGTCCCCAAGGCAGTCCAAGGCACGCGGTTGGTAGTCCATTGGCGCGTGTTCAGGAAGAGATAGCACAACCACAACCTGTCCGCCCCGGAGGCGATGTTGTACGAGACTTTGCCGAGGCTGCGGAGAGCTCTAGTGAAGGCAAGAAGCGAGAGAAGCCAGCAGAAGCTCCTGCGCCTCTTGATGTAAAGTTTACCAACATCCCGAGAAAGCCGGAGAAGCTGGTCGACGCGCCTACTCCATCCTCGTTGAAGAGCGCAGACTCGGACAAGTTCCCGTCGACCCGGCTCGGGAGAGTCATGACTGAACCTGAAGCCAAGGACGAAAAGACCGACGAGGACAAGTCTGAAGTCAAGGGATTGGGCGTCAACGGTATCGAAGATGAAATGAAGACGGTTGCCATATAATATCTTTGGGTTGGCTTAGTACAGACAGGAGCCTCTTTTCCAACACGAACTTATGGGTGCTGGATATGGCATGGTAGGGCATGGTAGGGTATGGTCTGGTTATGGGTGGGTGATGTGACGAGGGTCTTCTTTTTTTCTGGAGCAGAACAAAGTCCAAACTCGAGCATAAGATTACACCCACTTATCAAAATTTCTTGTTTTTTGTCTTCCTTCTTTTTCTGGCGTGGGCTAGCGATGTATGATGACGGCTACCTGTCGTAATGAGCATATGAAAAAAAAAAGGAGAAAAAGCCTCGACTGTACTATTTGTTGTGTTTTATTTTTTGTTCTTTTGACAAGTTTGGGACCGGGGAGAAAAGGGGGCGGTCTTTTTGAGACTTGGGGCTCTGGGACATTGGGAAGGTATCTAGATTCTGGTGGAGGGGGGGGTTTTCTCTCTTGGAAGAATGTTTCAAATTTGTTTGATTGGATTTCTTTTTGGGTACGTGAGAGAAATAAAGCAACGGGCATACAGCATGCAGCATGGCAATACGAGTAGGTAGTCAGAGTCCTGGGGTTGTAGTGCTACAGCAGTTACCTCAGGTCAGGTATGTAGTGAGGCAGTGAGGGTATGTACGTGCGTTGGTAGGTAGGTAGGTAGGTAGGTAGCTCATCAACCACATTGTCAACTTTGTCGCTTTTTCCTCGCTCGCTTGTTTGCCTTGCTGAACGGGGTATCAGATACGGTATCTCAGGTGGCCTTACAAAGTCACACAGGTCTGCTGTATATGAATATATTAGACTACATATGTATCCATCCATGTACACCTGTAGACGAATATCAGATGGATGGATAGACGGATGTGTGTATGAATATCAACGTCGGATGGAGATCAATGGGGTGTACCAACCACGATCTCTCAATATACATTGTTAAAACAGCTTTTAAATTAATCCACAACGATACAAAAATTGTTCCTCCCCGGTCCGGGGTTGATTTCCTTCTTCGCAAACACGGTCGGCCCGCCGTCCTGGATCCACCGGTCTCGTCGGTCCCGGTCGTACCGCCAGAGACTGTAGTGGAGTTTCCGCGTCGTCTTGGTCTCGAGACGAGTGTACCCCAGCGACGACATGATGAGGTCGAGGTGCGACGGCGTCAGGTACCGAGAGTTGTGTATCGTCGGGGCGGGCAGGACCAGGAAGAGACAGGGCAGCTTCGGTGGCCTCCTGCTACTACTACTGCTGCTGGAAGAAGTCTGACTCTGGATAATGTCTCTGCCGTGTCCGCCGTCCCTGTCCCTGGCGCTTTCGTCCACGTCCATGTCAGTGTCCCCGCCAGCTCTATCCGAATCCGAATCCGAATCTGAACGGGTGAAAAAAAACCGGGTCGTCCTCCGTAGCATGTCCCCTCGTCCTCGTGCGTCGGGGACGTAGTTCAAGACTAGACTGAGGCTGAGCACGTCGTAGCCCCTTTCGCCCTGCCAGACGCCCTTGCCCGAGGCGCCGTCGGGGAGAGGGAACTGCATGAAATCTGCCTCTTCGATACCGGGCCCGGAAGAGCGAAGATCGATCCGTCTCACAGTCGTGGCGTGGGGGACGTTGAGGGCGTTTGTCGTGCTGAGGGCGCCGACTTCGAGAATCCGTAAACGTTTCATCATCTGTCGAGGTTGGTGTTGTTGCCGTCGTTGTTCTGCTGCTGCCACTGTCGTTACCGTCGCAGCCTGGCGACAAAAGTCGAGTTCATCCTTGAGCCATCGCACCAGGACACGGCTCGAGTCGCCGCCTCGTTCGGCGCTTTGTCCAACGGTGCTGGCGTGCTGATAGGTCGCGAGACCTCCCGAGGCAGAGAGTTGAGATTCGAGTTCTTCCACGAGAGCCGTGTCGTTCTCGGCCCGAGCGCGAGACAGGCGCTTTTGAAGGGTGTGATGGGTGCGGATAAGCTTTCGCGTGTGTCTGGACGAGAGAGACGGCGCTGTAATCGAGGGACCACCACCGTTGTTGACCTTGGTCGACGACGATGGCGAAGACGAGAGAAGCGGCGGCCGGCCAGACTTGAGAGACTTGCGATTTGACCTTTTCGACGCCAGCTTGGGCTTTGAGGTAGCCGAAGAGGAAGAGGAAGAAAAGGCCTTCTTGGGGCCCATACTGGAAGGGTCGAGGAAAGTCGACGTCGGTTGCCTGAAGTTCTCGTCGCGACGGGTCCGTCGACAATGACAGACCCGGCAATCTCTGGCGAGAATGTTTAACTCAACGCGAATCTGGGGGTCCAAAAGGGTAAAACGCCCAACATCGGAGTGCGTGGGAGGGCTAGAGTGTGGCGGAATTTGACTCCCACCACAACCGATTTTCAGAGGATAACCACAGCTTCATTCTTCGGCAACATGAGGCAATGAAGTCTTACAGGAGAGTTTTTCTTAATCCTAGGTGGGAAGGTAAGTCAACAGAGAATGTGCTGAATTATTAGGGTGGCTTATAGGGGCGAAAGCCTAGAATGACCTACAATAGCACCTAGAGTCCAGGCGGCATTAGGGAGGCCGATACGCATCAAGGCCTAGAAGACGGAGGGAGAATCTTACCGATCGGGCAGGTTATGCGGCGTTGGGCGTTTTACCTTTTGCGGCGAAAAAGTCTGTGTTGTGTTGGTTGGTGAAGGATTCGGAGATGTCGGGAAGGATCTCGCAACTCCACCGGGAATCGTCTTCCGCGCACCTTTCCTATATCCACCACCAGGCTTCTCCCCGGCCCGCATGCTTTCGAGACTCTCCTCCGCCTGTTGAGAAAGCTTAGATAGACCCTCTGAATTGCCCGAGCTGGTGTGGAGGACTAGCAAGCTCCCTACCGCCTTTGCATTCCTCAGCAGGCCCCAAATCCGATGGCTCAGGATCATTGGGCTTGCATGTCTGACGCCTTGGAAAAGCATCATTCAAGACAATTCCACTCTGCCTCATGTTGTCTGCCTGATGGGTGATTTTTCCATAGTCGATGTTCCAAGTCATGCCTGGCGTAGCTTTCCTTGCTGGTTCCCACAAAGATGGACAGGAAATACTATTTAGGTCCTACTTCTCTCTCTCTCTCCTCTCAACCCATCAGTCTCTGTTGTTCACCACCACCCTTCTATTTCTGAGTATTTACCCTCCATCACATCCGGCTCATACCCGTCGTAGCTTGAGGAAAGCCGTAACAAAGGGCATATATATACTGAGTTCCACAGACACCGACGACTCATCGCTGCCTATCAACATTGACACTACTGTGGTCTGGACCGTCAGCTATAGCGTTCACCATGCATCCACTCACTGCCCTCCTGCCTCTCTTCCTGGCCACTGGTGCCCACGCTGTGCTCATGGTCCCCTCCCAAGCCGCCACCGGCGAACAACGTTGTGGACTGCAAGGTGACAACGAAAGGTGTCCTGACGGTCAGTGCTGCTCGCAGGCCGGCTTCTGCGTAAGTAGTTGCACCTTGGAGAAACGCTGACGGACACTGACTTAGCACAGGGCACTGGCAAAGACTTTTGCTCTGTCCCTACGAACTGTCAACTTGGCTTTGGCTGGTGTGACTCTGATGTGAATCCCAGTGGTCCTAGCCTTTCCGGCGAAGAGCGAGCACAAGTGGGCGCAGTGCCGTACGGGAAACCCATCACCAGTTGCACGAAGCCCGGTGTAATTGCACTGACATTTGACGATGGTCCGTCGGACGATACTGCAAAGCTACTTGACATTCTCGTCAAGAGAAATGCGAAGGCGACCTTCTTCGTTCCTGGCATTGCCAACGGCAGAGGTCGGATCGATACAACCAAGGGGCGAATGGAGCTCATCAAACGCATGTTTCAAGACGGCCATCAGATCGGATCTCATTCTTGGTCCCATTTCGATATCGATGCCCTGACCTCGGAAGAGCGGAAGACGGACCTGGCCAAGAATGAGAGAGCCATTGCCAACATTCTCAACAAGTACCCAACTTACATGAGACCACCATACATGAAATGTACCGGTGAGACTGGCTGCTTGGCAGATCTGATGGACCGTGGCTATCACGATGTCGGGTACTCAGTGGACAGCACCGACTGGAGCCACCCAGAAGATCTCGACGCAATGAAGCAAGCATTCGATGAAGCTTTCAACCAGACTGCTCAAGACGGCAGAATGCTCCTGATCCAGCATGACACCATCCACAAATCAGCCATCGACCTCACCGAGCATATCCTGGACGCAGTCGACCAGAAAGGATGGAAAGGTCAGTATTTGCGTCGAGGTCCTCTGTCACGAAGTTAGTTACTGACCTCGCATATCATACAGCCGTCACTGTCGGAGAATGTCTCGAAGATCCCGCGGAAAACTGGTACCGTACACCGAAAGAGGCCCGTCCGGCTTCCATGGCCCTCGGTTCCTGTATCGTCTCCCAGGATGGCTACTGTGGGACGCTGGACTACTTCAAGGACAAGCCGGAATGCTGGAAAAGCGCGCAGAAATGCTTCGACGACGCAAAGAAGTGTTTCGACGACGGGAAGCGGGTCGATAAGAGGCCGTGTCAAGACATGGACAATGTGTGCAGGCAGCTTATGGACTACTGTACTATGTGCGGAGCTACACTGGTAAGCTCGCCAGGTTGTCTTGCGTGCAAGCCCGGCTGGGAACTCAAGCTCCGCGGCAGGGAGGTTTCGTGTACCACCGAGGGCTTGTCGATTGACAATCCCAAGGCGTGATGGATGTTTTCTAGTCCGCACTGTCTGGGAGGTCTAGATACACGAGACTCTCAGAAGACTGTCAGCAATGAGGAAGAAGTGATTTGGTTTTGATGTTCAAGGAGAAGCAGTTTAGGGTGGGGGGTTTTTTTACCAGCCTTGTCAGGTTGGTTGTTGTGCAGGGGGTCAGCGTTCACAAAGTTCGAACACGACGAACGACTTGTCCTTGTCTTCCGTGGCATTGACTTGCGGGACTTGGTGAGATGATGAGATGATTGATTGATTGATTGTCTGACTGATTGATTTGTTTCATTTACGGCGCGTGGAAGAAGATCCCGAGAAGATTAAAAGTTTTAGTTTTAGTTACTCCGCAACGTCTTCAGATTCGACGTGTCTACAAGACCCTACAACACACCGCATTCCTCAACCCACAAAGGCAATTGGGTAGACAGCCATAAGGCAATGGCAGACAAGAAACTGAGAAAGCAACGCAGAGCTACTAACTCGTGTTTTCCATGCAATGGCTCGGTAAACCTTCACGACATCCAAATGGTTTCATTAATAAGTATCGTATATGCTCTATATGTACTCTATCTTGAGGTAGACACACAGCTGATCTACTCCAGTGGTTCGGGCCATTGGCTGTCTTTGAGAGCATACTGAACAGCAGCCTTGACGTCGTCCACAATGGCTCTGGGCTCCCACGTCGGTCGCTCTCCGTCACGGTCCTTGTACACTCCTGTGCGGGTCAAGAGACTGATCCATTCGACTCCCCGGGGAGACTCGAAGGAGTTTGCGCCTCGAATGTCACTTTCCGGATTATCCCCGACCATGTACACCCTCTTCAGCGGCGGAGGTTCTTGACGACGGTGCTCATCCTTGGAGAACAAAGTGTCCCGATGGCGGAGCAGTTGTTTCTCTGCATACTCGTACGTTTCTCGGAAGGGTTTACCCACCACCTTCTTGTACAGCTCCGGCGGCGAAGGATGGTCTTTGCTCGTCGTGAGAGCTTTCCACAAGCCGTCGACCGCGGCGCGGAAACCGCCCTGTCCCAGACGCGAGAGGTGATAGCTCGCAGCCCAGAGCAGGTCCGGGTTCGAAAAGTACAGCGTCGGCTGGCCATCTTGGAGATAGCCCCAGTTGGGCAAGGAGGTGTCGCCGTTTTTCGCGGAGTACGTGCCCATGATGCCGCGAGACGAGAGCATGACGTCCATGAGGATCTGCGCGTCCAGGCCCCAGTCCCGCGGGTCGTTGTACACGAAGACCGCGTCAATCTTGAGACTTTCTTCGGGGTTCTCGGGATTGATCGGCTTGGGCAGCGGCCGCGCAAACTTGCCGTAGTAGTGGTCCTTAAAAGGGCCGCTGAAGGGCCATATTTCGGGGTACGCGGCATATATGTCTCCCGGCGTCACGACGTTCGTAAAGCCATACGCCTCCGCGACATCGCGACAGCGAGATCCCTCCCCACCCATGACGAGGATGCATTTGTCGCGCAGGCTGTTCTCGCCGTGGACCAACTCGGCAAAGGGCGTGTGCGACTGGATGAACATCGACGTGGAGAGAGAGAGGGACAACCTGGACGAGAGGTCGGCCACGCGTTCGGATTCGTGTTTACCACCGCCGTTGGTGAGGAGGATAAAAGGGATAGAGTGTCTCTGTAGATATTGCAGCGTCGTGGAAGCGTGCGGGATGGGTTTGGCGCTACGGATGAGAACGCCGTCTATGCTGTGCAGACATGTCAGTTGGAGTGACCAAGGAAAGGGTTGTTTCTACGGCTCTTCTTGGAGCAGAGCTGCGTGTGCGTACTCGAATGCAAAGGCAAAGTCGGGAACAACAGGACGAGCAGCCCTGGACTCGCCATCTGTCTGAAACGAGCGGCTCTGGAGGCGCAGAGAATTGAAGGATCGCTGCCGCCGGGCCGACTGAGACCATGGCCAGGATACGGAAAGCCTACTGCTGTAGGCAACTCTCCGACTTGCCATGCTCGTCGCCAGCCAGATGGGGGCGCAGGTGCACGAAGAAGTCGACTATAATTCACACTTTGTATCAACCCGTTGCTGAACACAAGGCTTATCGATAACGAATGTCCCACCGGATCATATACGGTGGAGCATTGAATCACATCATCTAGTGTCTCTCCGGTGGTGCTCTAGTTATAAGTGACCGCGTTCCTTGAACTACTCCGTCCCTAAGAACGTTGATTCTTTACGAGATGCGACACGGTGCGACAAACAAATTCAGTATCTACCTGGTATCATTGTCCTCAATCCGATAGCCCTATATCTATATTAAACGTTAAAGTTACTCCATCTCCCTCAGACCCAGCTTTTGTCCAGAGCCAGAAAAACAATATACAGTATGAAAGGTCAGAAAATCTCGTCCACCAAGCTTAGCCAGAGTCCTCGCATTCAAGGCTTGCTAAGCTGCTCCTTGCGATAAAACATAAAGTATCCAAAGCAGACGCTCAAATTCAGTGCCAGGCCCACCCAGAACCAGGCTTGCCAGATGTTAGAGACACTGCCAGTGATATCGGGGCTGATTGGACCCGGACCAATCTTGTTCGGTGCGCAGGCCCTTGCGACGATCGTTGCCACAGAACCAAGAACCTGTGCAGTAATCAATGTGAATGCCACATGGACACGAGTTAGTGTCGACAGGAGGATCATTCCTAGGCCGACTCCTTGAATCGCATCGAGTGTGCCTAACCAGAGCCACAGAGCTCTTGACATCAGAGCTGATGCAGTGTAGCCACCGGCCCATGGAAGCCACAGGCCGATATTGCTGGTACCCCACCATATCTGTGCCCAACGAGGTGCTCCAAGGCCGATCGCAAACAGCGGAAGAATCCAACTGTGACTCTTCGACAGCAATCCGAACAGCCATAAGAAGCCTGCCCACACACCGACAAAGAACAAAAGAACGAGCAATACAATCTGCCAGGTCTTTGCATGCGAGCTGCTCCACAGGAATGACCAGTTTCGTCCGTAGGGTGCAGACAGGAAAAAGTTCTGGATGATGACTGTGACGAAGAACCAAATCACAATCTTGCGTCGGAGGAGACTGTGATAGAAACTCGGCATCTTGCCAGGTGCTTGACGGTAGTAGTTCGGAAGGCCAAACCACATCAGCAATCCAATAGCCCAAAGCAATATGGCAATGGGAACGGTGATGGCCGTGATTTTCCACGTGGACGACACCGGGTCCGAGGCAGTTAAAAGGCCATCGGAAGTGCGCCTGTTGAGGTACGAGCCCCAGTACCAGAGTGCCACGACATAAATCTGCTGAGTGCCTTGAATCACACATGCCCGGAACACCCACGCTTTGACTTGAGCGCCACCCTCGTCACCAAAGTTCAAGGCAAAGAAGATGCTTCCCGAGGAAGAGGCTACCGCGTACATGCCAGTGCCAACGTTTTGGACCCATCCGCGGCCGCCGGTTGTGGAAGCATAGTGTGCAGTGCCAATCAAGATGAAAGCCAGGCCGTAGAAAAAGAATGGCAGTGACAGGCACAGCTTAGAACTGAATCGCCGGAAGAGGAACCACCAACAGATCGATGTAGCCAGGTAGATGCTTGCGATACTGTACAGCTTGCCTGCCGTTTGGCCCACTTCACCTGTCAGCAAAGTGATTTGGTACGAGTTGGCAGCAATGATTTGGCCCAAGCCCATAAAGAACGCATAAACAGGCCAGTCGCCGATGCGAAGCTGCATCCATTTCCTGAGACCGGTCGGCGGCTTATAGTCCTCCCCCAGCAGGAACTCATCACCGAGGTTGTTAAAGTCATGCCCCCCGGAACCATGCTCACTGTCACCTGCGTAACTGGAAGTGGGGCGAGACTCGCGAGTGGCATGAAAGCTCGGCCTAGGAGATAACGCGTGATGTCTGCCAAGTTTGACATTGCGGAAGGTATCAAACCATTGCTTCTCAGACTTGACTAGGAACTCTTCGATGCACACGGAGGACTCGGAGGTGCTGCCATTGAGATTTTCAAGCTTCTGCTCAAACATCTTTGCGAACTCCCCATTGCTGTCGGTGAAGAAAGGATCAACCTTCTGCAGTTTAAAATCTGTCTTCTCCCCCACAACTGAGTTCACAGACAGCATAGAAGGAGTGGCAGATATCCGATTGTTGGTGTCTGCTCTCACGGGTGGCGGTGGAATCAGCTGACCAGATTCCGCAGTTGGCGACGGTGGTATTGGCGCGCTACCGTAAGGTATAGCCATCTGATTCTGCATAGAATACATCTCCAATCCGGGGCTTCTTGGGGAGCCGGGGACTTCAAGATGATGTGGCGTGAAAGGAAGTTCTTCATGCATGGGGACACGCTCGTACCGTCCAAGAGATTGAATAGGCATCGTGATAGCATCGTCAGCGTCGTAATCGCTGTCACTTGAATCATCATCGCTTTCTTGATGGTTGTGTGTCATCTCATTGCCCAATCCATTTGAATCATTGCCTTCCACGTCAGGCACTGTATCAAGTGTGTTTGATGCGTACCCAACCTCTCCATCATGAGCATCTTGTGCATTTATGTGGCCTGGACCTCGGTGTGTTCCAAGGGAAGCTGACCGCGTGACTCCGGTGCCCGGCCGCGTGGAAGTAGCATTACTTTGCTCACGACTGTGTGTAAGACCTCGGAGTCGAGAAGTCAGAGAGTTTAGAGCTGAATATGACGAGACTCGGGAATTTGCCAATGCTGGAGTGACAGCGCCAGAGCCTCTGGGAGTGCTCCAGCCAGAATTTCCCCACATCATCTCGCCTGCAGCAGCATGACGTTTGCTTGCCTCAACTTTGTCGTGTATCTGAATGGCAGTGGATTGAAGAATTTCGAGGTCTTCGACCCACTGTGCCACAGGGAACCGCTGCTTAGCCGAACGAGCCCTCATAAGCGCGCGTGTTTCAGTTTTCGAATGCAGAGCCTCCTCAATAGCTTGTCTGAATTGATGGAGTAGATGCGAAGTTGTCATTGATTCCACTGTGAACCACCAGCCGGGCTATAGAATCACGTCAGCAGATGAAACTCCCAAAACGAAGCTGTGGAATTGCTGTGGAGAGGAACACCAGTGCTGCGATGTGGGAAACGCGGCATAGAGAAGGGGGTTTTGAACTCACCATCTGACCAAGACCACCGACACGAGCGCCAACGCCAAGAGCTCCTTTACGGCCGAACTCCACTGCAACTAGTCCAAATGGTTCGTCGCGAGATGGGATGAGAGCAAACTCTGCTCCTGAGAAGATGAACGGAGGAAGAGCGGTGAACACTGGTTTTGAGAACACTCTGCCGGGGTACAGCTTCATCATGCGATCGAGCTTGAGGGCTGCAAATTTGCCGTATAGATCAATGACGGGCCCAACAGTGATGAGTTGAACATTGGGGTTGGACTCCAGTATTGACGGGAAGACATCAGCGATCAGATCAATACCTTTTTGCATCGACCATCGACCAACAAATACAAACAACTCGGCTTGCGGGTTTTGCTCAAGGCCAGCCCATTCTTGAGCTTGACGCTTCAATTCAGGGCGGGCAGCTTCAAACGCGGGATCAATCTGGATATCGGATTCCTTAGGAAGCTTTTTGTCCCATTCGCCAGTGTCGGAAGGATCAGGGTTTGGCAACTTGCCAACCTTCTTCAGCCCCCAGAATATAGGATATCTGGCGTAGGAGCGTTTGCCATACTTCTTCGACACACCGACAGCGCCAAAGCCTTGCTGATGGACCCTCAGGTAGGAAGCGCCAGCATGTAGCAAATTAAAAACTTCTCCATACTGAACATAACGCTGAACTAATTCGGTCGACAGATTGAAGACCGAGCAGACTTCCTCACGCTCCTGCTTCGTGCGCATGGGCCACAGCCCCTGAAATTCAGCGTTGTGCAGCGAAAGGCACGCAGGAATGGTCCTGGGGAGCAAGTAGAGAGGAGCAACCGAGCCGTGATAATCGTTGATATGGTACAGGTCGACTGGAAAACGGTTGATGGCCTGGGCAATACATTGGTTCCAAGCCGAATAATAAATTGCAGAGGAGAGATCGTCCATCCTAGGCGGATACGGCTCGGATTTGGTCTGCTGGCGAAAGACAGGAGCGTCCAGCAGAACATAAGTGATATTGCGTAGAACGTGGTATTGAACCTGCACTTCATACGGTTTGCCGAGGATGACAACCGTCATGGGATCCGCTTTTGTATCCTCTGGGTACTAATTGGAAACAAGTCAGGACTTTTATTTCTTCTCTAGCGCCAATAGGGGCTCGCCTTGTGAGTTCAAATTTTTGGGTCACTTACCTCAACTCCGCCGACGCATGGTACACACCAAATTAGATCCTGGTGGCCCAAATTTTTACCCATTAGTTGTGCCATGACACCAAGTCCACCGATCTTGATTTTGATTTCCCAGTCTTCGATATCGTACTCCATAGTTGCTATCAAGACTGTCCGGCGACGTTGCTGGTCGATGACAGTGTCCGACGGTTGCAGGAATTTTGGCTTCCGATTGATCTTGGACAAGAACCCCGGTGGACTTTTCTCGTCTTTGAGCTTCTTGAACTGCTTCTTGATGGCTGCAGGAAGCATGCCAGCCTTTTCGGAAATGCCGATCTCGTTGAACTTGACCTGGTAAAAGCTCTGCATGAAGGACCAGACTCCGAAAGCGGCCGTGATTATAGGAACAACCCATAAGAGGACGTATACAATAAGCTGGCTCCACATGTTTCCTGAGGGTAAGATCTCGAAGCGGAGAGTGCCATCGTCGATCACAACACGCCACCCGAGATAGGGCTTAGGAGGAGCACGTGTTATGTTCAAGACAACCGAGGACAATGAGGATGGAGGAAGCCGGTCAAGGACTGAGTCTCCATCTATATCACCCATGACTATTGTCTGATCAGGTTTGCCGTCTGGATTGACGCCCCAGACATTGATTTGTGCGATTGCACCGGATTGACTCCATTCCGTCATGAAATGATGATGCCAACTACTGTTTTCAGACTGGGTCATCTTGTTGTCCAGCCCAGCGTCATATCCATACTGGTTGTAAGGACCATTCAAAAAGAGATGCGGGAAACGTCGAGCGGTGGAATAATCGACATCACCCTGCTGGATGTGATCGCTGCTTCCAGCCAGGCGACTGAAGTACTCGACCCGCACATGAGTACCTTTCCAGGACTGTAATTTGGTCCCAGACCATGGCTGTTCCTCAATTTCTGTCTCGCCACCCCGGTAGGGCATCCAGGAAGAGAATGAGGAACCCCAGTTTGTGGAGTATCGCCACTTATCGGCTCCAGCGGCGGAGTGTGAAAGTATTAATGAACCATTGTCGCTCTTGCTAAGCAGAGACGAGGAATAGTTGGCGCTTGTAGTGAATACCATAGGATTGTTAGATTGACCAATCCTGAACAGGAAGCGGTCGACAGCGTCAGTGTGGCCTCCGGCCTGGGCAGACGCATTACTGACTGTGACAGCATGAATACCGTTTGCGACACCGTCCAGCGAGGCAGACCATGACCATACGGAAGAGATCGCCCCAACGTAAGGTGGTGTCTCTGGATCTTTCATAAGGGCGCACTTGATGCTGTCCCGATTGATCGAGGCGACGGTGCCTAGTTCCGTCGTGGAGTTGAACGTGATACTATCCGTAACGCTGTCGCAGTCCATTTCCACCGAGAATTCCAATGTGATATCGACAGTTTCGGTGCCAGTAGAGTTCACACTAGACTGAAGGCGACTGTCATGTCCTGGCTTGAACTTCGTGATCATGGGCTGAGGGCCGACCCAGTTATCGATGGGGACATAGGCGCGGAAATCATAAGCTGCCATTTCCAAGCTGCGTAAACAGCCATTTGACGCCGTCGAGCCATTGATGCCAAGCTGGTGCACACTATCCTCTAAAGTGTGCTCGTCATAAGGATAAAACAAATTCTTCACCGTTGTTCCTGCATCATATGGCGCGATCAGACTTGTAGTATTGAGTGCAGTATCGTTATTGGCGCAGTCGAAGCTGTAAGTGGTGGACGAGTTGGCATTCGAGTACAACAGCCATATCGGGAGGTTACCAGCTCCGGTGTTAGCAAGATCTTGCACCCCTGGGAATCCTGATCGCATCACCGACCACATTCCGGTTTCGGTAGTCACTTTTCCCGAACCAGGGTATTGGATTTGTTCTGTTTGGTTGGACAATTGTTGCAAGAAGAACCCATCTTGAAGTACGGGGAATTGTTCGCGCAATTGGTTCATATGATGAATAATGTTTCGAACAGGGTGAGAAGGGTCTCTATGATCATAACTGACTGTGATGTCTTTGCAACCATCACGAGAGGCATTGAGCGGCATTTGGAAGTATTGTGTCGAACTAAGATGATAGCAACCATGAGTATACCACGCAGTAGCAGAGGACATGGCTTGACGGCCAAAAATGTAGTTCGAGGCGGTATTGTCGAGAACATAAAATGCTTGCTCTTCACCCCATAGCAATAATGGAGCCCCCGGCATTTGGATCGTAGTTATGAAGTGGCCAAGCAGCTGACGTTGCACACCATCGGTAATGGCCGGCCATCGAAAGACGTCTTGGTTGGTCGTGCCCATGAGATGTCTGGGGTCGAAGAGACCTGTGTTGGGATTCACAAAGTCATTCGTGAGGAGGAAGTCATTCCACATGTCGACCCAATTGGGAGGAGCGTCATAGCCGGCTTCAAGGTTACCGTCCATTCCAAGGAATCGTGTCAAAGTCCGATACACTGTATAATGGAAAGCGGCAGAATCAAGGGCTCCGTGCTCAGGGGCCCTAAGAAAATATTTGTCGGCAGAGTTGTTGGTCATGGTAACAGCTGCGGTAATGTTGTCTGGAAGCATGTCTGGTTGCCTGCCACGGCCCAGGTACAAGGAGCCAAAGACATTTCCACCAGTGATTTCCCCAGGGAGAAAGAAATTTTCCTTTCCGAATCTTTTGGCGCAGGTACGCATGGCTTCATTCATGAAACCCATCGCATCGATGGTACTTTGGGTAGCTTTGTCGTATCGAAAACCGTCAATGTCTAAGGATGCAATGACAATACAGTAGAAGTTTTCCAACTTGTTGCGGACTGGCTCGTGCCATTCCCTGAGACGATCTTGAACCGATGCGAACTTTGACAACTGACGTCGCCAATCCGGGAAGACACCAAAAGCCTCGGTGTCACCGTATTGATCGAACTCGCTATCGTAACAACCTTTCAGATCACTGGTGACATCGTCGCCAACAGGATAACCTGTTTCTAGCCAGAATTTTGGATAGTTACAGGTCTGGTTGTAATTGTTGCCGAAGCTGAAATCGTAATAGTGCCGATCGCTCTTCCACTGAACTTGATGTTCAGCCAGCGTGAACGGAGTGGTGGTATTGAGGTAACCGTCAAACCCGATTAGGTCACCCAGGGTGGCAAAAGTGTTGTCAATTAGCACGTACATGCCCCTCTTGTGTATTTCATTGATAGCCGTGCGCCACATATCAATGTCACCAAAGTGTTGATCCAGGATGGACAAGTCGAGGGGGGAATACTGATCATAGCCCCAGGGTGTGTTGATGAACGGGGACCCTGCGATGTAGATGCCCTGCGACGGTCAGTATAGGTCTACCACATAGCGGTGGTCACTGCCTACCTTGATTCCCATGCCCTGAAGATAGTCCAGCGTGTCAACCAAGCCTTGCAGATCACCACCATGGCGCATTTGATTGGAATTGGGGTCATGTTCGTATGCAGTCCCATTGATGTTGTCGTTAGAGGGGTCCCCATTGACGAATCGGTCCAGGAAGAGGGTATAGAAAGGAAACCTCCAGTTAGTCGGCGAGGGAGTATAACTGTGTCCAGACCACTCTCCCCAGTAGTCGAGGGGATCGACGGCCGTCTGGTTCTCATTCAGGTTCCATTGCGCATAATTCGGGTCATATCTGTAACTAAAGCATGATGTAAAGAAAAGAAAGAACAAAGCGCTCAAAAGAACAGCGCTAGCAGCCATTGCGACAGTAGGCCGCAGGAAGAACAACGAAAGACTTAGTAAAAGCGAGCGAGGTAGTGGAACGAACGTGGACACCCCCAAGGGCAATGCAGGTAGTGAGAATTCAGGTCATAGGTTAGAAGGCAGGAGATTCAGATAAAGAGAAGAGCATCAAGAATTCAAAGAGAACCAGGATGATACGGCGGCCTGCGTGGTATCGGGGATGACCTACCTCCTCGTCTGCCATACTTCAAGGCCGCCTGCGAAAAGTTCGGTTGGGTGCGATGAGCACCGTGACTCCATCCCGTGGATAGCATGGCCTCGAAATTCTCAGAGGCGCAACACTCATCACACTATTCCTCGAAGGTGGAGTGGCGGATGAGACATGATAAGCCGTGGACTGCACATCGCTTGCAAGGACTGCGAGGCTTATGCATGGAGGCGAATTTTGCTGGGGACAACTCGTATACAGACGCTACAAGAGCTAGATACTCCTGATGTGGAAGGCGCCCCTTGTAGAAGCGTCAAGGTATCACCGTCTTTTGCAGCGGGCATGGCCTATCAAATCTTCGAGACGGATGCAACAAGCATTCTCCCGTAAAAGGAGAAATAGAGGCCCTGTGTTGGGAGCGGAGACGTACCCAGTGAAGGACACCATCCTGATGCAATGGCGTAGCAGCCCGCGTAGCAGCCCAGCGGCGAGTCACTGATTGAGTAGGAACACTGCACCGGAGCCGATAAACTGTACCACAAGGCTGAGCAGATCCAGAAATGAGTCTTGACACACCGGGCTCCTTCGGCGAGATGTTATCTCGGCGCTTGCTGCGGATGAGTGTGACGAGGGTGATCCACGGACACATCAGAAGCATGGGATGTATCGAATGTCCCAATGGTGATGGAGGACTGGGTCATGAGAAAAAGCTAAAGCTTGCATGGAAAACTGGACCTCCCGGGATTGCTGAACGTGGCCATGGAACCCCCTAGCACGTAGTCGTCATCGTGCACAACGGGATAGACACAACGAGACCGCTGCCCAATTCCGTGTCAATCGAAGTTCTCTGGTGATTATGATTACCCGACCAGACCGCGCATATCAAGCAGAGGGCAGAGGTGCCTTGCTAAACCTGCTGACCAAGGGCTGGTTGCCGGGACCACAGGCACATGTTGTATCATCCTGGAACTTCGATTAGCGAATACGATTTGATCGTTCGCTAGTCTGTACTGATTAGTAGTTGGGCTCAACAGAGCATCGACGGCATTTGTAATGGTGGCAAGCGAGTGGATGTGCAACGAGGCGAGAGAAAAATTTCGTCCAGGGATTCAGCTGCTGCCGTAGCCTGTAGTAGCGAACCCCTTGGGGGAGGAGACTGCCAGAGACTGGATAACATACAGAGTACTCGTATGGCGATGCGTTGGATTTGTTTTCTACTGGACCGAAGTCCCTCGGGCATGCATGCAGACGGTCAAAGGTGCAGGGATTCTGCTGGTGTGAGGGAGGAAACGGGGTGGGACGTTGGAACAAACATCCTGGACGCCAAGCCCCGCCCGGGCTGGAAAAAACAAGGTCCGGAGAATTACTGTTCAAGTATCCGTACTTCGCGGTGCTAGTATGCTTCAAGTACTTAGGCAGGCGGGTTCAACAAGCCCTAACCGCGTGGATAAAATTGCTAGGTACTAGGTATCTTAGGCACCTCGCACAACAGTACAGAGGTAGCGAGATACGGGTCGAGAGAACAATAGAATAGAACAGTAAGCGGACAACTATCATTCCACTTCCAGGCAAGACTTCGGCTCCTTAACCCGGCTGAAGTTCGTATATCGGAAAGCCCAACACCATCCCCCTGTGCCATGCCCTGGCCCCCAACGACTCGCACCCCGGTCCTGAGTACTCCGGCACACCCAGTCTCTATACGAGGAGAACGACTTCCAGATCGGGAACCACAGGATTAGAATACGGACCAGAGAAGATCCCATCACGCTTCGACGCCTCCAACAGCCACCCCTCGGCAAAATACCCACTAACCCAACGGAAGGCGGCTCAACCCCCTTGCTTATCGCGTTTCGTTGGATACGACTAGCAGTAGTGCTGTGAAACCAAAGCCATCGACGGCTGTGATCGCCGCCTGTCGATCCACTTTGCTATCCAACACTCTGGATGTGACACCCGCTCCCTTCCGCAGTGGGTGTATGTCTGACTTTTAACACTGTCTTTGTTTGACATTTCACGTGGACCATGATTCACGCAAGCCGAAGGAAGGGACATGTAGTGAAGAACCAGTGTGAGTAATATACATCCGATAAAAATGGACGAGCCTTGCCGCGACATTTGGTAGAGCAAGTCTGCACTTCTGCTGGTGCCACCGACATTACAACTTCGAAGGCGCCCCTCGCCAGTGCATGGCCCATTGCACCCACGAATCTATAGAGCAATGACGCGGCTAACGAACAGGGGATTTTTGTCCTCCACTGAGAGGACAGCAGGGGTGAAGCTGCAACGCCATAGATAAGGCTCAGCCCTTGGGAGCGCAATTTTCTGAGACATGAGCACAAAAACTAAATATAGCATTATTCCGTACCAGGGCTACAATCTATGGGGACCTGGTAGAATGATGTTTGACATGTGATCCAGATTATTATGTCAATGGGCCTACGTACGACTTACTCAGTCCCCTTCACTCCCTGAGCCACAGCGTAGTCCTTCGACGGTCCATCGATGCTAACCGGTGACCCGTAGAACCCCTAAATCAGTTCAGCCTGCTTTGTTGATTAATTTGTTTTTCGGTAGAAGTAGCACTGGCTAGGTCATAGGATCCGCAGATGTCTTCCAGGAAGCCTTTTACTACGCTGCGTCCGATCACTGTCGTACACTGAGTGCCCATCACTCGCATCACAAGCGGGCGTTCAAATTTAGAACGGCGAATCTCAAGCGAGACAAGTATTGTTGTTCAGGTTTCATTTTAGACTTCTCCAGGGAAACGGGAGATCGACTTTGTGACATGCTTCTACCCACACACATGAGGTGACAGGCGGCTGATGTCTCTCGGGTCCCTGTTGAAACTGCAGGGGCGAATCGGATAGGAGGGAGCTCTTCAATTCAGTGGAAATAGCGTGACTGCGGTCGGCAAGGATAAATGAAAGGGTTGGAGTCTGCACGGCTGGTCACTGCGATATCCGTCAGCCTTTCTTTTGCTAAAGTCGGTGAAATCTCAGAAGGCTTGGTCCGCCGTTCATTAGCCAGAGGAGCCCTTTGCATGGATAATCAAGCTAGAATGCAGGAACCAAAAAGGTTGCCAACTTGCCTGCAAGGCTTCTGAGGGAGAAAAGTGGCAGTCAGGGGCTCGCTCCTTGACGTCGTCATCAGCAGCGCCCTACTTGAGAGGCTGCACAGATTAAACTCCAATGTTGGAACTTCCAGAGCAAACAGTATCCACGCAATTGGTGTTACGATCACAGCTTCCCGTTCGATCCTGATGAAAAGTGTGAGTGTCCACTAGGCGCTTTTTCGAGATGATATCTAGCTCAAAACCGATAGGAGAGTCCTGATTTTCAACGCCGGATAATGGCGAACACCACTACCGGTGTAGTTCAGAGCTTACCTATTTATTTCTCAACCAGATCTGGAACTCGTGGTGTCGGGGAACCGAGGACTCCAATGTCTGTAAATGACGAACGAACGAAGATAGCTTTGTTTGCTTGTGTTCAATCGTATGACGGACATAAACCGGATGTTTGGAATATTCCATCCTGTAGGAATTCCACAGAATACTAATGTTCGCTGTTAGCATTAGACACCATTCTGGAAGACGAGCGACGACGAGCATAAATTCTCAGGAAAGCTGTAATGAAGCGCGGATGTTCCCTGATAATCAGCGAGGCTGCGCTTCACGTGACGTAGCCTTGCAGGACTTGGCGGCTTGTTTGCCACCCGCTTCGGCTTCCTTCACTTTCCTGCGATGATCACAGTATCGGGTATCTCGACTCAACTACAACCCAACCATCTATACTGTGTGCCTGGAGAATCGAAGCATCCATCGATACAAAATCGGCTGCGGATTTTGCTACCGCCTTACCGCCTCTTTCCTGGCCTCCTGGACCGCTGTTCTTTCCAGACAACCGCAAACATGCCTCGAGCCGAAGTTGGATCGACAAAGTACATCGCCAACCAGATGAAGTCGAAAGGACTTCAGCGGTTGCGATGGTACTGCCAAGCGTGTCAGAGACAGATGCGCGACGAGAACGGTCAGTGTATATCCCACGCTCTGTGCTTGTTCCACGTAACTGACTGGTCTCGTATAGGCTTCAAATGCCATGTCGCTTCGGAATCACACATTCGGCAAATGCAAATAATTGGCGAAGATCCTAAAAAAGCAATCAATGATTACTCCCGGCAGTTTCTTCGAGATTTCATACAGCTACTACGAACCGGCCACGGAGAGAAGAAGGTCAACGTCAATCACTTCTACCAAGAATACATCTCCAACAAAAGCCATGTACATATGAATGCCACAAAATGGCCCAGTCTGACAGAATTTGCGAAATATCTTGGTCGGGAAGGCATCTGCAGAGTGGACGAAGATGAGCAGAATGAGAACAAAACGGGCGCCAGTGCGCTGACTATCAGCTGGATCGATAATAGTCCAGAAGCACTTCGGCGGCAAGAGGCGTTGAAGAAGAAAGAACGTCAAGATCGCGGCGACGAGGAGCGAGAACAGAGGATGATACAGGAGCAAATTCGGAAAGCGAAGCGTGAAGGGAGGCAACACAGCAGCGAAGAAGAGGACGAGGAAGAGATCGAGGAAGCAGAACAAGTCGAAGGGGAAGGCATCAAGCGCAAGGATGGCGAGAAGATTGTACTGAATTTTGGTTCGAGGAAGTCTCCAGTGGAAGGCCAGCAACCTCCCACTCCTCCACTATCGGACAAGGACGAGGCCAGCTCCGACCAAGAAAAGGCAACGGCGACACAGTCTGCCTCAGATTCAGCTCCTGCCAATCGACAAGCTCCTGCTTCAGAAGAGCCTACACACGTCGACAACACGAGTGGGAAGACGGCAGCACCCGCAAAACAACCTGTCTCGCTGTCGTTTGGGTCTTCAACTGCTCGCCCGAAGAATGTTTTTGCAACCGCGTCTAAAAAGAATGCTTTGGCCGGTCCGAAGAAACCTACGATGCTGGCACCCTCAAGGCCCATGAGTGAAGCAGAAAGGATAATGAAGGAAGAAATGGAGCGAAAACGCCATCGCGAGGCTGGTGGATTTAAAGCCGGCGCAAACGCATTCAAGAAACAACGTGTCTCGTGATGCCGGTCATGCTGATGGCCCCTACGATACGTCTTGGCTGAGGATATATAGTCAGTGTAATGATAATGATTTGTACGACTAGCTTCGCTTTCACTTTTATGAATTCGCTACCAAGGCGCTTGAAATTCACATGGCCCAACATAGCGATAAAGTTGGCCAATAGACAGATGTGGGCACACGAGTTCTCCAAGCAGTCCAACCAGGTGTCAGGTCTCAGACAAAGTCGAACGTATCCCCCCCACGGTCATGAATCAGTCTCCCGACCCTCTCGGTGCCGACTATCCTCTCGAGCTTCATGGCGTCCCATTTCGAGAACAGGGCGCGAACGGCACCCTTGGTGGTGGTGGTGGTGGTGGTGGACGTCTTCCCTCTGCCGGACTCAAAGTCGGCGTCCATGGCGAGGCCCAGCAGGCCGACGACCTCGGTCCAGAAGAGGGGGTTCTCGGGGACGTTGTAGAAGATGACCCTGCGCACGCCTTTCAACCTGTAGCGGAAGTGATGGTGGGCGCGCTCCGAGTACAGGAGCAGGGCGTGGCGGCCGGACAGGAAATGCGAGCGGGCGCGCAGCACGTCCTTGACCGGGGTGTACTCGCTCACGGTCCCGAACGAGAGATTCGTCGCGTCCGGGGCGGTGGAGAGGTGGTTCCGCAGGCGGACAAAGTCGGCGTAGCTCGTGGCGTACAGCAGCGTGCCCTTGTGGGTCTTTGCGTGGCGCACCAGCGGCGGCAGGACGGTCGTCGTGAAGAACTTGAACCGGCTGTCTGCGTCGGCGAGCGGGCTGGGCGAGTCGACACGCAGGAACGTCTGCGGCACGCTCACCGGCAGGATCGAGTTGACGCCCAGCATCGCCCCCGGGTACGTGGGGAGATACTTGACCCGGCCGGCCACGTTGGACAGCCGGGACGACGCGAGCGAGTTGATCTCGGGCGTGAGAAAGTCCGACAGGATGATCGTCTGCCGCAGGTACCTGGCCCGGCCGTCCAGGTACCAGTGGCGCACGCGCGAAAAGTCGCAGCCGTGCGAATCCTTGGGGAGTAGGTTGAGTTGCGAGAAGACGTATTCGACGTGCTGCCAGTTCTGCATCTGCAGTGCGTTGGCGTGGTCCATGACCACCACCTCGATGGAGGATAGGAAGTCTGCGTCGTGAGCCGTCTTCTTGTTCTTGACACCGTCCTTGGTCCTTCCGCCGCCGCCGCCTGTGGTGATGGTGCGCATGAGCCCCAGGGGTGAACCGATGATCACGTCCGAGTTGTAGAAGCCGGAAAAGTATTTGATCGTCTTGCGAGTGAATTTGAGCCCAATGCGGAAATCTTCTTCGTGGTTCCCGCCGAACAGAGCGCGGAAGTCCTCGGGCTTGTCGGGCCATTCCTCAATGTCCTCGTGGGAGAAGGTCTCGAGGAAGCGGGATTTGTTTTCCTGTTGATCCGGCTCGCAGAGCTTGACGATGCTGTCGACGAAGCGCACACAGGCTTGTTTGGTAGGGACGATGATCAGGACTTTCGGGCGGGTGAAGCCTTGGTCGCGCAGGTCCAGAGTTTCACTGCTGGAGCTGAGTTTGGCATTGTTCTTGAGAATCCGATCGCGGGTCTTGAACACATGGTTGAGAGCATGCAGAGCGGATAGGTCGCGAAGCTGAGACGAGTTCCTGAGTGTGCGGTTGCCGTCGATAACGTCAGTATAGTTGAACATGGCGCTGGCTAGGTCTTTCTCATCCGACGACAACGAAGAAGCAAGCGCAGTCCCAGTCTCGAGAAGTCGTCGCTTCAGACAGAGGTCTTTGACACTTCTGAACTTATTGGCTGGTGTCGGTCTGCCCTTGAGCACAGTGATGGTTTTTCGAATGTCGTCGTCTATTACCACAGTCTGTGTCTGCCAATCTCTCCTTTCAACCTGCTCCGCTGCATCTTTGAGGTCCTGCTCGACTACTGCACTGTAGTGATTCTCGAACGGATCCTTTAATAGGCTGTCTTCGTCATCGGATTCAGCATGGGCGATTCCGTCCTCGGCCTCTTCATCTGCCTCAACCTCCTCATCCAGCGCCTCCGTAGTAGGAACCTCCTCTGCCGCCGGGATTGAGGAAGCATTACCCTCGTGGCCATTGCTTATAGAAAGCTCTCCTTTTGCTGCATCTCCAATCTTTCTCTTCTTTCTGGCAGGCCCGCTGGTCTGTCTTCCTGCACTCAATAATTGGAGAAGTGTAGCATAGGATTTCGCAGAAGGGCCGTCGTCTTCGCTTTCAGACTGGCTTGTTTCATCTTGATCCGATAGGGGTCCCTGTTCGTTGAGCTCGCCGTTTAAAGATTCGGGGGAGGTTTGCTCCTGAGAGGCATCGTCCCTGCTCGCGTCAGTGGCGGCGATCACGGAATCTGAATCAAAAGGTTGACGAGCATACTCTGTCTGCCCTAGTCTTGAGGTTTGAAAAGTATCTCGTGCTTGAGTAGCGGGTCTTCTTGCACCTCCGCGACCTCTTCCGCCGGATTGGCGACCTCTGCCGCCTCTGAAACCAGGCATGTCTATCAGAGTCGAAGAGACAGACGCGGCCAGAAATTTTGTTTTCGCATGCGGAGAAAATCTGCCTGTCCCCAAAAGATTAAGCTTAAGATGATTAGCGGGCGATCGGGGCCAATGCAGATGTTACCAATTTCGGCTCTGCTCGCCTCCCTGCCAAGTCGGAGCCTTCCGACCCCCGTGAGACGTATAGATGGATGGATGTAAGTCTGTGGTTTTGACGTTCGAGGTACGAAAGATCGAAGCAACTCAAAAGAAATAGACTCTGTTGACTGTGTACCAGTCTTATCATCTCGCTGTGCTACCTTTGCATAATTCTGTCCAATCTCCCAAAGAAGCCCTGACCCGCGGATTCAGAGGCGTTGATTCAATTTCCACGTCTGCATGTCCCGTATTTTGTGGCCATTCAGAACGATCCGTGGCGGAATTCAATAGCTATGAACCTTAGTTCTCGTCCTTGACTTCTGCCTTGGCTTCTTCTGCCTTGGCTTCTTCTGCCTTGACAGGCTGCTCGGTGGTGTCTTCGTCCTTGACCTCATCATCCTCGCCTTTCTCATTCTTGAGAGCTGCCGTAGCCTTTCCCTTGCGCTTCGTAGGAGTCTGGTCTTCGCTGTCGTCTTCTCCCTTGACCTTGCGTTTGCGGGATGGGGTGTTTTTGGGGGTTGTGGACGTAGTCACATCTCCAGCCGAGCGAATCGCGTTGTTCTCATACTTGAGGCCCTGCTTTTCGACGAAATTCTTGAACTTTGAGGCTCTATATCATGGTCATACCATTAGTGAGCGGTGATCAAAAGTAAGAACAGCCTCTCAAAGACTCACGCATTGCGAGCGTATCCGATGCCATTTTCTTTAGCCACCTCCTCCCAGTTGATCTTGAGGCTCTCCGAATGCTTGAGGGCACTGAAGATGAACTGCAGCTGAGGATCAGGCGCCGCGGGATCTGCTGGTGCTGGTTTTGGGGCCATTTTTGATTGAGTTGAGATGGTGAGGTTGTTTGTGTGGTGGAGAAACAGATGGTTGAAAGAAGATCGATTTGTCAATACCAAGAAAGAAAAGGACAGTGGACGGATAAGTCAGAGGTGAGAAACTTGAAGGGACGCAGCGCACAAATTCACAGTCTCTCATGTCCTGGTCAGGCAGCTAAATCGTGCTACTCTGGACGAGAAGTGGCACGTAAATCTGGGAATGATCCGGTCCTTACTGTCTATGATTTAGAGCACCACATTCAGAATCTCAACAAGTATCATTTCTCTGAGGCCCGAAGCCTCTCTGACCTAACGCCCTTCTACCCTGTGATATGCTGTTGGAAAAAGCCAAACCAGCGTCCTACTCCGTGATATGCTGTTGGAAATAGCCAAACCAGCGTTCTACTCCTCCTCAGTCTTGATCACAACATCAGTCTCCTCTTTGACATTGGAGGGCCCGGCAGAAACATCGTCGTCGGCTTCATCTTTGACATCAGCCATCTCAATGTCGTCATCGTCCTCCTTCTTGATGATCTCTTCATTGGCCATGTCATCTTGGCCCTCGTCATCATCGTCGTCGTCGTCGTTGTTGTTGTCGTTGTCGTCGACGTCGACGTCCTCGTCATCATCATCACCATCACCATCATTGTCGTTGGCGGGGGCGGGGGCGGGGGCGGGGGCAGCAGCGGCAACGACAGGCGCAACGACGGCCGGGGCGACGCCGGTGGCAGGAGCAGGGCCAGCAGCAGCAGGAACGGTGGCGGCGGTGGGCGGAGGCCGCTTCTCGACCTTGCCCCCCCGGAATCGATAGCCATATGGCTCGATCATGTTGTCAATTTTTCGGTGGCTAGAAGCGTCAAAGGTCAGCGTGAAGGTCGTAGAAGACGTCGATGCTGGCATAGAGGCATTGAATATAGAGGAACGCTTTTTGGTACTCACATTGTTCGCTCCACCTGGACGCCGAAATGGGCCTGCATTGCCCCCGCGTCGACCTTGAACTCGGTGGCTGTGGCCACCATTTCGCAGAGCGCTTTGATCACGCCCTCTTCGTTCAATCGTCTTCCAGGCATGGTCAGTTGGTTGATTGGTCGGCGAGGCTTTGTTGAGTTAGGGGCTGGGCGAGGCTGTTGTGGCACGTGATGAGGTTGTTGAGGTTGAGATGGGCGGACGGTTCGGACAAAAAGATATAGGTCTGTGAGGCGGTGAGAGAACCGTGTTGGCTTGGCACTCATCGACGACTAATCGACGTTACTTTGATCACGGCGTGCGACAGACAGCGATGGAGGCGAATAGGTTGACTGTCATTGTCGCCGCGGTCGCGCCCGCACTCAACAGGAGTGCAATACAAGGTACAGCATTAAACCCCCCTATACTTGTGGAGTGGCGACCCAAGCCAGTGTACCACCACCTGGCATAGCAGGAAGTGCACTTCTGAGTAGATAGGAAGCCTTAGGCACACGGAGCCCGTCCCTCCCAGTTCACGCAGAGACGCCCTTCAAGTGATGAGTCGTTGTTGTTACGGACGAACTGTTCAGTAGACTACGTTGGACCAACTGTATAATTGCAGGGCTATTCTCAATGGAGGTCCTGACACCATGACACCGTCCAAAGTTCACAAGGGGCAAGATCCAGGAAGGTGGAGCATCTACACAGAGCCTCCACGACAGGGCGCGGCATTTGCCAGGACTGACTGGGACACCGGCCACCTAGGTTGAGCTCTTACACAACGCCCCCTTGTTGTTCGTTTGATCGAGTTTGATATGCATTGATTGCTACAGACTACCTTGTGTCTGCAAGCCGCATGTTTCTTGCCGTGCCATAGGATATCACGAGAGACAAATCGCGGACCCCATTCTTTGTTCCCTATCGGCTCAGGCTTCGACTTCGACCTTGACCTCTTCGCCAGGGGCAGACTCAGTTCCAATGTCAACGTCGTCATCGGCTTCTTCCTTGACAGTAGTAGGTGCCTTCTTCGTGACACGCTTCTTCTTGTTGGTGTTGTCCTTGACTGATGTAGACTCGTCTCCACTACCGTCCTCGTCCTTGACCTTTGCAGCAGTAGTTTTGCGCTTGCGAGCTCCGGTGGCGGCAGCAACGGCAGCAGCAGCAGCAGTAGTAGTGTCGGTTCCAACCACTCCGTCGCCAGCAGTGCCTCTCTTGTGTCCAGTACCCGTCATTCCGAGCTTTCTCTTGATCGCCCACAAACGCTGGTAACTGGAAAGTAAAACCGGGTCAGTAAGGATCAAGTAGACGGCAGATGATGATGAGCCCAGGAAGAAGATCGAATTCGAAATCCGGTGGCCACTTACCATGCATTCGCGCTCTTTGCTCCCACCTCCCGTGCAACCTCGTCAAAGTTCGGCTTCAACTCGGTCTCGGAGTACTTGATGCACATCATGACGAACTTGAGTTCCTCGTTGGGCTCTTTGGGCGGTGCCATGACGCTGGTGTCGTCTTGTGTGGACTGATGGGTAGGATGTATGTTGATGATTCTGATGACTTGTGGGTATCGTGAGTGGAGAAGAATGGTGGCTGATGAATGCAAGTGTGTCTGGGAGTGAGATCAAATCAAGTTCGAAAAAAGAAGAGCGATGAAAAAGTCGCGGGGTTGAATTGAATTCTGTCTGTTCGAAGCTGTGAAGTGGGAATAACCAGTCAGAGTGAGGGAGCGTGTGGACTGATTCTGGATCTTACGGTGGAATTGATCACTCGAACTACAGCAGTGCCCGAGGAAGCCCTTGTAGCAAGCAGCTATAGCCACAACTCTATACTCATCAATTTCCGAACTACGCGAAGGGAAATCCCGACTTGACGGGACGAAAAACTCAACTTGCTACGATCTCAGGAGTCATGCATTGACATTTATTGATGGCTAAGCCGAACCAACTGCTGCCCTCTCATGGCCCTGTTTCATTCCTCGTTCCCGTCCAACTGGCTCACTGCATCTTAAACACCTCGAAACACCCTGCAGGCCCCCATCTTTCGTATACGAAAGCGTAGAAGCAGTGTAAGGCAAGGCAGATAGATGCAGATTCGCCTGATTCACTCAATAGAAACAACAACTTGAACTTCCTCAGTGCTCTGTTCGTCCTCCTTAGCAGCTTTTGGCTTGCGAGGAGCACGAGGACGAGGACGAGCAACCTTCTTGCTTGGTGGTTCTTGTTCTTCTTCAGCCTCAGCATCAGCTCGTGCATCAGCAGTAGCAGTAGCGGTGACAGTCTTTCCAGAATCAGTGCCATTTCCTCCCGCCGCTTTCTCGTCCTTGGTCTTCTTTGTCTTCGCCTCGGTGTTCGCCTTGCGCTTGGTTCCAGCAGCTGCAGTCTTTCTGGTGGTGGTGATAGGATTACCCTGGCTGTCTTTCACAGACCAAGCGGCACCAGCTTCCTCGAGGCTTCTCATGACAAGGCGGAACTTGTTGCTGTCAAGAAAGATTGGGTTAGTTGGCTTCTCATATGGCCTTGAAGCATGCGTCTAGTCGTACAGCGGGTCAGGAGGGGGTAAAAACAGGGTTGGAGGAGAGGAAATGCTGCTGTTTTTGGTGACCCAGGATTTCTGAAACGTACCGAGCACCTCCAACGCTCATACCAGTGTCCTTTGCGAATTCGTCCCAGTCGACATTGAGCTTGTCCTTGCTGTGTTTGATGCACTTTACAAGAAAAGCTTCATTGGTCATTGGTGGCTTTGGAGCCGCCTTGGACTCTTGAGGGGCCATTGCTGAGACGGCTGTGTTTGTTGTTTCTGGTGGAATTGCGCAGAGTTAATTTAGACTTCCACGAACATCGGCACTCCGTAAGAGATAAACAGACTTACTGGTGTTGTTTGGCAAACGATGAGGATGTTGACGTGAGAGAGCCAAGTAGAAGAGTGGCGGTGTGGTGGATGAGCGGGAGACCAAAGAGACAGAGAAAGTGAGTAGGCGGAAGGATGTGTGAGCTTGTAGCAGAGATTTATTCACTCACAATACACGAGGTACTTGGTCCCATTCAAAGTTGCAAGTGAGCAGGGTGTCCAGAAACATCACAAGTATGGATAAGGGCGCGGTGAGGGCTCTGTGGCCTCGACCCGGGAACGACGCAGGACGAAGCTGAACGGGTAGTATTCGCCGTGATGGGCGGGTATACGTTTTTCTACAGACAATCCCGAGATGGAGGGCGTGTACTCGAGACTTTCTGCTACATATTTTGGAGCCTTGGGGGTGAGCACCCTCTGTATACCACTGTACAATCTGTGGTGTTGCTGTCGTCGACCAATGCGATATCGATAGTGCCATGTCCGAGGGAAGTGCTGGGGACCTGTCAGATATCGACAATCATCAGCCTCAGTAGAGCTGTCACAGACATTGTGAGAATTGAGAGTGTAACCTTGGTCATCAGCGATGTTGGCTTGAGAAGTGGTGAGGTCGCCTGTGTCGATGTCAGTGCTTTCGTCCTGTGAGGTGTCGAGATTGTGACCCTCATTGCCAGAAACGTCGGCCTGTGGAACATCGTCATAGTCTAACCCTGTTTCCCCTGCTGTGGCCCTGTAAACTCATCGAGATCACCTAGCTCGTTTGAACCACTGTGAATCTGCACGATACCCGTATATAGCATCCGTGACATCACAAGGCATGGCAGCTCGTTGAAGCTGGCGTCGACCCCCATGGACTGAATGAAGACCATCGTCGTTGTTGACTTCGTTATGACGGTCGCCGACCTGTACATATCCTGGAATTGCAAAGCCTCACGTCGGAACCCGTCGTCGACGTCCTTGTCAGTATGACGCGTTTTCAGCCTCTCCGTGATGGCCACGATTCCCGCCCATACCCCTCCGTCTCCCCCTTTGTGTATGCGGTGAGCGTCGTCACGAAAAGGCAAATGCGACTTCTCTACGCAGGAATAGGTAGAGACGTTGTAAATGAAGATGACCATGCAGATATCATTCTCCTACACACACAAAAAGCACACAAAGAGGTCATCGTCGCCATCCTGGCCACTTCTTTGCTCATGCTGTGGCCACCACCACAGGCATGCCAACGGCACCAGGGCCACGGCCGCCACCACCACCACCACCCTTCTTGCCCATTGGGCCTCCATCGTCGTCATCGTCCTTGGGCTGCTTGGGGCAACCCGCTCCATCATCCTCGTCCTCTTCCTCTTCCTCTTCATCGTTGTTGTCGTCGTCGTCGTCCTCCTCCTCTTCCTCCACCTCTTTCTGGGCGGCCTTGCCCTTGGCCTTGCCCTGGGCCTTGGCCTTGCCGCGGCCAACACCCCGAATCTTGGTGCCCATGGCCTTTGTCTTTTCACCCAGGCGGCAGACCTTTTGCTGCCTAGGAACACACTCAGTTAGAACATCTCATAAGCCGCTTGTAACAAAGGAATTCACTCACAACGCCCGCACATTGTGCTTTGGGTACGACTTCTGGAGCTCCAGATAGTCGACCGAAATGGTCGATGCCGCAGGATCATTCGCGGTTGAGGCGATCACCCGCCTCAACAGGTCCAAATCAGCGGCGTTGAGGGGTCCAGGGGGGGCCTTGGTGCCCTTGCCTTTGCCCTTGCCCTTGCCACTACCACCCTTCTTCTTCTCGTTGTCATTGGAGTTCTTCTTCTTTTCGGCACCCATCGTGAACAAGACGACAAAGAGCTTTTTGGTGAAAGTGTTGGATAGGACGACAACAAGGAGCTTTTTGGTGAAATAGTTCGATCAGGACACAACACGGAGTTTTCTGAGAGGTTCAAGCTGGCTTTTGAGCTGGAAAACCGGAAAACACGTCTTTTGGATTGTGGTTGTGTCGTGAAGATCTCAAGGTGATTTCGAAATGTGAGACTGAAGACATTGAGGGCACACCGCTGCCTGCAGCGGTGCTAACCTCGTTCGGCGGGCATATTGAATACATTTGCGAATGCCGAGAGAACGAGAACGAGGGGTATAGCTATTCATGGTGACACACGCGGATTCAAATTGAAATTCAGATTCGTGAAAGCATTCAGGGACATCATTAAAGAGAGACAAGGGGGTTGAAAAGAGCATCAACAATGCCAAAGGAGACCCACCACCGTGGACAGCACACTCATCTATATAGGATCAATCCCAGCGGTCGAAAAGGTTTGCCCTTATGTTGACAACCGATGATCAGAGGTGGCTGGCTGACTGACTGACTGACTGACTGACTGGCCAGGAAAAGCTCATTCGATCCAATGAACGCCTCATTCAGGTGGAGCACATGGCTGTTTTTGATGGACAAACAAGATCCTGATGCAGTCCCAGACGATCACGGTGCTGGAGACTGGAGAGGAGGAGCGAACCAACCTTCTGTTCTGGACTCTCCCATTCGACCTTTGCCCAGAATATGATGGGAGCGTCATTCGAGGCCCCTCGGCGTGGTCGGTAGGTAGAATGTCCCCCTGCCTGAAAGCAGATCGACCTGGGAATGACGTGGTGACGGATTTTCCGGTCCGGCGTTGCAAAATGCAAAATGTCGGCCTCGTGCGTCTTCCCTTCGTCCCTCTGAAAAAAAAAAAAATGAGAACCACAGGAATGGTTCTCGTCGAAGCCGGGATGGAGTTGCTACTGCGTCCACTCGGGAAGACAAAGTGGCTCCCTCTGTGAGTTTAGTCGGGCCTCAATCCCGCTCCGACGAGAAAAAGGGTCCTACTGTCAAGTGCGGAGTTGCTCGGCTATAACTCGCCAAAGTCGAACCCTTTTTCTTGCAGAAGATGAGGTCGTCGTCACACACTGTCTCTGCTATCAAGGGCTGGGGAGGTGAAACTGACACCGAGCAATCTACAGCCTGTGCGTTTGCGGCTGAGGCTTTGCCAAGGGATGTGCGATGCGGTACAGGATAAAAGGCTAAAAGGCGTCGTCCCACCGTTGATGCAGCGCCGAAACGCGCGGTGCAGAGCACTCTCTGTGCCAGAAGCTGAGAGGACACGACCATGGTGGGTGGCCTCAGGAGGTTTCTGTCGGATCCGACGCGTGTGTCTATGCCACGGTTGTGAGTCAGACTACTTTTAGTCGTCCTCGCTTGGGGTTGTTGAGAGAAGAGATGACAGAGGGGGATAATTGCTTGGGGCGGCCGATTCTCAGGAAAAGACAAAACTACCTGTAAAAGCAACTTCGAAAGTCAAGAAGGTCAAAGGCCGAACCCGTTGCGTCCGGTCTCGTTACGAGTTGCTCGCCGTTGGTTCCCAAACCAGCTAAAAAAGCACCACGAATCATCAAGGTTTTGGGAGAGTTCCTGTAGGTACAAACCTTAACGGCGTTGTTGGACGCGCTGTCAGCAAACATTAGTTGTTTTTGTTGCTTCTCTGCTCATCGGGTTAACCGGTCCTAACTAAAGTGTCCGCGCGACCCTGCGCCGCGTTGTCTCTTTTCGTCTCTTGAGGAATTATAGTTCCAGAGCTCCGGGACGCCTGCCCTTCCCCCCCAGGCCCAAGAAGCTGTCCCAATCTGCTCATACTTATATACGTTCCCATTCCAGGAGATGGTGAGCGTCCGATACGGATCTCCGGGTCGATACGGGGTAGCCACGCCATCGTGAATTTCCCATTATCCACAGGGAGCGTGGCACCCCGGTCGTTTTGGCAGGAGATTTGACTTGACTGCACAGGTCGCGAAGAAGGGGGACGAGCCCTCTCGCTCATCCCTTTCGCCCCTTGGTCCCAAAACGGTGGGAGAGGAGAAAGAGAGTGTGCGCGGACATGATGGCGTGCAGAAATCGGGGATGCAGACCCCTGTCCCGGAGGTTCATGTATTAGGAGCACCAGCGGCCAGACAAAGCCGCTTTGGTGGGCTGCTAAGTTCTGGCGAGGCTGTGAGATTCCCAAAACACCCAATTTTCGCTTAATCATCCTACGCGTGTCGAGTTTGACAGACGTCAAAATCCTGCAGCCACCGAAGTTTGAGGGCACGGGAAAAAAGGGCCTCGGCTGGCCCCATCGCTTGCACAGCTCCTCGAGTCGAGCACCCCCAGCGATCGAACAAAGGGTATGTATGCTGCGTGTGCAAAGCACAGCTAATGCGAGCCTAAGCGAGCCTTTTGAGACAAAACCCTGACAGGCTGCAGGTGTGGGTGGTGCTGGGTCGACCCGACTTCTTCCTGACGAAACAAACACAGAATGTAGACTGTGGCACAAACACACGTGGAAAAAGGCATGGGGAAACGTGGTGGTACGTGATCGGGGCCAGATCGCTCGGCCGTTTCTCGATGGCTGCATTATTATTGCAGTATTATTATTGTCAGATTGCTGTTGTCGATTTCGATCCCGCGATTTTCTAGATCTTCGAATGGCGTTGGCGGCGGCATGCAATAGCCTCACCAGGGGACGCGGGAAGCTCGTACAACGGTCCAGGGACCCCTGGGAGCCCGCCACCGTCGCTCTCTGGGCGCCATAAACACCTGCATAGCTGGGTATTGTACGGTAGGTCCCCTGGCGCCCTGGCCCCCGTGGAACCCCTGGAACCCCCTGGACACCCCCCTACGCTTCCGTCTATCCCATGCAGGTCTTGATGGGGTTGAAAATTTTCCACGTGGCATTAGCACCTATCCGTATTGTCCCACCTAACAACATTCAATGTGGTTCTCGTGCCAATGACACTGTTTCGGGCTCGCCGATCATTGATCTCGGCCAAACTCTGCAACGCCCGATGCCCGTCTGCGCTCTCCTCCGTGCCTCTTTTTGGTGAGCCGTTTGCGGTGGGCTTCCTCTTTCGGCCTATAGCTAAGGTACAGCGCTACGCGAGACAGCTACTGCATAGATGCTATGCCCGTCCACTCCAGCCCAGCATGCTGCCTAGTCTGTCCGTCACCTCTGGCCCCCGGGCCCCGACGGGATTGTCGACGGTGCAATGAAGATGCCCTCGTTGTTACAAAGGCTGTAGGTGATATCCGACATTCCGTCCTTATTGACATCAAACATATGTCTGTCCAGCGTCCGCGATCCACTATTCTACTCCGTCTAGGGAGCTTCGGCCGCGCCAAACACGCCCTTCCCGTCCTCACTCGCTAAGGATTGGCCGCTCTCCCAGACCAAGTCTGCATCGAGGCATTGGCAGACCCCTGTGCGCCGTCGCAGCCTATGGCACGTTCTAGGCCTTGATCTCCACTCTAGACCGAGAGCGTTGCCCTTGCAAGCGACCACGCCCATTCCGCTTCGGGACCAGTAATACATGCAGGATGATGTGCAGTCTGGTCTCACCACGAATGCCGTGTCGTCGCCCTCCCAGCGTCCCAATAGACTGGTACGTCTGTGGATGCCTGTCGCTTTCCGACTTGGTGGGCCGCATGCGCGCGTGGCCTTGCTTCTCCAAAATTGCCTCGGAGCGGCCTGCAGACCAGTACCTAGATGCTGTAGCCTCTCAATGCGACACACAAGCGAACCCAATTCGGGTCCTTACACGTATGGTACAATCTATTTGGGTACCCCATCTGTATCGCGGCAGTGAATAATGTACAATTTTCGGTTCCCTGATTTGGCGGGACCGGCGACATTTCTTCTGGTGGTGGTAGATGTGCTTCCTCTGGCTGCTGGGAAGCCAGGCCGTCTGTGTCCGTCGTGAAATCCCATACCATTTGCTCGCGGACCAACTCGTCCATTCACTATACTGTGCTTTTGATGTACCTCCAAGAACGCTAGCGAAACGATGTGCCGCTGCCATAGAAATACGATGCAGCAAAACAACTGCCCGATGCCCATCCCCGTGCGTTTCCACGTGGTTCCGTGCCTGTTGATGGTCGCTATGCCGCTTGAACGCAGATGACTGTCAGGAGGATAAATGCAGAATGAAACTCGTAACATTACGGTGCTGCGTGTACGGCACCATTTCCCCATCTTTTCATCCCATACGAGTCTTTTCGACCGAATGTGCCTCAAACATGGCCTTTGGCCAGCGTATTCCGGGTCACATACTATAGTCCTACACAGGCGTCCAAGTCAAGACTCGACGTTTGAACCGTAATTCTTGCCGTGACCGGATAAACCGATCCCGGCTGTCAAACTGTAAGAGGCGTATAAGTTGCATTTCCAGATGCCCTGAGCCCTCTCGGAGAGCTACCCATTACTTGGGCTTGTTCCGTATGGTGTAGGTTCCGGCGTCCGGTGACCTTTTTCATGTCGTTTCATGTTACTCCGCACGCTGAAGCTTTTCCCGCAACCCGCATAGGTGCATCTGTACGGTTTCTCCCCGGTATGAGAGTGAGTATGAATCTTCAGGGAACTAGGTCTTGAGAACGGTTTGCTGCACGTAGGACAGATATAACGTTCTTGTGGTTGGGGATACGCCGGAGGATTTGCAGGTGGATAGTAATGGTGATGCTGCCAGGCCGGAGCCATTTGAGGATCGAGCGGAGGTAAGCTAGGCCCCGGTACAGGTGGCGGAAAATTGGTTGGGAGTGGCATCTGTTGTGAATGACCATTGTATGAAGCTGCTTCAGATGAAGGATCGCGGAACGTATGGTGTCCTGAGCCTCGAACAGGTCCGTCAAGATACATAGGGTCATGCGTCGGCCTCGCGGAGGAAGTCCAAGGGTTTCCTTCGGCGATGGGAGGGTATGGTGGTGGATGTGTATCGACCGTCATGGGAGGATAATGGGTCGGTCTTTGCGTGTAGAGTTCAGGATTTGTCCTTGCGGGACCAGAGGAATAGTGGTGGTTTCGTCCTGACGCATCTTTTGGAGAATAACTCATAGGTGATGATCGAGGAAAGTCGAAACTAGAAGCCGGCGGTAGCTCTGGTGTGGGAAGAGGAGGGCGGCGAGGGCTCTCTGAAATTGCTTGTCTCTCAGGGCTCGTGTTATAGCCTTGAGAACTATTCGAAACTCTTCGAGGCGGATGTTCAAATATAGGCGACGGTAACTTGCCTTTTCCTATGTCGGTCAGTCTATTGTCGTGCTCATGTTCTTTGATGGGACTCACCCTTCTCGCTCCCCGCCGATACAGCCTCGATGAGGCTGGCGATGGAAGGGAGGACTGGTCCGTCTTTCCTCGCTTCTTCCATCGCTGTGTGGGAAAGAAGGGACGCAGGAGACGGTAGACGGTGATATAACGTTCGACTCGAATGATGACTTGGTGGTAGCACTAAGGCCATATCATATGTGGTCGACGCAACAGTGAAATGCTGCGGCAAGGGTGGATTAGACTACAGCAGGCAAGAAGGCGAAGTCTCAGTCAACAATTCAGTGACTGAGGAAGATATGTCGAAGTAGCTATGGTCGTGCCCACGCCTTCAGCAGGTAAGGAACAGCTTTTTTGGTAAAGTCTGCCGTAGCAGAAGGAGGGCAGATGCGATGAGGCCTATTATTTGTGTTCTGGGACTTGCTCGACGTGGGTCCGCCGTGGACGTCGAGATGATCCGAGACTCAAGAGAGGACAGAGGACAGGAGTTCTTAGCGGATAAGTGACAATAGGGAAGTCAAAGAGGAGAAGGACAATCTACTGTATGCGAGGATGGTCTGGAAAGTCCCGCTGAGTGGGATTGACAGTTGTGACGTTGTCCAGGGTCAGCGCCCAATTTGGCCAAGCAGACACCTGGATGGCAGCAGGCTCGACAAGTCGCTTGAGCAGCGAAGGACCTTTGAGTGAAAGGGAAGTTTGGTCGGAGAGGGCCGCTAATTGAACCAAGTGCCTCCGAAAGCGAAGGGTAAAGAGGTGAAGGATCGTCAGAAGGAAAGATGAAGAGAAAGCAAGTGCTTGAAGAGCGGGGCGACGGGTGGTGTTGCTGGTCGTGGCCTGTGGTGCGGACCCGGCAAGGAGCGGATTCGGAACTAGTGCTTGGACTCGCTGGCCTGAAGGGTAATTTTCGTTCGTCCAGCGGCTGGCTCCTGGGTACGAGAGCGTGTTGCTGCAGGCGTGAGATGTGCAGGCTTGGTGGAAGATCAAAAGCGGGCGAGGGGTGAGTTTAAAGACGCCGCCGTCTGGCCGTTGGCAGAAAGAGAGTGCCACGCAGAAATGGAGACCCTGGGAATAACGTACAGATGCCCGCCGGGGCTAGGGTGTCCCTAGTCGATGTCGACAACCCGGTCTAGCGTCGAAGAGGTCACCTAGATTACCATGGCCACTTTTTGCTGCCCGGACGGTTTTGGGTAGTAGTGCTGCTGCCACGCCGTACGGCGCTCGTGGCGCGTGCGTGCAGAAGCTAACACGGCAAGGCTATCGAGGGGTCCACGATGGCAAAATCAGGCTTGCGTCTGATGGACCGAGATCTGGAGAACGGTCGACGCGGTTCCGTACACTGGGTAATTTTAATGTCCAAGCACCATCAGACCATAGGGGTTGGCGGATTTGGAGAGGTACCGGAGGGGTCGTGATGATTTTCGCCTTCCCGACGATCCGGGCCAGATTTTCAGGTGAAGGGGCGGACAAACGACCCGTTTGACAGCCTCTGGATGGGAAACAGCTGGATATACCTCTGCAGAGGCTGAATTCTGGCACACTTTAAGGGACAAGAAGGGAGTAAACCGACTAGGAAAAATAGCCACGGTACACTCGGTCCGTTTCCGAATGCCAGGGAGAGAGTCGCAGCTACTCTTTGGCCAGTCGACGGCAGGGTTTAGATGGAGCCTAGTAGCAATAATAAGAAACACGAAAACCAACACCAGAAGGCAGCAGAACGGGTGGTGAGAAGAGCCCGGGCTTGCAAATCGACGGCCCACAAGTGACGACGTTGGGTGGGATACCGGGCTACAGCCCTGAGCGAAGAAGATGCGACATACAAGCGACGGTTTGACGATCCGAGTACAGGGCCTCGAGAGGAGCGCAGCGGACCAGACTTGACAGGCGGACTCCACGAGCAGTGAGCAAAAAGGGCAGGCAATAAATGGGCATCTAGCGCTGAGTTAGTTTTTCGTGATCTGGTCCATTCTTTCTCCCCTCGAATAGGCGCACCGTACCCGGGGCCAATGCAGGCGCTCACCCGAGTAGTCTTGCCATGTTGGCCGCCGTAGACGAAGGCAGTTTCGAGTTGCGAGTTTGATTTTCCTGCTACTGTTTGCAGTAAGGCGTGACAAGGACGAGGAAGCAGGGAGTCACCACGGCCAGGGCCGGTCACCGCGTACAATGCTTCGTATCATCAAAAGGCAAATAAGCGAAAACGAGGCTTCAGACGACGGCTGGCAATGTCAACAACTCTACCGGGATGGAGTGGTGGTGGTGCTTCTGCCTTTGAGGTCGGCGATGGCGACGGGGTTGGAGCTGAAAAGGGCATTGCTAGCTGCCTTGGGACTAGAGGCCCAAGTCAACCGGGCAGCCGAAGCACGAACAGCGATCAGTGCGGCAATCGCTTTTGGTTAAAGACTATTGGGGCTGTTCGGGCTCCTGGGGGCATCACGGCCTCCACTTGGCGACTGCTGGACCTGCCACAAGCAGCGCACAACGAGTCGGTTAAAGATTTACCTTTCGAGCGCAATCGCAGATTCGCAGCCCACGAAGCACCGCCAACCCCCGACGCTCGCTAGGCCGGGATCAGGGATCAAGGGAGCCGCGCTCGAGTCCCTACAGATGTACAGAGTACGGGGTGTTCATAACACTCATTCGGTGACACTGGACATCGTCTCAGTAGGTTACCACGCTGATGAATGCCACAGAGCCACCAAGGGAAAGCGGACAAGATTCGGTTCTTCAGCATCCGGCCTTTTGGACGCCTGATGATCTTCCCGTCAACGAGATGCTCCGACACCTGTCGCACGTTGGTGTTGGTGTCATAGAATATGCACGGGCATTACCCTAAGGAGCCACTTGGCTGCGCCCGGCTACCCCGATGAAAAGACCCAAAAGGATCTCGAGCTGCCATGCTCAATGCATGCTCATCCTCCCTGTCCTGGCCAAGATCGCTGCCGGTCTCGAACGGACCTTGCCATGGTCTCATCCTGATCTTCCCCGCCGTCCCTCGTGCTGCACAGGCCGATACAAAAAGCCTCACGTGTCCCTGTTGTTGGTGACGGGGTTCCTGCTCCTGCTCCAGACAAGGGCAGCTCAGCAGCAAGCGGCAACCACAAACAAAAAGACACCGAGGAATACGACGAAACAGTCTGAGCTTTAGCGACCGCTGACGCACTCGGATAAAAGTGAGCAATGAGCGTCAGCCTAGCATGCCCCTAGCAAGGAGCGATCAGGCTCGCTTAAGCCCTGTCCAAGCACTCCAATAAGCAGACGTCGGAGATTATGCGCATGACATGACATTTCGCAGGTGGTGCGGTGCAGCACCGAGTGCCTTGGCTATATCGACCGAGGAAAGTCTGACAAAGGTGGCAGCGCCTAGGACCGAGAACCAGTTGGCTGGCTGTCTTTGTCTGGCTTCACCGTCGGATTGAAGCGCATCATCAACGTCCGACAAGGACTCAGACTAAAGGGATAAGTATTTCCAGAAGTCGAGCCAGACCCTGGTCGATCTGCGCTGCTTGGCGCTGGTACTGTTTTCCAGCGCTCGTAATAATACGAGCACATCTGAGTGGTGACCCGGGCGTCCTGACATTATTTCGCCTGCCTCTCACCTCCTCGCACTGCTCATCTTCCCTGACGTCGAGATCACCGATCGTCGAACTCCGCCTGCCGGTGGAGTCGTCCTCAGCGAGCTCACCCCTTCGACAATTCATCTTGTACGAAGGGGGCATGGACGGTGTTATTTTGCGACGGCACTGATGCCCCCGATTCCTCCTTCGTTTGGTGAGCCCAGAAATTCTTTTCGGTCGTCGTGGCCGCGCAACCACAAAGTGTAATGTCCCAACCCCGCCAATGCCCATCGATATCCTGGCCAAACAAGGAGCCACGAGCAAGCCGACTCGTGAGTCGTGTTGTAGTACAATACCAGGACCCCAGTTAGGGTCGTATTTTCGTCTCGTCAAGATCCCCCATCCCCAGCCACGAGCGTCGATCCGTGTTGCACATGGACATGGTGCGTTTGATCGTCCCTCAAGCCTGGTCCCTCGTGATTTCCCGTGCGGCGGTTTGTCCCAAATTTGCTGGATCCAGGTTGGCCGCAATCAACCTCGATCCCCCCTGACCTCTTCGATAAATTTGACGGAGGAGTGGATGAATAACACGTACAAGGACAAGGACCAGGTAGCACGGTCCCCCACGTCTCGCTGCCACGCCATGCCATGCTTTCGTGCTGATCCTAGACGTGTCACGAGTTCAAAGCGAGATTGAAACGGCTCACAACTTCTCCTCTGTCCAGAAGCCCGCGGTTTGAAGCCCTGGATGGAGTCAGAAGTTGCCTCGGACATGACCTGAGGACCAGAGCCTGCATCTACGATTGAAGTGCTCTTGTCCGAGTGCTCGTCTCAGATACCGAAGATACACCACAAGGCCTTCCAGGATTTATTCGCTATGCACTTGAACATTATCATCGTCACCGTCCTGCAACGTTACTGTCCAGACTCGGCAAAAGCTGCCGGTCTTTTCGTTCGAGGACGGCTGGGAGCAAGTGAAGCACGCTCCCAACCACCACCTCGACTTCTCCCGGTCGGGCTATCAAACAGACGGGATGCGGACAAAACTCGTTTCTCACCGTTTGGATGTGGTAACCGGATCGTCACTGGTCACTGGTCAGTTGGAGATAGCTTCAGTTCCCGGCCTCGACCCAAGGGAGAGGAACCATACCTCCGGGGGGGGGGGGGGGGTTCCATGCTTTCAGCCACCGCCTAATGGGCATTCTCTAGGTGCATAAAACGAAAGCCGGCCCGAGTTAGCTACAGGTGGCACGTGCTTCCACTGGTTTAAGTCGCCAGCAGGATACCGTGGTGGAAAAGAATGAGCACCACGCGTACGAAGAAAGGGAAATATGTCCGCATCTAGCCTCTCAGGAACATCCCAAAAAGGGTTGGTTGCGTGCAGTTTCGAATTGCCCATGTCTTCTAGGGCCACGTGGGGATCGTCAGCGTGGTGTTCCGTCCTGCATGGAAGACCCCCATCGACGGTACCGCTAGCTAAGAATTTCATGGGCCAGATCCAGGATGACACTTCGGTGCGGCGGTGCCCTCACATCGTGCCCTGTCGAGCCGGTTCTTAGCGCTTGGGCAGCAGCCGTCAACTCAATCCTCTGCCGTTGTAAAAAATGTCCCAACCATGCCCATGCCAGGATCAGAAGATCAAACGGTGTGCCTGCGATTCCCTTTTTACTGCGAATGACGCTGGGCGGCTTAGCGATGGTTTGGTTGAAAAGACGGCAACCTCTTTTTCCGGCATTCGCCAGATAATTCGACGACACCGACTCGTCCCCCTTAAGGACAAGAAAATCTACAGTAACGCACCAATTCGCAACGAAATTGGGATGGGCGGGATCGCCAGCGATCAAGGTTTCAGTCTTTCGCGTCGAGTTTCATGTGGATGTGATCCTTGCATCATGGTACATACATGCAGCGTGGCTTTTCGCCGGGCGTGACCTCGCTAAGGCTTTGACACTGTTCTGGTGCGCTTCGTTGACCCACGCAGCTACAATACCATTGCCCATTATGCTTTTACACTTGCAGAAATTTGGCCAAGTTTGCCAGTCTAAGAGGAGTTATTACTTTCGTATGATTCCTTCTAGAAATCGAATCCCACAACTACCAACCAAAGTCTAATCGGGCCGACACATCCATATTGTTCGCATCCCGGCTGAATCCATTGCAACGCCGCTAGCGAGCAAGTGTGTCTCCCAAGACAGACCCGTCGTTGTCAAGCCTGCTTGTTGGTAGACACCTCGCCCTGATTCAACGATGTGGTTCTCCGCCCGGGCGGGTGGGATGTCAATCGGGCTGCACGGCCGGCACCATCAGCATCAGAGAGAGGATGGGACCACTCCGAGATATCCTGTACACACCTCCAGCACAATCAAATCACACATCCGGCGTTGCAAACACTCGCTTTATTTTTTATGTCTTACCATTCAACCGAGAAGGGCAAAATTCGAAAACCATCTCCCTTAGTGATTCCCACCTCGTATTCGTCTATTGTTCACCGCGCGTGGCCGGTTGCTCTGTTCTTCTACAGGTGCTGATTGCTAAATGGCATGCACACACCTTCGCTTAATTCGCATTGTCTGTGCTCCCATGGCCAAGGGAGCCGCCTCCTGAGTCCTGGGCCCTGCGGAATCCCTCGGGTCCACGGCTCTTGCGGAATATTCGGTTTGACGGTGTGTCAAGTTTGGCTACTCTGAACCAGGCCTGCATCCTGCAGGTTGTTGGATCTGCCTCCCCACCAGCCTTTTCCACGTGGCGCCCTTGTGCAGCCTCCCTGCACATCCCGACGCCCCTGGGCAGTCCATTATCTTGGCTTCTGGCCTGTTGCACATCAGTCCCCCGGCACTGGTTTGCCTGCAGTTCCAGGGAACACCCACGTGCTCCGACTGGCAAGCAAGCTGTCCCACGTTTCCTTCGGCTCTGCAGCCGTTGCTAACGACGTATCGAATCTCGAGTGATCTTTTCATACGAGCCACAGCCTCCACGGTAACGGCGGGTTCAGAAAAGCGCTGCCGCTGGTTTTGCTTTTAGAGGTCAAGGGTGGTTAGGACAGATCTTCCTAGTTCCAACTGAAGGCTTCCTGCACAGCCCCTGGTTAACAGGCTCAACCAATGATCTACAGTACCTGGTTGCACTAAAGCGCTGGTAGATTCCGGGAGAACAGAATAGGTAGTGGGCGGAACACGATGAATTGTTGAACAGTGAGAGAAGACGGGTGCACATTCGACAGCATCGCAATTATTGATGTGCTTACTTCCCGTCCGGAAGGGCTTCCACAACTCCCCTTGCGAGTCTTGTAGGCCTCGTAAAGAGGAGGACCACTTGACAAGGATTCCATCTGCAGCTCTGGGGTATTTTCCACCCGGACTGTACCCGGACAGTTTCGAAATACAGCCGATTAAGGAAAACCCCCCGGGATGCCACTGGGAATCCCAAGCCATTTCACGTACATTTCTAAGCCTACACAGCACTACTTCAAGCGTGCCAACCATCTAGTTGGCTTACACCAGAGTCACCGCTCCGAGGCGAGACCAGACCTGCTAATTAACTACTGCACGTCTGCGAGTAGCAGTCTGAGTCCGGAAACACCCTTTGCATGACCCTTCATTTCCTCAATCCTCATTATCCTGCTTTCTGTCACTCGAGAGCCCATGTCAAGCACCAGGGTGGTGGACGGCCTATACTTACAAGGTTTAGAGCTCTTACTTTTACGCATGTCACCCTACAGCTCAGCCGGCCAGCTGCAAGCTAGATCCTTAGTTGCGTTAATTACAAGTACGATCAAAAAGACTAGCCATGCAGAACATGGAACACGTGGACCCCTTACGATGCGTTGTTTGAAAGGTTTTGTTGCAAGGGATCCCCAGCACCACCAGGTCTGTTAATAATCAATTGCCGCGATGGAATCAGCTGTTGATGAATCGAGTACGTGAATTATGACCAGTCGGCAGTCGCTAAGGAAGGCGTCCTACTTTTGAGACATTTCTGAATATTGAAATTACTTCTACTCGGGAGAAGTCAAAGGAGTCTTTCACTTGTGGTGATCAATTATCACTTTAAATCCTTCGCCAGAAGAAGGCCAGTAAACTGTAGTCTGTGCTACACAATCATAGAACATCTCTCTCTTGCTTGTTCAAATTTAGTTGTCTCAGTGACGTGCGTAGGACCCAGCGTAAAGCTCTGGTAGAAGACTGGCCATTGGAATTGTCGCCAACTCTTGCCCTTTGACCTCTAACAGCGGGATGTAGCTGGGCGCTCGACTCGGATAAAGTCAAACTAGGATAACAATTGGGCAAGAACAAGCCACGGCTGACCGTCATTGTCGTCTGCCACTTCATCTCTGTCACCATGACGTTGATTGTGCGTTTGTTGCAGGCCGGAACTCCTTGAACCACAGAGCATGGCAAATAGGTCAATCGGTGAGAGAAGGGATGAAAAATGTCGTGGTTATTCCGACCTCGGAATGTATTTTTGTCGAGCCCCGCGCCAGCAGCTCGCGTCATCTCAGGTATTGAGCAAATAGAGAACTGACAACAGCCTCATGCAGCATACACCTCCTGTGCACAGTTCAGATGCAGAGGTGCGACTCCTGAAGGATGTTCCCTCCCAATGGAGATGCCGTCTGTCTGCACAACCCGTGAGGCAGCGATTCAAAATGACTGTAAGAGACCGAAGATACACCGAGGTCACGTGCCGCAGATCTGCCCGTTGCTACGCAACGCAGGTCAACAAACGTCTTCCCTGGCGACTGGCTGAGCATTCTGTATGCTCAGAGTACGGACACGGTTCGTGACGATTCTATCCTGCTAAGCACTTTATTGTCTTTGGAGACTCTTCTTCAGGTTTGTAGGTATTTCAAGGGTATTGTCTCTTGCTTTCAGGCGATGCTTCTGTAGCCTCCGCAGAGGTTCATTGGATTGCTCCTGCCTCTCGTTCCATTCTTGCCTTTCCAACGCAGCCAAGATGGCGGTCGAACTCTCTGACAACGACAAGTACGAGGTTAAGGAGATCATTGGTACAGCATGATGTGCTTGTAGTTTGCGCGCATGCTAATGAGATGCAGGACGAGGCGCATTCGGCATAATTCGAAAAGTTCGCAGGAAACAAGATGGCCACGTACGTTTGTTTCTCTGAGCTCCTTCCTTCAATCAATCTCGCTGACATGGTGCAGATCTTGTGCCGCAAAGAAATCAACTACCTTAAGATGTCACAAAAAGAACGCGATCAGCTACATGCCGAGTTCTCGATCCTTTCCTCGTTGAAACATCCAAACATTGTGGGCTACTTTCACCGCGAACACCTGAAGCAGACGCAGGAACTTTATCTGTACATGGAGTATTGCGGGGGCGGCGATCTGGGGTCGGTCATCAAAGAGCTCAAGAGAAAGAATGAGTACGCCAAAGAAGATTTTGTCTGGAGGATTTTCAGCCAGATTGTTACGGCCCTCTACCGCTGTCATTATGGCGTTGATCCACCAGAGCCTGGGAGCGACCTCTCACGACAGAAAGTTCGGCCTCCGGTGGCTGGCAAGATGATCCTACACCGAGATCTCAAACCAGAGAACATTTTCCTGGGAGAAGACCAGTCGGTGAAACTGGGAGACTTTGGTCTCTCGAAATTGATGCAGTCACACGACTTTGCCTCGACTTACGTCGGCACACCCTTCTACATGTCGCCAGAGATCTGCGCTGCCGAGAGGTACACCCTGCACTCAGACATCTGGTCATTGGGCTGCATCATGTACGAACTCTGCGCCAAAGAGCCTCCGTTCAATGCCAATTCACATCTCCAACTAGTGCAGCGGATCAGAAAAGGCGACTTCAAACCGATCCCTTCCATCTACTCGAAAGATCTTGCTAATGTCATCGCAAATTGTCTGAAGACGAATCCTACCCACCGCCCAGACACAGTGTCGTTGTTGACTGTGCCTTATGTGTGGATAGCCAGGCGGCAACAAGAGATGGTCAACATTGCAAAGACCCTCAAGACCAGGGAAGAGATTGCCGAGCACAAACTGAAGCAAGCAGAGGAGAGATTATCGGCTCTGGAAGCAGACCGAGCGGCGATGAAGGCAACGATTGACGACCAGCTCCGGCGTGAATGGGAGCTGAAGGCTCGGCTCGAGATTGAGCGCCAGATCCAAATCGAGATAGAGGGTCTGCGGAAGCAATTTGACCGCGAAGTCCAAGCACGCGTGGCGGAGGTCCTCGCTAAACAGCATCATGCTGCAGGTGCGAGAGCGCTGAGAGAGATCCATAACCCACCAGGCTTCGACAAAGAGAATTACAACCATGCCTCCTCCGTGAATACTTCTGGTGAAGAAGACTTTCCATCCACGACCGACCTTACCGACCTCTCTGATCTCTCTTTGAATTCTCCGGATGTTTCGAGAGAACAAGCAGCGCCGCCAAAGAAGGCCAGAACACCCTTTGTCAGATCGAAGACCAATCTAGATTCGCCGGCAGACGTACAGATGTCTGAGCCTTCGCCGATCTCCATCTCGGGTCTTGCCCTGTCACCACGAAGAACTGCGGCCGCGCAGCTCACGGCCAACTCTACAGTGACCGCTGCGGGTGCTCGGAACATATTCGCAGAAGCTGAACGGCAAAAAGCCAAATGGGAGCCTCAACTCGCTTATTCGTCCGACGAAGAGAATCATGATCTTGAGGATGATTCGGAAGATGACGGATTCCCAGACCTCGCCAGCCCAACTCGAGTAAAGGCAGCCATTGCGAACACCGATCCATTCAAGAACCCACAGCCGCCACGTCTGCGGACAAAGCCTGGTCTAGTGAGACACAACACCACAGGGGTCGTGCAGAAACTTACGACCAAGCCAACGCTCTTTCCTTCCAGCGGTGCGGCTGCTCAAGTGAGAGCCGGCATTGCTTCTTCAAACAAGATGTGCGGCAAAGCCGTTAGCGATGGAGACATCAGAGCTGTCGGCGTCAAAGCAACCAGCCCGAATAGACGTCTCAGCAAAATCCCAAGCAGGACGGATCTCAGGGAACATGTCGCTTGTGAGAATGGCAGCACAAGTCCGCTCCGACGTGCAGCCACGACTGGGGGCAAGCTGGTCAGCAAGCTTGCCGGTTCCAAGCAGCCTGCCATGGGGACCGGCGTTGGCGGGCGTACACTCGTTGAACTTGCTCAAGCCCGAGCGGGAGGTCGTCCAATGAATGCAGAACTAGGAGGCAACCTCTATTCTGATCCCAAACATACTTTGGATCGGAAACTTGTTGACAAGGATCTTCCTGAAATCCCGCCTGTCTGGGATCCTGAGATCTTGGGGGATGAGATGCCCAGTCCCTTCCTCAAACGCGATGTGAGAAATGTTCGCATGATGCGATGAATGACGGGAGAATGTGCGAAACCCCCCAAATGATGACATGAGATCATGTGTTGCAGCACCTCCCTGCAGAAAATCCAGAATCATTCCATGTATTCTTCAGTCTCGTTGTGCAGCGACATCATACGTGACACCAAAAGTGAAAACAACCACAGACAAATTTCTTTGACGAATTTCTTTTGGTCCTCGAGACACCTTGAATATCTCAAGGACTATCTTGTTTAAAACCCGGGCGCACCTAAAAAGCGTGGATATCCTTTCCGACATCGCCGGACTCGTGGCGTTTGTGCATGGATCGGGCGACATTGTGATGTTTTCTCTTCTCAGTTCGAGTGGCATTTGGAGTTATGATTTCAGCAGGCGGTGTTTTTGGGGAGATCAAATGTGGGATAGTCGTTTTTCTTCCTGGTGATCGATCCTGGAGGACCAGACACCAAGGCTGCATCAGTCATGGAGGCGGACGCTTTTAGATGGGACGACGAGAGGTGGTCCATGGTATGCAACGGATCAGAGCAGCGCATGTGGATGCGTACAATAGTACCAGTCCTGACGACGAGGACAATAGAGACGAATTGTTAGCTCTTGAGAGCAGAAAATGAATCCGTTTTTACAAGTGGAATTAACTGGTTCCTTCGATACGGATTCTTATTGTGGTATATACGGAGTAATGATATACACATCGATTGATACTTCGGTAGGGGTTTTTACGGTGTTTGTTTTCGACGTGAATCGGAGAGATGTATCATCAGTATAGCCACCCAGGTAACTGACGAGGTGGGTAAAGTGCGGTGCCTGTCTGAGTCTTTTTGGTCGACTGGAGAAAAACGGGTTGAGAATGAGAACGTACTTAACTAGTACGATGGTGTGTGTGTGGGTAGTAGTAGGTACACAACCTTGAGGTCGTGTGGGAATATCTTCTGCGGTATTTTTATTTGTTCCTCGATGTAGCGCGCGTCAGTCAGTATCCCTACATCTCAGGGAATACAAAACTCCGCGTGAAGAGAGAACCCACGAGTCAGTCACGACGACCATCATCACGCAAACGCCACCCCCGTCTCAAGGTACCCTTTTTACATCATGTACAGGAGGTTTTTGTACCATCTACCTGAGATACTCCAGGTAGGTAGGTGCCGAACTTGGGCCTACACATATGTTCTGCCTAATATATTATACCTACCTGCATGTAGTTAGGTAGGTAGGTAGTCAGGTACCGAGCACTGGCACTGGCACTGGCACTGGCACTGGCACTGGCACTGTAAATGTCCTCTCTGTCTCTTGTCTGTGATGGGAACAATCTAGGCATCTACAGGTAGCTGGCTCCTGCGCATGTACTTCAGGTAGGCCAGGCACTTCAGGTACCTGGCTGGCTACTTGCTTTTGACCCAGGGTGAACAAAGGGAGGTACTAGCTTGGTCACCTAGGTGCCGTGTGGCAAAAGCGATTGAAAAAAATGCGAGAGCGTAGAACGGAATGAATGAATGAACGAACAGATGAATACCTTGGTATAGACATAAGTCTGTTATGGGCTGGCAGGAAAAAGGTTTGCATTGCTTCCCTCAACCAAAGTACTTCAACAAGCAAAGACCTCAAAGACAAAGAGAGGCTTAGTGTAGAGTCATGGGATGGCTAGCCTCACTACCTAGGCATCCTCATCCTCGACTTCTTCCATCTCGACATGCCTCCGTGGCGGTGGTGCTTGCTGTGGTTCGCCGCCGACCGTTTGTCTTTGTTGTCGATCTTGTATCGTTGCCATCTGCTCGTCGTCCCGACCTGCATCCTCTTCTTGCATCCCTAATTCTCTGAGAAATCTCTCCTCTTCCTCTTCCAGGTCCGTCCCATTACTTGGGACCTCCTGCCCGTCCGCGGAGGCAGCCCCAGTCTGCCGTCTAGAAGAGGTTGTTCGTAGATACCCTTCAGCCTCGAGCCGATCCAATTCCTCGGGCTCGACCAAGTGTCCTGTCGGCCCTCCTCTGGCGGCTTCTTGCTTCTTTCGCACGACGTCCGGCACGAAACGCTTGACAGCTTCTTTCTTGAGGTCGCGAATCTGTGGTGCGCTCTCGTAGGTGGTCTTCGGGACCGGCGCAGGCTTTGGTGGTAGTTGGGTGTCTGGCACTTCCTCTTTTCTGAAGTTGCGCCTGAACTCGCGTGGAATCGGTGGAGGTGTGTCCTCCGGCATAGGTATTCGCCTCACAGAGTCATCGGTATCGCTGCCTGAAGAATCCCTCCGATGGTGGACATGTTTTCGTTCACCGTCACGACGCCGCTTGCCCAAAACATTACTACCTTGTTCATCTCTTCTGTTGGGCTGGCTTGGGTATTGCGGCGCCTTCTGCCCAAGGGCTTCTCTTGCTTTCCGGACGGCCTTGAGGTCTCTTTCGAGATCATCGAGGATAGCTTTTTCGCGGGGCTTGATTTCTCCGGCGGCCTCGAGGGCCTTGAGGTCATCGATCTGTCTCTGAATACGATCAGGGTTCCGTCGCGCGAGTTTTTCGTTTCTCTTTGCCTGTAATTCTGCCCGACTCTTTTTTAATTGCTTGGCCTTTTCCAACTTGCGCTGCTGTTGCGCAGGGTTGATCGAGCGCTCTTTGTCTCGTGCCATGACGCGGATGGGGGTCGGTGCCCAAAAGTTTCTAGAGGAGGCCGGCGCAAACGATGGACGAGTTTGGGTGAGCCCTGCAGCACCGAACGTCAGACGTCAACCGGCGCCCGGAAGAGGCTTGTTAGGTAGATCAGAACGATTGGTGCCCGGCGTACGTCTTCCCCACGGAGAGCCAGTCAATGATCGAAAAAGACGGACAGCGACTCTTCTTGGTGTCAACCCGCGGCCGCCTCACTCCTTGGGTCTCACCGGTTTTGAAAAAGACGAACCGTAGGGAGAATAGTGACCATGGCGCGGGTGCAGGGAGAGGATTCACGACGTGAGAGTTGCAGGAGCCTGCAGATGCAGCTGCAGGTTGGGACGTCCGGCTTCACTCTTGTTTGGACGCAACTCCTGCATGAACGGGTCTGCAGACGAACATGAACCAATTTCAAGGCCGGAAGCGAATGGTCTGGCTGCAGCGGATTGTGATCAGGGCTGAGGTGTAATGGGCCGGTGCCGCGACTTTGCGAAAGGCGAGTCGTGGAGCGAGTCGTGGACTTTCTCATGCGTGTTGCGTCGACGAGATACCGTCAAGACTGGCCTCTTGAAAGAGCCCAAAATAGTTGATCGGCCGCCATCAAGGTGCCATGAAATAGCACCTAAGCCAGGACAATGCAGGTGTGATGGGATGTGTCGAGGCACACACCCTCCTGCGGTCTACACGTCTCTCTACTCGCTTCTGCTCCCTCTACCGCCCCACGAAATGCCTCGGGCTCACCAATTGACTCCTCGTAATGGGTTTGGCAGCCACCTAAGTCTACGACCCCTTGCCCTCTGTCAGGTTCTGCCCGCACTTTGCCATCCTCCATTGTGGCTCAAGATTCGCCAGGTCGATGGCAACGAGAGAATAGCCAGGGACCAAGCACGAAGGCTGCAGCTGACTGACTTGACTTCTTGATCTCTTGACTCTCTTTGCACTCACTCCTTCTTCTACAGCCGCCTGCTGCAAGCAACCGCGCGCTGTCCCTGACCCATTGTTTTCTCCTATATCCTGCCGCCGGGCTGGGTCTGCTCAATCCCATCACTCTAGTCATCGTTGCGCAGGCGATGAAACAGTCCTGGGCCATCTCAGTCCCCGCTCCAACTACCGCATTTGTCCCGAGTACACCTTCATCCTACGGAGAACTTTGTCCTGACTCCTGCATCGCCGGCCGTCCTACTCCTTTCTAGCCTGAGGTAACGTTCTGATCCCGGTTCCAGTCCCTTCGATCCACAGACGCCCGCCCCGAGCAAAAGGGACAAAAGGACCCCAAGAGGAGGTTGTGTGTTTGAGAAAGAGACATTTTTGAGCGCCTCGCAAAACTGCGGCTCTGCTTTTTGGTTGCCATTCGCGGCCATTGATACGTCAAGCTACAATGACCAGCCTCACCCGCATTGCCATATCTCGCAGCCAGATCGCTGTCTGGTGTCTCTTGCACGACTCTTGACGGCTCCTCGCACACCTATCAGCTCTCAGAACTGCTATGTTGTGTCTAGTCACCACCGGCTTCCTGTCCACAGTCATCTGCTTGTCTCCATAGATTGGCCCAACCTCAGTGCACCGTCCGATCTGGACGTCCATGTCCGCGCCTCCTTCGGTATCTGACTCGGCTTTGGGTTTAACTCAGTCTGAACTCGTTCTCCTCCGCCATCACTATCAGGTCGTCACCCAGCGACACCCTCCGCGCGGCGCAATGGCCGACCGAGGCCGAGGCACAAGCAGACAGTCTCAACCCAGTTCTCGCGCAGCCAGTGCGGCGAGTAGTCAAAGTGCCCCTGGGAGGATTGTTCTGGATTCCGACACTCTCCAGAACCTATACCTGCACCTTGAAAATGTGATGAGCGCTATCCAACGCCGCATCGATCAAGTATGTACTATTTGCAATTTTCCTGGTGCCGTTGTCCGCCCGCTGACTGCTTTTAGCTCGAGGAAGCCACTGCACAATCTGTTGCAGCTTCGAGAGATCGATCAAATGCTCTCTTCTATAACACAAATTCTAATATCTCACGAGTACACAAAATAATAGCCGAGATCGATCGTTGCGAAGCCGAATTTGAGAAGGCCAAGCGAGTCCGGGATAGAGTCAAACAGTTGAGAAATGAAGTCGACGAAATGGATGCTCGACTGGATCGCACCCTGGATCGCAGCAGCCGCCCTACCAGCTATGTCACGGCTGGAACTCGTCCTCGTCGCTAATGTGCTGTCCGCCCAGGACAGAAGATGGCGAGGACACGCATGCACCTTCGGTTTCGACCCAACCCTACCCATCACTCCGGGAAGCGCATAACTGTGGCAACTCTCATGGTGCCCACTTTGAGGCCTTCTGGTTGTTTTACAAGTCTGTTTCGCGGCGAAATACAGAGTCGGGAGCCTCACGGCTGGTGATTGATTCACGAGATACGTCTGATGATTGTATGACTATTTCTAGGAAATCTGGTCTGGAGCGATTGGTTGCAATCTTGGTGAACACGATTTTGAATTCGGTGTTGGATGGCGCAATGAATATTACCATCGTGGCTCAGCTTCCATGTTGGGCTGTGCTCCTTTGTTGGCGAGCATGTGCTTAGAAGTGTCCAGGCTCACGCCACAAAACAGACACCTTGATGGCCAGGAATTATGGGATACGGTGTATTTTTGTTTTTCAGATGGCTGAATTCATATCTCTCATTGGAACGTGACCAGGTTTTATACGTATCAATCGTCCTCGTGTTTAGTCAACCTCTGTAGGTCTCTCCTTCTGGCGTATTGCTCCGACTGGGAAGCGCTTGGTGGTTCCACATTTGTTGCATCGTACCTCCAGAACATCTGCCCACGTCTTGTTTCCATTCCTGCTATCGTTTTTGATAATCTCTGTACTTGTCCTTCCAGGAATGAGGAGACAATCACAGCGTTTGCAGATGGCGTGTTTCAGCTCTGGAGCGATACGGATCTGTGATTTTCGGGAGACTCCACGAAGATGGCTTAAGAGTCTGGTTGATTCTGGTAGGCCTTGCTCGGCACTCCCTGTGTCTTTTGCGGAGGAATCACTCAAATGCGACTGCTCATGATGAGAAGTCCTCGGATGTCCTTCTGCTTTTGTGAGCAGTGTCGCAGCTTGATGTAGGAAAGATAGTCTTGAGTAAAGATGCTTCTGTGGCACGTTAGAGCCATCCTTCTTTGAAGCCTGTGCTTTGGCCATGGCGGTCTTTAATTGGAAGGTGCATCCCAATCCACAAGAAGGCTGGTCTCGTAGTCTTGAGAAGGTTCTAGTCCGCCATCATTGACTTTATTCCCTTGTGTTGGAAACTATGTTCGCAGGTTGAAGGGACTTTTTCGCCTCCGGAGGAATAAGGCTGAGTCATAAGGCTGCGAACAGGCTGGAATGCACTAAGCTACTCTGCGTTAGAGAAGTCACGTGGACGTGTCAAATGCCCCTGCTGCAAACAATTCACCTTTCATCAATAACAACCTGTTCGCAGGCATCACTCTGTCATTCAACGTGCTCAACTTGCGCCTCCATCCATTCACAATTTGTTTCATCTCACAGGCCTTTGTTGGTTCTGTCATTGATCTCTGACCCTTGTTTCCTTTGATCAAGTCCTTGGAATCGAAGTTTTCTCCCGACCTCACCATTACACAGCTTTTGCGCCTGACCAACCCCTAACGCCACATATTTCATCCATCAAAGATGTCTGCTGAAGAAGATCTCATCGACTACTCTGACGAGGAGCTTCAGGCCACTGAAACGCCCGCCGCGGGTGCGACAAATGGAGCCTCGAAGAAAGGCGACTTGACTGTCAGCGGTGGAAAAGCAGGAGACAAGGGCAAAGGCAGTTATGTCGGCATCCATTCAACGGGTTTCCGAGACTTCCTGCTCAAGGGCGAACTGCTGCGAGCAATCACCGACTGCGGTTTCGAACATCCATCGGAGGGTTAGTCATTCATTCCTGCAAGAAATATCCCTCCACGTTTCTTCCTGCGCGAGAGTCCGTCCATCTCCAAGATCAAGAAAGCATGAGTCCAAAGAAGATATACTCGTTGAAAGTTGTTTTGTTCCGGTACGATTGTCGATGCCACATGCTGGCGAAACAAGGCCGATGGTTTCACGCGACTTGGTTCGCGTCCACTACGTTGCTGCGTCAACAGAAAGCAATCCCACACCGAACTGTGAGAGCAGTGAGGATCTGGCAAGTCGTAAGATTTGCTTTTTGCTGCCAGATTGATATGCTGAGAATGCTGTCAATTCTGAACCGCAGAATTCACGGCGCTGTTGTGCTTTCGAGGTAATACTCGATTAGCCCAGTGGTCTTGAGGCTGGATTGCTGGTGATTCTGAGAAACCCTTCATTTGGGAATTAAGAGGGGGTTAAGGACCAGACTATGCTACGACTGGGGAGATGGACGGACCGATTGCGAATCTGTTTCGTCGTTCTACGCAAGTTTATTTCTCGAACAAGTCTAACATCATCGATCCTGCAGTCCAACAAAAGTGTATCCCTCAAGCTCTTCTGAGCGTCGACATTTTGTGTCAAGCCAAGTCAGGTCTTGGTAAGACTGCCGTCTTCGTCTTGACAACCTTGCATCAGCTTGAGCCGGTCCCCGGAGAGTGTTCAGTCCTGGTTATGTGCCACACTCGAGAACTTGCCTATCAAATCAAGAATGAGTACGCGCGATTCAGCAAGTATCTTCCAGACGTGAAGACTGCCGTCTTCTATGGTGGTACTCCTATCCAGAAGGACATCGAGCTTCTCAAGAACAAGGAGTCCTTCCCAAACATCATTGTCGGTACTCCTGGACGATTGAATGCTCTCGTCCGCGACAAGGTCCTATCCTTGCGGAGTGTCAAGTGCTTCGTTCTCGACGAATGCGACAAGATGCTAGACCAGATCGGTATGTGTGCCTCAAGATGATTATCTTGATCACGTCACTAACCACCTCTGCAGATATGCGTCGTGACGTTCAGGAAATCTTCCGTTCTACCCCAACCGAGAAACAAGTCATGATGTTCAGCGCCACGCTTCCCAAGGATATCCGACCAATCTGCCGAAAGTTCATGAGGAATCCCCTTGAGGTCTTTGTGGACGATGAAACCAAACTCACTTTGCATGGTCTCCAGCAATACTCGATCCGTCTTAGTGAAGGCGAGAAGAACCGAAAGCTCAATGACCTTCTCGACAGTCTTGAGTTCAACCAAGTTATTATCTTTGTCAAGAGCACCATTCGAGCAACTGAACTTGATAAATTGCTTCGCGAATGCAATTTCCCCAGCATTGCAGTTCACTCTGGCGTCAGCCAAGAGGAACGGTAAGTCTCAGTTTGTATAACGGCTTTGATGCTCTTGCTGACCTCAGGTTAGGATCAAACGATACAAAGAGTTCAAAGAGTTCAACAAACGTATTTGCGTTGCAACCGACGTTTTTGGTCGTGGTATCGATATCGAGCGTATCAATTTGGCAATCAACTACGATTTGCCTCCCGACGCCGATTCTTATTTGCATCGTGTGGGTCGCGCCGGTCGATTCGGTACCAAGGGTCTCAGTATCTCCTTCGTCGCTAGCGAGGAAGACGAGAAGGTGCTGCAGCAAATCGAAGAGCGCTTCCAGGCCAAGGTTCCTCCATACCCTGAAGGCGGTGTCGACTCCAGCACCTACATGGCGTCTTAAGCACTAGGCCCTCTGATGTCTCGATGGAGGCATTTCATCGAGCGTGTGACAATACTGGTGGATGTTGGTCTAGGTTGAAATGGAAACCCAGGGCAAATTGAAAAATTGGGGCTTTAGAACGTTGGTGTTTCGACATTCAAAAGCTTTCATGGTTACCAATGTACTCGATGTATTCAACAATGAAAATAGCAATGACTGATGCTAGTTCAATCGCCTTGCGTGTCTGAAGAGTGGCTCCATCTCTTTTTGAACGTGTCACTTTGTCGTAAATGAGGCGTGGTTGTGTGTGTGTGTGTGTGTGTGTGTGTGGAGTAGAGCCATTTCACACAATGCAGTCGATTTTTCCGGGTAGTTTGGAACACGGAAGCTCAAAAGAGAGGATGCCGATATGGAGAGAGTCAAACTTGGGACAGGAGAACGCGGGCTAGATGGATCTATACTGTGTACGCTGAATCTACTATATGCTATGCACAAGGTACCGATATCTACATCCACGGGTGGCTGGCTTGGGTGGATTGTATGTACTCGTGGTCCTTCCCTTTGTAATGGCAATCTGTAATCAACACCAACGTGCTGTTGACATGACCAGGCAGGCAGGCGCTTCTGGAGGAGGAAGCAAAGCTGGGAAACTAAGTTAGGCGTCCAACTTCAACCGCTCAAGCAGCGAGTCAATCTTGCCCAGCAGAATCTGGTAGTTGACCGCATCAGCAGCGAACTCGTCACCCGCCAGTTCTCCGTCCAGGGTCCTGACGGCGCCCGACTGCAGAAGCGACTCTGCTGTGGCTTCTTCCACTTTCGCGTTCTCTGGCGGACTCATGTCCACCCCTTCGTCGGCAGGCATCTGCTGAGATTGACTTGGGGACATGCCACCTAGCGCCTTTGGAGCTTGTGGTGCGGACTGTGCGGCGGCCGCGACGGTTTCAGTGGTCTCAGCGACGAAGCCGTCTTCCACGGGAGGGCCGTTGGGGAGAGCGTTGGCCGCGGCCGCCGCCATGGCCGCCTCTTCGTCCATGACATCTTCCAGGCCGGAGTCTTCGAAACGTAACCTGAAACGCTCGGACAGATAGTACCGTATATCGTCCAACAGCTCGATCGAGTCCGTTTCCTGTCTTGCGCTGATGCGGCCGGCGGACTCTTTCACCAGGTCCGCAAACTCCGGGTCGTCAATGAACGCCTCCAGCCTGTACGCAATGTAACGAGCGGCGAACTCCTCGAGCCGTTGGACGCGTGTCAGCCAGGCGGCACGAAGGATCTCGTAGATATCCATATCTTCATCTTCGCGTGTGGGACCGTCGGGGGCCATGGCCGTGGCCGTGCCGTTTCCGAGGGTCGAGATGACGAGCGCTGCTTTGGCCTTGACTTTTTCCAAGAACAGCATGTCCGCGGCGAAGAGGACGTCGACGGCAATGTCGAGGCCAAAGTTTGTCTGCTCCGTGTACAGAAACGTCAGGATGATCTCGAGCACTTGCGGTGAGCAGTCTATCGGCACAATCTGAAGGTGCGGCGTGTGTTGAGCTTCGCGGAACGGCGAGTCGAACATTGTCATGAAGAACTCGGAGCGAATGAGCATGGCCTTGTGGCATGGGTAGATTTTGCAACGGCGGGGCCGCCGAGACGGCGAAGAAGCACGCGAGTTGCGCGAAGGCGGCCCGTCTAAGGGAATGCCCAGCGCGTTGGTGGACGTTGTACGTGGTCGAGTCAAGTCGTCAACAGTACCGTTGGTGGCTTCTTCTTCTTCTTCGGGTTCGTCCTCGTCCGCCCGAAGGAGGACGTCCGCAAAGATACCATTGTCTCGGTCCCATTTGATGCTATCGGCGCGGGACGTGTCGGTTTCGATTGCGTGTTTGAGAACGTTTTCGCGGAACCACTGTTCAAGCTGGTCGCGACCCTTTTCAACTTCGTCTTGGCGTCTTTGCCGGGCCAGTCGTCTGTCGCTACTATCCAGAATGAGTTGTGACAGGTTTTGAATCTCGAGGTGCTTGCTGATCCGGTCCACTCCGGCGAGCACTTCGGAATCGGTGAAACCTGTGCCTGGACCGCCACCGAGCTCTCGGGGTATTTCGCCTAGGTATAGATGTTTGAGAGCGATGCCGAGGGATTGAGGAGGGATAGTTGACGGAAGTTTCCACGATGTCGTGTCTGGCGCGGCTGAGAGTTTGCTCCTGAAGTAAGGGGATCGTGCTGAAAGGATGAATTTATGTAGGTGAAAGGACTCAAGGGTAGTTACAACTGAAATGTCGGAGGTCTTGGGTTGTTCTCTGGTGAGTAACGAGATCAGGTGTGATGCCAGTGGTTGTAAGGGATCAGTCGATTTCGAGTAGTCATAGGAAAGCAGTAGATTTCGTATTCGATCATTCAGGGCGTTGTATAGACACCTGTACGCATAGCCATGGTGAGGACGGCGGACAGATTCGTCGGGCATAGGACATACCTCTCTCCTTGAAACGTGTCTCGCTCACAGAGGGCGCCGGATTCTAACAATAACTGCACTACTTCGTAGTGTCCGCATAAACTGGCCTTACTCAGGGTCAGCCGTTATCCGTCGCAAAGACGGGGGAAGGCGGTGGCAATATCATTCCCCCAAAAATTTGATACTTACCAATATAAGAGGCGTATAATCGTACTGGTCTTTGGCGTTGATGTTGGTGCCCTCTTGTATCATCTCCTGGCAGACTTTCAAGTCGCCTCGTCTGCAGGCGCTGCATAACTTTTGAAAATTCTCGCTGAAGTCGAGGGGGTTGTCTTCCTTCAAGATTCCCTCTTCGATCAACTTCTTCTCGTCGTGAAGACTTCTTTCGAGCTGATCTTTACGGAGCAATCCATTGGCGCTCATGGTCTTCAGGAAACGCAAAGAAGACCTCTATATCAGTCTAGATGATGACTTAGGAATAGAAACAACAAAGAAAGAAAAACGCGCAGTGGTCGAGTGCTGGAGTCGAGTACCTCGTCATATCAAGATCGGTCGGACATAAGTGGGAGGCGACGGCCCAATGGCCGGATCTCAGATTAGATAAGATTTGGGCTTTTGTGTCACGTGCATGTAGTTTTCTCGCCCGCAGCCCACACTTTGAAATTTCGCAGTTGGACGAGGCTGGCCCACTGTGAGAAAGGCCGATCGCAGTTTGGTTCACCAGCAACACCACTTCTCTGGCAAAAGAAAGAGTCAAGAAGGGAAGCGTACCACAATCGCCTCAGTCGCTTTCAGATCTTTCTTCACTTGCCAGAAGTTTGTCCAACATGGCTGAACAGGATTCTTTCCTCCACATTGCGAGGCCCTTGGGTCCCGCTGCTGTCGGTGCACAACCTACGACCGCTCCCCTTCGAGTCGTGATACAGCCACAAGTAAGTTGAAGCGACTGAAGAGGCCACTCCAGGCGTCGACTGACGCACGTTCTCTAGGCTCTCTTCTCTATCCTTGACCACTGTACTCGCCGCCCACCCGACCAACAACGAGTCATCGGCACCCTCCTTGGAACCCGCTCAGATGCCGATGAATCTCAAGTTGTCGTCCACTCCTCCTTTGCAGTCAGCCACACCGAGACCACGGACCAAGTCGAGGTCGACATGGAATACCAAAAAGCCATGCTTGCGCTGCATCTACGAGCAAACCCCAAAGAGGTGCTGGTGGGCTGGTACGCGACCAGCTCCGAGTTGAACACATTTTCCGCCTTGATTCAGAACCACTACAGCAGCCAAGGCGAAGGCACGTATCCTTATCCTGCAGTCCACATCACCGTGTCATGCCAGCCTGGCCAGGACACCGAAGTAAGAACTTACATCTCGTCCCCGGTTGGCGTCAACCCGGAGAGGGCGGCCGACTCTGCGGCATTCATCCCAGTTCCGTATGCGGTCAACTATACTGAGGCCGATCGGGCGGGTATCGAGGCTCTTGGACTCGCCAAGAATTCCGAGACGAGGACGGCGGGGGTTTTGACGGACATTGAGAACCTGGAACGCTCGCTGGAAGACACGGTCGCCATGCTGGACCGAGTTGCGAAATACGTGGAAAACGTCATCGAGGAAGAGGAAGAGCCTTCGACAGCACTAGGTCAATTCCTGCTCAACACTCTGGCTCTGGCACCAAAGGTCGATCCTGCAGATATCGAAAAGGACTTCAACAACCATGTTCAGGATGTGTTGACGGTGTCATATCTTGCTAACATGATCCGTACTCAAATGGATTTGTCCAACCGATTAGCGACAGCGCAATTAACGATGGGCGGCGGCGACGCAGGCACGCAGGAGAAAGGACAGAGACAGAACAGACAAGGAGGTCAGACCAGGCAAAATCGTGCCGAAAGTGTGACTTTGACGAACATGTGAGCAGGGAATGAATGATTTATGCTTTATTTCTCTTCCTGGAAAAATATGGTGCAAACGAGCATGCTTCTGGCTCCGGCAGCATAGCTATGGCTTTATTGTTTTAAGCCACGAACAAGCGGCGTCTGGAGCCATAAAAAGTGTATCCGAACGAATGCCTCGGGATTTGCGAGTTGGGAAAGCAGATACATAAGTTGTAGTCTGCGGTGGCTGCAACTCAGCAACAGATGCTTTTGACGGTTGGGGGACCTTGGCAGTCGTAGGTAGATGAGGCCAGCTACTGGCGTCTGAAAGAAACAAATACCATTATTGCAGCGTTGACCTCGCGTATCCCATGCCGTCCATAACATTTGTGCAAGTCTGTCCAAACGAGACGTAGATACCATCTCATTGGGTACCACAGAAGTCTATCGGAGAGTCTTGTTCTTGTCGAAGACTCACTTTCGCCAGCAAGTGAATTCTTTCCTTTTGAGGTCATTTGACGGACGGTTGTGTGATGATGGATAGATAGTTCTTCCTACATCTGTCGTGGTTCGAATGCAAAACTGTCCCTCGAAACGCTACTCAACCGACCTCACTCCTGGCTCTTTTACTGGCAGGCTCATCGAGATCATCCTCCACAGTGCCGTCCACGCCCACGCCTCCCACTGGTGCCCCAGCTCCAGTGACATCTTCCTCACGGTCGCGCTTCTTCCGCCGTCCACGCCCTCGACCTTTCCCCTTGCCCGTGCCTTCTTCGCCCACGACTTCGCCCAGGTTCATCAGGTCCCCTACACCCAGCTTGTTCCCCTCGCGGCCCTCGTTCGTGTCAAACAACTTCTTCTTGTTGTCTATGTCGCGTTTCTTCTTGAACATTTCCTGCACACGGCCGAGCTTGATGCTGTCCTTGCGCAGCACGAACTCAAAATCGCTCAGCTTCAACTTGGTGCGGCCAGAGTACGTGGCGACACTGACGGCATTGTGGCACGTTTCGATGATGAAGTCGGTGAGGATCTCGTCGAGAACCCGGAGGGTCTCGGGAAAGGGCTGGTTGAAGGGCGTAGGGGCGCTGGTGGTGTTGGGCGTAGGTAGAGAGGTCAGGTATTTGGATGAGGCCGAGCCGAGGGGCGACACGATGTCGGGATGTGTCGGTGCGCCGTAGGCGTAGAGGAGAGCAGAGAGTTCGGGGCCGAAGTTGAGGCTGGTCTTATGCCGGCCAGCTCGAGCGCGTGGCTCCATTCTTTTGTTCCCGTGGTAGTTCCTGGGGAAGGGGGTGACAGATTGAGAGGTTGTGGATATTGATGTGCAGAATTCCTAGGTATCAATCGATCCCCCTTTTCAGAATCAGGTGTCGAGAACGGTTGCTTGATTCATATTCCAGAGAATAAATGCTGAGATCGGACGGGCGAGGAAAATTGGTCGTGAAGTTCGATACAGATGTACAGGATGAACGCGCAAGTGAGAGACGAAGTCGATCCCCGCAAGGCCAGGCAAAAGCAAGGCTGAGAATGCGTACCGGCGGATATATTATCCGACACAGACTAAGGGTACGACTAACAAGGAAGCTCTTCCTCTTGCTCGTCTGGCACCAACCCTTGTTTCTCGAGTCAAGATGCGAACACTCCGGAACATGCATAGGAAGAATCCCTAGGACCTGTAGTGGATTTTCTACTATAGTGTACTGAAAATTGCTCGTGCTCATTGGTACCCGGCTTCCAAGGCTCCCATGGCTCAAAACAGAGTTCTACCTCCACTGTTCATTCCATGCTTCCCAGTGAGTCTTCGCAGCAGGTCTTCGAGCCAAACCCCACCGCTGAAGTTCCTTAGTTTCATCGTCGATATCCGAGTCTGTTTCTCTCCAGATCTCAAAGTCAATGATGGTACTGGCGAACGCCATATCAGTAACGAAGCCACGGTGCTTAGCAAAAGATTGAAAACCACATGGCTTACCATCTCTCGGTCTCTCGCTCCCACAGGACATTTCGCAAAGCACAGTCGACGGGTTCTATTCCAAGAGCATATATTGACCTGTAAGGGAGAGACAGGTCAGTTGAAGGGCGACCGCCTACGGAGAAGACGTCTCCTCATATATTCCAGTGTACTGGACCGGGAGGCTAGGTTTATCTTACCTTAGAGCGACCAGGAAAGCCTGTATAATATTTTCCCTCTCTTTCTCTGGCATCCCCCAGAAGTACAAGTTGTGTAACGAGTCGCCGGGCATTTTGGTCATGACCGTGAACGTCATATACCCATTGGGAAATGGGCCATTGGAACCCTGGATGGTTCTCTTGTAGTTGACAAGCTGCGGAGCAAAGGAGGTATGGGCTCCACGAAATTTCGTCAGGGCTTTCACTTCAGCCCTTGTAGTGTTGCTTGACTCGACTTCAGCTCCGTCAAGGTTGTCATCCTGCTCACGATGAGGGACTCTGACGATGTAAGCTCAGCTCAGCTCCCAAATCTCGGCAATGGCATCGTAATTTTTCCTGGACAGAAAGCCTACCTGACCTTGATCTTCATGATGTATTCCTGTGGGCCGACATCGCGTTGACCTGTCTGTTTGCACGTGAAAACAATACGGGCTTCAGGCGGCGTGCCATCGTGGCACTGTCGATACGTAGTCAGCGGCTCCAGCAGTTCGTACGACGCTCCATCATCAAAATGAATGATCTTGTCGATGAACGAGGGGACCACGATAGCATATCCCTCGCCCATGTTGTCCGGTTATGAGGCTGAGGACGTCCGCATCAGGTCACAGGTTTGTTGTCTCAAGGAGAACGGAAGTGCATCTGAGATGAACATAGACAGTCCAATACAAGAAGCTAAAATGCCACAATGTCGATAATGCATCAATCCAATTGCTCACACGTCTAACGTGCTCGGCTTACTGGCATTGGCTGTCAGGCGGGACTGTGCATTTCGGACGACAGGGAAGTAACGCAAAAAACAATGCGGTACAGATAACGGAGAACCAGCACTCCGTACTGTCTGACAAAAGGACCCTCCAGCCTGGGGAAGTGTGCACAGCTTAAAAACAGCGATAGGAGCCCCCTCGAGATCGTAAAAGCAGCGCAGACCGCCGTCCCATTTTGACAGCCGCCAAGAAAAGGATGCCGCAAGGCCAGATGTTCAACCTCCGCCCAAGCAAACTGAATGAGCCTCGTCATCTTCAAACCACATTTCAACTGTCAGTTAAATCCTCTCCCAGTGCACGACAACCCGACACGTACGGTCTTGACGACTAGTAGCTTAATCTAAAAAGGAGAACGGTATCCTGGCCTGCATCCGGGGCAGAACATCTTGCTGCGACCAAGAGACCAACGAGTCTTTCTCACCACTCTTCCGATCACAATGGTAATGTTCATCATACCCATTCTCCGTTTCACCACAGGAGTGACAAGATTGTCATTTCCTACTCCACTCAGGGCACGCGGTTATCCTAACACGTTGTTTGTTTGTCTGTAGACTGCGATATTCAACTTCCAGTCACTCCTCCTCGTCATACTACTGATAATCTGCACCTCGACATACGTGCACGCCATGTTTCCCAGCGTCCTGGACCGGAACAAAGATGGGTAAGTGAGTGAGCGATCGAGCGATCGATCTAGCTGTTTCGACCATAAACCCAAAAGAAATCCAATCGTCCCCCGGCACCACACCGAAAGGAGCCCAAAACTGGAACAATGAACACCGCCGCACCTCCCCCAAGTTCTCACAAACTCGGAATTCTAACACACATCCCTCCCACAGAGTCATGGGCATATTCTGGAAATGCGCACGGATAGGTGAACGTCTGTCACCATACGTTAGTATATTCTGTGTAGCAATGGCTGTAAGTTCTTTTCTAGTTTTGAGAGCACCCCCTCCCCCCTCCGATGTTGTCCACCCCCCCGACCCCGGTCTCCACCCTCCCGATTAATCCACCCAACTCTCAAGTCTCTCAGTCTCGACCATGGGAACACCACCAACTGACATACCCGATTCTATAACACCCACAGGGTTCTATTATGATGGGATACCTGTCATAAAGAAGGAACATTCATAAGACATTTTTTTTTGGTCTTTGTCTTCTTTCTTTCCATCACCTGTACCTTATAATCGAAGTCACGACTACGACCACAAACTACAACTACTACGCTCCGTACACTACGATACCCCACGCCACCACCACGTATGTTGTATGAGCATACAGGGATCATAAAATGTTAAGGAGGACCTCGGGGGGGGGGGGGGGGAGCTAAACTACAGAGTCCTCTCCTCTGCTCAGCTCAGCTCGGCTGCCTTCCCCTCGCTCAACCGACACATGAAAACACACCCCGCCAGGGAACAAGAGAATCAAGCTTGAGCCCACCAGAGCAACTTTTCATGCCCCAAAAATCAATATTACAAACACAATACAAGTTTACCTTTGCTGCCTTTGATTGATCCTGTCGGTGCGGAAAAGGTACCTCCTCCACAGACATGGGACAACAAAGTCGAACACGACAAGGCCAGCGCGAGACAGAGAAAGGAAAAGGGAGACAGAGGCACAGAGACCTAGAGGGAGCAATATCCTCCCTCACACCGTGCGAGGCAATCACCACGCTTCAAGGATCGAGCAAATATAGAGGTCGGCAGTCAGAGTAAAAGATGGGGGACGAGGCAATAGAAGCTGCCTAACTTAAGTCTTGTCTTCAAAAAGTCGCACTGTCAACGTTGGCTCACAGTTCTGGAATCATTCCACAACCTCTTTGGTTCCCATTAATCATACTTTTCGCAAAAAGACAAAAGGAGTGGTTGGCGCGTACATGACAAGTGTGCAGCGCAAAATGGTCATCTTCGCCACTCCCAAAAGTTCCATGTGCTGAACGCTTCAAAAACACTCTCAACTCCACGCTATCAGTAAACAATACCATGCGTCCTTCCAACTTTACCCAGCGACCTTGGCTAGGTTTTGGACGTACTAAAAAACCGACTGCTGATCCTGGTCCATTAAATAACACCATCTTGCCATCTCATGCCTGCCCCGAGCGGTAAATCATCTACTGGTATACACGAAAGGAAATCTGTTCTCTTCTCCAATGCGTCGTGCCCGGTGCGCAGCAATGCCATCGCCCAAACCATGGCCCCTGCGGTCGTTACGTTCGTGTCGATCCGTATACTCCAGTTCGTCCCTGTGCTTGCCGTGTGCAATGACTGGCGCTTCTGGCATGCCAATGAATTCGCCGAATGTCATCATCACCTCTTCTTCCACGAGTTGGGGTAGCTCTTTGGGATCCTCGCTCTTATCCACCTGTACCCATGCTCGAACCTCAACCTGCTGTACGCTTCGGCGGACTTCCTGGTGCGCATTGGAAAACTTGCGCCGCCGATCGAGGCACTGATACTTGAGCAGATTCCCAATAATCTGCTTCTTAGGAGGTCGTGAAACCGACTTTGCATCAACTTGGTGTTCCATTTTCCTATCCCAACTCCGATCAATCTCAAACAAGTCCCTCGATCGCTGAGGTTGCCAAAGGGGGTCGATTCGTCGAGGAGGCGGCGAATCATCTCCAACCTCTTCTTCTTTCTCTGCTTCTTCTTCTTCATCTTCTTCCTCCTCCTGCTCCTCCTCCTCCTCCTCGTTACCTGTGTCTGACTCGAACTGGACGCCACGGGCTTGTAGCTTTTGGATCGCCTTCTCTTCATCGGCCCTAGACCAGTAACGCGGCTGAACAGACGGTTTTCCTGGTTGGACGGGTCGGCCTAGGACTAGGTCGGTTAGATGGCCCATGACTTCACTGAGTTGAATGGTGGGTGCACTTTCGGCCCGCATCCATTGTTGTCCTGATGAACGGTCCATTTTACGCAGCCCGTCATCTTTTATTCGTCCAGGAATACCGTCGATATCGACAGTTTCATCTTCAAGCTCATCCAATGTCTGTATCGGAGAGTCGCCTTGCGACGAACCTTGCGCAGTCCGAACTATCTTATCCCAATCTCGGCGTGTGAGTGTGTTGTGGCCGGGATATCGCATGTGATACTTGCTGATAAACATTGAACATTTTGTTGGGCTCAGAAGGCCGTTCATATCGTGTAGACATCGTTTGTGGGTTCCGCTCTGATTGCAACGACGACATCTTTTAAAATGGCCGTTCGACAATACCAGGTCTGCACCTGACGACGCTGTCGCAGTGGCATTGGACGCATACTCCCCATTCACATCCATACGGGAGTGATCGGACCTGTGCTGATGAGAACCCTTGGAAGAAGGTCGAAAAGTTTCGGATTTTGAAAAGCTGTTTTTACCACCATTCTCGCGTGTGACCAGTTCATCCTGGCCCAGTGTGGTCTTGTTGTCGCTTCTTGCCATAGGAGGTGACATGGGTGTGGTAGACATGTGAGGGCTAGCCGACATTGAGTTCTGGAAACTCGAGAGCGCCTGAGGTGCCGCTAGCTGATGTACATACCTACCTGAGTGGGACTGCTCTACCGTGTCGTCAATGATCTTTGCCTGAGTAATATCTGGCTTTCCCCTGTTAGAAGGGGTTTGCTGGCTTGTGCTTGTCAAAGGTGCTCGTTCTTCGATGACTGAGCCTTCACTAACGGATGGCTGCAGGCTAGTAACAGCATCTTGCCCCTGAGCCTGCTCGGCTGATGTTGGCGACAGCCGAGATCTTTTGATTATATTCAAGTGATCGTCCGTTGCATGTCGTTTCAGCCTATTAGCAACGAGAGCTTGCTGGAGGGTCGCGTCGTCTTGTGACTGAGTAGCGTAGAGCGGCAGAAATTCCTCCGACATCCTTACAGCACTCTGCTCTTCCGAGAATGGCGACATAGGCATTGGGGACAGAGTGATACCACCACCGACTGACGGTGTGGGATACTCAGCTCCGGCAGCTGATGCTTTACACCCAGGACAATGAGAGGCGTTGATTGTCGTCTTCTTACAGACAGTACACAGCTTGCGAGTAGCTGCGCTGTCCTGGCTCTTGTCGTTATCTATGACTTGTTGGGCCGCAGAAGTGAGAGAAGGTTGATTCTGTACAATGTTGCGAATGTTTCGCGGGCGTGAATCAAAAGGACGCGATCTCTTAGCCATATGCCTCTTTGCGGACTCTGCAATTGTTCCCTCCTCGGTAGCATTTGAACCAGAGGCTTGAATCGAGAATTCCAGAGGCTTGGTAGGAGAGTCACTCGATCTCTGTTGTGAATGGTCATTCGGTTCCATCACAGGATTGCTTGGCATACTGTCACTTGAAAAGCTGGCTTTTCGGAACTTCACTGGCGTTTCTCGTGCGCTTCTAGCCCACAATGGAAGTGAAGACTCCCCAGAGGGTGGATGAGAAGTACTTTGGCGGCCTCCCATGCTCGGATTTGGAAGGCTTTTGTTAGGACGGCAAGCTGCCTCCACCTCGACACAGGATACGCCACCTTGGGCATGAGAATAAGGACACTGTTTATCCTTCCATCTGCATGGCTGCTGTCGTTCCCAGCGAGGACAGGTGTACGACTTCAAAGAGTACGGTCCCGGCTGAGTCTCAGGTCCTTTGACTGGCTGCCATGCTACTATGCCGGTTTCCTTATGTGCGAAAAGACATGCGTCGTTAGCCTGCCTGCAGTATCCTGTGTGCCAGTAGTAGCATGTAATGTGCTTTTTAGATGGTCGGTGATCGCGACCCATGTATAAGCCAGTATCGGCGTGAGCGTACCAGCAATCTTCCTCTCGTCTGTAACAGCGCCCGTAAAGCCAAAAGGAACAAGTGAACTCTTTGGCAGGTTGTGCACCAGATGGAGCGTATTGACCAGTGTCAGTATGTGCAAATTCGCAATGAGGTTCAGCGAGCACACACTCGCTCGATTGCCACCAGGGACACGTAATATGTTTGTACCGATCGCTTTGCTTCGCAATAATCACAGCTCCCGAAGCCTTCGACGTCTCCTGTAGGTCACGTGGAGGTCCAGCCCACGTGATGGTCATTGGAACTTCATTGCTAGGTTGCACCTTCTTGATCCCGGAAGCAGCTGTATGACTGAAGGAAGGGACTGAACTTGCGGGTTGGAGGCTTTCAATGGAATTCCCAGGAGGTAGAATTTGTGCCTCTGACTTATCACTAGCCCCAGCTTTTAGTTCCATTTTAAGGCATCTTCCACACACAAAGTCTTCTGAGCTAGCACTGTGAGGGTCGTCAGATTAGGACTTAAACCATCATTAATTTGACGAACCTTTGAGAAGGCTTAGGATCTCCACAACCTTTGTGGAAACCCCGACGACATTTCCTGCATGGTATTAATGGTAGAAGCTGATTTCCAGATTTCCGACAGCCTCGGCACATATTTTGAGTGCGAGACGTTGTCGAAGTGGATGAGGCCGTCTCTGTCAAGTAAGAACGTGCTAGTCCTACGTCTGCCAGGGACGGGATGCTCTTGTTAACAGGTTGATTAATTGGCTCTTGAGTGAGCTTGTTAAATAACATAGCATGTTCAGACCCTGCCCCGTCGCCGTTGATAGTAAGAGGAGGGCTGTAGGGAGGGCTCCTAGGGAGGTGGGAGGTCAAGACTCGTGGTGATGACGCATGAGACGACGGGACGGTAGAAAATGTATGATCGACGTTCTCTGGAGAAAAGGATGGTCGACTGTCCTTTTGCGGCGGGTCAGCAGCACCGGCAGTACGGACCCTCGCATATCTGTGATGGGCATCATCCTCAACTCTCGGTATATGACCGGCGGCCAACTCTTGCTGTCTATCAGGGTAACCTCCGGTGTGAAGTCTCGCAGTGGTGGAAGCTCTCTTATCTGCTGTCCCTGGTTCCGGTACAAATTCGTTCAAAAGACTGGCGGGCCATGGTTGGTCCTTGAAAGATGGCGCGCCGCGTCCGTAGCGACTTTCAGACTCAACGTTTGCTCGAAAGGCCTTAGCCCGAGCAGCACTATCGCCTGCATTCGTGCGCGGAATGGGGAGAGTACCGAGTTCAGATGGTTTAGGCAATATCGTGGGATATTTTGAGCCGTTGCTTGTTGAGTCAATGGGTCTGTGGCTGCCGAATGCGGTGTTTCTCCCTTCGTACTCGTCACGAACGTGGGCGATGTGAGAAGCGTGCAATGTCTTGAAGGGCTCAGGCGTGAAGCCATCTGTAGAGGATCTTCTCAGTGGCGGGGGAGAGATGCAACGCCGCATCGAACGCGGTCCGCTGGGAGGTGTAACACCGTAGACGCTGCCAATCGGGTGTGGAGTGTCAGTCTGCCCATCAGGGACTGTGTGTTGAGTGGGCATTGCATTCGCAGCAAGCTATCGGGATCAGGATGGCCGTGCAAATCGGTCCAGGTGGATGGAGGTTCGGGGAAGTTCATGAGGCCATGGGATATTGACGCTCAGATCGTACAGGTTGCTGGATGGAAGAGGCCCGGAGAGAGAGTCGAAGTGGACGCATCTGCAGAAAGAGCGGTGTTAACATCAACAAGGCATAAACCAGCTGTGCAGAGAAACAAAGTGGGGCTTCATCAGGTCTTTTCAGTTCTTCAGGTCTTCACTTTGGTTCACTTGGGCTGCAACAGCGCCGAGACACATCCTGAGGACGAACAAAGAAATCATAGCGTCCATGGATGAACATTCACCCTCTGCACGGCAAACCATCCAACATGGCCAGACTCTCCAACAGATGGAATCAGTTCAAAAATGTACACCACTGCCATTGGCTGGAGCATCCATAGGAACTGGAACGACAGCCCCATTTTTGTGGTGTTGAGAACAAGCGTTCAATATGCACAAAGTCTCAGACGAGGCTGGAGCGGGATGCCGTGAGTGTCCTGCCGCTCCTCAACAATGTTGCTCTCTGTACTCGAGGAAGCCGGCGAAGTGGCGGCGATAGGCCAGTGTGCAGTGATGAAAGCCGTCCGTCCATGAGCCACCAGTTTCCCTCTCGACCCAAAGACTGCCTGATTGCGGCAATCACAAGTGGGATGACAAATAAGACTTCCAATCAGACCTTTTACCAGGGGCTCATCATTGAAGCAAGACAGAACGAACATGCAACAGCAAGGGAGAACAACTTACATGCCGACCCCGACCAGACTTTCATGAGGACGTCTCCTGAAGCTCAGACACACCGTGAGAAGACCCCATCTCAACTCGAATCCACGCCTTGAAGCTCGGACGACGACGTCGCAATCGCAGTTGCGTATGGCCGAATGCTGAGTCCCTCGTTGCTGCGGAAAGCGCCGACTCGGCTGTATGCAGTTGTACTTGACCGATCGGCGAAAGAAGGAACAAACAATGCTTGTGGCGGGAAAGAGCGTCTGCCAGCCTGACGGGACGAGTCGCCAACGCACCACTCAGCGATTAGGAGTCTAGTCGCCCAGGCCCCGGGATGGCGGTCACACAGGCAGATACACTCCTGGGAGAGATGCTCGAAACAGAAAGCGGCGATACTGTGAGCGTGAACAAAAGCACTTATAGTCAGTAGAAGACGGAGGGTTGCACGAGCCGGAGAGCAACAACTCCAGAATTGTCAAGAAGATGAATAGAGACGAAGCGACGGGGATGGTGGGGGCGGCCAGGTTTGTGGCTTGAATGGCCAAGCAGCTTCGGGCTAGTGAGTTATAGCTTATTGGTTGGGACAGCGCGCTGCAGCCGCCCGGCGGTCAAAAAGTACACGGCTCCTCTCCCTCTGCATGTTTGGGGGATCAGAACCTGGAACCGAGCATGGGCACTCCTCATGGTGCAGGCAGCCAAGGTATTTCAGTAGTGACATCAAGTTCTCGGAACCCAGACACTGGTTCTGGGAAGCAGAGAGACAAATAAACTACTCCAGACTCAGATTGTTACAGTCAAAGAAGCCAGCTGTAAGCCATGCCCTCACATCCCCAGCGGGAAATGTATATAAATAACCATGTCATGATGCAGTCGAATCACCTACACAACGAATCCGGCCGCTTGGCCGCTTTGCCGCTTGGCCGCTTGCCCTATGCCCCAAAACTCTGCGTTGACTGCAGCAGTTCTCGCATTCCTCAAGTTAGGTGCTGCCGGTGCCTGGCTTGTACTGAGGCTTATCAGACAAAGGAACTATGTTCACCCCGTCACTCTCGGCAGCCTCATCTTGCAACTCCCGTACGAAAGCGGACTGCTCAAACCTAGCAAGCAGAAACTCCCAAGCAGGCTTGTTGAGACGCATATCATCCGACAACATATCCCGCCAGATATGTTGAGCCAGGTCTTCTTGACCGTAGCGCAGCGTGCCATATAGAAGCTCACTCCAGGTGCGTTGCGAAGGCGAACAGTGCCCGAGGTTGACCATCTCTTGCACTACACCAAAAGCGTTGCTGAGTGTAGACGGGTGACCACAATAAAAGTGAATAAAACCATTGTACAAGGCGTCATGCTTGGCCGCTTCAAGAAGAAGGGTGTCGCCCTGCTTGATCATATGCAAGATCCAGTGCCACAATCGCGAGACTTGCCGCTCGTCTGTTTGGCAAAGCGTGATTGCCCATATGGTAAAGGCCAGTAACCCCGGTTTTGGCTGAAGCAGTTGCTGGTCCGAGACATGAATTTCCTGCACAGCTTCGACGAGGCCAAGTCTAGTGAGAGACTCTCGACTGTAGGCTCGATCGTAGACTGCGAGGACATGGTTGATCGAGCTCTCCGTGGGCAGCTTGCGTTCGGCGCGACAAATGACCCTGATAATGTGCATCATGTATGCAACCAAGTACGGATCATCAAACAAATCCTTCCGCTCATGGATTGCGGACATGATTGTATCCAGCTTATCACGTTCGTTCCTTTCGAATCCGTCTCGAAGCAGAACCAAATGCCTCCGGGCATCGACATCAATGTTTTCACGCTCCATGAAGCGATACAGTTCCCAAGCCACAGTTGGTCGGCCCAGCGTGATGGCTCTCTCGATGATGAGGTTGTGAATTTTGGCGTTCATCGGGACACCAAGTTGCATAAGTTTCGGGATCCATTGGAAGTTGCGAACACCGTCTGTCTCTACTATGGTGTCTAGAGGTATTATTTTTGCAACTCGATCGAGGATTCCTTGTTGAAACTCTTGGTGTTGGTCAACTGGGATCAGGAAAAGTAATTCAACTGCTCGGTCTGCATTCCCTGTCCTTGTGTAGTGATCAACCATGCCCAGCAGAGTCGACACCGAGACAGAATCCATTTGATTAAATACACCCTCGACGATGTCTTCGCAGCGTCGGATTGTATTATGACGGAGGAGAAGAGTGAGGAACGCAAGCGGCATTCTGGCTAGTTTCGGCCATGTCTCGACTCGGGAAACACGTTCAATCTGTTTCGAGAACAAAGCCTGCAGGTCCGGATGTGCATCGATCTCCTCGCGATGAACCAAATCAAGGTAAGCTAAACACTCGCAACGCATTCGCCAATCGCGGGGGAGAGCAGGCAGCATTGTCAGCATAAGTAGGGTCTTGCGTGCTGAGTCGACGAGTGAGCCGATGAATATATAAGGCATCATCTTCCGCCTGGAATCCCTAGACATTTCCAGCCAAGCGGCACGCAATTTTTCGACGTCATCATAGCGGATAAAGGACAGAGCAGTCTGCCGATGGGCCTCTGCACGCTCTCGTGCCCTCTCGAGGTCATTGTCGTAAGGGAGAACCAAGCGTCGGTACAGCTTTGCCCATGTGTTCTCGAACTTCTTTGGCCGGTCCAAGTTTATTTTCTTGAAGAAATAGCTGCGCCTCCGAGTATTTGTGTATTCATTCGAGGGGATACTGGGTTCCCAAAGAATGGGTTCACCTGCCCCTTGCTCATCCAGCGGTCTTTTGCCAAATCTAGAATCGTCGCGGGGTTGGGATCTCCATGGTTGCGGGTCAAGACTGTTTTGCACATGCGCATTAATGGGATGGAAATTGACAGCGCGCGAGGTTCGAGGGTCGATCAACGGAGGCGACGTCGCGGTTAGAGATGATTGCGCCGAGGAATTCTCATGCTTGCTGCCATGGCTTGTCGGAAACCCTGTCAAATACTGGCGTACAAGCGCCGGACAGGACGGGGAGTTTGGTTTCCTAAAGCGGTAGCATTGAATGAGGGAGCCTAGCGGCTTGCCTGGCATTCAGGTGTTTGAACGAGACTTTGAAGCCCTTGGGGGATGTAATGAGCGCACTGGGATTTGAAGGAGAAGCATTGTCATAAACTTTTGTAGCCCGCGCAAAGACCCGAAGTTCTACCATATTCAGGTGTTCGATATTCTGCTGCGGCACCGTTTACGTTAATCTAAAATACACTTACAGCACCGTCATTGCGAACCCTCTGCTTTAACCAAACAATGTCCGCAACCCATACTAGTCTCGATGCTGCGGCTGTCGATCGAAAGGCCAGACTTGCTAAACTCGCTTCGCTCAAGCGCAAGCAACCTGACTCTGGGGTTGCGGGAAACCTTGCGCCAGATGAAAAACAAGAGGATGAGCAATCGACGACCACAGACAAATACCTCTCGGGCAGAAACTACGATATTGCCTCCAAAAACGCCAAACTAGGATTCGAGAATGCTCCCATAGCGAATCTCGAAACATTGGAACAGCAGGCTGACCGCATTGCTGCGGCTACCGCTGAGCAAGCGGCGCAGGATGAGGCAGAGGCAGAAAAAGGAATTGATCTATTCAAACTACAGCCGAAGAAGCCGAATTGGGACCTGAAGAGGGACCTCGCGGAGAAAATGAAAATACTGGATGTCCAGACACAGAATGCGATTGCCAGACTGGTCAGACAGAGGATCGAAAGTGCGAAGCGGGAAGCCAAGGATAAAGGCGTGGTACCGGAGAAGGAAGAAAACGGTTATCAAGGGGAAGAGGTCGGCATCGAGGGCAACACTTTAGTCGAAGGTATCCACCTACGAGAGCAAGAAGAGGAAAGAGAGGCTGCCCTCGAAGAAGAGGAGGAGGACATCTCTTGAGCAGAGCTGCCCCTCTACTGAATTCTGCCGACAACAATCGAACCGACCGACAGTTTTGTCGGTCAAAAATTCCAGCTTGGGCTACAAGTGCTAATATCGCGAAGCGTAACGTTCTCTGCATCCTATCCACACGCAGGAGCAAGGCCAGACGTCAGAACCAATCTTCACCTAACTGGCTGGATCATTGGACTTTGTAAGCACTTACCGGACCTTCGGGGCATCTGTGCTGCGGTCTTGGTCGCGGTCGCTACACCTGGTCCACCCAAAGTCGTAACACATACTGTGTCCAGTGTTTGCGACGTCTGAACCAGGTTATGTCTGGACACGTTTGAGGCAGCCACCCCAGGGTACTGTCGATCGTGCAAAGGGAGCGGCAGAGTCAACATCGTGTCCGCGCGTTCTTGCTATGCCGAATCGCCTACGTTGTGCTCACACAAATACGAGCCAGACTAAGTCGGCTTGTACTGCCTTCGAGCGTGGCCAATGTGTTATTCAACCAAAGATGGAGGGTCACTTTCATCGAGAACAATAAGTGGTACACGTGGAGCAAAAGGTGATTCTTCTGACAACGAGAAGAGTGAACGAGAAGAGCATCCATTGCTTAAGATAGGGCAGTGTTCATTAATGTGTATTAGACTTGCAGCGTAATCTCTGCCGCCCGAAAGAATCCCTTACAGTACACATACAATCTCGTACCACTTCGATATCAACAGGCGGGGTCCAGAATTGATAATCGAAGATTGTAACAATAATAATCACATATTCATCGCCTGAGTCAATGCCAGCCTCTTGCTGTAGGGACTAAGGCTCCGCTCCCTCCTTGGCTGTCTTGGTCCAGCATTGGCTGATCTCGTATTTGCCGGAAACCTGGGGTTCTCCTTTGGTTTTCGGTTGTCATGCTCTTCATATTGCCCATCATCATTCGGATCCTTTTCAGACCCAAGTGACACTCTGTGCTTCGTGATTTGACTCTTATCCAAGCTTGGGCTGTCGGTTCGGCTACGATGACTACCCCTACGGGTCTTGCTGGACCGTCCACGGTCAATTGGACTAATAGTACGATGACGGCGACTCTTTCGGTGTGATCCTGGCGCTGTTTGTGGGGGAGTCTGAGACCGGGAACGAGAGCTAGAGATCGACCGATGTTTGCGCTTACGGGGAGGTGTCCTCGAGCGCAAACGGCTAGTCCGTTGGCCAAGTCTATCCCTGTCAACAGACTTCCTGGGCGGCGTGCGAGATCTGGACCGAGATCGGTTGGTTGATATTGTTGAAACCGAGCTTGACGAGGGCGACCGGGAAAGAGACTTTCCTTTCGGGCTCATAGACCGACCCCTATGAGACTCTGCGGACTCTGCTTTTCTGCGACTGGCTTCTGCCTCCGCTAATTGCTGGTCTGCGACCCCTTTGCTGGTGATGGTCAGCGGTCTTCCTTTGCCAATGGTACCATATGGACAATACCTGTTTAGGAGATCATTAGGGCTGTCAATAGTGAGTTTCGGTTTCAGCCTTGGATTGAACAATTGTTGCGTCCTCGAAGGCCGCGAGATATATGGACGTTCTTGGGTCGTAGACTTGCATTCATAGCTGTAATGGCGTGGATGGATAGTCAGCAAGAGAACAAGGTGATGGAATACCAGAACCTATCTTTTTGCAAACATTTTTGACAGACGGTTGATGCCGAGGCCTTCTGGGGGCCAAGGCCGGGTATCGTGCGATATCTGTTCATCGATTGTCAACCTGGGAGACACTTGAAGATACTCGTAACGGCCCCAGAGATAGATCGACGAAAGGAACGCAACTAGCCCGCCTGTGTAAGTGTCCAGTAACGCTGAGTAGAGACGTTGCGCAAGAAAGTTAGAGTCCCAATATGACGGATGTAATTGAAGGCAATGAGAATTCGATGCTCTTTAAACTCTCGTGCGTCTAGGAAGAGGTGAGCATCCCACCAAGACCAAAATTGTAAGATATTTCAACGCTGAGATGGTTTCGGGCAGGCAGACTTGGATTCCAGCATCATAATGGACTTTCCGGAGCCTAGAGCGGCGACATTTATTGGAACAGCTCCGAGGCTGCGTTGTAGAAGGAGCAAGACCAGAGAGGAGCAAAGTGTACAAAGCGGCGCCAACTACCGACCGATTATGTAACCACACCTTGGCATTTTTGGAAACCTCAGTGCATTCGATCTCCTCTCGCTTTTACTGCCTTGACCTGCGCCTTGCCTCACGTTTCTCCCTCAAAAGTCGTCCTCCATTCAAAGATGACTCGAGCAGGAGTATAGGGACCGAGTGCTGACTCAACCAAGCCTACCTCAAAGTGCGATTGGCGACAAACATCCCCCAATTCTTCACGAGTCCTCCCTTCGCAGTCAGCCCTTCGAAAGCCTCTCCTCCGCCTGACCTTGTTCGCGAGAACGTGGGTATTGTCACCAACATCGATATCCACATTCACAGCCGCCGGCAACTTCACCTACAGAGGTGTGTAAATTCAGGTTGGCATATTTCATCAACTTTATCGAATCTTCACCATAGCCATCGCAATTGTGGAATCCATGGCGCCCTTTAGGCTGTTCTGTGTTGGCTCGTTTGATGAGCAAGAGATTGTGTGAAAACAAGGACAAGAAGATCGCAGCGTTGGCTTTGGCTCTCGCTCGTGCCACCTTCACTCTTTTTCAATCCCCGGCTTGGTGATTTCTCCTTACGACTGTTGGACACGACGTGACGAATTTCCTTGGAAAGAATGGCGTCTTCTCGGATTGGAGCAGGTCCCCCGAAGCTATCATTTGCAAAGGTGAGCGATTCTCTCCGAGCACATAGTCGGCTGAATTTGCTCTAACTTTGATCTCAGGTTGCGGCTATGCGAGCACCCGGCTTACCAACAGCCAATTCCCATGCCAATTCCCATGCCAGTGAACACAAAAGGCCTCGTCCGACTGATCATGATAATGTGCAATCCTCGGGGCCATCAAACCCAATGCAATCTCCAACTTCGCCGAGGAAAAGCAACGGCCTCCAACTATCAACCATCAACACGAGCACGCAGTCAGACTATGTGACGAATGCCATCCAGGGGCTGTCACTGGTCCAAGGAGCTGCTACCGCACCCCCCGGGTCGCAAAGTGCGGACAGTGGAGAGTCACTTGAAGATGACCAATCGCAACTTTCCAATTCCTCGATCAAACAGCAAAGCTTCGACACCAAGAGCATGGCTTCGGTAACCACATTTGCAATGGATGAAAAGGAGAGCATTCGTCCCGATGACAGTGCCAGTGTCAGAGCTGCGGAGGATGACGACGCTTCGAGTGCACCAAGCCGAGAAATGAGCTTTAATCGCGACAACGAACGTACGAATCAGAGAGCAATACCTTCGGGGGTTACAATAGCAGCTCGTCGGTATCATACACTTACTTTAACAAACCCGCCGCGATTTGGAGATCTCCCAGCCATCCCCGTGTTGCGAGGAGGGGCCGACGAGCAGAGTCAACCTGAAGGCACAGTTCCACAGCAGACTGGCGTACAGGAACGATCATCCTCGCTGCCAGTTGCCCCTGATGAGAAACTTCTCGATGCATTGGCAAGCCCAAAGGATCGCCTCTCCTTGCTGCAACTGGAAGAAAAAGTTCTTGGTCTTCTCACCAATCCTGAGTAAGTGTGGCATTCTAGTCTCATATCATGGTCTAACTGTGAGTAGGATCGTGTTTTTAGATTTACCTCCGCAAAATGCTTTTGCTCGACTATTGACACACAAGCTTGCGGATTATTACTCTCTTGTCCACCATATAAATGATGACGGAACGTCTGTCAGGGTCTTCAGGACTCCGTCGGCCTCTCGGTAAGCTCGAGATCATTGCTGCAAGGTTTGTTTACTGACTGTGGAAGGCCAACACCATTACACGTCCTTGCCCAATCGATCCCTGCTGGACCTTCTCAGCCGCAATCTGCCATGGCGGTCAAAATTATGCGTCGAGCTGGCTTAGGTCCTCGTCACGGGTCAGCTGGCGGTAGTACACCTGCGAGTTCATCCGCACCATCCAAGGCCACCTCGGACGCTGGCGTTGAGACAAACAGTGAAGAGGGCATCTTGTCGCCTGCTGAAACTCCCAACAAAGATAAATCGAAACTGACTCGCGAGGAGCGCGAGGCCCAATACAAAGCTGCTAGGGAGCGAATCTTTGGTGATTTTCAAGAATCGGTGACGAGCGAAAATACGTCTACTGGAGACAACTCAGCCAGCATGTCACGATCTAGTTCATCGAGTGGAAAAAGAAAGACACGCAAGCAGAAGACTCCCAAGGATGACAGCTTCGAGGCCCGATCCGCATACATCCCAAGCTATGCTCCGATGCACATGCAACAGATGCAGCACCATTACCAGCCTCAATATTCTGATCAGGTCTTTCCAAATGCATACCAAGGCCCTGGGAATACCTATGGTGCAAGCATAAATTATGGTACCACGCCGACCCAATCGTACCCGCAGTTTGAGCCATCTATGCCCTATAACGGCATGGGTTACGGGCCCACCAACAATCAGCAATACAATGCACCGGACTCTTGGCCACCCGTGCAGTCGACTGCCGCCAACGGGTTCATGAATTATTCTTCGTCCCCAAACTCTAGCTACTCCCAGGGTATGCCATCAGCGATGATGGGACAAATGAACAACAATCCATACATGCAACAGTCACAGCAAGCGGGTTGGATGAATAACCAGTTCCAGAATCCCTACTATCCACCATCTGGTAATCCTGGGTCAAACTTGAATGGCTGGCAGGGTTATCAGCCCGACCCGGCAACAAGCAATGCAGCTTCATATGCATACCGTCAAGGTACCGGCCAAAATTACAGTGCAAATCCATCATTCAGCATGCAAAATCCCATGCAAGGTTACTCTCGATCTTTGTTCAATCCACAGACTCGGTCATTCGTTCCCAACACTGCGACAGGCCGCCCCGGTGGGCGAGGTGGAAGGAAAAAGCCATCGCCACCATCCAGTCAAACTCGAGCCAGCAATATCACAAGACCGTTTGGCAGTGATGCTTCCGTCGCTAGTAGCGTATCTTCGCGGGGATTTGACAAAGCCGCACCGAATTTTGTTTCACAAATGCCAAAGGAAGACTCGTTGCAGCAAAAGTATGGTGCACCTGCTCATCTTCCAAAGAAGCCCCCTCCATCTCAGGTCCCGCCATCTTTTGACGTTGAGACACTGGCCGGTAATGGAGGGTCTCTCAACTTGAGCAGTGCAAATAACGCTCCTCCAGGTGGCTCCCTCACATAAGCCACTGCCTGTTTTATTACGCATTGCCGGCATCCGTGTGAATGGACACGGTCGGCCTATAAAGGTGCAGTGGTATCGTATTTGAGTTTGGGGAAAGGGGGCGTATTGAAAGCCAGGAAAAATCAATTCATGGGGGTTGCAGTAAAACATTTTTACGGTGTTAGTTTCCGGTTGATGGGAATTGCATGAGCATCGTCGTCGCGCGGACCGGATAAAAGGTGCAGGATTTGGCTCTTTTCTTTTCTCAAACAAAGAGAGAGCATCAAATTTCCCAGGGACAAATCAGAAATGGAAGTGCGAAAGACAAGAATCGGCGCAAAAGATTACAAAATGATAACACCTTCTTTATGTATCGAACCCAGAATTTCTTGTTCGTTTGACTTCGGAAGAGCTGACATTTTCGAGTGCATTTGGAGAAGGGGTTGATCAAGAGGTTTTGCTTCCATGTCTGCCTCTGCCACCGCCTCTGCTGCGGTCTCTCATTACTTCCTTGGGTATAGTATGTATGCCTAGTTGTCCCTTGTGTCTAGGTAGGTGAGGTGGATCGTGGTGAGGTTCTTCTAGGCACGCGAAGGTAGACTGCCTACTTGAGGTACATAGTATGTCTGTTACTGCGCATTGATTTGCAGCACTGTCTACTTTTGTTTTGACGCATCGAAAATTAATTTCCGCGCACGTCGACGCTATGCCTCTTAAAATTTCCCTCCCTTTCCTTTTCTCTCCGATTCCAGGCCTGGTCGACCATTTCCAAGGTGACCTTGTAATGCATATCACACACTTACCCACCTTAGGTACCAACCAAATTCACATATAAGCCTCGTATACTACATATGTGATGCAGCAAACTGGGACCAGTAAGATACCCGAATCAATCAGTGTAGACCCCTTCTCTCAACCCGCATACACACCTTCTCGCCTTCTCTTTCTCCTTCTCGCTCTCACATAGCCTTCAACGATGCCCACGGCAACGTCACATGGATACATGTATTCAATACAAATGTCCATGTCATCTAATGATTGTGAGTCGGTGGTAGCTCGTCAAGTTCCAGAACCTCAACGGTTCTCCTATCCTTATCCTTATGCATGGCCGATGTGGTCTCCCCGTGTCCATCATCGTATGTATCGTCGTGGGTATCATAATCTTGCGTGAGTCCAACGGACTCCTCGGTGGCATCGGTCTGTTTCCCACCACGTCCGCTGCCGCGTCCAGCAGGCATAGGAGGCCCCGGCAGCATAGCATTATCGGTGCTCGCCTTGTGAGATGATGTCGTCTCTCCGTCTCGTGCCGCGGCGACCCAGATGGCCCCGGCGAGGATGAGCCCGCTGCCGACCCAGCTCATTGCCGTGGGTGTGATTTTGAAAAATATCTTGTCACTGGCCAGCGCGAAGAGCATCTGGACGTACACCATGCTTGTTGCCCGTGTTCCCGAACCAGCCGCGGTCGGCCTCGGGATGGACCGGAATCTAAAGCTTTCAGGTCTGTCACGGTCGTGACTCTCCACGTCCCCTGGTTTGTGAAAGGAAGAAGGGTGGTCTGGTGTCGCTGACGTTTTTCCAGGCGCCGATGGTCCACCGTAGGTCAGGCCGGCCGTGAGCAGGAATTGCATTATGAAACCAAACAACCCCAGACTGGCCAGCAGGGTCCACTCTATCGAGTTAGCTGGCAGTCTAAACTTGACCTCGGGAAAGACAATCAAACAAAACATCGAGACTATGGTGCACCAGACACTAAAGTAGTTGATGCTGATGAAGGCGTGGGCCCGCGTGCCTATGGCGCGAATGGAGGTAAAGGCACCTGTCGAACCGAGGACGCCTACCATGGCGATGGCGATGGCGAGCAAGTGTTCATGTGGGGTTGGACCATGCTTAGCAGGAGGGTGCTCTTGGGCCGCCATGGTTGAATTTCTCGCCGGGACGACGGGTCCCTCTGATGACGAGGGCGAGGAGGATGCGAACAGCGAGGCTGGCTGGGCAATGAACACAACACCAACCAGACTGAGAAAGCCGGCGAGCTGCTGCTGTTTGGTGAAGGTCTCTCCGGGAATCACAAAACTGCAGAGGTAGCAGCTCAGGATGGGCGAGAGAAACGTCAAGACCGTCGCTTCACTGAGCGGGAGGTACAAGAGACTGAAGTACATCCCAAAGACTCCGAAGAACCCACACAGCCCGCGTGATACGAGCAGCCACCGCACGTCTCGGGGACCCAGGGGGAAGTCAGGTATGGACTTTGTATAGAGACCGTATGCCGTGCATAACGAGGCCGTGATCGACTGCCGTACAAAGAGGATCTGATATGGATGCATAGGCTCACCGTGGGATCCCGCCGTTTCAAGGAGTTGGGTGCTCACATTCATTCCCACGCCGAAGAACTGCGCCAGGACCACCAGCATCGCGCCATAGTTGACCACGTGGAAATTGTGCAGGGCGACGACGAAGCGGGACCAAGCTGACGTCGGTGCTTTGCCGTCATCTCCAGGCACTGTGCGGATGAGAGGGCGTGTGGCACGTAACTCTTCTGAGTGAAACGATAACTCGGAGAGTTCGGTAAATGTGCTGTCCAGGGACGGTCGGGAAGTGAGACGGAACGAAGGGACGTCAAGATAGGATTTCCTGGAGTCGTTACGAATGGATGGAATGGGGGCTGCGGTAGCGGCGGTGTAGGATGATGATGAGGACGAGGGGGGTATCGAGGGTTCGCCGCAGGGTTGATTTACATCGTGTCCTGGTAGTACTTCTGAGGTGCCAGGTTTGATCAATGACATATTCTAGAAGTCTGAGTATCCATGCATTCATTCATTCATTCATTCATTCAGCAAGATGACGGAGAAATGGCCGGTAATGAGCGATCCGGTCAGCGGGTATTTTGCTTCAGGTATGTAGGCTCAATACGACAATACTCGTGTAGGTGGCCGTGAGCGAAGCGAAGTCGGTGAAAAAAGGACAACAAAAGAGATATAGAAAAAGAAAACGAAAGAGTCAAGAGTCCGTGGGAATCGCCAAAAGGGACTCACGCCCGACTTACGGAAGACCGCCGTAACGCACACAAATGCCTAAGCAGGCGATCAAAAGGCGTGCTGATCCATGGGCGGAGGCGCTTTAGCGGGCTGCATGATGCAAAGACTGCAAAGATGCCAATAATGCAGGGAGGTACCAGGTACCCGTGTTGGAGGCCCCAGTCCGGAGTGAGCTCCGACCATGGAGTCATGAAGCTAATCATGACCTGGTCCGACGATCCGATGTGCCCGTTTGAGAACAGGACGAGGCCTGACAACCCACTCATCAACAAGAGGTACGAGCAGTCTAATGAGGCTTAGAACAGTCAAGGAGAGACCAGGGCATCGCAAAAGGCGAAGGATCCAGGCCTATGCGCATCTGAAGGTCGTACGCAAAATGGGACCGTCGGCGGATACAAGAACGTATGCACGAGCAGCTCGTGGACCGTGGTGGAACTGGAGTTACTGCTACTGATTTGCAGGGGTACCCTCACACGCCGATATCACAACAGAACGAAGAGCACGGGATGCTTTGTAGTACAATGTGAATACAGCACTCTGAAATGTAACAACATGAATACAGATCTACGAGGCCGCGTCTGCCTCTCCTCGTCGAAGGGCCAGCAGTGCCCTCACATCCGTCACGTACTGCAGGGCCTCTAACATGGGTATCAAATGGAGTAAGTCATTATCTGTCGGATCATTGATCCATCCCTCAATCGGTATCGCGTTGTCTAACAAGGACTCAGTCAGCTCATCGGCCTCAATGTCCCCTTGTGGTTCATTGCACTCACCTTCGTGGAAAATGTAACTGACTGGACTGTTGTCCAGAATCATCACCTTGCTCAAATCAGGTTCAATGCTGCTCAGGTCCTTGATGTAGGCTCCGTTTCTGAAAGTGCAATGCTGTCGATAGTATCGCCCAACAAAATATTTCCGCTCTTGCTCTAGCCAGTCAATTACAGGGTCTGCATATTCCTGCACCGAGGCAGTAAAGACAACTAGCTTGTACCACTTGGAGATTTTTCGGAGGAACTCGTCACAATGAGGCCGCTTGTGCACGTAGTACAAGATGGGATGTTGTGGTCCCAGGACTGAGGTGACCTGACCAGGCTGAGGGGAACTGAGAGCGATAGGCACGTTCAACTTGACTTCGACCATGTGCCCAGAAGACATGCGACCGCCTTTGGCTAGGGAGTGGATGAGTGTTTCATCGAGATCCAGAATCAACGTCTTTTGCTGCAATGGCGCGGAACCACGGGTCGGCGGACGAGGCACGAGGTTGGCATATGACGGCTGTCGTCGCGGAATTAGAGGTCGCAGTGGCTGTGGCGCATGCGGATATCGCGTCATCTTCAGGGAAGGGGAAGGAGAAGTTGGCGACTTGATGTTGTCGACCGTCAAAGGGCCATTGTCACCCAATGGACTCGCAGCTTTCTTCTGCCTGCGTCGTTTCAGGGCAGGGTCAGTCTGTTCCTTGATACGAATAGAAGATCGCCGTGTTTCTGATTCCTCGCGCACGCTCTTCTCCTTCCTTGGCTTGGTCTTTCGCGAAGCTTTTTCGGCCTTGCGCTGCTCAGAATCCGAATCCGAAGCCGTGTTGGTCGAGTCGGATGAATACGAGTGGCGTAGTTTGGTATCCTGCAGCGCACGGTGGGTGGGCTTCTCTAAGCTCCAGGCGCTATCGTGGGTGGCGTCGGCGAGACCGTTGGCATTGGACGTAGTAGTACTGTCGGATATCTGATCTTGTCGCGTCCATCGTGGTACTGGGGAGAACTTGCCATCTGGGCCTCTCAGGTGTCTTGCAACGTAGACAATGGGGGCGCCAATGGCTGCCAGAATCGCAGTTATGGCATCCGTCAGTCTCTTCAAAAATGCCTGCCATCCATGATAATTGTTGTCCAGAACTCCCTTTTCATCGGAACCTAGTAGCGGCTCCTGCTCGTCTTCGTCCTTGATCGGAGCATCCTCATCGTCCGGAGACTGTAACGCGCTCAGCACATCTGACAGTTCAACCTCGGTCTCTTGTTTAGTCTGAGCTGTACGATCGTGGCTGTACGACCTGCCTCTATGGTTGTCTTCGTCGTATCCTTTCTTGAGCGGTTCGCCTTGGGATCTTGAACGAGGTCGTGTAGGGGATGGGCTTTGTCCGATAACTCGGGATGAGATGAGATTGAGAGAGTTCATCCTCCAGCGCGGATGTCGCGCAGAGGGCTAACAGATTGGAGCGAGAGTGCAGGCACCTTCCAGACTATGCCTCCAGGCTCTCGGTTGACAATCGGATACGATGCTATGACAAGGGCATGTCGAGTTCAAGGCCAGATGAAACGAAGGTGGGGGGAGCGGGAGGGTCGATTCGGGCGAAATGAAGGACACGAAGTATATGGCTCGAGAAGCTCACATAGTCAGGCTGCGGTGGACAATGAACAAAGAGTCGCCAGAAATGAGATGCGAAGAAGGTGACAAGGATAATGCCGGGAGAACGAGAAGCAGGATGAATCAAGCAGTGTTGTGGTGGGGGAGGAGGGAAGATGCTCTCGGTGGCTGGAAACGTTTCCGTATGGAGAAGATGGTGAGCAGCAGCTCGTCGGATGATGCTGTTTCTCGCGATGCCGAAAACGAAAGTTCCAGGGACCCGCATTATTTTCCAACACGAGTCAGACTCAGACTCAGACTCATACAACACCCAGACTGTTCTCTATTACTTTTTTTTGGCGCTCCTGTGTTGCTCCTCGTGCTACGGCAACGCACACCATTCGAGTCAGGCTGTCGCTCTCGCAGACAACTCTCCGTTCTGGCAGGAGAAGTTCAAGAAAAGAGCCACAGGAATCCGCAGCCTCGTCCTCGTTGATATTCTCAAGGCCATCCATAACCAAGGGCTGCCACCATGGCACCCTCAGCAGCACCACTGACTCCCGGCTTTGGCAGTTTTCAGAAAGTTCTGTCCACTGAGCCCATCGACTCCTCCATAACATATCTTGTCTCGTGAGTCCTGCACTCTCTTGTCCTCTGATCTCATTCCCTAACCCCACTCTCGCTAACCCATCCTCCCAGTCTTCTCAAGCGACGACAGATCAAAGGTTCAAAACGATGCGCTGTCGCAACCACCCTCCTCCTTCTTCGGACAGTCGAACTCACCAAGCAAGCCGACTCCGAAAGACTGATCCAGAGGGTCACTGACGTTGGCAAAAAGTTAATAAACGCTGCGCCGCATGAACTGTCCGTTGGGAACATCGTCCGGAGAGTCCTGGGTATCATCCGAGAAGAAGACGAAGATGATGCTGCTGCAGCCGGCGGTGATGGAGGAAGCGGAGAGAGCGATGCAGGTCTTGATCCTCCTACGCCCATAGAGCGAGCGCCCTTGTCGCAATTCACAGCCAACGCTTCTTCCAACCCCAGTGCATCACCACAACGGACTGTGTCCCGCCCTCCACTACTGTCCTCTCATACGGGTGCGCCGGGTGGTGCTCGGCCCGTTACATCCATGTTCAGTATCATATCTCATCCGACCATGCGCGCCGCGGGTGTTGAGTCCCCCCTTCAAGGCAGCGGCACCCTCACACCCCGAATGAGTGTGTCCGGCTCTTTATCGAACCTCCGGCAGGAAGTCATCAAAGGCATCAAAGAGATTATTGACGAGATCAGCGGGTCCGACGACGAAATTGCTTCTGCAGCCCTCGAACAGGTCCATCCGCACGAGACCATTTTCACCTACTCCTCCTCTGTCACCGTTCAGAGATTCTTACTCCGCGCTGCATCAAAGCGCAAGTTTACCGTCATCCATGCCGAAGCCTACCCGAACAGTTACCACAAGACGCACGCCCTCCTGACCGGTGGCCAAGACGGCTCAGAGGATGATGACATGCTTCCCAACGAGTCCTTCTCGAAACCCCTAACAGCAGCTGGGATCTCGGTCATCATGATCCCGGACTCGGCCATCTTCGCCATCATGTCCCGCGCCACCAAGGTGATTCTCGACACGCACGCCGTACTGGCGAACGGCTCAATAGTCGCAGCGGCTGGGTCAAGAGCCGTCATTAAAGCTGCTCGTTTCCACCGTGTTCCTGTCGTCGTGCTGGCGGCCACGCACAAGCTATCGCCAACGTACCCCTATGATCCCCACTCGTTGATTGAGTACGGCGATGCAGGAAAGGTCATCCCCTTGCAGGATGGCGAGCTGCACTCAGGATTAGACGTCGGCGTGAGGAATCCATTGTATGACTATGTCGAAGCTGGCGATGTCGATTTATTCGTCACGAACCAGGTGCCCGCTGTTGTGAGCACTGGATATCTATATAGAGTGGTCAGGGAGCAGTACCACGACGAGGATCTGCAGCTTTGAAAGCCGTGGAGGCAAACGCTACTACTTTGATGGGGCTATGTCTGCATTTGAGCTCGTGGGTACTCACAGACAGGGTACATATCCCTTAGATTAGATCTATTAAGACTAAATGTATCTCTGATGCCCGAGATACCACGAAGATACCGTTATTTCGGATTTCGTCCTTAAATTTATCTATGTAATTGAAACTTTCGAAACGCTCAAGGCAGCAACTTTGTCCATGCGTAGATCGCCGGGAGGATGAATGTATGCTTAGACTTTTGCCAGAGCCAACGTACTCACATGGCCCATTGAATTGATGGTACAATATACACGACCTCGTATGTCCAGGTCTACCCTAGCTACAAAACTCAGACAATCTTATCCGCACCGACCGGTTGTCTCTTCAGTCTTCCGGGACCTTTCTTCTCTTCGGCCCTCACGCCCGTGCGCCTGTTCTTCTCGCCCCTCACCCACTCGTACGTGGTGCCGTCTTCCTCGAAGGCCTCTTTCTCCTCGAGACTCTGTTCCTCCATGGCCGTCTCTAACCTCTTGATCTCCTCCTCGAGGGCTTCTTCGCCCCCGTCTCGGAACCTCGTGACCTTGCGGATGTTGACCGCGGTAAGTTCGTGCATCGGCAGGTTCTCCTTGCGCTGTCTCACGATCGCTTTGGCAGTCATGCTGAACCGCATGTCCCTGGGTCCGTCGACGAGACTCAGGATGGCCGACGGCGCCTGGTCTTCGCGGACGGGCTCCTGGCGCAGGAGCCGCGTGTAGCCTCCCGGTCGGTGCTCGTAGCGTTTGCGCAGCGTGTCGAACAGCTTCTCCATGTGTCGATCGGGTTCCTGCGCGCACACACCAAATTCAAACCAAGTCAGTAACGTGATTCATTGTCTCTCCTGTGCGTTTGCGTGTTTGTCGAGTAATATCAAAAAGGAAAGAAGCAGCAGCCACCAGCCGCCGGTGGTGAATTGGGACCGTGGCACTGGGGTGCGTGAAAACGTACAAAGAATATAGACTTGGCACGCTGGCGAGCCGCGTTTGTGTTTTTCTTGCCCAGCGTGATCATCTTTTCAGCAAGGCGCTGGGCCTCCTTTGCTTTGGCGTACGTCGTGGATATGGATTCATTCGCGATGAGGGATGTGACGAGGTTGCGGAGGAGCGCCCGTCGGTGCGCAGAATTCCGCGACAGATGGCGGTATTTTATGGAAGACATGTTCAATCACCTGTGCAAGCTCGAGCTTCCCGGCCGGACTTGAAGCTGCTGAGGACGGAGGGAGCAGTGGGCTCCGAGGCGTCGACCACCCCGTTGAGTGGATTCAGATAGATGGACAAAAATCGATTCGGGAGGGATCGTCGGGATTCGTAAGTCAGTTCTTGATATGTCTCAAGCGGTTAGAATACGGCGTAAACCACGATTACGAGCCAGAGGAGCCGCCTTTGAGTGCTCTATTCGTTGTGGTTTTGCTAGTAGGTGAAAGGTCAAAGTCCGATGCAGCGACAACTTTCTCTCCGGCCAATCGGCTTGGGAGATCAGCCTCGTCTGGGCGCCAAGGCAAAGCTGGGCCCCTGCTCTGCCGTATTCCGGACTCTCTCCCTTCACTCAGAGGGTACGTGCCATGTATGAAGACTGAGGGATACTTCTATCTCGTTGCTGTGGCTAATTTTCGGCTCTGCGATGTCTCAATCTCCTAACTACCCTCTTAATACGGCTGTTACTCGACTAAAGATCAAAATATAACGGAGAACTTGGCCGCGCCGACGCAGGTAGGCAACAAGTTCGAGGTGCATGGAATGCCAAAAATACATATCACGGCAGCTGCTAACTTCGTGGACTTGATATTCTCTTTCTGTGTTATCAACCATCCCTATATAGGAACAGTTCTGTTCTCAGTCTGTAAGTTACAATGATAGCACCTCCAAAATGGACCCGGTCTAGCAGGGGCACGGCAGTCTCAGCTTTGATTCTCGACACACCTTTATACAAAGTCCGCCATTGCTGCAGCAAGCGGAATCATGGCTAGGCCACCGGTCCAGAGGGCACGACTTCCAGCACTATCAGAGGTTGCTGACGCTGCAGCACCGGAGGCCGCAGCTGTGGCAGTCTAATAGGTAAACACCCAAAGTCAGCAGATACCCTGATCTTGGTTTGTGTTATACCATACCTCAGAGCTGCTCGGTGCAGCAGTCGAAGGGCTTGCTGATGTCTCCGACGCGCCAGATGAGGAACCTGCCGATGTGTCCGACGCAGCAGATGAGCTCGCAGTCTCGGAGCCAGAAGCCGTAGCCGAAGAAGAGGTGCCGGTTGTCGCCGCGGTCGCGTTGGCGGGAACAGGGGTTGCATCGAGGCCACAGCCCTCGGCAGCTTCAGCGACACTTTCGCCATAATATTGCCAGATATCGTATTGGAGCGCACAGTCAAGGCAAGCGTCCAACGTGGTCGTGAAGTTGGCCGAATCACAATATCCTGGAGTGCGAGCATCAACGATTACACCTCCTGCCTGCCAATTAGCTTGGTTTCTAAACTGTCTTCTGACAATTCTCGAGCTGGTAACACGTACCACAATCGGCATGGCACTCATACTGTGGCGTTCCCGGTGCTTGTCGACGATGCAGAGGTACGGCTTCTGGGTATACAAAGGCAGCGGCAGAGTACATGACTGCGGAGAACGCAAAGGCCAGCATGCAAGCACGCATCTTGAACGAATCTTGGGGCGGTGTATGGAAGGGAAAGGGAAACTTGACACTTATGAGAGACCGGACAATTGATGTCGAGGACTTGTAAATGAGAAAAGGCCACGAAGAGCGCCCGCCGCTTCATATACTCGGTCAATGTTGACCAAAAGACCCAAGCACCCTAGCAAAGCTCCCCATGAACCACTCCTCTGCCGGAGGTTGCCTGTCCAATTCTCTCAATGAGTCGAACCGGGGGCCCACTTGTGTGAAGCACATCGCGGGTCTTGACTGTCGGTATGTACTGGCGGTTGCCACGAGGTATGCAAAGTCAGTATTGTGAGCCGCTCCGCAAGCATTTTGCTCTTGAGGTGGAGCATGCCAGTGTCAATAGTCAAGGCCTGGCATCGGCCGGTTTGTCTTGGAGACGCGCGAATTATCTTATCTAATCGAGTGTTCTTCGCTGTCTGACGCCAGTATTTCCTTCGCGCTTCCCCAAAGCGTTGCGGTGACGGTCATAAATTATTCTGTCTGCGCAAAAGAAATACAGCCATTGCCAAGGCGACAGGATCTAATCAGATTAGATGCCGAGAACGGCCTCCCACCTTCACGAGGTCATGGTGGTGTACTTACTGCTTCTGTGGACCAACCCTCTGCGACAAGACGGCCCTAGCGAATGAAAACGCTGCGACTCACACCACTCGAGAATGTGTTTGACATACAGTGGTTCGAGTTTGAATCTGCCGAGGCGACATCGGAAGTGGCAGGCAGGCATGGGTTCGTATCGACAGGAACATCAAAGAACTGTGCTCTTCATGTGGGCGCACCTCGTGATAGACTACCCGCCTTGAATGAAAGTATAAGATGGCTCACCCAAGACACATCCCCGCCGCCTGTTTAGAAGTATTGCTGTCCCCTTACCTAAGCTCAATTGTACACTTCGCTGTACTTTCGACATCATTTTTTCAGTATGAAGTTCGGGTTGAACTGCCTCTCTGTGGGCACATATATTATCGCCCTAGCCCAGGCGCAACATGGCGAAGAGTATTCCGAGACGATGGGACCAGTTGCATTTATGTGGCCACCTGACCGTGTATGGGGAGCTGCTCAAGACAACACTGCGCCGTGTGGTTCAGCATCGGGAGTGGCAAACAGGACCGAGTTTCCTCTCCGTATGTTATCTTGGTTGTTCCATCTCTTATTCTGACAACTTGTAGTCAATGGCCAAGTTGCTCTTGTAGCACAAGATGAATCTTGGTCGATCCAAGTCGCCATATCTTACAGCAATAGTAAGGCAGAGCCGAGCATGATAAGGACTGAATTTGACAACTGATATAGACCCCACTTCCAACGACGACTTCGAAACCATCATTGCTCCGACGAGGATACCAGAATTAGACGAAGGACACCAATGCTTCCCGATTGCCAACCCACCTGCCGACATCGAAGCCGGGTCAAATGCCACGCTCCAGATCAAGTATACCTCCGACTTCGACACCGATAAGAATGAAACGTTTTATGCCTGCTCCGACATAACCTATGTCCCGACCAGCCAGTTCACTTACCAGGTCCCGTGCTTCAATGCCACAGTTGAGGACTTTAACATCACTGAGCCAAGCTCCAGCGCTTCAGGAACTGCCGCAGGAGCGAGTGCCACGGCACCGGCCCCTTCGGCGAGTTCAAAATCGTCCTCGTCTGGTCTCTCAGGAGGCGCCATTGCAGGCATTGTAGTTGGCGTTGTTGTGGGAGTAGGTTTCATTGCAGGTCTTCTTTGGTTGTCCTTCTGGCGTCGTTCTGCACGGAACAAGCGTCTCCGTGAACACGAAGCATCTGTGAGAGCGGTGAAATGGGACGAACATCTCGCAGGATCTGCTCCAACATCACGAGCCTCGACCCAGGATATTGCGCTCTCCAACATGCCAGGCAACAGAACTTGAGATAAAATGCGGAACATAGGCTGGATTCGGGGAAAGTGATCCCACTTACCATGGTGACTGTCGGGTCAATGGAGCAAGAGTGCCTTAGGTTCGTTCGTAAGACCCAAAGCTAGGATGCGGATTACCTTCTCTCTGGAAGCCAGGATACAAAGGTAGCAAGGCAACACGGTTATGTAGCACCCGTGAGTTGGATCACTGATGCAATCACAATCTTTCATCAACCCTCGCAAACCTTATTGAATTCTCAGATCGTGAGTGAGGGACCCAGGAGACCAGGGCGTCAACGGCGAGTATCGTCTCCAAACCCGTTGCACAGTCCCACCGTAGAATCTCCGGCGGAGCATTCGTGCGCGCGGACCCGGAAACTTTTCGATGCTTCAAGCTCTCTTTTTGTCCGGATACAAGGAGCCCGCAACTGCTATCAATAGACGCCTCTCGGGCACGAACTCCTTCCTCCCGTGCCCAGTCACGTTCTCCTCGACTGATAAAACATTTAGATCAACCTTCCGAGTCACCTTCAGTCCCGCTACGACTTCCTCGTCGACCTAGACCTGAGCTCCTCCTGCATTTAACCAAGCTGCATTGTTCTCCAAACCAGCACAAAACGGACCTCAACCTACAGATTTTACCCACCTAGAGCAAAGATGGGCTTTACAACAGGCTTCGTGAGTCCTCCAATGTTGCTCTTTCTACCTTCTACCCGTTGTAAAACTAACAGCCTTTCAAAAAGCTGGGCGGAATGACCCTCACGTACTCGATCCTCTACATGTCCTTATACGTGCACCGGACCAACAGACACGCACAGCGCACACTGCTCAGACAACAAGCGACGCTGCTCAACTCTGCCGTTGACCCGCTCCCTCCACTGCCGGACCCGCCGGCGTACGAAGTGCGCAAAGCCGGTCTGGTCGAAGAGCTCAAGGACCGCTGGAACAGCGAGGTCGAGACGATTGTGCGCAACCTGCAGACCACTGACTGGGCAGCCAAGCGCGCACAGTGGGAGGACACGGCCGCGGCGGCCTGGACCAAGATCCGCTCAAGTCAAGCTGCGCAACAGCTCGAGACCCGGGCCAAGGACACTGCCACCGAAGTCGAGCGGAACGTCAGCCAACTCGTGAGCGAAGGCAAAGCCGCCGCAAAAGACGCGAAGGATAAAGTGGTCCAGAGCGGCGAGCAGGCAAGCGAGAAGGCAAAGAGAGCGACGCGAGAGCCGAGGCTGCTGGAGCTGAAGTGAGGGAAGGGGAAATCAAACCCTTCTTGACTCTTTATTTCTCGTTGGAATAATAAGCTGGAGACAAAATCCGCCATGCCTCTTTGGAGCACTGAAAGAAAGACGACCACCCGCTCACTATACGAAGATAGATGGATTCTCTCGACAATTAAACTATCCGTCTATCTCTACGTGCCGGAAGCTCGTCACTACCGCAAAATCCGTGCACCTCCGAGAGACTTTGGGCACCCGGGGTTCCCAAGTAGAACAGATACAGACCGAGAACGAGCACACGCGCCGCTAGACATCCGAGTCTAGCTGACAGCAAATGATACAATGCGCTGTGAGACTGCCTCGCGTGGAGGCGGGTCTTGAAACGACGTACGGGCCCAACTTGAGCTCAGACGGGTTGACAGCACCAACAGAGGTCACATGGCGTCCATCCGCGCACCCTGCCAACCTTCTTACATCCACGGGCGCTGAACCGGTCATGTTCTCCGAGCCAAGCTGTTTCCCGTCTGGCAGGAAGATGGGGCACCTTAGGAATAGAAGGGACAGGGCCAAGGCACACAACATGGTAAACGAAGAGAGCATTGCTCGCACTGAGTGTGGAAGGGCGAGATAAGGGACAGACTGTTGGTGTGCATCTACCAAGGCATAAGGCATACGGATAATGCCAGATCTTTCTTACAACGGACCCTTCTTGTGGTGGAAGCTGCACATCACCACTAGGTCTTCTTGTTTTTACTGGGGCAGATATTTGAAGCACAACAGTCTCTTGATGATGGCACGATCGACCTCCTTTTCAATTTTTCAGTCTATCTTAAAATCATAGGTCCTCCTTGGGAGATGTCCTCAATCAGACGACCTTGTTCTCCCGGCTTGTTTTGACTAGAACTCCCAGCCGAACAGTACGAAAAGCACCATAACACCTTGCGTGCCAATTGCCGATATGTTCTTTTTCGTGTTGTTTTTGTGTTCTCTTCAATTTGGAATACCAATGCCGACGTCCCATTCGCAATTCAGTTCGTAGCTCATCTCTCGATTCATCCAATTCTTCGTGATCAATATTCATTTTTCTCGTCAAATTCTTTGTTCTCAATTAGATCCGCCCTTGGGTGCGCCGTTTCCTTCGATCATGGCCTCGCCCTCTAGGTGAACACTTCCATCGTCAGGGGGCCGATGGCGTCGGTGTACTTCCGGCAGCCGCACCAGCCTCGCTCGTCGCCTCGTTGGCTTTGCTCAAACTCTTTTCCAACTCCTTGACCCTCGCTCTCAGGATCTCGTTCTCACGTTTCACCGCCTCCAACTCGGCACGTTGAAGAGCGGCTTCCTCATATCTCATGGCCGCAGCGGCGCTAGCTCCGGCACCAGTATTCGTACTGGGGCTACGAGGGTACCCTGTGCCTTCGCTGCCGGCAACACTGGCGCCAGCCTGATTGCTAGACACGCTGCTTCGGTGAGGGTAGCCACTGGCACCGTACGGGCTCACGTTCGCAGCAACACCCTGCTGCGTCAGATGTGGACTCGCCGTCATACTGCTGCTCCTGAACCCCATGCCCAGACCCGATACGCTGGTGCTCATGCTATTCTGCCGGCTCATGTCGGGACGTTCGCGCGTTAGTTCCATGCTCGGGCGACTGCTCTGGTCCCGTGGGGCTGCAACGCCAGAGACACTGGTATGTCCTGCATTAGCGAGGTTGTCGCGAATACTTCTCGCAGATCGAGCGGACAGGTTGGAACTACTCCTGTGCCGGCGCGTGGTCGTCGGTATGATTGTTGTACCTGTGCCAGTCGAGGTGTATGGGTCACTGGACGAGAAGAAGTGGTCCGAGGTGCTGGAGGTTGTGGAAGCAACTGACGCAGTTTGTGCCCGCAGAGCGGAGAGCTCACGGGTGAGACGGTTGACCTGACGTCCTCGTTAGCCATCCCAATTTCATTCAGGACTGCCTAGTGTAGAGGTAGGGTGAGGGGAAGCTGTACAATACTCTCTTGCTCCTTTTCGAGTTCCAGGTGCAGTTCTGCTGCTGTCAATGGTCTCGGATGCCTGATGGGTCCTGGCCGAGTGTCAGGGCAGTAATCATAATCAATGCCTGTATACCTACCCGGTCCAATCCCAACGCCTGTATTGTCCATCATTGTAGCTTGAGCTGGTCGAGGAGAACTGGGCAGACTGCTTTCGCTTCGTGGAAGGGGAGGAGGCGGCATCTGGGTTGACGTTCGTCTGGAGGCGGACGGCGACGATGTGGAAGGGATGGGATTCTGAGGGTTGGAACCATTGCGGGGTGATCGTGGAATCGAATTGAGGTCAGGAGCCATTTTGAATAGTGCGTGCAGTCGTGATCTTGAAGAGAGACAGCAGTGAGCAAGACTGAAAACAGTGCCTGATTTTACGGGGGTATTGCTACTGGCAGTCCGTCATTTGCGCAACTTGACCACACAGTCGATACACTTTCTCGATCGACAGTCCAGACTCTGCACGACGGGTATCGAGTGGCAAAGGTACTGGATGTCTGAGATTACAGCAAGTGAAAGTAGCAGGTCGTGGCTTTGGTCGCCAACGCAATCATCCTTTGTGAGATCAAGTGTCGCGTCGCAATGAGCCAATCATGGCCAAGTATGGACACATTTGCTCGGACGAGGCCCACGAGCTCCAACATATCATATCTCGTGTAAGAAAGACATTTTCTCACTGACAATGCCATCACGGTGGACAAGTGTAGATGTAAAATCTCTATATTGCGGAAAAGTTGCGAGAATGCCCGCCAGAGGCATATATAGCCTCCTAAACAGATACCGTTCCCTGACTTTGAAGGATGAGTTAGAGACGGACACCAGTCTACTCCTGCGTCATGTACATCATCCCAAAGTTCCAACATTCTATGCTCGCAGCCGATGTCACGGGTTCCAGAACAACTGGTACACTTTTCTCACCGCCGCGATGTGTTAGGGGATCGTTCCGAACGCCTCATATCATATCCTGACATATCTGTGCAAGTACCCTTAGAGAACTGATCATCAACTTTCATACATCCGATACGGTGGGAGCAGACGTCTGAATCGCACCGCTCTCCCTCTTGACCCCGGAGTCGTCGTCTGTCCCTTTCCTGGACTCAGAGTCTGAGCAGCCGGATGGACTCATATTCCCAACATTGGGTTGTTCTATTTCACTAGCCAGTGGAGACTGGCCTCGCACATGTTCAGCTTCGGGTGGAGAAGGTGACTCGGCATGTTCAACATGGCTGCTGGTTTCTCCCTTTTCCTCTTGGCCGATCATAGCGGCAAGGCTTCTGAAGTTGAACATGGGTTCCAAGCTTCCCGGTGGAGGCGTCCCAGAACCCGAGAAGGTGGCTGCAGTTCCTGGCTCGACAAATGACGACGAAGCCGACGAGGCATTCGACATTTGTCGAAGATGCGACCGACGGAAGGGTTCGGATGCCGTTGGGATGGGAATAGATGAAGCCACAGATTCTTGACTGGTGCCCGAAAGTGACAAAGCTGGAATGTAGGATGGCCGTGGCATTTCGTCTTCGCCCTTTGCGCCATCTTGGGGCGGAGTACCGTTGCGCTCGACGGCTTTGCCTTTGCCTAAGATGGAGTCATCGTCTGCACCGAGTGACAAGTTGCTGCGGGATCGTTCCATGCTAGAAGCGTCAGGGCTGCTGGTGTTGGAATGTAGTGTGAGGAGACTGTTCTTCCGAGCAGCCTTTTCCGCCTTCTTGGTCTCCTTTTCTTTGCGCTTCGATTCTTTGCGAGCCTCCTTTTCTTCTTTCTTCCGGCGTTCTTCCTCAGAAGCCAGACTTAACCTTATGGCCTCCATCATCATCATGTCCTCAAGGTCATCCATTCGGCTTCTTCGAGAGCTACTGCCTCGTGGAGGAGGTAACGACGAGTTTTCGCGCCCGTTACCGTTCCCAGTTTCTTGCTGGCGAGCAGCATGGCGTTCTGCAAGTATTGCCAGAGCACTCAAGCTCGAGTTCGTGTTGCTGTCGGCATTCTCAAGAGTAGATCGCCTAAGCATGTTTCGGCGGCTAAAGCCTGAAAAGGATCGGGTGTCGGCGTTCTGGCCGTTCATCAAATAGGCCGCAGTATGAAGAGCAGTAGCTGCTGCTGAGCGGCGGGCAGCATGAGCTCGAGCTGCTGCTAGTTTAGTCGCCCAATCTGGACGAATTTTGTCAGTGGTGATCACTTCTGGTGCATTGGCCGACAGTGAGGTTCCCCGTCTTCGACCGGGGCCTGGAGATACTGCTCCAGAGGAGATTGAAGTTTGAGAAGACCTTGCTGACATAACCTGGTATGGCTGAGATCCAACCCCATAAGTAAGGCCTCTGCGGAAGGGTGGCGCTGTGTATGTAATACCAAAGTCTGGGGTCTTGCAGTATGGGCATGTCGCTATCTCAGAGACAAGTAAGCCTTCTGCTTGAGCTTCACGATCTGCATCAGACACCGGTGGTGCATTCGGATCTGGCTGCTCATGTTCCGGAGGATGGGGGTCTGGCCTTTTGATCTGCACAAAACATTCGGAGCAGATTGGTTGCTCACAGCATCTGGTCGTGTTGAGATATGGAGGATAGTACAAGAAGCAAATTGGACACTCTGACGCATCTTTGTAGAGGTATACTTCGATCGGTTGCCCGTTGACAAACGGATCCGGAGGCAGCTGAAACTCCCTTGGAGTCATGTCAGCCTGGGAATTGCCCCGAGAAGATGTCGTCAAGGATGCTAGAGTTTTTGCCCGAGTCCGGCTCAAGATATTGGTTCCAGACACGCTTGTCGGGGGTGGTGAACTCGGAGATGGCAATGGTAATGAGCTCATGGCGGGCGATAGCGGACCCGAGCTATCTGACTGAAAGGATTGCGACCGACCACCGATTGGTATTGTAAGATTCTTCAGGGCAGATTGAGTAGATCTATCGGCTGTGATCCTTTTGGCTAACTGGTACTCCAATTCCGGAGGTACCTCGTCGGCTGGAGGAATTGCCATGCCACGAGCAGCGGCCATGAGTTGATGCTCTGCCCAGGACTCCGAGAAATCATTCAAACCTCTCCAGAAAGGCGCCATTCTGCGTTCGATCTGTGATTGGATCAGTATGCAAATGCCGTCTGTTCCGAACTACACTTACCATGAGCTGGCGCACAATTCCTTTGTTAAAGTCTTCTGTGCCAACGTAAACACCCTGTGTGACGAGATATCCGCCATCGACGTTTTCTTCTTTCATGCTGCGCTCACGTTCTTTGAGTCTTGCAGCTCTCTCCTTCTCTGCCTTCCTTGCCTCTCTTTCAACCTTCGTTTCCCTCCTTGCTTCGAGTGACGAAGCATCTTGGTCACTGCTTCCGCCGATTCCGAGAAACGAGAAGTCGTGTCGACCTGCACGTGTTTGTCTGGAAGACGAATACGGGCGGATTGGGATTTCAGTGCCATTCGCCTGTGCGTCCTGCCGTGAAGCAGAGCTCGAGCTGTCATTGATCCGAGAGCCAGTAGAGCCTTGCCCACGTGCTTCCTTTGTCTGAGAATTACCCATCCTGGCTGTGCCGGTGAGGGTGGGTTCAGCCTCCTACTACTTGTCCACACCGTTATTGCATAGTCATCGCCACATTGTACAGCCACAGGTTTGTTTTTGACCGTGTCGTGTTCAAGTCGGCCGTAAATAAGATTCGGATACGTGGATGTTTGGCGTAGTCAGAGTCCAGATGACTTGACTGTTCGGGAATTCAAGTGGCAGAGCTGAGCGACCGAGGTTGAAGGGGGTGCCTACACGAAGACTGCGTCCCGGAGGAAGAGGAAGAGGATGAGATCGATTGGTCTTGTGGAGGGATGCTCACACAACAAGCAGACCAACTCAATATTCGACGAGCACCTTGGATAGAAGTCGATGCCCGACAGACGCAATGTAATGCGCAAGACAAGATCAGGCGGCGGCAGCCCGCCAAGCTTACTGCACCCGGATTAACCTTAAGTATGCAGGGTGATGCTAGAGGATAATAAGTGCGGTTTGGTATGGATCAGCTGGGAGGGCGAAAGATGTGGTGGAGGAGGAGGTGGTGGTGGTGGTGAGGTCGAATGCGACACGATAACGATACAGCAACCCTGTGGCTAGTGCTTGAGATTACGTGCAGTGGGCCACTGGGTTCAGGCGTCGCTCGTCTGTGGCTGCCGACTGGAAAATAATGCTGCCGCCAGTGCCGGGCCCGTTGCTGAGTATGGTACCTACATACTGTAGGTAGGTACAGTAGTTAAGGAAGGTAGGGGTTGATTTGCCCCGCGTAGTATCCGTGCGCGGGATGATTTTTGTACTCACTGTACTCCGTAGGTGCCGTCCCACCTGTGGCCAGGTACCTTTGTCCCCGGAACCTTGCCCAGTAAGCCTCACTAGCCTAGCAGTTATCATTAAAGCTACCTATCGTAGTATTGTAGGCAACCAGGCGAGCCTGTGCCCGGTTGTGGCCCCCGCTCAAGAGAACCCTCTGAACCCTCTGAACCCTCTCCGCCTGGAACTCCGCCGTCGACGAAAATTCGAAGCCAACCCACACGAGACCTGCGTTTGCATGAGTGCTCCAAGATCATGAGTTTGTCTGTCGACCTGCTGGCCTGTTGAGGCGCAACTAGTACATGACCAAATGACGGCAGCTTCGATGCGACTACACATCACTCCTCTCAACCCCGACTTGCTCCCCGCCGTCGTCGGGCCTAAAGTCATTGACTTGGTCTCGAACGTGTCCTATCATACTATCCAAACTTTCCCCGAAAACAACTACGGCTATCTAGACCTCCCTAGAATGGAAGCTGAGAAGGTCAAGAAGAAGGTCAACGGCGCCATACTGAAGGGCAAGAAGATCAAGATTGAAGAAGCTCGGCCGAAGAAGCGCCTGCGTTTGCAAGATAGCGCCGAGGAAGCACCCAAACAAGCGCCAGCAAAGAAAGTGAAGAAGTCCAAGAAGGAGCGCAATGTAATCAATGGGTACGAGCTGCCTACAGATCGCAAGGTGAAACGGGGTTGGACAGAGGCAAACCTGTCCAAGGCCAGCAAAAAGAGCAAAACTAGCTCCTCAAAATCGAAATACTCAGACAAGGATGAGTTACTGTTCCGCACCATTGTGCCTCCAAACAAGAAGGAAAATGTCGAAAAAGAGAAGAAGCAGAAAACGAAGTCAAAGCAGAAAGAAGGGGAACATGTGGTCCACGAGTTTAAAAAGTCTACAGCACAGCCCTCCTTCCTCAGGCAGAATGCTGGTTTAGGGATTTCGAGCAACTTGGAGTATATCGAGGGTCGAGGCTGGGCCGATTCAGAGGGTCAGATAATAGAGCCGGAAGCCGAGCGAGTATCACGGCAGCGGCGTGCACAGCAAGCGGCGACCACTATTGCAAAATCCAAGATAACCCAGAAAGCGGCTTCATCAACTTCGTCCAGTTCGGGATCGGAGGATGATTCGCTTACTGATTACGATGAGAGCAAAGAACATGCACAAGCAGACCATCAGCTCGACGACGAAACAAGCAGTTCTGGCTCATCGTCCGAGTCAGATTCTGATATCGAAACGTCAGAACATGTATCTGATGGAGATACCACGGGAGTGTCTAAAGACCAAGCCGAACCTCTTGGTACAGAAGTTCATCCGCTTGAGGCCCTTTTCAAGAAACCGAGCAAGCCACCCTCCCAAGATGTTGCGAAGCCATCATTGGAGGTCGCAACATCATTTTCTTTCTTCCAATCGGAGGGTGACGATGACGGGGTTGATGAAGATGAGATGGCTGTGCCTTTGACTCCCTTCAGCTCTCAGGATGTTCGGACTCGAGGCCTGCGAAGTGCAGCTCCCACCCCGGACTCAGCACATCCAAGTCGCTTCAACAGCTATGGAAGTTCCGGCCTCCCAGGTGATGAGGACGAGGATGTGGACGAGGTCGAGGCAGACCAACGGGCCGCTACGTATGAGCAGGAGGATAGGAGCAAGGGACCTAGCGTCACGCTCTCCCGCAAACAAAGCGAATTCGAGAAGAAGTTCTGGGAGAATCGAGGCGACAATAACCGGTCATGGAAGACAAGACGACGCACAGTCCTGAAGGAAAAGCGTCAACGCGAAAACAAAGCACGAAGGCCTCGGAACTGGTAGTCCGTAGCATCGAGCGAAAGTTCTGCGTTCTGAGTCAAGGACCTAGCGATATTTAGTTTATCGTAGTTGTATGACAGTATCGCCACGTCCAGGTGTAGAATCAAACATATCTTTTCGTGAGGACGCTCGAGTCCTTTGTACTGTGAGGAAGAGCAAGAAGCTGGGTTGGGTCACTATATTGGCCCCTGCCCAAAGTTTGTCTTGGGCCACGGGCTGTTCGGACCCGACAAACAACGAAAATTGTGCAGCCTAATCACAACACAACGTGAATTACTATTCATCACTTGCGCCCGTCACAGCCAGGCATTCCTATCTCGTTGAACGTGTCCTCTGATGGGATTTTGGCCTACTTCATTGCAACGTTACTGGCGGTGACACTTGCCACTCGCTCACACGTGTGTTCCACGCCGCTTGTCCAGTATTCTCCCGGTCAACTTGTGCGAAATACGATATACGAGCCTGTTGCGCCTACAACAGATATGCTTGAGTAGCTCCGTCCCGTATTGCGCTCGGCTCTTACTGCTAACCAACGTCTCTCATGCCGCCCAAGAACCAACGGCGGTCGCACACCAAAAGCAAGAACGGGTGCTCCCAGTGCAAAGTGCGGCGAATCAAGGTTCGTGGTCTTTGGCAACTCCATCTCGTCCCCGGCTTATGCGAGATATAGTGCAACGAAGTACATCCGATATGCTCCAACTGCGAACGGCGGCAGATCTTCTGTGACTTCTCACAGTCGCCAGGTGTTAGCAGGTCACCGAGTACCATTGCCAACGGCCATGTCAACGGCCCCAAGACAGGATGCGGCGACCGAGCCGAATCCGCCGACGGCGAAGCCAGACGAAAGCTATCACAGCATGTGATTGATCCATTCCTACAGCCTGATCTGGTCAGTAATAAAAAGACTACTGATCTGGATGTCACGGATCTGAGGCTCATGCATCATTTCACGGCTTGGGTGGCTCCCAATCTGGCTAATTCTCATACCCCCGAAGCTCTAGCATTATGGCAGGAACATGCCGTCAAGCTGGGCTTCAAACACAATTTCCTTCTGCGCGGTATTCTGGCCGTCGCTGCATTTCACCTGGGCTATCTCTACCCCGACAGGAAAGCAGAGTACGATTTAATCGGTACGACGCATCAGACCATCGGCCTCAAAGACTTTCAAGAAACCCTCGCACACGTGGACGAAAGCAACTGCCATGCTCTCTTCGCCTTTTCCTGTCTCCTCATCGTGCTTGCATTCGCCTCCAGCGCCAAGGACAAGCCAAAAGACTTCAACACCAATGTTGTACACTGGTTCTACCTTCTGAGAGGTGCGAATATTGTCCTGAATATGCACTCCGAAACAATTCAATGCAGTTTCTTGAAGCCTCTGCTCGACGAGCTGTCCCACAATGAGACCACGGCGGCCTATACGGTCCAAGATACCGATCAAATCACCAAGTTGTTTCGCATCTGCAGCTTGCCAGAGCATGATAAGGAATCAGCACACGCTCTGGATCTTGCGATTCATTCGTTACTCAGCACTTTCATACAGGCTTCTGTTTTGAGAGCCCGAGGCGATTCAACGCTGTTGACGGCCTTCGTCTGGCCCATCAATCTGCCGCCAAAGTTTCTGGAGCTGTTGGGTGAACAACAGCCTGCAGCCATGGTCATATTGGCGCACTATTGTGTGATCATGTCGTGGGGAGAAGCCAAGGATCCAAACGATACTTGGTTCATCAATGGATGGGCCAGATACATTCTAGAGTCGGTGCAGGAATCGGTGCCAGAAGCCTGGCAAGAGCACCTTCAATGGCCCATAGCAAATTTTGAGGCAATCGATGGATCTAGGTCATTAATATTGGATGGATTCGAGCATCACGCTAGCGAGGGTCTGCGTGACGACTGATGTACGAAGACATGTATTATTCGGAAATAATGGGTCTGGGGTTCTCATTTGGCTGCGTTTGCTCGAAGGGATGTATTGTACGTGTAATGGGATTTATGGCGAGAATCAGATGCCGCTGGCCGCGTGGATTGCTGGCTGAAACCATTCAGGCCCTCGTCATCACAGAATGCTCATAGATAGTCAGGATGCTACTGTAGGAACCAAACTCAGACACTGCCATTTCGTACGCGCCTGCATATTGATGCTTGGGCCGAACATGCGCACCCGCAGTCGAGTGATGTGCAGAAACTTGTGTGAGGCGGCTACTCGTGGAAGACGTCTACGGTTCGAGGAAAGGCGGCGTTAGTCCAGCCCACGCCGCACACGTCCTTCTCTGAAGCCAGTAGGATATCTCGAACGGTGGATATCGACAAGAGACTGCATCCTACTGGCTGCAGGGGGTGACGAGTTGGCAAGGGAATAGTAGTGGTCTTCATGTATTTGGTGCAGTAGGGAGCGAAGGTTCCGCAATCAGGGGAATCCTATCAATACAATATCAGCCTAAACCTGCCTTAGAACTTTAGAGGTCGTACGTGCTTCGTAACGCCCATGTTGGACTCGGTCACCCAGTACTCCATGCTTGTCCTACATATTCCGAGTTTGCAGGGCTCTGTGTCGTACCTGTTATAGGCTGTTTATATATAGCGTGTCGGCGTTGGCACAAGCACCGGAGGTCACGTGTGATCCAGGCTCTTGTATGACTCGCACTTCAGCTTAAGCCAGCCGCATGCAATTCATCCTTCTACTACTCCGTATCATGCGCATCCATTGCTCTCCCAGCGTCAAGTCCATGCGAAGATGGAGCTCGACGGCGATTCCTCGAGCATATTTCTTGATGCAAAACTCGTCAGGTGAGGGTTCTGGACCATCGTCGACGTGTCCTCTGTGGAGCAATTCTGAAACGACGCCCAAGAAACTGAAGCGCCCCTTTGTCACATTGCCGACTTCTCGACGAGCAGCGACCGTGCTCTTCTGACACGCGCTGTGGCCTCTCCCTGAGCCTTTCCTCGTCTTTTCCCCCCTGCTCGCTTGTTCTTCTCTTCTCTCTTGGCTTCCTTCTCCCTCATCATCACCACCGTCACCACCGTCCTCCTCACCACTCTCCCTGTGCTCCCTCGACTCGCCCATACGCCGACCTTCTGCGCGCCCGGTCGCCGCAGAACGACAGCGTCCATCCACTATCTCGAGCAGGACTCGCCCTCACACTCTTTGATTAACAAAACAACGATTGCATCGTGATCCCTAGCCCAACCTCCCACTTAAACCGCCCGAACGTCGAAGCCGAGTCATCACTATGGCGAACAAGATCCTCCTGGTCTTTATCGGCTTCGACCTTGCCTTCCTGGCATGTGCCGCGTTGCACTTGTTCATCCCGTTGTACACTCGGCAGGCCGTCAAGAACAAGATGAATGTGGACAGCATCGCAACAAACTTGCTTCTGGACCACTGCCCTTTAACTGGTGAGCACCATCGGTCTGGACACGGGAACCTTGGTTTCATTACGCTAACACCAGTGCAGCCAGCGAAGCCAACTCAGTCATCATGTTTATCACCTTCCTCATCTCCATCCCGGCCTTTTTTAACCGTCGGAACCGGGTTTGGCTCAAGGTCCACGTTGCTGGAGTCATTGTCGCCGCGATCTTCACCCTCATCATCGGCTTGGTTATTTGGTTCTCCACGCTTGAAATCCACAAGAACCTCACCCCGGTCTGGATGAATCAGAGCGCCGATGTTCAGTCGATGCTCCAGCAAAAATTCCAGTGCTGCGGATACACAAACCCTGCGCTCTTCGTCAAGGACGATGTCTGTACCAGCGCCGCAACCGCCGCGAGCCTTGGTCCCTGCGTTAGCCCATTCGGGGTCTTCGCCAGTCGATTCCTCGACATTGTCTTCACCACTTTCTTCGGTTTTGTGGCGGTCGACATGATGCTACTTCTTGCGGCTTTATGTGTGATCAAGGATCGCAAGGAGAAGGAGCGATACAGAATGATCGATGAGAAGAGAGGATATGGGCCTATCTAAGTCCGACGAGTTCGATAAACTCGACCTGGATCAAGTGGTTTTTGTATGGTGCATGCGAAGGGATGGAAGCAGATCAGGATTGCCCTCAAGCAGCGCTGGACGTTTGCGACTTGCTTGGAACACCGGCACGACGACTTGATACAGGTTGGGTGACAGACGGTTGAAATGATGGATGTGTAGGGTATGTGGGTACAACGATAGCCACGATGAGCTCCACGGACTTTACGACAGATAGCTTTGAGCGTTCTTCTCATTGTCGAAGAGTTGGGCGATTGTTTTGTTGAGTCTAGTGTTTTTGGCAGCTGAAAGATTTGTGAAAGCGATTTGTGCAAGTATTTTGTAGCCGTGATAGATAGCAGGATAGCGCGAAGGGGGGTGAAATGCAATTTGTATGATTACTCCGTCTATCTACCTTGGAGTAGGGAGGTGTCTATCTATCCCTAGTGCATAGGCTAGATGTTTGTGTCCTGGTTTATACAGTCATGATATCTTGGGTGATGTTCGTCAACTGGATCAGCCGTATACCTTAGGTAGTACTGTAGGTAGGTAAACGGCTACGGTATCTTATCCTGTACTCGCACCAGGGTTCAGGGTACTTAGTTTGGCACCTGTGTACGAATACTGCATCGATCGTCGAGTGCCAGTAGCTGCCGGAAAAAAAGGAGGCGTCCAGACCGTTGTCGATCGATCTTTTTTTGTTTTGTGCGTGGGACAAACTCACACTTACAAGAAAGTACGCGTAGGTACAAGCTGGTACTTACGGACGGTTGGGCAAAAAATGCACGAGTAGAACAGAATAGGGTAGAGTTGGTTCAGAGTACGAGAACGGGAGAGAAGAGCCACGAGGATCGCATAGATCATCATCTCTCTCTCTCTCTCTCCCCCCCCCACCCCTTCGGGCATCGTCGACATCATGACTCCTCCCACTTCCCTCCGCTCCCCCTCCCCACTGCAGTGCATTCAAAACACTTATTTTGCAAGCACGGAGCGGACCCAAAGAGTCAAAAATGTACGAAAAGTGACCCTGACCCCCAAAAAGTGTCACGAAAACTCCCCCGGTCTACAACAAGGTACGGGTGCTCATCACCTGTACTCCATATGACCCAAATTCCGCCGTCACTCCCGCACACAGAGGTCCACATCTGTGGCAGAAAAAGGGTTGGCAAATGAAATGACGTTTCGCCGGGGGGGTGTATACAAAGGCATGTGAAAAATGAAATAAGAGCGTGTCATGAGAGAGTCAATTGGTGGTGGAAACAAGTCAAAGGATATTCTACACCCTCGTACATTCTACGTTCTACAAACCTACTGATAGATTCAAAACACCCTGGTGCCATCGACGCGGTAGCTGGTGTATGAAAAAAAAGAGACTGTTGCCAAAGGGCTGAACGTTGACAGAGAAAACCGCAGTCTTGCCTTGCCAGGGCTCGGGGGGGTTGGATACATACCTACCTACCTACCCAGGTACCTTCATGGCTTGGGCTCTGGTCACGCCGTCGTCACGAGGCATCGGGTTCGCCTTGACGCGACATCTCCTTCGGACGTTGCCTGCGAGCGTCCCGGTCGTGGCGACGGCGCGGTCCAACGTGTCCGAAACGAAAGAGAAGATACTCTCGTCGCTGGACGTGTCGGGTGACCAGGCGGCGCGTCTCGACGTGCGCGAATGCGACGTCCTGTCGGAGTCTTCCATCGCGCGCCTGGCGCAGCAGTGCAAGGAAGAATACAACGATCGAGCGCGAAACAAGGCGGCGCATCTGCGTCTCGCATTCGTGATCCCCGGCATGCTGGTCCCCGAGAAAGCTCCGGACAAGGTCGACTACGACGCCGCGTTGCAGACGGTGAAGATGAATCTGATCGCGCCAATGATGCTGGTCAAGCACTTTTCACAATTCTTACCGCGGAAATCGGCGACCATTGTCGAACATGATGGTGACGACGACGACGACGGAGGGAACGACAGTGTCGACGGTACGGGTGGTGGCGGTGGTGATGGTCGGAGGAGGAGGAGTCGTCGTCTTCTTCCACGCTCGGCCGTGTTGGCGCTCATGAGTGCCAGGGTCGGATCGATCGGGGATAATCGTCTGGGTGGATGGTACAGCTATCGGGCTTCAAAAGCTGGCTTGAATCAGTTCGTCAAGTCGACAGACATCTACCTGAAGATGCAGAGTGCGGAAAACGCCATGTGCGTCGGTCTTCATCCCGGGACGGTCAAGACGAGTCTGAGTGAGGAGTTTTGGCAGAGCACGCCCAAGGAGAAATTGTTCAGTCCGGAATTCAGCGCGGAGAGACTGATTGATGTCGTTGTCAACCACTTGAAGGAAGATGGGCGAGGGAAGTGTTGGGACTGGGATGGGAAAGAGATTCCTCCTTGACCCAACGTTCAAATAGAATTTACACAGAGTTCTTACAGAAGAGCGAGTACTGTACAGAGCACTGTCGTCGGTGCCTATACACTTAACGAGTATAGTCCAACAAAGTCCTTTTCTTAGGTGGCAAGGATAATCAGCGAGTCTTTAGTCAGATATGGGTCGAGGCTGAGATGATGTTTCTGCCGAGCCGGTGTGAGAAATAGTGCATTACGATGGATTGTGCAGGCCTTATCTCAGGGTCGCAATACATTAAGAAAGATACGGAGTACGAGTACAATACTGGTGCCGGGCGATGAAGGCCGGTTGCATCCGGCCAAAAGATGATTGGACCATCCATGGAGTACAGGAATGTACTGTAGAACACAACGGCTCGATGGTACGACCTTGATATCACAGATTGACGGGACGAGTACAGCGGCCGGTAGCTGATGTGAAGCTTACGTAGCCCTTTACAAAACGCCGAGGATGTGTGTAGGGAGGAAGCGTTATGCAGGCGGCACATGTTTTGCCATCTGTTCATCCTGGTACAATAATTCCAGGTGGCCATCCGGGAGTCAATGGAAGCTGGGGAAGGTCCGGGCACCGCGAAATAATGGCCTGCAGGGCCGCGATGATTCAGCAAGGTTCTTCTGGGTGGATCGGACATGCATGGCTGACCATGCTAACATGAGACTAGAGCACGCTGAGAGTGCGCTAATTCGCCAGGGCTGTTCAGGACATGGTGGATGGGACGCCGAGGTGTGGAGGACTCGCAGGCTAGCAGGAGAACGGCGGAAGGGCATGTCTGAGGCTCTGACCGTCTGAGTGGTCCTGTATACGGAATGCGGGAGAGGAGGATGAACAAAGAGAATTCTGTACCCTCTACGGGTGAAGGGAAGGGATCAAAGAGAGCAGTGGGTGTGGCAGACCATCAATTGCGCGATCGTAAGAGGGAACTGGCATTGACAAGGGGCCCCTTACGAGCACAGCAATAATACAATACATAGCCTGGGTACAGTAGAAGCGAGAACTAGCAGATGGCACTGCAACTGCAGCTTGGGCAGGCTAGAGCAGCGACTAGCAGTGGCACTGGCAGGGACTATTGTGGCAGATCCGCCCTGGCTGATTGAACCGTGGGAGTCACTGGCACCGGCACCAGAGCCACTGAGAGCCGGCGGGGCCACTAGTCGAGCCACTGGACTGCGCCTTCCCTGCTGCTTCGATGGCAGAGGGCTGGACGCTCAACGGGCAGTCGGGGAAAGAATGATCCGCCCTGACCCAGGCACCAATCACACCGCGCCCGCGTCTGATGCCGCCAGTGGCTGCCCAGCGCCCTCAGTCTACAAAAGGCAGGCAGCTCGCCGCTATGCCCTTTCCGACTCCCTTTCCTCTCTCGTCCATCCTCTTCCCCTTCACAGCGACAATCCCAATCCCACTGCACACACGCCCGCAAATCTCGTGCCACGGCCTCGAATCCCTTCTGCCAATTCAACGGCACATCCAGAGTCGATCCTTGCGTAACAGGTACTTCCAGCACCTGCAAACGGTACGTCGCCTGTCTGTTGTTGTTTTTCTGCCAGTGTCTGGTCTTTTGCCGCTCGAAGCGTCTTTACCGTTTTCCATCAAACGCGACGGATCAGCTTTTTCACTTTGCCTCATTGAGCCAACTCCCTACGGAGCACGAATGGAAACAGAAATGCCATTGCCCACCACCACTGTCGACTCCTGCATCGAGTACGACGGCCCAGACTGGCGCTTCTGTTGCTGACCCTCCCCCTTTGCTGCCTGTGCAAAATTCCTCTCGAGGTCGGTTTGTGCACCTCTGGGAGATTTCGAGACACAGGAGAAACGAGGTCGAGGGGTTGTGCCGTTGGAGAGGCAGTGGCTGTGGCCGGGTCCCTCAGGCGTGACTTGGAGCCCGTGGTGCTGCGTGTGGGCCAAGCCACCAACTGAGCTCTTGGGCTCTTCCAGCCCCCTCCGGGCGGCACTGGCCACTCCAACTGCCCTCGGCCTGCAGTGCAACCCACCCCGACTCTCCCGCTCCCTCTGAGGCCCTGGGATCTGCCGAGAGAGTCACTGCCCGGGCTGCCTCTGTCCTCCCTCCCAAACCCTTTTCACTCCCACATTATTCCCTATTGTCGATTCCCTCCCATATCCACCACCACCACCATCCCAGCCCATCCAGATTTGTTCTCTCTTAACCTCTTCTGTCTCAAACCCACTTCTGCCCTTTTGCAGTGCAATTGTTGCACATCCCTTCTCAACCCGCAAAGCTTGGTGGTTTTGTCTTCACACCTGTCAGCATTCTCCCCGGATTTCGTCGCCGCCGACTCGTCCAGTGCCCGTTGGAGTTGTCCCTGTACGCGTCCGTGACATTTCCGCTCACCTTGCCTCCACTGCCTCGACAAGTTACTGTCGCGTTCTGAGCCCATACTATTCAACATATTGTCCTCTCGATTGTCAACTGTTGACTAATCTGTGTCTCAGACCAGGCAGGCTACGCTTGAACTTCCCTAGAAATCCTTACAAGCCACCCCGCAGGCTCAGAAAAGGTACCAATCCAATCCACTTCATTTCCTTTTTCGTCCATTGACACTTTACTCGTTTGGGTAGAACTTGACCTTGTAGTACTTGACCTGATCCATTGGAAGAAACATAATGGCCGACATCACCGATCACTCCGCTGGTCTTGACCAACCCTCACCTGGCGATGAGCTCACCGGCAACGGCGTTGATTCCCGAGGCACTAAGCGTCCGAGAACATCCATGGCCGGGGACGACGACGATGATGATGACGAGAAGGGAGGAAGAGAGAGAAGAAAGATTGAGATCAAGTTTATTCAAGACAAGTCGCGTCGCCACATCACTTTCTCAAAACGGAAAGCGGGTATCATGAAGAAGGTGAGCGCAGGCAGAATCCTCTCACCGCTCACAGTAATGCTAACCCATTGGTGAGGCATACGAACTGTCCGTCCTTACTGGCACACAAGTTCTCCTACTGGTCGTCTCGGAAACCGGTCTTGTCTATACCTTCACCACCCCCAAGCTTCAGCCTCTGGTCACAAAGGCCGAAGGCAAGAATCTGATTCAGGTACGTGGTGTTGTTGACCTTTGACCTCTCCTCCCGCGCTCACATTGATCCAGGCATGCCTGAACGCTCCTGAGCCTTCTGGCAACGAGAATGGCGTCGACACCGCTGACGATGTCGCTTCACCTGACGATGTCCCAGCAATGCCACCTGCAGTCGCAGCCACTGGCATGCCACGTCCCGCTGCACACGGCGGCTACATGACTCAAGAACAACAACAGCAGGCCTTGTACTATCAACAACTTCAGCAACAAAATCAGAGTGGTCAATATGCAGGTATGCCTCAGATGCCTCAACATCAGCGAGCATAGATGCAATCACAACTCTTGAAACAATGATACCCATAACGCGCCAATGTCTGTTCTGACACGCTCGGAGATACACTTGAAATGCCGGCATGCTGCTCGTCGACAGGGTTTGTCAACGGCGTGCACGGCTGCTTTGGGGTCTATTCAGGTGCACTCTTCCTTGGGGGTTTGAAGGGCTTTCTCACATCTATGCAACAATGATGATCGACCTGGAGACCTGGCACACATCTTGTGTTTGAAATTGAAGTTTTTTTTTCAGACGGGGTTCTGCGTATCTGTCTTCTTGTATCACTTTCTACGGAAGAAAATCCCTAAGAAGGCCGAGCCATATCTTTGAGGGGCGCAATATCCATTTTGAGGAGTCCGATAGGTGCGACATGGCATAGTGTTATCCAAGTCCAGCCTTGAGTTGACATAAAATGCAAAAACCACTGAAAGATATTCCAAAGAGATGCATTCGTTTTCTCGCCGTTCTGTGTTTGAATTGTGTGTCTTGACCTACAACTTGCTGGGGACCCATCTCGGAGAGCGCTTTTCAACAAAAGCCTTGACACCTTCTCGTATGTTTTCTCCTTGGTTCAAGCGTGTCTGATAGACTTCATTTGTCGTTTGCGTACCATGTTCGGCACTGCCATCTTCCCAACCCGCAATGATACCGGCGCGACTGACAATGACGCTGTCTGGGCTATTGCCACAAATCTCGGTTGCGTACTGGAGGGCTTTCTTCACGACCGGCCTGTCGAGGACGTCAGCATCCGCGGGTGCGTCCTCGGTGACGGCGTTAACGAAGCCCCATTCTCTGGCCTCGGCGGCGGCGACGGTCCTCCCCGTCAAGGCCATCTCCATGGCCCTGGGCTTCCCGACGGTCCTGACGAGTCGGGTCAGGGCGCCGGCGAAGGCCACGACGCCCCGCTTGACCTCGGGCAGGGCGAACAGGGCGCCCTTTGCGGCGACGACCATGTCCATGTTGGCGACCATCTCCATGCCTCCCCCGAAGGCGAGGCCGTTGACGGCGCCGACGACGGGCTTCTTGCCCGTGCGCCTGCTGACGGCGCCGAACCCGCTGGCCGGCATGACGCGCTGGCCCGGTTCGCCCCTGGCGGCGCGCGCGTTGGACTCGTTCCACTCCTTGAGGTCGGCGCCGGCGCAGAACGCCCGGCCCGCGCCCGTGACCACGCAGCACCCCAGGCTCGGTTCGTTGTCGAACCACGACAGCAGCGCGTCGAGGGACCAGTGCACGGACGTCGAGAGGCAGTTGAGGCCGCGCGGGTTGTTGAGGACGACGAGGAGGATCGACGGCGCCGGGAAGAGGAGGACGATCGTGTCGGGCGTCGACGGGGGTGGAGTCTTGAGACTCGACGGTGCGGTGGACATCTTTTTTATTTATTATTATTGTTGTTGTTGTCGTGTCGTTTTGTCGTGGTGTTCACAGAGCGGACGTCAAGGGTTGTCTCGTCCGGTATCTATCCGTACAGGTCCACGTACTCGTGGGTGTGATCGGTCCTCGGTGCTCCGTACACGAGTTGTATCTGTACGTCGAGGTCTCCCCGGTAATATTCGAAGGTACCTAGGATCGAAGACACCTACAGTTAGGTGGGTACTTTCCCTAGGTCGTCCGTCCTGAGGGAGTGTAGCTAAACAGTTGCTGTGAGTTGCTGTGAGTTGCTCACTCTCGCTCCCTCGCTGGATTGCCTTTGCCTCTGCAGAGGCCTTATTTATACCTGGAACTTCCTCCACGGAGTCGAAATCAAAGGCAAGGTACGAAAAGGGATGGATATCTCGGCGTCAACCCCGGCTTATAAGTAAGTAAGGCCTTATAGGGAGAGATGGACGATGGACGGAACGATGGACGCCCTTTTCTTTATGTACATATCTTACCATGTACTCCGTAAGGGAAACTCGATTACAATCGTCGACTTTTGTTTCGTCTTGTTCGTATCTCACTGCCGAGGTCGATCCTCAATGCGGTTAGATTTTCTTGAAATCTACGTTCTTCCCCATATTATACTCGGTACCCGCGGGCCGTGTTGGGAGGCGGGAACGGGAGATGATGGCGATACACCCTGAAAACACCAGGTAGGCACCTCCTTTGTACAACGTGAACACTACCACGGGCCGTAGTCAGTCGAGTACGAGCCACTTTATGATGGACGGCGTCGAGCTAACTAATTCATTGGGGCACGGGAGTCTTGTACGCAGTCGGGGGCATAGATATTCGTTTTCTCTTCTTCTTCCTTGAATCAGACCAGACAAGACCAGAAGTCTCACAATCTCCCGAATTCATCGATAATTCATGAGAGCATCACCGTGATTATATACAGTACAATGGCCCTTCGAACATGGCCTCCCCACGAAATAGCACAACTGAACTTGACGACCAGCTAGGAGTCCAAGGCACTCAAACTCAAACTCAACTGCCATTTAGAGAGGATCGGTGCAGAGAAGGCCTTGCTCAAGCTGTCGTGTCACCGTAAAGTTAGCCTAGCTCATGCCATTGTTCGGGGTCGGAGAGTGTCAAAGAACACAAAGATCATGACAATGTATACTTACAATAGGCAACAAACAGCATCGGGCCCGCTGTCCAATGGCAGAACAGATGCTGGTAAAGTCATCTGGATCAGTCGGGGTGCTTGGTGCTATTGTCGAGAGCAAGAGGTAACAAGGTTAGCTCAAATGTTGACACCTTTTTCTCCTTATGTATATATACCGCAACAGCAGTGGCGGTCAGGAAAACTTACGGGATGCACAGTCGAGGTCAGCAAGACCCAACACGTCAGTAGCGCAGCATTGTGCCTGATAGCTGCCTGAGCACAGGGTGCTCTGACGTTCAGTGAGAGCGGGGATCGCAGTGGCGACGGCGGCAGAGGCGCCGGCGAGAGCGACAAATATGGTTGTGAAGTGCATTTTTGGTGGAGGAGGTTATTGTTAGTTCTTGTTGTTCTTGAAGAGGGAGTAGGATTTAGAACGATTGGTTGTTGAAGTCAGCGAAAGAATTTTATCCTTTGGCCTGGTCGGATCGAGCGTGCCTGAAGATGAATATTCGATCGAGGGTATACTTGTCTGACTTTATACCTTTCTGCCCGTGCGAGCTCTTGGGAGTACCAATTGGGACTTGCAGTACAAGCAACAAAACCAATGTCATCGTCATCGTCATCTAAGACCCCTGGTCGTACTCTTACCGTGATGATGATCTGCAAGGTGGTTCACGATTCAGCTTACTGCGCCTTGAAAATTTGTGAAGATCATCTCCAGCTGGTCAAGGGTACGAGTAGCCAGTTCGTGTGCACTCCAATCGCCAGCGACAACAAGGTACGAGTAGAGCACAAGTGCAAAGATCAACGTCACCCGTTGCTCAGGTGGGTACTGTACCTGCCGCGATCGCCTCACCAAACTAGAAATGAAGAGTGGCTTTTCTGATAACCCATGGGACTGGGTTGGCCTGGTCGGAGAGAATGCGCTTTGTGACAAGATGGCAATTTGCCGGGCGGTGGCGCGGACATCAAGCACAGTCGTCGTCTAGCAGGGCACTAGTGCCCACTGAACTGAAGCGAAGTCTTTCTCATGGTATGTTCTGTGCCAATCGTGGAGAACTCTTCTAAAGAGCGGGAGCGTGTCTTGTCAGGGGTGAAACAAGAATACCTTGGAAGCCCAAATTGAGTTCGAGGTAGTGTCGGCAGGGAGACCGACAATGGGCAACGGCCGGGAAGATCCTCTAACGGCTTTTGAAGATCATCGCGGAGAGCCTCACCATGGGCCATGTATGCGACATCATAGGGAGTCTAGTAGTGGCCTAACTAGTGAGCCTTGGAGTGAAACTCACTCACTCATACCCGCAGCCTACAGTTGTGCGGCGACGGTTGGGTTAACGAGTCCGTGGCTGTCATGGCCCATAGACCCAAGTCAAGGACGACAGTTGAACAAGAAGAGAGAAAAAGACAGGGATGGTTCCTTGTAGTGATGCTTCGACGAGCTGAGGGGGCGTTGTTCCTAAGACACAGACGGAAGCCGACGCCGATCTTCGTGGAGCAACGAGGTGATGAGCAGATGCAAGTATCTCCCTGAGGCTTCCCGGGACCAGAGGGAAGGAAACGTGGAGAACGGGGACTGTGATCGACATCCAAGGTGGCTGTGAGGATAACGGCGCGAGGAGTTCGGACTTCGAAGATGGAATATAATTACATTTTACTGTACAGTGTTTTACCCTATGAATTGCTCTCTGGGCAATTTGAGCCGAAATTCGCCTGCTATTGATTTGCCCGCTCACATCCATGCACCTAGGCGTCTTTGTCTTCTGTCCCCATTTTCCATGAACCAACTTCCAAGCATCAAAGTGAGTTAGCGAGACTCGAGCTTCGCCAGAACCCAGAGACCTATTGGCTTGCAGACGAGAAATGATGTCAACATCATCCTAAGCGAAGTCGCAGGTTCTGAACGATGTGAACACTTCCAAGGCAACGCGAAACACTTACGATCCCTCCAAGGGTACCCAATCTATTGGATCTTGGACTCCATGCCGAGGGACTGAATGTGTCCACGGGAGACAAGGAGTGGAAGAGCGCAATTTGGCCAATGCCATGGGAAATGAGAATGCCATTGTTTCCGTCGGCGCTGAGAACAAACCCCTGCAACCATGTCTTGAAGATCTTGCTGAGTGTCGCCACTTAACGAGAGCAGTACATATGAAGCCAGCCATCCATCCACCCATCTAGTCTCCTTTGAGACCTAAGGGACATTAAAGTAAGCTGATACAGCGAGAGTCTTGTTCCGTACATATCGATCAGAATCTCCTCAATCATCGTCAAGACCAGACAAGACACTCGCAGCGGGAACGAAAAACGTGGTCCCCGTCAAGGGTGTCGAATAATCCAAGATGCGGTCATGCAACCCTGGCGGATTCCCAATGAACATTCTCTCGAGCATCTTCTCTATGACCCACAGCTTTCTCGAATACCCGATGAAGTAGGTCCCAAACTCGTTTGACCCGGGCGAGCCGAACGGCATGTTGTCGCGCAGAATGTCGTGCTCCCCTCCTGCCTCGTCCTCGATGGTCGCCAGGGACTTGTGCGACATCTGGGAGCCCTCGTCGGCGTCGTCGAGTTCGATGTTGTCGAGCTTGGTGCGCCCGATGATGGCCTCCTGCGTCTCGGTCGACAGCCCGCGCCACCGCTTCAGGGCGTGCACGTACTTTTGCACGACGACGTAGCTCCCGCCCACGGCGCCCGCGTCGTCCTCGGCCGCCACGACGACCGAGGCGTTGACGGCCGGCCCGACCGGGTTCGCCGTGCCGTCGATGAACCCCAACAGGTCCCGCGCGTCAAAGTACCGGAACCCGACCGTCTCGTCGACCACCGTCACCGCGTCGCCGAGCAGGTCCATGACCTGCCGCTCGAACTCGAAGCACAGGTCGCGCCGCTGAGAGCGGATGTGGAACAGGATGTCCCCTGGCGTCGACACCGCCGTGTGCACCTTGCCCTCGATTCGCTTGAACGGGTGCAGCTCCGCCGGCCGAGCGACGCGACCGCCCGTCACCGTGTCCCATGCCTCACTGCCGATGCCGACCGTGCACGCGAACAGCGCCTGGAGGTCGCGGATCGCGACATTCTTGACGAGGTCATCGACGCTCGAGAGGACGGACCGCACAGTCTTGATGGCCGCCGGGTCTGGATTGATGGTCAGAACGAGAAACGTCGCCGAGGCAGTCAACGGTGCGTCGACGCTCTGCGATTCAATTGGTACTCGGCCTGTCATGGTGGGCCGACGGCTAGATGAGTAGGACCGGCTAATAAACCCGGGCGACGAGAGTGAAGTTGGTGATGAAGGAAAGCAAAGTTGATGTGGTTGGCGGTTTGATGATAATGTCGACAATGGCCGTTGTGGGCGGTGGTGGTGAAGACGATGCGTATATAGTGGTCCAAGGTGTCGTAGTCGTCGTCGTCGTCCTCCTTCTTTTACGGACGGCCCATGCGTGAATCCAAAAGGCGATTGAGGTCGAAATCTAATATCCGGAGAAAAGCGGCAGGTCGAGATGGAGGTACAACTCAATTTGACGCTGTAGAACGATCTGCCGACCGTGTTGGGATTCATGCCATCGGTCCACCCCGACGTGTTGAATGTGAGTACTCCGGAAGGGGGGCTTGATTACAATCACCTCAGAGGAGAGAGGGCTGATGATTTTACGGGTTCGAGACCCTCTGGTTTGTTACTCGAAAGGCTGCTTCTTGGTTCTGCTTGGTCATCGGTGGTGTGATTTGATGCAATTGGTCTTAACTGCCCGGTTGACGGAAAGTAGATTAGGCCGACGATGATGATGGATCAGGGAATCTTCTGACTAAGTTTTGCTGAGACTGCTCGCACGAGGTGCTTTGGGCCTCGTACTCGTACGAGAGATGTGTAGATCAAGTAGAAAACAGTAAAGTAGGAATGCCCGGAGACCATTCGAGGGACGCCGGTCGCTGCTGATCCACCCTGGTCGGGGTTGAAGTGGCCAATTTGGAGACCAATAATGAGGAGGCCATTAGAAACAACAGTTAACTCATCTATCCTGTTGATGTACCCATGGATATGCGACTCTCATTCGATGCGAACTTTCAGATAGCAGACTTGAATGTGTGAAAGGAAGATTCGCTTGTTCGACATGTGCTTCAACTTTTTGGATGCTCAAGACCGAGATCAAGAAGTCACGAAGCATTCTAATCATCATGAGGCTCATGGCCGACGGTTGGAGCAATGCCCGCAGGTGACATTCTTGTCAACCAGGAACAATTCACCCAGTCAACTGTTAAACTCTCCCTTGACATCCGCGATAAACTCCTCGACATCAGCCCACAGCTCTCGCGGCCTCTCCATCGCCGCAAAGTGCCCGCCCTTGTCGTGCTCATGAAAAAACACGAGGTTACCGGTCGTCTCGATCCATGCCCGCGGGATGGGATTGATCTCCTTGGGAAACCAGGAATATCCGAGAGGTTTGTGAACATGCCATTTCTTGGATCCGTGGCTGTCTGCGTTCGGCCCGTAGAATTGGCGGTATGCCCATATGCTCGTGGAGGCGCATTTGGTCACCCAGTACAGCGTGATCGACGCGAGAATGGTGTCGAGGCTGGGATCCTCGTCGGTCCAGTCCAGAAACTTCTCGCCGATCCAAGAAAGCAGTGCCAGTGGGTTCGACGAGATGACGAAGCCGATCGTGCTGGGCCGCGTGGCATGTTCAATTGCATAGCCAGTCCCGTTGTGCAAGAAGAAGGCATGTCGTTCGAGTCCAGCTTGTTCTGATTCCGTTAGCGGCGTCCTGAGCTCAGAAGGGTCGGGGGCAGGCATCGGATGGGTATTGAGGTGAAGTGCCTTGCACCTCGGATGGTTTGCCGCCATTATTCGACCTATGCGTCCTCCCAAGTCTCCCCCTTGGACCATGTATGCTTCGAATCCCAGTGTTGAGGCGAGAGAATCAAAAATCCGTGCCGCATCGTCAGGTCGGAAGTTCGGGCTCAAAGGCGGTGGCGAGGAAAACGCGTACCCTGGTAGACTTGGGACGATCAGATGATAAGGGAGTGTGTCTGCGGTGTGTTCCGTCCGTAAAATGTCCAACAGGGGTAGAAACTCGAGGAAGCTGCCTGGCCAGCCGTGCAGGAGGAGAATGGGAATGGCGTCTTCCCGTCTCGAGAAAAGTGCAAGGAAATGAATGTCGAAAGTTTCCAAGTCGTCTTTGACAGGTACTTTGAAGTGTGGGAAGGAGTTGATATGTTCCTCATGTTTCCGCCAGTCGAATTTAGACTCCCAGTATTCCTTCGCTGTGGCCACCCACTCTCGGCGTAGACCTAGATGCCGTTCTCCTTCCGGCAATGAGTTCTCGTATGTTGGTGGAGCGACTTCTGATAGTTCAAGTAGCGTTCTGAGATTTTCCAGGTCCTTCTGGGGAACAGCGACCTTCCATGGCATGATGAAATCCGAAGCCTGCGAGGGTAGGATGTCGAAGCCACGGTACGCCATTGTGAATATCGAAACCGAGGCTGATAAATGATCCCAAGGCTTTCCCAGCACATCAACACCGCATATCACCCGCTTGGCGCTCATGATGCGAATCCCTTAAATAAAAGACCAATACCTCGATGTTCGTGCCGAAAGTTGTCATTCTGAAGCTAGTCATTTGGCGTTGATGGCTGGGGAAATCCTAAGTTGCTTCATTGTGCTGCTCCGGCACGAAGAGCGATTTCGTAGTGATGCCTTCGGGATACGAACTCTCTCTGAAGCGCAAAGCTTCTCCCTCGGAGAGATTTTCCATCAAATAGTCTGAGACTTGAATACACCCTCGATATCACGGTAAAGAAAAACTGTCAAAACTGTCGCGAGAAGTTATGTACCTCTTCGTAAATAACGGGCGTAACTAGCTCGGTGCTCATCGGGGTAGAAATAGTGGAGGCTCGAAGCAGAGTGGATGGTCGGGGTAGAAATTCAGCGAATCAACCACTCACTCTGGGCCTCGACGTAGCCTTGTATTGTCCTTGCATAGCCCAGGGCGGAGCAGACGAAGGCGTCCGGCTTTCCAACTGCTAGTCTCGTGGTCTGTTCTCTGGCAAGTTGCAGCATGATCACATTCTACTCCAACGGTACACTTGGCTGAATGCTGTCGTGAGGGAAGTACTGCAAAAGGATGACAAATGCGCAAAATGGAGTTATGAGTCGTTGGGATGGAGCAGGATGTTTAGGATGCGCTTGACAATAGAGACACAACTGGCGAAGTATATATAACACATTGTTCCTCTCATGGTCTGAGAAACAACAAGCGTCCATCTCAGATCCTGAAGACGTTCCCGAATCTGCTCCTTGCAGCACGACACGCCAGTCAAACCGTTGAATCAATCATGTCTTCCTCCACCCAGACAGTCTTTCGCCTGACTTCGCGAACTGGAGTCGGCAACATACAAGCGTACCAGGAGCCCATCCCGACCTTCGGCGATCATGAGGTCCTCGTGAAGATCAAAAGCGTCTCCATCAACTATCGCGATATTGCTATTCAGAATAACACATATCCTCTGGCGGTCAAGGACCAAGTCATCCCCTGCTCAGATCTTGCCGGTGAGGTGGTACAAGTCAGCGACAAGGTCAAGAACTTGGCCGTTGGGGATACCGTCATTGCTTCGTCCCACGCGGGCCAATATGGCTCGGTTAAATCACTTGAATATGTCCTTGGAGGCCCGGTAGACGGCGCACTGAGAGAATACATTGTCCTGCCTGCAAGCCAGCTGGTGAAAGTGTCTACGTCCGCTCACACAGTTACCGATTGGGCCGCCCTGATAGGTACTGGAACAACCGCATGGAATTGCTTTTTTGGTGCGGTGCCACTTAAGCCGGGCCAGACAGTGCTTGTCCAAGGTGTGTGACGGTGGTGGAAGAGGACACCGAATCAGCAGTAACTAACGTGCTTAGGAACTGGGGGAGTTTCCTTGACTGCTCTCATCATCGCAAGAGCTGCTGGCGCTAAGACGATCGTAACCTCATCCAGTGATGAGAAGCTCAAGAAGGTCAAGGACAAGTATGGTGCCGATTACACGATCAACTACAAGACCCATCCCAACTGGGCCGCTGAAGCGCAGCGTATTACCGAGGGCCAGGGAGTTGATCATATCATAGAGAATGGAGGTATAGGCACAATCGGGCAGAGTATTGAGGCCGCGGCAATGGGAGGGACGATTTCTTTGGTTGGATTTTTGGCAACTCTGCCGCAGGACCAGGTGCCAGATGTGACAATCATGGCCCTCACTAAGGCCGTTACCCTCCGTGGGATTCTAATGGGGTCCAAACAGCAACTTGAAGAGATGGCCGTATTCTTCGGCAACCACAATCTGCCAGTGCCGATTGACAAAACTTTCCAGTACAACCGTGAGGATATCATTGCTGCCATGCAATATGTCGCCTCGGGAAAGCATATGGGAAAGGTGTGCATCAACCTGAACTAAGTCAGATAGTATCTGCCAGAAGTTGAAGGCCCGAGCCAATGAACTTGTCAATTTCAAGGACATGAACCCCCTGGAATATCTGAGCCCAGAGTTGCACCGTAATTATTGCCATTCGATGATAGCGGGACGATTCATCTTGCGGCGTGTTTAGTGTTTCCGCAAATGATGTTTCTCCGATAACGCCGGTGATGATATCCAAGAGCCTGCGTTCGGTGTTCCGCAATCCTTCGAGACCACATTGGTCGACGACTGACGATATCATGTCAAGCCAGCCCTTCAGCAACCAGACGCACTCGAGGCTACTTAACGAATGCTCGATGCTTCGAAAAGATAATCGCGTATGGGTGACTAGCCCAATACCCAGCCGGACCGGTATGCTCAACGCGTGCGCCGCATGAAGAACAGCCCGGTCGACCTGCGGAGTTCTCTCCAAGGACATCTTCTCAATACCAAGATCTCCTGGATCCCTCGATGAGAGTGCCTTCCAAGAGCCCATATTTGAATTCAATCTAATGTACGCCAGTCGAAGTAGGGCGGTGGCATTTAGTCCAAGAGGGCCTTTTTCCGACAAAGGATCAAGCGTGGCTTCGTAAGTACACTCCCAGGATAATTGCCATGTGCGTAGCGCATGCTCAAACTTCTCGAGAGTTCCGTGCGGGATCGAAGACCCTCTCGCTTCAGAATGAGCAAGAATGATCTGCTGAAGAAGGCCGAGAATGAGCACGTAGTTAGCGAAGGAGGATACTGGGACGACAATCCCCCGAGATAGCAGGGAAAGCGCCTCTTTGAAATAATATTGACGGTGATGTAAGGCAGGATGATGCAATGCTTCTGCAGTCGTTTTCTTCCACGAGTCCACACAGCTTGGAAGCAGAGTTGCAATCTCCTCATTGAGAAGCTGTGGCGGAGTGTTGTAGGCAATGTTCTGCAAGCTGAGAAGCACATAAGCACAGAGCAAAGTCCTTCTTCGCTCTTCAGCCGCCACCCATTTGCACCACAGTTGATCCCTTGACTCATTGTCGGGGATCTGAATGCCAAAAGATGATGTATATTCGTCCTCAGACAACCCGTGCCGTCTCACGAGCGTGCTAAGCTGCGTGGCCAGGGCCAATCCATCTTGCAAGACATCTTTGCCTGCCCAAGATGCATAAGAAACGAGAAGGTTCAGTGTTTGAATCTTCCCAATGCCATTTCGGCGGCCTGCAACGGACTGGTCAAGCGAATCGAAGTCCTGAAAGCGCATTTTCTCCGCGAGGATGGCTTTTGACATAAAATACAAAATGTAAGAGCAGTGATTCTCAAATCTGTTCAAGGCACCCAAAGCAGCAGCGGCGAGAAGTAGTTCGACGTCAGTTTTGGCAACTGAGAAAGTCGCAGAATGAATGAAAGGAAGGCTCTCTTGAACACAACGGAAGTAGGATTCGAGATTCCTGCTTAGAGAATTCCGAGACGGCAATTCCCAGTCGGTCGGGAGAACGGCGGAGAAGGACTCGACTTCAAGACAGAATCCTTCGTAGACAGAATCGGAAAAAGCCCAAGGGATGACGCCAACGGCGTCCTTGAACATTCCACTAGGTTCGTCGCAAGGTTTGACTTCGTAATTCGCGTCATCCAATATCGGCAAACGTGTACTGAAGCGTGGAAGGATGTGATCACTTGGGGACTGAACATGTGGCCGAGCAAAGGCAGGGGGATTGAAGTTGTCGAAATCAAAGAGGATCGAAGGTAGCATGTCTTGACGAAATAGGTCAGGATCGACAACGAAATCTGGACTTTCCGGAGCTCCTATCTCTGCATAGGACGTCGTAACTTCTTGAGACACTGATTCATTGAACGGCAGCCCATTTCGAGAGTGTTGCTTCAGCTTGATATGTCGAGAGAGGAGATCTCTGATCGCATTGTTATGTGACTTGGCTAAGGGACTGATGTAACACCGGCTTACTGTCTCGTGAAACTCTGCCCACAGTCACATACAAATGGCTTCTCACGTGTATCTAGCAGATGTAAGTAAGGCCGCCATGCTCCCATCTGAGTAGCTTACGTGTTCGTTCATGTCGCACAAGATGCTCCCGTCGAGCAAACTGCTTCCCACAATAGGTGCATGACCGCTGTGGGTTTCTGGGTCTACCTCGAGGCATTTCAACAGAGCAAATTCATGGGTGTGGTGGTATGCTCAATGATCCAACGGCATCGAGGAGATGTCGCTTCCAGAAATTCTTTCCATGCTCAGAGAGTACAGGACGAGCACTCCTGTGCCATGCCGGAGAGTCTCTCTCCGGAAAAATGAGACGGTCTCAGGCGGGTAAAGTACGGAACGTCGCTAGCTCACCTCAATTAATAAGCGACGGGACGTTGTGTGGGCCACAGTGACGCCGACGAAGATGACGCAGTCTCTGGTAAACAAAAGTTCGGGCGCACCTGGAAGCGAGGTGGGGGAGTCTAAGAACGCTTCAACATTCCGACTCGGTTCGGGATCAATATTTATTGTAGTCGATGAGTTGAAGATTGTGTAATGAGAGGAAGCACGGAGGCATCAATGAGGTTGAGATTGACGTCAGAAAGAGAACGACGTCCTGTTCTTGGCACATCTGATATTGATACTCGTATCTTCCTACAAGCATCAACCCTCGTTCGTCATCGCCACTGATCTGTACTCCGAGCATCTGCAAAGGTGGCAAGTTATACTAGACTTTACACGCGCCTCGTCAAGCATCAACTTCAAACCGATATCGATCCATCAACATAGCTCGCTTGATATTATCTCGACTAGCTTACCGCCGTACTCGTCACCATCTGGCCATGGGCGACGGGGAGAAGAGAAATATTGTAGTTGTTGGTGGGGGAATCATTGGTTCAACTACAGCATATTTCCTGACACGACATCCAAAATATGACCCCAAAAAGCACACAGTCCATCTCATAGAAGCTACATCAATAGCAAGCGGGGCATCCGGCAAGGCTGGGGGACTACTCGCGCTCTGGGCATACCCATCATGCCTCGTGCCGCTAAGTTTCAAGCTTCACGCCCAGCTAGCTGAAGAACATGGTGGCGTCGAACGATGGGGTTATCGTGGAGTAGGTGTTGGTCAGATTGAACTGAGCGGTCGTCACGTCTCAAAACGACCGAAGACCACAGAGAATGGCGAAGCGAAAGGCGAAGACATTCGCGGACTTCATCGGCCTGATGTATCGAGCGACGGCAACGTGAGTCTGCAGAAACGAAGCAAAGAATCGTACGCGAATTTGAGCAAGATGGGCCTTCCAGACGACCTGGATTGGGTCGCCGAGGAATGTGTGCGAGGTTACGATAGCATGGGCTCACCTAAAGATACGGCACAGGTACATCCGTACCAATTCACGACGTCCATGGTATCTCTGGCCGAAGAGCAGGGCGCCAAAGTCATCATAGGCAGTGTTGAAAAGATCGAGACTTCAGCTTCGGGAGAGCATACTGTCAAGTACATGGATAAGTCAACGGGCTCCTTGCAATCTTTGCCCGCCACCGATGTAATTGTTACAGCTGGACCTTGGACCAAGACCGTCTTGCCGGGAACGCCAATCGGTTCTCTTCGAGCACACAGTGTGACGATACGTCCAACGAGGCCGGTTTCCGCATACTGTCTGTTCACTCAGCTTGCGCTACCGAAGAACTTCAAGGAAGGCGTCAAGTCGAAGGCAATGTATGTGAGCCCCGAAATCTACGCGCGGCCCAACAACGAGATCTATGCATGTGGAGAGGGCGACCATCTCGTGCCACTACCCAGGTCTGCCGCTGATGTCAAGGTCGATGATTCGCGATGTCAAGATATCGTCGACTACTGTGCCAGTTTCTCAGATGAGATGCGGGACGGAGAAGTCTTGGTCCGCCAGGCGTGCTACCTACCTCAAGTCGAGACAGGTTCGGGACCACTAGTCGGACACACGAACACTAAAGGTATCTATCTCGCTGCCGGCCACACATGCTGGGGTATCCAGAACGGACCAGCCACGGGCAAGTTGATGAGCGAATTTGTGTTTGACGGCAAGGCTGTCAGTGCGAATGTGAATAGCCTGGACCCAAGAAGGGTTTTGAGGTGAAATGCTCTGTACGTAGCGTCTGGTAGTGGACAACCAAATGATGTTTGCACCCGAATCCATTATTGATCCTAGTCACCATTGTTGTATGTGATTCTATGCTTTCCAAGCACTGACCACTTGTACTACATCCTCATCAGAAACGACGTGTGCCAATCCGACTCGCTGCGGGATATGTTTCGCACTTGCGCCCCACACGAGCGCGTACTTGAACGTCTCCTTTAGAGTGCGATGAATCTGGTCGCACACATCTTCAATGGTACTGTTGCTTCGCACGATCAGGGCCTCGCCAAAGTCTGGTTCCACGCCCTGTCTCTTCGTGTATATCCGCATCAGCCGCAGTTCTTGCCAGCATCGCTCGACGACGTCTTCAATACCCAGATCCAGCTCGCACGACATAACGACCGTGTTGGGTTCGTGAGCCAGAGCGTCTAGATAGTCCACCGTCACACTGTCGATCTTGTTGTATACGTACAAACATCGGATATATTTTCGGTGGTCTTTCATGATCACATCAATGAAGTCGTCGACTGTGACGTTCTCATCGCGCACTAATACCTCGCAATTGAGGATCTTGTAGTCTCGCAGAATATTGTAGACCATTTTCTCATCAATGTATTTCGGCGGTGACTGGAATGTGATTTTCATGCCGCCGGCCTTCTTGGCTTTGAGGTAGATGTTCGGTGGATCACGATTCAATCTAATACCGACGGCTTCCAGTTCTGCTTCGAGGAGCGCTCGTTGCTCGGCTCGTTTCGTGGCGTCCAGTACCATTAATATCAGGTCGGAGGTCTAGGTGCGGTTGAAAACATTAGTACGGACCGAAACATGGAAGCTCATTTCGTCAGCTGTTGCTCACCTTGGCGGCACTGATGACCTGTCGACCTCTGCCTTTACCTTCAGAGGCACCTTCAATAATACCAGGTAAATCTAGTATTTGAATTTCAGCACCACCATATTCGAGCACCCCAGGAATTGCCGTCAGGGTCGTGAATGAATAGGCCGCTACTTCTGATTTGGTCTTTGTGATTTTGGACAAAAAGGTCGATTTGCCGACTGAGGGAAATCCAACTAGGGCTATGCGCGCATCACCCGACTTGGAGACATCGAAGCCTGTACCTCCTCCTGAGCCGGCACCAGGGCCTGGCTCAAGGAGCTGTGCTCGTAATCGCGCAAGTTTTCTATGGGGTTAAGTCAGCCTGATCTCTTGTTTTCAGAGCATTTTTTGTGGAAGGTTTGTAGTCGAAGAGACCCTCAGCGTGCTGTCCCCATCCGATAAGTCGCGTTTATTGGGAGTTCATGGTTGGAAATCGCTAGACAGCGACTCCAATCATTTCATGGCATTCAAGCCATTTGGTCTCAGCGTCTCTTGAACAAGTGTTTGTCACGTCCATGTTGAATCTCATCGTCATGCAAGACTCGACTTCGCACGTGACGAGGCGGACACTTGCTGGCCATTTTTGAGTGGATACGGATTTTCTTGGTCTTTGGGCTTCTTCCAAATTTGACACCTTTGATATAGACCATTATAAACCAATTCTGCAAGAACGAGCTTACCCCTTTAGTAGTCCGAGATGGTATTCTAGTTCCTGTCAGTCACAAAGAGTGCACAAACCTTCTCGACTGGTTTCACGAACCTGTGGCTTTGTTTTCTGTTGAATGTCAGTTATCCACTCCATGGCCATGATAAGAAGACAAAACCTACTTTGAGTCCGGGCCATTTCGGCCTCGATCCTGGAAACGAGTCAGAGATCAAACATCTTGTGTGATCCAGAGCGCCATACTCTTTGATCTTCTCAGTTATATTGACCATCTTGATTGCTTCGGCTGAGAAGTGCTTGTGACCAAGATTGTTTCGCGGGCCAAGCAGGAGGACACCGCACACTTCGGCGATTTGTACTTTCTGCGAACTCAACAAAGAACCGAAATCGAAGTTTGTCGTGAAGGAGACGGAGTGGATGGTATTTGGTGAGGAACACTGAGTCGCCGTCACAGAGATTGAGCACCGGCTTCACGGTCCATAGTTGTTCCGTTCCGAATATCTCTTGGCGAGGCTGTTGCTGTTGAGTGAGTCAAGGTGAACCACCCTTTCTCCCATACTTTGTTCAAACCACTTCCACACGACAACAAGATCCATGGGACAAAGAATCATGAGATAGGTGGCTGCGGCAACTGCTGCAACTACCTAGGTATATATACCCCTCGTTTTCGGGGTAATCTGCCAAGCTTCAAGAGACAAGACAGCGCCGAGACAACATCAGGTCCCTTTGCGGACCTGAATCTTCAATATGCCTACCAAAAAGAAAGCCAAGGTCGTCGCGGTGCAGACAGCAGTTCCAGATCTACCAACGCCCAACCCACCGTCGTTTGGACGATCTCACCGTGGCCTCGAGGAAGAGATTGCAGACTATCCAGAAATTCAACGCAACGAGTTCTTGACTACAAGGGCTATCTATCCTGACGACTTCGAAAGAGTCCGCGGCCGAAAAGATGCCTGGCAGGTAAGCGTCAAGTGAGCCAACGCGTCTGCTTATTGACCATCTAACACCACAACAGCGATACGAAAACCTAGCCTTTCAAGTCAGAATTGGACCGCTTGAAGACCCTGAATACTTTGCCAAACTGATATTCGAGTTTCCACGGGAATATCCAAAGGTATTGCCTAAAATTAATGTTCTCGACGTTCAGCCAAGAGATCCGGCGATAAGACAGCGCATTGAGCAAATCATCGCTGATTATCCACGCCAACACCTGGGGAACGAGTGTGTCTACGAAGTCACAAGCGCCATCATGGATTTCCTCACCGAGATCAACCTGGACAAGGCTGCCAAGAAGAATGAGTTCAGTCTCGAAGAGGAACGTGCTGCGAATGAGGCGCGCACTAAGAAACAACAGGAAACCGTTCGGAGACGACAAGAGGAAGAAACCGAGAAGCAGGAGCTCCTGTTCGAATCAAAGGTTGAAAGCGAGAAGCAAAGACGGCTCAAGACAATAACTCGCAAAATTACGGGAGATGAGAATGCCGACTTTTACGATGCCCCAGAAGAACCAATCCGATTTGACCAGTCGATGACTTCACGAGACACTGTCACGTCTACACCTTTCAAATTCAAAGCCGTGACCGGAAGATCAGTCATTCTCAAACGTCCGGACAAGAAGGTTTTGATTGTGGCTCCACGCGTGGACATCGATCGAGTCCAGGCTCCTCGATTCCTGCTAAAGATGATCTATCTCCCCGAAACCATCGCGCCCAGGGCCAAGCTGCAAAAGTGCATGGAGGTTGTCGAGCAAGATCTTGAATCGTCGAAAGAGCACCGTCATCCAAACGTCGTGGACCTCATCAACTACAAAATTGAGCACATGGACCTGGGTCAAGGAGGCGGTCAGTGGAACCTAACAATTCTTTCGGAATTCGCCGAACAAGGGTCTCTGTCTGATCTCTTGGACATCGTCGGAGCTTTGAGTGCAGCAAGAATTCGTTCGTGGGCACGCCAACTGGCTGATGCTTTACTCTTCTTCGACCAACAAGGATACGTTCACCCTGCAGTCCATGCCGGTAACGTGATGCTGTTTCGCTCTGTCAGTGGAGGAGTGACTGTCAAATTAGCTGATGGCTATGGCACGCAGTTGAGTGACTTGGTTCGAGCTGCTCAGAATCTTTCCGAGCCTTCCGAGCAGGATCTTCCATTATGGATCGCTCCAGAGCTGAATTCTGCCACTCCTCGAAGATCAAGCAAGACGTGCATCTGGGACCTTGGAGTCATCATCATGCAGATGGCTGTAGAGAAGAAGGTGAAAGAAACCTACACTTCTCCTCATCAAGTCATCGCCGGTTGCGGATTCGGGACAAATGTGACAAGACTCCTTACTGCAATGTTCCACAGCGAGGCAGCAAAACGCCCCAGCGCATTCGAGCTTACTCGAAAAGCGTTCTTCACGGAAGAGCGGGAACCAATATTTCGAGATGCATACCCGGGAACCCCTGGCACTCCAAGTCGACGCCGAAGATACAGCGATCGATACGTTTCACGATACTACAATGACTTTGAGGAAGTCGAACGTATTGGAAAGGGCGGATTTGGAAATGTTTATCGCGCCAGATTGAAGCTTGATGGACAGTTCTATGCAGTCAAGAAAATTGAGAGCACTTCAGAGCGTGAATTGGAAGGAATCCTTGCGGAAGTCACATTGTTGGCAAGATTGAATCATCCCTACGTAGTCCGATACTACAACTCTTGGGTTGAGCGAGAGGACGCGGATTATATCGAAGAATCCCCTCAACCACGACTTCCAGATCGGTCACTGCAACAAGCTCCAGCTGTTAGTACAGGCCATGACTTCTTGGAACCTTCAGTCTATCGCAATCAAGGTCCTGAATACAGCAGCAGCGATGATGATGGAAATATGTTCGGCTACCAAGATCCTCCAGCGATTGATGAGCAAGATGGTTATGACGATGACAATGATCCGTTCAAGACCGATCCGGAGTCTAGTCGCCCAGATGAAGGACAGGCAAAGGAAGAAGAGATAGAGGACGATTCTTTTTCAGTCCGTATTCCAACAAGTCCAGGATTCATGGGAAGCTTTGACAACAACCCCTTCGACAACAGCACCGAATCACCTTCGAATTCGATCGCTCCAACCCGATCACGAACTCCTTTGAGGCAGAAGCAAAAGTCCACCCTGTACATTCAGATGGAACTCTGTGAAGGCAAGACTCTCTGGAACCGAATGAAAGAGGGTCTTTCCAATGATGTCCCTGCTGTCTGGAGCTTGTTTCGCCGCATTGTTGAGGGGCTTGCTTATATCCACGCGCAGAGTATTGTGCACCGCGATCTCAAGCCAGAGAACATCTTCTTGGATGCTCATGACAACCCTAAGATTGGTGACTTTGGTCTTGCTACTGCAGGACAAACTGTGTCAAAATCTCACGTCTCCAAGCCAGGCATGACAATCACAGATTCTTGGGGAGTGGGCACCAAAGGCTATACTGCTCCTGAGCTCTTGGAACGTGGCAAGAAATACGACGCCCGAGCAGATATGTATTCTCTCGGAATCATGTTTTTCGAAATGTGTTATGCCATCCCGACACAGTACGAGAAGAACATCCTGCTTCAAGGCTTAGCCAAACAGCCACCTCAGTTGCCGCCATTCTTCGAGGAGGATATCCATCAAACACAGGGTGAGATCATTTCACAGCTTGTCAACGTTGATCAGCAATTTAGACCTACTGCGAGGGAATTGCTCGACAGCGGAAAGATCCCGGAACCTCTGGAAGAGGAGAAATTTCGACGCTTCATTGATAGATTGGCTGAACAGAACCCCGAAGAGTACCAAGACCTCATCGGCAAGCTCTTCTCCAAGCCCAATGATCCTGTTTCAAGCCTTGCCTGGGAAGATCGGTCTGGAGAAAGCATGGTCCCGGTTGATCCTATTCTGTGGATCTCAGTCACCGACCAGTTGAGGTCAATCTTCCGTCGACACGGCGCGATTGAAGCCCCTAGACAAGGGATCATCCCGAAAACCGGATTCACGCCAAATCCTGCCGTCTTTCTTGACCCTTCCGGCCTGACAGTACAACTTCCAGAAGACCTGACGCTGCCGTTTGCTCGCACACTTGGGCAAACCTCATGTAGTTTCGCGAAGACATATTGCTTTGGTGCCGTATATCGTGCCACTGTACCAGGAAATCAGCCTCGACAAGTCCCAGAAGTGGACTTTGACTTTGTCTCTCAGAGCGCTAGGGACTTATCACTCAAGGAAGCTGAGGTCATCAAAGTCCTGGACGAAATCCTCCACGAATTCCCGGCGCTTGCAGCTCGGGAATGGACAATCTACCTCACACATGCAGACCTGATTGACATTGTCCTTGACTTCTGTCGAATCAAATCGCACGACGTCCCGCAAGTTAAGCAGGCTCTGTCTTACCTCTCCACCAGCGAGGGTAAATGGGACAAGGTCCGTGAGAGACTTCGAAGCACGGCGATCAATATCGCAGAGACTTCGGTGACAGACCTCTCCAAATTCAATGTGGTCGGCGACGTGGAGCGAGTCCGTTCAAAGTTCACACAGCTGTTCGGACAGGGAGACCACTTGAACAAGGCGCTGTCCCTGTTTGCACGGCTTGACGAACTCGTCCATGTCCTTCGGCAAATGGCCGTACATACACAAGTGCTCGTTGCTCCTCTCCGCAACAACGCCGAACACCTGTACCGAGGCAGTGTGCTCTTCCAGTGCATGGAGAGAAGTCACAGAAAACTCCTGGCTGTCGGCGGCCGCTATGACGCTCTCATCCAAGAATTCCAGACGAAGTCCGACAAGGGTTCAACTCGCGCCGTGGGCTTTCGTTTGAACATCCTGGACCTCCTTGCCTACGTCCGCGGACAATCAAAGGCGCACAACAAGACAGGCAAGCACACCGGCGGCGGCGCGGAGACGAAGGCGTTACCCCGATACAGTGACATTCTGGTCACCAGCTTCGACCCAAACACCCTGAAGAGTGCGTGCGTCGAGGTCATTTCATCGTTGTGGGCAGCCGGCCTCAGTGCCGAGTTGTCCGAAGAATTTCGCTCCTTGGAGGAGCTGGAGAGAGCGTACCGCGTCGAAGGAGCCAACTACTGGTTGGTCATTGTGAGAGGAGGCGCCGAACGTGGCATGAAGGTGCGGAGCCCTGCTCGCGCCGAACACGAGGTCAAGTTGGCCGACCTGGTGAGCTTTTTGCGCTTGAACATGGCGAAGAACAAGTAGATTTGCAGCGAATGAGCAGTTAGTGATAATAGCCCTAGTTAGTGCGTTTCAATTAATACCACCCGTCAATGCCCTCGTCCCTCTCAACATTCGTTCTCGTTGTGCTCTTGACCTCGAGTGTCTCGCCCTTGGCAAAAGGAAACCTTGACTGCTTGAGAGGGGGTGAGCCTTTGAAGAGTACAACGACATGTATATACATGTCTTAGTAACGAAACAGGCCTCCCTTGGTCAACGGGCGCCTCCGGTGTTGAATGGACTTGGAGATCTCGCCTGTACTAGAATAGTAGCTACGGTCATTGGGAGGAAGGAGGTTATCCAGGGGCGACGAGCACATCAGCGCTGTCGTTCGGAATGATACTGCACGCTCTGAAACCCCCGCACGTTGACAGTGTATATTATGGCCGACAACCTTGGAGAATGCTCGGGTTTTTTAGGGGAGAAGTCTACTATGAGTCTAGCTAGTAGGTCTGGTAGAATCTAAATATGTACTTCATGCGAGTCCTTCAATACGCAATAGCCATATGCACTCCATGACTGTACGTGCTCAATGTTCTTCGGTCACCGAATACCAAGAGAGCTAGTGTAAAAGCAGGGTAGCCATGTTTCGTCTTGGTCTGTACAACGTTCCCCCATACGCTATAGAAACGGACCCATCTTGCAACTCAGGGCTCGGGTTGCGAAGTTGCGTTCACATACAGGTTCTGTAGAGACGGGTCGTCTTCGAGGGCTTCCAGCACTTTACCCACCTCCTCTTCCTGTTCGGGAGTGAGGGTCACCATGCTTTCCTCGTTGGGATCGTATACGACCTCCGCCTTTTCTACTCGCAGACTCAATTTCTGCTGCAACTTCTTCGCGACATCCATCACATCCTCGGGGGGCGTGTCGATCACCAGCCTGCCGTCCTCATCTGTGCCGACGTCGTCGGCGCCAGCCTCAATCGCATCTTCGAGAGCCTCGTCAACCCCAATCTTGTTCTCCTGGTTCTCTTGCTGTTCGAAAGTGATGCGGCCTTTTTTCTCGAAAAGGAAGGCTGTGGGGGTGACCGTGGCGCCAGCGCGAGAAAGGATGAACCGTATGTCTTGCAGGGTGCGAGCCTTGTTGTCAGTCTGACATTCGAGAAGAGCCGCGACGCCGTGGGGTAGCATTGCTTCTATGATGAGGTTTTCCAAGGTTGCACCGGAGGGGGACTTTCCTTGCCCTTTGAGGATCGCATGCTCGATGGATGACTTAGCCAGCTGGCCCTTCTTTGCGGCAACGATAGCGGCATTGAGGCGTGGGTTCAGGGACGGATCTGGACCACCGACTGGGTGTGTGTTAGTACATTGAACAAAAGCGGTTGCAGAATACCCAAATCAAGAGATTGAGGACGGGTCGGTGGCCATCCTGGTGGAGATGCAGGGCCGGCACAGAAATGGGCTGGGAAAGCATACGTCTTGAGGCGATGATAATATCAGACGACAGTTGCGTTCTCAATTTGCTTGTTCGGGCATCTGTGCGCGCTTTGTCGTGCTTGATCTTGGACCAGCGATTGTGGCCAGAGAGCTTGGGAACTGCGCCGGAAAATGGTCTGCGCCAGGACACTGAGCACGGCTCATGGATGAGAGAACCCCATGGCGTGGAGTAAAAGCGTTGACTCCGAAGAGGAACGCGAGCTGATCCCATGCAAGTTCTTGATGTAGTCGTGATTCTGCTGTCCGCCGTAGAGGAAAAGCAAACAACGCCGAGTCACAGGTTGAGCAGTATGTACCCCGACAATGCAACTATCTGATTGGCGGGAGGCAGGGGCTCTAGGGGGATGGTGTTGCTGCTTTTACCCTGGGAACTCCGCACAAAAGGAGAGGAGTTGAGCTCACGGGTAGAATGCTGTAGCCCTCGACATCGTAGCTGGTACGGCTGAGTTTGGAGCTTGATTCCCGCCCAAATACTGCGACAGGACTCGTTCAAAGGTAAGATGTCGTTGAATTGCAGCAAACCCAGGTACATTCTCTGGGTACAAACAAGGTTATTAGGGCGGCGTGACAGAGCCCGATATGGACGACCTGGTCTTTGGAATTGATAGTTTCTCTGATAATACACGATAAAACAGCAAAGAGAATCCACAACCTCTCTGCGACTTCGCTGGGTTGACGTCAGTACGCTATTAAAGACACCAATTTTGAATCATCTGCCACAAACATGGATGCTGGAGCCGTTGTGATATCCTGGCACCAGGCTTTCGAAGAGCATCGCATCCCCACAACACGAGCGATCGAGAAGCAATTACGCGCCAATGCTTCGAGAGACAAGGAGAAGCTCAGAGGATTAGTCGGGTGAGTGCCTGACAGTGTTCACTGCAGCTATGAACTATGATCTGACGACCTATCAGCGGCTGCTATCGTGAATTTTTAGCGACAGCAGAGGCGATCGTCGCCCTAGAAGAGAAAGCTCAGGTGGCCGAGCAGCATATCTCATCGATAAGTCACAATTGTAGGCCACCAGAATACGACTTGGCCCGCCGACAACTTCCCACAGAAAAAGTGACTTTGGCTCAATTCCGACTATTGCAGCGATGTTACACGACCTCAGTGACATGCCTTCAGAACCTAGACACTCTCAAATGCTCAAAGTTGACTCTGTTGTCACGACTCCTGTTGAGATCCCTCGACAACGAAAACTCCTTGTCTTCGAGCCTCGAGCACATGAGAAGGAAAGTAGGCGCCCTTCGGCAGCGGCTTCTCCGCCAGGTCAATGTCATCCTGGTCAACCCTACTTCGACCATTCCGGTACTCGTCGATGCAGTGTGTTCTTATTGTCTAGTGACCGATGCCTCGTCAAGCAAGGCCTTGGATCATCTTCACGATCGCCGACTCGACAAGCTACGACTTCAACTGGATGGGACTTCCGAACGCTCGGCCATATGCGAAGCGCTTCGATACCAGCTGGCGTCTCTACAGGCATTCAAAACTTTGACTGGGCATTCGGTATCTGAAGCGATGAACATGCTACAGAGGAAAGCGATACTAGCCGATCCTGCTGTTAGAGAGCTTGAATCTCTCGACCTCGATCGAACTTGGCCTCTGTTACCTGAAGAAATCCAGACATTTGTGCCGTACTTTCAACGTACCTCGTCTACTTCTGAAGAGGCGCATGCTAAATTGGAGGCATGGTCTAAGGAGTCCTCGGGAATACTTGAAAAAGCGGTCAACGAGCATCTTGCGCAATTCACCGATCCCGCAGAGGTGCTTGAACTGAGGCGAGAACTCTTCACTTTGTTGTTGCCAGTGTACTTCTCTACGCCGGCTGGCAAAGATATCGGCAAATGCATACGCAAGTCATTGAATGATCATATGAGCGCCATATGTCAAGATCATGGCTCGCGACTGAACAAGATTGCGGAAGAGCTGGTGAGCGCGTCACAGTCGAGCACCTTAGGCAGCTCACTTTGGTCACCCCAGACGGTGCAAACACATTCCGACAGGGGAGGATTGAAGATGATTAGGAGACTGAAAGCACGACATTTGGGTCTTAACAAATCTCTGTCGAATGCTACCAAGGCGTTGGACGATTGGATCGCAGGTATCCATGTGGCCAAGGATCAGATCAATGAGCTTTCCAAAACACGCTGGCGAGATATGATAGAAGAGCCAGACGAGGACCAGGAGGATGAAGCAACACTGGAAATCCGGATGCTTGGCAAAGACGATCCTGACTATTATAACAAGAGTCTGCAGGAGTCTGCACAGAATGCAGTGTCGGAGTACGAGAGCCGCCTTGCGGCAGCTGCATCTGAGGCGGTTTCGCAACCTAAAGACCTCTCTCGTGTGGTTTATGTTGTCCGCGCCATCAGAATATCAGCCGCAGTATTGTCCAGGACGTTTGAAGACGAGACACAGGAATCAAAACTCGATGAAAAGATGCATGATCTTCACAAAGTCATCGCTGATGAAGTGGTTCGGCAGCTAAGCGAAGCAAGTCGCGACACCAACAGGAGATCAAAACGGGATATAAATCAACTTCCTGACGGCATGCCTTCCCCCAAGGCTTTCATGGCCTTGCGGCGATTATGCCGTGTCATGGCCGACATTGGCGGAACCGATCTATGGACAATCCCTGCAGTTGCCTTGGTCAAGAAAGCTGTTGCAGCCGAGATCTTTGACCCAGAATGGAAAGGAAACTATCTCGAGACCGATTTCGACGAAACCTTTTTGAGAGCAGCGCTGCAAGATGTCGCCGATGTTACGAAGTCGAAGGCCACCGAGACTGAGAAGACAAAATCGGCAATTGAGTACTGGTCGAGGACGAAGCTGTTATTTGGCGTACTTGCTTGAAGAGAGTTGTTATGCGCCTGGAGATGATTGTATTCGACCCTATGGGTAAGAAAAATGTCTGTTGGCTTCTCTACCCTCTGCTCTTCTACACTCAGTGCATTACGTTTTGTCCTGATAGATCGATAGCCTCCTTTGATTGTCCCCCACTCCAGAATGACTCATCATAAGTTCAACAGCTGCAATCTCGCCATCCAGTTACCAAGGTACTCCTTTTTTTTTCGCCATCCAGTTACCAAGGTACTCCTTTTTTTTTCGCAATGCCTGTAACAACAATGTTCCCAGTCAACAAACACTCTAATGTTTACCACATCATCCTGTGACGAGCAACAGTTACACGATTCTGGTACTGCAAGCTTTGAAAATGACTCTCGGAGTAAAGACACACGGAATAACGCAGGCGCCAGCATGCATAACACCGGCTTTGGGGAACTCGCGCCGGAGGTTTGCATTCACATCACTTCGATCTTTGAAGCCGAGTTTTGCATTGTAGCAACAATTACGAAAATGTGTCATCCATTAAAGGGGTAAGATGTTGACCGTGGGGATCAAGGGGATTGACTGCCTAGGTACAGTATTCAATGCACAACCAGTATCATCGACCACACCATCGAGAGCCGCGCGATTCTTGACTTTACTGGATGTCAATTCCAGACACCTTGGTGGCCTATTTCCACGAATGAATGCCTTTCTCGGGATTCAAACGATGGCTTCACCGAATAATTCACAGTTATTCAGCAACGACAATAATTCGGTTCCGTATTCATTATACGAGTGACACACTATTGTCTTCAAAAATAGGATGGCTCTACAGCTCAAGGCAACACCAAATCTCTTCACCACCTTCAGCTGCAGCCTGCCGCCCGCCGCCCCTGGACCGCCCACCGTAGAGAAATTTCCTATAAAGTACCGAACCCCCTTCCTCCTACTTGTTCGTTTCCTCTTTCTCATCCCACACACACCCACTTCAGAGACGGTGACTCGTCGGCGTTTTCGGGTATATATACGTATGACTACAGCCTTGCTTATCCGGTGAGCTCCCTAGGCTTATATATGAGGCCAAGAACAACCACAATTAAACTAATTGTTGGCAGGACTTGAAGGAGAGACAGGGGCCAGACTTCTACCTGAACTGGTAAGTGTACTTACACCTCTTCGGTTTTCGTTTCAACGACCGGATGCTGACCAGCTTAGGTACTGAGACACCAAGGTATCCCTAGCTCAGTCTTCGAAGACGAGATCGATACTATCAACACTCTGTCACGTTGCTACGTACTTGGAACCAGTGACGAAATCAAACACTGTCTGGCATTTGCCAGCCTTATCGGCATAGAAGGAAATCATATTTTTGGGCAACTCATTGGGTGCGCTTCGTATCCTTGCGCAACTGGACGTCCGTTACTTGGCTCTGACTCATACCTGCCACGGCATATTCGCCTCACCTTTGCGCCTGTTAATTCTCGCAGTCCGAAGACTACGGAACTTGCCAAACAAAAGGGACCGAAGAAAGATGGTAAACCGACAACCCGTCGTAAGAAGCGCAACGGTGATATCTCTCTTACGTAGATATGGAGAAGCTCAGGGATAAATTTGTCGACCTCCTTCTGACTGTTGACATTAGCAAGGCCAGCAGGATCATCAACTCTCGTGGAGAGGTTGTGCTCAACGAGCTGCCCGCGACGACCAACCAAGGATCAATGTCTTGAATTGCCAACAACATCTTCGAGGAGATTCTCAGGATCGCCGCGATGAATCGATTGGTTGGCCTGGTCAAGCATAATCAACAATCCTGATGGTGGTGATCCAAAAGTTGTCAAGCGAGCAGTTGAGGCTGCTAATGATCGGAAAATACCGAGAGTCTATCGGGACCTGTTCGTCGCGTGGGCGATGGTCGACGCGGCCAAGGTAAAGACCAATAACCACCATCGCAGTCTCATGGGAAACATCGCGCTTCTTGACCTCATCAACACCTACACCAACCTGGTAAAGGTAATCAGTCAAGGAAGGAACTTGCTCATCGAATGCTACCGATCAGAAAAGTCAGAACCCCAGCTAAGACGGTCTCGCCCGTACCATGAGACTTGCTCGGTGGCCGGAGCATACAGAGACGAGACGTTTCAGAACACTCGCAGAAGCTGGCCCAGAAGCACGTCAGGAAGCAGGCCAAGAAAGAGGCCAAACTGAAGATCAACCAAGACAGCAAGAAAGCGGCCCTAAACGTCCGACTCATACTCACCAATGCCCCTGGCCAAATTGTACGCAGTAGACAAGTCACCTTCCGCTTATGCGCCTTCATTTTGTACGATACCATTTAGGACGCGCTTGGCGATGTCATCTAAACGGTTGCGAGCATGCCAGGTACCGAGAGCCTGAGCTTCAGAAACGCCACAGAATGATGTGCCACATTGGTAGCCCTCTACAGTGTGGTCATCAGCACTGTGGCCAAGCATATGTACGGCTTTCCAGGTTTTACGTGAGTGAGGCAAGATGATCCTAGACGACCCCGAATGGAAGAAGCTGGTCAACATCAGGGCTGATGGCGTACAAGGCCTTGAGTACGACATCATGATCGTCGATGTGACCTTGGGTCGCAAAGCAGGGTTCCTGGGCCTGCGAAATCGTTCCGTCGTGGCCAACAGTCGATCGGGATCTTTCAACATCTGGACGATTGATCGTCTCCACCTCCTCAACGCAAAAGGTTGTCGATGTTCCCCGCTCTTTCGCCCGCGCTCTCGGTGAGAAGAAGCACGGTAAAACCGACCCCGACCTCGGCGCGAGGAGGGACGAACAGTAAATGGGAAGTTCATGAAAGCTACTGGTGGTGGTCAGAGGGCACTCCAACAGTCTGGGAGTCGCGGAGAAGGTTCCGGCCATGCTCGGGAAAGAGCTGGATGCCCAAAAGGAAGGATTCCCCAGGGGAGAGACTTGATGTTACACGGAATGCGGCGAACAGTGCTGCTGCTGCTGCTGCTGCTGCTGCTGCTGTGAAGCTTGGTCACAGAGCCGCAGGAGAGGCGGCCGAGGCTGTTCGAGTGTTGACAGAATCTTTCCGTCAAGTTGTCAGTACGCTTCTCTGCCGCATGACGCATGCTAATCGCGTCATAGCATGCTCTTGCGTCTCCGCCTTGGGTGGAGGACGGCTCCTCGATCAGGAGGAGATCCCATGATCTGCTGCACAGTGCCATGAAGGCCGAGGCGTGGGATCGTGTGACGGAGGTTTGCAGTTTACGATCAAAATAGCCGCTCTGTTTTGGAAGAGAGCTACACAGAATGTTGTGTGTACAAGGTCAGGTCTCCGCGCCATCTCTTTGGGCGTGTACCTGCATGGTTATTATGTCCTCGGGAGCTCTCTGCATGGGGTAGACGCATACCTCACCTTCCACAGGTAGTGAATAGTCTAAATGGAAATATCCTGGTACAAGTCGGTATGCAAAATGATAACCATACACGTACGGTGTATCCAACTAACGTGCGGACGATCCCGTTTGTACCTTTCTCTTCACAGAATAGGGCAGCCAGCTGTCATATCACGATCTTGTCGCCGTTCACATTCTCCCATTTGTAGAACTCTACAGATATCTCAGCGACAAGTGGAGACTTCGTCTCAAGGTATGATACACAAAAGGCTCGTTTATGTCTCGCTAATAGTGATCCTGCTAGGTCGACAACTCGTGACAGTCATTCTCCTGACCGTAATCCACATGCCAGATAGTCGGGCAAGACGAACAAAAAGAGAAGATCGTGATACTCCCACAACAAGACATTACAGACAGTTTCGATTCCAAACATGCTGAGCTGAAAAAACATCATGGTCGTCCCAACACCTTCTTCAGTACCTCGCGAAGTTTGCCTTCACTGTCACTGGCCATTTCCATCGACCGCCAGGCGATGAATCGATCGGGCCGTACGAGAAGGCAGCCGTCCTCCTCGATTTCTCTTCTTTGTTCCCTGAAATCATGGGTTAGTCACCATAGCTCATCTACGGAGAGACTGTTGTACTCACCAGTCACGATATACGTCGACCCACTCTTGTCCCCAGCCAATGCTATACGCATTGATGTCCAAGCCGAGCTCGGTGCCCACTTTCTTGGCTGCTTCGATCCACTTGTCGCCGCCGATACCGGTTATCAGGCAGAAGGAGCCGTGGCCGGCAAGATCGAGGGTCGAAGTATGCTCCTTGTCCGGCATCGTCTTGTTCAACCAGGCATGGGGCAGGCGGTGGCCAGGGTAGGTGCTGGCCTTGTGCTGCAGGATGGGGTCTTCTGGCCACTCAGGCTTCTCCCGGCCGGCCTTGATCTCATCTTCTAGATAGACAGCGGAAGACTCGTAGCGGTGGTTCATCTCCACCCCGATGCCGTGGAATTCGTGGCTCGTGCCTTCGATGGCAGCGTTCACCCGCTTTCTCCGCTCACGGGCTTCAGGTGTGGCATCCTTGAGACTGTTGAGGATGGCCATCCTCTTTTCGACTGTGTCTTCCATCAGGCCCATTTCTTTCCACACCGGAACATGGTCACGGATGCCCTGGTTTGCCCGAGTAACAACGCCGAGACCTACAGGCTGTCGTTCGGTGCTGTAGCTGTCAAGGATCGATGGGGAGGCAAAGCCCTGTGAGACATATTTGATCTTCCACGCAAGGTTAAATGCATCTTGAACACAGGTGTTTGATCCCAGACCGTTGAAGGGAGGATGACGGTGGACAGCATCGCCTAGGCAGAAGACGTTGCCTTCTGAGTAGTACTCGGCGACGATCTCGTTGATGTACCACTTGGACACGCCAAGGACCTCTACGGGCAGGTCATCTCGCCCAACAATCTCCTTGCATCTCTGGGTATATTGCTCCATTGTTGGTTCCTTCCATTCGGCACCTGGCTTGGGGAAGAGAATAAACATCCACCTGGGATGGTTAGTACAGGCAGCCAAAATGCCAGTGAATGGACTTACTCGTTCCATGGCCTCACCATACGGATGAGGCCGCTCCAGGCAAAGTCCGGGTATTCCTGGTCAGGCTGAAAGACCCAGTGGAGGTTGCCCTTCCTCGCCTCGACGAAGTCGCTCAAGTCTACCTTGACCAGAACGTTCAGTGCAAGGCCTTGCCCGGGCTTCTTGATCATGGGAATCTTGAGTTCTCTGATGACTTGACTCCTGGCACCATCACAGCCAAATAGATAATCCGACCTGATCAAATATTCAATCTTGGTCAAGTCATCGCGAACTCGGCTGAGAATCTTTCCGTCTGCTTCCTTTTCGAAACTGAGAAGGCTCGTCTTGAAGCGGACATCCCAACCCTCTGCGGCTGCTCTCTGGACCACGATGGGCTCAAAGACTGTCTGAGGAAGATCCACGTGGTGGCAGGGAGTCGCCGAGTCGTATTCCCCTCTTCGCTTAGGATCATTGCCCCAGGAATAGATTCGTCCATATTCCTCTCCGGTCATGTCGTGACACCAGCGGGTGTGTGTCATACAGTCACCTTCAACTGCTTGGCTTAGACATTGCTTTTCCAGTCCGATGTCCCGGAGACATTCCAGGGCGGCGGGGTTTGTGATATGAGCTCTGGGAGTATCTGACGTGGTGGGGGCAGCTGCTATCATGATGCCCGTCATGGAATATGGCGGATGCGAGAGAAAACATGCCAGCGCTGCTCCAGCAGGACCAGCACCGACTATCAGGAGAGGAGTCTCAATGACCGTGGGGCTTGTATGCTGCGTCCCATCGCTAACGCCGTTCACCACCGTGGAATGCGGCATGTTAGTCAATGGCTATCGGGCGCTTGAAGATATCCAAAGGAACGGGGACAGGGCAAGGGCAGAAAACGATATCGAAGCAGGAGTGCTAGAAAAGACTGATCAACAGGCTACAATAGATTTTTATCGTCAATATGTACAATCGCGTGAAGTCTTGGGGAAGGGGTTTGCCCGGGAAAACCCCCTTTCCCCAGACCAAGTGCTTCGTGGCCGATGGGGACATCTTCTACCGTCGAGACCCGACTGTAGCCAATTATCTCCCTCGGCTCGTGTTTAGTGCTTGAGATCCCGGGGCGTTTCCACACACGCGATGAGGGCTTGAAGAGGTAGTGATGGGGGAATTTCGGTGGGTTCGACCGGGTGGGTAACGCGAAGTTGTTCCTTCGGTCGGATGGTGGTTTGCCGGCTGTCGAGTTTCGGCAAAAGGATCTTTGTATTGTAGTGGTATGACGGATCGACTCCGCAGTAGAGTTCAAAGCATAACACGTACAACAAGAGGTCAAAGTCCCTCCGTTCAATTTCAAAACGCTGTGCTCGTGATTACCGTAGATTTACAGCCTGGGAAGAAGCTCAGGAAGCGCTGAAGAAGAATTTGGGGGACTCGATGTGGAGATACGAATCTCCGATCCCGAGAAGGAGAGAAAACGACTGGATCAGGGGTCTTCATGCTCCGCCGTAGCGTGGGCACTGCAATGACGTCATTAGTCAGCGCACCCCCTGCACTCCTCCGTTCTTGATACGCGTAAACGACTTCAACTTCAACTTCGCGGGGAGCACCAGAACGAGGACGAAGTGGTGCATTGAGCCATCGTTTACTTACCCCTGCGCACAACTCTACGAACACGATGCACTGACAGTGAGACACCTTTCAATTATTCAGCAACCGCGCTCCGGTCTCTCATCGTCGTGCTGACGTCAAACGTCTTCCTCGCCGCCGCTTCTCCCACCAAACATACTGCTTTGCTTCCTCTCCGTCCATCACCATGCTTCTCAGAACTGCCTTTCGACCCTCCGCATTCCAGTCGGTCGCCAAATCCATACCGGCTGGAAGAGTACGGTCACCACTCAGTCGGCCAGTGCTCGTCGCTTTTGGCGTGTCCCTGGGTGCGGCGCCTTTCCTCCATCCCTCAAACACAGCTCGACTGGACACCTCACCCTATTCTCCTCAAGCCGCCGAATTTAGCAGTACCCCTTACACACATTCACGAGACGCCCGGACCCCGTTGACAAAAGATGGAAGGACACTCAACCCTGCGGCCGTGAAGCAGATCAGTCTAGGCGCCATCCTAGGTCTAGGTGCAGGGGTAGTCTTGTCGGCTTTCTCAAGCATGTTGACTCTCATCGTCGGTCTGGGAATTGTCCTTTGGCAGTACGCCGCGCGCAAGGGCTACAACTTTATCCCGGTTGAACGCCTGCAACGGTATTTCAAGAACATCGACCTCCGAAGTGCAATCAACGACAATGCGGCTTTCAAGATTAGCTTTGGCCTGTTATTTGCTTTGACAGCATTCGGGGATTTCTGAACAAGAACACAACCCTTAGTGGTAATGGGACGGAAAAGTGAAGAATAAGGACATACACAAACCAGAGCCCAAGAAAAGTTGACTTCGGTCATCTGGCTGGTCTCGTCTCTATAGATAGGGCCATCGAAAAATATACGCATGACTATGCATTCCGTCGACCATTCAGGGCCGAACATTCTGCATAAGGTGATCCTCCTCCTCCGCCTCGCTCCCTTCCGAGTCTTCTTCGCCCACATTCCCACTACGCCGTCTAAGGTCGGCACTACCTCTCTGCGTACTCTTCACACCGACGTGTCCTTGAGGCAACAAATTCATCGCATCCTCCTCATCGTCCAAATGCCCATGGAACCTCCACACCAGCCCACCAGCAACGGCAGCCACGAATCCCATGAAGGCGTAATTCCATACAAGCAATGGATCCCTCGCGAGCCAAATGAGTGCTTCTCCGATGAGATTGGCCGCGGCCGTCATGCACAGACTGAAGGCCTGTACCATGCTCCTCATGTTCCGCGGGGCTTTGGTGAAAGCGTACTCCAGCACCGTCACGCTCGCGAGGATCTCGCTTGTCGCTATGAGGACATAGATGGGTGTCTGCCACCATATACTCACGTCGGCCGGCGGACAGTCCTCGCGCGCCGCTGCGGGGTCGGCTCCGAGCTGACTGCTATCCAAGGGTAGCCCCTCATTAGGATACATGCCACAGGCGTTGTGCGCATAGATGTACCGTTGCAAGAAGGCAGCGTAGATCATGGCGGCGCTCCCAAACCAGAATCCTAGCGTGATTTTGCGGATCGGGGTGACACGGACCCACCCGGACTTGCGCAGGGCAGGGTAAACGAGCAGATCGCACACGGGAATGAGGATGATCAGCGCAAGAGGGTCGAAATTGCTCACGATCTCGGGCGGGATGCCGGTGTGCCGCATCGTGTCGGCCTGCGAGATGAGGTTGTTCTGAAGCTGGTTGAACGTGAGCCAGTAGATGGGCATCCAGAGGAAGACGGTGCAGGCTTGCACGCCCCGTCGCAGTTCGGCAACCCAGGCATCGTCGAACGTCATCCAGCTAGGTCGGCGGCGGGCAGGGATCCGCGACGGTTGCGCAGCGGTCCAGACATCGTGCGTCCGGAGATTATGTAGCGTGCGGATCGGGTTGAGGGACCATTGGCCTCTCGTGGCGTAGAAGAGGAAGCGGACTGCCGGGCCGAGGACAGAGCCCTGGGGTGGGTTGAGACGGTAAGTGCTTTTGTACACGATAAGCACGAGAGGACAGAGAAGAAACAGAATGGTCGGGAGAAGGAAAGCGAGGTAGTATCCTATGTACAGCGCGGCGTAGGACATGGAGAGCTGTCCGAGCAACGCGCCAATGTTGATGAAGAGGTAGAACCAGTTGTAGATGCGCGCCGACGTTTGCGCCGGGTCGATGATGACGCGGTCGCCGTCAGAGTTGGTCTCGACGCGAAGTTTGTCGGTGACGATCTGCTCCGCGATGAGTGGCGAGATGTTGGGCTTGAACCCTCCTGTCCCGAGGCCGAAGACGATGATCCCCACGATGAATGTCGCCAGAGCAGAGTCAGTGTGCTGCAGAGACGACGGTGTAGCGGCGGCAACGAGGATGAAATGCCCTCCTAGTGCGCATGCGATGGACACCATAATCATCTTGTACCTGGATACAATGCCACTCGCATTAGCTTGGCTACGAGACGGGAGCGCCCAATGGAATATGTGAAGAGTGTAGGAGAAGGCCGAGGAGGAAGAAGAGGATGAAAACAAAGCTGGAGATATGGATTTCCGCGAGCTACTTTACCTTCCAAGATACGTATCGGCGAGCCACGCGCCCAGCAGAGGTGTGACATAGCACCAGAAGGCGAAGAACGTGCTGAGAGCGGTCGCCGTCTGCTGTCCTTGACCCAATGCGCCCGGGTTGTTGTTGGTGTCACCGCTAGGGTTAAGTGCTGCACCAGTCGGCGTCAGCCGTTTGCGCTGGACAAAGTTCTGAAACAAGATCTGAGTGCCGTAGTATGAGAAGCGTTCGCACAGCTCGACGAAGGCGACCGTGTACACGCTCCACGAGATGCGGTCGGCCACGCGTGGCAACGTCTTCAGGTCCTCGTCTGTCGGCGAGTCACCGTCCCTCGTGCGGACGGCTTTCGCGTCCGAGAGGCTAAGGGAGCCTCTGAAATGTACCATCTCCGTGTCTGAACGGTCGGAACTTGTCGAGACTCGTGAGGCTCCGGTTGGAAGGGCCCTGAGCTCGATCTGCTGCATGATAACGCCAGGGACTTTATACCGCCGTGCAAAATAGTGTAATGAGGGTAGTTGGCTCCAAACTGCCCATTATGGTGTTTACTATCTTGTGCTGAAGACTCGTCTCAAGGAAATCTGACAAAGGGGCTGGAAAGGAACGACGCAACGAGTGGGTGTTGGTGGTTTCTGCTATGCCTCATGTGCGCTGCACAAATCCAGAATAGTCTATGGAAGGGAAAAAAAGAGAATGAGTCTCTCGGATTATCTGATCATATGGCTTGTCAGGCTGCGAAGGTGGCACATTGATGAAGGGCTCCGAGATATCAAGGTGAGACAGGTAAGGAGCACTCCGTACTCCGTAGATGTTTGCTATCTTACCTGAGATAGCGGATGCACGATTCTCCGAATTCCGGTGTCCGACACCCATTATCAGCCAACGACCTCCCTCTCGCTCAACGACCCTCTACATGGCTACCTCTTATATAGGCGTCTAACATCGGTGCAATTCAGGGGAGGCACTGTACATCTCAGTTACATTTTGGGATTAAACTACTCCAGGTGCAAATTTGGCGCGAGCGTCCAACTTTTGGGCAAGTTATAGCTACTACGGCCATTGCCTGGGCCATGGCCGCCATTATTTGTTGTTACAAGAGTTTGAGCTTGAGCAAGCTCGATTACGAGAGTTAGGAAAACTCATCCTAGACGCACCTTTCGCCATAATCTCAAACACTCCAGCATGTCTGCACCGGCCTTACCATGGCCGGAATCGGAATCAGCGCACTCACTGACAACAGCTACCAGCGCTGCAGCAAAGCAGAACGCAGTCTTGTTCTCCTCGAGCAGCTTGACTTGTTGCTTCTTCATGCCTCCCGCCGTAGTCCAGGCCTGCCACTCGTCGAGTATCCTGGAGACTTTTCTGGCCTCGCCTTGGTCGTTGTTGCTCTGATCCACCACGAGTAGATATAGTATCGCCTCGACGAGCTGCTCTAGCGTCCACTCGCGACCGACCTCGCCTTGCTGGATCAGCCACGCGAGACACGCCTCGAAGGCCGCTTTGATGCTCATGCGGGGGCTGGCGATGGCTTCTTGAATGCGACGCTCATTGCGCTCTTCGCGGAAACGGAGCGACTCCGTCATGTCGTTCATTTGGTCGCGTCGCTCAGCTGCTTCTCGGTTCATTCGGTGTATCCTGGCTTGCTCGGGAGGCATAGTGGCTTCGAGTCGTTCGGCGGCGACTCGCGCCTGGAAGCGTTGAAAGTGTCTGTTCGACATGTTCATTGTTGCGTCGCGAACTGCGCTCTCGGGTTCTGACGACCACTGTGGCGCGTCGGTCTCGGCGAGGATGCCCAGCGTCACGAGAACGCCGCAGGGTATGGACTCTTTGCGGACAAACGTTCGGATCTCGGCGGGAATCTCGAACGCCCACAAGCCGCCGCTGGATTGTTTCCGGGAAAGAAGGGCCGAGGACGCACATGTAAACCAGAGGGACGCCACTGATCGTTCATATGTGGGAAAGGGTTCACGGATGAATCCTGTCTCGACGTGTTTCTGTTCCCAATGAATTCGTTGCACGCGGTTATCCTCCGTTCGGAAACGGAGACTCGAGCTGTCTATGCTGTATTTGTCTGCGGCTTTCATCTCTTCGATGCGAGATGGTAGGTCTTTGACATCCTCCTTGAGCTTGTCTCGCGGCTCAAGTTGTCGAGGCTGGTTCAGCCGTCCCCAGCCTGGCGGGAGACTCGCGACGCCTCTGGTGTCTGTCAATGCTGTTGTTTCTTTCGTCCATCGGATGGTGACGCTCAGGACGCCGTCGCTTTCGTCGGGCATGGTTGTTCTTAAAACCCAGTCGGCGTTTCCCGCCGTCTTGTCTTCTGCATCGCCTGGCTTGCGTAGAAGTGTTGTTCCAGCGGGAGTCCACAGCCCGCCCGACTTTAGCTTTTCCCAACCCATTGCGTCGGGGACAGCACCCCAATCTAGCAAGAAATGGATGAGATCAGAAAATTCAATCTCGGCAGGTGGTTCGCGAAGCTCATCTTCATATTGTATCCTATACAGTTTTCTGCCTACCATCAGCCTCTTCCAATGGAAAGCCCTCCAACTACCACCACGGAGGAACCCCAACACGCGGCCTTCCTCCATCATGCTCATTGTGGTTTCCGCTCTTCCCAGCAGTCGGTGCTCCTCCCCTGTCTGTTCCTCACCGGCATCCGTGGATTTCCAGTAGTCGTCATGGTTTCTCTCCAGAGGGGCGATGGTGTATTTGGGTAATTCCACCTCGATCAGGCTCGTCATGGGAGAACTTCGAATCGTGAAGCCATCGTTGGGTCGAGTCCTGCTGACTGGTCGGTGACCGTGGCAGAGCAATGAAGCACGTATCCGTCGTTGTGTGAGGACCGCTAGCATAAAAGTGTAGAGAATGGGTAATACGCCGAGCACGGCCAGTGGCACACCGACATAGGTTATGATGTCTGTGGCAGACGCCATGGTGAGGGTGAGACAGGAAGATGGTGGCAGCCTCGAATGTCAAGGGATCATGGTTCAGTCAGCATTCTCACCTTGTCACAGTCCAGAGACTGGCATTCAAACTGCAAGAGAAGCTCCATATCATACACGCAGAAGATGCCCTGATCAAGATTGAGTGCTGGCCCCTCAGGCTAGTTAGTGCAGCGCGGGCGCAGTCAGGCTATGCTATTTTTTTTTAGTTCCGTGATGTTTCAGCATTGAGGTGATCCAAGAGGAAAAGGGGTAACAGAAAGAAATAGCTTCCCGCTGCCCTATCCAGCCTTCCATGCCAGAGGCCAAGAGCACCACCAATACTCCGTTTTTAGGCGTCAATTCATCTCTATGGTACCTAGAACTCGTGCCTGAATCAACCCTTCAGTAGGCCAGTGGTGTTTTTGGATTTGAATCTCGCCTCTTCTGTAGCCTTCACAACGAAGCACTTCTCTCCATAACAGATCCATCGCAACGGAGATCCATAGAGCAGCATGTGACGAAGGCCGACAGCTCTCAGAATCTTGGTTGGTAAGCTGGATTCGCGGCTATTCGTTCAATCACTGTACTGTCAGTGCTACCCGACCCTAAAACAGGCGACGCTGCAGTCAGCCGTTTAGGCGCGTGCAACCTGCCTCTTACAGTGGTCTTCAGCCCTGTCGAGCCTTAGCTTAATGGGTCGCTTAGGTAAGATATTTAGGTACCTGCATGCCTATACGACCCTACCCGTGCATTCTTCGCTTTCTCTCGGGGTGTGCAGGATGGATGACCTCAGCCTCAGCTTCACCATGCATGTACATCTACGACGATAAGAACATTGGCAAGTAACTATCATCTCTTTACACCCTGCTACAACCTTTCCACTGTACGACACGTCGCTCCTTTCCGAGGATATCCAAAACGCGTGGTCCTCGACCCTGAATGTACCTAACCTGGTCCATCACCTCATTTCCGGCTATAGGGTGCGATGCCCAGCTCCCGCATCACACACTCTTCTCGACGCCAAAATGCGAGCTGTGATCAATGCCGGCATTCGAAACGCCGGTGCTTGCTAGAAACCCCCAACAATGAGGGAGATAACGGCCGTGGTGTATGCCACAACTGTGGAAGGTTAGGATACGCATGCACTTTCACCTTTGCAGCATCCCAGGCCAATGGACGAGCAAACAGACGAGCACGACTGAATCGCTCTCAAGCTTCGATTCCAAAGTCTCAATCATCAGGCTCAAGCACAGCCGTCCGTGATAGCACTATCAGTGACGGTCCAGCCATTGAACCCCTGGTGTCTCTCGACGTCGCCGAGGGTGATTTGTTGCCGTGGCTTGATTTTGATCTAGATGGCATTGATCAGTTTGACTTGTCTGTAACGCCGTCGCTTCCCCAAGCAGAAGGTCAATTTGCACAATCTGGTGACGTTGTCCCACTGGCATCTTCACAGAGCCATTCTCAATACAGGACAAGATCCGTCGTGGGCTGCGCATTGAGAAGTCCAACGCACTTGCTGAACGCGAAATCGAATGCAACTATCCTTGATGACCATCTGTCTCAGATATACGAAACGATCACTCTTGGAGCGGGCTCGGTTTTCTTGGACTACAATTGCAATATGTATACAGGCCGATATCGATACGAGTTGGAAGAGAATATTCCTTGCTCGGACGCGAAGTATTCTGCTTCTGTGTTGGATTTCCTCAACAACGGCCTCCCGGACTTGGAGTTGCATTCGAAAGGCCCGGAACTTGCCTCGACGCCCTGTAGAGGCACGTCTTTATTACAAATACAAACGCCGCTCACCACTTTCGCCTCGCAACGACTACCCCTGGTCAGCACGACAAGGAGGATGAGAGTGATGGGTGCTTTCCGCTTTCTTGATCATTTCAGTGATTTGTGGGGCGTTCCCCTCAGCTCAGCAGATCAAAAGAAGTCTGATGAAGTCCTCAAAGCAGTTTTAAGGGCATTTTCATTCCAATGGTTGTCGAGCTCTGACACTAAAGTGGCTTTTGGTGCCTTATTTTCTACGCCAGCCGGAAGAATGCAGCAAGAGCCTGGAGACTTTGTTGATGCATGGCATAACGCTCGATCACTGATCAACGACTCCAGATCAATCTACTCTTTCCGGGTGGTGTACGCCGCACTTCTCTTTGATACTATCGATGTGCCACAAGAGATAAGGGGCTCTCCCGACAATAATGGCTTCGAAAATGAATTCCTTGATTCTGGTCTAGACAAATTGTTAGCTCTGGAGGCCCCTCTTCGTAGGTATTGTACCACCTTAGGGCCTTTCTCGGAATACTCGGGGCTTCTCGAAGCAAGCCTGAACATTGCTCTCTGGTTTGGATATCTTCGAGATACAGTGGCGAGCCTATTGACACGGCGCTCCTGCAGGATGCTAGATATTCCCAGGCAACGAAAATTCTCCTTGTCCCAGACGGATATCTTCAATGTGGAAGGTGGCATCCCTGATATGTGCCGCGAAGCACTTGCGAACGCCACCTATGTATGGAGACAGATTGGTCGATTCCAGAACGAGGTGTCAAATAGCATCGACGCGATACCCTCCATTTCGTCGGTATTCGCAGCTATCGAGGGCTACGAAGCAACATACCACATCCTTCTGGATTTTCCTTTGGAAAGTATAGCGCATCTACCTGTTGGATCAACCAAATTCTGGAGTGTGTATAAGTTCACGGGTGATTTTGTTCACCACTAACATGACGATTCGCTGACGTTCTGACTAGTTGGACTGATGTTCTTTTGGTACCTCGGAGTCCTCGTTGTCACTCACACCGTACAATCTGTGACAGCCAACAACGAATCCATGGACCAACAATTTGGCTGTAAACTCCGGCATTATCAACTGAAAGCGATCTCAGCACTTACGCGAACGGTAGAATGCGTGAGCACCTTACCAACTCCCGGATCCTGGAAGCCAGATAGTGGCTTGAGTGCAGACATCCCAATCACTGCTTGTCATATCAGCCCCGGCATGGCATAGCAGCTATCAAGATGGCAATTGCACAGACTATCGACCTTCAGTTACGTTCCGATACTGGAATTATATTCGATGGTATTTGGGAGCGTCAGGTAGGCATCCTTATGAAGGCTCTTGTCTCTCTAAAAGTCACGGTAAGTGGATCAAGAATCGCAGGTCTGGCACTTCAAGGCTTGATTCGAGATCACGGGGATATCCTGTCCGAATGCTGGTCTCCCTAATTCGGAAATCCAAGATCTCCAAGCAGAAGCTCCGCAGAGAAGGAGAAAAACGCGCACTCGGCTCCGACCCCTGCTTCCCATCAACGCACGGACCACCTTGGGTCTTGGTAGTCCCTCTTTGGCTACGGTCACTGTCTATTGTCGATGCATGGACATGCTTGTCCGACTGCAATAATGGCACAAACGTCGAATATGCACGAACGACAACAGTGCAACGATAGCGGGCCGAGACACCGGTTCCAGCATAATTTTGAACTCGATCTGAGAAGGGTCGGTCCCGATCATGCAATTTGACGGCTCTCATACGCACCTTCTGTTCAACATATCTCCTCTGGTATAAATACGGATGTTATGCTTGAACTACGATACACTTGGACATTCACAAAAATTTGTTTCCATCAGAGATTTTGTTTAAGCCTTGTGGGTCGACAGGTCGCACAATGTCAAAACCTGCGATTGTCCTTGTCCCAGGAGCGTGGCACAAACCTCAGCACTACAAAAAAGTCATCGATAGACTGCTTAAACTCAGCTACGACGCTGTCGGTGTATCTTTGGCTTCGGTGGATGCTAACCCACCTGTTCCTTCGTGGGAGAAGGATGCAGCAGCTGTCCGAGAAGCCGTGTTGCAGAAACTGAACGCCGGAAAGGATGTTGTTGCTGTAGCGCACTCATATGGCGGTCTTCCAATGGGCGAGGGTGTCAAGGGGCTAGGCACGAAGGCAAGAGAAGCACAGGGCTTCAAAACCTCGGTGACGAGGCTGGTCTACATGTGTTCTGTGCCTGTCAAGGAGGGACAAATCTTCCAGGAGGCCTGCAAACCCGTTACTGAGGAGGAGATCAAGGCTGCGGAGCTGCAGATGAAGGTAATAAAGGCTGACGAGGTATGTTGTTGTTTCGAGTGGAAGCCTTGTCCACTTGCATTGCCTAAGCCATTGCTAACGACAGTGCTTAGAATGGTAATCTGGTGCCGGGTGACACGGAACTTGGTAAAGAGCGATTATACAACCGCTGCGACCCCAAGGATGTGGAAGAAGCGTTGAAGTTGATCGGATCACATTCCGTCGGTACTCTGATCACGCCGGCCACATGGACACCATACAAAGAGATCCCCAGCACGTACATCGTCACCGAGAACGACCGTGCATTGCTACCAAGCATCCAAGAGCGCCTCATTGCCGAAGCAGAAGGCGCTTTCCACGTTGAACGATGTCAAGAGGGTCACTCCCCATTTCTGAGCGATCCGGATTTTATTGTATCGTGCATCCGCAGGGCTGCAGGCGAGGATGTCTAGAGCCGCAGACAACAGCCATAGATGTACGGCGTCTTGGTGATACAGTTCAAGCTCTGCACTCACCTCGATGGCTTCCCCTTTGATTGCTAGTTGTCACCGGTCCCAATTCTATCATCTCTACTCACAACAAACAAGTACTTACTCGTGTCAAACAACTCGGTACTCCGATGGTCTTGAAAACGCACAAGAGTCTTTCAGATGAGGTGGGAATGTCCAGCATTCTTCCTGTCCATGGCTACAGCCACCGAAACGGCGGTATCGGGCTCCTCGACTTGCACGTATTCACTCATCTATTGCCCCCCAAGGTACTGCCATCGCGCCACCTCCAGGCGGACATCCTGTCTTCACCACGCCAAACGCGTTCACATGGCAGCATTTTCGCTTCTGTGGTCATTCAATCTATATACATACTCACAGCCTTGTTTACCTTCCTGTTACTGCTGTACCTCCCGGATCACAACATATACCGCCCACCTTTCCCAGATCCTCCATCGTCCTCCCATACCATCAACACTGCTTCTCAGAATTCCTTTCCATCTCCGTTTCCCTTTTTTCATCCTCTCTGCATACTCAAATTCTCGAAGGCTAACCAATACCGATTCGCTTCGATACGTTCTCTCGTCACAATCCAGAAAGATCCTATGGTGAGTAGCGTCCCGTGGGAAGGAACACTGTTCGATGGTTGACTCTTCTCAGCAACAATAATGTTGCACCTTTTGTCTGCGGCTGTTCAGCCATTCAAGAGGCTGCCGGAGGCCATCAAATACCCGCTGGTGCGCGTGGGAACAGCTACAATTAGCATCATCCTCAAGGTAAGTGGTATTTCTCTTCTCCCGTAATGGACGCCAGCTTCAGACGCGTGGTGGCTGACAGTAACACCTCAGGCAGCAAAGCCAACCGATGACGACAAGAATGTCGAGAAAGTCTCAACTCCATGTCTTCGACTGCCTTATATCAAGACAGTCTCTGGAAGCCTTACTGCCGAATTATCGCACTTTCTCCTGTCCGAAGGCCGCCAACCACAAGTCGTCAAGTATGATTGCACCGTCAAAGAGGTCCGGCCTCCGATCAAGGCACTCACAGAATCGAAGACTCCCCTGGAGCCCACAACACCAATGACACATCGACAAGCACCATGGCAACAACACAGAACGCTGTTCCCTTGTGAAGTCATTGGATCAACAAGAAATAACAGCGCTCAGAGCCAGACCTATACCGCTGCAGCAGAGCCCATCAGACAGAACACGACCTCTGCGTTCGGTGTGCCCCCGCCAGCAGTTGTTGCTACTGTGCCAGGTCACCTCCAGCGTGTGGACATTGAAGATGACTCGCAATACGATTCTCAATCTGAGACTGGGACGACCGTCCACTACAACATCGATGAACATGGACGATCGACATCATATGACAGCATTGATGTGAACAATACTTCGACATCCGTGCACCTCCCTTACGCCTCCAGTCATCTGCCTCGAGTTCATCGGACTCGCACTCGCACCGGGGCTGTTCGGGGTAGTGCTCCCAAGGCTCATCTGGCGACAAGCCATCGTGGCTTTGAGTCAACCTCCAGTGGAGACACTGACGGTGTCGAAAGAGTCTTCTCCAGTTCCAATACGGAATCGACTTCCAGCTCGACTACTCCCTTGGATGGCAATCCTTTTGCGTTCCCACAGCCAGATCCAGATCTGGAACCGTTCCCCGACTTCTATCAGTGCCAGCTTGCAGTGAAGGAGCAAGAGGTCGAAGGCCTGCGAGAAGAACTAGACCAAGTCACCGCAGCGGCACAGGCAGTGATAGCAACTGTGCAGCGAGAGAAATCCCGTCTCGAACAGGAAACGCACAATGCTCGACTGGCGCTGCAGACCATGTCAATGCAGTTCCAGGAAGTCGACGGCCAATGCCAAGCTCTGGAGCGGGAGAACATGGAGCTGAGGCGATACGTGCAAGCTGTCGACCAGCGCAGACTGGAGAGTGAAGACGCACGCCGGAACATGGCCATACACATCCAGACGTTGGAGAACATAACCCGAGCTCTCGAGGACGGTAAAACTGCACTGAGAAGTCGAAATTCGTACCTGGAAGCAATCAACAACGAACTTCAGGGCCGCGTCAACCTGTCAGGCGCATCGCAACAGTTGAATGCGGCCCTGCTCGCTCAGATGACGGAGGAGAAGAATGTCGACGTTGCGGAGCTCCGTGGCCAAGTCACATCGCTCACAGAGCAACTCGACAAGGTCAACGAGGAGAAATGGGACTACTTCTCCGAGAAGAATGACGCGGAGGACGAGCGAGACAGTGAGCGTGCCGCGAAGGAGGAAGCTCAACGAGAGCTCCGAGAGGTGCGGGACGAATTGCGAAGCCTGCAGGGGAATTGAGGTAGGCGGCGATCAGAGGGGCAATTTCCAAGCTCAGACGAAGCTTGAGATGGCAATGTCGACACGTGCCGAACGTGGTGAGCGTTGATCGGTATGAGAGAGACTCACGGTGCCGGTCATGGGAATAGGGATGCAGACGTTGCCGGGATGATGACGGGGTGATGAAAAGGCGAAAAGAACAGGGAGCTGAGAATGAACGAGCAGCAATAGACTGCAAGCCTCGCAACAGGCTATTAAAAGGTGTAGTAGTGTATGTAATGCAAATCATGGAAGCGCGTGGTATTGCCGGCTGGCCGATGAAAGCATGAGATTTGACATGCGAGGCACTCAATGGCCAGAGCACGGTGGTCAGATGAGCTCAGTTAATGATGCGTCTACTTACAACAGCAGCACCTTAGGGCACCTACAGGAGAACAAGGAGGGTGTCAAGTACCCGGGCAGTTTGGCGTGATGATACCCTTGAGACACAAGATACCAAGACACATTTGTTGTTGATGCAGGCAAATGCGCCACATCTGCTCCGTACACAGCCACTTATTATGACATTTGACACGGACGTCGACATCAGGTCTAGGTATTCATTCTGTAGTACTCTGTAATCACAACGCGCCCTGTCTCTGTTTCTTCTGCAAGGTCTACCATCTCCTCGACCATCGCAGTTCCGAGTTCATCTCGATCCCGATTTCTGATTGAGCAGGACAAAAGTCGGAACACTTACTTACACTTTGACTCCTCATACCCGCGCGAGACGCCACTCGTACTACTGGTACTTCGTCTGCGTACCGTCAGGGACTTTGGCCCCCTGAATACGCAATGCAGGTATAGAACAAATACCAACAACAACGAGGGCCAAGCAAAAAACTCCAGGATACACGTTTCTCTCGAGGAGACCTTCGAACCCACCACCAGAAGACGACCCGTGAATGACAAACGACCAAACATGGCTCCTGAGAAACCTGTACCGTCGTCGTCATCGTCGTCATCGTCTCCAGGAGGAGAAACAGATTCGAGTCTAAGTCGTCTCGCGGGAAGACTACAGGGTGCCATCACAAAGACCGTAACCACAAGTGGCAGAGCGATTGACAGATTCCTCCCGCCCCAGAGACGAGAACGATGGAAGGACGCGATCGTCGCCTTCGCGTCGAAAAGGCCATATCTCGCGGGCTTCCTGGCTCTGCAGATCGTGATGAACGGCGTCCCCCTGGTTCTATTCGCATGTACAACAGTTTCGATCTTCATTTTCTCCCTTTTGACCGGGATCCTGGTCGGGATTCTGGGCGGACTTCTCTTCGTCGTGCCGGCGATCGGGCTCGGCCTACTCCTCCTCATGCCGTTGTTGTTCTTCACGACGGCCGCAGCGGTGTGTGTCTGGATCTGGGCCGTGGCCGCGTACGCGACCGTAAACTGGCTCGGTAGTGGTCGGAGAGAGGACACCGCAGCGCCGCCGCAAAGTGGTGGCACTACAAAGACGGTCGGTGCGAATGGTGCGAACGGTGCGACACCCCCGACTCGGCAGGGAGCATTGGGCCAGCCGAACCCCGTACCAACAACAGCTGTAGGTGGAGGGAATGGTTCGGGTCTACAGCCATCACCTGAGATGAATGGAGGAGGGCGCCACGCCGAACAGCCGGCGACGACGTCACCACCACCACCCCCAACTTCACAGTTGCGCCGAGGAGAGGTGCAGCAGTTGCACGCGGTCGATTCGCCGTCAACAAAGCAACCAGACCTCGACACATCGATGCTAGGAGTACAGCCGGACTCAAGCTCTGAGGGAACTCAAAGCCATGGTCACACGCCTAGTAATAGCAACAGCAGTACCAGCACCAGCAGCAACGGCAGTAATGGCAACAGTGGCGCTATCGACGGTGTATAGTTCTCCGCAACCACAGCAGCAACAGCACACGAATGGAATGCGGGCGGATTGACATTGATCGGCATAGAGTACGAGTACAACATGGAGGCTCCAGTTGTGGAGAATGTGGCAAGGTACAGACAGAGTACGAATACGGTACATGGTTTGCTATTGCCCTGCTCGACTGGGCGACATAAATTGAACAATGGAACATGGGTTGCAATCATAATAGCTTAGCTAGCCACCTACCCAAGTATAGAACGACGACAACCCAAACGTAGTCGAATACTCCTTACCACATACCACGTACCACGTACTCCTTTGCAGCCGAACACAGAATACCATTCCTGATCCGCATCCATCACACCTGCGCTATTTCGTATCTCATGCCCCTTCATAAAACAAAGTCGTCATCTTGCCCGAGGCGGTAGTTGCATACCAATGAGAACCGGTGAGGATCAGACAATAGGTCTGACAAGTGTCATTGATTGCACTGGACATGTTTTCTCGTTTAGACTCCCATGGTAAAGTCATGCTCAATACCCGGCGTGACACTGGCCATGAACTTCAAAAACACCACAAGGTACTGATCGACCCGGATGGCGACCTTTTCGCTCTCGTCCTCCTTGTCTGCATCTTGCTCGTCAAGCACTTCCCACTCGTCCCCAGCACCGCCTGTGGCAGCCTTGACTCCGGCGTCGTGGCCTCGCTTTTCTTCCTTCTGCTTGTTGGCGAGATCCAATCTCGACGTGTCGTCTATCAACCCTTCCATTCCAGACACAGGGCCCGTGGATCCGCCGTCGGAGGGCTGCTTCTCTAGACGGAGTTTCAACGCTGCGTCGGCACGATCAAGGAGAATCTTCATGACGCTGGCGTGTTTGCAGGGGTGCACGGATGCCATTTTCACGCTGGTGTCGAAGAAGGGGAAATCCTCCAGCGTGACCGTCTTGTCCTTGTAGTCTCCTACGATGTCTTCCATCATCAAGTGTGGCGGGAGAGGCTCGGATGGCGATAGATACCCGGACAGGTACATTCGTGGGGTGCGGTAGTACGGCGTGTACGTGATGTAGAGAGTGTACGTACGTAGAGGACTATTCAAGTCAGGCAGTCAGTACATATTTCGAGTAACGAGGATCAACAGGAACAGAGACAGGGGGAAAGGCGGCCAAGACATACGCTGATGTGCCCTCGGTCTTATCTCGAATGATGGCCTCGTTGTCATCGTCTTCGTCCTCCATGTCTGGGATCTCGTCGTCGTCGTCTTCCTCTTCGCTGGCCTTTTTCCCGAGTTGGCCACTCTCGCTCATGGTTTGTACTTCTCCCCTCAACCCTTCTTGCTCTTTCTCGGTCGTGCCACCTGTCCTGAGCCAGCCTTCGTCGTCGCCTCCAGTCTCATCGTCAGGCCCGCCGAGGAAGCCATCGCGGACAAGATCGTCGGCGGCACCGTTGCTCCCAGCAAAGTTGTCGTCCAGTCGTCGATGGCACGGAACACCACGGGTGATCAGGAATTGTTTACCAGCGGGCAAGTAGTTGACTCGACGGGCTGGGCTGGAGGCGTCGGCCCATGACCATGAAGGGAACTTGTAGACGAGATAGTCGCCGGCTAACAGGAATTCTTCTGGGGTGATTTGACCGGTGTTTCGAAAGGTCGAGGTATGTTTGATCGGTGCGTAGCGGTCGCGGACCTTGTCTAGCGCTGAGCGGAGGATACTCATTGTCGTAGCAGTCTTCAACCTGAGGGTCGTGCCGTGTTCGGGGAGGGGGGCAATCGACACCGCACTTGAGGTGATTAAAAGATACCCAAGCGTCGAGAGCAGGCTATATAGGGACTCTGCAGAGGGTGACAATGTTTGGCTGGTACAATGATCCAATGTGCATAGACCTGATAGTGCAAGTCGGCGTACCAGTACGAGTACGTGGTCCTCGATTGCAGGCTGCACACATACTGTGTACCACATGGCGAGGGGCGTGACGACGTTGGCTCACAAAGCGCCACTGAGTCGAGAAGCCGATGTTTAACCGCGCAGCCTCATGACCGCAACCGATGTTGACCATCTGGTGGTCAAAATCTGTCCAAGTGCTGTATGAACAGTGGTAGGGTCCGCCATAGAGTATTGCTCATCGGCCTGCGATACTGCTCTCTCACAGCATGGCCCCGGTGTCTGCAATCGAGCAATTAGCGAATCCGCTGGTCACCTCCAAACAACTGCTCAATTTCAAGAGCCTCGAGAACGAAGAAGACCAGTCTCTTCATTTCGCCCAGTGTCAACTCACCTATGCGGCCGGTATTCTACTTCGCCTTTCGCAAGAAGTCATAGCCCAAGCCATTGTGCTGCTTCAGAGATTTCTCGTCGCGAGCATATCAGAGGAGCGCGAAGGTTTCAGTGCAAAAACGTGCTCTGCTGCGGCCATCTTCCTTACCTCCAAGATCTCTCCTACACCCGTCTCCCCTCGATCGGTAGTCAACGTCTATGCCTACCTTACCTCAAAAGCCTCTCCACTTGGATTTATCAATGTTGACGGAGTACCTTCGCAAGTCGAGCCTAAGGACTATTATGTAACAGAAGGGACATACGAGAAGGAACGCCAGCGCCTCTTTGTTTGTGAGAGCATGATTATAGCTGGCATTGGTTTCGATACGCGAGTGTCTCTGCCACACGGTCTGGCTTTGACATACTTGAATGCCTTGGGGGTCTCATCGGAGGGTGTCTACAAGAGAGTATTCGAACATCTGAACGCTGGACTACTGTCGCCCCAGTTACTATACCTTACTCACCAACCGAACGCTTTGGCGGTCGGCGCAATATACCTTGCTGCCCGAGAAACCGACACCAAGCTGGTGGAACAGAATTGGTGGGAGGTTTTTGACGTCGACAGGGAAGACCTTGGATTTTTGGTTCTAGCGTATGGGAGTATTGCCAACTTTGCAAAAAGCGAATTCGAAAAATGGAAGCAAGGTCCTCTTCTGTTACAGTAAACCAGAACCAACGATCGGCCGAAAATGCTCCTGTCTACCACGACCCAAAAACGCACGATGATAGTATTGTGATACACCGACTTCGCCCACTTAATCCTCTATCGAGCAGAGCCATTACATCGGTCGAATGCTACAATGACAAACATCAACTACCACCTCATAAGTTACGCCGTTCTCTTTCAGTCAACTCTTGATACCAAAAGATCCAAGGCGCCATGACCACGCCAAAAACTCTCAATACCTTACGTTAAGGAAAGCCCATTCTTATCCGGTACGAGGTCTGATCTGTCCGAGGTTTTAAATCAAGTCTTGGAGGTGATGTGTAATCTCAATTGCCAGTAGACGCGTAGGTCCAAGCGTGAGTAATACCTGCTGCCCATTAAACCCACTTCCCCATGCCCGAAGACAGCCAGTTGTTTTTTGGAGACGATCCATCGCCTCCTACGTGCTCATAACCCTTCCTCCAAGGGTTTGGGCTATTCCGACCGTGTAGGAAACACGGAGACCGATAGGCAACGATGTATCTGGGTCCATGTTGTACAACAATCTCAAATGTGAGTGTCACTTCCTATATCTCGTCATGACCATCGCATAGAGGTGAGTGGCTTTGTTAGTGTTTCGTTGGACTGGACTGGGCTGCGCACATCACAATCACGGCAGGAAAGTGGAGAAATATTGTTGTGGAAAGTCTCAGTTCCATATCATCTCATCATCTGTTGCCCACCGCTGAGACTTTCCAAGCCAACGATGGCTGAAAGCAAAAAACAAAAAACAAATAAAACCCCAAGCAAGATAATCCTGGCGACCAGCACCCCAAGCAACCCAACCCAAACAAAAAGTAACCCAAGTATGAAAGTCCTGGCGACCAGCCCCCCCCAAAGCACCCAATCCAAGCAAAAGAATCCAGCCAAGCAACACCGAGTACCAACTGCCCCAGATTAACCACACCCTAGGAGAACATCCCCCTATTGTCCACTTTTCTCCTTCAAAATATCATGGACATTGTCCAAGGGTCGATTTTACCGCCCATTCAGGAGGACGGGGTCAATATTCGGGGCCCGGCGCCGCGGATGGAGGAGGAGGAGGAGGAGGAGGAAGAGGTGGTGGTGGTGGTGGTGGTGGTGGTAGAGCAGCCGCCTCAGTGTGCCTTAGCGAACCACTGCTGACGCAATTCGTCGAGCGTCCCAATTGCTACACCCCCACGAATGACAACGAACTTCTCCCATGGCCGTTGCGATGGGAGCCCCACGCCAAAGTGCGATTCCAGATTCTTCAGCAAAGCTTCTGGCCCAGACGCGCTCCCGAGGGGTCCCCAGACGCCGGTGTTGTTGTCGAGCACCTCGAACATGAACACGTCTCGTCGCGGAGGCACATTGGTATCCCCCTGGACCCTGCCAGCAGGGTCATAGACGAATCGAGCGCGCCGTGCAACGCCGTTCTTGTCGACGCACTCGAATTCGTCACCATGGTGGAACGGGTTGTTGGCGCGGTCCTTGACGAGACGCGCCAGTTGGTAAGTTTTGTGTTGTCTGGAAACACGTACTGGTCAGTACATGCTATGGTACGTCTGTTCCAACAGAACCCAAGAGAGACGAAGGAAGGAGGGTGTGGCTGAGGCATTGGAAGACGTTGTCGATGACGGACGTCGATACCAAAAGGGGGAAGGACGTCCATGACAAAGAAGAGACAAGGTGACTTTTGCAAGGAGATCTTATCCACGGTTGGAACGTCGATGAAGAACGCCAAAGTGAAAGAGGTGTTGTTTTGGGCAAAGGTACCATTGGGTGTTGTCAACGATGGTGATCAGGAGAATCCGATCAACAGGCGTGGATAGCGCCAATGTGATTTTGGCGATGCACTGGGTGCCATCAAGGGCAGTGGTAGAGTCATTTTTGTGATGTGGTGGTGGGATATCATGTTGACCTTGTGTCTTGGTACAAATGACATTGGTAAGGGATGAATGGAAGTGGTGCAGTGCAATGATGGAGACGTTAGTACCGACCTTTGTCCAGGCATTATGCCGAAGGGATGACGTTTGTTTGAAAATGGTAAGTTTGTCGAGGCTTGTTTCGATGTGGCAGGTGTGGCGAGATGTTTGCTGAATGTGGATGGTTGAGCGAGATGTTGTTGCCAATGTGGTATGTTTAGCGATGATCGGATAAATTTCGGGGAAAGTTTGCCGACTTATATATACTCTGTCCATAACAGGACACCCTATTGACAACAACACAGTAGACAATTCACAATAGGCGGGGAAACTGGTTCAGAACAATGGTGAAATCTACCCAGATAGCAAGGCTCGATGGTATTGTTAACACCACTATTCATGCGTCCTATTCACCAGGACAGGGCCCCGCTGACAGTGACACGGTGACAATAGGGCTCATGCTGGCCGCTTCAGTCGACGATGAACAGGTATGTGGCCCCGACCGATGCACATTGACAAAAATGAGCAAAGCGCAAACAGTAGGATATGCCCTTTAAATGCTGACCCTCGACGCTTGCAGGTCGAGACGGAGCTCGCCGAGGTCAAGTCACAAGCAAAGATGATCTTCAGACGCCTCAACCGAAACTCCGAGCAACAAGCCAGTATCGAGTCGGGACAATACACACTCCAGTAAGCGCGACACAGCGAGACCTTGCAGGTGGTGGGCCAGGTCGGAACGAACTGCTGACGTCTCTGTGTGCTGAATCTAGCTACCTCATCAAGGACTCAGTCTGCTTTCTGTGCATCTGCGACCGTTCGTACCCTCGAAAATTGGCCTTTACCTACCTCTCAGACCTGGCGCAAGAGTTCACCACGATATACCCGTCGCAGCAATACCTGTCGGCGACGCTACGGCCGTACGCGTTTGTCGAGTTCGACACATACATCCAGCGCACGAAGAAGGTGTACCAGGACAGTCGGGCGAGCGCGAACCTGGACAAGTTGAACGATGAACTCAAGGATGTGACGAAAGTCATGACAAAGAACATTGAGGATCTGCTGTACCGTGGAGATAGTTTGGAGAGGATGGGTGAGATGAGTGGACGGTTACGAGAGGACAGCAAAAAATACAGAAAGGCAGCCGTGCGGATAAATTGGGAGTTGATGTTGAAACAGGTTGGTCTTGTTGCCCCTCCTCCTTTCTTCTCTCTTTTGCTACAGAAAGGGGACGCATGCTGTGGTACGAAATGTGTGCGCTGACATTCGCCGACAGTATGGCCCGTTTGCCGGTCTGGGGTTGATCATGATCATATTTCTGTGGTGGAGATTCTTCTAAAGTTGGCAGCCATACCAGCCATCCAGTCAGTCCATCAATCGGAAGCGACCTGCACTGTCCTGTACCGAGATAATGGCAACGGGTTCACTCGCAAGATTCATCATGGTTGTGGTTGTGACTGTGGTTATTACGAAGCACATATACGATTAGCGAAAGCGTGGCATCAAGATACCCCTCGACGCGCCGACACTTTCTTTCTACTTTTTTGGACCAGACAGATAAAACTGGTGTTGGGCAGCTTTGAGAAAACGAAGCAGATATTGATTTACTGGCCACGAACACGACCGCCACGCCACCACTTGTGGAGTGGATCGACAAATTGAAGGGTAGTTGGTAGAGGTTCGATTCCTCAGATCTCGTCTTCCTCTTCATCAAAGTCATCCTCGACACCCATATCGTACAGAATCCTCCCGCCTTCGCCAGCGCCTCCTCCACCGGCCTTTTGCGCGTCGAAATACGGCAACACCACTCCCTCGCGTTCTAGCCTCTGCCGCTCCGTCAGGCCCAGCTCAAACGTCATACCTGCCAGCTCTGAGTCGACGGTGTCTTTTTCGTCCTTCGATTTTCGAAATAGCGGATGGTCGTCGAGCAAAGTCACGATTTCGCGAAACGCTTGTGGTACTGTATTGTTGTTTGTTGTCTGCTGCGTCTTTGAAACGGCTGGGACAGGGAGGAAATACCACTCAAGTACGCCCCGACCGCTTTTTCTACGATGTTCGAGTTCCAGCACAACACCCCGCTCGTCAGGGTTCAGATTCCCCTGCGGTTTCAGACCGATCAGGACGCCTTCGCTCTCTTCGCGCAGGCCAAACGTGCGCGCCGCAAGAGATCGTGCCCGAGCAGCCTTCTCGGCAAGTAAGATGGCCAGCGAGTGGACTGTGATTATCGTAGTGGCGAGATATGAAAGGAGTGAGAGCGGCGATGGCGAGTAGGATGATTTTGAATGCGATGAAGATCCGGATGAAGGAAGGGGCACGTCGGTATGATAGACTGCCACAAGGGAGATTTGGATCTGTTGCGCTTGTTCGATCGGCGGTTGCAGCAAAGAGGACAAGAATCCAGTGAGGTTCAAGTTTGATGCCGGATCCGTCGACGTAGAAGATAGTCTCGTCAATGAGTCAATTATGATCAGGTATCCTATGATTGAATCTCGTTAGCTCGTTGGTTTCGCTGGGTGTCTGTGCCTGAGTGTCCGCGTGTCTGGGTGACTGGACTCCTCCTGCCCGGATGCTAGGAGACAAACCAATAAAGGGGGGGAAAGGGGGGGCAGAAAAAGACACAGACGCAGACATACGTCTAGCTCCACCATGATTGCGGGACAAGATCGCAGCGACCTGTCTCGCCATGTGCTGCGGGCTCTTCCCACCCTCGCCGTAACATTCGACGAAATGGTCCACGTCCCTGGGCCTGACGAAGGTCTCGAACGACAGAAAGACGGTGGCCGTCGTCTTCGACAGCCTCGACCGCCGCAGGTACTCTCTCACCAACGGGCTCGCGGGCTGTTCCAGGGTGTCGAGGACGAGTGTGAGTGGGCTGGCATGGTCTCTCTGGTTGAGTAGCTTCGAGAGTAGGAGCAGGTTGTGTGTCCTTCGGTGCGAGAGGTTGGAGTGTGTCATTTTGTTTTAGGTGATCAGATCAAGCGGTAATACCGGGCCGTGTTTCTTTTCGCTGCGCTGGGTGGGTTTTCTTTCCACTGGGCTCGGGGGCCGCGACTTTTCTTTGTGCGTCTGATCCTATACGGGTCAGATCCTAGTGGTCGTTGGCCCTTTGGAGATTTGGGGCATGCATGTATCGAACGTGGTGGTGAGTCGTGAGGGCGTTGCAACAAGAAGATCTCGGGTCCCTTTTCCAGCTCAGCCTTGTTGTCCTCGCTTCTGCCCTGTTGCCGGTATAGTCCGCCCGTTCGTTACCCTCGCGTGGATGGATGCAGACAGATCCGCCGTTTATTTGAGGCCGAGTTTAGTTTGTTCCGACGGTGTATTCGCTTCCGGATAACCTTGACGTTTCTCGAGCGTTGGTTTCATAGATAGTCTCATCGAGTCGTCGGGGGATCAAAAATGATCTCTCGATGGTTTCTCCGTAAACGAGCCATCCCGGTCTTGGCGGCGACGTACATGGAAAAAATTCTCCACCTTCAACTTTCAATGGATACAGGTACAGATAATCTAAGATACGTACAATTTTGAAGACACTCACATATACCTCCTTAATGGACAATTACAGCCCTCTCGGCCGTCAAACGTGCTTATGTCTTTACACTTTCCGCATTTGTCTCGTTGCCTCCATCCCGGCTACGGTGTGAACTACTCCATACGATACGCCAGCAATACCTAGCCGAGTATGGGACATTGACCTCGATATGCTCCGTCACTCGGCAGGTATCTTCTAGGAGCATGTATCGTCAAGGACAAACCCTGCGGACTTGACGAATTGAAAAGATGCAAGATGACAGTTGGCAAACTGCATCTAACGTACTGGTCGAAGGCGTGGTCATGGGTATTCATTCATTCATTCTCGCTGAACGCAACACTGATAAAAACAAGCAAGGTATCTGTACTCCCGCACTGCACAAGCTGTTGTACATGTCCGATCCGATCGCTGGCCCTGGACTTCTTCACGGGGCACAATCATTTATATTGTGAAGACTTTTCATGATACTCTGGAGGCGGCTCGATCGGAGTGCTGTCTATTTCGGAGACGGTTTCGACTTTGTCCATGGGTCCCGTTGAAGCAGACAGCTCAGAATATGTGGGCGACAGCAACGAATCCGGCGACATGGGATGATGAGCGGTCGTTGTATCGTCCGCCGGGACTTCGAGAGCGTGGCCGTGGCCACCCGCGACCCCATCGCCTGGCATCTCTGGAATGTGCGAAACCGACGAAGGTCGGACGATGGATGTCTCGACGACCGACGTCGCTGGTACCGTTTTGACGTCGGTGGTAGTCTCCTTCTGGGCTTTCATGTGCCTTCTTCGAGCCTGGTGTTCCTTGATGCCCCTGATGAATGCGTGTGTCAGCGCCCGAGGTCTGGACAAGAGGAGGCAGGTACCTTGGGTGGGTCAGATTTACCTGTAAATCCCCATCGCGGCACACGACAGACCGGCAGTGCAGATGCTCAGAGGGACACTGATGGCCGGGTTCAGCGTGCCAGGAGGTCGACGGGAGTGTGATTGTAGGTAGTAGTTCTGTCTGTATTCCTTGCATGTGCAGTGGTGGTTGGGAGGCAGCATGGCCGAATGCTGGCAGTATCCCACAGGCATCATGGCGAATGTGTCGGGGTAGCCAGTCTTCTCCTCAACAAAGCCAGGCTGCAGATTGTTGTTGGTGTTATACGTAGGGACTGGCGTGGCTTGTCTACCATGAGGTTCATACATTTTTGGTACTATGGACGACGAGGCCGTCGACGTTGTGCAAAAGTATTCGGTGGTGACTCCCGGTGTCAGGTGAGGAGGCGGTTGATGAAGATGCTGGAAGCCTGAGAACTGCATCCACTTAAATATCCATATTGTATCGCCGTGGGATCAAAGTCTGGACACTCAAACCTGTCTTTAGGCTCAGAAAAAAAGGGATCATTCTGCGAGAATTGCACCGTGTCGCATGCATTCTCGTCGATGGTGGAAGCTGGAGATGCCCCGTTCTCGGGCAATAAGCATGAATTGGGCTTAGCTACAGGTATGTAGTTGATTCCGCCGACTTGCGGCTGATAGGGGCTCCCCATACGCGGTATCACAGGCGCAGGGGCCAATGATCTATAGGCCTCTTTGGGTGGCATGACGGTGATGACACAGCCCCCAAACATGTTCATTGGGGGCCTGGTGACGCCTCGCGAAGACGCCTAATTCTGGTATAGCTTGATGAGCACCGATAGCCCAGTACGGACTGATCAGCAGGGGAGTGACCGCCACCGCCACAGTGATCTGTGCTCAAAGATCCCCCTCGTATTCAATATAATACCCCGTGTTCTCTACAGGCACCACCAATACTCCGTATGCTCGACGGGATTGATCTCGGGTTACCCGCGACCTTGATGTCAGTTCTGAGGCAATCCCAAATTCAATGGAGATCCTAGTAGATCGACTACCCTAGGTCACCGGCTACTTCCTGCGTCAGCCTCTGTAACATTCAGATCCGTATCTGAAGTATTGGATCGCATTGCTGGCCACGCTCAGAGTAATTCGAACTTATGGGAAGGCCAGGTCATCTTGGTACGGGAACACATCCGGCCTGTAGGTCAATAGCACTTGCGAATGCATGATAGATATACAAGCTGGTAGTAATGGTCTGGCCTGATTCCAGTCAGGCATGTAGAACACTGTCCTCTGTTGATCCTATTGATAGCCAAGAAGATTCATCATCATACAAACCAAAACAAAACAACTCTAACTGCTGGATGACAAAGAAAAGCGCTAAAGGTAGCCTTGCATACAACGATACCGCGTTAAGACGTTACCAACACGGCCCCTACTGAAGGAGGTAGTCCTTCAGGGGTTGCGCCGGTCATTAATGACTTCAGCCAGCAATTTCCCGCATTCTCTTCGAAGATAGTTTGCATGTTGGAATTGAATAAGACACCATGACATGTCATCTCTCCTGATCTTGTGTTCATGTTTGAGCACGCGTTGATGCACGTATCCAGCGTATATGAAATGAAGCTGACAATATCGTTGCCAGGGTAGTTGGTGTTGCAGTTCATCGTGTACGTATCGCCGTTTTGTGAGCTTATGGTGGCTTGGTCCCTGCAGTCCAATGCCGTCGTGTTGACCTGGCTGGGAAGGATGGGAGTATAGTTTCTGACAACAGCTGTGGGCGAGGCCGTGGAAGAAGCGGTGCTTGCTGTTACCGTTGCTGTTACTGTCGCCGTTGGACTTGGATACACATAAGTATACACACTGGACCCTTTTGACATCGAACACTCACGAAGAATTATCATTGGCGACGGCGGCAATAGCTCCCCCTAATCCTCCTCCCAAAGCAGCCGCCATGACTACCGCTGTGATACCAATTATGAGAAATGTGTATCCTCGTAAGCTGAGGCCCCAGGGCATTCGTGGCCGTTGTTGGATAGGCTTCCCCTCTTCATACAAGGGTGATGTCTGCATGTGCTGAGGATATGGAGGATATTGGCTTGGTGACGATTCTGAAGCATAGCTCTGAGGCAAGATCATCTTGTGGGAATCGGTTGAAGCGTACGTCTTCTCGCGCGACGTGTCGTCTACCTGTAGACCGTCCATCCTGGTATGATTGAGTCGTAGAGTCTCGTCAAAGCACTGTATTCGGATGTGGCTGTGGAGCAATGAAGCCCTCTTTGGAAGTTTCAGAACCTCTACGTGGCGCGACTTTCAATGAAAATGCCAAAAGAGTCCAGGCAGGAACAAACGTCGCGAAGTCGGGTTTTTGAATCCCCAGGAGAGAGGAATGGTTTCTGCAACAGCGTCCAATGCCCCATACCGCAAGTATCCTCTTGAGACCCATATGGCCTCAGATGAGCCTCGTCCACATTACGTAGGGACGGAGGAGGTGGGCCTGGGAAGTGGAATTCGTCGACCGATTGGAGCGGGTGGATGTGTCAGGGACCACAACGTCTTTGGGCGCCACGGCACCAGTGCCAACACTAGCGGCCTCAAGCTTAAGGCCAGCCATGTTTCAAAGATGGCCAGCCGCTGCGCAATATGCAATTTGCAAATCACACGGCCCGTAGGCTCAAACGTAGATCAATCAGTCGGAGTCCCGAATCCCGAACGTGGGCAAGAATGGTAGCGCACAGACAGGGACATATTGCAATGTCTGTCCGACGTTCAATTCCAGGCCTGAACGCTTGCGCCTTCAACGTTTGAACTTACCGAATTGCTGCCAACATACTCCTGGTCCATACATCATCGTCGATTAGCTTAGGAGGTGTGTTCTCACAAGCTTGTTGATAGTGTTTTGTGAAGTCAGTAAACGGGCACACTTTCGCTGCAGCGCTACAGTAGGTGCATGCGATGGCTCGGAATCGGCACCGACTGGTCGCATATAGAGATCGTTCGGGATCCAAGCCTCTTCCTGAATGATGTCCAATACTTTCACGGGTATTTTTAGAGGGTGTATCAGGAACAAGTCGCTAGCAACTCAGCGCATCAGCACGCTCCCAGTCCATTCATGATTCAAGAATCGTCGCCTCGTTGTTGGGCGCTGGCTATCACGTGAGGCAGGTGTTGAGGTCTTCATTGGTTGTAAATGATTCCAGTCTAACAGTGTCTCAGTCTCATAGTGCATCTTTGATCTCAAGGTGGCCAGTTTGATCCTGGCAGGGAGCAGTCTTTTGATGTAGAGTCCCTAGGCTCAAAGCGTGTCTGCGACTCTCGCTTCTAATCTTGACCAGCCAGCAGTTGTATGGTGACTTATTTAACTCATCTGTAGACCTAGCCGCACATGCCGCAGCAATCTGGAATTGGGATGGTGAGCTCGAGTTTGTAACCTAGAACTGCAAGGGAATGCGACTTTCTGAGAAGTTTTGCGATATGTTCTTCATGATTCACCGTATATTTTAGTGTAGGTACGGTTTGCCGTACGAACAACAGCCGCAGGATGAATTCTTTGCCCGCAACAGCACGCGCCCGATATTGCCTGCACATCCAGCCATATCTATCTCTCGATACATTCTGACGACTACATGAATATCAATTGAAAGTGCCGTTTCAGCAGATATGGAAGAACCCCCTTTGAAGCGCGCAAAGCGAACAGACGACCATGTAGATTCTCGACCCAGCTCCAGCGGAAGAGACACAAAACCACGATCACGATATGATGGAGACCGGGATGAAGGACGACGTCACAAACGAGAAGATGGTCACAGAAACAGATCGAGATCGCGAGATACGCATAAAAAGCGAAAAGAACGAAGCCGGTCGAGAGAGCGATCGCATCGAAACCGGGATAGAGGTGCGGGAGAGCGCAACGCCAATGGTGACAGTTACAGGGACAGGAGTAGGAGTCTGGAGAGGTATAGACCGTCAAAAGGTCGGTTCTAAATTTTCTTCCCGAATTGGGTTCGCCTGGCTGATATGATGTAGATCAACGTTCACGAAAACACTCACGTTCAAGGTCACCCGTCAGAGATGGCGCGAATGGATCGATACGTACGCGATCACCCCCTCGACGAAGCGATCACGACCGGGGAAGGAACCGAGAGCCAGCCAAGGTAGAGGATACAAAATCAACGCATAATACAAAACACGGTATTGCTGGCTCGGGTCAGCCATCTGTTAACGGCGACAGAATGGCTGTTGACGAGGACGATGAAGATGCCCTCCTGAGGAACATGATGGGGTTCACGACGTTTAAATCAACTCAAAACACGAAAGTGCCTGGAAATCAGATCTACGGCGTGAGAAAGGAAAAGAAGACAGAATACCGACAGTATATGAATCGTGTCGGAGGCTTTAACAGACCTTTGAGTCCGTCAAGATGATGATGGATGGACCGACACTAGGACTGAGGATTGACACTTGGTGGGAGTGTGATGAGGTATGGGCGCAATACCGCATAGGAAGAGTCTTCATGCCATGAGAGACGAGGCTTCACATACCACACTTACTGGAATCATACATGATCATCCACAACCCATGGGATTGTCTCTTGTAACGGAGGATTGTTACGTATCCCTTGAATGGTTTTCTCCTCCGAGATGAAGTGGGACATATACCTGGACAGATGGAAGAGTGATCCTGCGGATCGTCCACTCAATCTATGTTACCACTCATCCCCTCTCGACGACTGGCACGGGCGGCGAACGTCAGACCCATGGACGCCTTTCGCAATGGTTCAATCAAGGGATGTCGTCGTTGAATGGCAACATACGTCGCAGTACGGTGGAGATCTATTCATCTTTGACAATCGTCATGATGGCTGTCCTCCGGCTCTTTTCGTACGTATCATCGTCATACCCGTATGGAAGGAAGATCTCTGGTGGATTGTCATCTGTACGACTATTCTGTCCTCGCTCCTATCGTGACATATAACCAGTGCCCATCTCTATGCTTTTCGTTGTCGTTGAGACTCTCCTTCCATATAACTGGCCATACATCTCGGGCTCTGGCAAGGAGATCGGTGCTGTTTCTCACCCATTGATAGGTCGACGTGGACGCTTCCTCAAACACAGTCATCCCTTCATCCAGCCCGAACACTCTCTCGGGAATGTAGCTTTTCGTGCGGAACGACTCCTCAACCTCGAGCCCGGCGCCCTCGTACATGTGCTCCAGAGAATGAATATCCCTGATCCACTCCCGGTCGAACAGGTTCGGCAAGCCCAGCGATTTTCTCAACGACACCGTGAACAATTTCTGCAGGGTCCGGTCTTCCGTGGGGACGTCGATGATGATCCTGCCTGTGCCGGGCACCAAATACGTCGCCCAATGCCGAACACAGGCTGCGGGATCGTGTAGTAGTACCAGAGCGGAACAGCACGAAATCACATCGAAGCCGCCCCGTTCGCGCCGGACCTCTTGCACGGCGTCGATGGACGACAGATCTGCGACGTCGGCCTTGACCCAATGCACGGCGCCAGACCCCGCGGGCACGGGTTTCTGCCGCGCTTCGTCGAGCATCGCGTCCGTGATGTCCACGCCCACCACGACACCGTCGGGCCCAACGGCCTGCGCGTACGGGAGACTAACCAACCCCGTGCCGCACGCGAGGTCGAGGACAGCGCCGCCGCGTGGTGGAGGGAGGAAATCGACATAGTCGCAGCCCAGGACGGCGTGCCATCCGCCGGTTGCAGCGTCGTAGGTCCCAGCGCGCGAGGTGTAGTGGTTGATTGCCTCGCTGACGACGGCTTCGGAGGATGGCATTGTCAACTGTTTCCAGCTCCTAGGTACCTGATGCTCCACTCGCAAACTCATAACCTGTCGTCTCTACTCTTCCCGGATTACCTTTTGGGCTCGGGAAGCGCGACGTCAAACGAATTACTGCCTTAGTTTTTCCAAAAGCCTGGGGCGAGGTTGTACAAGTACTTTAGGAGAAGGTAGTTGGTCTGTACGTACATTTAAGCCCGGCTTATATGGCGCCATCTACGGCGAATCGTCACGGTCCTCCGAAACTGTCACGAACAGTCTCCGCGTGAGAGCCTAAAATTGACTTGTCAAACCTTTGGCTAGTATGCTTCTGAGGAGACGTTGATGAGAGAACAAAATGGAGTCAACACCCTGCAATGTCCCGCCCAAAATCAGCCTGGGATCGCTTCCAGACCACACAAGACCTGTTATGGATTTCAATGATTCATCCTTCTTCAAGATCCGCGGCCAAAAGCTACCGGAGCCGCCTAAGGTCAATACAAGGCGGAATGGGATTGTCACTTTCCCAGAACTGAAGCTTGTCATCAAGTATGGGCCTTTCACCACCGTCGATGAAGCGGTCACTATGTGGGCAGTCAAAAAACACCTTGGCCACACCGTTCCAGTTCCCGAGCTATATGGGTGGCGAGTCCGTCAGGGCACTGTCTTCATCTACATGGAGCTCATTCCAGGGACAACACTACGGGATTGCTGGAATGATCTCGCCTTCTCCGATAAGGAGGCCATCTGTCTCCACGAGAGAAATACGGACGGATGTTGTCAAACTGGAATGTAATGGGTGCGAGGGCTTGGTTCGGGCTGTTCATTCGGGACTGCAGGACACCTCAATGGCTGTATCTGGGAGAGGAGTTCGAACTGGCTTGCTACTACGGAGCGATCAAAAGCGGTCGGGCTTCCAGATCATGAAAGACATTCAGCCGCCTCAAGATAGAAGAACGTTCATCAACCTTTCGTTTGAATTGACCATGTAACTCGTTGAGTTTTGTTATGTTGGCCTGCCTCAATTCACACTCCAGAGGCATTCAAATCGTCCACACTCTCATTTCGATGTGTATCTCAGGCCTCGGCCATCGACTCCATGTTCCAAATGCGTCTTCGAGTGCATCTCCGTATCTGACTACTATGGCCGTCCGTTTCAGAGTACTCACTTCCAGATAAGCTTTGAGGGAAACCATTTCCATCCTCGCAAACCCCCCTGAGCTCTTGATGTCGCCCACCAGTGTCAGGCTGGTCAGCGCAGACTCCCACGATGCTGAACCATCTTGGGTGTTTGAAGAGGCGGACTCCGGCGTGTCCCCATTTGGCCCCCAAACATCGCCTAGAACCGAGCGTTGCATAACACCTCGCATGAGTCGAGATTAATTACAGTTACACGTGATGCTGTTGGCCACCATGCTCAAGTGAGCAACGGGAAATGCAGATTGTACAAATACTAAGGAGTAGGTAGCTGGTCTGTACACTTACCCCCGGCTTATGTGTACTGCCGTCCCAGGTAGCGGGTATCTCCCGTACGATTCTGCGGTGGATAAACCCATCTATTTCCAACCTCGGATAAGGCTGAGGATGGTACGGGGTATACCGTATACCCCCGGGTTTCGGAGAGCATGAACGTACCAATCTTCACCTTTTCTTCCTCATCTTGTTCATCTCAAGAATACTAGGAAGGTAGTACGGTGGACTCCATGCCCGGTCATCACATACCACACTGTCCTCAGTTCACCTGAGTGTTGACGAGGCTGCATACCAGCCTTGCCTTGCCATATACGCGTCTGGACCCACCAAGCGCAATTCACTTACCACCGAATAATCAAACAGCTATCAATTGAAGCCGTGAAATTTCCTCACAACCACCAAGACCCCGCAGTGATGGCTCAGGTTAAAACCACATGGCTATGTGGTGGACATCCATTCACTGAGGCGAGCAAGGAACGAACGAGGGCCGCGGGCAAGTAAGGAAGTAAAGGGCCGCGGGTTCGAATCCCCGACCGTTCGAAAAGATTATTTGCGAGGTAATTAATTCTTCCAGCTCCTTTAAGAGATATCTCACTAACACACAATCATAGATCAGCATCCGATTACCCTTAATCCGTTCGAATATTATATATAAAGAAGTCGAAAAAGTCGACTTTCGACTTTTTTTTTTGAAGCTACGGATACAGTAGGCCCATTGTACCTCTTTGGGTCTTTGACTTATTTTTTCTCATGCTGCTCTGCTACACCGCTGCTGTCGAGTTACCAACACCCTGTTTTTGTGTAGACTGCGTCGGACGCAGCAGTTGCTGCCTGTCTGAGGAAGAAACTCGCGTGAGCGAATGGAGATGTCGAGGAGCTCAAGGCTCGGTGCAAAAGGGATTCAAATATCATACCGGCTTAGGGTATACTTGAATAGCATCGACACGTAGAGGATTGCCAGAACCACGACGTTGTTACTCGACGAGGTGTGCGTCGGCCACGGTTCCAGGCTCCATCTGCTGGGGCGGCCGGTGACCTCACGGGTTCGATGTCGGAGTCGCGTTGTACAGGTGGCTGACTTGCAGGCATGCTGATGTCTCTGGCAAGGGCGTATGCGTTTCAAACGACTCGGTCTCCCCCTACCACCTGCGGAGCGTCTAGGTACTCAAGCTGTGGCGTATGTATTCCCTACGAGTGTGCTAGACGTACAGCAATGGCGATTGGCGTCGTAACAGGTTCGAGTTCTCACGTGCCTTGAAAGAGCAACGGCTTTTCTAGGACGATCTGGGCGTTCGGAAGACCAGCATCCCCCGTTACCAACTCAAAAAGTACGGGTGTGTGCATTGTGCATGTAGTATGCTACCACGCTCACTTGATGTCTCCTCCGGAGCCAGAGGATATTCAGCTACAGGCCGGCGCGAGGACCGCATTGATTGCCGGCGAGCATGTTGGGCACTTTGTATGACTGCGATAGGAGAACAAGTTGTTGACCACTTTGACTGACTGACCGGCGAGGCACAGCGGAAGAACCGCTGTTGCTGTAGTGAGGTGGTTACATCTCCGTCGCAGACAGTACTTGCTGGAGGGGCGGCAATTGCAGGCGTGTGATCAGAAGACCCAGACCACAGTGTCGCATGCGCATTTGATTCTCCCACTGTAGTTAGTTGCTAGGTTAGTTTTTTGTGGAGACAGCTAGCAGTGGTAGTCATGAAAAAGACCACATCATGACCAGCTTCTCGAGGTCTGTGTTGGACATCATTTCATGGTTCACTTGATAGTTGGGCAACGACAATTCAGTGGGCGCGCGTGAAGAACACACAGGTCTTTGGTGTTTGGCTATCTCGACTCCTGTGGAAGTGGCTCGGAAAAACGGAGACTCTAATGTTCCGGAACCTCGCCAAGCCCCACATTTCAAAGTCATCCGCGTGCGGGGACCAAATCTACCAATTTTCCTACATATTCGTTCCCACTCAAATTTTGCAACAAAATGAGCGCATCAGCTCACTCCCAGTCGATTCATGATTCATTCATGAGTCGTCGCTTCCTTGGTGTAGTTGGCTATCACGTGAGTCTCATAGTGCATCTTTGATCTAACGACAACGTTAGAGATATCTCAAGGTCGCCAGTTCGATCCTGGCAGGGAGCAGTCTTATTTTTTTGGGTTTTGTATATTGATCTGAGCGAGTTATCTCGATGTCAGGTCTGAACGCCTCTCCCCGACAACTTCTTTATATTGTTCTTTTATTCTTGAAAGTGTGTTTCATACTTTTTGAACTACTCCACCGTGACAAATTCCCAACTTGGGTGCAAAATGAATTATGATAAACTGGACAGTAATATCGCTTGTTGTACCACTACATCTCTTGACGTCCCGGGCACGCTTCGAATTATTACAAGTCTTCGGTCAATAATAACATCCCGTTTCTCAACCCACTTCCGCGCGAGGTCGAGGCAGCCAAACACCAAAAGCCATGCGTGGTCTTCTCGGGTTCGAAGCTGTGTACTTCGCATGGAATAGCTTCGTCTATTCTAGCCCATCCACAGAGTATCATCATGGCCTTGCAAGCTTTGGTGCAAACCTTGGCAGCCACCATCTACCGGAACCTTTTCCTTGCTGTTGAAACTGCATCCGTCATTTCTTTGTCACGTCACTGGGGGTTGAAAAGAAGCCATACTCAAGCCAGCCGAAGCGTGGACTTGGGGTAAAGTCTCGGAGGAGCGTTGATCTGGAATTCATGCCGCTGGACACCAGTGACTCAACCGGCCTGCGCAGTCGGATACAATTATGGATTGTATCCTCAGATAGTACTCACCGTGCAGGGAGCATTGTCCCAGATATTCCTCAAGTCGCGAGGGTTGGAAGTGCGCTGATCTGGAGTTTGCGCCATTGGCACTGTCATGCCATTTTGTATGACTCTTCATCGTGTACTTCTTCTTCCTGCTCCTCCCCCTGCTGTTCTTCTTCGTCTGCGGATTCCCCGCCCTCAAGTTCCAAATGCGAAGGAAACAGCTCCACTTGAGACCCGGGGCGACTGAACAGCTCAAACTCCATTCTTTCACCTGCTCTTGGGCCCTCCAGTATATCTCCAACAATATCAGAACCAGGCGAAAAGTCGTGATCGAAGACCGGCTCTCCAGCTCCTCTCATGTTTGTCAAGACTGTCTGTCGAAAGTGCCATCGTAGAAGCTGATCAGCATGCCCATCTGAACGAGTGAAATGCTGTTGATCAAGATGTTTGCCCTCTACTTCTGGGAATGCGCAAGGAGAAAAGGTCACGACTTTGTAGTTGTGGTCTGGATTGATTGGTAGTTCGTAAAAGTCGAATAGTTGATGGAAAAAAACTAATCATCAGGATCCCATTCTGCACAGAGTTGATAGAGCCGCCCTTTTGCGGATGAATTTAAATCCATCGAGCGTAGTTCTGATCGATCCAGTAGCCTTCATGGGCCAAAGGAGAGATGTGTGCGGCCTCGGAACCGGTGAAAAAGTTCTGTTCACCTCTAGAGGTGAGCCCGTGAGTTTAGCCAGTAGGTTTCCACCTTTTTGCACCATTCTGGCAACTGGCGTCGTAGTTCAGCTAGCCGCTCACTTACGCGCTAGGGTTGACCTGACTTCAAGAATTGGTGTCTACATCATCGACACGCAGGTGTTCCGCAGCCCTCTGGGGTGGGAACAGACCCAGTCTCGGCTGCGTGCGGCGCGGATGTAATATCAGTATGCCAGTGGTTAACATCACCAGTTGACAGAGCTTGCAGGGTTATAGATCCATTCATTTCCCTTCCCCATCCTGCGTCATTGCCAGCAGTCGTTGTGGCACCACCCGCTCCCCGATCTGCATTGTTGCCAACCGGAGTGGTGGTATTCTCTTGTTCGCCTGCTGCTTGACCGTTGTCATCTTCAGCATGTTCCAACTCCTCCTGTAGAAAGACGCCTTCATGAGGTCTGCCTCCAAGACCACCACGCCAGCCCGTAAATGGGCACGGACTCGGCGCTCCCCTAAAGACTCTCGCAGATTTTGCGAGGGCGTCGTCTAAAACAGGCCTTTTAGGTAGTCCTGTGTCGATAATCTCACTGTCATCCGCAGTGTACTTGGTGACTGGGAACTCGTTCAGGGTGACATATTTGTCGACCGGAAGTCGATCACGACGCTCTTTGCCTTCCTTATTCAGACGTTTGCCAGTATTCTGCTTGACCGACAGTTCATCGGTCATGTCAGTCCATGCTCGGAGAGCGTAATGTTCAAAGAAAAAACAGACTGCTCCCTGCCAGGATCGAACTGGCGACCTTGAGATATCTCTAACGTTGTCGTTAGATCAAAGATGCACTATGAGACAAGGATTACAACAAGGCCGTGCCTCGCTCCAGAGGTGCCAACGTTCATGCGACGGGGATCTTGCAAGAAATCAGGTCCACGGAGGATCGGCAAGATCAGACTGACAAATTCGTCCTCTTCGCCTTGCACTGCGTCAATGGTCGCGACAGTTAATCTGTCCACGCCATCCAGGCGATCAAGCTCCATGAAGGCTTTCATGTTGATACACCTATCTCTCTGTGCAGAGTAGGCGGGAAGGACTGCATTTGTCGGATGTGGTGTTCCGGGCAATCGCGCTTTGATCTTCAAAAGATCCTGGACAAGCTGACTTGTCGTGAGTGTGTACAGCTAGTTGTACTTCGATCCTCCAGAAGTAATCTGAGTTTTGTTGAAAGGACCGTCAGCGTGGTCGACCACGATGACATTTCTTGGTTGACTGATTCGCCACTTCTGCTTCGCCCAATTGGCAAAGTCTCTTGCGAACGGTCGGTTTGCGGGCCAGGTTTTCCGGCTTGAGGTGAGAAGACCTCGATAAAACAGCGCACTCACCACGCCAGAGATGTCTGGAACCATCCGAGCTTGATGGTAGAGGTGTCCAACTGGAAAGGCGGACGTGATGCGTCGCACGAACCTCGGACACATGAGCTCGGATAAATGAGTTCGTTCTTGTAGACGCATTTGGAATCGGGTGTAAAGACATGCGGAGCCAGCCGCTTTTCATCGCCGACCATGACGAGCAAGGGCTTCGGATCGTATCTCAACGTACAGTTGGATACCAGTTATCATCTCGCTCCGAAGCAGCCTCATCTAAGATCACTCCAGCAACATGGTTGCCAATTGCCTTCTCGATAAATGGCGACGACCCAGCAAAGGTGGGGGTGATGAGCGCGGATGGTTGTCGAAAGATCTCCATGAAAACTCCTCCTAAGTCTGCTTTGTACGCAGCCTTTGCTTCCTTGTCCATTTCCTCATCCGTCCAGTATCGACGGGATCGATGACGAAGGTCTGCGAAATGCTCATCTGCATTTGGATGAGTGTATTCGGGATGACGGACGATTCCAATGTACCAGATAAAAAACTGGCCAAGGGAATGATCGCTTTCCTCAACGCGAGGATCCTAAACACCTTTGAAACGCTTTACGCGTCCGGAGTCGAAGTGACGCCGAGCAGCAAGGTCCAAGCCGGAAATTTCTGCAGGATCGCAGTCTTCGATCTCTGGCCGGCCGTTTGGCTTTCGTCGGTCGTCGATGAATACATGGTTGCGAATCGACTCTTCCGTATTCGGACGTGAGGATGAAAAACTTCTTGCTGTTGCCGTAGAGTGTCAAGACATCAGCCATCTTCTGAGTAAGATCCCTGGCTCCAGCATTGGTTGGCGAAATTACTCGGGGTGATTCGATGCCTCTTGTTCGATCTGAAGAACGGCTTGACAATCTGTTGGATCATGTGGTTCTTGCCAGATCCGGAGCATCCCAAGATGAGCATGACTTTGCACGGGTTTGCCGAGAAAGGTTCATAATGTTCTTTCTGGCTCTGGTTCAATTCCATGAGAACTAGAGGATCACCTTCCGAGGCGACCGTGTCGAAATTCTCCTCACTTGAGAAGTTACCCAGAGTGTTGGCGGTCATGAGGATCATTCCTTGGTCTGTCCATGCGGTCGAAGGTCGCTCTGCAGGTGGCTTACGAACGGACTCCAAGGCTTTCAACAGCCGCTTCGACGGATGAACTTCTGGGACATGAACCAGCATAACTGGCTCCTTTTGGCAGGAGTAGACGAGATTGCCCATCTCTAATTCCGACAAAGTAGGCTTGAATTCAACCACTCCGGTTCGAACTCGCACCAAGTGAGTAACACTGTTTCTGTATGTAACCATTCATAACTGACTTTGGTATAGGAAGGTCCGTAAGGACAAGGGAACCAAGAGGAAGCGAGACAATGAGTAAGTCCGTTTTCTTTGTTCTTTGTTGGTTTGATCCGTAACTGACAGTAACCAGTAGTGATGGAGAGAATGGCCTGCGTTCTTCTTCTCCTGCAACGGCATGAGTCCAAGGCTAGCAATCGGTCGTAATGATCAGCATCTGGTGTTTGTTTGCGAGAGAACGACAATTGAGAAACGGGCCCTGGGCATTCGAGCACTGAACACAGCCTGATACAATCAGTTACGAGAAGTTCCAAATGAAAACAGGTGAATACTTACAAGGATTGTTCACATCGCCGACTTGTTGCAAAATGAAGGCCTCTGCATAGCCGATTCTGTCTGTTACGCCCCTTAGCAAACCAATGCGAGGATTGGCAAAAGAAAACGGGAACACTTACGATTGATGTGGGCTTCGTCAAAAGACGGCTTGGTTCGGAACGTAACAACTCGAAACTTCTTGAAGGCTGTCTTGATTTCCGACGCGCCCACGGTATCGACGACAGGGATCGATCTGTCATCGAAATCCCCTTTTCCCCCACAGTTAGGGTAACACTTGCGGGAGAACTCGAAACAACTGAACTCGTCAAGGGCGTATGGAACCGTGGTTACGGCCGTTTTGCATGCCCATCCGTCTTTGGTATGTTTTGGAGGATGTGTTCGGGTCGTGATCAAGGGATATTCTGGCTCTCCCTCGAGTTCGTCAAGCAAATCGGAGCTGTGCGGACTCAGTTCGTGAGAGATGAAGAGGCTCGATCCATCTGGTGAGGCAAAGTAAGGAAAAATGATATATATATTGACGGCAGTCAATCAGAGTTGATGGAACAATCAGCATTCACTCCGTGTCTCGCTCTGGTGAATAACAAGGTGAAGAATGTCGGTACGTGACTGTGTCGTTTGGCCTCACTTCCACCGTGCCACAGTGCTTTCAGCAACGCACTTTGCACTTCACAACATTTCCGCATTCAATGATGATGAACGGGTCTCAGGCCCGACGCCGTGCCCAGGTCATGCCTGGAGTGATTGCAAACGGAAAGGGAGTTCAGTCATCCAATATTTCACCTTACTCTGACTTGATGAAGCGAAGCAGCGCCTAAGATTTTTAAGGAGGATCAGGCCGTTAATTGATTGTCTTCACGACGTTCTTTGAGACTCTGACACGACATGGCGCTCTTTGTGAAGGCTGAATACGGAGTGCATGTCGACGCTTTCCTACCACTGGCAGATTCGGACTCGAGTGATTGACGTCTCGGGCTGAACTGCCAGTTGGATTGTCAAGACTCAGGCCAATGATGACACCAGGCATGACTCAGCAGCATCGGAGCATTGTCGACGTCGTTACGCATCGGACCGTGCTGGCTCATACAGACGAATGGGCTTCTTTCACTTGCGCCCCATGTCACACTGAAACTTCACTGAGTGGCATATTTCGGATCGGGAGTTGAGACTCATGAGCCGACGGCTGTGGTAACACAACATGCACACGACGTTACAACTTGCAAGGCTAGACTGCATGCACGTCGTTTGATAACGCCGAGAAACACAAGACCCTGGACACATTCACCATACCTCCCCGGAGCAACGATGCGCATCAAGGGTGCTGGAAAGACGAGCTGGATGGCGGCCAGGCGGAATGCGACGTAGACTGGATTAGCACCGGGGTAGGACATTGAGCACCAAGACAGGTCTTTCATTGTCTCGGTATCCCAGCATGTCTTCTTGCATACAGAACCCTGCAGGTATTACTTCATGTGTTGCCATTCCATGCACGGGTCTTTTGCGCCTGTGAAGGACATGGACCCTAGCTCTGGCTTCACAAGCTTAAGCATGTGTGCTTGGGACGATACACAAGAAGCCGCATAAGACTTCCGGGGTGATACGAGTGGCCTGGTGGTTGAGGGGTGTGAAACCTGCTCTCGGTAGATGAGTGAGGCCACCGGGCGTCGGCTTTATGAGAGCATGTGTTGCATGGCAGCGAGTGCATTTGCACATGCATGGATGACAGTGTCGTCGCGGCCTGGAACACTTTCAATGGAGGGTCACACTTGAAATTTGGATGTTCATCCCGAGTGTGTCTTGTTCGTCCAGCTGGTATATGAGGTAATTATCTATGTCACTCTATGGTCTTGGGCATAAAAAGACAAGTCGTCACTGTATAATCCTCCCTGAAAACCCAAACATCAAGCTCATGATACGCTGAAAAGTGTGTGTAGACAGTTGCCGACATTACTACCATTTAATTACTTTGTTCGGGAAGTACTCGTCGATCAATTCAAGGTAGTAAGGCTAGCAGGGGTCAGCGTCGCCATGCGAGTAATAGGAAACGATGATGGCATACCTTGAGCTTCTCGACGGAAGGTTTCTCATCACTCTTGCTGTAGAGATCGTACGGGTTGAATCTCTTGACGGCCTGAAGCATCTTGTGGTCCTTCTCGTTCATAAGATCCCGGTAGGCACCCTGCTGGTGCCATGGGTAGAAGCTGTGGTACCGGATCATGGCAAGCGCATCTTCTGGCAGAACTGACTGGTCCTTAACGACATGGTACAAGTATTCGTCATGGCCCCAGGATAGCATGACCTGGTCAAGGCCACAACCTGGAGAGTAGATGCCATATTTCGTGCTGTATATTGGATCATTATAGTCTGGATTCTCGACAAAGGACTTGTTGCCGTAGATGATCTTGTCGTCAAAGGCGCAGCCAACAGGGAAGGTGTCTCCAACGACGTCCCACTGGCCTTGGGCGTCGAAGAAAAATAGAAGCTTGCCCAAGTCGTGGATCAAGCCGGTAAGTTGCATCCATCGTGGCCGACCGTCACGACGCATAGCCTCGGCCGACTGGAGGAGATGTTCAATCTGGCTGAGCTCGGTGTCAGGGTCTGACTCGTCAATCAAGGTGTTCAAGCGTTCGATGGCTTCCCAGATAGTCATCTCAGCTCTGGTTTTCGAATGGAAATCGTTTCGAGCTTTCAGATTGTATGCCACTGTTTGCTTGGTGTGTTGCTCCTTGTAAAAGCCCTTCACTCTATCACACGCCGTTTCATACTGGCGAAATTGTGTCTTGTCTTTCTCCGAATCGAATCGTGATGGTTCCCAGTCGTCATGTTTTGCGCTGTAATCCTGCCTGGTAGCCTGATCTGCTGCAATGTCGGCAGCCTCAATCTCATCGCAGAGTGCCTCAAAAGCAAGACCATCACGGTCAGTTCGAAACTGAGGCATATGCATGGGCTGCTGAACTAGTACGTCGGCCATGATGGAGATGTCTACAACAAGGACGGTGTGATCTTCGCCAGGAGTCGTATACTAAGAAGAAGGATAGATGGAGCAATGGCTATCAAAACAGGGTGTGCCTGCATTAATATACTGTCTGCTCGGATCCGCGAATCTTGCAGCGAACACAGGTCACACAAAACAAGTGGATTTCAGGGAGAATCTAACGGCCTGCAAATACCACTTAGTGGTCAGGAAAAGTGTGTCTGCAAGGACCTCAAAGTGTGTTCTTCTCCACATTAGATGTTTGACAATGATATGGGCTCTGAAAGCGGAGCCAGTGAGTAGGGATCGAAAGTTGCCAAATTCGGAGGATGATATCCAAGGGCGAAGCTAGTTGGATCACGGATCCCACCCTGGGCAGGGGACCGTTGGAAGGCTGTAATGATGGATTGTGTGGCTCTACTATGGGCATCAGGCCGAGTTCATGGCTCTCGTGGGCATTGAGCGGAGCAGGATGATCGTACGATGGTGTTCGTGTTTGTACATCGCACTCAACCAGTCCTTGCCGCAGCTTTCACCCTGGCGAATCCGCGAGACACCACCGCGATCGGAGATCGGTGCGGTATCCTATAGCTTGATGAAGGGGTCAGCAAAGTCGGTGAGAAGGAAAAGACGAAACGAGGCATTGAATCCATTGATACGGTCCAAGAGGTTGCATGGCCAAGGTATAGACAACCCCGGAGGATGTGATGCACCCAGACCTTAATGTTGTGTAACGTGTGATCATGCATGAGATATGCGCATAGGGCGCTTCCGGGACCCTGTTTAGAGACCAAGGGCCTGACAGGCTCTGGTATAGGGGACAGTGTGAGCTACAAACCGACACCAAACTTTTGCTCCGGTTTCTCAAACAACTGAAGACAGTGCACCGCAGTTTTGATGGGTTCAAGAGGTCTCCCGACGCTCCGAGCACCCAAGTGGCACCGGTGAGAATTTCCAAGTTCGGCCAGCCTGGAAAGAGTTAAAAGTTTGAAGGCTGCGGATCAGGCTGTTGGGCTTTTCCGGGTTCCACTCGGACATTTGCTTTGCGAACTTCAAGGTTTTTTCTGGAACACGGCGTCATACTGGTGGTGAACCCCCAAGCATCTTTTTCTGGCGCCAAATAACACATCATCTGACGGTCGGCCAAACGGCATCGAGCTCGGCAAGAGGACGTGTGACTAGATGTTGTGTTACAAGAGCCAGCGTTGCGAAGCTGTCACTGTGCAGGGTTGTCGCTTATGCCGCCTCGAGTCTTTGTCACGTTGACAGTTGATCGGCATCAAGAGCGAGGGCGAATCATGACAGCATCGGCGGCCTCGGTGTCGTACGGGATACGGTTGGTTGGCAAGGTGTAACTCGCACAGTATTCAGACTCGAGCAATCCAATTTTGCGTGGGCGCAGGCGCGGGGGATCAATAGCCGACACTGGAGCTTCTTGCCAAAAGCCGGCGTTCTCGACGCTGGTCGGATCGGTGAATCTTTGCCCCGCAATGCCCCAACCCGTTTTCCAGTGCTTCTCCAACTCCGTACAGTGGCCCGTATGCTTGTTTCTACAATAAAACAACTGTCTTCCTCTCACAGACTCCTAGGGCAATCTCTGTGCATATTTGCAACATTTTCAACCCCTTTCGGACCAGTCTAGTATGATATGCTGTACACCCCAACTGCAATAATGACCGATATACTTCTCAAGATCAACACTGGCGCAACCATCCCAGCATTGGGATTAGGTATGTTCGCTCCCGTCCTCGCTGTGAGTAACCTCGTGTTTAACATCACTTGACAGGAACATGGCAAAGTCCAGAAGGCCAGGTCCGAGCCGCTGTTGCACATGCTATCAAATCCGGCTACCGGCACATCGACTGTGCGTATGTCTACGGCAACGAGAAGGAAGTGGGCGAGGGCATCAAAGAGGGTCTAGCAGCCGCGGGAATCTCCCGAAAGGACTTGTTCATAACCACAAAGCTATGGTGCACATACCACACGAGAGCAGAGCAGAACCTCGACATAAGCTTGGGTCTGCTCGGCCTAGACTATGTCGACCTGTACCTTATGCACTGGCCCGTTGCGATGAACCCAAACGGCAACCATGAAAAGTTCCCCAAGCTGCCTGACGGTTCTAGAGATCTCATCCGGTCCCGATCACACGTGGATACGTACAAGGATATGGAAAAGCTGTTGGAGACCGGTAAGGTAAAGGCCATCGGTGTGTGCAACTACTCCAAACGGTTCCTTGAGGAACTGCTGCCCAAGGTGGGTATAGTTCCAGCCGTCAACCAGATCGAGAACCACCCTCTACTCCCGCAACAAGAAATTGTCGACTACTGCCAGCAACACGGCATTCATGTGACGGCGTACAGCCCTCTCGGATCGACAGGGAGCCCGCTGATGAAGGACCCTCACGTCGTCAAGCTGGCTGAGCAAAAGGGGACGACTCCAGGGTGCATTCTGCTGAGTTACCACATTGCACGACGGAGCTCCGTGCTCGCCAAGTCAGTTACGCCGTCTCGGATTGACGAGAACAAGCACGTAGTCGACCTGTCCGCGAGTGACCTTGCCTCACTGGCCGAGATTTCTCAGAATGGTGTGACGCGGTTCGTGTATCCTGAATTTGGGGTGGACTTTGGCTTTCCGGATAAGTCATGATCGTTTTGGGTCTTGAACAGAGGCGCATCTTGGTCAGGATAGACTTGAAATAGAAGATGAGCGTCATAGAATGACGTTCATCTGGATTCAATTCCGAACTTCCCTTCTGACACAAATGATAGACGTGAGGACGACGTGCTGCTACCCATTGCGGAGCTCGTAGTTGTCTCGATAATCGTCCTACCCATCTCGCCCATTGACATGCCATTACAGATGATGTCGCCTTGGACCTCATCACCTAGCTGGTATCAAGACTATCATGGAGAAGATGCGCCGCACACACACATGGTACCTCGTGCTAGTCTATCGTTGGCCAGGTATAGACGTTCGACAGGTCTGCATGCGTTACCGGTTCAGTCGTTGAGTCAGGTCGCTTACAATCATGCAACATGCGGCCGGTCTCGACTGTAGTCGATACAGTACCAATTTACATTGAGGCCAGTAGAGCAATTTGGGGAAGCGGAAGTCGCCATACGAGAGTCGCGCAATGCGAACGGAGGATTTACGACGTCGTGGAGGTGTTCTTTTTTTTGTTTTTTTTTTTGTTTTTTCATTGCCCTAGCACAATGCAAACTACCATACATAAGAACGAAAAAAAAACAAAAAGGAAAAAAGACAAGAAGGAAAAAGAAAAGAAGAAAACACCCCAACCCCAGCTCGAAAAAAAGAAAAAAGGAAAAAAAATCAAGAACCAGCTCCAGCACCAGCACCAGCACACACACACACACACACAAACACACACAACAGCACCCCCCTTCCTCCTCCCTTCCCCCCCGGGGCCTCAGACGAACTGACGTCCAACAACATCCCAAGGATGCCTACCCGGAGCACCACCCCAAAGAGAAACGCAAGACGCAACGACGGCCGACGAGGAGAGATGGAGAAGACAAGAGAAAAGACTTCACTCCTTCTCCTCCTTCTTCTCGTTCTTCTTCCTCCTCTTCCTCTTGTCTTCTCCGTCCTCCTTGGCGGCAAGCCGTTGCGCCCGCGTTCTCTCCGAGGTGGTGTCCTTGTAGACATCCCTGAGGTAGTTGGGGTCCGTCGTCCGGAGCCCCAGGTCCATCCTACGACGGGCGTTGACCTGTTTGCGGTCAACGCCCGTGTAGGTGGTGTCGAGCCCGAGGCCCCTGTAGTAGCTCAGGGGCCTGATGTTGGCCAGGCGGGCGGGCTCGTACTCGTGGAGATTGTTTTTGGTCAGCCGTAGCTCTGGGTGCTTTTGGAGGTAGTGCTCCCGGATCGTCGACGCCCGAAGGCACGTGTGGTAGCACAGGTGGCACGTGTACGGGTCCATGGCGTCCACCACCGATGGTTGCCGCCGTCGGTGCGTCGACGGGATGTCTGAGTCGTTGAGGGACGCCGTGAGACTTGGCGCTCCGTTGGGTGCGGGAGCCGGGACGGCGGGCGCGGGCGCGGGCGCATAGGCCGGGGCAGACACAGGGGCAGAGCCACCATTGGCATTGGTATATCCGACATTGTTGAGGATGGGGTCATTTGAAGCATTGAATACCATTGGAGTTGAAGTTGAAGCAGCACTAGAACGAGGTGCGCGAGCGCGAGGACGAGCTGAAGAAGAAGCAGCAGCAGTAGAATCAGGAGCGCTAGGGCGAGCGCGAGCGCGTGAACGCGGTGCAGGAGTTGGGTGTGTGTCTTGTTGTTGTGCTTCACTGTTGTCATCTGAAGCTGTCTTGCGCTTACGTCTAGTAGCTCTTGGACGAGCCTGGCTGCGGGAATTGGAATTGGAAGTGGAAGTGGAAGTGGAATTGGAAATGGAATTGGAAGTGGGTGCAAGTCGTTGTGGTTGTTCGTCTTCTTGATTGTTCATAAAGGTATTGTTCAACGCACTTCCTTCAGGTGCAGGGATATCGACGTACAAATGAGAATAGTCTTCATCAGGGTTGTTTGATCGATTGTAAGCAGCCACGAGTGCCAGGCCCGGGTCAATTGCAGAAAGGTCAACTGGGTCGGAAACAAAGTGATAACTTGGAGGTGCTTGGTAGTCCAGACGGTGTCCAGTGTATGAAGCAGCTGGCATCATTCCATTTGATCCATAGGATCTTGGTGTGTTGGTTGTTCCACTTGTTCCTGATCCATAGGTTCCTGATGTGTTGCTTGTCGCGCTTGTCGTTCTTCCATAAAGGCCTGATGTACAATTTGGTCCAGTTCCGGATCCATGAATACTCGGTGTATGAGTTGTTCCACTTCCAAATCCATAGAAGCCTGGTCTGTTGGTTGTTCCACTTCCAGATCCGTCTCGTCCTGATGTCTGGGTTGTTCCATTTCCTGATCCATAAAGGCCCAATGTCTCGGTGGTTCCATTCCTGCCACTTCTTCCGGACGAGCCAGGATGTAGATGATCAGAGGCTGCAGCATCATGAAAACTGTTTCGAGGATCAAGCAATCCAAGAAGATGTTGACGATTTGACTCCATGATCGAAACATCGGATGGCACAACCTCATGATCAGAGCCCATATTATGAAGACCGCGTTGAGCCATATCTGGGCCACCGCTCGGGTTGACACCACGGTCATCGTACCCAGAAACTCCCACTGCAATGTTATCAGAACCGGTCTTTGCCATTGCGAGATAAAATCAATCGCTGGTATGTTGTAGACTTACCCTCAGGATATAATGAACGAGGTCCTCTAGAATCAGCTCGCCCTCCTCGATGTCCAACAGTATCCAGATTTGAATCGCGACGATCGCCAGATAGACAAGTCTGGTCAGGTTGAACAGGACTACCATTACCATGTAGACCAACATAGCCACTCGCCTCGAGAGCGCGTCGAGCAATGAGTTCGGCATCTTGTGCGATCTCGTGGAATGTTGAATTTCCTTCGAAGAATGTTGGGTCGGGAAGGGTGGTGAGGTCGGATGAGGAAGTCTGAAGTCCGCTATCTCTCTGAGAGGACGTCAGTAGATGTGACCTGGTCGGTTCCGTGACAATTTTACACACCGGAGCTTGCTCTAGAATCTCTGGATCTTGAAGGTTAGACGTGGGATCGACAGGGACGGAGTTGCTGGTGTTGATGGTAGAACTCGTGTCTGGCTAGATTTTGGGTGAGTAGATGAAATGAGTTGAGAAGGACGGATTTGGTTACCATGCCTGCCGCTTCACTCCCAATAGCACGCAAGATGTCGCCGATGATGTCGTCGCCCCTAGGCCTATGGCCAATGGGACGATTGGGGGTTTGGTTCTCTCTCGTGCCATTCGACGACATCTTGATTCTTGACGGTGACCCGCGCGGCGAAGACAATTGAATGGAACGAAGTAGCAGCGGCAAAGCAGCCTTGCGCACAGAAAGGGTCACGAAGTCCTGTTAGACAATGAAGAAAGCTGTCAACGTGAACGAAAGCCGTGTTGTCTAGAGATTGATGACTAGTGGACGAAGGTGTTGATGAAAGTGAGTTCCCAATTTTGAGAGTTTCACTTCGCGAAGAGGCATAATCATGGCAGCACCAGAACACGTCTTACGCGTTCACAACGCGGTATAGGCAGTCTCTTTCACCGCAGGGCGGCAGAAGAGAGCCGGTGAACTGCAAATTTTCCATTGTACCGGCCCTAATCAGCCATGGACGCCATTCACGACCTTTTCTTCTTTCTGACTTACATGAAACATTCAGCACGGTACAGAACAACAGCATCGAAGAAGAATGACAAGGTAAGTTGGAGATGCGCTCGCAGCTGTTGGCGGATATGCTTTTGCTGACCGGGATACGGAGCCCTGTTGGTAGTGTCGAGACTCCCTCTCAGTCAAATCCGCTGGTCCATAACGGACAAAGGAGCACGAAGGAACGAAGGAGGACATCGCACAAAACACCATTGGACAAGGCTGGCAAAGAATCGAGAATCGCAATAGCATTGTATCGTTGGAACAAACTAGGCCCACAACTTGCCCCGAGGCAAGCCTTGAAGACTCTTCGAAATACCGCACATCAGGGTGCGGCTATACTGACGTGTTCCATGTTGAACTTGGACATTTGATCACAGCACATGGTATGGTATATCGGTGTTGCTACGAGAGGGACAAGAATTGGAGGCGAGGAAGAAGGTTGAAATTAAGTTGGGCGAGTCGACTAGAAAATGCCCAGCCCGATGATATCCACATCTAGACGTGCACCACGGTCCACTTCCTCACGAACCATCATCTATCCGAAACTAGCCACACCTGAGTATGCGAGCTCGGGGCTCAAGAGATAAAAAGGAAGAAGACTGCATTCTGAATGCTGTGACGTTGCTGAAAAAACACCTGTCAAACGTCTGTGCAGTATCTTGCTATCAAGGAAGAAAAAGGCCAGGACAGAGACAGCAAATGTCAAAGACTTGAGACGTGCGAATACATACACAGAGCATTCTTTTTGTGCAATACGTTCATTTCTATCATGTGGAGCATGCAATTCATACTGAGAACCCTGCAAATTTGATCACCATCTCAATGTGTTCTGCAAGCATTTCCTTGTGCGGAAATCGTCCCCTATCAGGGTCTCAAGAGTCACATCCTGTCCTTTCCGCATCTTGTCCGGTTTTGCGACCTCGACAATTAATGCCAAAAGAAAAAAAAGCCCATCCACTCGATTAGCTTTATCAAATCTCAGCAGTACGTATCAAGCAGTCTCTTGGCTCATCTTCAGATTCGAGAAACACCAGAAGAATCCTTTTATTTCCTTTTGAGATGCAGTACCGAATACAGCCTTTCGTACTAAACAAGAAGGTGGTGACTTTCTTCTCTCAATTGGACCTCTAGCATGGTAGCGGCCTGCAAGGTCCACCATGCCCTGGTCGACCCAACTTTGGAACATTTCATCAAGGTATGACTGTGGAATCCTCATCACCGGTGCCGCTGGGATGATGTGCGTCGGTGTTGCTTGGAATTCCAGTGATTCCGCATGACCAAAAAATCCTAGCTCCGCGGCATGTCCGGGGTTGATTATTTGGTTCTGAGGAGTTCGTGGTTCAAAGTTCTGTTGCTGGTGAACATGTTCAGGGGTGGCTACTTCGCTCTGGGATGCTTGTGGTTCAGGGTTCTGTTGCTGCTGAGCAGACCCAGAGATGACTTCATTTGCTCCGAAAGATGTTAGCGGCTGATTCGTCTCAAAGGCTCTCAACTCTCGATCCAGGTCCATTGGATAGGTAGGCGAGCCAGGCATGAGTCTTTTGATTTCGGCCACAGCTTCTTCATCAGCGGGTGCTTCGAGTCTCGACGGATCAATTCCTACCAGGCAATCGCCCCATGGGAATTCTGGTGTCGAGTATGTCGGAGAGTATGGTGGAGGGACGGGTGGAGAAGGGTCTCGGCCAAGTGTTGCGAACAGCGCTTGTAGGAGTGGGTTCGAAGATTGAACTGGCGACTGAAATAGGTCAGGTGTGGCGATTACTGGCTCATCTTCCCGAGGAGGGTTATTCCAGCCGTCGAAAAGCTCACCCTCGTCGAAGAGGCCGTCGTCGTCCGCAAAAGGTTGTGTGTAGTCGACAAATTGGCCGTTCTCTGAGACTTGCAGTGGGGTCACGATATCGGTCTGATTGTTCTGGATAGGGAGAGGAGATATTTCGTGTTTTCTCTGAGGTTCGGCCATTTCAAGCTTGAAAGTAGACTGCATATCAGACCGCGGAACGAGACTTGGGGTTTTAGGTGGCATGTCAGGAGTGACAGTGCCGGGAGGAGAGGCATCAACAGATGTGGTGTCCTTTTGAAGAGCTTTTCGCGCGGCGGGGAGATGCTCTCATGGGAAACCAACCTCATACTGCGCGTTGAGGAGGAAGGTCTTTGTCATAAGGGACAGAGAGAGGCGTGAAAGGGCATAACCGGCAAAGAAGCTGGCAGCGAACTCTGTCCTGCACGCAAACTTGGAAACGCTGTTGTGTGTGCACTTGCGCTCAAACATGGATCAATTGAATGACATAAACAGAACCACAAACAATACAAGAATTAAAAGAATGGCGTGTCCCTCATTACATCGTGTTTTCCAACTTGTTGATTGGACGACTTCAGGTGTATCCCTGCAGGTCAGTAAAGTCGAACAAACATCGTTGAGGCTAACAAACCTGAGGACTCATATCAGCGTATTTTGTATTGGACTTGGGGTGTGTATCTGTCTCTGTCTTCAACTCTTCTTCCGTTACACACAGACTGTTCCTTGATCCTCTTAGTGTCTCGCTGTCTTTCGATGGTACTGGGGACTCCATTGCATCTCTGCTTGGACATGAGGACCGCGATTAAGCACATTCCATCTCCAGCATCCGTTGGAAAACCCTGTCCCAGTCTTCCCATTCCCGCATGATGACACAGCATCCGGCTCTCTTGAGTGTGTTCTTCATGAATTCCCTGTGACCTCCGGTCTCGTATGAACCGACATAACCGATGGTGGCAATGTTTGCTCTGATCGCTGCTCGACAGCCGGTAATGCTGTCCTCAATTGCAAGGCATTCGTGGGGTTTGGCACCGAGCTTTTCCATTGCATGGATGTAGATTGCTGGGTCTGGTTTGCTACTGGGAGAACTCATCGAGTTCTGTGCCGAGAAGACACAGTCTTCCTCGAAATACTTTGCCGCCCCGGTTATTTCGATCTGGGCTTGAACTCGGCTGAGCGTAGATGAGGACACAATTGCCAGCTTATACTCGCCTCCCTCGTAGAGATTCTCGATAATCTTGAGCGCACCTGCACATGATTGACCCCGGGCTCCGAATGTTGCGATCACGCGCTCCTCCTCGACACTAGCATAGTACTGGAGTAATTCTGTGCTCAGTTGTATACCGTGCTCCTGGCATATTTCAGGTAGCATCTTGCGGAAGCTGTAGCCCACGAACTTGGCAATAAGAGTCTCCTTAGTGTAGCGCTCCGGCTTTCCATTTCTTTCAAGAATATCATTGACCAGCCCTGATACGGTTTCCATGGCGAGATACTCCGACAATGTGATGGTGTTGTCACAGTCGAAAAAGATGAACTTGTACTGACGGCAGATCAGAAGAGGTCACAGTCCACTTGGAGACTCACTTACGGGGTTGCGAGGAGGTTCCGACATCGTGAAGGCCAATGCTATGTCTCTGAACATCAATGCCGGGTTTACCCAGCAGAGAATTGCTGAAAGCTGGGAAGAGGGGCTTCGATATGAGAATCAGGGAAGAGAGTGAGAGTGAGAGTGAGAGCGAAATCTCAAAAGGAGGAAGATCGTAAGCGTGCAGGTGAATTCACGGACGATGTCTGCTTCAACAACACCGGAATATTGGTTTGTCCGCTAGCGGTTGAGGGACATTGTGCTTGGTAAATGCATATGCAAGATGGTGAACGAGTGTTTGTTATTGTGACTTGTCCTTTAGCACAGCCTTGCCAGTAATAACTGGAAGTCCAGGAGTCAAGGATATGGGAGGACGTCCTCCGGCTTTCCCACTGCCTGTGGAAGTGGTATAACATCGGTAAAAGGCTCCTTGGTATCGGCCAGCTTATCCATCGTCGCCAGAACAAGATGGCTCTTGTTGCTGTCTTCTCTCTGTTTCCTCCAGTCATGGTAGACATTCCACCACCAGGTATGTGTTTCTCCGTCGCGGCCTAGATGTCCAGCAACTCCCTTGTCACTGACCCGTCGTTCCCAGGGTTTGTCCACGATGTAATGGAGGACTACCAATTTCTCATCCGACCACATTTTGGGGTGCCAATACCTCATGGTTTTCAAAGCGTTGTACTTCCACGAAAGAGGATGCCAATTGTCTCGATAGAAGTCTGCTAAGAAGTCTTGGTCAGGGAACTGGTACGTTTTCAGTTTCTCCGACGTATTGAAATAGTCAAGCATCCTCGACCAAAGTTCCTCGTTTGGGTTGAACAGCAACATACCACCATTCAGCAAGCGATATGTCGGCCGGCTTTCAGGGGTGATAGGCGCAGCAACGTCATCAGCTTCCGTGAGAGGTGTGTACGCACAGTTGCCCTTCTGCCATTCGGGAGGAGCCCAGGAGTCGTGGTCCAAGTTGCAGACACAAGCATGATTGGCGCCCAGCCAGTCCTGCCCAGGAAGCCGGCACTGGAATAGCTCGTCCGGGTTTCGGAATATGGCCATGTCAGCGTCGAGAAAGACCGCTCTCGTGTATCCTTGCTTGTAGACCTCGAAAGCTCTCAGCTTTGTGAAGGTGTCCTTGAAGCGTTCAGCCACGCTGCCAGTATTCTCCTGATCTTTTCGAGGTAAAAGAAGATCTACTTTCTGTAGCTGGATACGACCATAGTTGGAGCTTTCTTCCTCCAGCGCTGCCACAGCTTCGTCCCCAAGTGAAGAGGTGTATTGAATGACGAATGGATATTTCGACTTGTGTCGATCCAGAGTATGTGCCAGGATAATGGCTCCGGGTAGGTATGAAGCTTTGGTCACCAGTGTCACCCAGCAAAAGCCGTCTGTACTTCTATTCGCGAGCGCCATCGCTGGCTTCTGGTCGTCGTCGTCGTCGTCTTCGCCGCGAACGTCTTGCCGGCAGTTATTCTGCAACCAAGGCCATGGTACCGCCAAACACTTGCCTTACGTTTCCCCAGTGGAATGCCTCTTGACCACAGTCAGTGGCTTGAAGTGGCCATTTTCCACTGAGCCCGAGTCATGGCGTCATGATCCGACTTCAGGTGCACCAGACGTACTCGTACATCCGAGGTTGTTGAATCCGTTCAAGGCCCGGGTCGGCATCACACCACCAAATCTTGGTTATATTCTATCCAAGCCAACTTGAGCATCGACACGCAGGACAGGCAGTCAAAGTCCCCTCAACAATCTCGCCAGGAAGCGTCGGCGACGATGGCCAAAAACAACAAGGCTCGAAGGGGCGCAGGCGAGGCTGAGGGCGGACGGTGATTGGCGGAAGCCGCTGCGTAACTCCGCCGACGGATGCCGAATGTCGATGTCAACAAAGGGACAAACGGCTGCACAACTTTATTATCCTCTCCACAAGCATCAGGCCCGTCGATTTGCCTGTCACGCCGCCACATCCCTCGTATCTCCATACTGCTAGAATCTTTACTCTTGACACTCGGACCTTTTGGTGGACTTCCCAGCATATCTTATGGCCTGGTAGTCTGTCGCATTTGCAGCACATCTTGGGCGTTACTGGCACTCCTCATACAACCCCATACCCCTTGGTCTGCTCCGGATCGTTCGCCGGCCTGTCTTATTACCCCCTCCTACGTCCAGCCTGCGAGTCGCCATTTGACATGCAGCCATGGTGCTGCTGGAGAAGCAATGGGTGAATGTACAAGAGAAGACGTTTACAAAATGGTACCGCCCGCTGACCCCGTTTCTTCCCAAACCACAGTGCTAATTCTCCCAGGTTAAACAATAAAATCGCTTCCCGCGAAGTCGCTGTCAAGAGTCTGGTCACCGACCTCTCCGACGGTATTATCCTTATTCACCTCCTTGAGGTTCTCAGCAATGAATCTCTCGGTCGCTATGCCTCGAACCCTCGTTTGCGGGTGCAGAAATTCGAGAATGTCAACAAGTCGCTGGAGTACATCAAGAGTCGGGGCATTCAGATGACGAACATTGGTGCAGAGGATGTCGTCGATGGAAACAGAAAGATTATTCTCGGTCTGATATGGACCCTCATTCTACGCTTCACCATCTCAGACATCAACGAGGAGGGTATGACGGCCAAGGAAGGCCTTCTGCTGTGGTGCCAAAGGAAGACCGCTTGCTACGAGGGAGTCGAAGTCCGGGACTTTTCCTCCTCATGGAATGACGGTCTTGCATTCTGTGCTCTCTTGGATATTCATCGGCCTGATCTGATCGATTTCGACACCTTAGATAAGTCGGACCACAAAGGAAACATGCAATTAGCCTTCGATATCGCCACCAAGGAGATTGGTATCCCAGACTTGCTTGACGTGGAAGACGTTGCAGATGTACCCAGGCCCGATGAGAGATCGCTCATGACGTACATCGCATACTGGTTTCATGCGTTTAGTGCCATGGAGCGGGTAGAAAATGCCGGCCGTCGGGTGGAGAAGTTTGTGAGCAATATGCAAGGTGCCTGGGAGATGGAGACTGCCTATGAAAAGCGAATGCGCGCTTTGCTCCATCAGATCAGACAGCAGCGGCAGGCGTGGCATAATTCGAGGTTTGAAGGCACATATGCAGATGCCAAAGCGCAAGCAAATGAGCTGGCCAGCTTCAAACGAAACCAGAAGAGAAAATGGGTGGCAGAGAAATCAGATGTTGCAGCATTGCTCGGAAACATCAAGACAAAGTTGTCGACATATCGCCTGCGACCGTACGAACCACCAGCTGATCTGCGGCTGGAAGTGCTGGACCACGAATGGGCTGCGCTAGGCACAGACGAGCACGCACGAAGTAAATTGATCAACGAGACCATTCGAGATATCAAAAATGCACTGAGGCGAAGCTTCGCCGACAAAGCAAATGACTTTGCACTGACGCTGAACACCTTGTCGTTGGCCGTTTCGGGCCTGGAAGGGGATGTCGAAGATCAACTGCAGCACGCCCAGCGACTGTCGGCCAACCTCGCACCTCTTGAGCAATACTTGGAAGGAATAGCTATCCTGGACGAGAAGTGTCAGGAAGCAAACATTGACGAAAACGACTACACAACCTATACATACGATGAATTAATGTACGAATTGAGCTTGGTCAAGACGAGCGTACAGAAAAAGCTGACCTTTCTGGAAAATCAAATGGTGGCGAGAAACATGACCAACCTAACTCCGATCCAGCTTGAAGAATTCGAGTCTGTTTTTCGGCACTTTGACCGCGAAGGCAACAACACCTTGTCCGAATTGGAGTTCAGCGCTGCCCTGGCCAGTCTCGGACTGGTGTATGACGAGGAAGAAATGCACGACAAGTATCTTGAAGTCTGCCATACGGGACTGGACCCATCCATGTCTCCTATCTCCCGTCGTCAAAGGGAGGCGAGAGGAGTTGGATTCGAGCAATTCATCCGATTTATGGTGTCCGTAACCGAAGATCAGAACAGCGCCGAGCAAGTCTTCCAATCCTTTCGAGAGGTGGCCGACGGCAAGCCCTACGTTACAGAGATGGACCTTCGGCACTCACTCATTCCCGATGAATTGATCGAGGACCTCCTTCACAGCATGCCAGAGCACAGAGGTCCGGATCTGGAAGTGGACCGCGACGTCCCCAAGTATGACTACATCTCGTTCATGCAGGGCATGATGGATGGACAAAACCAAGCGCACCAAGGCCAGAGTCGGAGCCAGCGCGACAGCAGCCGGAGTCCAACCAACGGCGTGACAACTCCTACTACACCTAGACGATGAAGATACACTCCTCGTTTTTCGCTACTAACAACGATACCTTGTCTTCCTCAACCTCCGTTCACTATCCATATCTCCGCCTTTGCGTGCGTTCGACCCCGAGTCTTTGTTTTTTGGATGGTTCATCGGGCCGTGGGTGCTGCAGTGTTGACATCGCAAGCATACCTGTATACTGGTCGTTGTGTGGATCCACGTTTTTGAGAGCGGGCGAAAGTCAACTTCAGTACTCCGGAGTGGCAAAAGTTGGATCTACCGTTTGTGTGACCTGGCTCCAAGCGATACAATCGGGTTTTGGTGGGTTTGGCTATCGCACGACTGACAGCCCCTAGGATGAGAGAGCCCGCGATGGAACCACACATATACTGACCTCCCTAGGTCCCTATACCTGTCCGCGGAGTACAAAGTACATAACAATACCCTCCTTTTTTGGTAATAAGATGGCATGACATAGCGTGGAATTGGTAATTGAATTCACTCATTTATTCATAAATCAGGCGTGCTAACAATGGCTCAACGCCAGCCACTGATAACCAATACTTCTCGTTTCTGATCTTACATGCTACATTACTAGGTATACAAAATATTCATCTCGTCAGTAACCATGGCATGGCCCCCATTCTCGCGTTTTTGGATGGATGTTGGTGCTTTCTAAGATGAAGTCGACACGTTTCAGATCTTCCACACGGTAACATCATGCGGATTCTTCGAGATGGCATGGGCGACGATCCTGCTGACGGGGCCTTGCTCTTCTCTCCCACCTCTCCACTCCTTGGGCCCGGCAAGGTACGAGATGAAGCCGGGCGGGCCCGAGATCAAGATCTGTCTCTGGCCCGGGGCGGCGGTGCCAGCGCTGAATTCTTTATCGTCGAAACGCGACAGGGCCCTGAAAACGGCATCCTCGTCGATCCACGTATCCTCTGCGTTGACAAAGTACTCGACCGTCACTTGGCCCGGGTACTTCTCCTTGAGGGCGTCCAGTTCCTTCACGATCAGACCTTTTTCTGAGGACTGGGGTGGCGGGGTGTTTGGCTTTTTTGCCTTTGGCCGTGAGAAGAGACCCGACCATGTGGGTTTGGGCGGTACGGTCTCAGACGGAGCGGCGTCGCTCACCCCGCCTGCGCAGTCTTCGCGCATCCTGCTCGCCCAGAGAATATGCAAGTTCTTTGTCTTGCTATTTCCCTTTTGTTGCCGTCCGGAGTCATCGCCATGGTCGTCGTTGTGCCCCTCAAAAAGCGCGTGCGCGATCTGGAGTGCTGGCGCAATGCCCGTCCCGCCTGCGAAGAAGACAATCTGTCGCACATCAGGAGTCAATTCGTACTCCAGATTGGGTCCGCGCATCTCGATCTCAGCCCCGATGGGCAGTTTGTGTAGATAGCTGGACACCTCGCCGTGGGGATCTTTGCGGATGAGGAAGCGCAGCTCATCGTGCTTCTCCTTGTTCTTCTTTTCTGCATCTGTGCCTTCTTCGACGGGTGGGAGGGGAGTGTAGGCTCTCACGATTTGAAGTTGAGGCTGCTTGAAGTCCACATTCCATATTCCCTTCCTCCATGCCTCTTTGTACTTCTCGAAATTGGACGAGGGCTGTTTAGGTTCCAAGTGGAATATGCTGGCGGTCGACGAGACGGGTTGTTTTGAGACCAACGTGTATGCCACGAAAGAGTCACGCTTGGAGTTGTAATTGTATATCTGCCACCCGGCAACTACACCCAGGGCCGTCCATGCCGCGACAAAGACGCTGCGCTTTGAGACACGAGATTTCGGCCGGCTGCTGGGGTCTGGCGAAGTTTCTGAGGTGGTGGATTTGAAGCGAGGAGCGATCCTCAGGGCTGGTGGTTGAGCAGCATGGTTCAAATTGCTCGATGCCCTGGCTGAGCACCTTGCAAACATTGACCGTCGTTGCAGATGTCTACTGTGTTGCAGGTTTGTCTTGTCTGAGGTCAACAGCGACATTCCGCATCGGTCGTGGATGCAGGACATTTTGATGCGCTGCTCTAAACAATCCACCTTGCCGCTTTTGATAGAAATAACCTCGAGGCCATGCTCCCCTTTTCTGACCTCCCTTTGTCTATTCGCGTTGGAGTCACTCACTGGTTCAGGACATACAGCAGAGTTCAAAAAGGCGACTAAAGAAACCTTCTCGTACTGTTGCTGACCACCATAGCCTGCAGGGCCACCTTGCAAGTGATCTCTTCGGAATCACGCCCAACCCTGGGGGCTCCGGAGGTATTCCGACTGTCGTCGCTGCATCTAGCCAGCGTCGAAGATGCTTGAGTTTGTGCGCATCAGTGGTCTGATACTTCTGCTAGACTTAGCCGTCCCAGACTCTGGCGGAACGTGTACGCCCCTCCTGCCGAGCCGCTTCTTATCATCACTCTCATCAATAGCCGGAGCCATTGTCGTCTGACATTTCCACGACCAGTACTGTGATTGAGCATACCAAACGTAACTGTCGGCATTCTGGACAGTCTCAGCGGCCCTCCTCTGCCTAAGCTGCATGGTATTGTATGGGCCACTGTGACGGTGGTTAGCTGTAGCATGGCAGTCGCCCCGAAAGCAACTCACTATCCATCAGGAGGATCTGGCCTGGGTGCGACAGAGGTATGAAAGGCAAGATCTGCTTTAGCCCCAGGACTTCGATGTGTCCAGTATCTTCAGTTCAGACTTCATTCACTGTCTGCAACATGGCACAGATATGTGTTACCACTCAGCGGCCTCCTTAGATCTCGATGACTTCAGGCACTTCGTTGGGACGGGCATACGACACGTTGACACAGTACACCCTCCTGAGTTGCAGCAACTAGCATCCTTGAAGGAGCAATTTGAATGAGAGGGAGCGTTTCGCGGTTGACGCTTTCAAAGGAATCCGTGCAAGGGAAATCAAGTATGTAAGCCATACATCCTGCTTCCCTAGAGTCTCTACTTCCCTAAACACGAGCGTTCACGAGGCATCTCAACTGCGATCACGTATACTGAACCACTTCTCTAAGAGCAACCCGTACACCTCACTTCTCGTTGGGAAGCTTGGGACAGCATGAACCAGTCGATCCAAGGGAATCTCTCCAACAAGGGCAACGGTACTAGCGTGAAGAAGGTCGCCTACTTCTCTTCCCACGAATGTGGCGCCTACAAGAACATTCTTCTCAGAATCGACGACCCATTGCGCCCATCCTTCATAATTGAATTCGGCAAACACCCAAGCGCCAGGGAAGTTGAAAGTGACGGCTACTTCTTTGGCGTCGATGCCTTTTTTGCGTGCTTCAGCCAAAGTGAGTCCAACGCTTGCAACGTGCGGGTCGGTGACCACCACCTGGGAGACAGCAAGTGAGTCTGCTGTGGCGTTGAAGTTGCACCACGGTTTCGGGTCAGACACAATCTCTCCTCGCGCTCGTGCAACAATGGCCTTTGCTGCAACTCGTGCCTGATACGCGCCCATGTGTGTCGTTGACGATCGCCTATTTGCGTCGCCAACAGCATAAAGCCACGTTCCTTGAGAGGACTTGACAAGCATGGTCGGATCAACTTCCAAGGACGGGGTCAGTCCAACACTTTCCAGGCCAATGCTCTGCGTCCGAGGCCTCCTACCGGCTGCCAGCAGCAAATGTGAACCAGTGACAATCTTCCCGGTTGATAGCTTTATCGACGCGTTTCCATTATCTTCTTTCCATACTTGAACACCCCTTGAAGACAAGTGAAAGTCAACACCCTGTGCAACCAGTGCCTCTCTGACAAGCTTGCCAGCCCCTGGCTCGAACCTGGGCAGTATTTCAGAGCTTGGACATATCAGTGTGACTTTACTTCCGAAAGTCGAAAACGCAGTGGCCATTTCTGAACCGACCACACCACCGCCAACAATAATCAAATGCTCTGGGACGCTCTTGACGGAGGTAGCCTCCCTCGGCGTCCAGTAATCAATGTTCCCGATATCTCTGATATCCGGAATCACAGGTTCGGAGCCAGTTGATATCACAACAGCCTGGGTTGCCGTCAAGGTTTTCTCCTGGGCGATTCTATTTTGTACGAGAACCTTTTTGTTCCCAATAAGAGACCCTCGTCCTCTCACAACCGTGCACTTTTGGCTCAGTGACAGGTTGACAAGGTGCTGGTCGTCATAGCCATTCACAACCTTGTCACGTCTGGCAAAGACGCCTTCGACGTCCACGAGTCGATCGGTCGCGATCAACTCCTTAGCTCCCCCTACCATTCTAGCAGCTGCGAGAGCCTCTCCAGGTCTTAGTATGGCTTTGGATGGCATACACGCCCAGAAAGGACAGTCCCCACCCCAGAGTTCATCTTCGATAATGACTGTGGTGAGTCCAGAGGCAGCGGTTTTCGAAGCAAGTTGGCGTCCGCATGGACCACTACCAATCACGATGATGTCGAATGTCGTTGTCTCGAGAGAGTCTGGGAGGTAGTTCGCCGGATGAAGATTCACACTGCGTGATGCAGACGCCATGTCTTAGACTGTTTCGGGGAAAGAATATGGTGTAGCCTTTGGGGTGAAGCGAGTCTCGAGCGAGGGCACATCTCGCGGGGATCCCAAGTTCAAATAGTTTTTGCCCACAGACAGTTGGTGACACTCAGACATGATCCAGCCATTGACACATGGAAGGTTGACCGTACAGCGCTACTCTGAATACTGAGGGCATCCAGGAAACTCGCCGCGAATCTCATGCTAGGCTGAATTTGTCTACTCGAAGTCTGGCAGCAAGAGCACATTGGATGTGTGTTCTGTATGTCCAAGGCACCACCCTACCTTTGTCCATATATCGAATGTATCGATTACCGCACATGGAAACACCTCGACCCCCTGTCAGCAGCTCTTAGACTCGAAGAGCCTTTGTCATCATGCATTGCAAGCGAGCCGGTCAGGTTGACCCACGCCCCGAACTCATTTCAGTCCTCCTGCAGAAGCCCCTTGCTGTCACAACGTCTATCTTATGGCGTTTTACTTACCTACTGACCCTTGACCAGTGTGTGTAGGAATCAGTCACGCCCTGTGAAAGGGGCCAAAGCCGGAGGACGACCTCATAAATGTGCGCACAGACATAGTCATTCTTTTTGTCGTTGCGATTGACGAGGAAATGTAGAGCTATTTGCGCACAGCCGATTCATTCCGTTCCAGCCACGAGAGAAACCATGTCGAGTTCGTCGCCGGGATTTGATACGCGTTACTAGTCGAGCAAACGCCTTTCTCGAACCTCCGGTTTATATGTTCCGCCCTACCAAGGACCCGTACGGCAGGTTTTACGCGTTTGAAGCGAAGTTTCTTTCAGGGGCTACTCCGTGATACTCGTTCGTATCAATTTTTCCACATCATCAATGTGCCGAGGACGCAATCAGTCCCTTCAAGCCACGATGATGCCAACATCCCGGACGCGGTCCCAAGACCGGTCCTTGTAAATAAGTCAAATATCATTCTCGCCATTAAGGAAGAGATATTGTCTGTCGCTCAGTGTTTCCACTGTCTCTACGGAGCAAACGTCGACTTGTGCGCGGGAGGTCCATAAGCCGGAACGACTCAGCCAAAGTTTCCTTCTTGTCGCACTTTCTTTCACGGTTTTGTTAAGCATCGTCGCTCCAGGACACACTCCCCACCATGGAAACAGACACCACCAACGACTCGCGGATCTCGACAGCCGAGCAACTGGCATACTGGAACCAGATCTCGGCCGACGACGACGGCATGCTCGGCGGGTACCCGCAAGTATCGCGAATCGACATTCAATTCTCGCGGACCTTTGTGGGTAAGCTGCGCCGCCTCTACCCTCCGACAACGCCACCCGATGAGAAGCGACGCACGTCCAAGTACGCTTTCGCGAGAGGTCTCGAGACCGGAGCCGGTATAGGGCGTGTGACCTTCAACCTTCTCTCGACGCTCTGCGAGCAAATCGACATAATAGAGCCCATTGAGAAGTTCACCGACGTGCTCACGGCTCCGGACTCGACGCTCGTCAGGTCGGGCCAGCTGCGACGCGTCTACAACGTCCCCTTGCAAGAGTGGACGGCCGCGACGACTCCGTCATGGCAATCAGCCCTCAACGTGCAGGCGGACGCGGACATGGATCTCTCCGCTACCAGTAGCCAGGGACGGTACGACCTGATCTGGAATCAATGGTGTCTCAGCCACCTGTCGTCCGAAGCGCTGGTGCGGTATTTCGCCAGCTTGATCCCGCTCCTCGCGCCCGACGGCTGGATCATCGCCAAGGAGAACCTGTCAACAGACGCCTTTGGAAAAGACATCTATTACGAAGAGGACAGCAGCGTCACGCGCAGCGATCAGAATTGGCGCGCCGCGTTCGAGAAGGCCGGCTTGCACATCGTAAAGACTCAGCTGCAGACGGGATTTCCGAAGGAACTGGGCTTGTTACCCGTGAGGATATATGCCATGAGACCGAAATAGCATCCTCGATTGCCAGTTTTTCTTTCTCTTTTACCCTCATCACGACGACATATATCTCGACACATCTAAGCGGCGACACTTACCCATTGTCTAGCTCTTCATATGTACACCATCGTGCGTCCCAGTCGGCTTTGGACATGGAAATGGTCAGATTTTGTGTATATATGTAAATATACATTGTATATACCCCGAACTGTGCTTTGTCCCTTGCCACATTTCACTCAGGAAAGGGAACGCGGCCGCTTTCATTCAGGCGCGTGACGCAGCATTCAGGGGGAGTTCTAACGATATACTTACAGACCTTCCATACGAATTGTTTAGTAGACTGCATTGTCATTCTAACGACCCCGATTGTGTGACACTTACTTCAAGGTGACTTTTATCTTACCTAGAGAATCCCAATTACTCGGGCCGCTAGCTTAACAGGTCCAAGTTTGTTAATACGCTTCCTCCATTTCGGGAACACGGGGAACAAATCCACACCTTGCCGAGTTTCCATCTGGAGCATCACTGCACAGCAATGGGTTGCTCTCAGGTACCGCGGAAAGGAACCGTTGTTGAAGTCAAGGGTGGCAAGCGGAAGTCGCACACTGCATTCATTTCACACGAGTCGGCTATTGACGATTCTTTTGTACCGGCGACGGACGCGTGCCTGATACCACCAGCCAACCAGGCAACAAGCAGCCATGAACAACGTGGCAATGCCCCCAAAGATGATCCAATTGTGGCTGGAGTCGCGTTGTTCCTGGGTGTCGGAGGCGACCTGGACGTACGCCCGGTCGGTGTTGTACCATTCGGGAGCATTGACGTAGCAGAAACAGTTTCGGTAGATGCCCACGACCTGCATCAACGTGCCACCCAAAGCCACAAAGAGAGACAGCAGAAGGCTTACGCCAAAGACAGCGTATGCCATGCCGCACCAAAACACCTTGATGAGATACCAACCGGCTCCAAGATACCTCTTGAGACCTTTCGCTGGACCAGCTCCTCGGACGACCTCGTTGGGTGTTGGAACCTTGTGCAAAACGATGAAAAGCATTGTGACCAAAAGTTGGACGCCTGCATAGCAAATGAAGGAGAGCGACCGACAACCCCATCCTACTGGGGGGGTTCTCCAGGCCACCACGGCACCAGCAATGAGTGGCAGATTGATCAGGACCGCAGTGACGAAGAGGATGCTGATCTTGGCCATCCATCCCACCATAAGTCTTCGGTTGTCCCGGAGTTGTACACGGTACGCGGCTGAATTCCGAACCCATTCTTCCTTGTTGTTGCCTCTGGACCACATGGTCACTGGTTGATAGCGGTTATCATACATGTCGACCAAGAAAGGCAAGTCGCCTGTTCGTATCCTCGTCCACAAGCCCGGCGGCAGCTGGCCCGCAAGATTTTGCGTCGTCGTGGCCCTCCGGATGGCGATTCGAGGATTTCCGCGGCCTGACAGCACGGAGGATGTGCTTGGGTTGTTCGTGGCCAGTACACACGATCCAATAATCGCGACGTGGACAATTATCATCCACTCGACTCCAAACGCGAGGGATATAGCCGCATCCTGATCGCTCGGCTTGTTTTTCAGGTCCAGAATGGTGTAGACAAAGTTCCCGATGTAAAATGCAACCGGGGCGCCAACGATGGCTCCATATGGCATTTGGGAGTCGACGAGTCCGAGCAGACGAGCTCTCTTGGCTTCAGCGGTTACGCTGGTTCGTATTGCTTGTTGAATATCTGCCAAAGGGTCAATCTGCGCAGATCTGTGGAGGTTGCCGGCCACAACCGTAAGAAGCAGTTCGACCACGGTCGCTTCGTCGAAATTCTGTCCGGGGTCGCTGTCCAGAACAGCCAGAATTTTCAAATCCAGCACGGCTTCGTACACGCCGCTCAGCATCATAGGTCCCGCCATCATCAGAATGGCAGCAATCCAGAAAACGTTATCTGCTACCACGAGGAAGAGCCGTATCGGACCTTTGAAGGGGGTACTGATGAATGTAAGCCATCTCTTCGCCGTTTGACCACGGCCTGGTGTGGTCGCGATTTGGCTTTTGAAGCCAAGCTTCAGCCTCCTGGGTATAGTCGTGCTGAAGATCACGGCGGGCAGGATGAACTGGACAATTGGTGCAGCCCACGCGCTAGGCTTCGCAAATTGAGAAATCCCAGGTCCGTCGCATTTGGCTTTGCAGAATGTGTACGGGACATAGACGCTTGGCGCGGCGGGAATTGATGCATTGAACTCTTGTCCGCAGATCGCTGTCTGATTCGGTTTCAATGTTGGCGTCAGCATACCCATAGCAGCTGCTGAAGAACAACATTTGGCATCATCATATCTCGCAAAGACATGGCGCACGAACAGAGAGCAAAAGGAGAAGAGAAAAACATGAAAGTTTGAGGCTGTCAAGAGCATCGTTGAGAGCGAAGAGAGAGGGTTGTAACTGAACAGGAGTCAGGGCCTGGGTAGACCCTCCTCATTATCGAGGGTTTTGTACTTCTGATATGTGCGCGAGGACGACGAGAACACATCTCAGGGGGACAGGAGGCAACCAAAAGGCTCCCGCGATGCGGTGAATCGTGAAACAATTCGATGCACCTCTAGCGGAGATGGCTGCCAACGGCAATCTCGATAGGCGCTGTCGCTTGCTCTAGGTCGATCGCAATACGATGTCAGGTCGCCTCGCATACGGTGTGCAAGTGCCACGGCCTTGGGAGCTTCGGTCAAGCCATGTTGTTATGCGGTAGTCCATGTGATAATCAAAATCCTGAACATTGTTTACTCTGAGCAAGCACAAAATTATCAAAGTCAGCAAATCAGTCAAGTAGGATCACAGGAGGATCCCTAGAGCATGGTCGAGGAAAATAACCAGGTGCGGCGATATGGGATCAGGCTGAGATTGACCAGTGACCAGGGTCATCCCTGTCCCCGCCGAGGGATGCAGTCGTGTTGCCACACAGAAAGCTGCCACCGAAACTCGAAACGGGCCATCATAGATGAGATCGGGTAAAGCTGCCACGAGGCTCGGTGTGCGCAGGGGCGGTCGCATATATGACAGAGGTGCCCAAACGGGAGCCTCACTGGTACGGGAGAGAGCAGAGCCGTGAAGGTGAAGAGAGGGAGGCCACAGAGCACGGCAGGGAGCGAGCCAGAGCCGTGAGAGAGTAGAAGGGAGTGGAACGGGAGACAGAAAGAGAGGAAGGGGACAGAAGGGAGTGGAAGAGGGAGTCAGTCGACCAAGTAATCGCCTGCAGAAGAGCTCAGAGGGTATTTATCGGTCAGCAAAAGAGCCCTCAATGAAGACAGTTCGGGGAGAGTATATATATATACCGACCAGATACGACTCGAGATCGCAATTCTAACACTGGTTGGCGCAACCCGCTGCCGTTTAACGGGCTTCAAGTAGATCACAAGTAAGGCATCGTGAGGACGATTGGAAGGGCTTTCTTATTCGCTGTTCGCAACAAGTTTAGGTCGGTCGAGATCGAGGTTCAAGCAACGTAAAAGATCGCTTCATCAAAGGTGCAGGTTGCGGAAAAGCGCAGCTCCCGAGAGTTGAATTTGAATTACCAGTGTGCCGTGGACGCGCCTTTTGATAACCTCTATGCAACCCCTAAGTACTGATTGCCACCGCCACTCCTTCACAAGCTGGCAAATGCAGGGTTCCACTTCCCGAAAGGGCAGGCCAGGTCTTCCCTTTCAGTGAGGCCGGGAGGCCTAGTTGCGCTTCATCACCGATCATGCGATTCCTTGTCCGAATGTGGCGTCTCTGAAACCATCCGTTCCAACTCTGTCCAGTTCGGAATCAAATGTCGCTGGGCGACCCAGTCGCCGGAATAAAGAAATCCTGCTTTCGCACTCTGAAGAACCAACTCGCCCTCGCGCCGTTTGACCCACGTTACGGCTAGCTGAAGAACTACTTCCATGATATGTCTGTATTGCGGATTCAGCGGTCGGAACAGGTCCCCGTCACATCTCGATGCAGACGCACCAACAAACACCAGCCACAGTAGCAAATCGTGTCGTAGGTGCCAGGCTGCATCTCTGATTGTGTCTTGGAGTACATGTGCTAGCTTTTCCGAGAGGCGGACGGGGACATGGGGCGCATGTGCACAGGCTGTTTTGGAACATAAATGACAGACAATGTACGCTGCTAGTCGACAGCATTCAGACACCGGCCCCAGGCTCTCACAGGCTTGCTGCAAAACAACAAGACGAGAGACAATGGACGCCCGGATGTCATCGAGTGCCACGGACTCGAGCGAGTTCATGGCCACTATTTTCTGTAGCCCAGTGATCTCCTTGAGGCAGGAGAGAAGGTCATGGTGTATCACCTCTTCATGGGAGACGAAGCCAAAAGGCAAGTCCTGTTGAACCGTGTAAGTGCGGTCCAGGCTTTGGTTGAACAGACTTGGAAAGTCTACCTCGGAAAATCTCCGTAGTGCTCCAAAGATGCCAGCACCGGTGAGGTCGTGCCTGCAGAAAGCGTCAGCTATGACAATTGTGGAGATTTGCAACACGGACAACTCACCAAAAAACTGCTCGGAGAACATCTGAAGGGAGCGCAGATCCGCTGGTCCTCCACACTTGCATGAGGTGGTAGAGCCCTTCCGAGTGAGCTGCATATTCGGTATATTCACCTGAACGAGACTTCTCTGATTAGCCAATTCACACAAGGATAGTCATTTCACTCACAGCAGCATGACAAAGCATCAATATAGCGCAGATAGAAAGGGCCCGTAAGGTAGTATTGTCCTGAGGCAAGGCTTGGTGAAGGCACTCGATGGCACGACCTTTGAGGTGGAGACTCTCATTGGAACATCTCCAGGCGTTGGATGAGAGGACCATAGAATACACAAGAGCGAACAGGAACGCCGGATTCCCGAGGAGGTCAGGGAAAGTAGACAAGCAGGCCACGTCACATTCGTCATGCTCCGCCGTGATCAGAGGGTCAAGGGCCATTTGAAAGGCATCTAGGGAACATCAGCCTGGGATATCGATCCTTAGTCAAAGGGGTGGACTCACAGCTAGTCAGCAACTGATCCACCCGGCCTTCATCTAGCCCTGTAACGGCCGAGATGTTTGACGTGTAAGGATGCAGACCAGGCGTAGTAGATGCGGGGCGGTTTCGCTCTCTAGATACTGAGTGTGAGCTGTCTGAAAGTGGGAAGGAGCTCCGTGAAGATGCTGTTACAGACTGTTCCGGCCTCGTGTTGAAATCCAACTGAGGAACGGCATGCTGTATGGGAGCCTCATCACCAAGCTCCGAGGGACCTTGCGAAGTAGTAGTCGGCTCCGGGCGTGAGGCAAATCTTCGTTTTCCAGGCCTGATTTCTCCGTTCTCCGAGAAGTCATCGATGGACAAGGATCTGAAGTTCTCCATTCGTTGAGTTGTTCGCTGCTGCGATCTCTCGAGGTTGACTTGCCGCACATGCGACCGTAGCGCGCGGACTTGCGTGGGGTCCAGAGGCGTTCCGGGCTCATTCTCGTGAACGAAATGGATCTTAGGGCTCTTCGGCATCTGCTCAGAGTAAAAGCCCTTAGTCTGGTGATGCGGAATATGATGAGGGAGGTCGGTAAGGTATTTGATGGTCGAGGCAATGCTTGTGTAAGACCGATAAATCGGTTATCGAGCAGCGATGGCCGGGGATACAGCAGGAAAAGCAATGCTTGGTGATATTTGGGCAAATATTCACGGCCAATCGCCACCAATCCAGCATAGACACTCAGTCAAACGGTATACAACTCGTCTGGTCCCATAAAGGACCCGCCGGCTTCGCGACAGCTAGCCGAGTTCAGTTCTCAACCACGCTTTAGTCGTGTAGTATGGGTTTCGAGAAGACTCGGATGTTGCTATGCTCTAATTCGATATCCCCTTGATGGTTTGAACTTTTCAAACATTAGGTAAAAGATGACATACCAAGCTGACTTTGGCTTGCGTGAGGTGCTACATATATCAGTGTGAAGACGCTGCTCGTACTCTTAGGCTCACGACTAAGGGCAACATTTTTCATAGCCCGCGGTCACAATGCCATGAACTACAATCATGTAGCATTTCGGTAACGTCTGATACTAGGGCTCCTAGCCGCTGCGTACGGCACGACGGAGCCCGACTTTGGCCGCAGCGAGCGAGGCATTAACGAGTTGGCTGTTCGTTAGACTGGTTCTTCATCGGCTGATGGCGTCTCCAGAGATGCTTCCACTCTACCTTTTTCCGTGGAATGAGCAAAGGCAAAGCACCAAGGCATAGCAGTCGCCATCTGGATGTCCAGTGCCAAGTAACAAAGCTTGAACAGCGAGGCTCAATCTGCTTCGCTAGCGTATTGAGGCTGCCGTGAGAGAGCGAGAATGATAAAATAGCGCAGACCTGGCGGTTTGAGCGGCATGTTGCAATTCAGGAGAGACCGTGCTGTGTTTGGCAGATCTACGGCGTCACTGATATACGTGAATATCTATTTCGTGCCGTTCGCACGCGGATGATTATGCGATCTGGCGACTGGGACGAGACGATCAGACGCCGATGCAAACACCAGACGCCGTTGCCATCGCCCGAGTCGCGAGCAGCCGCTGCCCTAACGCGGAGGTGACATATCATTTAGTCAGCCAGCTTCCCGCTAACCCAAAACAGACAAACCTCAATCGCGCTAAGATTTATAGTGTCTGGGCATCTTCAACCACTGACATCTGTGATCTTGGACGTTGGGCAAGCTGCGAACAGCGATAGACAGCCAGACCCTCGTACTTGTGCGAGACGACACCTCCAGGGCTGCGAGTAATTTCGAATGCACATGCCACATCGGAGCTCGCCACAATGATACTCAGGTTACGCTAACATCGACCTCCAGCCAGCATGCCGCCACCTGGCTTCTCCCCGATCCCCCAACTGCCAGGTCGAGATTCTCTGGAACTTGCCTCTCTGGCAGATTCTGAACCTGATGACCTGCCTGCCTCCGAGTCCTCCTCGCGCTCAGGCCTTTCCTCGTCGCGCCGGCTGTCGCTCGAGAACGAAGACCCGCTGGATGATGCGAATCCGGCCGGCCGAAATGCATCCCGAGGTGGACGTTCATACTCGGTTTCCTCTGCTTTCGATTTCACGCCTGCACTGTTCCCGCTCTCTTCAACGGCCGGAGGATATACAGCATTGGGCAATCAATCAGTCCTGTCGCTGACCACTCGGCGTGAGGCGCTCCAAAATCTCGAGAAGAACAAGACCTTGACATTCTTGAACGGTCTGTCTTTGGTAGTAGGGTTGATCATTGGTTCAGGAATCTTTTCGTCGCCGGCACAAGTCAATTCCCATGCAGGTTCGCCGGGGGCATCGCTGATAGTATGGACGATGTCTGGTCTGCTGGCATGGACCGGCGCGTCGTCATATGCAGAGCTCGGCGGAGCCATCCCTTTGAACGGCGGCGCTCAGGTTTACCTGGCCAAAATTTTTGGTGAAGTCTTCGGGTTTCTCTTTACCTGGTCAGCGATACTGGTCCTCAAGCCTGGCGGGGCCGCCATCATCGCGATTATCCTAGGAGAGTATGTCGTTCGAGCCGCGATTGGTGCCGACGTTGAGGATGTCAACCCGTGGATCAACAAAGTACCAGCGCTCCTCGCGCTCATGCTCGTCACGCTGTTCAACTGCGTCTCGACGAGATTCGCTGCCAGACTAGGAGATCTCTTCCTGTTTCTCAAGTTCATCGCGCTCGCTGCAGTGACGGTGATCGGGATCATTGTGGCAGTCACGGGGCTCTCGTTCAACGGCCCCGCCAACAAGGACTGGCGCACGCATTCCTGGTTCGAGGGCTCCTCCACCGACATTTCCGACTGGGCAGTTGCACTGTACGCCGGACTCTGGGCCTTTGACGGGTGGGACAATACAAACTATGTGACGGGCGAATTCAAGAACCCCTCGCGCGATCTCCCGCGTGTGCTGCACACGGCCATGCCCGCGGTGATCGCGTGCTACCTACTGGCCAACATAGCCTACATCTTCGTCCTGCCCCTCGAAACCATCAACAAATCCAATACCGTCGCCGTGCAGTTCGGGAGCAAGGTCTTCGGTCCGATCGGCGGGCTCGTCCTCGCGCTCATCGTGTCGGCGTCATGCTTTGGCGCCCTTAACGCCACAACCTTCACGTCGGGCCGGCTCGTCTACGTCGCAGGACGCGAAGGCTACATCCCCTCCGTGTTTGGGAAGATTGGCTATGGCTTCGGCTCCGGCTCGTCGGCGAGCCAAGAAACACCCAGCTCCAGACCTCTGAACAAACTGCGCCGCCGGTCCTGGTTCAGCAAATTCCTCTCCCGGATATTCGGTGACGAGTCCATCGGTCTGGGCTACACGCCCGTCAACGCCATGCTGCTCAACATGGCGCTGTGCATGGTGTACGTGTGCCTAGGCGAGTTCAAGACGCTGATCACCTTCTACGGCGTTGCCGGCTACACATTCTACTTCCTCACCGTGCTGGGACTGATTGTGCTGCGCATCCGAGAGCCCCATCTGGAACGACCGTATCGGACCTGGCTCGCGACCCCCATCGTCTTCTGCTGCGTGAGCCTGTTCCTGGTGAGCCGCGCCGTGATCGCGCAGCCTCTGCAGACCGTCATCGTCGTGGTGTTCGTCGCGAGTGGCATCCCAGTCTACTATTGGCGCGTGGCCGGCAGGGACAACAACGGTGCCTCGGGGAAGACGGAATCCAGGTTCTGGCGGAGATAGAGCTATACACACGGTCATGAACGGGCGTTCCGAACCAGTCAACCTTGAAACTTTATGCATGCTCTTGGCGCTGCCTCTCGTATGGCTCATGCCATCATGCAATTTGCCTACGCTGTTGGGATTTGACACTGCATTATTGGATTTGCCTTGGTCCGTGTATTTTGTATACATCACTGCTGGGTTGTCATAGCGTACGGAAAGAGCTCTTGTTATGCCAATATAGTTCATATCATATCCTAAAGTAAGTGCTTTGGGCACGTGAATCCTCTATCAAGTTCCCGTTTCTCTCCCAAGGTACCTTGCCGCTCGTACAGAACTGAATTCGTATTCGGGACTGACTATGACAGCCACTGCGTCTGGGGCAATATGCGGCCCCCTGGAAAACTAGATGTAGTGCGCCGGTCACATCACAGCGAAGGCGGATATCGCGCTTGATCAGAGCTCGTCCCTGTTCTTTTGAGAAAAGCCTGTCGTGGATTGCGATCGGTAAGCCTAGATTGACCCGCCTTCCTCGCCGTGTGTCGTGTTTTGTGCACTGTCTTTGCCGACGACGACGCCGCCGCTTGCCCGGATTCTCGAGGGACATCATCCTTGGCCTTGGTCCATAACGGTGAGAACAACACCGATCTGGGTGGTGACTTGGTTCCAGCCGAGTCAGGAGAAGCAGCGACCTCTGCTTTCGCCTCGCGGGGGACTTTAGACTTCAAGGTTGTTCGTCGTTTAGGCGACTGGGTCGTTGCGGTGGCAAAACTGCTGAATCGTGTTGGCGGTCCCGTCTCAGGCATCAGTGGGATCCTCATCTTGCGCTCTTTAGGGGAGGTAGGTGCCGCTGACTGCGTACTTGTTGTTCCAGAAGTAAGGCCGCCTGCCGTCCTCTTTTTCGGCGAATCCTTCATGTCATCCAAGTTTCTGCGTGCGACGTTCTGCGTTCGTTTGGTTCTTTTCTTCTTCAAGGCCATTGACACGGGCAGGTTTGCAGGTGAAACCTCGTGTGGTGCGGCCTGTGTCTGAGACGTGGTTCCAGGTAGAATGGGCTCCTCGTTCAGAGTCTCATCTATCTTCGCTTCCGTGTCTACTGACAGACTTCCAACTTCCCCTCTTCGTCTCCGAGAGGATTTCTTCTGGGCCAGACTTCTGACCCTCCCTACAACTTCAATCTCGGTGCTTGGCGCAGAGCTGAAGCCTCTCAAATCGGTGAGGTAGGTCCGATCAATATCAAGAAGGGGTAGCTGATATCGTTCAGCTGCGGCAAGGATTCTCGAGACAACATCTTCGACTTCAAGATACCTGGCGATTGTCTCTAGGTTCTCATGGAATGTGGTGAAAAGCACGTACGCATGCAGATCACAGTCTTTCTCAACGTAGGTCTGTCTGACTGAGGCTGGAAGGCTTTTGGCCAGCCATGGCAGATCTTTCGTGTGGAGATCGTTCTCATACATCGTCTTTGCCATTGCCCTTCCTAGGCTTAGCAGAGTTCTTTTACGTTCCACATATGGTAGGCTCAGCTCCCTGTGCATGGTACGCACAGGCGGACGAGTGTCAGCGTATATTAGGACGGGCCCGAGATCAAGGGATAGGCTTTGCCCTCCGTTCTCTGTGGATGATACTACACCAGTGTGTCTGGCTTTACAGGCAGAATCATACATCCTCAAGGCCGCGAAGCCAGTCGAAGCCAGATCTAGCTTTGTCAGTCTGAACAGAAGCAACGCATCGGAGGAGCAAACACTTACTGTGAAAGAAGCGGGATGGATTCGGGGGCGCAGCTCCTTGATCCTTCGCGAAGTCTGACTTCTGAGAATAAGCGCCTGAACTCTTACCGGCCAATGAGGGATCGATAGGTGGCGGTGATCTTCCAATGTGGTTTGGAGATTGGAGCCGGAGATCATGGTATCGGGTGAGCCTGTGAAAGAGATATTCTGAAAGGAGTCGTTTCTGGTGCTCGATGTTGAAGCCAACTTTCAGTATAGATTCATTGTCAAGAATCGGCTCGAATAAGCCTGCCCAGATGACTTCTATGGGACCCAGATACGCAATGTCAAAGATTGCCACTTCATTCTTAGTCGTAATGACCACAAAATCAAATGGCAGGCGGCCTGAAGAGGATAAGGCGCGGAGAGCACCATAAGTTGATGACACAGGTCTCGCTTCGGATGCATCCTTCATGATCAGGTCAAGAGCAACGACTCTGTTCTTCGAAAGATCTCGAACGACCGTTGATGCCCTCGCAAGCGAGGTGATATACTTGACAGGAACAGGCGACCCTTGAGGGTAGAGATACCCGGAAGGTTGGAATCGATGATCTATGAACCCAACGACAGGTACATGGCTCACCGCCGGCCCTTGGTCTACCGAATCGAGATCCTCAGGCACTCGCATCAAGCTGCGACTGACTGGTCGCGGGACAAGGCCAAGGCATAGATTTGCAACAGTTTTCCAATGAACGGCAGCTTCCAAGTCACGCCAAAATCCGCTCCTCACGGTGTGTGTGGCTTTCCAGAACCACTCACGGTTTTCAAGAAAACGACTCAGAGCTGGCCGTTGTTCCACTTCGTTCTCAAATTGTGGATTGAACTTCCTGAATGTTTCCATGTCGGCTTTGAAGTCATTAAGGAGTTTGAGTATATCATTAAATCTGAATAGGCATACCGTGAACGGTCCGAAGTCCGACACTTGTGCGAGCTGGAGAGGGAGGTCAAGGGAGTTCGAGTTGAGGACAAACAACTTAAAGCCGCGGAGATGGCTCCAATAGTATTCTTTCAAAGTTGAAGCTCCTCGAGCAATTTTTGTTATGAGGAGCCACAGGCGGATGTCAGACCATCTCCGGTACACCTTTCGACTAGTTTTGACAGAAAATGACGAATGTACCCAGAAACCAAAATTCCGTGCCTCGTGGAAAATCGCACTCGAGGAACTGGCAATCTGGTTTAGGGTAATGTAAAACTTGAGGTCGTGGAAGAGATGTTGGAAGAGTTCTGGGTGGCGTGCATAGCTAAGGCGGCTTCTCCTGATTTTCCGGAGAATGTGGACTTCCAAAGAAATCGCTCCTGCATTGATGTCCAGCTTGGGCCGCAGGTCGATCATTTCGGTCAGAGCATGCTTGATCCTTGGAGTCTTCCCTCCCATGGGGCTATATTCCCTCCAGAACCGCACGTCTTCATTGCTTTCCCACAAGCCCCGGTTTTGCAGTCCCTCACAGATCCCTATCAGGTCGCTTGCGGAAATACTCATGCGAGTCAAATCGCTGAACAGATGTCCAGACTCTTGCAACAAAACATCCACGGAATCTTCGCGGTGCATATTCTCCAGCTGTGCAACAGTCTCTTCCATGTCAGCCACCAATTGGCGTCTATAGGCCCGCATGTTTTCGTATTCGCTGGCCAGGTCTCGTCCAATCGTATCGACGCCGTAACATATGCTGTTCATGTGGGTTTCTAGTGGGAGCACCAGATCCTTCGCCCTCGTAACAGCCAGGTCTTGTATGTATTGCTGTCGCGCATCTCTCCTCGCCAGGTGTAACTCTTTGCCAATGACATCGTTATCTTTCCATGCAGTAAGCTCTTGGTCGAAACGATCCAGCCTTAGTATAGCCTGTGCTATACGATCTTGCAATTGTGAGAAGGCTTCTTCTAGGTCCTTTTGCCGTCGCATCTCCTGGGAGGGATTGTGAGGAGCCGACCGCTTATCGTCACCTGAAATCCCTGCCTTCCTTCGATTCCCGAGCGCGGGAGGTCCCCTTGAAACTCCGATAAGAGAAGGTGCAATAGGTGCTGGAGGAAGGGATACATTGCCTGCAGAAGGGGGCGGAGGAGGAAGAGGAGGAGACCTGTTCGCAAGTTTGGCAGTCGAACTGTGGACTTTGTGGCCTTGTGAGACAGCTAGAGGTGCAATGGTGTGAAAATCATGCCGATACGGGTAGCCTTGAATATACACTTGACGGTCAGGCCTTGACTTAGGAGCATACACTTTCGGCACAATATTCAGTGTACTTGGTCGGGTCATGTTGTTTCGCGCCTTTCGAGTCCCATTGGATGGGTCCTGGGAGGACACCCCAGCATGTGCCAAACGCTTTGAGCAGCATAATGAGGGTGACGAGGGGTATTTCACATATCGCAATGCCTGGCTCAATGAAATGCGTTTCTGGCAACAGCACGTATAAAATGTCAACGACTGGGCGAGTTGGTTGCAAGCATTTGAGCCATGAAGGACAAAAGCGTTGCCATTGTACATTGACAAAATGAATGCAGAGAACAGGCGTCAAACACCTTGCACTCACAGTCTATCAAGTAGTTCTCGTAAATTAAATATATTTCCACGAGTCCGAGTCATGAACGACACGATGATGCGCAGCATGACATATGGTGCAAAAGATCCGCAGTACAAAGACAATGCCTACGGTAGAGTACACGGACCTGCGCGATCCTGCTCGTCCTCCCTCTCAAGCACATCGTTATGGTAATGCGTACTAATCTAGACCTCCAGTGTCTTGCCTAGCTTCGAACTCTCTCTTGCAAGCTCTACGAGCCTGATGACCCCTACCGCCTGCTCAGGAGGCACAGGGATCTGGGCAGCATCTCCGTTCAAGGCAGCTGCCAGTCTCCGATAATACTCAACATACGTGAGCGGCTCCACGGTCGGCACGACCTGGCTTTCAATCTTGTCGTCTTTGCAGATGTTGAGCGTTCCGTATCTCGCTTCGGGCTCGTACCCGTAGCCTTTGTCTCCCGGGCCCAGGCCTTGCTTTCTCAACTGGTCTTCTTGTGGATCCAAGTGAAACTTTTTGAATGATCCGTTCACGCCTCGGACCCAGAAGCGTAGTTGTTGTACCTCAGGGCTTACTACCCCAGCTTTGACTGTGGCAAGCATGCCTGGGTAGTGCAATAGCACAGTGCAAGAGTCCTCCAGGCCAGTCGGGTTTTCTGCTCTCTGCGAGCCCACAAACCCAGTCACCCGTTCGGGCATACCAAATAGATGAACCACTTGATCCATCAGGTGAGTGCCTAGATCGTACACGGCGCTGTTACCAGGCGTCGGGTGAGCCTTCCACGTATTGGCCGGTGGGCCAGGACGATGTCGGTCAAAGTGAGATTCAAATTCGACGACCCTTCCCAGGCTACCGTCCTGGATGTACTTCTTGAGTGTCAAGAAATCAGAGTCCCATCGCCGGTTCTGATAAACTGTTACAAGTACGCCCTGTGCTTTTGCCGTGTTCACGAGTTCTTGTGCCTCAGCTGCCGTTGGAGTGAACGGCTTTTCCACCACGACTGCAACAGCCGATCAGTCGAGCGCGTACAGAGAGGGATAAAGGAGCTCACCATGTTTTTTTGCAAGCAGGGCAGCCTTCGCCATTTCTAGATGTAGCTCCGGGCTCGTAGTAACAATTACCACATGGACTTGGTCGTCCTTGTAGAGATCGTCCGCTGAATGATATAGCTTGATACCCGGATGGTCTTTGCTTGCATCATCGTTGGGCTTAGGGCTTCTCTGAACGATCGCATACAAATTGAAATCGGAGACTGCCTTGATGAAAGGAATATGGAACGTCTTTGCGCTCAGTCCATAGCCGATTATGCCCACGTTGTACTTGCTGCCGGCCATTGCAAAGATGTTGTGGAGGAATCTGGATTGGTGTTTTTGGCCTCTGCGGCGGTGAAGTCTGCTGCTCTGGAGTTTTCGGGGGTTTTGATTATTCCAGTCTTCCTAGAGCGTGATAATTGTAACAATTATAAGTCTTGTTCTCGCAGGCTCTCGAATGCAAATTTGTTGGCCTGCATGGGTGAGGTGACAACTGTTAATATTTCCGTTTTTGGCAGATCCCGACAGGTGCCGCAATCCACATGCCTCTCCCAACAGTGGCGACAAATGGCACATGCATCAATAAGAACGGGAGGACCCTTGTTACGCTTACTCAAAAGAACTCACAGCGTGCTGGAAATCGCTCTGTCAAAGAAGCGTGGCTGACCACCTGAACGTTAACTACGTTATCGTTTATGTAGTCGGAATAGCCAACCCAAAGCCAACGAAGGGACTTGAGTTACGTCTGTATACTTTTCAACTCAGGGCCAAAGACGTCGCCGTCCTTCTCCAGTCGCTCTCTCTCCAGCTTACGCTTCTTCATCGCTTTCTCTGTGTCGCTGCCCTCTCCTTCTCTCTTCTCGGCGGCCTTTGCCCTTGCAACAGCTACAATATCGAGCTTTTCTGGATCCTGGCAGACCGTCAACTTCTTTCCAATCCGTCTCATTTCCTTCCTCTGGGTAGCGTCATCGTTTGGAGATCGATATGATTCAAGTAGAGCAGCGCATTCAACAATTGTTGACACAATCTTTTCTTTGATGGCAGTCACATGAGCATTTGCCTGCAACTGGGACAATTTCTGTTCGAGATAGATCTCAACGAGTTCCTTGTCTGCTACCATCATAGCACCCAGCCAAATCTGACTGGGGGTGTAAAGAAAGTAGGCATCAGTCAATTGAGCAGCTGTAGCCAGGAGTTTCTTGGCCTGGTCGGCAGCTTGTCCTATCCTCTTTGCTGATCCGGAGGATGTCGATATGTTGCCTAGCTGGCCTTCTTCGGCCATTACGTTCATCTCAATGTGCCCTCCAGCCAAACCTTTCATGGGATGGCGCACATCCAGTGTGAAGCGGAGTCCCTGTAGCAGTAGAAACTCAGGGGCCTTGACGTTGTCCTCTGTCATTTCTTCGAGCTCTGCCACGAATTTTGACAGTGAAATGTAGAAGTGGTCAGCCTTTGTAGCGAGATAGAGCGCACATGCGATGATTTGTTTGGGGTGATAAGTCATTGGCGAATTGGTGAGGTAAAATCGCCGAAGATACTGAATTGCGGTAGCCTACGTATGTCAAAGGTCAGATTCGTGACGACGGCATGGCCCAAAAGCCCAGCATTAAGAGACATACCACGACGTGTGAGGGTATGCGTGGATTCATGGCCTCTCCCATATCCTGCATCTTTGAACATCCCCATTCCACTATCTTGAGCTCCTCGTCGATTGTCAAGGTTTGGATGTCCACGGCAGTCTCGCCCTGTCCTTGATTTTCGATGGACTCATTTGACCCATTTTGAGATGCTTTGGCAGCCTGTGCCCTTCGGAATGCAGCTTTTACATGCTCTGAGGCGATATTGTTAGTGTTCTGTCGTATTTGAGTCAAGCTGTTCTTCGTGTAGGACCAGAGGCGATACTGGGACGACGATCTGTACCCGTCGTCTTCGATCATGACGAGAACGAGCCAAGCATGGCAAACGGTCTAGAAACGGTCGAAAGCCACCTTGAAAGTTGCCTTGAGTTGAGTTTTGCTGCGTATTGTGAATTCAATATGCTTTAGAGGGAAATGCCTCCAAACAAATCCTCCGAAAATGAGATGCTGATCGTGCAAGCAGCACAAGCGCCCGAGGCCGATACTCGACTGTACTAATAAATATTCCGCCCCCCACACCCAACTCCAGCCGGATTGTATCTCCCCTTACTTGTTTGTGCCTCGAGCGCAACTCACGGATCTACGACGCTTGTTCAAGGAAAACAGAGCAGGCCAAACTGAGAATGCTCATTGTCTCGTATTGTCATAAACCGTCATGATATACAGCCATGATGAAATGTGCAGTTGCCCCAACCCTATGAACACCAGCGCTTATGCAGCAAAGCCTCGATCTCACATCGCCATGCTCAAGGTTCACCAAGCAGTCTGGCGGTTATATCGCCCATATATGCCTCCTCCAGTTCATAGTCCTGTCCCCCGTTTCGGTCGATACCCACGTAGTTGAACGCCTCTACAACTCGTTCAACATCAAAGCCCATGTGCACGAATCGGTCGATGAGCTCTTTGTTGTATCCATCATACACGGCTATGTTTGCTGCTGCCTCACGCTCTTTGCTCGCCTTCTCGGCTTCCTCGATCGACTCTGCGGTTGAACCGCCACTGCTTTCCCCAATCAAGGATTTTGGTGCTCCGGCATACTTCACTGCCCATTCCTTGGCTTGCCTCTCAAATTCCTTGGGATTCTTAATCAACTGTTGGGCAACGACTGCATCTTGCGGATCCTTGGGCTCTGGCGAACTGAGGAGAGACTGGAGAGATATCATGGCCGATTTGATGGTCAAGACAGGGGACCAGCCTGTGCTGAGGGTATCGAGACAAATGGCGCCCTTTAGTCATGTTAGTTGTCTGTTAGGCCAGTTTTCTCAACTTTGTCGGCCCTTACCGTTTGACTAGAAATGTTTGGATGCCATATCTTTGTGATAAATTTCATCACAGGTGGCTTGAAAGGGTATTCATTGGGAATCTTGATAGAAACCTCATAGTTGCCACCTTCGTAGGGGGTCCCTGACGGGCCTTTGAAGGAGCCTCTAAGATCTGTGATGCTGTCTCCCACGGTCTCGGCAAAGATATTGGACGCAGAATCGGCTCGGATATCTGCCAGATCTTTCGCAATCCGTCTGGCTTTGTGGCCTGCCATTGTCTGGGCACCTTGACGCACGGGGAAGGGGCTGCAGAGCAATTATCGTCGTCGATGCCAGCCGAATAAGAAAGAGGACTCAGTGGAGGACGACTGGTTGTCGGAACGGGTTATTAGCTTGGACGAATGTCTGCGATAGTCTTCATTCAAAGGACAAATGGTGTTAGCAAGGAGAGTAAACCGCTGATTCAAAGAATCGCATCGAAGAGGATGGGTCGCAGGTAGCCAGGCGGGCAGTTTGCCTGGGATTGGCAACTAGGCTGTGGGATGCCAGTCGTTGAAACCAAAACTTTGGTCCCTCGAAGGAGGGTATTGTCAAGTCGCACAACTCGTGGAAAAGCTTGCCTCTTCTGTCGCCTTCTGATTGCCAGCCTCACTTTGTCAAATGTTTAATGCGTGAACATCACCGTGGAATCCCGTTGGAGAACGCTCACTCGCCTTGGGGGAACCGGCCGAGACTGGTTTAGTTAAAGCGGCAGCCGAACCACTAGACTAGGCATGCTTGCTGGCGTAACTGCGCATCACTCGCCTGCGTAGCCATTCGTTCCGCGAACAACAACCTGCTTCCTCACTTCCATCCTTCCATCTGTTGCCGTTTGATATTTCCATCAACACCTGGTCTCTTGTTCGTCATGGTAAGGCTTGCATCTTTCAGTCTGATGTGGCGTGTCTGACAAGCGATAGGGAAACCAACAATCACAAATGGGAGGCGGCCCTCCTGGGCAGGGCGGCAAAGATGACAAGGACAAGAAGGTACGTGATATCGTGACCTTGTGTCGACTCTCCTAACTGTCTCTTAGAAGGAAAAGCCAAAGTACGAACCTCCTCCACAGCCAACCACCCGCATTGGACGCAAGAAGCGCAAGCAAGCCGGACCAAATGCCGCTGCAAAGCTGCCCACAATCTATCCTACTGCACGATGCAAGTTACGGTACCTGAGGATGCAGAGAGTGCATGATCATCTGCTTCTGGAGGAGGAATATGTTGAGAACCAGGAACGCATACGGAAGACCAAAGCGGCGCAGACACAAGCACCATCCGCCGCCACAGAAGGCGCAGAGCTCGACCGGAATGCCGATGAGAGAAGTCGGGTTGATGATATGCGCGGCAGCCCTATGGGCGTGGGCAATCTGGAGGAGCTTATTGATGATGACCACGCCATTGTCTCCAGCGCTACTGGCCCCGAATACTACGTTTCCATCATGTCCTTTGTCGACAAGGACCTCCTCGAACCCGGTGCTTCGATCCTCTTACATCATAAGTCCGTGTCAGTCGTTGGTGTGCTGACGGATGATGCCGATCCTCTGGTTTCCGTCATGAAGCTGGATAAAGCTCCTACGGAATCATATGCAGATATCGGTGGTCTGGAGTCCCAGATTCAAGAAGTCCGAGAGGCAGTGGAGTTGCCTTTGCTCCATCCGGAGTTGTACGAAGAGATGGGTATCAAGCCTCCGAAGGGTGTCATTCTCTACGGTGCACCAGGAACAGGGAAGACATTGCTTGCAAAGGCCGTTGCCAATCAGACATCAGCTACTTTCCTGCGCATCGTAGGATCCGAACTGATCCAGAAATATCTGGGTGACGGACCACGATTGGTTCGACAACTGTTCCAAGTTGCCGCGGAGAACGCGCCCAGTATTGTCTTCATCGACGAGATCGACGCCATCGGCACCAAGCGATACGAGTCGACCTCTGGTGGTGAACGTGAAATCCAACGGACCATGCTTGAACTCTTGAACCAGCTTGACGGGTTCGACGATCGAGGAGATGTCAAGGTCATCATGGCGACCAACAAGATTGAGACTTTGGACCCTGCACTGATCCGACCGGGGCGTATCGATCGTAAGATCCTCTTTGAGAACCCGGACCAGAACACCAAGAAGAAGATCTTCACGCTGCACACCAGTAAAATGAGCCTGGCCGAGGATGTGGACCTTGACGAGTTCATTGCGCAAAAGGACGATCTGAGTGGTGCTGATATCAAGGCGATATGCTCCGAGGCTGGGCTGCGAGCACTCCGCGAACGACGCATGCGCGTCAACATGGCCGACTTCCGAAGTGCGAGGGAGAGCGTCATGAAGACCAAGAGCGAGGGCGAGCCGGAGGGTCTGTACTTGTAAAATTGGTGGTGCCTTGGGGTATGCAATCCCTGTCTATAGAGTCGATGGGACTTGCCTTGCACTCTGCGTTATCGATGGGAATTAGCATGTATTTTACATAGAGAGAGAGAGAGAGAGGGAAAGAGGGGATCCATTCAAGGTTAATGGTTCCAGCGGAATACAGAATATGGGTCTATCACTTTTGGATTTTGAATTCCGGGCCTCTGCGAAGTGACCGTGATCCGTGATCGAGGAGTGTGGTGAGTTACCACCTGTGGTGCGGAATACGACTCGTGTCTCTCTGGCCCTGTTGACGGTACTGTACCAAGGCACCCTGTGCCCTGTGCCTTCTGAGAACCACGCCGGACTCAATGACATCTCTAGGTACCTACCAAACAGAAAGACAAAGCACATAAAAGAGGGGAGGGGGGGTCGGCGGAGGAATCCGTCTCGACGCTGAAGGTGCGGCTAGTCAAAGTGGTAAGAAACTTGGGAATAAGTGCATGCGTGCGTGTCCCCCGTCCGTTCTCAATATGGGTGCCATCAATTCATTCATTTCACTCATTTCATATACCTATTTCCCTCATGTAGGTAGATAGTTTTTCTAAGGTCTCGCGAAAAGGGGGTGGACGGGGGTGTGCTTTCTGGTTCTATTCTCTCTCTCTCTCGCTGATCCCAGAATCCTGGTTTTCCTTCGTTCCAGGTGCCACCCCCCCCAAAAAGACAGACAGAGGTATCATAACGACGGAGTACTTGTGTCTTCATTCTTTCATTCCGGTTCTCGCGTGCCCCGCCCCCGGATCGCCTCCAGTAGATACCCAGGTAGGTACCTAGGTACGCAGGTATCAAGCATTCGCCCGAGTCAAATCCTTTCCCTTGTCATTCTCCTCGCACCCAGAGATTGGCGCCCGTATTTCATGAGCAACGCGGGAGAAGAAGGAGAAAAGAAAAGTAACAAATCTTTACTTGACTCAAGTGCACGTTCGACTCTTTTCTTTTTAAAGCAAAAAAACAAAGACAAAAACCAACCAACGCCCCTTGCGCACAGTCACAGTCGCAATCGTGATCAATCCGTACCAGAGCCCTTGTCGCAACCGATTCTGCCCAAGAGCTCTTTTCTATCGCTGCTCCCAGCCAGTAAATTCACGCTGGACGAATGGCCGGATTCGTGCTTTGCTTTTCTGCGACCGCCGGAAACGGTTTCGGAGCTCGTTCTGCGTGCAGGAGACGTGTGCCCCTTTGATTTTGACTTGGGTTTGGAATGGCTGTGATTGGAGAGCGAGAAGTTCGGGTCGGTGCTCAACACCTCGGTCTCGAGAAATGGTCGTGGCTCGTGACACAGTTGGATCTGGCCGATACCACCCTGGTTCGCGAACCTCTTCTCGTCCTCGAAGTCCTGATCGTCATCTTCGCCCTCGTCTTCCTCGTCGGACCTGTTATCCTCTGCGCCCTGGCCAGTGATGACCTTGTAGGCCACTTTGCATATCAACGAGAACCAGAAGAGCATGATGCCCTGCAAAGCGAGCAGCATGCCCAAAAATGTCCACTTGATGTTGTTGTTCCAACAAACCAGTCCCACTGGATCGCGGAATGGTTGTGTCAAGTGGTCCCAGTCGTTCGGCGTGGGAAACGGTCCCTGAAGATGCTCTACGCTGCCCTTGTAGCAGCCATACTTGATCTCTTCAGGAATGTGTGCGTAGATACTCCAGCACACCCAGATGTAGAGAATGTGGCGGTTGATGAACCAGAGCACCATGAATGTGCCAAACGCAACGTCACAGGCCGTTTCGAAATGCAAATACTTTAATATCTTCGCAAAGGATAGCGTAATGTCCACAATGTCCATGAGACACAGAATGACGGTCCCGACGCGGTATTGGTGGTAACCGTAAGACGTGAAGATAAGAGCACAGGTGACAATGTGGTGGCTGAACATCTGCCAGTGATCCTTCCTCCGCTCCTCGATGTTGACCACGACGATTTGTTGCAACCAGAATCCAAATTGCACCAGGTAGTACCACTTCGCAATGCCCTCCATTTCGCGGTTTGGCCAGTTGCGCCAGAGGGCGTGCAGGTCAAGCCAATAGTCGGAGTTGTACATAATGTACATCCCTACGCACCAGGACGTCGAGGAGTACACGACCACCCAGGCCTGTTCTGCGAAGCGAGCCCTTGGTTTTCTCTTTCTCAGACCCAACATGGACGCCAACGGCGTCAGAATGTAGTCCATCACGGCGCATCGTAGACCAGTGAAGACAATGAGCCAGTAGAACACAAAGAATATATCGTCCCACCCGAGGGCAAAGGTGCCGGTGTTGGGGTTATAGTAGGATATGCGGAAGAACTTCTGGGTGTGGTGTCGTGCCGCAGGGAAGAATATGTGTATGAAAAAGAGCATGGATATGAGGTTCAAAGATATACCTGCGGTCTGTCAGTTGAACTTGGTCCCAAATGTATGCGGAACATGTGTCTCTTTACCGATCTGGTGGTCGACTACCCATGAGCAAGCGAGCGCGACACTGCTCCGCTCCTTGCCTTTCTTCTCCCACCGAGGCCATGCCATCTTCTGAGAGGGTGCCTCATTGTGTGAACGGCGTTCAGGCGATATCCTTCTGGTTTCCTCTAGTTTTTCTCGGTCTGGCCCTTGGACTCTCGTCATTATGCTGTACCCCGGCCCGAGGGTGCGTCGAGGGATGCTGCCCAGGGATTCCGAGTTCGAGGGACTGGACAGAGGAGGGAGGTGTTTGATGCTAGCAAGTCATATAGCAGAGCGGAGTGGACTGGTGTGTGCAATGGGCCAAGCAGCGCAGTGCCGATGCGCGTGATCTGGGAACGAGGACGACGGGTTGCCGGCAACGAATGATGGGTGTCGATGACCGCACACTCCTCGCTAAAGGATAGTGCCAAACAAAGAAGCGGTTGGCGTGGGATTCATGTATGTAAAGATAGGACGGAGCAGTGTAGCGGTGCTCTGTTAGGAGGGGAACTGGTACAACAGGATGGGGTGGAGCGACAGGGAAAAATATTGGGCGGGCTGGTCTAGAGGAGCCAGCACTGAGCAAGTGAGAGAGTTTCCTCAGCTACTAGAGAAGTTTAGAACAGCCCAGAGTGTCCTCAAGCTTTCCTTCCCAAGCTAGGTGCAGCATCTCGTCCGCCATCGAATCAGCCATGTCATGATTGACCGAAAATGCCAGAACGCAGACTGGCGGTGACCCAGGTGCGCCATTCTCGCGGCGATCGCCATCTCGCCAGCGTCTAGGGAGTACGGGCTACGGAGTACGCAATACGACAGAACACGTTGTCTGAAATGTCAGTGCTTCACTTCTTCGACTATTGTAAACTTAGTACTCCGGATGCTGTCCGGACTCGCTCACACTAGTTTTGTTCACGTCGTGCTCCTTTCTCACATGCCATGTTATCTGTGTGGCGTTTGCGGATCTCTGCGTCGCTTTAAATTCCCAAGCTCCCGTTCGGCAGTCCCCAGGCTCTTCCCAAATCCCTGTCCCAAGATTTGCTGCAGGGTTCAGGTCCGGCCAGGCACAAGTTGTCTTTTACCAATGATGAACAAGCCCTCGTGTTTTCCCGTCCGTCCTTCCATCAGCCATGACTCCAGCGGACCTCGTTGTTAGATTTGTTCGTAGCATTGTTCGTATTATCTTACCCTGCTTGACTCTTTCCACTGGCGACAGTTGACATAACTGATAATGAGACATTTTGGAGTAGGCGACTCAGCTCAATGATTCTTCCTGTCCTTCTCCATCATTTTCGATCCCAACCGTGTCCTTTCTTTTTTTCTGTTCTTTTCATTCACAGTATCGGTCGGTTGTAGTTAATCTCCTGAAGTGGACGAGTTTGATTTTCCATTGATCCATCAGCTGGTACTGCAACCATTCTAAATTGGAAAGGACCGATTGTTGAATTGATTAGAGGATTCGAATGCGCAGTATGGGAAACCTGTACGATACTGACAATAGTTTTGGTGAAGGGACGTGCTCGGATATCGTTCAAACAGACTTTGCCTTTAGTCTGGCATGTAGGGTTTGGTGCGAGCGTCTAGTGGTGATACAGGACTGGGGAACAGTGAGATTCCGATCCTCAGATGGGCAGTCATGGAGCTGAGCACAAGCGGTGATAAGTCACTGAGAGAACTGCTGCAGCCTTTCCCTCAAAAACGTGAAACACCAGCCCTTTAAGAAACTCATCGCCACAGCCCATACGGCTCTTTGCAGGCCTTCCATAATTTGATGGTACCGTCTTCGCTCCCAGTCGCAAATAGCTTGCCATCAGGGGAGAACGATGACGACCAAATTGGCCCGTGGTGGCCCTTGAGAACTTCTGCAAAGGTGTAAGCATAACTTTCCTAACCCAGAGATCACAAAAAGAAGCAGAACGAACGTACCTAGCTCCTTCTCTTGATCAAAGTCCCAAACATGGACCCATGTCTCCTTGGCTCCGCCAGTGATGAAGCGACCGTTTGTAGCATTGATTGCCACACTGGAAATATCATGGTCGAAGTTGACTTGTTTGATTAGTTCGCCCGGCCGTCCAGCATCGAAAAACAGTGCAGAGTGACCAATTGAAACACTGATGATTCCTGGATTAGGGTCGCCTGATTGATGAGTGGACAATTCACATGAACCAATCTCACGCTCCGTCTTGAAGCTTGCAATCATACGCTGGGTTCGGAGATCCCACCAGCGAATAGTCTTGTCCTCGCACGCAGTGGTCAAGATGTTGTAGTCGACGTTCCAGATGATAGACTTGATCGTTCCCCCATGTTCGCCGGGTCCGATTTCTAGACCGTCGGAGGTCGTGGTGGGCGTCACTGGAGTAGAAGAATCCGCTTGGGTGGGTGATGCAGCGCTGCCACCTCTCGTTAGATCAAAGATTTTGAGCCTTTTGTCCTGCCCGCCAGTTGCGACACATTGTGGTTTGTTCTGGATAGGAAATGCGACAGAGCGGACAATATGGTTGTGCTCAAGGATGTTAAGGCATTCTCCAGTCTGTGGGTCCCATATTCTCCTGCCGAGATATAAGTATGCGAGCTACAAGACAGCAAAAAGTACCCACGCAGTGAAATCAGCGGAGCCTGTGGCTGCAAGTCTGGCATCCGATGACAACCTCGACGACCAGACGGCGCCTTTGTGCCCGATGAAAGTTCCGATCCTGACGACAATAATTAGCCGACTTATTATCATGATCTGGGTTGAAGCGTACCAATCGCCTGTGATGCCATCTCTCAGCATAGGATTGTTGTCTGTATATTGTAAGGCATAGCCGTTGAAGGTATGATGAGCTCCTGTGACAAACCTTTACAGGCGGAGATGAGATAGTACTGATCATCGTCGACAATAGAAGAGAAGCTCAAATGAGTGACAGGGCGTGAGTGCCCATGACATGTTAGAGGAACAACTCGAGGTGTTTCTGAAACTCATTAGTGATGACGACGAGGGACATTGTGCGCTCCGCGACAAGCAGCGATCGCGACCAAGTGGACTATGACTTACCAGACATGGCGGCCGCGGTGATCTTTGAAAGATTGGGTTTCAACCACTTTGTGGGGGGAGCGTTATGAGCAGCGCAGGATGATTGAGAGGGGGCGGCGTATGTCGTGAGTGATTCTCTGGTTAACAGTTCTTGGGTAGAGAATAGGATCAATCCAAGAGATCAAGGCGATATATCTAGCCTGGTGAAGTTGTCGCGATATGTGACGAAAAGTTGTAAGCAGTTGACCGTCGTAAAGCAGCACTAAAGGCAAACGTAATAAAGCGGGGCAAACAAGAGAGTCGCGCTCAAGAGCCACAGCATCCGGTGCAAGGAGAGAATGGTATAAAAGATGTGCTTTGTTGCTGAGAAGTTTCTCTTCTGGTTATTGCAGCGCTGGCTTCCAATATCACTTGTGGCGCTGCAGTCTTTCTCTTTCTCTGGGCCAGTGGCTGACGTGAAGATCCCGTCCTCACATGGAAGGTTGGCCGAAGGTAAGCCACCGCCTTGTGGGACATCGACACGTGGCGAGGCTACAATACGATGCTAGCTACGGAGGACCATCTGCGTCTGTACCATCTACACGAGGTATCTCTGATGCCATCTATGCCGCGCAGCTAGAGTGCTCATGGACGCCGCGGCGACTGTCACAAGGTTCAAGCACAAGGTTGAAGGCCCCTGACAAACAGAATTGCCATGTCCATACCTAAACCCTCTACCAAGAATGCACAGAGCCATCATAGACTCGCAATTTTGGCTCCGAAGCAGGTGTCAGCTCCTTGACGACTTTTATCATCCCTGCTATCGAAACCTCAGGCTCGATTCGAGCGTCGGGTCCGCCCATGTCAGTAAGAACCCTGCGTAAAATGTCAGTTTGTGTAGAAGTGTGTCAGACGTTCGTTTCCATACCAGCCGGGGTCCATCGCCGTTACTGCAATGTCTTCCTTTTTGAGTGCAGTATGCCAGTACTATGGTATCGCGGAATTGTATTAGCAAGGTTTTCCAAAGTCGACTTACACTAGCGTATGTCGATTACCTTGACTGTCATGTCCAGTGCTGCTTTCGAGGCTGAGTACACCACTAAAGTATCATCACCAGTTCGTTCGGTGACAGAACCACATCCAGAAGACATCTGTGATCGGTTAGCAGGGGACAAAACAGGGGACTCCATTTCGGGAGCTACTTACAAAAATCACCTTCGCATTTTGACCTTTTCGTAAGAGGGGCAGAGCCAGCCGAGTCACGATTGATTGCCCAATGACATTGGTCTGGAACTCAGCCAGCCATTCCTTGGTATCAATCTCCTCGGTGATAGGGCCTTTGACTGCATTGCGGGCGGCATTGTTCCAAAGCTCATCAATACCGTTAGGGGCAAGTTTCTTGACTTCCTCCAAAGCAGATGTTATTGAGCCCTCCGATGAGATATCCATGCCCACGATGTGCACATTCTTCAGCCCCCGGAGTTGATGTGCCTCAGAAGGATTTCTGGCCGTCCCAATGACGGTGGCTGATTCTGACAATTGTCTTGCAAGTTCATATCCCAAACCACGGTTGGCTCCTAAATAATATTAAGTGGTGTATGGAATGCTTTGAGAACGACCGAGTTCAGATACTTACCTGTGATGAGGATTGTTCGACCCATTGCGAGAATGAGTCAGGTGAAATTCGTGAATCTGACGGCGCATATACCAATCTTGTTCCAGCCAGCGAGTCGCGGTCGATAATCAGGGCGACAGCAACCTACAGGTAACATACCTGTGATGCAAGAGGGCGAAGAGTTGGGATCGACAGCCCTCGTTCTCAGCTTCCTACTTTGGACAACGGCAAGACTCGGCCGTGTCGCCGATGGAAATTAGCCGGCTTCAGCACTCAGCTTGCTACAATAACTCAAAATCGGTCAAGACGGCACTGAAGGGGTTGACATCATTACCAAGCCCCTTCATTCCTTTGGCGATACTCGCCAGACCGAGGTGAGAAGAGAGCAATGTCTCCCACGGCAAACAGATTCAGCCTTGTGGATGGAGCCCTCCTTTCACAAGGCTGTGGCTAACCGAAATGTACCCATCAGGTAGGTCTACGGTGTGTTCTACATCATCCTCCTTCTCCGTCATCCTCTATTTCAAAACCTCACTTTCTTTACAACGGAACACTGTCGTATTCTTGGTTTGGCAATCAGCAGACAAAGTCTTTCTCATCATATCCGCTGATCGGCCACGACTTGCGTCAATGTTGATGGTACCCATGACAATCTGGACAAAGAACACAATATCAAACCATGGAAGCTTTTGTTCGCCTTTTTGCCTCTCTGAAAGCGGTATACCTGCATTATACCTCACACAAAATTCTTTGGAATCATCTTTGATGTGATTTGGCCATTGTCAATTGTACCAGGTTGTGTTATGTCAACAGGTACAACAATGCTGAAAGTCAAGCCGTCGGAATAATGGAGTGCCTATCCGCGAAATCTATCTATATATATACGCCTATACAACTTACATGTTCCTCTTACTCCTTCAACAGCCAAACTTCCGCAGTTACTCCTGAGCAAGCATTATATCCGAACGAACCAACTACTCAGACGCAAACATTCCAAATTCAACAGTAACCGCCTTCCAACCACTTCAAAGCACGGACAAGGCTTCTGGTAAGCAAAAATACCCCACCCACCAAATGGATAACCTCAAAACCACCCTACGCCGCTCGAAAACTATACTAACCAAGTCTTTTCGAAAGGCCATAGGGTCATCCAAACACTCACAATTCAACCACAATGAGCAGAGCTCGCGAGGTGGGGAGCAATCGCTCAATATCAGTGCAGATATACTGACAACAGCAGGCGCTGGTACAGCTGCAGCTCAGACGACGGCGACGATGACAACTGCACCCACCCGACTCATTGGTCCGATTCTTCGCGGCAACTACGAAGACACCAGCAGCGTTGCCGACTACTCAAGTACACATTCTCCTGACAGCTCTGGCATTTCCGCTGGCCCCGCGTCTTCCAATGGACAACGTCGTCGCATCACCATCACTGCTCATCCTAGTACTTTGGCAGGTTCTTCAGCGCATCGATCTGTGGCCTTGGCTGCAAATAGCATGGTACCTGCAAGTCCTTCTCTTGCAGCATCCGTGGTTGATGAACAACTTTCAGGTATCTCTGCTGGTCCTGCTCCTTTCGGCGGACAGCGTCGACGCTTCACCATTGCTTTTCGTCATGGTACTTCGGCAGAATCTTCAGCACATCGATCTGTGGCCTCGGTTACAAATAGCATAGTGCCTGCAAGTCCTTCTCTTCCAAAAACTGTTGATGATGATGCTAACGTTTCTGTCGTATCAGAGAATAGTGTGACCGGCTCGACCCAAGCTGATTTCTTCACTCCCAGAGCGGCAGCCGAAACTGCGGCGGTGCAAGTAGCGGAGCGAGGGGATCAGGACCGAAGACCCAATGTAGTTGCTGCTTCACTATCCCCACGCCACTTGGCTTCCGATAATCTGAGCACTGATACATTCGAACCTAGCAACAGCTCTCGTCCATGGATCAGACACATAGAGCACCAGCAACTTCAACACCGAGGCATTGACCAAACAGAGCTGGCACCACCGCCACCGAACTTCAAGCCGACCGTACGCCTTCCACCAGGACAAGCTGACCCACGAGGGCAATCTCATGTTGAGCCTGAAGATGGTATATATATGCATACAGAACATGTCACTGCTTCTTCGTCCGGCAAATCAGACAAGGGCAAAGCTCGTGCGGTGTCTGGAGGACGTCCCGTGGCGACTTCATCTGCTGCTGCTGCTGCTGCTGCTGCACAAGAACCGAACGTGACTGCAAGCATACCAATTGTGATTGTTTCTGACGGAGAGACTAGCCACCGTGCCTGGGATGACACGGATTTTGACCAGTTCGTTTCCGATGACAACCGCCGTCTTGTACGCGTGGGATCTGAAGAATGGGCAGTCAAGTCTGCACAAGGATCCTCTGCAAGCAATGGTACCGGAACACCCGCCTCCCTGTCCACTTCTAACCGCGCCTGGGACGACACCGATCTGGACCAATTCGACGCGACCGGGACTCAACGCTTGGTTCGTGTTGGTACCCAAGAATGGGCACTCGAATCTGTACATGGCTCTAGAAATGTTGGCTCGTCATCATCTTCGTCAAATCGTGCATGGGATGACACTGACCTCGACCAATTCAATTCCGTTGACAACCAGCACCTCGTCCGTGTGGGAACTGAAGAATGGACTCTGCAGGATGGAGAACCTGTCAACGGCAATAGTAACGGTAACGGTGATTCTTCCAGCTCCAACTCGAGCAATCAAGGCCTGACACCACCCCAACGAGTCTCCAGTGCTCGATCCCAAGGATGGGGGTTACGACCTCGAGAAGGCAATCCTCCTGTGACAGACGATGGTGAGGGTGACGAATCGCCTGAATACCGGGAAGATGTCGTTGTTCTTCGTCAACGACGGACAAGAGCAGCAGCAGCAGGTATCCCGCAACCGGTTCAGACAACCCAGTCTGAGGCTGAGCCTCAAGCTAAAACTCAAGCTGAACCTGTACCCATCACTGCCGCCACCACTACAACCACCAACACCACCACCACCACAGCAGCAGCAGCAGCAGCAGCAGCAGCAGCAGCAGCAGTAACTGTGACCATCACTTCGCTTCCACACACACCTGCTCCGGCGCCACAAGATGACGACACGGCTCTACATGCAGCTGCGGCTACTACTCCTGCCGGCGGCAACTTTAGGCCTGAACGTGGCTTGCATTCTTCGTCCGAAGACACGGAGGTGAACAACGCCGGTGGTGATGGTGGTAGTGGTGGTAACGACCCGGTAACTCCAGGCCCGCGACCGGCACCACGCAACAACCTCGGTCCACACGGTCTCAGCTACATATTTCCCCAAGACGTGTTCTTGCCAGGCGAGGCCAACGGCCAGTGGGACACCCCCCGACGCTTCGTGCCCGTGCAGGACATGACCTTCCCGGGAATTCAGGGCTTGACCTACGCGCTCCAGACCGCGGCGACCGAACACGCCCAGATGTACCGCGAGCGCGAGGCGTACCGGCACAACAACGACGTCAACTGTTTCAAGGTCGAGGTCCTGCAGAACCTCGTGGCCGAGCGGAACCAACAGGTCCAGGCCCAACTTGAGGAGATCGAACGCCTGAATCGACTTCTCGAATCTCGCGACTCGGAACTTTTGTCCTTGCAGGCCAGAGTTGGACGGTTGGAGATCGACACTTATGGAAGTGGGTCTGGGTCTGGTTCTGGGTCTGGGTCTGGGTTCGGTTCAGGTAACGCTGACGATCTCACCGACGACGACGACACGGTCGTGCGAAATGTCCAAGCCGCCGCCACCACCACCACCACCACCACCACCACCACCACATCTGCGTCAATCAACCAAGGTGGTGACTTGTACCATCAAGCCACGGGAGGCGTGGTGTACCGATCCGACTCCGAGGACGGTGACGGCCGCCTTCTTCGTGTCCAACAGGACTCGTCCGAGGACGCGGATCTCGAAGACAACTACACCGAGAACCAGTCGCCGTCCACCGACGCTTCCTCATGACCACTGGACCTTTGATTGTGGTTGTGGTTGCAGTTGTGGTTGTTTCGGGGGGTGGTTGCTGTCGCGGTGTTGGTGTGGTTGTTGTTTCGGTGTGCTCACCTCAGTTGGAGCCCGTCGTGGACACGAAAGGTGCGTTTTTGGGCCTCGTAATGGTGCACCGTGTAGAGGATGCTCTTTGACCCTTTGGTGTTTGTTTGGCCTGTGAGTTTTTCAGTCAGGGAGTTTCAAGGAGTTTGACCTGTTGATCAGTATCTATCTATCTACCTACCTACATGGCGATGGCGCTGGTGTATGTATATGTGTATGTGTATGTATATGTACATCTCTAATTGACCACCAATTTCGATCTACTCTGGATTATTGTTCCCGCGTGAGACCTGGGAAACCATTCAATGAAACGTCCTTTAACCTCCTTCTTTATTATCGTTGAACCAGTGTATCTACTACTCTATCTTTACGGGAGTACCGTCACAGTTCTTCCTTCCCCCCCCGATGAATAACACCTCGTTTACGCCTCGTCAGAATTATTGCCAATTTTCAGATACGAGCTATAGCCACGCACACACACACACACACACACACACACACACACACACACACACACACACAACCCCCCCCCCCCCCCCAATATCCATATCCATATCCATATCCAACATACCAATACCCATATCCGCATTCATGCTCATGCTCATGTTCATATTCATAAACAATGCCCATCAATCTCAGTGACCCTCTGTCCATCCGACATGGACACCAGGTCATGATAAACCGTTCCTTCGACGCCTTCCATGTCCAATCCTCCATCCTGCCCGTTCCTATTACCCTCATACAGACCATCGAACCCAGCTGCATTAGCACCAACACATCCTTCATTTTTATCACACACCCGACCCACCTCCACCTCCACCACTACTTCCGGCTCCTCCTCCTCCTCCTCCTCCTCATCATCGTCCTCGCCTCTCATGCTCCACCACCATCTACTGGCCCTCCATATCCCAAACAGGTCCCCCCTCCTTTCCTCCTCCTCTTCACTCCCGACCAGCCATTCCCACTTTTTCAAAAACCACTTTTTCGCTTCCCAACTCCTCGTGTCCCACGCCACGTCCCTCCTCATGCCGCCCCTACTGCTGCAGCGCGTCGACGAGCCATCGCCCATATCCCTCCTCGCAGCTCTCGTTGACGCGCCACTCCCGCCTCCCCAACACACCATACCACCGTTCATCAGATCCATAAACAGCCCGACGTGATCCAGTTGACCCTTCGCACTGGCAAGGATGGCAGCCTCCCTCACGAACGGGAACACGATGCAATCCAAGTAACTGGGGTGCGGCAGCAACAGCTGCGCCGGCGTCGGTCTGAGCGCAGGCTGCACTCGGTCCATGTGGTCCTTTAATTCCTGCGTGACGAGCATGCCCGTGCGCAGCGACCGCCCGATGTTGGCGGCGGCGGCGGCGGTGGCGGCGGTTCCCGAGGGCCATTTGTTGACCTGCTGCAGCACCCCCTGCGCCGCGCGAGAGTAATCGAATCCCGTATAGGCGATGTTTCTCTCGATAGAATTGTTTCCGGGCTGGTTGAGTTTGAGATAACAACCAGGAAACCGACTCGGGTGGTCGTTGATGTATTCGCTGCGACTTATCCCCACGGCGCTGGCGAGCGCGATGGACGCTTCGATGTTGTCTTCTAGCCATAGTCTCATGTGGTTCGAATACGGGTCCGGCGGGGGAGGGAGATGTGATGCCGCCACGGGCGTGAAGTGGATGTGGTTGTTGGATCCTCTGCCGTTGGCAGTACCAAATGCGGAAAACCCTGTGGATCCTGACCTTGATCGAACTCCGGATCGTGGACTGTACGGGTTTGATTGTGGAGTGAGGATCATTGCTGTACTCTGTTGATCACGGATTTTGTGTTTGTCGTTGTTATGATGAGGAGGCGTGTATACTTGGCTCGGAGACCGTGGAGGTATGCGCCATATATGACGAAGGTCGAGGTCATTCAGGTCCTCGTGGATACTGTTGCGTAGAAGACTTGGGTCGAGGTTGGGGTCTGGACTGAGAACGGGGTTGGGGTGTTTACTCCGTCGCGCAGATTCTCGTAGCGCGTCATATGTCAGAAAGGGTGCTGGCGTGGGCGCTGGTGCGGCTTCGGACGCTGATGGCGTTGAGATGTCTTGTCCAGAGGAGAAGGCTATACCTGGAACAGGTCCAGAGGTAAAGGGTAAATCACCTGCGGCAGTGAACGCGTCTGCCAGATTTATCGAGGTAGGTATGGAGGAGGAGAAGGACGATGACGATGACGGAGGATATGTATCGACCTGATTTCTCATGTGAGGTATTGGGTTCGAGGATGATGAGGCCGAATTTTGTGTATGAGGCGACGACGACGACGACGGCAATGACGGCTGACGAGGTATATTCGAAGCACAATCATCATAATCATCACTCGTCTTCGCTTCATTGGTTGTAGTTGTAATGGTGTCGGTAGGGCTACGTCGAGGGGACGAGTTTGTGTTTGCCGTAGTCGATGTCGGCCTTTTCGTCGATGTCGTTGTCGGTAAAGTCGTAGTAGCAGCAGCAGCGCCATCACCACCACCACCACCACCACCACCCAAAACCTGTGCCAGGCCTTGCAAATCCTCAAGTTTCCTCTTCAGTCTCTCCTTGTACAATTTCTGAGCACGTCGATTCTGTTCACGACGTTTGTCCGTCATGACACGAACATATTTTTTCTTCTTTGGGGGTCCGGTTGTACTAATCGTGTCGTCGGTGACAGCAGTGTCGTCGTTGCCATTGGTCTGGGTGTGAGTTTGATGCCGATGTCGAGGCTGAATATTGTGTCTCGTTGGACTCTCAACTAGACTCCCCGCTCCATCCGCCACTCGACGGCCCGCCATTTGCATTTGCACTTGCATTTGTGCCTGTGTCTGTGCCGGCGTCGGTAAACCAGAAGGACATACTACCGTCCTTCTTCCTTGCTTCTTCTTTCAACAAGCGTCACGCTGTTCTCCCCATAGGAACCGAGTGCCCGGGGGGGGGGGGGGGGTGGGCGCCACTACTCGCACCCGTACGTATGCCGTCACACACGGCGGACACAATCTATGCTGACAGACTGGTCCGTGACCACTGCCAACTCTAATCGCAGCGGATGGAATGAAAATGGGCAGGGGGGTAAGCCAGGACGAAGAGAAAAGAAAGAAGAAAATAAAATCCAAGAAAGAGGTTGAGGGAGGAGAGCCATTGTTCCAAAAGTACGGGTAGAACGAGTGCCACACATACACAGAGGCCCGCGTGTGGAGTATTGTTTCCTTGCAGGCCCCGGCAATGATATTTGGCTTATCCTTCCTTACATAAGGCATGTCAGACGCCCGTCGGCCGAATTTACGAGGTCGAGGTAAGCCAAAGAGGCACGGAGTTCCGGACATCCTGCGCGAACTACAATAGAAAAGTAGACTTCGAGATATATCATACTACCATAGGTATTACATTTTTGACGGATACTCTGTATAGAAGTTGTAAATCATTCCCAGACTTTCATCGCCAGCGTCTAGACGGTCAAGGGTATTATTTATGCATTCAATCAATCAAAAACAAGATACAATTCATCATTAAACCCATGTCCATGTCGTTCTCATCAAAGAGTCCTCCCAATCATTTCCAAAACAATATCAATCTCATCGCGAGTAAACGCCATAGACACTCTGCCACTGGACCAATTCCTTGGTCAGAGTCTCCATCATGTCCTGACTTCCCATGACCCCAAACTCCTTTTGATCCATCATGTTCAATCCCGACTCCTCATCCGTCGAGCTTGCCTCCTTCAAACCAGCCTCGACCGCGCGAACCAGAGTAGCAGTCGGCAAAGCACTCGCATCCTTGACTCCATTCGGCGTGCTCGCTCCCTTGGAGCTTGCACTCGACGGTTGTGATCGTGCGTTCCTTTCCGTCTGCATGTGTCCAACAAACTCCAGAATGGCAGCAACACGCCGTCTCATCTCATTCAGACTAGTTCTGGCAGGATGTGTCTTTGCCTTTGAACTGCGTCCACTTTCACCGTGGATACCGTTGGTGCCAGACGGTGACCCCCCGCTGCCATTGGTATCATGGGGTCCATCTCGTGCAGGAGTGCCATCTTCACCGTTGGCGTGATCTCGACTGTATTGATTTCTGCCCAGTCTTCCTCTTCGAGTCGCAGCTACTTTGGGATTCCTGCGGCTGTTGTTCGATCTACCTGAAGGAGGCGTGTCTGCTTTTTTGCCATTGGCTTGTGCAGCTTTAGAGGGAGAGATGCTCGGAGTAGGTGGGGGAGAGTCTGTCATGGTTAGCCCACATGCATCATTGAATTCCATGTGTACGACGCACCCTCTCCTCTTCTTCGTTCTGATCGAGCATTTCTCTTGCTGGCAGCTTCGGCACGCTGGGCCGCTTGTTGCTCTTTTTGCTTTTCACGCATTTCCTTCTCCCGGTTGCTGCGCGCCGCTGCTCCTCTTGACTTGTTGTTTCTGCTGCCACCACCTTTACCGTTGGCATCGTCCGCACCAGGATCTGGAGAGTTGCTCTGCTTTGAAAGAGTCGACGAGGCATTTGACCCCGTCCGTTGTCGTTTGGGATTGATCTTGTGACTGTAACAGTGATCAGCTCATACCCAACCTGCACAAGACGCATCGACTCACTCTTCTATATCCTCCCGCGTTCTCTTTCCCAGAGTGCCCATTTCTTTACTCTCTTCGATGGCTCTCCTCAACATTTCATCTTCGTCGTACGCGCCCCTGCTGTTCATGGTTGCTCTTCTCTTTGTGCTCTCATTTTGTCTATTACTTTTACCATCTTTCTTGCGAGATATTTCCGAGGCCGATGTGAGAGGAGAGGATCTGGTAGATACTGCTTCGAGCACCGGAAGGTACCGAGAAGATTTCGGTCTGGGAGCGATTGTTAGCAAGTTCGGTTCCGGTAAAGCTCTAACACATCTCTATGCCATAAACACAACGAAAACTGAACACAAAATTCGCTGCAAACACGTATGAGAGAACTGCACTTACCCACTGGAGCTCCTGGTGATCTTGTGAAACTCTGGTTTGCACTGTTCACAATAGTACTCATCAGGCAGCATAGATTCGTCCAGCAAGCCCATACAACCTCCATGTTGCCAAACACCACATTTATCGCACTGGACAAAAAAGTTACCCGTGTCGTCAGTCAGGGCGTCAGGGTCAGGCTGTTGCTGTCGTAAGCTGGTCGAGGGGCCAGGGTATTCCGCTTGTCCACATATACAGCGAGTAATTTCCTCTTCGGCCGCCTCCCCCTCGACATCTTCATCCTCATCTTCGACTTGTTGTTTGACAGCGGGTTCTTTGTCTTCGCCATTCCTTCTGCTCCGGCGTGGAGCCAGCTGCTCGGCACGAGACATCGAATCTCCCGCATCAGCCGACTCGGATCGATGGATGGAAGCTCTCCTTGGGGAGTTTGTACGGTTGATCGTACGACTATCTCGGTGGTCCGGTTTGGAGTTGTGTGAGGTGCTGGAGGAGGAGGTGTGGTTGTTGTTGTTGTTTTGGGAGGCGGTGGAGGTGGAGGTGGAGGGTAGCTGGGACGAGCGGGCACGAGAGGATCGACGAGGGCTCATGGTGAAAATCGGTTTGGGGTATGAGCAAGTCGTGTAGAGACGTGATCAAGTCTATGGCACGATGCCACGGGCAACGTAGCAAAGCAGATAGAGGCCTGGTTGTGGACGGGCAGGATTCGCGCCAGCACGAGGGAGCGGGAAACTGGTGGTGTTTGCTAGAGTGCGGAAAGCAGTGCCAAATCAAAGGCGCAGGGAGGGCGACATGGAGGTTCCCGGTGAAAGTAACAGGAGAATCACATTGCTCTGGCTATGGGATCGTCGCAGGGCAAAGAGGGACGGCGAGGACGAGGAAGAGGAGAAAAAGGTGTGTGCAGACGAGTCTCGCAGACTGCGGTGACTGCAGCGACTCAATGCGCTTGTCTGCGCTGCTGCTGGACCGAAGGCCCGACACCGAGTGGCCAGCGCTGCCATTGGCTGACGCCCGCCCAAAAGCGGGCTCAGCATATTGCACTGCATGAAAAATGGCCGGGCTGGAATTTCCCCCTCAGTCGGTGACAAACTGCGACAGCCGCCACGCTCGTTCTCCAGGTCCTGCACGGGAGCTGCTGGCCCAGAGTCCGAGTGAGTCCCCAGCTGATTTTGGGAAAACCGACGCTGTGCTGTTTCTTCCAGAGTCGCGACAACGGGGAGGCATGCAATTTGAAGCATTGCTGGGAGATTGAAGCGTGACGTGACGCTTGGCTTCGTCCGAGAAACTTCCTCGTGCTGCAGTCACGTGTGCTGGGTAAGACCACTTTACGCGCTTCGACCAATCAACGCGTCGAATTTCATTTCCCCCTTTGCCCACGCGTCAGACGGAGAGAGAGGACATTCATTGCACAGCACAGAGGATTCAACCAGTGCAGAAGACGGTATGTTCATTCCCTAACACCCCTACTCGTACTCGTACTATGCTGTAGCATGCTGTAGCTGTGCTATCTTCCAAGCTAATGCTGATGTTGCTGCAACCCTCTCCATCAACGCCTGCAATGCCAAGTTGCGTAACCTGTATGCTTGTGCTAAAACGAATGTTGTTGGGGATGTCGATGGCATATGATACAATTCTTTTGGCCGTTTCATCGTTAAGTCATGTCGTGATACAATAGAATAGCATCTAGTCTTGAGGGGTATTTGGTGGTGGTGTTCAAAATAATGGCTCTGGACTCGAAGGTGAAAGATACCCAGGGTCGTCTCCCGAGATGCGATGCGATGCCGGGACCTGCACACCTCCTGCTTTGGTGACTCCGTCTCTACGTGCCATGGACAATAGTTCCTCCTCTTTGGCCTTGCCTTTGTCCTTGTCCCTGGCCCTAGCACTCGGCTCGACTAGACTGATGGCCGGCCCGAGATCCTGACTGCCCGTCTGCGCCCTCTTGTGCTTGATTAGCATACTCAGTTGGCTTTTCGTGCGAGGTAACTCCACTGCGTCATCCGAACTACCCTCATCGTCACTAGCCGACGGCGAAGCATGTATGCTTGACCACAAAGATGGGGCGCCCATACTCGCCTCCGGAGATTCGGCCAATATTGCCTTGCCTTTGCCCTTTCCTTCGTCCGAGGGATTCTCATCAACGAAGCGAACCACACTCTTGTTCTTCGGCATGCGCATAAGTACTGGAAGGTTGGTGAAGCTGTTCAATCTCTTCTGTGCCTCCACAAATTTGCCACGAAAATCACGCTCGACCAGATCTGCTGAAGTTGTTGCAGGAGCCGTCACGCCCGTCGGAGGTGTAGGTGTTCTCGAACCGACACTTTGCCAGGACGAGGGAGAAGCCACCAGGAAATTCGCCGAGTTCCGCATCGCTGTGAACCGCATTTGTCAGTGCAAGGAGACAGGTGCGGGAGAAATGACCTTACCTGGAGGGTTGAGCAGACCCGGCGGTGGACCCCTCGTGCTTGCACGGCCCGCAGCATGGCTACTACTTGCTGAGGCAGATGCCCTTCCAAAAGGCTCTGTAGGCGTCCGGGAGGGCTTTGGCGCATTTGGTATTGTTGATGTGGCCCGAGATGAACTCGACTTTCGTCGCCCCAATTGAGGTTTGGTCCTAGTTCTCCCTGCTGTGGCCACGATTGGGATTCTCGACCGACTGCCGCTAGTAGTCCGACTCAGGGCGGGCCTGGAAGATGAACCAGAAGCTGTGTTTGAAGCAGGGGCCGAAGTTCGCGCCGAAGATTGATCTCGTATGGGGATCAGCTCGTTTGATGAATCATACTGGAGTCGTCTCCCCGGTGGTTCTTGACACAATGGCGGGAAAGTTTCCAAGTAATTAGGATCTATCGGATGTGATAGAGGGCTCGGTGATTCGGAGGCTGGGACCATCGAGGGCGTCAATTCCTGTGTCAGGCCTGATGTGCTCTGGATGCATCTTAGTTTAGCTCAATTGTCATTGGATCCTGACACTTACCAGTTGCTGCACTCTGGAGGATACGTTGATGTGTCCGATGGGCCTAAGATCAAACTGGTCTTCACAACGACGCCATAGCTGCATGAGGCGAGGCACTGTCATGTTATGAAAAAGCTCTGGATCGCTCCAGATTCGCCAAAAGAGATTGCGTGCCCTAGTACATTTGGGATCACCGGAAAGGTCGCTTTGTACAGCAAAGTCTGGCGCAAAGATTAGCAGGCGAGCCAAAGCCAATCTGGGAATGAGGATCACCAACATCTCCAGAAGTGGTGCAGGGCTTCCGCATTGTCGGCCACAGAGTCGACAGCGCCAAAGACATCTTGTTCGACCGCCGGGATAGTATCGATGAGTCCTCGTGGTAATATGGCTGTCATGGCAATGCAGCGTTTAGACTAGTAAGGTACTTCTCCGGCTCCAAAAAATCCAACGATCAACCGCAACAAGGCAAAAGGGCCAGCACATGTCCTTTGGTCAGCGGCATTTGCAAGAAGTTGCGAGGACGCGGAGGTGGCAGCAAAGGCGAAAAGACCGAGGGAAGTTGCAAAAGTGATATCCCTGTCGCAGCAGGTGCGAGGCGGGAGAAGAGGCACGACGCAAGAACCTTGGGAGTGCCAAAGGTCGGTGAGCGCTACGTAGTCTGTGAGTTGACGATGCGTGTGATCTAGACCAGCAAATGGCGTGGGAGGAAATGCTGATAGTGCTCGTTGGAAGGTTGATATTGGTTGTGACGGGAAATATGAGCTGGATGTGGCTACCAACGAAGACAAGTGACCGTGTGAAGCTGCTTTTGATAGGAGTCCCAGGAGTCTCGTAGGACGAATTTATGGGGCCTGTTGCCAGAGGCCTAGACCAACGGTGGCAAGGGAACAATCTGCGCGGGGTGCTGGAGCTCTCGCTGGCTCCAGAAACCGGTGTCAAGCCTTCACGTCTTCGTATGTATTGCGGTCAAAAGGTCGAATACAGTGATCTAAGCTTGCGATCTGAAAGACGTGAGTTGAAGAGGCGGAATAGACAGGTACACCCGGGGGTTTTTTTGCCCGACCGGCTGGTGGGATGTGCGCGGGCAGGTGTCGTGCGTGGAGGACGACAAGCTTCGGGCCCAGAAGTGCGTCAAGGGGTAGAAAGCAGTTGAACCTGGAAGGACAGGCAGGTAATATCACAGCCAATTTGACTGGACGGAGGTACAGTCAGCCGACCAGAGACAAGGTCTGATGGGCCAAGGGTGGAAGCGGATAATGGAGAAGTATCCAATGCAGGTACACGAGCTGGTGTTGCAGCAGTGGAAGGACAGGGGATCCGTCCAAGTCCTCGTTCGGTCCGGAAGGGATGGGTATGTATGTACTCCGTAGAAGAAGAAGGTCTGGGAGCGGAATACACAAGGCTAGACGCAACAGTCCGAAAACCCATCATGGCCACAGACAGACAGCCGCACAGTACCCGGGTATCGCACGATGAAAATCTGAGAGCCAGAGGCAGTGGGGGCCTCTTCGTAGCAGGATTCCAAGTGCCATTGGATCACAAGACGACAGAACCCGGTGACCAGGATGACCAGGCCCCGGGTACCAGCGTTAGTTCCGTTGGGCGGCGGCGGGAACTTCGACCTCAATGGCCCAGGAACCGCGAGACGGACAAGTGGAGTTGGCAACAGGCATGAAAGTATATCGGGAGGATTGACCTAGCTTGGTACGAGGATCGTGGCATTGTTGATGTCAACATGTCGACAGAGGCTTGAAAAGCTACAGGTTACAAACAAGCAGTAGGTACATGGCGGGAGACGACAGGGGTCCACACCGCGAGACGCGTACAGATAGACAGAGTTCGACTCGTATTAGACAGTCGAGCAGGGCGTCGGAGGGACAAGCGTGACAGACAGGAACTACCCATCAAGGTTATCACTAGGCGACAATTGAGGCGACGTCGGTAGCGGTGACTACGACAATATGCGAGTAAAAGAGCAGCCATAATGCCTGGAATTGCCAATGATACCAAGTCACGCCTCACCGCCTCATTCTTGCAAAAGCGGGAAGCGGGAAGAAGCAAAAACCCACGAGGCCTGACGCGACGGCTAGCGGCCTCCTTAGGTACACACAGGGTGCAATAAACTACCTGTAGCCCGTAAGTACTGGCCGGGACCAGGGGGGTGGAGGAGGAGAGGTGGATCGGCGAACAGTCGAGAAGTTTGACTAGACGGGCAGAAATTCGTTCATGGACCAGAACAGAAATTCCCCCGGCCAAACGGAATCAATTGTACTGTAGAGGTTGGGTAGCAACAGACTCCTCTAGAGACGATGGAGTACAGCTAGTGATACCTCTGTTCAGTCTTTACCCCTGCATGTACCTGGTGATGGTTCTACCAGTACCTGCCTCGGAGAAACCGGTGCATAGTACGAGTTACAAAGAGCGCAATGCATCGCTTACCACCGGAAGATACGGTCCCTCCGAGTACAGGGTACGAGTGCCACAGCTCCCTCGGTAGTGGCTTCTAACTACTATTCCGTACTCATACCTGAGACAAACTTGTAGCATACGCATTGTGGTAGAAGAAGCCTGCCTCCCTACCGCTTTTCCGTGCCCAACCAAGCCAGGATATTTCAGTCACTGGCTTATGGCCCACGTACCCAAGTTTCTACCGAGAAAGATGAGCCCAACGACACTCGTACAATAAATACACTCCGTCTCTAAGCGATTCCAGTAACAGTCGTCTCTTCTCTCCCCCATGCGTGTGATTGCGTGTAACCACATGCCGCGCTGCTGCTCGTCATAGTCTCAGCACATTAGGCCCCTGTCAACATTATTCACTCGTACTCGTAACCCTGGCACAGTTGATTCTTGCCCTCTTGTCAATCATCTTCCCATGTGCTCAAAAAGGCCCTGCCACTATCGACGACCGGCAGGAGCTAGCTCAGAAGCTCCGCCTCATCCCACGACTCCGTTCGCAGCTCCCGGGTTCTAGTGTCACTGGTGGTGCCGGATATTGTATTCGTACCGTAGCCTGCATATCCCACGTTTTTTTCTTCTTTTGACTTTCACATCTTTCACGGCAACAGGGGTCAGCCATGCACCCCCCGTCCCGGTGACCTTGCGACCACTAGATCTTCGGGCCTGCACTGGTAATCACTGCCGTTGTTGCCACGGCGGGATGCTTTTCATCCTTGTTCCTGGTTTCGACGTTCGTTGGCCAATACTGTCGGAAATCGTGTCTGTGGTTTGTTAGCATAGGTATCTAGTTGATCTTCCCTGACAGGGTGGCTTAAAAACCGCGTCTTACCCGACCAGGTATGCGTTTTTCATCATATCCCTTCGGGCCTCTGGTGATGTGTTCATCGTCTTGAACGGCTCAACAGATGTCGCTGCAGTCTCGGGGTCACTATCCCGGAGTGCGCAGGTATTGCCATAGCTGACGGGATCGGTGATCTCCTTGTATATCTTGCGTCGAATCTCAGCATACTTGTCCAGCAAAGAGTCATCACATCCCTTTCGCAAGACGCCTATCAGACAGTCGCCAAGTCCTCCAGCGTCGCATATACCACCCGTCAGACCCATCCCTGGATGCCCCCGTCCCTGTCAGTCAGGGATCCATTGTGTGTGAAACTCAACGACCAAACGACAAAGAAGGGAAAATAAATCACCCAACTCACCGCCAAAAGGAGAACACGCATGGGCTGCATCTCCTGCGAGCAAAGCTCTACCCTTCCGATACGAAGTGGCCGATCGCTGATGTAGGCGGTACGGGCTGATCATCTCGATCTTATACGCATCCTTGCTGAGGGGCTTGGGACCTGGAAAGATGGCCTCAAATTTGTTGTGGACATTGGCCAGCACCTCGTCCCTGGTCAGATCTTCCTGTTCGTTATACGACACTCGATATAATCCTGTGGGATCGATCTTGCCGACCATACAAAAGTGCTCCGGATGGATGATGAATTGACCCCGGGCAAAGCCATACTCTCTGAATGGGTACCTCACGTTGCACGCGACCAGCCACTGAGGAAGGGTGAAGCCTTCGTAGCCGAGGTCGAGGATTTTGCGCACGGAAGATCGTCCGCCGTCGCTCCCGACCAGGTACTTTGCCTTGATGTGCTTGGTTCCGTCAAGAGTTTCGATGATTGCTGTTATCGAATCTGTGTCTTGCTCGATGTCGACACATTTATGGTTAAACAGCACCTATGGTGCAACCGATTGCAACGTTAGTTTTCTTTCAACACACACAGCCCTCATGGCAAGAGCGCAGAAAGAACTGGGTCGTCACCTTTGCGCAAGGATATCGGGATAGATGCTCCTGAATGATTCGTGCCAACGTATACTGCCCGCATAGACACGGGTCCGGTGATCCTGGGAGTCTGTCCTCTGGCTTGAACTCTGCCACTAATTTGTTGTCTATGGTGATCCATCGAAGCCGATGATCGTAGTCGGACGGCTCCATACCAGCCTTGCGGGCATCTGGGGCTATTCCGGCCCTCTCGAGCTCCAAGACAGCTGCTGGTCCGTAGGCCATGGCGCGAGGAGAGTTGTCAATGTCAGGGAGCCCCTCGATGAGAGTCGTGCTGATGCCGGCCTTTGCGAGCAAGAGTGTGGTGATCAGGCCGACGGGCCCGGCGCCCACGACGACTACCTCGCAATCTACTGCGGTCGCCATTGCGGAGGGTGATCCAAACGAGAGATGCTCACAGATTGTTCTTTCAATGATGCACAGAGTCACTGTGCCTCAGGTACATGTTCTCCGCAACAAGGTGGAGGTTGTCTCTACCCCATGGGGCCTTTGACCGATGTCTGCTCTCTCATTACCCCACATGCCCACTGTGTCTTGTCACTTGTATCGACGTTGGAGTTTGTTCGAACAAGAGCCGGCAAATGTAAATTACCTACTGATATAGTTGTGGTGGACTGACTCTACCCCAATCCTCGTACGTGTGTACTTACGGCGTGAATGTGCTTTCGGAAACCTGGATCGGGCCAAATCGCGCTTCGACCCCTTGTCATGCATGAAGGAGCTTTGGTTGCCCAGTTGGACAAGTCGGACCCACATAGATGTAGGAATGCGCCTGGAAGAGCCAGGTTTTGTGACGGAGTTTGACCGGAGGTGACATCGCTGGAGTTCATGTATTCATGAACACCTTTGGTCGTGATGGCCACGAGGCCTTTAGGCTGAACAAGAGGCAAGGCGACTTTCAAATTCTCATCCTGCCCTCGCAGTCTAAGTGTTTTGGGGCCCGTCAGTGTCATGTTTGTAGGTAGATCCAGAAACTAGCGGCGGAAATAGTCAACGAGGCCTTTCACTTAGTGATGGCCACGGACGAATACCACCACCACAGTTGGCTGCATCCGATCTTTGTGGGCAACGTCTGGGCCATGACTGTGTCCGAAGGGTCCTCAGATCTGTGGTCCTGAGAATAGATGAGATACCGACAGTGCCTGTAGTCCTTTTCTGACACCAAGGGCTAAAGGGGTCGCTTGCTACGAGATCTTGGCAAGTGGCGTACAAACACGTTCCGTATTTCTTTCTCTCATCCTGTTGTCATCATCATCACCGCATCCAGCATCTTGCGCTGGTTACAAAGGAATTGAAACACATTCGTCGAAAACAGTGGTTCAGCTTTCTTCCAGGACCAAGACAGGCAGAGACAATTTTGTTCCTCGCCATGATAAAAGGTAGCTACGCCCGTGGGGCGCATTCGGTATCAAACTCAGGCACTTTTCGGCAACTGTCTTGCGAGCCTTTTCTTGCTTTTGAACCCTTCCAGTCGCACAGGTTGAGTGCATAAACGAGCCCGCTGTGTGGTCGTGGAGTGCAATCGCCGAGCGAGGGTTGTGCGGTACTTCTCAAGTCTAGGATGGTGTTTCAACTCGTGAAGGAGAGAATATGGGCTTAAGGTCTGTTGTCAGAAGCTGAGCCTGTCTTGCCAAACCTCGCAGTGCATATGTTGCCGCAGAAGAGGGCTCTGCGATGTTTGCGGCGCCAGAAGATCGCACGATGATAGGATCCTTTCCGCCAGAGAATGGAGGATTTGGTTGCACAATGGCAGGCAGAGAACGGACGGAAGTGAATGGAACATGGACAATCCGCAGGCTTGAGGATGCTGGCGATGAGGTGACGGCGCAGTGAGGGTTTCCTTGTACGCGCAGGAGGCAAACAAGTATATGGGATACAGGCAAACACGACTTCCAGTGTATTCACCCACCACCTCATCTCTCTCTCGTCGTCTATTCACTCACCGGATCTCTTACAGCCTCCTGGTCACCTACAGCCCTCAACTATATCCTCCTCCATCTCTTCCCTGTCCTTCTTCAGTCCGTCGCCTCATCCGCCAACTTCTCACAATCTCCATTGTCTGCGCAAGATGCCAGAGACTTCTCTTTTGGATGTGCCGTCGTCAACCATCTCTCATCCCAAAATCATGCGTTCGACGTCGTATAGCACCATCGCAGCCCAAAGTCCTCAATCCAACCGCCGCAGCACTCAGCCCTTGGGAGCGCCAACGACTCGCCACAGCAGCAATCCCATCGCTCGCAGCCCGCTGCAGCAGTCCTTCCCTGCTTACCCAGGTTCGACCTCTGCTCCGAGTTCGCCGCCGCTCATGCCGGAAAGCCCCTCTCGACGCTCGCGCGTGAATGATCCAGAGGGCCGTAAGAGAGGTGAATCTCGATCTTCCTCGGTGCCAATCGTTGTCCGCAATGCTCAAGGCCAAGAACAACCAGAAGAGAACGCCAGATCTCAACCACGCACACAGCCTCAAACTCATGCTTCCTCACCATCCAAAGGTTCCAATGATGACAAAATCAAAGCAAACTCTAGCAACAGTCGCCGCTCAGTCAAACATCTGACCTGTTTCTGGTGGTGGGAGAAAGGTCACTGCCGCTTCTCCGATGAAGACTGCCTCTACTCTCACTACGACACGGGCCACCACACATCCGCTCCTCGACAAGTCATCGCTGGCGAACCTGCGAAGGCTGGAAAGTCTCTCGAGCGTGAACTGACCAAGATGGCTGCCCACAATCGGTCGAACACTTCAATCGCGTCTTACCATACTGCACCGGGCACGCCTCATGGCAACGGTCATATGCCGACCAGCATTGCAACTTCTTCGCGAGCAGGCTCTCCCACAGGCCCGGGTATTGATCCTCACGTTACTCGTTCCACCACACCCTTCGGCCTAGAGATCAGCCAGGCTGCCCAACTGAGAACTGACAATGACTTTCTTCGCACCCTTGTTCAACAAACCCAACGTGAGAAGGCCATCCTCGTCGAAGCTATGGACTCAATGAAGAAGGAAAAAACCCAGCAGCAGGCTCAAATTGAAGCTATGCAGCTCGAACACGCCAACTTCCTTCACGAGCGCGAGATTCTCCATGCGACCATCCGAAAACTTCAAACCGCCAATCCCAACCCAGTCATATCGACTCGCCCTTCAGTTTCATCTGCCATTGCGCAAATGCAGACTCAATCTCCGTGGGGCGCTATCGGAAGTCGTCGAGTCAGTCCCATTGAGAACGCACCGCACAGAGCAATGAACGCGGAGTCCGGACAGTATGGCAACGTGGCTTTCCAAGGCGGCGCCACTGGCTCCTACAATCCTGCTGCAATGCCTTATGTACCAAGCCCCCGATTCCCCCCCAGCGCAGCGGAGGCCGCAAACGAAAAGTTCAAGGACGTCTTGCGAAACCTAGGTCCAGGATACTAGGTCTTGCATAATGCTGAAGATATGAGCACAGCTTACTCTCATGGGAAGACAGCACTCATAAATGTCAAAGACGCAGTTCAGGTTGGAATATGGATGATCAAGTCTGCGCACTTGTAGCAAATCGAAGAAAGATCGGTTCGGTACCTGCTGCCCCCTGTTGACATCTTCTACGAGGCATTCTGGAACACCTGCACAGTTCGATAAGGGGAATTCTTGAGATTTGTCTGCTGATCATGAGTGCAACAACAGTCGCACTAATCAACACCAATACTCGACAACAAAAGTGTTTTTCTACTTCACTCCACCAGTCACAGCACAACCCCCACATGTATGAGCTTTGCGCTGCCCGCAGCTACACTTTCTTTTTATCAGAGCTTGTCTTCAAAGCCCAAATATTCCCATTGGCACCAAGCAAACAAACGTTGTCGACTTGATCACCATTTCCACTTGCAGCGAAGGAGAGGCACCGAGAATCGTTTTGTCTAAGAGCTTCGGTGCTCAACATAAAAAAGGGTGCACGCGGACCAGTCAGCCAACACCAGCTTTTATCACACCTGGCACCTATGACCATGAAGGATGCAGGTGTCTCGCTCCTGGAGCTGAGCTGATGACATCTTCAATGGCACCATTACGGAACAAGAACAGGAAAAAAAAAGAGGAAAACCCCACATACAACGCGACACAATATGAGAAACAGGGGGGTGAACAACCGGCTGCATTGCGACAAGCAGAAAGTTATACTGTGCACTAGCAGGTTGAGAATTGAATGTGAGCTTGGATAACTGGTGACAGGTGCTGGTACTGGTGCTGGTTATGGTTGAGTACCATCAGAAACCGAACAAAAACACAAAGCAAAACAGCCGGACAACCCCCTGGGCCATGCAGGCATTCAAGTATGCGTACTTTCTTTCTACCTCACGTTGGTGGTCGTCCCGAAAGCAGACAATGTCGCAAGTCTGCAGAGTGTTACTTTAGACTTGGTAGCCCCTTTCTTTTTTTTTCTGCTTTTTGCAGGATTCCCCCCCTTTCTAGAAAAATCATAAAATCACAATCAATTGGCTTGATCTCTTGTCCGCCTTCTCCTTTCTTCTCCTTGTTCTTCAACGCTGTTTCGACGTCGGTCGGGTCTCTCTCTGGCCTGACGGAACAGCGTAGTACGGCAAAGGACGCACAGGGGACTTTTAGTACATCAGGTACCTAGGGTGGTTTGCTAGCTGTGCGGCCCTATTCATCCATGCCTCATGGCGCTAGTCACCATTACAGTACACTCCAGCACGGAGAGGACAAGTACGCAGGTACACAACGACATACTTAGAGCGGACTGGGCCCAATAGAGTACCTAAGTAGGGGATACATGACAGTATGTACCTATGTACCTGGACGAGAAAAGAGCCGTGTCGGAGAAAGTTTAGATAAAGAAGGAAGAATTACTTGTTTTAAAAAGTACTCTGCGCCAATCGACTGGCGGCGTTCCTCGCGTCAACACGATCATCATCCTCGTCGTCCTTGACACTCGCGCCCGTTGCGCTTCTAGGTCGACCGGCGCCCCCGGCGTTGGACGCACCGTCGGCACCGTTACGCGCAGCGGCATCCTCGTCCGCCTCCGGAATCCCCGCGGGTCCGATGCTGCCACTCATACTCCGCGTGAGGGCGTCCCGGCTTCGCGCCACGCCGCTCCACGCATCGCCCTTCGCACCCTGGCTGCTTGCCATGCTCACCCTCCGCACGACCGGGTGGTTCTCGCGTCCCAGCCTGCTCAGACCGCCCGAGGAGTCGATCGCGCGGACGTCAGGTCTGACAGACTCGAGGGTCGCGAGGGTCCGGCGCTCCGCCTCGATCTGGCGAAGGACGTACTCGCGCAGGGAAAACATGAATTCATTGCTTGTACGCTCGAACCAACGTCGCTTCTCGAGTAGGAGGTTCGCCGTGACGCGCTGCGTCTTGGAACGGAGATAGTTTTCTTGGCTCAGGGCTTCGTCGAGCGAGGAGATTGCCTCATCAACTTTCTCCCGACGCACGGAGGAACTGGATTTCAGGCGCTGGACGGCAGTCTCTTTGCTGCGACGAGATGCTTCGGCCTGGACGAGCTCACGTAGGAGGATGTGGCGGTTCGTCAGTGTCTCTTTGACGATGAAAGCGTCAGAAGAGTGGTAGGCCAGCGAGTCACCTAGAGTAGTGGCTTCGGCGGTGCCTTGCGCCGCGTGGTAGTCGCCGCACGTTTGAATGACGCGGCCCAGTTTGCGGTACGCAGTGGACAAGCCGGGGTGTGTCTCCTGAACGTGCATTTGAGTCAATTTTTCGCCGAGAGAAGACTCAGCAAGCCCAAGCGCTGAAAAGTGTTAGCATGAGGGGGTGATCATGAATGCATCGTCTTTTATACGCACATCTTCTGGACTTTACCACCTTTTCGAGCTTCTGGCTGGTATCCAGCGAACTGAGGTAGAACATCTTGGCCACTGGTCGAGCTTCGTGTAATTCTGGAGTGTCATCTGGCGGAGGAGCGAATTGCTTCAAGACCTTTCTGCGCACACCGGTGGCAGGTTGCTTCATTCTGACAACAGGAGAGTAGCCGAAATCGCTTTCCACGAAGAACACCATCTCTTCATCGCGCATAAGAACATCATTACCACACACAACGTTCAACCATCTTTGTATCGAGTTCTTGACCCGAATTTCATCCTCATCGGTTCCGGCGCCGGCAGATGTGATGCTCGGAGGGACGGCAGGTACGAGTGCTTCAGGATTCGCAGAGATTAGATGGTCGGCTAGTTTTACGAATTCGGAGTGTGTTCGACGGACATCGCGGAATTGTGTCGTTCGGAACTTGGGTAGATTGGTCTACAAGTACAATTAGTAGGCCTCGTAGAGTGAAGGTTAATGATAACCAACATAGACATCGAATCTAATCACTGGATCTTTGCGCCCGGTCCTTTCTAAAGCTGTCACCTTCGCTTGTAGTCTGTACTGAGGTGCTGGCTTTTGCGGCTTTCCATGATATCTCGCTGCCTGTTGGCGGGGTTGGCCTTGGGGTGACTGCTGCTGCCCTGATGCTGCCTGAGGATCTTGTGACGAAGATAGCGTTCGGCTGGGTGAGTCTGGGGCTTGTTGTCCATCAACACTGTCGGCCGCGTCTGGAGAAGTAGCCGTCGCTGGCTGCGAGAGGTATGGGGACTCTGGAATGCTATCTTGGGAGTGGCCATACGAATGACCTTGGATGGGAGCGGGCGACTCGGGAGACGACGTGGCATTGGGAAACCCTCTGTCGGCGCGAGGAGACGATGACCCCCAAGGAGAAGCCCCGTGCAGGGCATCAGCCTCAGACGAGACCACGGAGTAGTCCATGTTGATTCACGAACTCGAAGCAGATGAGGCACAGGCGTTGACAAGTGGTTCTAAGCTGGGAGAAGAAGCATGTCTGGAAGAGAGTCGACAGGTATGCACCGAGGAGATCCGCGATATCGAGGAGGCGAGCGGAGTCGGTATGGGAGGCGAGCTGCTCAGTAGGTGAAGGGGTACCTAGTACTGTAGGAGGCCGTTGTACACAGTACTTGTAACCCGCACTACTTGCTCTCCACTACCTGTAAGTTCGCATGCGATGCTTGCTGCGAGCCTTGGCGGGCCTAAGTTACCATGCGCCGCTTTATCACCCAGACCGCGTACACTGTCGAGATGTCTTCATGCTCCCTCTATACACAGATAAATGTCCTGAAAAGCCTTATTGACGCCGAATTAGAATGGATATATCTAGCAGCTACTGCTAGCACGCAAAATGCAAGTACTTTGCTCTTACCTGGTGTGGCTAAGAAAGATATGCTTTTTCCGAAAGGGATAGGCGAATGCGTGTAAAGGTAAGACATGGTTTACCTGAACCTCTGGATTCTAGAAGCCTTCCCATGTCTCTTCTTCAGGAAGAGCCAAAACAAGAGCCAATCCCCATCAGAAGAAGACGAGGGTGTTTCACGGAGCAATCATATTATAACCATTGATACAGCAAGGTCAATCACATAGCCACCGCTTCTTGTCAATTCAATATGTCACATCTATCCCTTCGGTCGCCCTGGTCACTTTGAGGATGAGTCTGGCGACGTCAAGCACGGCGAGGTAAACCCAGAAAGCCTCAGTACCTTGGGGGTATTAACGGTAGAGGTGTCCTTTGGCAATGTGGCATGGGATCCCGGGTTCCAGAAGTAGACCACGTCTATACCGCATCATGAAGGTCACTGCTATTGACATGATCCATCAATTGCTTAGGTTCTTGTGCCTTTGGCATGTGCGCCGATATTCATCTGTGTCGCACTTAATGCTGAAACCAAAGTACCGGACAAACGCCACCTGAGGCTTTGAAGCCTAGTTGCACGGCAGACGAACATACAGAGATACTCAATCTGGTTAGTAATGCGTTTTGAAGCGGCACAAAGGAAGAGAGCGCACCACGTTGGTGAATCCAAGGCGTAGAATCGGATTGGGTGTTCAGAATAGAGCGACAACTGAAGTCCCTCTGGCAGCCTTACAGGGCTTGGCAACACGTGGTTTCACGTGTTTGAGGGTCGGGTCAAGTTTTCTTCCGTCGACCTCCCTGCATGTTGAACTCGACATCCCTCAATAGTAATCTTTTCTTTGACTTATTCATTCTCTTTCGATCGCTGCGTTCTTTACTGCTCACATTGTGTCTTGAAGGGTTTATCATTGTCAACCATTAGCCGCTACGACAACCCGGGGGAATGGTAGTAATCTATGGCAGGGTTCTCACACGCTCCACTCTCAGATCTGTTGGACCTTGCACAGCATCACTGAAACGAGGAGCGTCTTTAAGGTCAATCCCAGCATCATGTCGTCTGTCAACCTTATCGCACGCTTCCCAGGCTGCGCTCCGAACGAGGAATATCGGTATCATAGCTCATATCGACGCCGGTAAAACGACCACTACGGAGCGCATGCTCTACTACAGTGGACACACCCGACGCATTGGTGATGTTGATGAGGGGTCGACGGTCACAGATTTCTTGCCAGCTGAGCGAGCTAGAGGCATCACTATCCAGTCTGCGGCCATCACATTCGAATGGCCTCCGAGGGGTGATCAACAAGCTGCCCAACTCGCCAAAGACTTTGATATAGGAACAGACACGCAGCCACGATGTCAGTATCCTCACAACATCAACTTGATAGACACTCCAGGCCACGCAGACTTTACCTTCGAAGTTCGACGATCGCTGAGAATTCTGGATGGTGCAATTTGTATCCTCGATGGAGTCGCGGGAGTCGAAGCACAAACGGAGCAGGTGTGGGCCCAGGCAGCAGAATGGAAGATTCCGCGGATAGCCTACATCAACAAGCTTGATCGAGATGGTGCTGCATTTGGTAGAACCGTGCGTGAGATCGGCTCGCGACTCAAGGGGTGGCCTGCTGTGTGTCAAATACCGTGGTTTGAAGGCGGAAAAGGTCAATTTACAGGCGTTGGCGATGTGATCAACCTAGAGGGACTATTGTACACACCAGGAGATGACGGAAAGAGTGTTCGACGGATTCCACTATCACAGATGGAACAAGAATGCCCAGATTTGGCCACGGAGCTGCATCGTGCAAGAGTTGCTCTAGTTGAACTTCTAAGTGAACATGACGATCAGCTCGTAGAGGCTTTCTTTGAGGCGGAAGAGGATCATCTCAATGTCACACCTGCTCAGCTGCTCCAAAGTCTTCGAAGGTCTCTCCTTGCCGAAGATTGCAGCATCATTCCTGTCTTTGCAGGCGCAAGCTTTCGAAATATTGGGGTTCAACCACTATTGGATGCAATCAACAACCTGTTGCCCAGCCCGGCAGAGCGACCAGATCCTGAGATCAGTCTCGGATCCCGCTCTGGTGGCCTTTCACAGTTAATGAGGGGCGAACTATCGCTTCGTAACGACGACACGAACAAGGGAAAGAAGAAAGGAACCGTGCCAGGGGTACCTTCCATTGAGAACACGCTGCAGGGATGTGCATTAGCTTTCAAGGTTGTCAACGATCCACGCAAAGGCGTTCTTGTTTATATACGAGTGTACTCCGGCTCGATCGATCGCAATTCCTTGCTGTATAATACGAACTTACAGAACTCCGAGCGAGCGTCGACGCTGTTACGCATGTATGCATCAGAGTCTGTACCTGTACAGTCATTGAAGGCTGGCGAAATCGGCGTCATTGCAGGGTCAAAATTTGCACGAACGGGCGATACTCTGGTTTCGTACGCCGGCAACAAAGCCACACCCCCAGAACCCTTAAACAAGCTACAGCTTCGACCTATCAAAGTACCACCACCGGTATTCTTTGCATCGATAGAGCCGAACAGTTTGCGAGAAGAAAAGGACATGCATGAAAAGCTTGCTCTGCTTTTGCGAGAAGACCCCAGCCTGCAGATTACCCAGGATGAAGATACTGGTCAGACCCAGATCAGTGGAATGGGAGAACTGCACCTTGAAATTGCCCAAGACAGACTCGTGAACGACCTCAAGGCTCGGGCTAACATGGGGAAGATTGCCATTGGTTACCGGGAATCATTGCCCCAGGCTTCGAAGCCAATCACTAAATCCTTGGACGGTGATCGTGCAGCCACAAAGGGGAGAGCAGGATGCACAGCGATTGTAGAGCCAATCTCGGACGCTGATGAGCCTTGCAAAGGTAATGAAGACGACGTCTTTAGTTACGAACAAGACGGAAATCTCATCGTTATTGAGACGCCCACGCTGGACAGAAAGGGCCGGCCGATCAGCTCCGACAATGTACCACTACCACCACATCTCAACCTTACTGAGATGCAGGCAGCATACGTCAATGGCGCACTGGCTGCTCTGAGTAGAGGACCCTCATACTCCTACCCGATGCGCAACACCAAAGTTACGTTGAGGCTCATTCCCGCAGAACATACTTTTGGCTCCGAGACGACGTACTCTTCACTGACCTCTGCAGCTCGACTTGCCACCATAGCCGCCTTCAAAGACGCGACAAAATCCAGTCCAAGTTCGCTGATGGAACCCGTGATGAATGTCGACATCAGTGTTGATGAAGCCAGTCTGGGCAATGTCATCCAAGACATCTCGTCAAGTCGCGGTGGTCAGATTGTGTCCCTGGGAGATCATGAGGAGGAGAACGCCAGTAGTGAAGGACCTCAGAGAATCGATGTCAACAAGATTTACGCTCCCAAAGACCCATTTGAGTCTGGATCATCGTTGTCGGGCGAACAACACGATCATGTTAACATCCAGAGGACCGTAAAAGCGAAGGTGCCCCTGAAAGAAATGGTCGGGTACTTGAAGCACCTCAGAAGCATGACTGGCGGTCGCGGGACTTTTGTCATGAGTGTAGACCGCTTCGAGAGGATTACCGGTCCTCGAGAACGAGCACTGATCGCAGAGTTGCGCGGAGGAGACCTATGAAAAGGGGTTTGCTTCACATGGCTGAGTAGTTGATGAGGACCTTTCAGGGGTTTCGGGTGGAGCAGGGAGCCCAAGTGGCCCGCGCCTCCCAAGGCTTGTATATTTATTTGGTTATCATATACAGTAGATTTGACATGTAACAACAGACCATCTCCAACGCAACTTCTTCTCTACCGGATTATCTCTCTGAACGCTATAGTCTACACACGCACGATCTCAATTAAGCATGCTGTGCTGACAACACATGCGACCCTTGGCTGAGTAAACTGAACGAACAAAATCTCCTGCACCTTGGATCCACCCCTCATTTTGCCAACTCCCTCGACTACTCGACAAAACACACAAAATGGCCTCCAAGGCGATGTGGGAGGTCGACCCGGAGACCAGAGCCAAGGTACTGATATACAGCCTTGTACTCTAGGGAGCTCACATGCTGACAAGATGCAGCTCGCTCAGATAAGTAAAAAAGAGGGTGCAGCAAACGATAAGTGCTGCGACTGCGGCGCCCCTTCACCGCAATGGGTGAGCTTCGAGTTACCCCTGGCCCGTCTTTGTGCGCAACCGCGATCTCTAACTATACGTACAGGCCTCTCCCAAATTCTCCACCTTCATTTGCCTGCAATGCGCCGGTACACACCGCGGATTGGGGGTGCACGTGTCCTTCGTCCGGTCCGTGTCGATGGACGCCTTCAAGCAAGGCGAAATCCTACGCATGCAATACGGCGGGAACAAAGCGTGGCAGGACTTTTTCACCAAGAACTCACCCATCCCGTTTGACGAATGCACCATCAAAGAGCGCTACGACTCCGAAATCGGCGAGGAGTGGAAAGAGCGGCTGAGCGCGCAGGTAGAGGAGAGGGAGTTCGATAAAGCGGCTTTCCTCAAAGAGCGACAGGCCATCAAGGAGAGGCAAGCAGCCCGGTCAGCCACGCCTGCGGCGGCCGGCGCTAGAAATAGCAGTGCAAATGGCCAGGGCGGACGGACATCCTCTCCTGCGCCAGGACGAGGGCCCGGCATATCAGCTGAGCAAAAAGCACAAAACGAGGCCTACTTTGCGAAGATGGGCGAGGCCAATGCCTCGAGACCAGACACCCTCCCACCCAGCCAGGGTGGGAAATATGGCGGTTTCGGCAGTGGCCCGGTCGAGACGCAGTCATCGAGCGGTGGCATACCCAGTGCCGATGACTTCTCGAAAGACCCAGTGGCTGCGTTGACAAAGGGCTTTGGCTGGTTCTCGGCAGCTGTGGGAAAGCAGGCCAAAATCGTGAATGACTCGTATATCCAGCCGACGGCTAAGAATGTACGTATCTCGCCCCAACCTCATCCCCCGTTCACTTGTTGTTTTGTAGGTTTCGGCAAAGGCGACACAAAGTACTGACATGGTGATGGATAGCTTGCATCTTCAGACCTTGCTGCACAAGCACGCACCGCGGCCCTGGCTGCTGGAAAGAACATCCAGACCGGCGCCAAAGGTGCGGCCGAGTCATTCAACAAGTTCGTCGAGGGCCAGGACGAAAAGGCCAGCGCTGCGGCAAGACGGGTGGAACCTGAACGCAAGGATTTCTGGGACAGTTTTGGCATGGGCGCGAGTGGCGCACCGAAGCCCGCCAGCAGTATCGGCACGAGTGCGATGAAAAAGACTCCCGGTGCGTCGCAGAAGTCCAAAGATGACGGTTGGGGGGATGACTGGTAGACAATGACAATGACAATGACAATGATGATGACGTCCCTCCAATCGCTATGTTATACGCAGTCATGATGGACCGATTCTCAACAACTGCAACACCCAGATCGTCCTATAGGAACCGACGCCCCCCGTGGGACTGGGGTTGACATTTTTCCGCCAAACCAACGAGATGTCATTTTCTACACGGCCGACTCTGGGTCTGATGCTGATACCGATGGAGACGAACGTGGGCGGTGGTGTTTACCTGGGGGCCAGACACGCTGTTATCAGCCAAGGGGCCGTTGGTCGTTGGACGGTGACCACCCTTTATCTACAACAACGCGTGCGGCCTGCCTGTTGGACTGTACGGCAACCATTGCCAACACGAATGCCGATGCAAATGGAAAGGCCAAAGTCAGCGCCCAGAGTCAGCGTCAACTCCCAGTTCGATTGCTTCGAATACTACTGGGAGTATCTACCGATGTAAGTGACAGGTACGGCGGGTGTGGTGTTCATCGTGCTCTGCGCGAACAGGGGAGGATGGAGCTTGGAAAACACACGATGGAATCCATGGATGTCATGAAGTGTCACACGGCTGCCTCGGTCCTTTTGAGGGCGTCAAATAGGGTGACACTTTCACAAAGAACAATCCCTCCGCATACTCGGTGCAACGAACCAATATATGATTTCATTGTCAGCGACTAAATTCTGCTTTTCAAGAATCTGTGACTCTGGTATCGCGCTTTTGTCTTGCTATATATTACATACACCTATGACGACCGTAACGATTTTTGGTTATTGTTAATCTTTTTTTCTCGTTTCCAGCTTCCAAAGATGTCATCTGAGCTGATCTGATCTGATCTGATCTGGTCCGATAGGTCATGTAGTTCTCCCTCCGTAATCGTACAGCTGTGTTCTGTCGTCGTCGTCTTGCTTTTCTGATGGGACTAAGGGTCTCAGGAAAATCAGCGTCTGACATTGTCCTTACCTCCCGCTGCCGCCACGCCACGAATCACCTCCTCGTCCACGATACCCTCCCCTTCCACGCGTGCCCGTAAGCCTGTCTTGTCCGCGCTTGCCGAAGCCGAACTCGGGCCCTTTGTCCGCCCACTCCTCGCGATCCTTGAACCGCTCGAACGAGTACCGCTTCATGCCCTCGTCGCCACTCCGGCCCATCTCGCCGTGGCTGAGGCGCAGGTCTCGGAACATGTCCTGTCTCTCGCGCGCCACGGCCTCGGGGACAGGCTTGAAGTACAGCTTCGGCTTTGCCGTCGTAGAGTCGAACAGCTCGTCTAGGGCTTTGAACCCGCGGCCACTTGTGTCCTGTCTCTTCGGTCCCGTCGGTGGCTGCTGCGGTCCCCTCGGGCGGTCACGGTCGCGGTAATCGTCTCGCGGACCGCTTCTCGGAACCAGCCCGGCTCGGTCAGGGTGAACCTCACCTCCGGCTGGTCTGTCGATGGACATTCTCGAGCTCAATCGTGGCTCTAATGGCGGTCGTTGCTGCTGAGGCTTTGTCGTATCGACTTCTTGGAAAATCGCCTCAACGCCGTTCTGACCCTCTTCGTAGACGACTTCGTAGCGTCGTCCACCTGCCCGACCTCCGCCGAAACCGCCCCCTGTCTCCCGTTCGATCCAGTCCTGAACTTTGTCGTCCGGTATATAGTCCACGAAAAGCGGTTCGCGCATGTTCTCGTCTGGGAAGCGTGTGCCGTGCATAGCTGTGCGGACGCGTGACGCTGAGGACACGGAAGAGAACGAGACGAATGCGTGAGTACGGATGCTGTCCAGGTAGAATACTTTGATAGGATCAATGTCGTCTGACGGATCGCGCGATTTGGCAAGGGTGAGGATGTGGTTGCGAAGTGAGGGGATGTGAAGCGGTCGTTTGAGGTTGCGGATGTATATTGACGAGGTTGCTGGATGGATGGCGGGAGGGACTTCGTGTTCTTCGGAGGGACTTTGCGAAGGCATTCTTTCTGCAGCTGAAGCAGCTTGGTGATTGATGGTTTTAGTGATGGCGTCAGCGCTCTCGTTTCGGATGTCTTTGGCTGCTTCAGTTGCTGCTTTCATCTCCTGTAGCGCAGCGACCTCCCCGGCCTTCTCATCTTCTCCTTCAGAGCTAAGCCTGGCCTTTTTCCGTGCCAGCTCTTGGGCTGTTGGAACAGGTGTAGCGCTTCGCTTCCTTCTGCGCGTCTGGTCTTCAACAAAGTCGCCAGGTGGTAGGGGAGTGCTTCTGTCCGAATGCGACTGAACCAATGGTAGTCGGTTCGAGGAGTCTTCGGCTATAGCCACCTTCTCAGCGGCAGCGCTGGGTCTTTCTTGCTCCGTAGCTTCCACCTCCCCTTGGGGTTGTTGAGGCTCTAGGGTGGACAATTCGTCCTTGACAGTTTCCGATTGTGAGGTTGCTGGAGCGTTAGCCATTTCCTCTTCATTTTCACCCCCGCCATCCTCTTTCTGTGGCTCAGCCGGTTCGCTATCCTCGATTTGACCTTCTACAGGAGTCTCGTTCTCTTGTTCTCGTGTCTCAGTTTTGGCAGTTTCGGGCGAAGCGTCCTCTATACCCTCCGTCCCCGGTTTTCCATGCGACGCGTCTGTATCGCCATTGGCATCGGGAATTCCCACCGCATCTTTGTCGCCGTGAGGCTGGGGAGGGGTTCTGGTCGTAGTTGCATCATCCTTGACTTGCTCGTCGGTGTTGGCGATATTTGAAGGTTCATGACTGTCTCCCTCGGGGGCTGCCTCGACAGGTTCTTCTTCGCCACCAGGCTCTACCTCCTCTTTTGGAATGTCATGTCCTGCTTCATATTCTTCAAGTTTGTCGACATAATGCTGTTTGAGTTTGAGACCAGTAAGAGGGATGCCGCGGCTCTTACACTCCTCCTTGAGGTCTACAACTTTCAACTTGTTCCAGTCCGTCATATTGTCGCATGGGCGCGTTAACGCAGGCGCAGAAAACGAGCGACCGTAGATTATCCCCTACAGGACAGGGTCGATATGAGGGACGCGGGCATAGTGTTGGTTAGACAAAGCACTCGTGGTTGGGCATTTTTCGGACAGCCAACGCGCGCAATGCGACTTGACGCCATATAGTCGTGCCTCACGCCCGATCGGGAAACAGGATCATGCCGCCCTTGCTCCAGCCAGGCTCGCGCGAGCATCACTAGCCCGCCTGGCTGATCACCCTCGATGCAACCGGTTGGAGGGGCGAAATCCTGGTACTCGTACGACACTAACGTATTAACGGACGGTGGGTAGATGGTGCTAGCCTACTTGTATTTTATGTACCTAATCTGTCTTGCTGACCGGGGTTGTGCTAAGGGACCCTGCGGGCAGGTTATAACGCCGCAAAGCAGCGTGGGTTTCTGGCCGAGGCGTTGGGAGGGTGATATCCGATTGTGGCTTCACTCATCTCTCCATATCCACGCTCGACGCGTACATTTATGAACCTTATGTCTTCTTATTACCAAAGTCAAGTTGCGGTGACTTGTACACAAATACTAATATAATGTCCGCTCTAAGGAGTGATCTCACCAAGTGTTACGGACAGACGCTCCGAGCTGATAAGATAGAAACGCATAGCCGGAGAAGCTACTCGTCAAGAGAATTCACATCAATACCACTTAGTGTGGTGAGAACGCGAATAAGTTTGAGATCCTTCTTCTTCGGCTATCACTGACGGCGAAGCGACTGCGTGGACTCCGGCAAGAACCGTCTGACTCCTGTGTTCATCCTTCCACGGCTCAAGAGAAGCATGGCTCTCGGAACCCAAAGAAAATGTGTTGTCAAGGGCAGGATGGGCAATTGTCAGCTGGTCTCTCCGATCGTTACGGTCGAACCACTTTTAACTTAGAGCGCTGTCGAAGGATCGGCTATTCGTTGAGCTTTCATGAGGAGATCTTTCCAGATCTGCTGTCCGAGGCTATCCTTTCGAACCCCGGATATCAGGTTGGTCTGGGCTTGTCTGAAGCAGTTTGAAGAAATCACCAAGCTCCTCAGTGTCCAGGCCTATCACTGCCAGCTCGAGATTGTGGAAAGTGTCGTTCTGTGGGGGCCGTCCATCCGCGTTTCGTTAGTTCTCCTGCAGCCCCCTCGGCTCAGAGCCTCGATGAACGGGATGGCCCGCGCCGCCCCGACCCGCCCCCGGCACCCAGGTCACCTTTATCTGTTTACCCCCCTAACTTCATTCTACACGAGCGCCTGTATGGAGGATTGCAAAACAGGTTTCCTCCAAACACCACTTCAAGATTCTTTCGGCCTAGAGTGGAACACGACTCGCCGGAGGTAGATAAGTCTCCAATGCCAGCGGAAGGATTAACAGCCATGACCTGGGCTAAGATACCCCGGTCGTCCTGACAGATCTGAGCCTTTCTCGGCGCATGCCCAGGCGGAACTGTGCCATGCCAAAAGGGGTATGTACAGGTAACTACCATCTAATCAAGCAGTTGTTTCGATCGAAACTTGGGCGACAAGAACTTCTCAAACGACCTTGCTGCATCCCTCCCATAGTTCATCACAGCGCAAAAGATGCCAACCTCGTAGCCACTATCTCACCACTACGGTGTCGCCAGCCACGCATTCCCGTGAGCTTCCGATCGGGCCAGTCGCAGCCGCAGCCTTCGGCGTCCCGTTTCGCAACAGCCCCGCCATCACCTCGACCTCGACTTCACCATCGTCACTGCTATCGACATGTCATCCGTTGTTCCCGTGTAGCGCTCTCATCAAAACCATGTCTTTGAAATCTGCCAAGAAATGGCGATCGAATTTCTTCGCACGTCGTGGCCCAGGTATTCCTACGCCATCCGTAGGTATGTTGCACGTCGGCATAAGCCCGCGTCGCCAGCCTTCTCGAAATACAACCATGTCCAGTCTACTAACAGCGAGACATATAAGACTGCACAAAATTGCCTTCCAGCAACCTGATCGAACCACAAATCCTTCCAAACCGTCCTGTCAGTGATGTCCTATGGACCTCGAGTGGCCCAGAGCCTCACCAGCCTATCAACGCATCCACCGTGCAAGAGACCTTGAACCACTCTTCCAGCAATCCGACACAGGCGGATACTCCACCCCTCATCGTACCCGAAGAACCTCAGCTAACGACGAAACCTACGGGGCAAACCCCAGGTCTTTCCGCATCCCAAAGACTATGGAATGCCGCTTATGACAGCCTCGAGGAGGACGACGACACTGCCGCTCTCGTCACTTCTTACGTGAAGATTCTCACAGGAGTTCTCGCCGAAGGGGACACTGGTGTCTCCACTTCGGGCGCTGACGTGAGTATTGAACTACATGAGCCGACCAAGCGACAAGCACACATGAGGATGCTGGTCGATGCTGGTCGGAACAAAGTTGCCACATCATCTAAGATTACAAAGAGAGTCGGCGACGTCATCGAATACATTCAAAAGGCGAAGGGAATGGTCGACATAGCGATCCAAAACACTCCACAGGCTGCGCTTCCGTGGGCTGGTGTTTGTATTGGATTGCAGGTGAACAGGCATCTTCCTACTTTGGTTTCTAGTCCATATCGACTAATGTCACCTAGATCCTCTCGAATCCACCCATGGCGACAAAGTCCCAACTTATTGGCATCGCCCACGTGGTTTCAAGGATGAACTGGTATTGCGCGCTGAGTGAGGACCTTTTGGATAAGGACCACATCGTAACCAGAAACCGGTCTCTCGAAGCAGTCCTGGAGCAGTTGGAGAAGACGGTCCTCGAGCTATACAAGGCTCTCCTCCTGTATCAGATGAAAAGCGTATGCTCCTACTACCGGAACCAGGGCGTCGTCTTTCTCCGCGGACTTATATCTGTGGACGACTGGGATGGGGATCTCAAGAATGTCAGGGACGCAGAAGCCATCGTCCAGAACGATTCAGCTCAATATATCCGAGAACAGACAAAGACTTCCTTAGGGAAGCTTGTTGAACTTGCTGAACGAATGGAGACACAGCTCAGGGACATTCATCAAGACCTCCGAGATTTCATCGATCTGCAAAAAGAGATGCGTATGGATGACAAGAGTACAGAATGCCTCCGGAGCCTGCGAGTTGTCGATCCGCAGGATGACATAAAGAGGATTGAAGGGGAGAAGGACGAATTGTTCGACGAAGCTTACCGGTGGATCTTTCTCAGGAAAGAGTATACAGCATTCACCAATTGGGACGAACCTGATTCACCTCGACTGCTCTGGATTAAAGGCCTCCCTGGCACCGGAAAGACGATGCTTTTGATGGGTATCATCCGCGAGCTCGAAAGCCAGCTTTCGTTACTAACCCCCAGCCTGGCATACTTTTTCTGTCAGGGAACAGGGGATCAGAGCTTGGCCAAGGCAACGGCAGCCTTGAGGTCTCTCATGTGGCTGCTGCTTCTCCAGCAACCACAGCTCCTCTCACATTTACTGTCGAGATACGAGAAAGCAGGTCCTCCTTTTTTCAGCGACCGGAATGTATTCCATGCTCTCTCTAGTGTTTTTAGGAGCATGCTGAAGGATCCCCTATTGTCTCCAACATATCTCATCGTGGATGCACTTGATGAGTTCAATGAGGGAATGACAGAATTTATCGACCTCATTTCTACTTCTCTCACCCTCTCGAACAAAGTGAGGTGGCTTGTCTCCAGTCGTCCAGACGTCAAGCTTAAGAATCCAGACACTTCACGGTCCTTAGTCGAGCTGGACCCTAGTGTTCTGGAAGACCCGGTCAATAAGTATATCGATCATAAGCTCTCCACCCTTCGTGGAAACGACCGTTACGACGAAGACACCCTGGCCAATGTTTCAAATATACTTCGCCAACGAGCCATGAATACTTTTTTATGGGTTGCCCTGGTGTTTAAAGAACTTGACGCTGAAGCCGAATGTGACGTTATCGACGTTATCGGCAGTATCCCTCCTGGCTTATCAAAGCTCTATGGTCATATAATGACCAGAATCGAGAGGCAACAGAGAAAAGACCCGGAATACTGCAAAAATGCCCTAGTCGCTTCTTCACTCGCACACCGTCCACTTACCCTCGCCGAGCTTAAGGTACTCGCTGATCTGCCATCCAATGTAGACCCACAGAGGATCGTAAACAAATGCGGCTCATTTCTAACAATCACGGAGCAAACAGTGTCTCTGATACATGGATCGGCAAAAGATTATCTCGTCAGGGAATCTACGATCTTCCCTAGTGGACATGCCGACGCCCATCGTGCATTGGTGAGATCGTCGCTCGAATCCATGTCAAAGTACCTCCAAAGGGATATCTACAATTTACGGCATCCGGGTCTCTCCATTGGTGAAGTCCAGTGTCCGGATCCAGACCCGCTCGCGCCCATTCGATACGCATGTGTCTACTGGGTCGACCATATGTGTCTCAGTGAAAGCGGATCCGATAATGGCATAGATGGCCTAAGCTATGCAGAGTATTTCACGGACCAAGGACGCGTCCATCAATTCCTTCTTCAGCATCTTCTTCATTGGTTCGAAGCCCTCAGTCTTCTTGGAGAGATCGACAAAGGAATTCTAGGACTATACAGTCTAGAAGACACACTGGCCAAGTCCCCCTCCCAAAATATTCTTCATCAAAAAGACCTTGTTCATGATGCTATTCGGGTGCTTCGTCAATCCAGGACAGCAGTGGAAGAGGCACCACTTCAGGTATATTGCTCCGCTTTAATATTCTCCCCAGAGGAAAGTGTTGTTAGACAAACCTTTAAGCAGGACGTATTACGGTGGATTTCTCCAATTCCAAGTGTATCAAACAACTGGAATTTCCACCTGCAGACACTGGAGGGCCACGGAGGCTATGTCTTTTCAGTAAGGTACTCTCCCGACGGTAAGCAACTGGCCTCGCAGTCTGACGATGGGACCGTACGGCTCTGGGACACGACGACAGGAAAGTGCCTATATACGCTCGAGGGCCACAATCCAGTAGTGTTCTCGCCTAACGGGCAGCATCTGGTCTCAGACACTTGGGATGGTCCCCTACAACTCGTGGAGGCGACTACCGGAGAGTGCTTACAGATACTCAAGAATCATAAACGCGGAGCCTGTTCAGTGGCATTCTCTCCCGACGGGCGGCAACTGGCCTTGGTTTCTAACGACTACAGAGTGTGGCTCTGGGACATGACGACGGAGAAGTACCTATATACACTCGACGGCTGCAATTCAGTGGCGTTCTCGCCTAATGGACAGCAGCTCGCGTCGGACACTTATGGTCACACCATACGACTCTGGGATGCGACAACAAGGGAGTGCCTGCGGACGCTTAAGAGCCGATGCATGGTTAGCTTACTAATATTCTCTCCTGATGGGCAGCGACTAATCTCAGGCTCATTTCACTCTGTGCAGCTCTGGAACATAACGACGGGAGAGTGCTTAGAGACGCTCCTTGGAGAAAGAGCTGAAGTTAATGCACTGGCATTCTCCCCCGACGGGCAGCAACTGGCCTCGATCTCGTATGAAGGCACTGTACACCTCTGGGACGCGATGACGGGCAAGTATCTTAAGAGCATTGAGGGCCATGGAGGTATACATCTGTCAGTGGCGTTCTCCCCTAATAAACAGCAACTAGTGTCTGGCTCTGGGGATGGCATTTTACGGCTTTGGGATGTAACGAAGGCAGAGTGTCTACTGGCGCTTGAGGGACACAGAGACCCGGTTGATTCCGTCGCATTCTCTCCCGATGGACAGCGGCTAGCTTCCGGCTCCAGAGACTGCACTATTCGACTCTGGAACGCGACCACCCAGAAACAGACACTTGAGGGTTACGGAGACTCGATCTCATCATTAGCGTTCTCTCCCGATGGGATGCGACTGGCCTCAGGCTCTGCTGATGGCACTGTACGACTCCGGGACGCGACGACGGGGGAGTGCTCACATACCCTCAAGGGCCATACGACATTAGTTTATTCAGTGGCGTTCTCTTCCGACGGGGGGGTACTGGACTCGAGGTCTGGGCGCGCCAGCGTAAGGATCTGGGACACGACGAACGGGGAGCTCTTGCTGATGCCGGACAGCCCATGGGAGATTATAGAGGTGGAGATGTTGACCAATCTCGATCACGATGGCTCGAATCTCTTATCGCGCGATTCTCCTCAATGGGGAAGATATGGCATGAGAGACAAGAATGCATGGGTTACTCTAGATGGTCGCAAAGCTCTATGGCTTCCGCCAGATTATCGACCGACGGAACTCGCGATTAGAGATGATCGTGTTGGGATAGGGTGTAAGTCAGGTCTGGTTTTCATTCTCAATTTTGTGCGCAAATCCTTTGTCCTATAGCATCAACCGGATCAAGAGCCTTGCACATCAAACGAGTAAGAACTGCGCGCGAGGCTGAGCGGGATATGAGTGTCACGTGCAATCTCCAACACAAGGCTGCGGTTCCGTGAAGCATGCATCGTCTTCGCACCTTCAGACTGCGCAATCCCACCCCACCTGCCTGTATTTATTCTCGTGCGAGTACCATTGTACACACTTACCAACGACCTCCATACAATCCTTGCTTGGCCTACAGTCTGAGGGCAGCGTAGTCGTCTTATAAAGCTAGGCACATTCTCGGCTGCGAAGCGTGCCGGGAAGTGTAGCGACAAAACCTCATGGAGCACAATCCACAGCTCTGGTCCGACTTCGTAAAACGCCTGTCCTGACCACGGCCACGGTCGCGATGACCTGGCTCCCTAATACACAATTATCATGGAAGATGATCTCGCCACAAAGGCGTCCGAGACTGTTGACCGTGTAGAAAAAGAGTTGATTTCGACCTTGAAACACAAAGAGCCTGTGTATCCACGGTTGGAACAGCAACTTGCCAGGTAAGAGGTGGTATACTTACCCAAATGCCACAGCATTGACATAGATAGACTCCGTACAGCATGTCAAGATTGTATCTTTGCCAGTTTCGAGCTGGCCACCACGCGCAAGGTCGAGTCACGCTTATGGGACGCACATTCAAAGGTCAATAAGACATTCAGGGTCTTTTTGGCCAGATTCCGGGAGGGAGAGAGCAAGAAGAAGCATGTCGAGCGCCGAAAGGCCGAAAAGCTCTATCTTGATTTTATCAAATCAAGCATGCGCTTCTATCGTGGTTACGTGCAGCGGCTGGCTTCTCACTTTGCCGATATACCGGAAGTATTTGAGGTTGCTCGAAAGTTCAACCTTGATGGTGAGTGCTCGCTTTGGATTCCAAGAGGGAGCTAACAGATCTAGCCTCATCAGTTGACTCGTCTCAGCCCGTAGACTTGGCTCTCAAAAGGCAGATCATTCGCTCTTGCTACCTGACTTTGATCCAGCTGGGTGACTTGTCCCGCTACAGAGAGACAGAGCTGCAGACCAAAGAACGCAACTGGGGACCCGCCAAAGGATATTATGAGCTGGCCACCACACTTGACCCTTCTTCTGGCATGTCTTACAATCAACTGGCCGTTATCGCTCTGGCAGACCAGGATCATTTACGGGCAGTGTATTATCTTTACCGTGCCATTTCCGCTCCCAATCCTGCTCCTCAGGCCGAGGGAAACCTAAAGATTGAGTTTCGTAAGGTCAAGTCCAAATTGACACAAGGCAAGCCGTTGTCGGATGTCGCCTCCACTAGCGACGCGAACACCGATCTCTTACACCGCTTCCTCCTTTTCCATGCCCGGTGCTTCGAAGCAGGCTTCGTCGATCATGGAGATCTACAAAGCGAGATCCTCAATTTGCTCGCAAATGAACTTCAAGCCAAGCGCTCTGATAATCTGCTTCGGAAATTCTGCTTGATCAACATCGCTGCCGAAAAGTATGCGGCAGACAAGGCCATAGGTGCGTAGTATCCTCACTGCTTCAAACGTTGACTGACCAATGCGAGAAGCTGTCGGGGGCGGTGATATACCATCGGCAGCTGGGTCCTACCAAATGCTGTTCCATCTTAACATCTTGACCTTTACTCGTCTTCTCAAGATGCTATTTGAGGAGCTTCAACGACATGGACCAGTGCGGTCCGATGTCTTGAGTGTTCTATGCAAACGTCTTCTGCCTCATTTAAGGCTTTACAGCGATTGGTTCCTAACCAACGTCAACTATCTTCTTGCCAGCAGTTCCTCGCAAACTGAGTTATCAGAGTTGTGGCAGATATATGCCCAAACAATCACTCTTCTCATTCAAAGATTCGCGGTTCCTACAATTCCTGACATAGCTTACCTACTGGAGGAAGATCAAGATACCTTAGGATTTACACCTTTTCAAAAGTCCATCGGCGAGGAACGATTTCACGATTCCGCAAACGACGTTAAGCCAGTGTACTCGGAATCAACTTTTGGTGAGCGCTCAGTCGAAAATGAGATGCTCTATCGTATCAAAGGTCTTGTCAAGGACGGTTTGTTTCTCTGCCAAAGAACGGTGGGTTGGTTCCACAAACCGCGTGATCTGGGCTGACTTGGGTAGGGTCAATTTGAACCAGATTCGAATCTCACGAATGCGGTTCCTTTAGTCTTTGCTGGGAAGCAGCTGATTTACACGGGACAGGGTGATCTGCAAACCTTGTCGTCGATGGGCTCTTCGATACACATCAATAGTTCGGCGGGAAGCATCGATGTCGATAACCTTGACCGCGTCAGCAGCTCACTCAACGCCTTTTCTCAGCGTCCAGCCCACCCTGACGGTGTTTCAGAAGCTGTTCTGAAGTCGACAATGGAAAACATGGTGATCGACCTTACAGAACGGGAAGAGCCCGCTCAATTCGAGTTGCAGAGTGATCTTTCACCCCGAAGTATGAAGACGCCATATGCACAAGGTTTTCCGCGACGAAGCTCGCAGTTGTCTCATGGGCCAGATGTTATGCCAGAACAGACACATTCCTTCCGACTCTCGACCGGTTCTCTTTCTGGACTTCCGGGCCAGATTGGTGGACGGCCAATAATTCCTCCCGTTACGCATTCGCCTTTTACGCCCACCGCCGAAGAGTCTGGCTTCTCACCTCGTACAGGCATCGTGAGGCGTCCTGATTCACTGGCTTTCCCAGCTCAACTTAATAGTGCGGTTCAATTTAATGCGCAGATCAAGCATATGCAGCAACAAATTGAGATCATGTCTTCGCCCCTTGAGTCTTTCCAGCCAACCATGTCGAGTCACTATGGCACCCCGACACATTTGCCCTCGTGGAGTCGCATAGATGAAACCGATAAGCTTCCACTGTCACCTTGGCAAGATCTCGGTCAGGTGCAAAGAACAGGTCTTTCAACACGAAGTCCAGAGCCATCTCCATTTGGGGCCATTGGAGAAGCACGACCTAAGAGCAGTCGTGCGCCAACAAGCGGACAGCATGGATGAAGGTTCTTCATATTCACTGACAATGTGACCCAATCTCACAAGCGGGACTATTCTGTGAATAGAGTCAAGCGAATCGGTCCGTAAGGTTGTTGTTCAGGGATGCCAAGCTGTCGCTTGACTATGCCTTATCACCTGGGATCTAACAGCACCTATCACAAGTTGCATGGCTGCGCCCCGAGTCGCCAGATGACCTTGAGGCTAGTCGACAATGGGCTCTGAAAGTCCTTGACCATACAACACAGAAGGTCGAGCCTCGGTCTCTGCGAATTCATAGTGACGAAGACATTAAGAATGACAAAGCCGGTAGAACAGGAGATTCATTTCTGAACTTTTTGTGTCTATGTGTGGCGAACTCTTCCATACTGCGAGTTCTCAGGGTACAAAGACCCTTTCTGGCTCTATATGGTAGCGCTACTTTTTCATCATCATGTCGTGGAGGACGTGCGTGGTATCATGCCAAAAAGTGTGGTCTTGTTGAAATAGACCGTATCGTACCAAATCAAGAACGCCTTAGTGTTACAAATCAATGTGGTAGCCAGCATCTTCCTTCTCTTCTGCTCAGAGAGGGCAAAAAAGCCAGTGCTAAGTCATCACGCCTTAAAGGTTTGCTTAGGGAACGGGTATCTGCGAAATTATCAGTTCATGTTGTCCGATTTTGTTGTTGAGTAGTTTCCGAAGTCCGCGCAAGATGAGACCAACAAAAAAAAGACTCATACAAATGTAGAGACTTCCAAGTCGGATGGGCGATCAAGGAACAGAAAACAATCAAAGAGGAGGATATATGAGGACACTTACGAAGGCCCCAACTCTTGCAGACCCAACCTGGCCAACCACTGGCCCTTCTTTATGCACGTCTCCAAGTCATCACCCTCGACGACGCCGGCGCAGAAGCCACCGGCGAAGGCGTCGCCCGCGCCGTTGGTGTCGTTGATCAACCCCTCGTCGATGACGGGGACGGGGTATTCCCTGACCTCGACGTCCTTGCCGTCCTCCTTGACGGCCACGATGGTCGGGTCGGTGCCCTGGGTGACGATGACGACCCTGGGCCGCTTCGCGTTGGCCTTGGGCGTCTCGGCCATGAGCTTCGCGCACTCGGCCATGCTGATCCCACTCTTGCCCTGGGACTCGGCCCAGGTCTTGGCCTCGTTCTCGTTGCCGAAGACGTAGTCGGTGTAGGGCATCAGCTCGGCCAGCTGGTCCTTGAAGAACTGCGGGATGAAGCCGGCCGACAGGGAGAGCATGAAGATCTTGTCCGCCTCGGCGGCGTGCTTGGCCAGCGCCATCGCCGCCGGCGGGCACACCGTCAGGTGGTAGCCGCCGACGTAGAAGACGTCGGTCGCCTCGACGAGCGCCCAGATGCTGGGCTGCTGGAGGTGCTCGAGCTTGTAGTTGTTGGCCGCCGCGAGGTGGGTGCACATCGTGCGGTGGTGGCCGGTGATCACGACGCCGCACTTCCCTGTCGGCGTGCTGGGGTCGACCATGTATTCGACGTGGAGGCCTTCATCGGTGGGGAAGAAGTATAGAGTGTTAGTTGTATTTGCCCGCTGCGCGCCCTTTTTCGTTTTGAGAGAGAGAGACATGGGGTTGGGCCGCGTTCATTCTGACAGCGGGACATGTGCAAGGAACCGGTGCATAGAGAGAGAGAGAGTATGTGTATGTCTGAGAGAGAGAGAGAGAGAGAGAGAGAGAGAGAGATAGACAAGCTCGTACCTTGTTCGGCGCACTTTTCACGGAGAATCTTTGCGTACTCGTCATCGCCAACGCTGCCGATGTACCACACCGAGTCTGGCGGCAGCATGTACTGGGCACCGCGCGCGGTGTTCTGCGCCGCTCCGCCCGGGATGAGCTTCGCGTTGCGGTTCTTGATCAGGTCGTCGTACAGGCCCATCTGGTGGGGTTCGACAAGGAGAGTGTCGTCGAGTTTCAGGCCATACTGCTGGAGCATTGCCTCGTCACTAAGGGGGTGGAAGATGGGTTTCAGTGAGCATCATTTCCCTTGTCCGCGGCAGCAGCAACACAAAAAAACCCAGGTGGGCTTGACAAGATGAGAAGAGAGCGAGAGAGACGCAGGTGGCTTTCCAACGTACCCTTGTCCTTGGATATCGAGGAGCGGGTTCTCCAAACAGAGGAGCTTGAATTTTTGGGGCGCCATGGTGAGAGGATGCGGACTGGAAGGAACACGGGCGGTGAGGCTTGCGAGAAGACTTGACGGGACTGCGTATACGAGAAGAAGATATGGTCAAAGCAGGTGGGCATTGAAATTCTGTCCAGACACCTCAGACCAGCAAAGTGTTGTTTGGAGAATTCTAGTGGGGGGAGGCCGGAGTATTCCCGATTCCGATGGCACAAGGCTGAGCGACAAAGCTCGACGAGGCGGCACGAGTTATGTACTTGATGGTCATGACTTGCACTCAGATCGCACCGTCTGCAGTACAATCATCGATACAAGAACACTTGATCGCCCATCCCGCACGCTGTTGTCTACCACACCACCTTACCCGGTCATACATAGTCAACTGTCCTGTTCCCAACCCAGAGATTTAGCCACGGTGGAAGCATCGTCCTCTCTCCACCAGAGACGAGAGCTGCTCAAACTCGGGTCTTTCTCTGGAGCCATCTTGCTCTACACACATACACACCACACATTATGGCCTCCAACCCAGCGGCCGAGCTAGCCTCAGCGATCCAGTCGGCGTCTATAAAGCGTCATCCATCACCTGAACACGACGTCAACCCTTCGACGGCGGCATCCAAGAAAGTCCCAGCGACGCTCGAATCACAGTCCCCTCCACACTCTCTGTCCCGTTCCGCATCTCTGTCTACTACTGAATCCACCATCCCCAGCGAAATCATCCGGCCCCGTTCTCGCCGCAAGTCCTTTCCTCCCATCCCCGACTTCCGCTTCGAGCAAAGTTACCTCGCCAGCATCAAGAACGCAGACACCCCGCTCAGGGTCGCCGTGATTACGATCCGGGACCAGCTCCTCCTCCCGCTGTTCCAGGGCATAGCGTGGAACCTGATACAGTTTGGCTGGCGCCACTGGAACAGAGGGAGCAAGTTCCAAGGCCGCACTCTCGGCGCAAGGGTGCGGAAATGGTGGTGGGGGGTGAATAATTGGAAGGTCCCGGCGGCGGAGAGAAATGCGGCAAAAGACGCACAGGTGCTGAAGCAGGCGGAGGAGTTCTTCGTGGATCGGTTCGGGAGCGCCCTGGGTGATTGACCACCATGGATTTGAGGGCAGGATGGAGCCAATGTCGAGATTGTGCCACTTGAGCCTCACACCTATGCGAAGGTCGGCACTTTCGGAGGTCCACTGCTCCCTCGTTCGACATAGCTTTTGTCAATGCTCGCTGGGCTCGAAATACAGCTCATGGCTCTACGAGTACGCCCACCGGGATCATCAGGTGTATGGACCGCACACAGATCGATGACGGGTCGGAAAATGACAAAGTGTTTGTGTGTCTGTGTGATTGCGGCAAAGAGGCATTGCGGCATTGCGGCATTGCAAGTGTAGCCCAGGTCTCGAGGACAAACACTTTTTCAACGGGAAGAGCTAGGAGAGGAGATATGAGGAACTACGCCTCCTTCTTAAATGGACGACGCTCAGTCTTATCCAGACACACACGTCTAGTCTTGAAAGCACCCACAGCGACGAAGTGCAAAAGGGCAGCTTGTTCGGCTTGACAAGCGCTAGTCAGCAGCAAAACCGTTCCCTGGTCAGTGTTGAAGAGTCAAAGGGATGTTGCACACACGAAAGCGGTCTGCACAATATCACAGGCGCAGTGCGTCCAGATACGGACATAGTATCCAATCCTACGTTTGATATCACGCTGTTGATGCCGATAGAAATGAATCAAAAACAAGCAACCACTTTCTGAACACATGATCGATTTCTCTTCCCGAACCAGATGATATTTTGTTTTATCTATTGGCCCTTGACCTCCAGCAACAAGGTTGCCTTCAGTAGTAGTAGTAGCTTTGCGAAGAACTGCAATCCGTAGAATCCGTGGCCTTCAACAACAGGCAAGAGAAAATGATCGACGATTCCCCTTGTCCGTCCAGAAGCCAGGATCTCTTCTTCCGTCTCACGCAGGGCTCCCCATGTCTCGTAAAACCACACCCGCCTTGGATCGTGCAGGGAACAAAGAAACAACCAGCCTCGGGTTTCTGGGCCTGCGGGTCTTGATTGAAGACTCACTCCCCTTCTTGTTTTTGTCTGAATAATCTGTGCTTTTTTTTTGTTTCATTCATTCCAGCGCAACAAAAACAGTCCAGTCTCTCTTATCACCCGATTTATCTGCTGGTGGCCTGGACCTTGACCGGCTTTCCCTTCGCTCCCTGCTTGCTGGCAAGAGCACCGCGGACCTGGCCGGTGGCAGCCTTGGCGGCGGTCTTTGCCTTCTCGGCCTTCTTCTTGCTCTCGGCGGCGGCCTTGTGCTCCTTGGACTCCTTGATGGCGGCGGCACGCGCGGCGGCACGGGCTTCGGGGCGTTGCGATCGGCGCTCCTTGATCACGTCGAGAGACGCACCGACGATGGCGCGCTGGTGCTTGACTGTGCGGCGTGTTCGCTTCTTTGCGACTTCCTATATGATCGTGAACAGAAGAGTGTCAGCCCAGCAAAATCCTAGATCCGAGAAAAGAAAAACCACAGCGCAGTAGACGCAAATATCCTAGATCGAGAAACATCACAGTAAACGGTTCTCTCCTCTTGGTCCAGCTTCCAGCTTCCAGCAGCCAGCGAGCACCCTCGTCCACCCCCTTCCTCGTCGTCCTGCTGCTGCTGCTGCTGCTGCTGCTGCTGCTGCTGCTGCTTCTCCTCCACTTCCTCTCATTGATCTTTCTCCTCGGCCGCACCAAAACCACTCAGTGTCGTTGCGTGATGTTGTTGTATGCGTATATCTCCTCCATCAAAAGCAAAAAAAGGGGGCAACGTCAAAAGGAGAAAAACTGACCTCCGAGATACCCTTCTTGTGCATTCTTCGGTAGAGCATGGTCCAGGCTATTCTTCGAGGGTTCTTGCGCTGGAGGAACAAGGATTCGGTCTTGCCATTTTGGAATCGGAAAACCTTGCTGTCACCGCGGACGTAGAGCTTGCCCTGTCATCAACCATTGATCGTCAGCAAAATTTGATTCTTCCCACGCTCGACGGCCTCAATGTGCGCGGTCTTGGAATTCTCAGGTGCGCCTTTTCGGACAAGGGTGCGGGGTTGATGATTGCTTCCTTGGACATCTTTGACTGACCTTGCCCGGGTAGATCTTGGTGGCGCTGAAGGTATCGTCGTAGGTACGCATCTTGGCCGATTAAAATGCTGTACCTGGTCGTAAGGTGGTGGTTGTTGGGATTTGAATTGATGCCGCAGTCGCTCATGTCAGGTTCGGGGTGCGATGGCGAGGCTAGTCAATTGTGGGCTTGGCAATGCCAAGACTCGTGGTTACGGTGGGTTTTCAGCGCATCAGCCATCTCTACGGCGGATCACAATTATACAACCTCTCTTGACCTGGCAAGGGGCATCAATCACTCCATCAATCAAGCAAAGCATCGTTTCATTCGCACCTACCAACTGACTGAACTGCCCATGTACCACTATCTGTTCCATAGTATTGTGGGCAGTCGACTAAGCTTGAGGAACACCAATGTCTTCCAAATCCTCCCAAAAAGTTGAGGCGTTTGCCAGCCGTCACGACCATCAGTCGCGTAGTGACACCCATCATTAGCTCTCCATCATCACCCTGGTCAAGCAGATCCTGAAATATCACCTATCGCACAGCCCTTCTGTCTGTATTTGGACGTCTCTTGTATCTCGTCACACTCGTCTGGGGTATCATATTGCAAAAAGTCCAATCTTTTCACTCTTTCGAAATGAATTTCGTTCATGATATCGAGATTCTTGAAGCTATCACTTCTTCCCGGGAGGCTTAATCTCCGTTACTTGAAAGAGAGTGTGGCCACATTCTCATCATGCCAGATGCATTCAAGAAACGGGTGCTTCTTGCATCTCTTGCACTGAATATCGGCGCAGCAAGGATTCGGGCATTGGCCGCAGCAGTCAGGGCAAATCATCTTTCCACATCCAAATTTGTCATCTGGGGCACCATTGCTGCATCTCAAGAAAGTTGGAGCCTCCTGTCCGTATGGAAAAAGTATGCTGATGTTGCCTAGTATCTCTTGAGCGCGGGCCAACGACTCTGGATTGTCTTTGTGTGTCTTCATGGCCAAGTACGCAGCCTTGTAAGCACAGCAAGCTCGGCCGCAGAGAGCGCAGCATACATCCACGCATGTGGTGCATTTCAAGTTGCGAGATTTCCAGCCTCGAGCAGTATTTGGATGACGTGGCAATGGGTCCGTCTCGGAATAGTCGTAGGTAGGGCAATTCAGTGTGGCACGGAGGTGCTTTTCCTACACATGAGTGGTTAGCCTTGACAAAATAACCCGCCAGGAGATTACTCACAGTGTTGAGTCTGTATGCAGGCAGATTGACAACGCTTTCTTCAGGAGTGCTAGAAAGAACAGGGGCAGGAAGTGGCGTCGTATCGAGGCTTTTTTCGGACTTCTGTTTGAACAGACCAGTGACCTTGCGCAGGCCGGACTTCTTGGTGTCGACTGTCTCTGAGACAGGAGTGGGCGAAGTTTTGAAACCTTTGCTAGGAGTTTTTGGTCGAAAGATTGAAATCGAAGACGCGTTACGGCCAGTGGTCGTTTCGGTGTCAGCCCAGCCTTTGTGATCGATGTTGAGTTGGGAGATGCTGGCTCTCATCTTCAGAACAGTCTGGTCGGAGTCATCACTCTTTCGCTTGGATCGACGTCTAATTCCTCTCCGGGTTGCGATGAAGGGGCTTTTGGGGGGTTCAGTGATCAGTGGGCGGGATCTGAAAGACTCGTTCATGCCGAGATTGATTGCACTTGCCGCGAAAGCATTCCTTCCTTCAACCGGCGCCGGGATGAAATCAGCACGGACACGATCGTAGTTGCGATAGGGATCGAATCCTGGTCGTCGTCTGAACTCTGCATCAATCCTCGCTCGGTCCTCCGCCCAGCTGCGAATTTGGACAGGTGAAGATGTGGTGATCAAGTTCGGTCGGTCATCAGCGACGGTTGCCTTCGCCTTGCCTTTGACAGAGGACGCTGGATGCGCCGAGATGTCTGGTGAAGGGATGCGGGTCAGGGTCTCGAAGCTGTCGACGAGCGTTCTATCTTCCGAGAACCGTGACATCTTGCTTTGTTCACGTTCAAGGTCAGTGTCAACATGGGAGCATTCTTCACTTGCAGGGACAAAGGTCGAAAGGACTTTACTCCCTGCTGGTGACTTGCTGCACGTGATTTCACCGGTGAACTTACTAACGCGTTATACAGCCGCTCCCTTTGCCATATATCTCGGTGGTATCGCGATTCTGAGGGCGGTCAACGCTCCTCCAGCAGCCCTCCGTTCTGTTCAGCACTCCACCCAGGACCCTAGAACGGAGGGCGGCGGTTGCAGCTCTGACGGCCCTCATCAGTATGACGACTCCGTTGGGTACGTGAGGGCATTGAAGACCCATTTTATGAGCATTTAGGGCGTTCTCAGGGATAGGTTCGACGAATAATGCCCATGCCCATTCTGTTACCATCACAATTAAAGGTGGAGGGATGGAGAAAAAGAGGAGCAAAGTGAACATTGCTTTCTTTCATGACATTGTCTTGTGATTCATTCTCGTCCATTCCCGCGCATTCGCTTCCCAATATTAACATCGACGCCGAGGTGGACGTCGGGGTCGACGAGATATGAGAACGGGTCTGCCATGTAGTGGTGATGTCCACCACTTGCGCAAGCACTACCTGGAAACGAAGGGGGACGATATAGGCAGCCAGTTAGTAAGAGGTAGAGGCTTAGGTTTTGACAAGCGGTATCCCAAGCAGTATCACATCAGTCCGAGCAGTGTCCGAATTGAGCGCCACTAGGAGCATGGCAAAGCCGGTTCAAGCGAAGATAACTGTTAACCACTCTCCCAAGGCACAAGAGAGTAGTAATGACCGATAGTCTATTGCAATTCATTCATCGCTCCATAATTCATAATGCTGTAAGACTCCGATATTCAATCTCAAAGGGTGTGTCTCTTCAAGCCCTGATCTCCCGAGAGAATGTGCGCCATTGATGGCAGTTGAAAGCATCTAAAACATTCACATCCCAAGGAGAAGAACTAGATGTGTTTGAAGCAAATTCGAACGCATCAAGAAGCCGTGGCATAAGTCCTGGTCCATTCTCTGGCCGTCTGAATAGCAGCTTCCTGGTCCTCCTTCCAGCGCTGTGCAACGTCGTTCGCGAGAGGATCATCCGGGTTGGGAGCGCCGAGCAAAGCCTGTATTGAGAGGAGAATAGTCCTGATCTGCAGAGCAGGTGACCAGTTGCCTAGTAGTGTGCGGTTAGGGCAGAAGCAACCAAGCAGATGTGACAAGGACTCACTCTTCAGAACGTCCAAGCAGATACGGCCGAGCTTGTCGATGTTGGGGTGGTAGATTTTGGTGAGGAAACGGATCTTGGGAGGTGTCATGGGGTAATCGTCCGGAAGGAAGAGTTCAAGCTTGAATACGCCACCTGACAATCAACGCATCAGTAGTTGTTCCGGGCCTTCAAAGACACCGCCAAAGCAACAGTACCTTCATACGGCGACTGCGAAGGACCGTGTATGGAGACGTCGAAGTATCTGAGGTTGTCTTCGTGTGGAACGGCACTGATTCCAGGGACCCTGTGTAGCATCTTTCAGCACCAGACTCTTGGGGACAGCCAGTCTCAAGAATCGCCATACGGTTCAGCCATCAATCGCTCCGTCTCTTTAACGATTCTCTTGGGCAGCGCCATTTTGAGCCGTGTAGTCGATCTTGAGCCTTAGCGCCGATTGAAAAAAATATCGATATTCAAACCGTTCGCCTCGGGTTTCCCGCAGGATAGAAGTGTGGGAGGTCGGAGAGGTCGGCAGGCTGAGGTAGCCTCTTGAATGACCAATACTGAGAAGACTGATTTGCAATCCTGTGCGACGTGCTGCGGATCTCGTTGCACTACAAGATAGGAGATATCGACCTGCGATAAATGGATTTGGAACTGTCAGGCTGTAAATCACTCTCACACCAAGCAAGGGAAGTGGAAGCGTCGTTCAATTGCACTCGAAGCGCTGCTGCACAGACAGTGTTTCAATGCAGCGCCTCGTTCCAATGCACAGTGACGGAGTTTCCGCGTGACTCGCACATGATTCTTGGCCTCTTATTGCCCGAATCGTTCATGACTCGTCAAGCTACTGGACCATTACAAGTGCAGAGGACGAGTACAACGCGTGAACAAAGACCTTGAAGCCATGATGATAGTTAAGTTTGGTTTCGAGTATCCCTTGCGCCATGCCAGTGGCTCACAAATTGTTCTTTGATATCAAATTACAGGCTATAGACATCTCAAATATAAAACAAAGTCCCCTCAGGTAACCTACCAGGGGGGCGAGTATATTTACACAATAATCAACAACAGAGCCTCTTGCGACTCACATCTAGCCATCGGTGGTATGTCATTTGAGTCTCCTGATGGTAGCATCGCTTCCCTTGGAACTCAGGCCACGACTAAGTCCACCTCCTATTCCTCTCCCCAAGGCCGCGACTTTACTGCCTGCCCATGGATTCAGACGGTCATCTTCTTCATTAAGCACCCGGTCGAAATCACCTAGATCCACGAAATCTTCACCACCGTTGCTATCTCCACCTGACTGGCTATGTATGCCATAGGCTTCTTGAGATTGCTGCATAGACACGGAAGGCGCTTTGCTGCGTGCGGCAGTTACCGATTTTGTTCGCTGGTGGCCCTGCTTTGATGCAAGGAAAGATGCGAGAGTGTTATCCGAGCTATAGTCAGCACTGGTCAAGATGCTGGGCGATCTCTGCATCCCAATCAAAGTACGGCTATCCTGGTGAGCCATCGAGGATTGAACAGAATTTTGCGTCCCGCCGTTTCCAGTAGGATACGGAACATCAACCATAGTTAACGTTGAGCAAGAACACCCGCAGCCAGTTGGACATGTGTTCTGATCGTGGTCGCCACTGGTGGTACTTTCTGTATCCACCGCCTCTTTTTGTTCTTCCTCTTGTGAAGGTCTCCTCGATCTGACTTCGCTCATTTGCTTCGGGCCGAACCAGCCCTGTGCACAATCATAACACGTCATGTGGCCACATTGTATGCACGGTACTGCAAGCCCCTTAATGGATGCGTTACAGATCGAACAAGCACTTGTGCCTGGAGGTTTCAAAGTTGCTGAGGTGCCGGTAGCCATGGTTCTGCAATGCTGATTGACACACTGCCAGCGGATAGCGACCCCGTTCTTTTCAATCGGGCCTAACGATTCTCCACAGTTGCGGCAGCATCTTTGGATCTCCAGACCTGGACTTGTATCTCGAGATAGCGAAGCCATTGCCCTCCTCCTTGGCCGTTCCAACAAGTGGGCATTGCTAGATTGTTTGACGGTCGATATTCCGCAGAGAGTGCCGTCGGATTGGGGCGACAAGTTATCAAGTTTCAACATCTCAGCACGTTGCGTGAACAGCTGCCATACATCGAGTTGATGCGCATAAGACGCTCGGTATGCACTGCATTTCTTGCTTAGAGATGAGTCCAACAACGGAGCTTGTGAATACCCATCAAGGTCAAACTTCTTCTGCTGCCACAAGCTGACTTTGATCTTCTTGCGCCTAGGCGCTTTCTTCGACTGCGGGTGCTCTGTCACGTCACTCATAGTCAAAGATTGAACGCTGCGACGACTTGGCATCAAGTTTCTGACATTGGCTTTCTGAAACTGCCGTAGATGCACTGACGACTGTGACGATCGCAGATTTGTCTGTTGGCTGTCTTGGCTAGCATGGTCGCTCCCTTGAAGAGACATACGAGACGACCTGCTGCCACCTTGGTGCCCGAATAAGTTTGTCGACACCCACCCTGGCGTCAGCGATCCTGAAGGACTATATTTTTTGATGCCCGCAGCAATTGCGGAAGCAGAACTTTGACCAGGCGGGGACTGCGAGTAAGACTGAGTTAAGGCTGATAAGCTTGCTCGAGCAGAAGAATACGCAGCGCTCGAACTTGCCCGATGGCCCCTGTTACCTTCTGGCGATGCTGACAGAGATATTGTGGTAGAATTTGGCCCCCAGTCACTGCCATCGTCAACGAGACTTTGTGCACGAGTCGAGAGTTCGCTACCGTGCCGTGAGAAGTCAGGCCGTGTCCTCATTCTGTGATGCATCGCCAATGGAACAGTGCTCACGTTGTTGCTAGAAAATACGTTGGTGGCATTAACCAAAGAGTCGGCATCAGGACCTACTTCACCCAGCAAAGAGGCTTTAGCCACGACTCTTGAAGGAAAGTATTCTGTGAGCGGTACTCCAAGATGTTGCTGCGAGCCATGTTCTACCCCAGAGATGAAGTTGTAGTTCGGGTCGGTTGCAAATACGCAAGACATCATGGCGAGCATCTGAACATCTCCTAGTCTCTCATAATGGTCGAATATGGCAGGTAGCAGATATGTTGAGCTCAGGGGATGATTTCCCCATAGCGTTCTGCCAAGAAACCCAGCATCTAATGCATCACTGTCACTTTTGACTGTCTGAGTCTTTGCAGCAGCTCGAGCTATAACTGTCATATCTTCGGCCGCGGAATTGCTGAGTCCGTGAATGATCTCAAGGGGAACGGAATCGTCGAGGATAAGGCCGAGCAATGTCCAAACAGAAGCTAGGTCGTCAAAAGAGGCACTTCGGGCCACTATGGCATTGTGATGGCAAACTCCCTTGGGGTCACCGATTATGGTGTACGCTTCCGCCAGCTGCCGTTTGGAAGGTATCAAGTCATCAAAGCTATGAATCGATATAGTTGTCGTTCGAGGTCCCTCGTTCATTTTGTTGGCTCCTGTCGTTGAAAGGTTGGAATGATCAGGGGATCGTGAGCGTTGTTGCTTTCCAGCAACGCCTACAGGGTAAGAAGGCACGCCGCGGACATTTTGTTCTGTATCAAAGGAAGAGGAGGAACTGCTGGAAGATTTCCAGGAAGAATCAGAGGTGTCGGAATCAGAACCATCATCAGCAGTTCGGTTGCCGCTGGTTGCCTTGCGTGCTGGTGAGCTGGCGTGGATACGCCCAAATCCTTCGAACAGCCTATTTGACTCGGACTCTTCGAGACCCTTTATCCCGAGTGTGCTCAAGAAAGAGACTGGCTCCTTCGATTTTGTCGGAAAGAAACAGACAAGCTTTCCAGTTTCTGACCACACCGCACCGCAACCTTTTGCGAGTGGCACCATGACATTGGCGGATGCTTCCAATCTTTCACGGGCACCATCGATCAAAGGATCATCGTCATCACTACTCGATTCTTCCGCAGCTATAGCGCTTTCTTCCAGGATCTTTGAGTCTGTCAGCGGCTCGTCAAGGACCCAAGCGACAATTTGCTCAAGATTCTGCTCCCGCAAGAGATATCTCAGAACCGCCTCAAGGCAGCCCCTTTTCCTGGAGGCATAAGTCTCCGCAATAGTGCGCAGTTCTGTGCTTATCAACCGGTGTGTTGCAGGGTCCAGGAATCCAGACTTTTGCAGCGAAAGCACTGCGTTGGCATTGCGTGGGTACAACTTGGGAAAACGCATCTCTACCCTGAGGAACACTTGATCCTGATCCTCACCCCAAGGGGCTTGCAAGGACATGACGGCTTTGCGATGAGAGATATCGACAACCTCAAAGTCCACCTTCTTGAATTTCTCTCCAACATGCCGGATCTCTTCTGCCAGAGTATCTGGATCCCAGGTAGATATTTTCACATTCTTCAGCCACGCAATCGGGTCTGCGCTTTGACGATTGTTTCCACGCCCCTGCATGCCTGATCTCTGTGTTTGACGAGCCCCTTGCACCCAACCTCGAAATTGCGATACAGGCATTTTGTTCATGCCTACATTTGTGCTGCTCCGAGGTCTGAAATGCATGACGTGACTGTGCCGGGGGAACATCTCGCTTCGCGGTGTTTGATCAAATGGAGATTCTGCATCTCCAGGCTCATCCCGGAATGTGCGATAAACGGCGCCTCTTCTAGTGAAGTTAAGCCTTTGCACTCTGGACTTGCCCTTTTCGTACCCGATATCCGCATATATCTCCGGATCGAGAGCATGTAGTCTTAGCTCTCGATCAGTGCCCCAAGACACTAGTTGGAAATCTCGGTCGTCGACGTTATTATCTACACCACCCCGGGCCCGCCACAGAAACTCCTTGACTTGACCTTCGTGGCCAGAGAATGTGGCAACTGGTCGGACTCGTCCATTTTCCCATACCCCATTGACCGGTCGACGGTCGTAGAGATGCAAGTCACTGTTTCCACGTTGTGGCATGGCCAGAAGCCCCCATCCAAACGGGGTATGCCGGGCTCTCCAGACAGGAAAAGGTGTTTCGATGACCCGCTCTGGCGTATTATCTTCCATATCCAAATCCCAAAACTTGATCGTTCTATCGAGTGAGCACGTCACAATCTTGTTTTCATGATGACGGTTCCAGTCGACTCCATAAATCTTCGTTCCGTGTGCTTGAATAGTCCTTACTGGGTATGCGCCATGCCTAGAATCCCAGATGTGGAGGAATTTGTCGTGAGAACTGGCCACGACATGTTCGTCCTGACGGCTCCATTTGACTTGCGTTGCGCCAGCAAACCAATCTGAGAAGGAATTAGCCGGGCGCATCGGAGCTCGCAGGTCCCAACAATGCACAAAACTGTCTACAGCGCATGTGGCGAGGACATCTGGATTATGCGCTGAGAAGTTGATGTCGGTAATGGCTCTAGTATGACCATGAAGGACGAATTCAATGCTGTCCTGCCACGATCGTGCGTCAAGATTCCAGACTAGAGCTTTCTGGTTTGATGTGCTGACGACCCAATAGTCGCGTGCTGCAAAGGGAGACCATTGGACATCAGCCACTTCCCACGGAGTTCTGTGGGGCAGATACCGCGGGACTGAGTAGGGCGAGTCAAGGTCGATGATGTGTAGGCCCTCCTTGGACGCCAATGCGACATCCCGACCACTGGGAGAGATGGTCATTGACCCAACGGGCTGTTCCAGTCTGAAAGAAGCATCCTTCCCGAAGGTCTCGCTTTCGAACGCCGACGCCGGGCCTCGTCGCGCCATGCTGTGTAGTCTATATCACGCCCGTGATCAGCTCAAGAGACTGTTTGTCTGTCGGGAATAGCACTCCGTATTGTCAAGAACCATAGGCCATGGAAGCCGGGTGGAAATGCTAGTCTTTGCATCTCGGTGCTATCGACGGCACTCGGTGCTGTTCCGGCATACGCGGTGAGAAAATAGCACGTGCAGACAGCAGTCGCGGGGACAATATGATGGATATGGTAGGGGGCTCAAGACACAACGAGACATCGAGGTCTTCAGAAACATTGAAGCCAAACGAACACGTGATGGCACATCCCAGTCGTCGTCGATGGCGTCGCGAAAAGGTGCAAGGGAGAGGACCTGGGCGGGAAGTGCCAAGGCCGGAGGAAGTCCCCCCAGCTATATCAGCACTAACCCTTTCAGGAACCGGGATGATGCCGCCTTGTACTCAGCTTCATCACATCCTCCGTCGTCACCTTGGAAGACGCACTCCGTACCTCCAGCACAATTACATAAGTTTGCTGTTGGAATGTGCCGAGACGGCTAGCAACATGCATCCAGACACGTCCGATAGCTCTTCAAGCCTAACTTCCCGCGTCTGATAACCTCGATAAAGACCATTCGGCCACCACCAAATGACTTCCTGCTCCCGGATCAATGGTTGCCGACAGCATCTGCATCTCCCAGATCACTTTTAGGAGGTCTGTAGACCTGATTACTTCGAAACGAGTCGAGACAGATTGGAAACGGAGATAAGTGATATAGGTACTTAAGGTTGGTACGCCTTTTGAGCACCTCACGTTAACAAAGGGCCAATTCGATAAGCGGCCCTTTTTTTTTGCCGAAGAAGTTCTATTGTCAAGGTTTTACGCTGAAATTAATTGGCTCCCATGCGTAGTCCTGCGGCCACAAGACTGTTGACAACTCCAAGGGTATATGGATCTAATACAACCTATTCATGAATCCGAATGGCGAGGCCTCAATAGAGGCATCAAGAACGCTGGCCCAATATGCAAAACGACTTCACATCACAACACATTCTCTGTCTGGTTTTTCTCCCCGAATCTTGCTCCTGGCAAGCCGACTTCGACTCTTCTCCTTCCTATGACCTTTGTTGTGCTCGTGGTGTGTGGCATTCAATATCTGGTCTGACTTATCCGTCAATGATGGCTGACTCAGTTCCGTAACATGGATCTCCGGACGGTGTTCATCCTCAACGGCATTTAGCTGAACCTCGCGACTCTTCCTCTTGGCTAGTTTCGACAGTGTTCGACCCAACCCAGTCACGTTGTTTCGTGCATATGACCCGCTCAGACGTTCGGTCCTGATATGTTTTTCCGTGTCTTTCGGAACATTCAATGCCGTCTCGCTTACTGGCTCCGAGGGTCGCTCCGAGAGTGAGATGGCACTCATTCTTCTAGAATCGACAGGTGACCGTCCGCGATCATCATCTGCTGGCGAAACCTCGAAGCTTGGTCTTCCGGATGTGTTTTGGTTTCCACTTAAAACAGACACGCTCGAAACCTCACTTACGGACGCATTCCTCTCAGAGGCTGCTGATAGGACAGTCTCCTCACCAGAAGTGATATGTCCGGGGTCACCGTCGATGGGTACAATCTGGTAGAATAGCAAATAAGGGGTCTCCTCTCGTAGAGCCTTCTCGATATCGACCACGGTGATTCGCGAGGGCGCGAGATCGTCAAATCTCATCCAAGTTGCGGTTGGGGTCGTGGACGAGACACTGTTTGACGAATTTGGAGGTGGTGTGCCTCGCACAAGTGCGATATAATGACCTGAGTCAACCGAGGTGCCTCGATGACACACCACAGACTGCAATGACAACTTGAAGTTACCAGAAAGCGACCCGGTCTCTTCCATATGCTCGTCCTGGATGAAGTGAGGCACCCCGATCTCGACAGGAATATCAATCTGGGTGTCCAACCGGATGGCTCTGCCTTCAGGCGTCATCGTATATCGCTTGAGACAAAGACCCAGGACGGGTCGTTTGGACGAGAAATGGGCGGCGACCTGGGCATCATTGGTTGGTGCATTGTCTGTGTACCATGCTGAAAGGGATCAGTCTGTAATCCATCCTTTGGATTGACAAAGATAACTTACGTATAAGGCTGAAAAATTGCCATGCCGGCATCATCACCTCTTTCCGCACGCTTCCGGCTCGTAATCTCCCGACAGAGTCCTTGGAATCAATTCCAACAAGCGACGACGAGCCACTCTCCCCTCGGATGGGAACATAACGTTCTTGGATGATGCTTGGGGTACGCATACGATTTACTGGTCGCTCGGGAGGTAAGCCTATCGGCGAGACGACAGGAGTGGAGGGGCTCGACGAGTCAGGATCTATCTCGACAGTCTCGACGTGAACAGCGCTCGTTTTCCGTATTGAGCTCAGCGTCGACCTCCGCTCCATGTATCTTCTAACTTCGATGCGGTTGTTGAAATAGTCTTCAAGGCATTCCTCGAGCGTGATCACTTTGTGTTCGTCTGTCGGCTCAGGTGGGGGGATGGCGACTTCGAGAAGTCTCTCGTTGATGAACTTGTGATCGTCGTTGGTATCTTCTTTGCCGGTATGGTATATGTCCATTTTCAAAGTCAAAAGTGGAAGTTCTAACACACCCGTGATAAAAGTGAAAGCCTCCGATGCATCTTGTTGATGTAATTCCGCAGCCTCTCGCCAGCCGCACTCTGCTAGAGCCTCCTGCAGCACTTTGGTAATGTCGGTGGTGATGAGCTTGCCATTGCGCAGCAAATTGACCCATACTCGCAGCAGGAATCCAAGTTTGTTGCGTGGAAGGTCATCGAAAGAGTTGTACAGCATGGCCTCGAAACTGTCAAGGCGCGAGAACATCGAAAAGAGCGTGGCGTCAAGAAAGCAGGTGACTCCTTGTCTATTCTGTGCGCCTAACAATCTTACCCTGGGATCATAACTGGTGACAATACCCTCCGAAGCGTCAGACATGGCGTGGAGGAGGTCGTATGCGGCGTCCACATCACCATTTGCTGCATTCGAGTGCAAAGCCCAGAGCAGCTGGGCGTTTCTCAAGATGACGCCTTTGGAACTCAGCAAGCGGTGGCGGAGTGTTTTGATCTGCACACACATCAGACAGGGAACGTGAATGACACGAATACATGGCTCCTACCTTTTGCTCTTCGACTTGGTTGGCTGAAGTGCCCTGGGCGTCAAACAGGCCATAAAAGTCGGCAGCCGATGCTGGGTCGAAGGGCTTCGACATCAACTCTGGACTTGACTGCACAAATAAACAGTCAGTATGGGGTCGCTATAGGCGTTGAAGAAGCGGGGACGCATAGAGGGAAGTAATACAGAATACCCATCCCGCTGTCTGGTGGGAGTACAAATGGTGAGACAGAGTCGTTGGATGTTGTCCATGGGATATCGAGGAAGACTACGAGAAGATACAAGGGTCTGCGCAAAACATGATGGACTTACTGCAAAGGGAGGCTGCTTTTTGCTGAGCAATCCTGAATGCTCATGGCTGTCTCGACCGTGGTTGCGCTTGCCATCGCGCCTTGATAGGAACCTCTGTACACCGTGGGCGGCCATATCTGCGACTGCTTCCCAAGCGGACGCTGCTGGGCACTCGCTTTCCCTACAACGCTTCCTATCGCTGCAGATCCTTTAGACGTTCAAGGAAGTTCCTGGATCATGGCTGTCGTGGGCGACCAAGGCTGAAGTGGTGTCCGACTTGGACAAGTATTTCTCTTGACGGGGGCCTGCCTGGTGGCTGACGGAGGATGAGGAGTAGTTATGAACCCCTGGCCTCACTTTGCCCCGCAAGATACTACGGAGACAGCGCTCTTCAATTATGGCGGCGGCGAAGATGAGGTGTTTGAAAGCTTCATGAGTACGACACGTCTCCCGAGTTTGAGAGATATTCTTTGTTGTTTGCCGAGGGAACGACGAGAAGTTTTAAGGCGCTTGGGAGGCTGAGTGAGCGACGCAACCCGCAATGGGAGGCGGCGTGTCTTGATTCTTGAGTCTTGTTTGCCCCGCGGACGAACGCCCAGTTCGACGCCCGAGAGTCGGTGTTGTTGGGCGATTGCTGGCGCTGGACTTGGGCTGTTTATTGGTCCGGTGGCTGGTGGCTGCATCTAGTTCTCAGGGACGCTTTGGGTCCGGAAGAGGCTGCCCCAGGCTACGAATAGCGTTTAGGTAATGGTACGAAGCCCTCGTACACCCAGCTACGAGTTATGAGGCTCCCCTCCGTCGCTCAATGAGCAAAGGCACAATAGGCCGCCAAGTCCCGATCAGATCAGTCCGCAAGCTCGCCTGCTTCTCTCGTCCCTTCAATTGCGCCGACAGCCCGATCAAATCAGCATCTCTAATAAAGACCTCACTTTGTACCGAGTAGTTGCACCGAACCTCAGATCCCCTACATCAGCCTGCGCTTCCCTCTTCGGGCCTCGCCGAGTGCTCCCGGACCCTCGCCATGTCGACCGTCACCCGTACATTGCGCAATTTATGGAGAATCGGCTTCAAAGAGTATGGTCACCAGATGCAATATATGGTAACAGATCCTGCTTGAGCAGCAAGGGAAGCGGCGTTCTGACAGGAGCAGGGCGACACCAAGGCTGGTGTTCTCGTGGGAAAAGACCGATGGGGAAACAAATACTATGAGAACTTGGAGGAAGACCTTCCTCTGAGAACAAGATGGGTAGGTGAACTGCAGGCCAGGTGGAAGAGCTCTGGACTAAGCTTCGTCAGGTCGACTACAAGGACAAAGAATTGGATGCCAGCCATATTGAACCCGGCTGGCACGCCTGGATAAGCTACCTGGTAGACAAGCCACCCGTCGAGGACAAACTGTTAGCGGTTGGTGTACGGCCGTGGGAGTCAAAAACACCCATAATCAACAACACAGGCGGTCGAGCTGCATACCGACCATACTCAACGTGCGTTGCGACGTGTTGCCATCTGTGAGCCGTGCTGACATGTTACAGGACCAAACCGAAGTACAGTGCTTGGGAGCCAGTAGCCAAACCACGAGATGGGTCGAGCCCGTTTGCCCCAAGAGATATTCGAGAAGGCGCCGAATTCGAGGCAAAGGCATAAACACAATGTTACAACGTTGAATCTTGTACAGATGCACGCAATGGGCGTTTCAGAAGGGCTTTTCTCGAACGTAAAGATAAACAGGTTTATATTGCACAAAGGGGTATCAATGAATGCCACAACAAAATTCATCCTCGAACAACACCGGACCTGACCATTTCATGCTTTCGTCGTACGCGAATATAGTCTAGCAGGTCCGAGTTCTGCTCGCACTTCGTCGAGCTGCTGAAGACCGTATTTTTCGTTACCATTCTTCCCTCGTTTGCCCTTTGCGCCTTTTCGTTTACCTCCTGGGTTGGCTTTGTTCCAATCTCCCAGGAAGTCGTCCATCATGCCACCGAAATCCTGTCGAACAGCCCCCTCATCTGCGAAGCTGGTTGTGGAGAGTTGAGACATCCTCGATTGGCCAGTCATGCCTGATGCAAGAGACATGCCGCCGTCCATATCATCAAACTCGTCAGCCTCGTCCAGTGAGTACATCTTTTCAACTTGATCGAACCGAGCATCCAGCAATTGTTGTCCGTCAGTCCTTGCCAAAGAAGAAGATGTCATTGAATATGCACTGGGGTTGGTCAAGGCACCTTTTCGCTTCTTCTGCCGCAAAGGCGTGCCATTCAAGGTGTAAAGCGTAGGGGCTTTGTCCTGTATGGCAGAAGCCGCGATGATGGAGTCTGCTGTCTTCGGCTCAGGCCCCCTTTTGTTGTCTCGCTTAAATTTGGCAAACTCTTTCAACCAGTCCCCGTCTTCAGCTGCGGCGGCTTCGGCATCTATAGAACCGTCTTCAGTGGCTGATTCGGCCCCAGCGACTGTTGGGAACGACGTCCGCATGGGCACTTGAGCCTGTTGGACAGGAGCCCTCTCTGTCGCATCTGACTCCCACCCGTCGTCATCTTCATCCTCGAAGTTCGCCTTGAATTCAGCCAAATCCAGTTCGCCAAACTGACCTTCCTTTGCAAGCGCTGCAAACATATCTTCCTCGTCCTTCTCGTCCACATAAGCATCGTCATCTAGAGCCTCCAGAACTTCTCGTAGTCGGGGATCCATATCGGGTTGGAACCCGGCAATTTCATCGGGGATATCTTGCTGGTTTTGATACGTCGCAGGCCTTGTTGAGGTGGAAAACGTCGATGGCATCTCGCTTCCGACCATGCTCTGATCATCGCCCAGCGATACTTCTCTGAGTGCATCTTCTAACTTTATGGTTTTTGCCTTTCCTTTGTCCTTGCCCTGCACCTTGACAGGAGCAGCCTCCATGAAATGAGACTCTCCACCGCCTTCTCCAACATCTCGCAGATGTTGCATGTAGTCATAACTTGTATCGTCGAAATAAATCCCGTACTGTGCCGCTTCCCCCTCGTTCTCGCGCATGTTCTCGAAGTCCAAATCATCTTCCAGGTCGGTCAAATGCAATCCTCCTTTCTGCTCGGTCTTCCGAGAGGCCGGGCCTGGCCCTGAGATAGGGTAGAGTGCCCGCTCGTCGGCAGTCTCGTCGTGCAAAGACGGATCATTTTGTGGACGGTAAAGAAGTTGGAAGGTTTGGGCTTTGTTCTTGTCACTGTTCTCTCGTTAGGGTCTATTAATCCGCATCTAGAAGGAATAGCATACATCCACCGTTTTCGAGGCATTTTGGGCAATCTCTGCAAATATCTGGGTTGGTAAGCCTGTGGATTTGTTGCAGGAGTCAAGGGACTACTCGTACGCCCGGCGGGGGAGGGAAAAGCGGTGCGGAAAATTAATTTCTAAGAAATTTTGGCCGCCCGCATCAATCGCTAAGCGCAGCGCCACTGTACTTTATGTGACGTCCTCCGCCTGACTCCAAATCTTTCTCTTTCAATTACCAACAGTGAGGTGCATACCCTGCAGACCTCAACTTATTCGCTGCAGTAATCTTCGCCCGACTAACTCGTCAAGATGGTGTTAGCAAAGAGCAAGAACAGCGTCGGGCTGGGCAACAGTCTGATGAACGACCGCTTCGGCAAAGGCAAAGGCGCAGACAGGAAGAAAGTCTCTGCGCAAGGTGTACTTCGAGTGGACCACACAACCGGACAGACCTACGTTACGAATGAAGCGAAGGAGGCTTCTTGGGTAAAGATGCGCAGCGTCACCGAGCAAGGCGCTCTTGACGAGTTTCTTTCCACTGCCGAACTCGCCGGCACAGATTTCACGGCCGAAAAGATGAATAATGTCAAAATCATACATTCTGACCAAAAGAACCCATACCTTCTTAGCGCGGCTGAGGAGAGGGGGGCCAGGAGGAGGCATGCGCAAAACAAGGGAAGATTGACTGTACCGAGGCGGCCGAAGTGGGATGAGACGACGACACCCCGACAATTGGATGAACAGGAGAGAGCGAGCCTGTTGGACTGGAGACGAGGGCTCGCAGAGTTGCAGGAGAATGACGATCTACTTATGACACCCTTCGAGCGAAACATTGAAGTCTGGAGACAACTATGGAGAGTTATTGAGAGGTCCGATCTGATTGTGCAGATTGTCGATGCCCGAAATCCGTTACTCTTTCGGAGTGAAGATCTCGAGAGATATGTCAAGGAAGTTGACCCAAAGAAGCGCAATCTGCTGCTGGTCAACAAGGCCGATATGATGACCGAGGAACAACGACAAGTATGGGCAACGTATTTCCAGCAACAGGGCATTAACTACAAGTTCTTTTCGGCTCATCTTGCCAAAGAGATGAACGAGGGTCGAGACGCCATTGAGGAACTAGACGCACGGCAACTTCAACAACAGATCGACCGAAATATGCCCCAGAAGACTATGGTCCAGAACATCCAAGATCTCAATCTGAAAGATGAGGAAGGTGAAGAGTGGTCGGATGAGGAAGACGGATCCGACGAATCCGATGACCAAGACGGGTCCGAGGCTCAACCTTCAGAACAGCTATCGGCCAGCACACAGATATTAACTGTCGATGAGCTGGAAGAACTGTTTCTGGAGAACATACCTAAAGACAGCACTCAAGAACGGAAAACGACAATTGGTCTCGTGGGTTATCCCAATGTCGGAAAGTCATCGACGATTAATGCCATGATCGGTGCAAAGAAAGTCAGCGTCTCATCAACCCCAGGAAAGACGAAGCATTTCCAGACGATACACCTCTCGGATCGGGTCATTTTGTGTGATTGTCCTGGTCTGGTATTTCCCAATTTTGCAACTACCAAGGCTGAATTGGTGTGCAATGGCGTTCTGCCCATTGACCAACTACGTGAATTTACCGGCCCAGCTGGTCTTGTCGCTCACAGAATCCCCCAGGCATTTTTAGAAAACGTCTATGGTATGAAGATCATCACGAGGCCGGTAGAGGAAGGCGGGACAGGGATACCGACCGCGTCCGAAATGTTGAGAGCATATGCCAAAGCTCGAGGGTTTGCCACGACCGGCCACGGCCAGCCGGATGAGTCGAGGGCGGCAAGATACATCTTGAAGGACTACGTCAATGGCAAGCTACTATACTGCCACCCGCCTCCTCACGACCCTGAAATCGACGGCGCGGAATTCAACGAAGCACTGTACGACTTTGCACATCTGCCAGCCAAGAGGCAAGCCTGGCTGATTGCACACAATGACGAAGCTGCGCGGGACGCAGATACTGAATCACAAATGTCGGTACCTCTACGCCCGCAAGAAACTGGCAATAAGTCAAAATCCCTCGACAAGCGGTTTTTCGGTCCGGGTTCGGGGAATTCAGGCCACCTGACCATGCCTTTCAATCACCAATATACAGAGCAGGGAGCACAGCAAAAGCAATTGACTGGGCGAAAAGCAAGGACAATGGTTGCCCTCGAGAAGGATATTGACCCGGCGGATATGAAGCTCAACAACAAGAAGCATTTTAAGGGTGCAAGGAGGAAGGCGAGAACTGTGAGAGGAGCGAATGACGATGACTGATTTATGCTTATGACTTGCATGGCATCTGGCCGAGGGAGATAGAATTGTTCCATGCTTGTCTTATCAAATGTGGTGAGAATAAATGACTACTGCGACGATTACTGGGTCTTCCCGGCCGGCTTCACGAACTTAAACAACACGTATAGAATGGCACTTGCGTTGTTGATATACGAATGAACAACAAATGGGCTTTGACCAAGACTCTACCAATGTATGTGTCTGGAAGCATGGAGAAATTTTTGTCTCAAGAGGATGAATGCGGCGACTTCGAACGCATAAGCAGCTGTTCTTCGATCCGAGCACACCATCATCTCCACCGCTTCCATCGCCGCAGCAGCCGCCTGAACCGCATTAACCACTAGTTTCAAATCACCGGGTTCACGAAAATGATTCTTGGTCTCAAGGGAAGTTGTGCCAATGATGTCTTGATGGCCTTGACCATTGCATTCCTTGCTTACATTGTTTCTGTGAGAGCCGCCCCCGGAGTATCGACGACCAGACTGATGCTACGATGTCTGGGGTTTGTCTGGGTCGCCTTTCCAAGACTTGAGATTGGACGCAAAGCACTATGAACACTAGTCATTACTATGAAGACCCTGAGGCGGTGACATCGACGGAAAAGAACATTTTTGCAACGCCTGATCAAGATGGCTCGGACGTCCGTGGACCTGTCGAGCTTGGAGATGAAGACCCTCGACGACTAAGCACTCGGAGAAAGTGGGTTATAATTTTGATCTCCTCTTTGATTGCCCATGTGGTCACGGCCGGCTCGAGTATCTATACTCTAGCCTACGACCAATTCAATACTGAATGGAGGACAACACGGGAGCTAGCTACGGCTGGACTCTCGTTGTACACGCTTGCAATGGGCTTGGGGCCACTGCTTGTCGCGCCGCTGTCGGAATTCTATGGACGCCGCCTCATCTGTCTGTGGTCGCTCGTTTTGTACCTCATCTGGCTGATCCCATGCGCTCTGGCTCGGAACATCGAGACTGAGCTCATAGGACGCTTCTTCAGTGGTGCAGCGAGCAGTGCCTTCTTGAGCGTCGCGGGTGGGACGGTGGGCGACTTGTTTGACCATTCTCAACTGCAAACCCCGATGCTCGTGTACTCGATTACTGCGTTTCTAGGTCCAGATGTTGGGCCAATCTTCGGAGGGTTCATCTGTCAGTATACTACGTGGAGATGGACATTCTATGCCCTCATGATCTGGACCGGGGTGCTGCTCGCGCTGTTCTACTTCTTCAGCCCTGAGACATACACGCCCTTGCTTCTTCGGTTGAAGACTGAACGTCTACTTCGCCAGGACGGCCTCGACGTCGACGTGAAATTGCGACCTCAGGGACTCGGAAGAACCATTCTCATCAGCTGTACCCGGCCTTTCAAGTTGCTTGTCCTCGAGTACATGTTGTTGTCCCTGTGCATCTTGACCGCCTTCACACTGGGAATCCAATATCTTCTCTTCGGCGGCTTCGCATATGTATTTCGCACTGTCTACCACTTCGAGCTATCTGAGATTGGTCTCACGTTCATCGGTATTGGTGTTGGAGCGGTTTTTGGACTAGCTATGGACCCGTTGTGGCGGAAGTACCGCGACAAGCAGTTGAAGGAAAACAATGGTGTCCCGGAGCCCGAGTTTCGACTACCAGCCGTGGCCTTCGGAGCTCTATGTCTTCCTGTGAGTCTCTTCTTCTTTGGCTGGACTGCCCGGCCACCTGTCCACTGGATTGTGCCAATCATTGGCAGTGGCTTCTTTGGTGTGGGCGGGTTGCTGGTCTATTCAGGCATCTGGACGTTCCTCGTTGAAGCATATCCTGTTTATGCCGCCTCAGCTCTAGGCGCCAACGCCTTCACTCGATTAGTGGCTGGTGCGGCATTTCCCTTGTTTGGGGTACAGAGTAGGTTTGACACGTCGCTCTCCGCAGAGGACAAAAAGCTAACTTGGCCTCAAAAGTGTACGAAGGATTGAAGGTTGGCTGGGCGTCTTCTCTGCTTGGTTTTTTGGCGCTGGCGGCGGCCCCCTTCCCTTTCCTGCTCATCAAGTATGGGAAACGTATCAGAGGTGCTTCAAGATTTGCGAAATCGTGAGCATCCGACAAATCAAAGGATCAATCGTCACTTCTAGCTTGAAGGTACCGGCCATGTCGTGTGTCATGACTGCCGCCAATGCCCAGGTCGATTCCTGACGGGCGATGACCAGATACGATTGGGGGCTGTACTGGTAGAGATTGACAATCGGGAGTCGTTGCCCAGCAGTTTAGCTGAAGAAGAAAGTTGGATGTGTAAATTGTCGAGTACCTACGAAATACGCTGCGGGCTATCTTTTAATCATTGCTGCCTACTTGTCAAGCGAGAAGCGTATTAGGGTCAATGAACAGCCTGGTCTTTACTGTCCCTGGAAGATCACCTATAATGTGACAGATGTGCTGGAGTGTAGCCTCTGCGGTGGCATTAGTTCCCAGTCTGACTGATTGTGATTTTAGTGTCAGGCTCGGATAAAGTTGTTTCCGATTGTTACACTGCCTTGCAGTACATACTCTTAACGTATATATTGCGGCCGTCGCTCCTTTCCTTCAATTAGTTCTCTTCACGCAGCTACAACCACACTGAGAACAGTTCAACCTCCGGTAGATGGACCGGTGAGTGGAGGCCCACCTTTTTGTCTGTTTTGCAAAAACAGACAAAACAAGTGGGCCTCCGCTCTGGCGTTTCGACAAAGTTGGCTCTCCAGCGACCAGATTCAACTCACCGCTTCGACTGTGAGGAGATGAGCGATGCCAGCATAAAAGGACCACCCCTGTTCCTCATGTGGCTTGATGGGACTTGTCGGCACTGGACATCCAATTATCATCGCCAGCAGCAAGTCAATTTACTTGACCGTATAAGAGCAGAAGTGCGGCACGGCGGAGCATTGAGGCTCTCCGCCGCTTTTCCTCTTCCCCAGATTCAACAGGATTCATCGATCATGATTTATGCCTCGGCAAGCAGACTTTTTCCATCTCCCGTTTTGGTTTCGAACATGCTCAAGGCCCATCCATTAGTCTTCTGTTGAGCATTATTCTGCCGGTGGTCTCTTGGTTCCTCCAGGGGGGTACGATGAGCTGTAGACATCCGACAAGTCTCAGGCCCGCTGCGAGGTCGTGTGCGGAATAAGAACACTGCGGCGACTGCTTGCCATTTCAACAAGCAGTACTTCTTGGAATGTCTTACTCAACTGGACCTTTTGAGCGACGTAATAATGCAGGGGGTGGTCGGTACTAAAGATTTAGAGCTTATCACGACGCCGCAAAAGAGGACGCGGCGAGCGTGCATGAGGTGTCGCCGTCAAAAGCTCCGAGTAAGCGTCCACCTTTTGCCTTCTTATCGAATTTTCTGACTGGCAAAAGTGTGACGATTACAGACCATGTGCTCTCTGTGTTCGGGCGTGCGTAGAATGCGAAGAGACGGTCAAGCGGCCCAGGTAAGCCACGCTCCTCTTACCTCTCCAAACTACCTCAATGGTAATAAGAACTCTATCATGTCAGAAAATCTAAGGTAGAGCGCGACTCAACTGTCATATCCATTCTTCCAAAAACAACTGTGGAACAGTCAACACCCGTCTCGTCATATGAGAAGCATCATCCGTTTGAATTGTCGACCGCCAATGACAACGGAACACCCGAATGCTCACCGCAAACATCGCAACAGGCTCCGTCTCCCTTTCACGAGCGGACTTCGACATTCAGCCTAGTCGAACATGTGTTTCGTGATCACAATGCTAGTTCGGCGCAAGTCTCAGCTACAGATGCGCTGCCTGATAGCAGACCACGAAATTTGAAAGCACGTCCTGGGGGGAGCTACGTGTCTGTGCGAGAGCTCATAGGGATTGACCTCCCTCCAGCTGTCGTGACCAATTTCCTCTTTTCGTCCTTTCTGACGAACTATCACTGGCATCTCATGACCTTCCACGCTCCTTCATTTCTGGAGGAGCTTCGGCAAATCATAGAGGGAGGGATGGTATCTGTGGACCGTTTTCCCTTTCTGATGGTCGTGCTGATCGTGTTGACGATAGGTGCTCGATATTGTTCTTTGGATGCTGCACAAGAATTTTGTCCTGGAGTGGACGTACGCCAACTAGAAAGAGTTCTGGAGGCCAATATTGAGCAGAACTTCCTCCGGACTTTGGATGATACATCTGTCGAGACCATCACATTTACCTTCCTCTTGACGTCGTTCTCCCTGTACAACCGTAACCCGAGTCGTGGATACAAATTGTTCCAGACTGTCGTCCGAGACGCACAACTAATGAACCTTCATTCTGAAGCGACGTGGAATACAGAGGATTCCATTGCGAGAGAAGTCAGGAGACGCATCTGGTGGACGATATATGGCTCTGATGGGTATGGCATTTTTATCATACAAGATTGTTGATTCTGCTGACATGTTCAGATTTGCGGCCCTTGTCTTCGGAAAGCCACGACTCATCTCGGACACGAACAATGAGGTAGAGATGCAGAAAGACATTGACGACACCAACATCGTCTGTCCCGGTATCGAATCGCAAGAACCCAGAGAGCACGGAATGCTCAGACCTGTCACGATCCTATCGTATCACCGCTACAAAGTCCTTCTTTACAAGATTGGAGAACCGATAACCCGGAACGTGTACTTCCACAGACATTCGGAGACCGATCTCGTTATAGGACAAGTGCAACAGATCCATCGGAGGCTTCTTGACTGGCGCGGAGCTCTTCCACCAGAACTAAAGCTCGACGCCGTTGCTGGTATAGAGACAACGGTTGAACACGCTTCGTCTCTCAACACATTCAAACGGCAAGCACTTGCCCTCGGGCTAGCCTATGATAACATGCAGATTGTTCTGCATCGGTCGTTGATCGCCTACGGGGACACTCGGGGAGAGTTTGATCCTACAAAGGCTCCGACGAGGCAAGGACGAAGCCATGGACACGCAATTGACGTAGCCGAGGCAATAAAAACCAGTCGGAACCAGTGTTGGGAATCTGCAGTGCGAACATCAATGCTAGGGAAATATGCCGATGTGCTGGAGCTCCTGAGAACCACTCCTGTTGCGGCGTACTTTGCTATTCACGCACTCACCGCTGGTGTCATGCTTGGGATATTCGCCTTGACAGATCCGTGTTCGGAGCGGGCTCAGACGGCTAAACTTGGAATATCTCGGCTCATACAGATGCCTACCGACTTCAATTTCCGCGAGGCTGCCTGGCAACAGTGTGCAGACATATTGGAGAATCTCCTGCGCTTGATCCTCTCTGAAGAGATGAAGGTCTTGGTGTCTGGACGGCAGCACAACAAGCTCGGCGGCGGCCCTCCTGAAGGACGACGATCCGAAGTTGCCCAGAACAGTCAGTACCTCGACCAACTTTCGCAAACCCGCGGCCGTACCGCTTCGGTTGGGATCATGGAAGCCGACCACACCCGTCAAATAGGACAATCGCCGGTCGAGAATAACTTTCGGGCATCTGCGAATACACCGCAGCATAGTTACATACCATGGTCTAACGACCCACATACCCACCAGCCAAGACCGGACATGCTGTCGCCGAACTCGCAGAGTGTGATCAGTCCTAGGGAGGACTTTGGAAATGCCTTGTCATCCTTGCAGAACAGTAAGTATTGTTGAAAACTCATCTGGGGCGCGCAACTGACCTCATTTTCCTTGATAGTGTTTCGGGACCACGGATCGTCTCTCGGTTTCACCCACCCCGACGGAACGGCCCGTGTCGCTCCCACTGACCAAAGCTTCGGCTCGACCCTACAACAGCACCCGAGCACGTCCATCGCGGGCGCAAGTGATGGCCAGATGCATTCGGAAATGGACTTCTTCAGCAGTTCATTCCCTTCTTTCCAGGCAGCTGGCCAGTCGTGGCTTTGGAACGACGGCATGCCGTTCATGTAAAACATAACCACATCCATGCCATCTTAAACAAATTTGCCAGGTTGATTGATCGCAATGCGATGGTACATAGCATAAAATCAAATGGGAGAGACGGGGGAGGTGACCCCTCCACATTCCACGGAGCACGTGATGCAGCAAAAGGGCAACACAGCACAGCCACCTTGATTCACGGCATTCTGATCAAAGTTGTCTGTCCTCTGATCCAGAGACCGGTGTCAGCAGGCCCGCTTTTTTTGTTACAGTTGCGCCTGTAACAAAAAAAGCGGGTCTCTAGCCTCCCTGTGTCCAGCTCCGACCTTAGCGCTCTACCCCCCCTGGCAATCGTCTTACAGTATGTATCATGGGTAGTGACTTGTTCCAAGGCTGACTCTTGTTTTCCAGTCGGGAGGTACGTCCCTTCTCAGTAGCCGAGATCGTCGAGGTGTCGCCAGGAAGACCCACAGCAATAACGGGACATCACGACATTTCACGACACTGTGGTGGAGCTCTACGGAGTACGATTTACTTCTTAGCTTCTCCAATTAGGGCGGCCTTCGCAGTCATGCTGCATGTACACCAATCAAACATATGTAGGCAGATACTCGTGTCGGCATGGCATTGGGGGTTCTGATGCATTGTACTCCGCGGGGTCGTCCTGCGGGCAGACTATGGAAGCCATGCGACACATCTACCAACCAAGTTGAATTTCTACACCGCAACAAGAGATCCCGACCGGCTGGACGACCAGTTTTCCTACCTTTTCCTGATGGTCACCTTCCTGGTCATCGTTTTTGATGGCCACCTGCCTGGTCATCGTTTTTGATGGTCACCTCCCTGGTCATCGTTTTTGATGGCCACCTCCCTGGTCATCGTTTTTGATGG